GATTATTTTCAGTGGTACAATCTAGCTATGATTCATGCCCTGGAGGCCAGGCGCACAAACATTCACCTCTCAGCACCAACGCGCGACAGCAACGGCAATGGTAGCTTTTTACGATGATGTTGTGCCCTGAAAATGAACAGCCTATGATGTGGTGGGGGGCTTCTGCTTTGCCAGCAGTGGTGCCTGTTGCGCGAAGCTTGAATGAGCCTCGGATGTACAGTACGAGGTGGAGATGGAGCGATCATCCGTGAGCACGTTCATCACCCGAGGACAGCTTTGTACATAATGGCTGTTCTTGATGAAAACAAGAATATACTAAGAGTATTCGAGAGCAGAAACGAGGTAAATCAGGGCGATGCTTTTACATGCCCAGGTGTGATCGTTAATTGCTCACACTGCGACGGCCTGGCGGGTCCCGAATGAATGCGACGAGCAAGGCGCACCTCAGTGATAACGTGTGCTTCTTCCAGTCCAACATGGAAAGGCGAGCACGCAGTCACATGCAACCTTGGGAGTCTCCACAATACACGTCCGACGGTTCTTACCACCTGCACGCTTGCAAATTCGCGCCCGGGCGGCGTGCAATTTGATGGGTTGTTCATCCATGAATCTGCGTGCATTGAGGAAATTGAAGAACTCCACAGAGCACGCCTGGACATACGAAGAACGCACGCGATACATTTTCACCCATGTCACTTCTTGTGCATCATCGGTAAGATTTGTTGCCCTGGCCTGAATCACGAAGTTGCATCTTTCTGTCCTCGTCGATGCTGAGATAATCTTGTCGCCACTTCATCACACGTTGCTGTTGTCTAAGCCGCGTTGACGTTACATACAAATGTTGCTCGGCTCGAAAGTCACGCACTTGCCCAAGTGCATGATGACCATATGTGAGGCCTTTGGTACTGTCGGGACAAAGGATATATGAGCAGAAGTGAACGCCGCAAAGCCAAGACTGAGCTAATGAGAACGAGGTGCATCATCAACATCTTGCTGACTCCCGTCTGCATCAGTCTCCCAAACTGGAGGAATACCAACATGTAAGCAGTCACGCATTTGCGACACACCTCGCATAGCTTCAGCCGCAGATTCCAAGGTTGCTTCCTCAGGACAACAAGTGATATGCCTAGGTATAACCCGTCATTGCCCAACCTTGGAAGCTTTCGAATCATGCCAGGGAGACAACAGTATTTATCATGCTCCACATCGCTCCATCAGATTTCATGATATGCTCCGCCCGTCTAGTGCTTACTTTTCTACGCCACAAAGCTGTACCTGCAGGGTTCTTGCATGTGCTCCCAACATGCGGCGCAGTCTCCGCGTATTTTGACTCCATTCATTAGCATTCGTGGGGCACAGAACAACCATTGTGGTATGCCGAGAGTCTTGGACAACGTCTATCGTCAATTGCGCCCAATTGAGTCCGTTTCGGAGGCATTGTTGATGTCCGGAGCTCTCCTGATGCTCCACTTGACTGCGCATCTGCATGCGCCGCAATCCCTGATCATGGTCGCAAATCCAAGAATGGTTAGGTCATTCAACGCAGTGGTGATATATATCAGATGTTATGTCGTCCCTTCTTCGACATGCTGCAGCACGATACCACGTCCCAGGACCTGACCCCATGCGTTTCACCTCACTCGTCTCCTTCTGGAGCTTTGTCAGTGTAGCGACCGCGCAATTTTCTGGCCCCAACGGAAGGTGTCCTAGCATTCAGCTCTATGTTCTTGAGCAACAGGGCTCATCCAACCTTCTCAGCATTGCTGTCACTATCCTTGATATTGCTGCGGGCGTGAATATCACTTCATTATCCTACGCCCCGTCCTCAGACTTGGCCTCATCTGTGGCGCAGGGTGTTGCGTCTCTCACTTCTGAGCTCAACGCCTTCTCGCAGAAGTGCCCCAATGGCAAGCTTGTTCTTCTGGGAGATGCTCAGGGGGCGAGCTATGTCAGTGCTACATTGGCAGGCACCAATTTAGGAGGAAACAGTATCACAGCCATCTCCTCTTCTGTCGGATCACAGAGTGCGTCGATGACCTTTGTCCATGTCAATGCTCCTTACTAACAGCGTCTAGTCGCTGCTGTCGTTCTGTACCGCGATGTAACCCAAGCTGCTGAGCAAGGGAGACAGGCAGCCTGTCCGGCATGCACAGCTGGTGGAGTAAGGAACGAAAATCACCCTCTTTGGGAAACCTTCGCTGATAGCCACATAGTCGCTCGCACGAACCGGCGCATACATTGACGCACTGCAGCCTTTCACCGATCGACTTCAGACTTGGTGCAATGCCAATGATGGCAGCTGCTGTGCTAGCGGATCTACGCAAGTATCAGTTGGGTCCTACTTTACGGAAGCAAACCGTGCATATGCCGTCTACTTCATCTCGGAAAACCTTGGCGCCCAGAACAGTGCCGCAGGCTTTGGTCCTCAATATTTCCCGAGCACATGCGCCGTCGCACCACCGACGACCCAGAAGTCGACTGTGTCGACGGCCTCTCCGACATCGAGCCCTGCTGTAATTACTCTGTACCCGGCGACCACAACTTCTGCAAAGGCGACGACGCCTGATGTGATCATCGCGACAGCAACGGCAACGGGCTCGGTGGAACTGACGACGCCTTCGGTGCCTACACTTACGCTGGCCACTTACCAAATCGCCCCGAAGCCCGACCATAAGACAGCGTCTTCTCTGTCATCATCGGCGAAGGCCAGCGCCGGAGCAAGTTCAGCAGCTGCATCATCTTTCCCTCCGATTGCACAAGCCAGCCCTGCGGCGGACAAGACTTCAATTGGTCCACAGGTGTCTCGCGGCACTGGTGAACGCCTTCACCCCTCTGCAGTCTTGGCTCTGGCAGCATTCGGGATCGCCGGATCTATAATGACCTTGATGATGTGATGGAATGAAGTTTAGTAGGACGTTGTATGCTGTAATGATGCTCTGCTGACACTGTGTCGGCGAGTCAATCACGAGGCGGATCTTGGATAGGTCTCTGGAAAAGCCAGTCGTCTGCTACGATTCAAAAAATATTCATTTGAGATCGCCGACTCACGGTACCCATGTCGGTTCATGTCATGATAAGAGATTGGAGGAGACTTTGACATTCGGGCTAAAGTTATGCACATGACGGCACAGACGTTGAAGTTCTGAAGCGTGGTGATCTGCATGATCTCCGGAACGCGCTTCGACATGATGTAGTCAATCATTTGCCATCAGCGATTCGGTAGCGGACGGGGTCCCCCGATAGCTTTTGATACAAATACCAGCCTGTTGCTTGCCACAATCTTTCTCGCGTGCCCAGATCTAAAGATGACTTAACATCGCCTTCCACGAAGAATGAGTCCTGCATGCGCGTTTCGCATAAGATCTAAGTTCGATGCTTGATTGATCTTTGTTGCACAACCGTATCGTACGCTATAATCACTAGCGACTCGTCGAAGTCATGTCAAACAAGTGAACCGCGAATTATTGCCAGGAATGTCATCGTTTCTCCTCCAACGCGTCCGCGGGTATCAATAGACCCTGTATTTTGCGCAGACCTCGGGACCATCTCATTATCGCCGATGAAGTCGATCTACAAATTGCTCGTTTGCACATTACTGTGCACTGTGATCGTTCTTGACTCGTCAAAGAATGTCCACAGCTTGTCGCCGAAACGGCCATGATATCACTCGCATGCCTTTCCTAGTAGGACTGCAAGTGTAGTGGGAATTTTAGTGGGAATTGTTCGTTCGAGCTCGTTTTGTGCTCGTATTCTGTCTTCCCCACGAGAGCAATCTGTGCAAATCTCGCTGTTTGCACAAGTCAATCCTTCGCGCCAATGTCATGTTCACCCACTAGCGCTATTGTCGATCCCGAAAGCTTGTTTCGCCCTGATCGTATACGTGAAATAAACCTGACATTGTCATTAGACTTTCGCTACTCACGACGGGAGGAACGGAATGAAGATGGCGGTCTCAAAGATTTTAAGATACGGAGAGAATCCATCCTCTCTAGATCATTTTCACCCAGCAATTTTTGTCGGTTGAGATTCCGGATCTTGACGTGACAGTGATTATTATGTCCTCCAAGGAGTCTTCAACATCAGTGCCGGCAGAACTATACCTGGCTACTGATGAAAAAACGATCGCTGCGGCATCAGATTTACAGCGTTCAAACTTGGAGACGAATTCTGGCGAGAACGCAATCGCAGATACAGCCCCGATCGAGTATCCCAATGCCTTCAAGTTGACACTCCTGCTCGTGGCCACGGCACTATCGGTTTTCATCGTCTCACTCGATACGACGATCGTTTCGACAGCTATTCCACGCATCACAGAGGAGTTTCATAGTTTAGAAGATGAAGCTTGGTATGTCCAACACTCCAGAGTCGCGCTCGAAAACTCTCCGCCTCCTGTGCTCCTTGCTGATCCACACGATCGATCAGGTATGGCTCCGGCTTCTTCATGACCATGGCTGCCTTCCAGAGCTGCTTCGGCAAGGCATACAAGTATTTTCACATCAAGCCTGTCTTCTTCATCTCAGTCTTCATCTTCGAGGTCGGCAGTCTCATCTGTGCCGTGGCTCCTAATTCTCCTACGCTCATCGTCGGTCGTGCGATTGCTGGTGTTGGTGGTGCAGGTACTGCCTCGGGTTGTTACCTGATCATCGGCACAAGCGCGCCGCCGCACCGCGTGCCTGCATTGTTGGGCATCGTCGGGGCATGCTTTGCTGTTGCTGCTGTCGTAGGGCCCTTGCTTGGCGGCGTTTTCACAGAGCATGTCTCGTGGCGATGGTGTTTCTACAGTACGTACATGCGCTCCATTCAAACGTGAATTGCACGAACGTATGTCAGGCTGATCAAACGTCATTCCATAGTCAACCTCCCAATCGGTGGTCTCACGCTACTGGTCATCCTCCTCTTCTTCTCGCCACCTTCACATGTCCAGCCGGTCAAGGCCTCGCGTAAGGAAAAACTGCTACAGATGGACCCATTCGGCATCATCCTAATCCTCGGCGCACTCATCAGCCTCTCACTCACACTGCAGTGGGGCGGTGCGAGCAAGTCATGGCAGTCCGGAGATGTCATTGCAACCTTGATAGTCAGTTTCGTGCTGTTTGTCGCCTTCGGGGTATGGGAATATCGGGCTGGCGAATGGGCGTCCGTCAACGCACGCATACTGCGGGAGAGCCGCACAATCTCTCTTTTGATGGGGTTTCAATTCCTCATCAACGGGTGCATATTCATCGCTTTGTACTTCTTGCCACTTTACTATCAAGGTGTCCAGGGGCTGAACCCCGGACAGTCCGGTGTGAAGACGATTCCGCTGCTGGGACTTGCTGCTGGAGGCGCAATCATTGCCGGGTTGATTTACATGTTCACTGGCGAGTGGCAGGCGCCCACCATCGCAGGAGCCATGTTGGTCGCCGTTGGATCTGGTCTACTATACACCCTGAACAGCATGAGCTCTGACTCGCAAGCCATTGGATACCAGTGTATCGTGGGAGTTGGCCTAGGCTTCACCGTACAGGTCGCCATCACCGTCGGTCAAGTCGTGGCCAAGGCCGAAGATCTCAGTGTCGTCTCAGCCATGGCATTGTTTTTCCAACTGGTGGGCGGTGCCATCTGGATCAGTGTTGCGCAAAGTGTCTTTGTGAATCGCCTGGCGGGATTTCTGAGTGTACAGTTCAACGTTGATCGTGCGACGATTGTGGCTGCCGGAGCCACCGGTGGACGTCAGGGCCTCTCGGGTTCTTTGCTGGAAACGGTGGTCGAAGGTTACGTTCTTGGCTTGAAGGACGTGTGGGTGCTCTGTGTTGCCCTCGCCGGCGCCGCGACAGCTATTGCGCTCTTGCATGGGGTGGTCGACCGCCGTAAGCTGCCTCGCGGTACGCTCCTGGCAATGCCAGCATGAGCGAGAGGAGCGAGCCTACCTACAAGTATATAGCGATGTGATGCATGAATATGTATAACTTTAATGTCGAGAATTTGGCCTCTGCTTGGCTGGGTTGCAAAGAGTGCTGCAGCAGTAACTTTTGCATGCTCTACACATTTCCACAGCTCAAGGCGAGCGAAATCATACAGGCGGCGGGGATTCGGGCTCCACATCATCGTGTTCCAAGCAGTAGGGAAGGCGGGATTATCATATTTAGATAGGTCCGATGGGATGATCGAGCGCGACTGGACAATGAATGTGGGTTGGGGACAAATGGCCGGTTACCGTGAAATGCATCGTTCGACCTGGGTGTACGTGACCTCATGCGAGTATGTTGTGAAAGTCGCAGCGTACACAAGCCACACATGAAGAACACTGCTGTGGAGCAGGACTAGCCTGGGCAAGACGGTCTTCCCCCTGGTTGTTCTGCTTGCGCTTCAGATTCACTGTTGCAAAATACTTAAGCAAGTGATGTATTCTGTCCACGATACTGAGGTAGAAAACTCGGAGGAATTAGCTGGTAGAATTTTATGTGGATATATTCATATGTGAATGGAGCGGAAATCACGCTCGCTCGCACCAGGCCGTCTTCTTCATAGTCATCATGAGCATTCCCGGACGATGAATCCTAGGATCCATGCGCTCGACACCGTTCCGGCGTCGAAAGTTGTGACTGTGCAGTCCTTTGCATATAATCATGATACTGCTGGGCCGAGTCGTGTCGATAGACTATGTGTCCAGGAACCTGTTCAGCGGGTTGAGGCTGCCAAACAGGCTGCGGAGCTTCATTTGGCATACACTCTTGCAGCCATAAGTATGTGTTTTGTGGCGCTGCCGCTCGCTGGTGGCGACTTGCCGCTCACTGTTGGCGGTGTTCCGGCTCTCGTCTGCGTCTGCCCCGAAGCTGTTAGGACGCAGCCAGGCGCAATGCCTTTGCGTCGGCCGCAGGTTCAATCATCGTTCGCGAAGCTTTACAGCATCGATTGTCCCTTAAGCCTCAGTCTTCATCTCGGTGTCGCCATTGGAGTTTCCCTTTTGGTCGCGTGCGGATATCCATAGAACATTGTTACACCTTGAGCAGTCGAGGTCAGCATGAGACCACCAATGCAGTTCGCACCTGCAAAAGCCTAGCACTAGCTCTCCAACCAGAATATCCCCTTGAAGATATGCCATCCCGTATTTATTGTTCACAACTTACCGAATCAGAACTTGTCCAAGCACGCCCTTGCTCTCACCACCAGCCCATTCTTCTGCACCAGAAAGTTGAATGTTCATGTACGAGTCGGTCGACACTAAGCGTCCGGTGTATTCCTGGCCCCACTTGATCTTGACATTGACCTCCTTGCCGACGAGGTTTTGCAGGAAAGGTCGCGGGTTGAGAGGAATGAACTGTGATGCGCAAGAACAATGGTCAGAATGGATGTTCAAAGTAGCATTTCAATGCGTACTTGGCTGTTCACACGACTTACACTCATGATCGCGACTGCGAATACTTGAAGGTATGCGCTTCTTACAAAGAGCTTTTTTGAAACGGTTCAACCTTCTGCTGTGAATCTGTAAGTTTGCGGGTTACAGTAGTAAACTTCAAGATTGATGCGTTGGATCCGACGTTCCTGCACGATGAACGTGCGAACGGCAGTCCCACGTGATATCGAGCTATGTTCGCGTCGCGATTGGCTTCGGCATCAGGCACGCTAGCTGGGGCACTCCCGAGGGGGAATTATTAGAGTCAAATGATGCTAAATTAAAACTTGACGATATGGCAGACCACGGGATTGACGATTAATCACATCGCAGGACCAGAGACATTCTAGGCACAGGAATCCATTTATATCCCTTGGTCGAACGTGTCTGTGCTCCTACGACTTGATCTGCGCACATTAGTCAATTTATGTGTTGCGTTGAAATGTAAGGCATCTTAGTCAGTAGGTAATACGATCTATTTTGTATCTCTATAATGATGGTGCTAGGTATGTTACAGAGGTCGAGCAGATCAATCTGCCAGAGACTCATGCGTAGGACTTCACTTCTTGCTCTCCTTCTCTTTTTTCCTGACCGCCCGCAGTCCACCCAGAGCTCCCTCGACACCCGGCTTGCGGCCAGTCTCCATGACGATGACCCTGATGAAATCCTTTAATCCCCAGTATGCGCTATGCGCACCGAGCATCGTGAGGTATTGAATCTCCAACAGGCCCCCGCCGTATCGGATGAAATAATCGATTTGTCCGTTGTCATTTAATGCGAGCATGCGCTCTCGCGCTACAGCCATGGTCTCATGATGCTGCAATTCCAACCCACGTGCGGATCTCATAGTGGCGAGACTAGGGCGGCCTCCGAACCAGCCTGTGCTGGTGCTGGCGCTTGTGCTCGGAGTGCCAGGCCCAGTGCTGCCAACAGGAGAAAACCAGTACCCTGGGACATTGGTCGGAAGGAAGAATTTCTTGAGGGACGCTGCATAGCGGACATCCACTGCCGCGTTCATGGCGTAAGATACTGGATCGTATCCGTTCATGAGATTGTAGACATTGTGCACAGCGATACAGCCATAGGCGCCAGGCTGGCCGTAGATTTTGTCGTTGTCGGGTAATTTCGGAGACGTGGCACGAAGTCGTGGTCGAAGTTGTGCTCGCCGAAGGAGGAGAAAGAAACCAGCCGGCGAACCTGCAAGAAATAGGTTGTGCGTATTGAAGAGCAAATGACCAATTTCCGGAGCGGGATCCCCCTTTGTCTGGTCCGATCCATCGTCTCCTACGGTAGCAGTGGAAACCTGCTGTGAGGATTCATCACTTTTCAGGGGCTCGACCTCGGTTGGCTGCTTCGACAGGATGTCGATCGCCATAACACTTCCGAGGGAGTGGGCGATTATATGTACACGGCCGTACTCTGCGAATCCGGGGTTGTTCTGACACCAGAGTGAGTAAACCCGGTTGGCCTCGCGCATCACAGCAGCAATCATTTTCGGCTGGTGTTGCGACATGTAATAGGGCACATCCAACATGACATCGCTCACGATTCCACGCACGGACGGCAGCGTGTCTGGCGTGATATCGTCGAGCGTAAACTCGTCTTGATTTAAATTGCTGTTCGTCCCGCCTGGTGCGTCAGGACGATAACCACCTTCTTCAAAGGTCAATGATTGTCTCCAGTTGATCGGTAATACCATAATGCCACCCATATCCTTGCGGAAGCTTGGCTTGACATCTTTGCTGCCGCATTCCAACTGGACCTCCCGTCGGAACGCATTGATGGCGTGGGTGAAGTGAAAGCTTTCCATGCGCTGACTGAGTTTTTGGCCAATCCCATGAATGACGAAAATCAGATCTGTCACTTTGGGTCGGTCGCTAAGCGCAAGTTCAGCATCTTGCTGCCTTCTCGATTCAGGTTCAACTCCGGATGCTGACGTGGTCACACCTCGAGCAGCTTGCGTGTCTTTTGGTGTATTCTTGGAAGGATTAAGTTTGTCCCACGCCTGCTGGTCAAACCCTCTGATGACTGGTATTCCAAGCTTGTGACCTTTCCGAATGTAATTTGCCAAAGGCCTGCGACCATAGTACGATGACGGAAAATGTGCTGGCTTGAGCAGCCGTGCCTCTCGATCATTCTGATATATGACGCCACAAGAGGAGTAGATCTTGGGTACACCATTGAGCCCGTAAGAACTCTCCCCGCTGGCCTTGTTGTCAGCACCGTCAGGCCCCGTTGACACATCGATAATGTCGCAGGCAGTCTCGACAATCTTAGCGCGTTGCTGGTCAGGGGTTTCAGGTTCGATCTCGAAAAATGTTGCTGTCGCGGCGCGCAAAAGGTTCTCCTCTTGGTTGAGCGTCCCTCTTTGACTCGATGGCCGGCTACTCGACTCACCACGCTTTGCTGCTGGTGGAAGTTCAGGCCAAAGCTTGTGCAGAATTTTCATCTCACCCAAAGCGCCATGCTCGACTGCACTATTGAGTTCGTCTCTCCATGTCTCAGTCCACACCCTGGTATTCATGTTAGCATTGTCACCCCAATTTTAGCTCTCATGAACTCACTTTAATTCTAGATATCCAGCTTCAAGCATGTTTGCGACTGAAGCTTCCACAGGAAGCATGCTGTCTTGGTAGAACCAGGTGCCACGGATGACTTGAGCAGTGTCATTGACGGGAGTCCAGTAAATAGGGACCATTTGCAAGCTCGGCATCTCGACTTGGTGGAGTCTCGATACACCAACTGCAACGGTGTCTTTGGGCAACGATTCTGCCTCCGGCTCTGGCTGCGGCGCAGGACTATGCTCAGCCAAGTGCGACGGGTCGTCCCAGATGTAAGTATCATGTTGCTTGATCCTCGGGCGTGGCTTCCGCTCATCTCTCTCAGATATTGTTTCCACCTTTTTCTTGGATGGAGCACGAATGAAAGGCGTTCCAGAAGTTCTCGACTCGGCTGTTGCCAGGCTTGCTGCATTGCTTACACCGAAGCCTTCTGCATCCGAGTCCACGTCGTCATTGTCATCCTCTGCGCGCTCGACATGTTGCGAAAGACCAGAGCTGGAGTACCGCACAGGCTTGACGTTTGGCGTCCCAGATTTCGGACTTGTGGGTCCCTTGTCACGGTTGATCACGGACGATGGTCTGCGTGCTTTGGAGGTCCTCCTCTGCCCAGGTACTGTCCCCTTCTCGCCTCGGTCCTCATTATGCTTCAAAATCTTTCTTCTCAATGCCTGCCACGATTCGTCAAGTGCTCGGTTGTCATACACTGAGAAAGGCTTCGGAGGGAGTTTGGACGCAGCTGCGCCTGCGCCGCTGGCTGGTGGTAAGGCAGATAGTGGATCATCGATGGGTATTGGCGAAGTGTAGAAGAAGCGGGCATCGATTGCTGGAGGAGGCTCGACATGGTGAAGTACCTGGCGGATGTAGGCGTTGGTCGCCGAGCTCGACATTTTCGCGCGATCTCGAACTCGTGCGGTGACGGGGTTTTGCTCCAACTATCCAGGCAGTCGCAGGATCTGCGGTGCGCGTGGCTTAAGAATCCAGGATCTTGTTCCTATATCACTGTGGCCCTATTTAAACCTAATGACCAGACATGCTGGCAATTTTCCCACCGAGGCGAATGGCTCGCCGGCAATGCGTTCTGCTGCAGCTCAATCTGACGTGGCAGCTGCACAGTCGAGGTCGGTGAGATGCAGGCGTCTGTTCATGCACTTCCACCTTTTACACGGCGAGCTTAACACGTGGTCCCGGCTCAAGTAGCTCTGGACGCAGTAGTCTTCTTCGAGGATATACCACTAGAAGAATGAGAGGGAGCGACGTAAACCAGGCGTGGTGGTGTACATGTATGTGTCGCAGCTGTGGATCAAATTACTGGGTCAGATGTGAGGATGACGCAGGCACCGCGAGACAACCACCACTTGATGGACATGCTGCCTAGGGAAAACGCGGACCCATATCGAAACATCCGAAGCTCTCCCAAGTTCTCCCTTTCGGCACATTATCCTTCGTTCGGCACGTGGTGGAGAGCGCATACTCGGGAAACGCACCCGCGGTCTTTGTTTAAACTGTGGCCATCCTTACGTTGTTCACAAATATTATCGAGAACCTACAATCATCATCATCCGAAAAGCCCTTCAGTCTGCCAGCAGCGATGCACACCATCAGCTCCAGGGCTCCAGCGGGCTTAGGGTTATGTTGTCCACTCCGTTCTTGATGATTGGCGAGTGGCTTTCTCATTCGGAATGGCACGCCAGAAGTACATATATTTCGCTTGCATTGTCTTCCACATCTGCTTGAGACACTGAAATCGCCTCCGTAGTGCGATGCGAATATTTCAAAGTAAGTGAATACTTTGAACACTCGGCGAGCATGAGGCCTGATTCATCCCAATGTCTAGCGAATCCATGAAGCAAGACAAGGGCTTATCTTGCTACATGCTGACAATCACAACTGATGTAAGCTGGGGCTAAATAGGCAGGCCCTCGGTATAGTGCGTGATCGTGCTTCGACAGTATAATTGGGTATGTGAAGATTGACGAAAGCGACCACGTTCCGCTTGCGAATTATGAATCGTGAGGAAAGAAGAGCAGCACCCACACAATGTATGCAGATACGCGTCATGTCCCTTCAATCCCTGCAAGCATTCCAACAGTCCATGAAATCATTTATGCCTCGAACTCCTTGATGCCCGCGTGCATCTTGCCGGGTACCAATGCCAAGGGCACGATACCGGAAACGTGCATCTCGGGGCCGAACACCTTCATGTTCAAGTCAAGCTCCTTGCTGACCGCCTTGATGTTCTTGAGACCTTCCTGGTAGTTGGGACCTGCACGACGGACCCAGATGGCGACCTTGTGCTCGTTGAGTAGAGGAGCGTTCTCGCGAAGGGCACGGATGACACCCTTGAATGTGGAAGCGACCTGCGAAAAGAAATTCAGTTAGAATCCAGATCGTTGGGGATTTGGCGCTTTCGCTGGAGATGAACTTACGTTGGTGAAGTTAGCAATACCACCACCGATGAACAAGACCTTGCCGGATGGGTGCTGCGGTGCGCGAAGCATGAGGTCGAGGACAGTGCGAGCGTAGTGGTATGTCTGAGTCTCGGTCGGCGCACCAGAGTATTCACCGTAGTTGGCGAGCTCAGAGGCAAACCCGGCAGAGGCAATGGCGTCGGCGTACACAACACTGGCACCTCCACCAGCAACGAGTGTCCAAATGCGACCCTTCGAATTGAGGATGGTCAGCTTGAGTGACGCACCAGTCTTTGCATCCATCTCAGCAATGTAGGCCTCCTCTTTGCTCAGCTCACGGCCGAAAGGAGCAGGAAACTCCATTGGTGGGCCAGCATCGATGGTCACCTTGCCGCTCTTATTGGCGGCTGACGGAATGCCGAGGGCTGCTGGGGCACGCGCGATGGCCCACTTCACACCACACTCGAATTCGGCAGTCTGGTCGAGCTTGGCTGCCAAGTCTAGGAAGTGGACTTCGGCCGAAGTCACAGCAGCGTTGGGAATGACGACAAGCGGGTTGATCTCAAGGTATGTGAACTGGCAGTCAACGTAGACGGCGTACAGGCGAGAGATGAAGTCAATTAAGACAGGGTGGACACCCTTGGGAACCTTGGAGAGCAGACCAGCTGCAATCTGCTCGTTGGAGGGGTATTCCGTAAGGTCCACCGGGATGAGCAACTTCTCTGCCTTGGCGTCGACGTCGCCGACCTCGACACCACCTTCATGGTAGAAGAGAATCCAGTCACCCTGCATTGCGAATCAGTGGTCCGTTCAACCCGCTATCCCCATCTTCCGTGTGCTCAACTTACCTCACGAACGGAGTTGATGTTGATGTAGTACTCTGTCTCTTGCGGGTGGGGAACAAAGGGCTCAACCAAGAAATGCCGTAGAGCGCCCTCGACGTGCTCGACTTTCTGAATCTTGTTTGCGCGAGCAGCGATCCACTCCTTGGCCTCAGGCCAGGTGGCATTGAGCTTCAGCAACCCAGACTTGCCTCGTCGCTTGATGAGCTGATCTGGCTTGGCGACGAACTTGGAGCCGGGAACGAGGAGGAAAGGATATGTGGCCTCGGCCTGGTCGAGCACACCGCGGATATCATCGCCGTCCTCGAAGTGGATTGAGGCAAGCTTCGCGGGAGGGTTGTGAGTGGCGGGCTTTGGTAGCGGCGTGGGCTTCAAGACTGGAGCGCGCGTGAGGTGGTAGTTGAGAATGGCCTTGCCGTCGGCCTCGAAGATGGATTTGGCGGACATTTTATCGGTAGTAAGCCGTCCGTGAGTTGTAGAAGTTGTGAATATCTAACCCTGGCGAATCTGTCAGCGAACAGCTCCCGGTTTCGTCCTCGACAGGAATTCGACGTCAACCGTTGACAACTGTAAAGTGTGGCAAAGGGAGAACGAACAATTCAATATGCAAGTGCACAAACAAGCTTGACAGTTGTGCTTGAGCGGTGTAAAGTATGAGGTAGAAGTGCGTTGGGGTCAATGTCGCTTGGAGAGCAGCGAATAACTTTCAGAATTCCAGGCGATAGAGGGGCGGAGACGTACCCTACTTCCGCACAAGCCAATGCGTAAGAATCACTTTTGCAGCACGAATTACGACCCGAATACTGGTAGGACAAGAATAAAGCAGGACAGTTTGTCTTCGATCACAGATGGATTGAGGAATTGACGCGAAAGAAAGTGACGAGAAATGCTTTAATTCCGGTGTGCTCATCCACCTGGCTACCTAAGTAAGCGATGTTGAATCCCACCCATCGTGCAAAAATGTCGATTGCCTGGTTCTCACGCAACGTGAGCGCGCGAATTGAATCTCGGGGGTTCAAGCTGTTGAAGCTGGAAGCGGAGTCCGGGAATAAACTAGCAAGGAAAAGGGTCCTTGCTGATGCGGCGGCGGCGGACGTCCACCTAGGCAGTCGTGGCAGTGTGACAGCACAGTCCTGTACATAAGGCCCTCTAGGCTGTTCGCGGCAAACTATATCCAGGTTTGAGTTGCCGGTATTCGCTCCTGCCCAGGAGGAAAAATGACAGTCCGGCGAGACACACAACCTTGGAAGACATCGTATTCTCGCATCGTCTGTACAACTGGGCTGACTACTCGGATTTCAACGAATTTCCGTCATGCTGCTCTCCCCGTTGACTTTTGCTACTGCGGGTCTCTAAGGTTTCGTTGTGGCCCGTGGATCTAAGATCATCACTACACTGGCTTCGTGTGCCTCAATAGACATGACTGGCGCAACCAGCCGAACCAAATTGCCTTCTCCAGGGCTGCCGACGTAAAGTGGTGGTCATAAACTTACTGTCTTCAAGGAATTTGTCCGTAAGCTTACTTGCTGATGTCGGGCCATTTCCTATCGGTCCGCCTTCCGTGCACCATCTTCTACGTTGAGAGATGGGCTGGTATCGTCCCAAATCGGACATTACGAACGCAGTGACCCATCGTTCATCGGGTGTGAACAAGCCATTCCCACACGTCGCATCGTACGATGCTTGACTTCCAAATTTGTTGAGATGACTGAAGAGATTAATTGCATTGGGACATGCGTGTGCTCGTAGGTACACTGTTTCTAAAAGTGAGAACCATGTCGTAGAACCCGAATACGTCACGTTGGAGACCCGTGCCGGACGAATCATCTGGAGCCAGAGTGCGAGGGAGTAGAGTCTACGACATCCGCCCGGAGCAATTGCTATGCAATTTCGACGTTCTAACCAGAGATAGTCCCGCCAGAACTCCCAACAGTCAATCGCTCCCGCGCAGGCCTTAATTCGTGTCTCAACAAGCCTAAAGGGCTACACTACAGGATGACTTTTATGGTGGGGGAGGCATTTCTGAAAGAGGGGCGTCATGAAGCGCAAACACCGCACGGAGGCTCATTCGCGGCAGAAATGATCGTGGAGATGAAGTTGACATCAATGCCGCGACTCTTCTCCTCACCTGGTCCTCCACCCCTTTCAGAAATAATGATAGAGTGATCGCAAGGAGATACGACTTGGATATCGTTCTGCGCGTGTTCCGTGCCTATTTTCAGGGTGTGTTGTGGCATGCAATGTCGCGTGAGCAGCCGGTACGCCGCACGCTTGTCCCGGCAAGCTTTCCGCACAACAAGATAAAAAGTTGCCCAGGTCGCATCAAACGATGATGATATGGGCCAACCGGGCTTTTGCGCGCCCTTGCACAGCAGAGTCTCCTCAACCGAGTAGTCGCGTCGTGGAGTGGGTGGGAAAAATGGAGAAGTCGGTGAGCAATTGATGCGCTAGTAAGCATCCTGCTGCTACTAATCGTGATCATTGAGAGGCATGTTGAGGACTCGCCCAGGTGACTATCGTACGTTATTTCTTGTTTCGTCGGGACTGCCCAGATACACTTGCATCTCAAGGTTATTCTCAAGGTGTCAAGGTGAACCCGCACTGCACTGCACTGATTAGTGTGCTCTAGCCAGATCCCCGACCACCTGCTAACAGCGCAGGGTCCCCAGTAGCCCCACCATGAAGCACTGTACTGTATATACCTCCAGGGCTAGTACTTGTTCATGAATGCGGAGGTCTACGATCTGCCGCAGTCGTATTGCCATTCGACTTATTACCCCGGCAAACCACTCGGTTGGACGCTTGACCGACGAGTCAAAAATCGACAGAGCCTAGCTTGTTGTCATCAAGGTAGGTTTCCGGCCAATTGAAGCACTGCGGCACCATGATTTTGGTGGGCTCATGCAGAAACCAAAAAATAAAAGCCCCATGTCGTCGGGATCCGGGCAAGAGAACAAGAATAATAATACTCCGCCGGCTGGTAAGCCCGAAATCGTTGGTCGGGCGCTGACCATCTCTCACCCACAGAGCGCAGGTGTGCACCACGGAATTTAACACGCCGCCGTAGGGGTTAGTCTTCGCGTGTGCGCAACTGTGTGACCCTGCTGGAACCCCACTCGCTTCCCAATGTCCGCCCCAACAGAAATGTCCGCCAAATTCGTGCGGTCTGTTATCGGCATAGAATATCTCTTTGAGCCTCGACAACGTACATCTCAATTAATGAGATTTCTTTGTAATTCAGTGAGAGAATCTATGGCCTGAACCGGCCGTGGGATAGGTTGGCGAGGGTGTTGTAATCCGCGTAGTGCCGAATCGATCGTCGTAATTATCAGTCTGACGTTCTGTGTATTGTCTCTTCTCCGCGCCTGCAAGCTGTCGAAATAATCCATAGTACGGAACCCTGTACAGGAGCTCACAAATTTAGCTCCGTGCTCTGCTCCAACAATGGTCGAGAAGTGGTTCCTATCCTCCGTCCTCACCGTGCTTTGACTTCGCTTGTTTGAACACTTCAGACTTCTCTTTTGTACGGTTATACTTGCGGGATTGCAAACCCAATCTTCAGTAAACATCGCATCCAGGACCGTGTTCATCAGAACTTGTCACGCCACCAGATTCGCCCCTCATGTCGACCACTGCGGCCACTGGCCCCAATGGCGCCCAGCAAGATGGCCTTTCTGCCAACGACAACATTCAACGATTCGTAAACCCAAGCCGACCATTGAGCCCGCTACCACAGCATACTCTCTTCCACTCGAAGACACGATGCTTTGTCTAGTACGTCAAATCCCTTCAGAAGCCCGTTCAAGAGGAGCAATGAGACGAACAGTCGTGATAAGACTATTTAATGTCGGGAAATGCTGATAAACCTCCAGCGGTATGCAGACCAAGGCTGTGCAGGGAATGCTCGACTTCGACTTCATCTGCAAGCGCAAGACTCCTTCCGTCGCAGGTATCATCTACACATTCGGTGGCCAGTTCGTCAGCAAAATGTAAGCACGAAGATATGCAAATGGATTGAGCTTGGTCTGAGCACAAGCTGACATCTGCTACAGGTACTGGGGAACTTCAGAGACACTTCTCCCGGTCTATCAAAATGTGGAAAGCGCAGTGGCTAAGCACAACGACGTGGATGTCGTTGTCAACTTCGCCTCCTCCCGTTCAGTCTACTCCTCCACCATGGAGTTGATGAACTACCCGCAGATCAAGGCGATTGCCATCATCGCCGAGGGTGTGCCCGAACGTCGTGCCCGTGAGATCCTCCACGTTGCTCAAAAGAAGGGTGTCACTATTATTGGTCCGGCCACTGTTGGTGGTATCAAGCCTGGCGCTTTCAAGATTGGTAACACTGGTGGTATGATGGACAACATTGTCGCCTCGAAGCTCTACCGCAAAGGCTCTGTTGGCTACGTCTCAAAGTCCGGTGGTATGTCCAACGAGTTGAACAACATTGTGGCACAATACACCGACGGTGTGTACGAGGGAGTTGCCATTGGCGGTGACAGATACCCTGGTACCACATTCATCGACCACATGCTCCGATACCAAGCCGACCCCGACTGCAAGATTCTCCTCCTATTGGGTGAGGTCGGTGGTGTTGAGGAATACCGCGTGATTGAGGCCGTCAAGGCAGGCGTTATCACCAAGCCGATTGTCGCCTGGGCTATTGGAACCGTCGCTAGCATGCTCAAGACTGAGGTCCAGTTCGGTCACGCAGGTGCCATGGCTAACTCTCAACTGGAGACCGCTGCTGTCAAGAACCAAAGCATGCGCGAAGCTGGTTTCTTCGTCCCCAACACCTTCGAGGAGATTCCGGAGCTTCTCAGCCAGGTCTACCAGAAGATGGTCAAGGCTGGCGAGATCAAGCCTGCTCCCGAACCTGCCGTTCCCAAGATTCCAATCGACTACTCGTGGGCGCAAGAGTTGGGTCTCATCCGTAAGCCTGCTGCCTTCATTTCTACCATCTCCGACGACCGTGGTCAGGAACTGTTGTACGCGGGTTTGCCAATCTCAGACGTATTCCGGGAGAACATTGGTATCGGTGGTGTCATGTCACTGTTGTGGTTCCGTCGTCGCCTGCCTGACTACGCGAGCAAGTTCTTGGAGATGGTCCTCATGTTGACTGCTGATCACGGTCCGGCTGTGTCTGGTGCCATGAACACGATCATAACTACCCGTGCTGGCAAGGATTTGATTTCGGCACTTGTGGCTGGTCTGCTGACCATTGGTTCGCGTTTCGGTGGTGCTCTTGATGGTGCTGCAGAGGAGTTCTCACGCGCATTCGACAAGGGTCTCTCGCCACGAGACTTCGTTGACACGATGCGCAAGGAGAACAAGCTCAGTAAGTTGCATTGATTTGAGTAACTTGAGGTCATGAAGCGACTAACATTGTTTTTCAGTTCCTGGCATCGGTCACCGTGTCAAGTCTCGCAACAACCCCGATCTCCGTGTCTCGCTTGTCAAGGAGTACTGTCTCGCCAACTTCCCCTCCACCAAACTGCTCGACTATGCCCTCGCTGTCGAGACCGTCACGACCAGCAAAAAGGACAACCTCATTCTCAATGTTGACGGCTGTGTCGCTGTCTGCTTTGTCGACCTTCTCCGCAACTCCGGCGCATTCAGCCCCGAGGAGGCCGAAGACTACCTTAAGATGGGTGTCCTCAACGGTCTCTTCGTGTTGGGTCGATCTATCGGTCTTATTGCGCATTTCCTCGACCAGAAGCGCCTGCGCACCGGTCTGTACCGTCACCCCTGGGACGACATCACCTACCTCCTTCCTGAGCTCGGCAAGGGTGGTCCCATGGGCAACGAGGGCCGTGTCGAGGTCAACATCAAATAGACGATGTGCTAAAATACTTTCTTTCTTACGGTGGATGTCGCATCAGGCGAGTCTGTTCATGGGTTTTGGACTTGTATTGATGAATAATGAAGATGGCAAACCAAGCCGTGGAACCAAACTCTTTCCCTCTCTTTCGTTCGTCACGAAACGAAGTTTCATCCTCAGAGGCGGGTCTCCGGAGACATGATTCCTCTCAAATCTCATTCGTGCGCCTGGACGATCTATTAAATTTGTATGACACGACGAGCATGACATTGTAGCGAAAGCTTTGTAGATTGAAATGGTGAGCTTGCGCTTGAATCATTGCACATCGTGAATTGTGGTACAGGATCAGCTCAAATGTAATCTTAATGGAGGAATGAGCAGGCATGCCTGTAATTGCTTCACAGCAGCAGACGATCATTCGACGATTAATAGTATCCTCGTCCACCTCTACGGTTCCTGCCGCCGCGCCCAACACCACTCTGTTGGTCCTGCATGATCGCCAGTTGCTGGGGACTATAACCCTCCATGCCCGGCGGCGGGAATCCTTGTGGTCCCACACCAGCTCCCGACGGTCCAGTCGGCGGCTGGAAACCTCCTTGTCCTGGTGGCTGCGGTGAGACACTATTGGGGTTCGAGTCGTAGCCTCCACCGCCTTGCTGCGGACCACCCATGCCGTTGAACTGACCGCCTTGCGGACCATTACCGAACGGCGGCATCCCGGGCATGCCGCCCATCTGCATCATCTGCGCAAACTCGGGCGGTATGACTCCCTGGTTCATCATCTCCATCATCTGCGCGGGATCCGGCATCCCTGGCATTCCCGGCGGCATACCTGGCATGCCTCCTCCCGGTCCTGCCCCCGCACCTTGTGGCCCGCCTCCGCCGCCGAAGAAGGCCTTCATCTGTGCGTCTGCGTCTTTCTGCTGTGCGATTGTGCCGGCCATCGCCTGTTGTCGTACGCAGTACTGCGTCCACGTGTATTCGTCGAAGCCGTAGTTGAAGAAATCTGTCTGATCTGTGCCGGGCAGCCGCCACGGTTTGCTGTGCTCGGCGAGATCGGCGTCTATGTCGACCTCCATCAATGGCTTGCCGTTATCGCCGCCCCAGATCGGGTTCGCTTCGACATCGATGCTGCTCGTCCGTACTTCGGGAAAGTCTTTGCCTTCTTTTCCTCCGTGAGTTAAGACGCCTTTGGTCGCTGATGGCGCTGCTGATCGCTGTGATTCAACTTTGAGTGGTTGCGCGCTATTGCCTTGGCTGCGTTCAGAGGCATTTGTGGGCGTCCCTGTCGGTTGCGGGACATCTGGGGTGCCAGAGGCTGTGCGAACACCAGTTGGGCGAAGCAGATGTTTTGCGCCGGCTGGTGGGTTGGGCTTTGCGCCTTCGGGTTTTTCAAGTGTTATTTGAAATCCCTACACGGGGCAGAATATTAGTTTGGAGATACTGAAAGAAGTATACATCGGACCCTGCGTACATCGTCGCTGTCGTCGCTGTCGTCGTCATCATCATCATCGTCGTCATCGTCCTCATTCGCTTGACCATCATCGGTCACGTCCATTTGTTCGCCATTATCCTCCCCGTTGTTTTCCCGTTTGACGTTTGTGCTACTGTCATCTTCGTCGTGACCGGGGCCGTAAAAGTCATCGTCCTCTTCGTCCATGTTGATTTTGTGAATGGCGCAAATTAAGACTGAACGATGATAGCCCAATGCGGAGGGGGCTTAAGCTTCGTCTCGAGACGCGTGAACAGGAACGCGTAGCTGACCCTACAGCGCAGAAGTCGACGCCCGGGCTGCTTGCCGACATCATCAGCGACCCAGCCATCGGTCAAGCTCGAGTCGCTCACGACGTGCGATACGAATCATGAAATGATAATGGTAATGGCTACAAATTGAGATGGCATTGACATCGGTTCGTGTTTTGCGCTCACGCTTAATTTACGTACATACTGATCCATGCGCCAGTGGAAAAGCTTCCGGTTCTTCGATGTGTCGCAAGTTCGACTTCCAGAAGGTGAAGATGTAATATCTCTAGATGTAAGTGAAACGTTGATTGCGACACTGCCGACCTGATGTTTAACATAAACAGCAAAGCGCGATAGGTGGCATCTCTGCAGGCAGCAAGAATATCATAGTGGGCACCCCAAACGGTCATGTCCATCTGATAGACCAGACTTTCAAATCATCAAGATCCTGGAAGGCACATGATGCTGGATCGGTGACGCATGCCGTTCAATTAGTCGACACACCGTATCTTTTGACACTCGCGGAGACGCTCGAACATGAACCAGAACTGAAAGTCTGGACCCTGGACCAAAACGAGAAGAAGACTGGACAGCCCAGATGCTTATGCACGTTGGTCGTTCAGAATTGCCGGCGCAACTTTCCAGTCTCGGCATTCGCTGTGACGAGCGATCTGGCGCAATTAGCCGTGGGATTCGCTAACGGAACGGTCACTGTTGTGCGTGGTGACTTCATTCACGATCGAGGAACCAAGCAGCGGACTGTCTTTGAATCTGATGAGCCAATCACTGGACTAGAGTTCCGAGAAGCCAACACTACCTCTCTGTACATCGCGACGACTTCACGGCTGCTAGCTCTTTCGATATCAGGGAAGGCCCAAGGTACACCAGCGCGCACGTTGGACGAACATGGTTGTGCAGTTGGGTGCATGACCCAAGATCCGCAATCAAACGAAATCGTCGTCGCGCGTACCGACGCTATTTACACCTACGGGTTGCGAGGGAAGACCGCTTCTTTCGCCAAAGAGGGTGTCAAGAACATTGTCGGAGTTTGCAAAGATTACATTGTGATCGCGTCGCCTCCCGAGAGCAACTCTGTTCCTGCGACCTCTCTCCGAGCATTCGGTGGCATCAAAGCAGACCAAATCTTCAGATCAAGCAGTTTCACTGTGCTTCACACCGAATTGAAGTTTATCGCGCATACCGAACAGGTGCCGAGTCAGATTCACAAAGTCTTCAGCATTTGGGGCGACATCTTCCTCCTGACGGTAAATGGAAAGCTCTATCGTTACCATGAGAAGACTTTTCAGCAAAAGCTGGAGATTCTCTATGGGAGAAATGAGTACGTTCTAGCCATCATGATGGCCCAGCGGTACAAGATTGATGCCGCTCATCAGAATAATATCTTCCGCAAATACGGCGATTATCTCTACCAGCGTGGTGATTATGATACTGCCATGCAGCAATATCTCAGCGCAATCGACAATACCGAACCTTCACAGATCATTCGCAAATTTCTGGATCACCAGCGAATACGAAATCTCATTGAGTACTTGGAGGAGTTGCACGAACATCACAAAGCGACGTCCGATCATACAACACTACTCTTGAATTGCTATGCCAAACTCAAAGACATTGACAAGCTTGAGGACTTCATCAAGCAACCTGGCGAGCTTAAATTCGATCTCGACACGGCGATTCTGATGTGTCGGCAGGGCGGGTACTACGATCAAGCTGCCTTCCTCGCACGCCGGCACAATGAGCATGGTCTTGTCGTTGACATTCTCATCGAGGATCTCAAGAAGTACGCCGAAGCTCTCGCGTATATTGTGCGTTTGGAACCACTAGACACTTATCCCAATATCTCGAGATATGGGACAGTTCTCCTCGAGCATTGTCCTTCCGAAACAACGCAGCTCTTCATCGACTACTTCACTGGGAATTACACGCCCAAGAAAGATGCAGTCATTGTGAAGGACGTGCCAGTGGAGCAGCAAGCTGCCGGGTTCGGGTCCATAGCTACATCAGCAGCACAGAGTCTTGCTGCATTGATACCATTGCCCTACATGAGCACTGCATCCATGCTGCGACCACGCAGTAGTCAGCAGAACAAGGCGACGCAAATGGAGGTCGTGGAGAGTGCGTCCCTCGGCGAATTCATCGAGTATACTGTCCCAAAACCCCGCACAGCTTTTTCGGCCTTCGTTGATCATCCAGGCCAATTTATAGTTTTCCTCGAAGCATGCATTGCCAGTGATGGACTCAAGGCTGAGAACCGGACAGACCTTCACACGACCTTGTTCGAGATCTATCTTCACAAGGCGGGCTCGAGTGAAAGAGAAGAGAAGACCGAATGGGAAAGAAAAGCCAAAAAGCTTATCGAAGACAAGAATGTCGCGATTGATACGTCAAACGTACTTCTGTTATCGGATCTAGAGAAGTTTCGCGATGGCACTGTTCTTGTGAGCGAGAAGCATGGCCTCCATTTCGACATTTTCCGTTCATATACGGCCGCAAAGGACACTGCAGGTGCGATCAAAGCTTTGCGGAAGTACGGCCCAGAGGAGCCACAGCTCTACCCTGCAGCATTGGCCTATTTCACCAGCTCGCCCCAGATCCTCCAGGAAGCTGGTGGCGAGATTGACGCCGTGCTACAGCGGATCGATGAGGACGGTCTCATGGCACCTCTTCAAGTGATTCAAACTCTTTCTCTGAATTCTGTGGCTACAATGGGTCTAGTCAAGCGCTACCTCTCACAAACTGTATCGCGTGAACGCGCGGAGATCGCGTCTAACCGGCGCATGATCTCCGAGTATCGTGCCGACACCACTCAGAAACAAAAGGACAGCGAGGAACTCAACACAAAGCCGGTGTCGTTCACGGCCACCAGATGTTCGACGTGTGGCATGACGCTTGAACTGCCGACGGTGCATTTCCTTTGCAAGCATAGTTTCCACCAACGTTGTCTAAACATTCCCGAGGGTTGGGACGTCGGCAACGCTCCCGAGATCGAATGTCCGCTGTGTGCGCCGCAGAATCGCATCGTACGCCAGACCCATGAGGCTCAGGTTGAGAGTGCGGACAGACACGAGCTGTTCTTGGAAAGCTTGAAGCAGAGCGAACGCGATCGCTTTGGAGTCTTGGGAGAGTGGTTTGGTCGTGGCGTCATGAGTGCCGGCGGGGTGCAGAATCGAGGTGTCTAATGGCGGCATCTCTAAGCAAAGAGACTTGTCCCTGCATTTAGTTGTAAATCTCGCTCCCGCGTAATTATACGTTCTAGTCCTATGGCTTCGTGTATCGAAGAATTGATTATCAAACGCCGCGAAGTGATAACAAATCTTGATTCGAGGCTTTAACTAGACAGTGCATTGTGGTGAACAAGCACCGTGATTTATCTGGGTCGAATACAAGAGCTCCGTGTTTGTAGATGCTAGTCTTTTCGGTCACCCATCATCGATCTCACACCGAAGTCCTGCGGAACCAGGCTGACCGCAATCGCCGATTCTAATGTTCCAGCCCATCACATCCGGGCCAGCCCTGGGTGAGAAAGTCATCATTGGCCACGCGATTCGGGGTGTTGATATCCTGCCAAAGTGTACCAAGAATAGACTCTGGCAGCTCACGTCCATGCGGGCAAGTCGTGTACACTCCCTCTCGATTTGAACGCTCTCGCCGCCAGGTCGGGAATTTGGACCATCTACCTGACACGTCGAAGTAGGGCAAAAAATGACAAGTTTTTGACCATAGCTCACACATTCTAGATTCAATACACGACACTGCAATTGATTCACAAACATGGATGTCCTGTTGAGACAATCAGATCGAAATAAGGCTACCGGATAGTAGTGTAAACGTTTCCTGGTCTGCTCAATCCCCGTTCGAATCTTTTCAAGTAAGGAAGCCGGTATTGGCAGACGTGTTTATTCATCAACGAGGGTGGAGTCTGCAACCAAATTTGCCCTACAGCGACGACGTGCCAGGATGCTGCTAGTGCTTATGACGATCAGCGCCACAACGCCTTTTGCACGGAGCAAACTGGCCGCTGACAGCCGCGGTCGATATCACGGGGTCGCCGAGACACCTATCATCAGGCGAACCGTCGCCTTTAAGGAGGCCCATCAGGCCCCGCCTCCTTTCCAATCAGTACACGGGCCTGATGCTTGACGGATCACTCTTCAATGTGCTCTTCGAGGGCTGTGTTTCCCCCCACACGATGTCTAATCTTGGAGGTACATGTCGGTTTAGATAAATTCTGATAAATCTCCCCATGTATCCCAACACCGAAACACCGTTCCCATAATCGATTCGATCAATATCTCCATCATTACCTTGACACATCTGCTAGTTTCCCCTGATTCATAACACCAGACGGCGCGGAAAGATCACGACCAAACGAGAGGCCAGAAAGGCATACGCTCCTTTCTTAAACCAAGGCTTTTACTGAGTACAATTGGTGTCGTCCCCCCAAGAATCTCCTCTGTCACCATGGCCGCTCCTAGCCCTCGACGACCAATCGTTGGCTCCGTCGCAGGCTTCGTGTCGTCGACCAACATTGACCGCCGGACCTGCCAGCGCGTTGTACCAATGAAGGTCCTATGCCTGGGACTCTCACGTACAGGGACGGCATCCTTGCGACAGGCGTTGCTTGATTTGCACTATGAGGACGTGTATCACTTCGCTTCCGTGCTCCAGGAAAACCCTCGGGATGCCGAGATGTGGATCGATGCCATACGGGCCAAATTTCATGGTGAAGGCAAAACGTTCGGACGCAAGGAATGGGATCAATTGCTGGGCCATTGTATGGTACGTGGTTTCCTCAGCGGTTCTTAAGTTCTTGACTCCGCAGTCTGCTAGCAATTTTGCAATTTTCGGCACTGCTTGGCCGTCCATTCTCATGACCAGAAAAAGAGCACTGATCAGCTGAAACGATTCTTGACCAGGCCGTAACAGACTCTCCATGTGTTTTCTTCGACAAAGAGCTTCTGGAAGCATACCCCGACGCCAAGGTGATCTTAACAGTGCGGGACTCACCCCAACAATGGGTCGACAGCCAGATGAACACGATCGTGCAATATGCCCTTAGCGTCGTGAACCCCCCTGCCCCCAAGGGCCTGTCAATAGTGTACAATTGGTTCCAGCCTGCGACGCGACCCGTCGATCGACTTATGCAGACGATGGTGGCCGAAGCGGAGATCTACAAGACGCTGCTAGCCGATGCGCAAAAGGGGACTACGCAGGACTCCGAGGCGTTCTATCAGGCGCACATCGAAAAGATTCGTCGACTGGTGCCGGCCGATAATTTACTGATCATGAATGTCAAGGAAGGCTGTAAGTTGTTGCCGAATGTCTCGCCCAGCAGATTTGTGCATATTGTTTCAATTCTCGCAGATTTGCTGACCCAAATATCCTCTGAAGGGGACCCACTCTGCAAGTTTCTCGGCCATGAGCAGCCTGCTTGGCCCTTCCCGCGCGTCAACAGCACCGAGGAATTCATGCAAAATGCTATCGAAGTGGGCGCGATGATGAAGCATGTCACGAATGCGCGGATCCTCAAGGCGCTCGTAGCAGTCACGGCGGTTTCGGTGGTTGGTATAGCGTGGTGGGTGCGCTCCACACGCGGGATTGGTACCCAACTATGGTAATTTTGCCTTGATGAATGAATTGCTCCGTGCTGAGCAGTTCTTATCATCAATGCGCTGGGGAATCAGGCAGCTTTATGGCGGTATTCAATGCGGAATACTCTGCCGGTTTCGTTCCAGATGGTACGCGCCGTGTTGGTTGTCGCAATTTGATGCCCAGACTTAGAGGGCCAAGGGGTGTCTCGTCGAATAGAGCAACGGACTGGATGAGTGCCGAGAAACATGCCGATCTGATTTCTACATTAAATAATCTCGGGTTTGCTTCAATCAGCAGGATATGTATTAGTCACAGTAACAAATGCTTTTCTTTATTGAACGTGCTGTCGATCAATCCGTTTTAGCAGTATATGCAGCGCAACGCAGACAAACGAAAGCGTCAGCAAGTCATCAAAGCAACATGAAATATGGTAAATTCTGCTAGGATTTGCTCTTTCCAAAGCCAAGCAGCCCCTTCCTCTTCTTCTCTTTCTCGGCAGCTGGTTCTTTTGACAATTTTGCAGAACTGTTTGCTGACGGCCCTGCACTGTTGATATTCATCTGGTTCATAGCTTGGGTTGGGAGCGCATGGTGGGGTCTTGCCGGAGCCTGCTGTTGTGATGGTGGAGCAACAGGTTTGGGCTGTGGATCCGGCTCAAACAAATGCTTTGGAGCCACAGGTTTAGGCAAATCCGCGGGGATGTTTAAGCGGCGTCGATCAGTGGAGAGATCGGCCAGTTGTCGAATGAACAAAAGTGGTGTAAGCATGTGCGACGAGACGAGGTAGATCTCCCGCTGTTGCTGCTGTTGGTATCCAGCTGAAGAGGGACCCGAAGACCCGCGGCCGACTACAGAGCACGCGCGGGACTCGGAATAGGTAGCCCCACCTGCCATGAAAACAATAACTCTTTGGCGAGTCTCCGAGGCAGAGTTTGAGTTCGCGGCACGGTTATTACGAGCCCAAGTAGGTTTCGCAGTTGTTCGGAGGGAAGCCGCAGCGGCGGCGGGGTTTGCTGCCATTGTCGGATCGTCGCCAATGTCAAGCGGCGGTTTCGTGTAGGGAAATAGCGTTGCGTCGAGGGTGTTGTTGCCGTGGGCTTCAAGCAGATTTTGGAGGACGGTCTCGTAACGACTGAGACTGTACTCATCTTGTAAATTGGCGGGCACTGGCTTCCTCGGAAATAGTAGACCAGGTGCAGGACGGGGGTCTTTCAAGCCTCGCGTTGTTCGGGCACCCAACAAATCCATGTTTCGAATGACTTCGCCATCTTGAGCTGGCAATTGCGCATGTTGGAGAAGTTTTTGTGTGTCAGCTGGTAGTAGTCCGTCTTTGAAAATAAGATATAGCATAAGCACACGTAGTCGATCCGTCGGTCGGACACCGTCGTCGTCAAGCATGCGCACGATTTGATCTGCAAGGCCCTTCGGCTTCTTGTATTCTTCGTCAAGCCCAGTGGCAAGTATCTTCGCAATTGTCAGCGACAAGGGTGTCTGAGATACTAAAAGCGCTTCTTACCTGCTCTATCGAAGCCAGATCCGCGAGCTTGTATTTTTGAAAACGGTTCATACTCTCTTGTGCCATGCTGAGATGCAGGGCATATGCCTCCTTTAGCTCCTGAAATTGAGGTAAACCAGCCAGCATATCCTTAATCGCGTTCAAGCTCGCTGCATCCCCAGATTTAGTAAAATTGGGATTATCGCGAATGAATTTCTGAAAGTCAGACATCAACTTTTCAATGGTGTCTTTCATGTGCCGATGCCGATTCTCAATCCAGATCTTGTCCTTCTCAGTGATCTCAACGTCCTTCTCTTCAGCATCAGGCTGACCCTCGTTGACCAGAGTACGGTACGTTACTTTGTCCCCTTCTTTTATTGGGAGTAGATCATGCGCCATGGCCTGGTAGGTGAATTCATGGAGCAGTGGTGCAGACAAGTCCATCGATCGATCCACGATATAAAGCGCCCCACGCGGTCGTGATGTTCTTGGCGGGAAGTCATCATGGAATTTGGCGTACAAATCCAGCTCATCTTGAACAAATTTGGCCAAATGCGAACATAGTATCTGTGCCTCGTGTGTGGCGGCTCTGGGTCGATAGTACCGAATGACGGGATATTCACCCAGTGAAACACAGACTCCCACAATCTAGCACATATTAGTCAAATGAAATCAGAAAGCTTGTGTGTGACCTTCTCGTATACCTTTTGAGCAATATCTTCCAGATGCTGACGGATCAGCGATGAGCATGCTGGGTGGAACAACGTCGGGAAACTCCAAGGGTCACGGAACGTGATAAGATGGGACTCGCGCGGGTAGAACTCTACGTTCAGCACCTTAAAGAGTCTGATTTGGCTCCGTGCCGTTTGTGACTTGTCGATGCGATCTCTGAGTGTCGGGTGAAGTACTGATTCCAATCTTAGAATTTTGCCCAATACCATCAATGCTCGATCAGCACTCACACGATGTCCATACTAGATATGCGCTGCGATACTTTCTCTTATCCAAATCTGCCATGACACAGTCCACGATGTGGGGGTGTGGTGTGAGCAGGTATATGGCATCGACATCTCGATTATTTGTTCGTCGATCCGTGATCTGTTCGATATCTAGAGTAAGTCAGGCGAAGCTGGGGACCGCGAAAGCACACAGGAGAGGGCGCGTCGTACTCGTGATGTTCTCATTCAAGATCGCATCTTGTTCTAACACATTGTCGATCAGGCGTTTGCTATCGTGGTCGAGGACAAGGACCTTCCACTACACTGGCGCATTAGATTCTGCCGAACAATCTTCCACCGAGTCGTCAACGTACGTCGCCGCGGGTAATTTGACTGATTGTGCTGAGAATGACTAGGATGGTTTGTTAAGATACAGTCATATGACAAGCACTCGGATGTTGAACGCTGACTCTCTCGTTGTGCCTCGATGATAGAGACAGCCATCCCCGCGAATGCCTCGGCCAATGTCGTAACGTCAGGCCTGATGATTGTATACACGCACTGTCACGCGATGCGGTGGTGGTTGGGTGATCGGGCGTGGTCGCTGATAGTATGCGCAATATGCTGCGGTGTCGAGAAATCGGCGGAGTGATCGAACGATAACTTTGTTCACCTGGGCAGTTCAATGTCACAAAACCAGAATGCGGGACAACTTGACAGCAGCCGCCGCAACAGAATGACGATGAGCGGAGTGGCTTGTGACACGCTCCCTGATTTAACTGTGGCTGAGAGCCGTGTGGCTGATGTCATCAACTTCAGCAAGCTGAACTAACGCTGATTAGGCTTTTGCGACTCGAAATTTATTTGGCGATATAATCGTGCAATCTGCCTCCGACACATTCCGATCAAGTACTGCATGAAGCAGTGTATACAGACAAAATGGGTGATGATGGAATGCTTTTGAATTTTCAACTGCCATCGGATGCTTTTACTACTCCGAAAGCTGCGTTCAAGGGAGGAAGTTGGAAAGATCGGTTGACCGCAAGAAAATCCGCAGAATGGGGACGGCAAAAGGCCCTCGACAGGGCTGCTGGAGTGACGACTCAGAAACCCAGATCAAACAGCAATCATGAATCTTCTGAACATGGACCTCCACCCAAGAGAGCCAGAGTTGGTGTTCCAAACGTTTCGAGCAAGCATAAACCAGGGGATTTCGTCTCGTCGCTCTTTACTTCAAATCCCACGTCAACGGCCGTCAAAAATATCGAAGAACCGGTTGCAGACGAAAATGATGTCGTGGAACCCTCGAACGCCCCACTGAATGACGAACTCGCGAACTTCACTTCATTGGGACTCTCTACGCCGCTGGCAAGCCATTTGTTGCGAAAGTTGAATATCAAAGCTCCCACGGCGATTCAGTCACAAGCCATCAAGCAACTATGCCATGCTGACACGGACGCATTCATTCAAGCACAAACCGGTTCTGGAAAGACTTTAGCATATCTACTACCGATTGTCGAGCGTATCAGTACCATCTCCAGGACGATGAAGGAGTCCGGAGAGGATTTCACGCGAAATAGTGGCCTGTTTGCCATAGTTTTGGCTCCTACTCGCGAATTGAGCAAACAGATTAGCACTGTTTTGGAAGGCGTTTTGTCATCATGTCATTGGATCGTCGAGGGCACAGTGATTGGTGGTGAGAAGAAAAAGTCCGAGAAGGCGCGACTCAGGAAGGGCGTGAACATCCTGGTGGCTACACCAGGTCGCTTGGCGGATCATCTGAACACTACTGAAGTCCTGGACGTCAGTCTCGTGCGATGGCTGGTGCTTGATGAAGGAGATCGTCTGATGGAACTCGGTTTCGAGCAAGACATCCAGAAGATTGTCAGCGTCCTCAATCTCCGAGCCAGAAAGGTTCAAGAGAAGCAGATTCCAGGATTACCAGAGCGGAGGACTACAGTGTTGTGTTCCGCAACAATCAAGTCGGGCGTGGAACAGTTGCTAAGTATCTCTCTCAAGGATCCGGTATCCATTGCAGTTGATCCAACAGAAGTTGCAGAGGGCACTGCGGAGAGTGAAATCGCTGCCACCACGTTTTCGGCCCCTGCGCAGCTCAAGCAAAGCTATGCCCTGGTCCCGCCGAAGCAGCGTCTAGTCACGCTGATAGCCCTGTTGAAGCAAACGTTCAAACGCAAGGGCAGCGTCATGAAAACTATTGTCTTCATCAGTTGTGCCGACAGCGTCGATTTTCACTTCGAGCTGCTTTCTCGCGGTAACAAAGCAAAACAAATCGAGCCAAAGGAAAGCACCGCAGAATCTCTGGAAGCCCGAAATCCGGTAAACAAGAAAGACAATCCTAAGAAGCGCTCATTCCCTTCTTCAAAGATTCCGCAAGGCACCACCATTCCAGACACACTCACATCCTCCCCCTCCACCTTACTTACGTCGTCTGCAAACCCACCAACACAGGTATTCCGTCTTCACGGCTCTCTTCCACAGGCTACTCGAACCAGTACTCTCGCCGCCTTTGCCCAGAGCACTTCACCATCCGTCTTACTCTGTACTGACGTTGCCTCTCGTGGTCTGGATCTCCCTAACATCGATTTCGTCATTGAGTATGACCCGCCGTTCTCGAAAGATGAGCATCTCCATCGTATTGGTCGAACAGCACGTGCAGGCCGGGATGGTCGCGCGTTGATCTTTCTCATGCCTGGTTGTGAGGAAGGCTATGTGGACATACTCAAAGAAGTCGGCGCCAACCTCACGCGTCATGACGCCGACGAACTGCTACGAAAAGGATTTTCCACGTCCTCATCATCAGATACGCTCAGTGCAAGCGAAAAGCGGGCTTGGGAAGATGCTGCCACGGAGTTACAGTTGAACCTTGAGCGCAGCGTGCTTGGGGAAGACGCCGCGTCGCGAAGTGAAAAGAATAGCTTTGCCTCAAACCCTGCGCAAGCTCTCCTTCTCGAGCAGGCTCGGCGAGCCTACCAGAGCCACATCCGTGCCTATGCAACCCACGTCGCCACCGAGCGCCATATTTTCGATATGAAATCGCTTCATCTTGGACATTTAGCCAAAGCGTTCGCATTGCGGGACCGACCTGGCGTGATCCGGGTTCCCGGTCTAAGGCCAGGCGAAGGTGGAAATAAGAAGGATGGTAAGAAAAGTGCGAGACGAATGGTGGCTGGCGGCACGAGGAAGCCTTCGGCAGGTACTGGCAGTGGTGTCCGACCAGGTGGTGATGATGTCGAAGGCGGGGAGACCGATGTTCGGGAAGCGAAGCGGAAGATGTTCGCGAGAGTCAAGGCCATGGGTGGAGCGTCCGAATTCAATTTGGGCTAAGCCTGTTTGTTGGACATGACCGAAAATCTGGACGAAGATAGATGTCTGCGTGTCCTTAAGATCCGAATTGCATTGCAAGCCGGTGATAATTATCCTCAATCTGCCGTATAAGACTTGTCGTCCCCTAGAATATGTCCCATAGTGAGACCTTCCCGTCCTTGCTACCCACCGCCAACCAATGTGCATTTCTCGCCGCTGCGTCCCTCCGCTCCGCCACAGACAAGATCACACCATCGTCTACTTGTCCTTGAGATTCCAAAGATGTACTTTTATTGGTTGAGTCTTCCTCACTTTGCACGTGCGCAAATCCAACTGCGTAACAGCCCTCTTGGTGCCACCTCAACACTGCCACTTCTCGCACTTTACCAACCTCGCCAGCAAGCGCACCGTCCGAAGCTGATTCTCCTGCTACATAGACCCTCGCTCGACCGTCCCAACCCGCTGTTGCGAAAATCTTCCCGTCTGAACGCATCGCAAGAGATTGTTGTCCTGCATGGCGAGTCTGTAGTGAGTCCGTCTGCACCTGACTGTAAGCAGATGAAGATGGCGGAACTTGAGAAGTACCCGCCGCAGTGAAACGATGCCGGACAATCAGTGCATCCGCCGAGGACGTATAGAAGACTGTCCCCTCGGGATCGAAACAGAGGGAAAGTATAGGCTGAGTATGCGAGTGGTGAATATAAATCAGATGAAATGTTGCCTGGGACTGATGGCGGAGATTTGCTGTACTAGACACAGGAGATTGCTTCCACAGACCTATATGGCCGCTTTCGTAGCCTGCGGCAACGTAAATCGTCTTCGAAGATGATGAGGGAGACGGCAAGGTTGAGGTCCGGCTTGTTAGAGCTAATGCCATAACCATGCCTGTATTTGTTCCTTTGGGGGTTGGAATGGTAGTGAAGCGAGAGCAGTCTGGAAGACGCGTGATGTTGATGTGGCCATCCTCAAGGCCAGGTGTGGCGATCAGTATACGTTCGAGATAGATTGAAGGACTCTCACTTGTCTGTTGATCGGCACCAGGAAGGGACTCGAAATCAGTGCACGTTGCGAAAGAGCAGAAGTTCAGCGCGTTGACATCTAGTGTATACAACAACCAGGGTTGCTTGCGCTCGGTCGTGAGATCTTCAATCGGAAGAATGGTCGAAAATTGGGACTCGTCTTCTCCTACACGGAGTTGCCAGACATATATTTTGTTATCTCGACCGTGTCTGTGTTAAAGAGCACACGGGTTAACATGATCGCTTGTTCTTGCACGTTGATACACACTCGAGGAGCATGTCGACTTATATAAGACCTACGTGATGATTTTATCTTGCGCCCATGCCGCAAAACCCAGGATCGAATGATTGTGTGCTCGCCAGACCACGACGGCGCGCTTGCTCGTCGTGTGCCATAGAATCACCCAGCCGTCCGCATCGCCCGTCAGAAGGCGTGAGTTGTCATGAAGAAACAGCACAGCATGGATTTGAGCGGTATGTCCGCGCAGGATGTATGATGGGCGAGCTGGTGCATGTATCACGTTCGTCTTTGTGGCCATGTTTGGGGCCTTTTTGAATCTTCAAGTCGATTATGCTCAAGGTCGGTTTTGCAATTGCATATTGGTCTCCTCGATGATGTACTGTATATTGGCTCGGATTGTGGAGGTCAACAATGTAAATGATGAACCTGGCTGCCACCTTTTATGAGACTTGTCGGCATCATAGTTCTCGTTTTTGGTAGTGCAATTTGTTCGGATAGCAGCGTATTCACCATACGTCGGTTCATGCTTTTCATGAAGCTTGATAAAAAAATCCCGGAAGCTACGAAGGCGCACGAGCTGGAAAGTCGAGCCAAATTCATCACTCCAACTGTTCAGTTTCGAGGATCCCGAGGTCTCTATGAAACCCGCGTCTACATCAAATCTACAGCCATCGTATATGTATGGAAGCTCCAGCAGTGATTGACAATCTTTCCCATGATAAAGCCTAACGCCTTCGATCACTCCGTCTGGAGGATACAGCATGGCTCATACGTGCCCCAATCTCCACAATACCAGTGGACCACTAGAATTTTAGTCTACCAAAGACGACGAGCGAGTCCTCTCTTCGCAATGGATATTTCGTGCCGGTCAACGCTGGAAACCTAGTGGCAGACTGCAGTAGTTCTTGATAAACCTCCGGGGATTCAGATAGGCACAGTCCGGCATATGGTCTTATCATACATCATCTATCTGAAAATGACAGGACTGCAATCGCTGTGTGATAAGCGAAACAAGGCATTTGCTGGGCAACAGGGCTGAACCCATCGCGTCCAACATAGGATGCAACGGTACGGCATACGAATGTGAGAAGAGAGAGTGGCAAGATAGAAGGGTGGAATAAATACGTTGAAAATTGAAATGAAAATGTGGTATGGTATGGTACGAACTCATCATTATTCATCAGAAAATATGACGCGGCGATCTTATAAAGCCTTAAACCGAACCAGAAGAGACACGCGGTTGAGCTGTCTCATCTGCATCCTCTGATTTAGGAGAAGTTTTGACAATCTTCTCCGCCAGATCCTCCTCAGCCAGTCCAAGTGGCTCGTTCCCGCCCGTGGCATCGCTTGCGGACACGATTTGCGAATTTTCTATGCCAGCATCGCTGTCGATCTCGGTAGCAGAGCCCTCAAATGACGGCTCTGGACCAACAAGATCCTCCACCTCCGCGGCCCGCATCGCCGCCTCGATTGCTTCGGCCTCCGCGACCGCTCGGGCGCGTTCGTTCTTCTTAGCCAAGCGCTTCGCCTCATCGATCTTGATCTTGCTCAGCACGCGCTCAATACGGCCTTCGACCAGCTCCTTGGCATGAATGGCCATTGGTCTACCTAAAAAAACTCCCGAGAAACGATAGCCCAGCCAAAGATATGCAACGAGACCCTTGTGGAGACGTTCGAGGTCCCTGAGATACTCTCGGCCGTCGGTGTGGTCGGGCGCTTCCAACACTTCAAGCGGCATCTCCTCGATATCTGCAGGCGTGACAGCACGCTGGCTGCCTGCCACGCGGGCGAGCGCGGGGAGGAGTTCTTTCCACAGATGAACGTCGGTCTTGGAGGCGGGCACAGAGCACATTGTGAGCCTCTCGACGACACTTAGTCCTTCCACAGGCTCGATTAGATCGGCAATCCACAAGACGTCTTTGAGTTCACAGAGGTGAAATCGACGGTGCATTTGTGACAGCTCGTGTAGTCGGGTCATCATGTAGGAGAACGGAGTGCGAGGAGGGAAGTAAGAAGCGAAACGCTCCACAATGTGCGAGGGTGGAAGAATGCCGGCACTAACGATAGGGAGCGGTTCACTTGCCATATTTTTCTTGATGATCGGATAGTCCACAGCGTCGAGGGTGGTAACAATACCAACGGACTCATCTTTGCGGACAGGTAAGGCGATTTTCGTGGGCGTTTCAACATCCAGGTTGGATGTTTCGGCCACGGCTTTACCTTCTGTGAGGGATGCGGCAGCAGACTCGGCTTGTGCATGGACTGTGGCTGGGTCCACCGGAGTTTCATTGACCTGTATCGATGTTCGGAAACGACCGGCTCGACCTCCGATCTGTCTCGTATCGGCGACAGACAATGTCCGTAGCGTGCGGCCGTTGAACTTCGCGGACGACTCAAAAATTACACGCTTGATGGCGAGATTAAGACCCATACCGATAGCATCACTTGCGACCAAGAAGTCAAAGTTGTTATCAGGCTCGTTGAAGAGTCGTGCTTGTTGCGCCCGTGTTTCCGGCGGTAGAGACCCGTATACGATGGCGACATTCTTTCTTGTGGCTTTCTCGATCTGCTTCTTCAGCGCGTGAATCCCCATGACAGAGAAGCTGACGATACAGTCACCTTTCCGCAGCTTCGTGAGATCGCCGTTGAGCGACTCGGGGGCCATTTCCAGGCCACTGAGACGCTTGTAACGATTCACCACCAATTCATCACCGATTAATGCGCAGATCTCCTCAATCATAGGGACTGTGCGCTCTTCTCCGCAAAGATGGACTTCCTCCGCCCGAACCCCCAAGAATGCTTGTGTCCACGCCCAGCCTCTATCCTCGTGGCCGATCATCTGAATCTCATCGATGACAGCCACATCCACCAAGCGTTGGGTTGGGAACATCTCCACTGTGCACGAGATGAGATTGAAGTCAGACATCTTGTCAGTCGATTCGGCCCCCTCATCAGGCGGCTTCCGCTTCTCTTCCCCAGTGAGAAGTAAACATTTCTTCCCTTTCGCGTTCATTCTAGAGTACACTTCGTGTGCGAGCAAACGGAGTGGGCCGGCATAGACTCCACTCTCGGCTTGCTCCAATCTCTGCAACGCCTGGTACGTTTTGCCCGAATTGGTCGGGCCGACATGCAAAAAGACTTTTCTAGTCATCGTACGGGTCCTCGGGTACCATTCTGATGGGAAACGCAAGTCTGCGACCTTTTTTTGATTCGCCACGTCTGCTTCCGAGAATTGTCCATCGAACAAATGGTTATAGAAAGCTCTGCGAATGTATGTCTCCATATTGTCCATCTTATTGTGCTTATAGGCTTCTGCCAAGTCTCTTGAAAGGTTTCCCTTGCCTCCGTGACGCACAGATTGGTCGATGCTCATCTTGAAGTTGTTCCATATTTGCGAAAAGCTCTGAGTCGCTGCCTTCTGGCGCACAAAGTCCGCACCATCCATTTCCGACCTGACCTTCTGCATCGCAATCCTGAGCACATCTTGAAATCTACCGCGCGGGCCACCCGAGTGTTTCGTGATGGTGAATTTAGGTGACGTCCGATGACGGATTTGTTGCAACTGCACGATCTTATGCCGCAAAGCGCATCGGTTGCAGCTTTGCACATTCGCCCTGCGACCCAGCAGGCCGGCCGGTATGAGGCGAGTTATTTCCATACTTTTGCAGAGAGCTGGGCTAAAATTAAATGGTTCATTGATAAAACTCGAGGAATGATACTAGGTAATTATTATACAGAGGGGCGATCATCATGGCACACAAATTGCGGTATTGCCTAATTTGGCATTGCGGCATCCCCGACGCGACGCACTTCGGCAGAGCCATTCACCAAGCATTAAAACAAAACCGTTGATCTGAGGCGCTCATATTATGTTTTGTTGCGTGCAGTCCTAAAACTGGCTCAAACAAGAGCAGCATCGAACCTGGAATGGATAGAGTCGGTAATCACGCTGACGAGTATGAATTGGGGACCGCGACCCAAAAGCTCAGGTCGCTCGATAGAATGTTTTCCTCAACGCCAGGTGACGGAACGACAAAGCCTTGCCCTGTGCATTGACGTTGAACACCAGCTCCGTCACATCGACGCCTCCGTACATGTAGTTGGATTGCGCCTCATATTCCCGGCAGAGCGAGTACAAGTCCGTGAAGCTTCCGTTTGCCACAATATTCGCCGCCGGCTCTATGAAGGGTAATTCCGTGCCCGTGAAGCCTACCTTGCCAGAAGATGTAGGATAGAGCTCATTGGGAAGGAGACGCACGTCGCTAGTCGTCTTTCCATCTTTAGTAAAGAACAAGTCAAACAAATTGGTACCGTTGACAATCCATGATTGCAACTTGAGCCCAGGTAAATCGTCGGTAGTCAGTGTCAAGGAAGAGTTGGTGCCATCATGAGTAACATAACGAGCGGCAAAGTTGCGTGTCGCTTGTTGTTTGGCAATCTGTGCAACTGCTGGCAGAATTACTGAGGCGACAATGCCGGCACCATCGACCTTAACTCGAATACCATCAGTAGCCGGATCGATGGCGGTCATGACACTGATGCCAACGTTGTAGTCGGGAATAATAGCAAAGGAAGTATGGTAGACGCCGACTAGATGAATGTTAAAAGTTTAATCAACAGCCACGTAGTTACAGAAAACTGTCCACTTACCATCACCGCCCTTCGAAAAAATGGCGACCGAGTGGTCATCAACCTTGACACGGAAAATCTCCCAAGCAAGACCAACACCTTGTGAAAAGTCTTCAAGGAAGCTGGTAGGCTTGAGCCAGCGCCTCGTGAGTGAAGGAGAGATGAGCGAGTTGCGGAGCATGGACCTGCCGATCTTGGCCATATCTTCCGATGAGGCGAAGTTGCTAGCAGCTCTGAGAAGAAAATACGCTGGTCAGTCTTGATACCAGCGTCTCTGTCTCGATCAGCTTTGACTTACGCTCCATAAGCACCATACTGAGGAACCCAGCCTGTTACACTTTCGTTGACAGGGATGACGCCTTTGCAAGATTCAAACGGAGCGTCGAACTTCGCATTCGATAATCCCAATCGGCGGACTAATTGATCATCGAAAATTTGCGACATAGTCTTATTGGCAGCTTTCTCAAGGAAAACCCCTAGTAAAGCGTACCCGATGTTGGAGTAAATAGGCGTGTACCCGTTCGCGAAGATTGGTTGCAATTGCCGGGCATTTTGAATGAATTCTTTTCGAGAGAGATGTCAACTCATAAATCCATCGTCGTAAGTCGTGATCCAGTAGGGGTGCGGAGCCATACTGACCTTCACTGCTACAAGCTACAAAATCGTTGCCTTCCTTGAAGCCGCAGGACGGAACATCGAATTTTGGAATTGGCGGAAATACGCCCAGTGTTGCATTTAACAGTGACGCGGTATCGGCTGCCGGGTTAGGTATGGAGAAATCGTACGCAACTATAGTGTCATGAGTACTAAAATTCCAGTCTGTGCTCACGGGAAAACTCACAGTCGTTCGGAATACCGGCGAGATAACTGGCCAAGTCTGTGACAGTAATGTCTCGCCAATTGGGATGGATGACATCAAGATCACCCAGAGACGAGTTGGCGTGGGCCAAGAGCTGCGGAATGAAGTGGGAGACGGGCGTGTGGAGGTGTTTACCCCCGAGTTGGATCAGAAAGAGGTACACCGACATCAGTTTGGAGACACTCCCAATGCGGTACACAGAGTCAGCCGTGACATTGCGCACGCCGGCCTTGCTATGTAGAACGGTTGGGTCGGTTCGATGATATTCGTAAGCAAAGGAATCCTCCGATGCACTAAAGACAGTTATAGAGAAGCTTGTTGTATTCCAGTTTGGGCCGTCACCATGCACGAGCTGGTTTATTTGCGATGTCAGATTCTTGGCAGCAGCAAGCAGAAGAGGCTCGGTGGAGATGTTGGTCGGAGCAGGCCATTGCTTGCCCAGAATGGGACATGTGAAGCCCTTTTGCGCGCTCACTGTGGTGACCAAAAGAAGGCACGATGCAATAAGTCGTGGTAGTGGCATGTTGACGGACGTGAAGTCGATTCTCGGTTTGGAAAGCTGCGCTTCGAAATGGGATAGGATCGCTGTCGTCCTGGAGAGTAATGCCAGGCCAATGTCTCCAAAATGCAATCATAGATTCAATGCTTATGTATATATATGCGTTCTATCTCGGGAGGCAGAGCCGGGGAGGAGTTGGACTGACGATACCACGCCTTGCTTCTGATGTCATACGGGTCATGTCTGATGAATGGAGCGCACACGAACAGGATCAATCTTGTATGGTATGCAACAACAAATCATTACTGAAATCGGAAACATCGTCCGAGGCCCTCATGTGTGATTACGTATAAGACCGGCGATGTAAGATTCGACCAGGTCGGAGCCATCTGTAACTGCACCATGTTGGCACCTCGACATCACACAGCATTTCATGTGATGTAATGGGGCCACAATCGAGGAGCGATGGCCGTGCTTGCCGTGAGCTTGGGAAAGCTTGATCGTCTGGCGAGACAGCTCATACATCTTGGAACCTAAATTTGGATGGATGCCCAGGGTGCGCAATGTGGAGGGTGCAGGTGTTGGGCTTGTGCATTGATGGACGTGTGCATGTTCGCATATCGAGAAGTGAATAGGAAAGATACGTAGGTGTATCCCTGTGATCCATTGACTCGGGGCGGCCTTAATTTTAGGGCTGACCGTGAAATAGCTCCCAAACTGGATTAGCAGGGCTATTCACACACTGCATCCAGAAACACTAGAGAGTCCAACAATATTTTAGCCATGTGTTTAATTTTTACAGCCGAGCTACCTACACACCACTGCAAACGCCGCGACGAAGGATCCACCTGAGTATAACCGACTTCGACGATCAGCTTAGGCAACTGCGATTCTCGCATCATTGACCCATAGCGCGTTCTTCCGACATGACAACGTGGACATCGCGAGTGGTTCACTCGTGCCAGACCATGTGTCCGAGATATCGCATGGTGATGGGAGAGTTAACGCCAGCTGCCGGCCTATATACGCGTATACATGATGCCTCTCGAGGTCTGTAGTTCAGATGTGTTATCAACAATCCCGTAGACACCTCAGGTGTTCTTGGAGGTCGATGATGATACTGTAACTTTAATTACCTCATCCATCAAGCTTCATTCCGAGCGCGTTTGGACCGGAATTTCGGGCAGTTTGAATAAAATCCTAACAAAATCTTCATCACCATCACGCGAAAATACGACACGCTCGCCTCGCCATGATAAGCTTCCACAGGCGACCATCCGGATGAAGGAATTCGAACATTTCTCTCTCTTTATATTCTCGACTGTATGCCAGGTGTACTACGGAAGTTGCCCGGCACCCCCGGATACAGTTGCCCATTTCTCGGGCGGAAGCTTTGACGTCATAATTTACACCAACATGCTGACCTTTGAAGCAGCTTGCACGTGATGGATGTCTCAGCAGATGGACTGGACCGGCGCTCCTCAAACGCTCCTCCGAACATCATCCGAATTAATGATCTGCATATGATTACCTCCGTATCCATCTAATTAGGAGGAGGCTCGCTCCATTGCCGCCCCGCAAATCATCCGCAGCGGATGTTGCGGATCTATCGGAGTCTTCTCCGCTGTGTAGGCTGTGCGTACATTTGCAAGCTTTTTGGTGGCAGAGATGGCATCGGTGGTAAAGCTATTCTCCGCAATGATGACGAAGGTGAGTGCACAACTCTGAGCGCTACCTACCTAGGTAGGTAGCTATGTTTTAGTTTGCCACGGTAAATATGGCATCATTGGATCTGCTCAAACATACCTAGGTAACGAACAATTGGGTAATCGCAGTGTACTACCTATATATATATGAAAAACGATCTCGTCGCTCTAACTAGGTCAGTTCGATTGACCATACACGAATCCAAACAAGCCCATCACCATGTCTCAGACGATGAAATCCTGGTTTGTGGCCGGCAAGAGCGGCTTCGATTCTCTCGAGTTCAAAGATGTTGCCGTGCCGGAGCTCGGTGACAAAGACGTTCTGGTGAAATGTGAGTGTGCGCATCAAGACAGCAACATGGACTAGAGGAGAGAGACAAACTGTGAACACAGCCATCAGCCATTAGCCATTTCTCCTGAACGCTTGTTCGCCGCTTCGAGTCACTCTAACATGGAATAACCATTATAGTTCACGCCTCCTCCCTCAACTACCGCGACCTCATCATTCCACAGGGAAAGTACTCCTTCGGCGTTGCAGACAATGTCGTCCCTGCCTCGGATGGAGCCGGGACCGTGGAGCGCGTTGGCAAAAACGTGAGCCGGTTCAAGCAAGGCGACAAGGTTGTCGTCCTCTTCAACCAAGGCCATCTCGCAGGATCTCTCGACGCTAACTCCATCAAGACCGGCCTCGGTGGCACTGTCGATGGTTGTCTTCGAGAATACGGTGCATTCGACGAAAATGGCCTCGTAGCCATGCCCAAGAACGTAGATTTTCGACAAGCAGCGACTCTGACTTGCGCCGGTCTGACCGCATGGAATGCATTGTACGGTCTCAAGCCCTTGCTGCCCGGGGAATATGTCTTGACTCAGGGTACCGGCGGTGTTTCCATTTTCGCAGTCCAGTTCGCCAAGGCCGCCGGCGCGAAGGTGATTGCGACGACGTCGTCTGAGGCCAAGGCTCAGCGCTTGAAGGAGTTGGGGGCGGACCACGTGCTCAACTATCGCGAGGACGCGAACTGGGGCGAGACGGCGAAGAAGATCACAGGCGGCGGTGGCGTCCATCACGTCCTCGAGGTGGGCGGGCCGAACACGATGACCCAGAGCTTGAAGGCGATCGCGCGCGACGGCATCATCACCATCATCGGATTCCTGGGAGGCGTCAGGGGGGAGAAACAACCTACATTCTTGGAGTGTTTGAACACTGGTAGCATTGTGCGGGGAGTGTTGGTTGGATCGCGCCTGCAATTCGAGGAGATGAATCGGGCCATCGAGGCAAACAACATCTTGCCTGTTGTTGACGAGAAGGTTTTCAAGTTGGCGGAGGCCAAGGAAGCCTACCAGTACATGTGGGATCAGAAGCACTTTGGCAAATTAACCATTGATATCTGAGTTCTTCGTGGACCATTGGCTTCATAGCTAGCTCCGTAAGAGAGTCGCGAACCGATCAAATGTACACCACCATTGCGGAAAATTATCAATGAAAGACTCGCTGGTAACATCTCGTGAATACGTCGTGTGAAATTGCAATGTTTTCGCGGCAACGCCAGCTCGATAGCTGGCATATAGATCCTTCCGGAATTCTCAAACAGTCCAGATCTTTAGAGTGTTGTCGAGTGGTGATAGACAATCGACAGAGTCTCGGTCGAGCTCATCTACATCTGGTTCTTGGAGGGCGGAGGAATCGAAAGGCTTCGGTAGACGGTCGCCAGAACATGTAGCCAATACTGCCCCCGAAGGATGCCAAGTCGCGCCTGTTACAGGTGCTATGGGGTCCTATAAGTCAGCGTGTATGTTTGCGAGAGAAGGAAATAGGAGGACTCACAGCCATGTGCGTGAAATGAGGCATCAGGATCGACCAGGCCTTCTTTCGACCCAGGCCGACTCCACATCCTCACTACACCATCCTTGCCACCGGCCCAGGCCTCGTAACTTGTGGCGGTACGGACGACATCCATGCCCATCCTTTGCATGGAGCAAGCATTTCGCCCTGTCAACAATGCAAGTCTCCTGCCAGAGTTTCTTACATCGTAGACTTGAATGACATGGCTTTGACGCTCCGCAATCAAGAGGTATTGTCCGCAAGGGGACCATGTGATCGAGGAGACTCCTGCACCTTTATGCTGTGCCTGTTCATCACCGTCCAAGGCGATTGAGAATCCGGCTGCGCAGTCACCTCCGCCTCCGTGGGCGAACAGTCCAACCTGCCTTGAGAGCGTGCCCACAGCCAACAAGCCACCGTCGCCAGCGTCGACAGCCGCCGAGGGCTCTAGACTGATCGCGCTTACAGTTCCAGCACATTCCGCAGCGCCTAATCCGAATCCCGCTTTCCGTGCGCCCTTAGATCGTCGTAAAGGCCGCCATAGTATAGGACCCTCGCCGGATCGCGAAACATCAAAGAGCGCGAAACGATCTTCTCCGCCAGCGACGAAGTGTCCGCCACTCGCGCTGAACAGGAGGCTTCGCGCAGAAAGATGAGCTTCCGTGTTGGCGTCGACGAAAGGGTACGATGCATGAACATGACTAAGCAGCAGAGTGTTGCGAAGAGTGATCGGGATGGCATTATTGGCAGTCAGTATCAACGTTGTACTAGCATCGGAGAGTTGGTAGCCTGGATATATGGCGGTGCTCTGGAGATTGGATGGACATGAAAAGTCGGACGATGCAACCAGGTGATGCGGTGCAGTGCTCTCCTCGTTCTCCAGTAGGTCTGAAGGCAAAATGAACGTTCGGAGGTTCTGGTCCTCATTGTAGGTGAGAACAGTGGTACCATCGGGGCTGAATTGAATATGATGGTGGAAGAAGTTGGACTCCAATTTTCGATTCGCTTGAGGCGAATGCTTCTTGTCGATGAGCACATTGAACGTATCTTGTGTCGATGCAACACATCTCGGATTCAGGGTATGCGGCGCGTCTTGAGTTTCGCCATGGTCAGGCCCGTCGTTGTCAGTTCCATTTGATCCATCATTCTGATTCATGACATCGTCTCGGTCAAGAATATCGAATGCGATGAACTTTATTGTCGCATCACCACCGGCATCGATTGATGCAAGTGGAGGACTTCCAGAACAATGGATAGTCAGAACGGTCCGTGCATCGGCATAGGGAGACGTCCTTCCCCAGGGAAATTTCTCGAAATGCGAAAGTCGTGAAGCTTTCCCGTTCGCCGAAACCCTGGGTCATTTTATATCCTGCTATCCACCAGTCCAACTACCATCACCACCATCACATCCGCATCCTCAATCGAAAGCTTCAGCGTCACCGGAGATCTTCAATCATCACAAAATCATACCAACACAAAAATGGTAAGCCTTCCGAAATCCACACTTGATCGTCCTCGAAACCTTCAGCATTCCCGCTTCACTCCGTAATGCGCCAATTAGCTAATTAAACCATCTTCATCAACAGTCTGCCCTACGTTCCATCAAGTCGCTCGCTCCTCTCCTTGACCGCGTCCTCGTTCAGCGCATCAAAGCCGACACGAAGACCGCCGGTGGTATCTTCCTCCCAGAGACTGCCGTGAAGGAGCTCAATGAGGCCAAGGTCCTGGCCGTTGGTCCCGGTGCTTTCGACAAGGATGGCAAGCGGATAGCGATGGGCGTCACTGCCGGAGACCGCGTTCTGATTCCCCAGGTGAGTCACAATGTCAATTTCTGATGGATTGTTGGAGGCCGGGGTTAGGCTGGGTGGGCCTGGACAAGATGTCAGTCAAGAAGAGGTCTTGGCAGGAAACTTTTCGAGGGTTTACAAAGAGAGAGAGATTGAAGCATTAGCATCCTGGGAACAGTGGAAGGAGAAGAAGGCTAAGATAAAGTAAAGATGACGCAAAGGGGTCAGGGATGCGGATTGATGGTTGATGATTCTGGAAACCACGTACTAATCACTATCTTCGATTACAGTTCGGCGGCAGCCCGATCAAGGTTGGCGATGAAGAGTTCTCACTTTTCCGCGACCACGAGTAAGTTCCGGCCTATCAAGACCAAATCGTATAGACGGCTGACAATATGTCTCTAGCATCCTTGCCAAGATCAACGAGTAGAAAGTCATTGCGCTCAATGAATACGATCAGCGCACAAACAAGATTCGGTCGAGTCGCCAGTCATAAGTCATCGTCCGACCAAAGTGTCAACAGCAGAAAGCAAACACCTTACCTCAGCGATGCCCCGAATCACGACCAGATGGCAGCACCACATTGACAAGACGAGATGATTATGAGAGTCGAACCGAGAACCATCGAAATGGCCTCCTCGTTTCTTCCAGGGGTATTTCAAGTGTCACAACATGTACCATCTCACCCTTTGTTCTGTATTTATCTAGAACTCTGTACGATATTCCGCCTTTCGACTCTTTTCCAAGCCCTTGCATTCTACCTCTTGACTAGATAATTCGAAGAGTTGATCAGATCTCGTTGATTTAGCTCACATTCACTCATTCAAGGTTCTGTGTATTGCCTCATTATGTATGTCACGTTGCCATCTAGGCTGACTCAAACGGTTTTTTACTCCCGTGGTCGAGCACTGATTCGACCTGATTGATCAAAATATCTTTGGGCATTCGGGCTTGTCGCGTTGTCTCTGCCAACTGGCTCCTTTCGCCATGTCGGAGTTCCACCTGATCTTCGCAACAGACGGATATTCTTTGCGTGTGCGCTCAAGGAACCCGATCCTAGCAGAGCTACTTTTTCTTGTCAAGGACACCCTCTCGAATCGTCGACATCGCCGTTCAAGTTGTTTTAAGGCTGTACATTCTCTTTTCCGGCGGTACCGGCGCCTGTCTCTACCAACACTCCGTCGCCCGTTGCCGCACGCCTCCGCGCAGCTTCACGAGCCTCTGCATCCCGCGCGATCTCATCTTCAGTCTTCTTGTTGCCGTGCATAATCAGCTTGTTGAGGAAGCTACCCGGCTTGCCGTGGGGGTGGCCTTCGGTTTCGGCACGTTCGGTCTCCTTCTCTAGGTGACCACGGGTCTCATCGTCGACATCATCCTCGTCCTGGGCAGTGTCGAAGGGGGCTGATATGAGAAGCCTAAGGTCAGCAAGAGACTTGTAGAAGTTTAAGGAAGCAGGTATGAAAGACTCAGAGGAGACTCATGTCGTTGAAGTAATTGTCGAACAACTTACGGTTCTTGTCGTGTAGCGAAAGCTTCCTCTTGATGGCGTTGCGAATGCTCTGCATGTTTGCGGTATGTGTTGAAGTATCGATTGTAGTTGTGGCGACGCTCAAAATGTTGGTATGTCCGAGGCGACTGAAGGGTGGCGGGGCTTGGATTTCTATTGCACCTGGGCAATCACCGGTGTAGGTCTAGCGCAGCGTAGTCAACCGATAGCTCAGTATGCGAGCCTTTTCTCAATAAATTGGATAGCGAAATGTATAAAGTCGTGATTATCACGAGGCAGATCAACAAGAGGACGGAAGTTCATTATCAAGGCCTGTTGTATTCAAGGTTGGTTATGCGGGCGGACATTGGGAAGAGCAACCAACAACGGGCGAACCAGCGGGGGGTGTACTGTGAGAGAATAAACTTGGAACTTCGCGTGGAGAAGCTCCAGGCTGTGAGCAGCGCGTGCGGCGGGCGGTGAGTGTTTCTCGCCTGGGCGCTCCCGTATGGCGTCAGGGCTGTCAGCTGCTCAGTTGCGAAACGCTCTGCACGTCACGATCGGATGGTGTCCACCCCGAAAGATTGTCAGCATCGGATCGCCTGAGGTAGCCTCGAGAGGAACGCATGTCGCGATCATCAACGGTATACTTGTTGACGGCCTGCACGGGACGCGAATATCTTACGAGAATGTGAAGTAAATGGACGAGATAGTGTCAGGTTCAAAACAATGATACTTCTCGCTGGCAGCGCACAATCTCAAAATGCTTCATGAACTACTTCTGGCATTATCTGGCCATCCGTCGCCCTTATTCAAAGACGACATCGATACAGAGTCAAGTTCATTCTCGCCGTCAACCGACCATGGTGCAGTCCTTCTCTCATCTTCCGAGCGGGCGCTCCTCAAATCGATTGGCACATTGTCAAATTCTCACCGCCGGCTCAAGTCGCTGCTTAAGACTATCGCCGATGGTCACCCATCCACAATTTGTCGCTCTGTAGCTGTAGCAATCCATCAAACGCATCTGGACCGCTTTCAGCAACGGGTCTTGTCTGTTGAGGGCAAGATCCTTGTCAAAGATGCCTCGCTCGTGGGTGCTTACAACATCGTCCCGTTAGCAAGCGTCGTTGGCGAATTTGATGACTGGCATCGACTCATGGCATGGTACATGCGCCTTGCCCAGTTCATACTACCGTCATCCGCATACAAGCTGCAACAGAGTCGTGACGTATTCCGAGGAGCATGTACTGGCGCTGCTTTAATCGATGAGCTTCGCAGTGAGATGCAAACCGGGTTTCCGGAAATCGAGGTGGCCGCCACAGAACTCTGCCGCGTCGCTGAACTCGCGTGGCTGCGCCAAACCTCTGCATGGGTTGTGTATGGACGACTACCTGTGTCAGGAGCTGAGGACTTTTTCATTCAGCCTGAGAAAGTCCGTCATGATGTCGAAGCAAACCCAGAGACGGACTCCGTGAGTTTTGTCAAGATTCAGGCATTGCTTCCAGCACATATCACATCATCTACTGAGTCTGTGATGCTATTCATTGGGAAATCATTGCACCGGGTGCAAGCATACAGAAGGACATATCCCATTGTTTCATCGAAGATATCGGACAGCCAAGTGGATCCAGCAGCATTGGCAGCGTCCCACCTCGCTCAATTATCTTCACTGACACTTCCTCTCGTACCCACGCAATTCAATCGCCTCATACTTTCACTCCGCTCATCCCTTTCGAGAAATGTACTACAATATCTTCTGCCTGCCCACGAGACTACACAGCTGTTAGGATGTCTACGGCAATTCTTTCTCCTAGATCGAGGGGAATTTGCTGTTGCATTGATTGAGGAATCCGAGAAGCGATTACGTGTCAGGCAGCACCAACTAGGACGCCTCGTTGGTCAGGACAGGAACCCAGTTCAGGCCCTGAAGAGCTTGACCATGAACGATGCCGAACTGAATCAGACGTTGCAGGCAGCCTGGAAGGACTTGGCTGCATCGAACCGAGGATCGATAAACGCAATCGACTATGACGATAACCTCGACTATGCCCGTCAACACATTTCTCTTGTAAGCACGCCAAGGTCTATTCCTAGACCCCCTTCTCGCCCATCATCTTCCGACAGCACAGTACTACCTCAGCTTTCATCAGTGGCCTTCGATGATTTGCTGTTTCCAACGCCAACTGCTCTCAAGTTCAGGGTTACACCCCCTTATGACCTTATCTTGTCTAGTCAAGATATTTCAGTCTACTCTCACATTCACAGCTACCTTCTCGCGATTCGAAGAGGCGGTCGAAAACTCTCCGGTCTATGGAGCATGGAGGGCGCTCGTAGGGAACGTCGGCACAAATATGATTCATTCAGAGCGTCTGACGAACATGCAAGCATTCTGCGAAGTAGAAGACGCACAAGGGCAATATCAATGAGGAAGGTGTGGGCCACATGCTCTGCTGCAGTCTTCTTGCTTTCCGAGACGTCAGCACATTTCGAAGGAGAAGTCAGAGCGGGCGCTGGAGGTAGATTTCGCGCCTGGGTCGAAGCTGGGAACCAAGATGAACACGGCAATGTCGTGGTACAACATGAAACCAACGCCGGCGATCAATCTACAGATCAGGTCTCGGAAGATTTCCAAACTCATGGTATGCAAGGCTTGCTTCACACTTCTGTTGCACAATCTCAGGTATCTTCTTCCGGTTGGACCGCATCATCGATCTTACCGGTTGAGGAATCAGCAGCAACGCAGCAACGACGGACGGACAGCCAGCAATCTCGAATTCCAAAACAGGAAAACTTCACACCACATGACCCGTCGTCCCTGTCATCGACTCATCGCGCTCACATCTACGCCCTTGCACACGCTCTACTTCTTACGGATGAACCTCTGACCCGAGCGCTACGGGATCTTCTTGGTGCCGTTGACCAACTTGTTGCATGGTTTGCCGAAGCAATTGAAGGATGGCGGAAATCAGACGATGGTTACGGTATGGATGAATTTGGCGAGGAAGATGACGGCATGCTACAGAAAGAAAAGGAGAGACTCCTGCAGCTTGACCGTGCGCGAAAGGCCGTAGATTCGGGACTACGGGCGGTCGTACTCAGACTAAGAGCGATAGACGAGGATCGTGGTGGACTTGGTCGACTCACCTCAGCTTTCGGTGACGAAGAAGGAGATCGATCTCTCCAGCCAGCCTCAGCAGGTGTACATCGACTGCTGATGAAGTTAGACTTTGGCAGGATAGCCAACTTCTCAGCACCTGACGCAGACCCATACACGACGCACACTGGACTGTTAGCACATCGCTAGATACTTCATCAGACACAAATTTATCGCTGTCTCAATTACTTTCCGTTGTTGTTCCGACGGACCAGCACGTTTCTACATCAATAGCTGCCAATACAGTATCAAACATCATTGCGTTCATGGAGATGCCCAATCGCTTCTCTGTGAAGTGATGGGCTTGTCGTTCCTTGAATCCTTGTACTTACGGTAATTCCATTGTAAACAGCTGTTTGGGTAGGTGATTTCATCTGTCTCTATTCAAAACAGCTTTCGATCTCAGAGGCTGTTGGATCATGTAGGAGCCATTTGCACCCAGCATGGCACGCGATAGTCCCCGAAGAGCAACGTGGATTGTGTCGAATGCGGTCACATTCGTTCATCAACAACCCCAACCCTAAACAAAATGTTCCCTGAGGCAAAACACTTTACGCGTGAGCCAGAACGCGAAAAATCGCGGGGCACTGCTGCCTTCGCGTCACATCGACGGTCCGAGATCATCAGGATTCGCTTGGGCGTTGTAAAACAAAAGCACATTACACCAAATCACAAGATTGCATCAAAAGATAACACAGCAAGATGGGTAGGTAATAAGTGAGGGAGCCTGAAACGCTGCTTTCGAATACTGATTCGTATCAGACCAGGGCTATTCAACGACTTCTTACGGTGCACAGGGTGGCGCCAATGGAGGTGGATTTATGACTGGAAGTCAGGGCGGTGACAGCGGTGCCGCGAAGCGAACATTTGACAAGAACACATTACGACCTGTCACTATCAAACAATTGCTCGATGCTCATCTCCCCACGCCCGACTCAGAAGTTGTGCATATCGACAACAGCGAGGTTTCTCAAGTCACCATTGTCGGTCAAGTCCGCAACATCAGCGCGCAGACCACGAACATCACTTATCGGCTCGACGACGGCACGGGAACAATCGATGTCAAGGTTTGGGTGGACGCAGAACCTCATCAAAATCCCAACGAGGCAGCGCGACCAAAGCCGGTCGAGCTGGGATACGCTCGTGCTTGGGGCAAGCTGAAAGTGCTGAACAACAAGCGCCACGTGGGTGCCAACATCATCAGACCGATCACCGACTATAACGAAATTTCGTACCACCTGCTCGAGTCGACATACGTTCATCTTTACAACAGCAGAGGTCCTCCGGAATCTCTGTCGAAGGGCAACGATGGAAGCGGCGGTCATCAGCAAGGCGGCCAAAGCAATGGCGGCGACCAATCTGTCGGCAACGTGAACTTATCGGGCATGAGCGCTAATGCGCGCGCCGTTTTCATGGCGATTCGCAAAACCCCGCAGACAAACGAAGGGCTACACGCCACCGACATCGCTGTACGCACAGGATTGGAACTCAACGAAGTCCTTAAAGCTGGCGACGAGCTGCAGGGACTCGGCTCTATCTACACCACCGTGGATGATACGACTTGGGCGCTCTTGGATCTGGCATAAAAATAGCAATATTTGCCCAGATGAAGTGGTTGCACGCGGCTGGCTGCGATCCTGCATTACGGAGGCCACGCACACGATGCCAGCCATAGGTTTTTATTTCTCGGATCCTGTTGACAAGAACAAGATGCACGCAGCAACAATCGCTGACGCTATGACGGTGAATACCTGCAAATGAGTTCAGCACTTCGCGCTTCAAGGACGGTGCCGTTGGCGAACATACCAGCTGTGTTCCTAGTCCACTCTGTACAATCGCCTGCCGTGTTGAGTAGTGGTTCACTGTCTTGACATAATTATGCAGACCAGAAATCAGACACGCGAGGGAGAGGAGCCAAAATATTAAGCCCAAAGGAGCGGCGACTTTAAGTTCTATCGCTGTCGGCTGTCGCTTCAGGTGGAAGGAGACCATGATGGCGACGGCCACGACCGCCATGTAAATAGCTAGACGAAGCCATGACAGAAATGCTGCGTCGAGCAATGGTCAGTCCACGCGAGTCGTGTGAAAATTGGCACAAGGTTGCAGCGGATAATCCGAAAGTATCGTTAACGCAAAATACTCACTCCTCTCCGCAGCAGCATGATCTCTAGCCTCGGAATTTTCGTTGTCGAAAAGTAAGGCGCCGAGATACGGATGTGTTGTAAAGGCATTGCCTAGGAAATCATTGCGCCTGTATCGTGCACATCATTAATCGACTTGTGTATTTAATATGGTGCCATATTAGGGATACGTACTGGTGGACAAGTACCGGCTTACTCGAAAATGGGCTGTAGAGCGGCCTGTATGGCTCTGATAATGCTCTACGATCTCGCTCCTCGACATACACGACGGCCTCTGTCATCGCGGTATGTTCGAATGCTGTTGCCGGGACATCTCACAGCTATTCAGCCCTATATGTAGGTCTTGTAGCATTTGGGGCTTTGGCTCGCGCGATCAACCAGATTGCGAGAGGCGTTGTCACGTGACCTAGGGTATTCAACAAGTCCATTGAATAATATCCATTGGAGACAATGCGCCTCGCGTGATTGTGAACATTCGTTATAATCAGCAAGATCTATCACAATCTATCTTCTCACATCGGCAAGCTTAGATAGTCTCAACGAACAAAGGCTCGCCGCAGCGATGTCGGCATTCCGTCAGGCTTCCTTTCGCGTTGGACAAAAGGAGATCTACCTGTAAGAAGACATTGAATTCAGACGCCCTGTTCGTGCAATTGCTGACCAGCATAAAAGCCCAAAGTTTGCCATTGCGCTCTTACGACAAGAAGGCGGAAATCCATACCACGCCCGATTCAGAGTCCCACTGTGGTTTTCCAAACTCGACATTCGCGATTACTTATGGCACGCCTACGGCGTTGAGATTTCGGCTGTACGCTCATACGTTAAGCTCCGCCCTGTCCAACAGGGTGATGGACGATCGCCACGGCCACAGAATCACGTCTCGCGATGGCATCGACCGCGGTCACATAAATACATGACTGTTGAGATGACGGAGCCGTTCATCTGGCCAAAGGATAACTCGGACGAACCGTCTTTTGGGAAGGAAAGCTTGAAAGCACAGGACAAAGATTCAGAGGACCAGCAGAAAAGAAGTGGGCCGACTTCCGACACCGAGCGCGCGGATCCGGTGCATGTGAGCAAGATGAGGGAGCAGGCGCAGGCGCTTCTACTGGGGAAAACGAAGTGGGCCGCGCCGCGCGATTCCGACAAACTCCGTCCCTTCACTTCTTCAAGATGATGGAAGAGGTGGTTGTACCATAAAAGAGATGTATACTATAGACGGAGTTCATTTGCAGCATATTTCAGCCAACTCTGCTCGGCAGAGGCACGGAGCGGACATGACTGGGGAGGATATCATATTGTTTCATTGGACCCGATCTGAGATCCTGAACAGAACAAGACAGCTCGCCACAGCTTTGATCATGACGGACGCAAGTTGAATCGGCTGTGCGCTCTATGACACACAGATCGACGGCACCGGCAGAAGTGACACAAGTAAGTACAAATGCGAATATGCATGAAAGGACGACACTATAATCATCTGTTGTCACGTGCTAGATTATAGCTGGCCCAAGTCTTCAATTCGGTTCGGCATTATGGACAAGCATTGATCCCTCCACGATTTCGCATGTGCTCAAAATGCGTTTTCAGCCCAAGCGGCATTTCCATAATTTGAAAGCACCAGTCGATCGACACGCAACCCGTGATGAGTTGACGGATGGGATGATGTGTCGAAGGCTTTCGTTTGTGGCTTGAGCAACGTAGGCGTATACACGCGTCCGAAGAAAGCCGTCTCGGCTACACGTCGGGGGCTTCTGACGGCGTCCGTGACCGCTGCAGCGTGACGCGGCTACTGTGCTCCGATTTCAGCACCATCCCACACAAAGTCAAATGCAATCCTAATAGTCTTGATTTGGCTGGAATAATTATTTGGCACTCAGATGATTGAGGAGTCCCTTGCACCGTGTTTCAAGATGCTTATATACCCCACTGGTATTGCGTATTCGCCAAGCAGGCTTCGTGGACGATTGCAATGGAGGACGTCAACTCTGATGACGACAACAACCAACATCGCAAACATGACTGTGAACATAGCGACCGCGGATGGATTTGGTCTTCACGTAGCATTGAGATGTGGAGATTGCTCGGCATGATGTTCATGCCCATCAGCATTGAGCCGTTGAATAGGATATTTAAGAAACGATGTTTGCCGCAACTCGTACGTCGACCAGAAAGCCGTCGAGAATTTCATCCCGAAATAAGTCTACTCAACACTCACTTTGCAGATCACGAACTTTTCGAACACCAAAAGAATAAGCAATGACCAAGATCACTAGCTTGCTCGGCTTCGCTGCTTTGCTCGCCTGGCCGTTTGTGACGGCTCATCCGGGTGAGCAGCACGATGCTGCACAGGTCAAAAGGGACATCGTTGTTCGCGACATGCGCGCCAGACATGCTCGCCGATCCTTGGATCGATGTGAAGGATCTGTCGACCATCAAGCTCTGGTGAGGAAATCGATTAAGAGACGCTCGGAGCAGCTTGAAAAGCTTCGACAGGCTCGAGGTATTACAGCTAGCAGTAAGTACAACATTCCTGTCCGATGCCGCGCGAGCAGCAGGAATCTGACATTTGATGAAGCTTCCCGAAAATTTCGCCGCGATGCCACTTCCTTTGCAGCATTCGAGGCCACCAACCACAACCAGACCGGGATCTTGAACTATACGTCTTCCATTGATGCATCCACCATCTTTTCCGCGAACACATCATGCATACTCGCGCCGGATGTGACTTCAGGCCCGTACTATGTTCAAGGCGAGCTGATCCGCCAAAATGTCAAGGAAGATCTTGACTCCAGTGGAATCGATCTTTTTGTTGAGATGCAGTGGCTTGATGTCGAGACTTGCCAACCGATCTCGAACATTGCAGTGGACCTGTGGTCTGCTAATGCCACGGGAGTCTATTCCGGCGTCACCGCGTCTGGCAACTCTCCTGTCGGTGGATACAACAGTACTTTCCTGCGTGGTGTGCAAATTACCGATGATGACGGTGTTGTAGCCTTTGACACCATAGTTCCGGGCCATTACTCCGGACGCGCCACGCATACTCATATCCTCGGCCACATGAATGTGACTGTGTTCTCCAACGGCACTTATTCGCGCAACACGGGTTCTGTTACGCACATTGGTCAACTATTCTACCCGGAAACTCTTCGTGCCGCCGTCGAAGCGGTCGAACCATACGCGTCCAACACCCAGACTGAAACTAGCAATGCTCAAGACTCTATCGGCGCTGCCCAGGCCGATAACAACTACGACCCTTTCCCGCAATTCGTCTACGTAGGCAATGATATTTCAGATGGTATCTTTGCTTGGATTCAAATTGGCGTCAATGCCAGTGTCGATCTTACGAATGCTGGCGACTACAGCGTTGCAGCTTACCATGGCGAAGATGGCGGCGAGGTCAACTCCAATTCGATGTTTGGAGATGGTAACGGCGGCCCACCTGGCGGTGACTCGATTAATGGCACTACTCCGTCTGGTTCTCAACCTCCTTCGTCCGTGAACGGCACAATGCCTGTGGCTACTAGTATCAGTACTGTGACCTCGACTGATTCCTCTTCGTTCTCAGCATCGAACACGGCGTCTACGAGTACGGCGTCCGCAGCAGCGGCGTCTTCGGTCACTGTGTCTACTGGCGCAGGTCCACGCGTGAGCAATGTTTTGGGTGGATCTACCCTTCGGAAAGCCTTCTGTGCAACTTGGACCATCGCTCTCTTGTTTCGAATTTAGAGTCCGCGGGATGATAGCCGGGGCCGAAAGGTTGCGGAATGGCAATAAGCATCCACGACGATCTGCCATTCCATCGGCGGGCGAAGCAAAGACTTTCTAGGTCCGTAAGACCGGATAGCCTAGCTAGATGTTGTTCATTGTCCGTACGAGCTCCAATCCTTCTCCCCACTTGTTGCGTCCCAGATATTGCGCCGAAGTAGGGCCATTATCCCGAATTGGAAGCAGGCTTCTGATCACGCGCCCCAGCGCGGCTATGGTGAATTTATTGTGTGCGTAGTATCCATCCTTTCACTCGTCAGAGTAGAGTCGTGATCCAAAACCACAAACGCGCCGTCTTGAGAAATTTGGCCTCTCGGTTGTCTACCGTACAGCCGCCGTCGTGGTACTGTATATTAGTATTGGGCTCTCCTCGTCGACAATACGAGGACTCAGGGCACACACAATTTATAGTCCGCATCCGTCAAATGCCGAGACAGGCTGAAGGACGCCGCTGCTGCACCCCGCATCCTCTATTGGGCACGCAACTGTGCCGTCCGTCATTAACGTCGGCTCTGGCTCCATTCCAAGTAAAGACTCGGGATTGGACATCTACAGTACAGTAGTAACCTCTGGCTGGAAATAGACCTTCGATAGCCGTGCAGAAGCTATGTACATGGCACATGTGCGTCGGTCGGTCGCGTATCGGACGTCATGGGGGGTGCGGCAAATCTAGCTGAGGGTGGACGGAACAATGGCAAATGTGGGCGAATGCCTACCCAGAGTGCATTGTCTATGGCCACAAGGTATATGTTCAAACGACACGACTCGGTGCGGCCGACCATCTGCGATCCACCTGCTCTGCTATTGTATTCCGACTGCATATGGTTTTGTCTTCCCGTCTTCTTCAGCCTAAAAGCTGTTCCGCCACATTTCCCGGTCAGCAAGGTGACGTTGATCTCGTGAACGCGTCCAATGGCTATCCACCAGCCCCGGAATCTCATGCCACTTTCGCAAGGGCATGATCATTCCGACCCGACTCCACTTCATCAGATTCGCACACAATCTCGCATTGGAGATGTGAATCACGAGTCGATCACTCACGTCTCCAAACGTGCCCGAACGTCATCCTCACTCGATTCTGGGCACAATAACCAAGACATTCTCGCGTATGATCGTTCCCCGAAAGAGACTGCTGCCAATGGCAAGTCGGCGAAGCAAGCAATTCGTCGACGCATAAGTCGCGCCTGCGATCAGTGCAATCAATTACGTACGAAATGTGACGGCCAACAACCTTGTGCACATTGCAAGGACTCTCGATTGCCTTGCGAATACGCTCGCGAGCGCAAGAAGAGAGGCAAAGCATCCAAGAAGGAAATAGCAGAGCAGAAATTTAAAGCTGCTGCATCAGGCGTCCGTGATACACAACGCGATAGCCCTGAAGATAGCTATACTGATGAGGAGGATATCTCGGACCCGCCCGCTTCGGCATTGAAGCTCGGAGAGAAACGCAGCAGGACGAGCCGTCCTTCTGTGACATCGAGAATGTCGGCCTCGAATATGACGAACGAAGACCAGTCTAATTCGCCAAATACAGGTGCTCCATTGCCTGAAACGCTGATACCGACAAACGATGTGGGAACATACTCCACGGTTGCTCGAGCGGATCACAGGCTTGCCAATGTTGCAGACTCTGGCGTGCATAGCGAAGGCAGGTCTGACTTGCGGAGCGGATATGATAGCCTCATAGGTTATCATCAAGATGTGTCTTCTGCCAACTCGATGCCGCGGAATATGCTGCCTGCCACCGGAACAATAGTCATGCCGTCTCTGTCTCATGGCAACCAAGCAGGGTCTTATAGCGATACTCAATTCCCTCTATTATCTCCAGATGGTCAGCAAGCTATCGCAGGTCCAAACTTTAATTTTGGACAGTCGCCACTCGCCGGCGGCTTCTTCGGCCAATCGCCACAGGCTGGTGCATCGGCCTGGATGGCGCTCAGCTCTCCTTCCGGCACAATGTATCCAACTCTTCACGCTGTTTCGTCATACGACGAAAGTGGTTTGAAATATCCAGTACTCGAACCTCTGTTACCCTACATTGCGTCGATCATGCCGGTAAACATTGCATGTGAGCTCCTTGAGTTTTATTTCTCTAGCACATCCTCGACCTTTGTTCATCCACAGTCACCGCATGTGACTGGAGTCTTTCTCCGGAAGAGGTCATTTCTGCGAACAAATAACCCACGACATACGACTCCCGCTCTACTGGCCAGTATGTTATGGGTCTCGGCTCAAACAAGCGATTCTGCATACCTCAATACCCCCGTCACAGCTCGCAACAGAGTCCTGCAGCAGTTACTCGAGCTTTGCCTTTCTTTGCTGAAGCCACTGGTACACGGCAGCCGTGTGAGCGAACAGGAAGGAGGGCTACCAGGAGTTGCAGCTTGTGTCGACGACATTGCTACATACATACACCTCGCGACTGTGATATCTGCTAGCGAACACAAAGCAGCCAGCATACGATGGTGGAAAATCGCTTGGACTCTTGCTCGAGAATTAAAACTCGGACGCGAATTGCCGCCGAATCCTGATCCACTCTCACGACACGGCCATGAATTGGATGCAGATCTTAATGCGAATGGTGGCAGCAATCCCCGAACAGACAGTCGCAGTGGTATTCCAGGCTTCTTTTCAGAAGAGGAACGTGAAGAGCGACGTCGTATCTGGTGGCACTGCTATATTGTTGACAGGCATCTGGCACTTTGTTACAATCGACCGCTCACCCTCTTGGACGCGGAGTGCAGCAACCTTCTTCAACCAGACAGCGACATCAATTGGCAAGCTGGTGATTATTACAGATCATCAAGCGGAGGACAATACGGTTCAACCGGACACGGCGACGATAATAGTTCGCAACGTGGGCGTGGTCCAGCGTTCGAATGCACCGGTCATAGTATCTTCGGTTACTTCCTACCAATAGCAACTATCTTAGGAGAAATTGTTGAACTAAACCAAGCTCGAAACCATCCGGTATTCGGAATGAGTTTCTTCAATTCACTGGAGTGGAATACTCGTGTTGCCGAAATTTCACAGCAACTGCAGACCTACGGTCGTAGCCTGGAAGCACTTCAAGCTTATTACGCCGTTCCTCTCGACCTCATCGATTCAGATCTACATTGTGAGAAAGAGTTCCGCTACCCTTTCTTAAGCGGTCTTCCACGACCCAATCCTGAGACCGTCCATCACACCAAGATAGTCGTCGCTTACGGCACTCATCTCATGCACACCATGCACATTCTTCTCAATGGGAAATGGGACCCAATCTCCCTGCTCGATGACACCGACGGCTGGATTCAGTCTCAATCATATCTGCACGCGCACCGCCATGCCGTCAGCGCCGCCGAGGCCATTAACGCCATCCTCGACTATGACCCAGATCTCTCCTTCATGCCCTGGTTCTTCGGAATTTATCTTCTACAAGCCTCCTTTCTGCTGCTACTTATCGCAGATCAACTGCAGATTAAAGCGCAGCCGAACGTCGTTCGAGCGTGTGAGGTTATCATTCGTGCGCACGAGGCTTGTGTCGCGACGCTGAGTACGGAGTATCAGAGGAACTTTCGCAAAGTCATGAGGAGTGCGCTCGCGCCCATGAAAGGCAGGATGATAGAAAACCCGGGGGAGAATCAGAATCGCAGGAGAGAAGTGTTGGGATTGTATCGGTGGACACCGGATGGCACGGGACTGGCACTTTGAATTCGCACGAGCAGATAGGATTGAGTTATCACGACTTTAACGAATTCATGAAGGCGAACTGAACTCTATTGCATTGGTACAAAAGCGCTAATGATTGGTTTCACACTGTGGGCTAGCTCCACAAACATCATTCATGATTTCCATACAACAATCCCCCCACAATGAGTAGTATGTCAGAATTATAAACCCGTCATACTTTGTTATGGACCACACGAGCGCAAGGTGAACTCAATCCACCTCCCTCCTTCCCACCTCAGCCTTGGCGAAGCACATCACCAACGAGGTTTCCTTCCTCATCCATACCAAAGCCTGGCAGGAGATGAATTCCCGCAGGCCACACAGGCGGAACAACTCCACCACGGGGAACAAACTCCCTCGAAGTCGGGTCAAGACCTGCGTGGCGGTGTCGGTGCCTCAAGTTCTCGCTCCGCCAGCGAGGTGGGATGTGAGATTCGTCCACCTTGACAATGACGGGAACGAAGTGAGGTTCGTCACCCTTTGCGTGAGGATAGCCCGTGCTGGGCTGGAGGCTATCCTTGCGGACGGAGAGCTCGTCATCGTCGTCGCCGTTCTCGTCGCAGTTGTTGTCATCTTGGTGAGCTGCGCTCACACCTGCTTCAACTTGTGAAGCGGCCTCGGCAGCGAGTGCCGCGAGGCCCGTAGCCACCCGCAAAATGCCGACGGGCGGAAAATCACACGGCACCTCTTCAGGGGTACCAGCGCACTCCTTCAGAATCGCCGCGTAGAGAGCCCAATTCTCGCGGCTGAGCATGTGGCGCACTTCTTGGTGCGCGAGGGCGTGCCCGTGGGTCACGCAGTTCAGTCCGCTGCCCTCGGACTTGTTGTGGTTGATCCTCACCTCCGTGCTGCCCTGTGCCAGCTGGGCGGCGAAGCTGGTGTTCCAGCAGAGGAAGCACACCTTGGTGAGGTGGTCTTTGATCCCGTTTGGGAAGGCCTCACACAGGATGTGCTTTTCGCACTGCACGCAGAACTTGTGAGTCTTGGGCGAGGTGAAGGGGTCAGCAGTAGTGGTGGTGGCAGTCATCTTCGACCCTTGATTGTGAGAAAGGGGTATTTGAGGTGTAACGAACTCGGAGTGCGTGAGGTTTTGTACCGTGATTTGATGTGTTGCAACGTGAGAATAAATCTCTTGTTCGAACTCGACAAGAGTGGACACAATTCACAATTGACAGGGTGATGTGATTAGGCCTGTGTCTGGTGGGCTCAGAAATGGTGATCGTGAAGCGCAAAAGACTCTGCGATGACTATTATTGAGAGGCACAGTGAAGAGAATCGACCTGTACAATCTCAATGAGTTGAGCATGATGGGCGAGTGACATGTTTGATTTATATGCCCCCTGAAAATATTCGAATATTTTTTGAAAATGGCAGTTTTTGTCGACTTGTGGTATGCTGTGGATACTCTCAAGTCGGCCCGTGTGACGACGTGATTCTGGAAGACTAAGCCTTGCAATACGTCTGGAACGCAAGGTAGCTCGAGATATCTGCATAGGTAACATGAAGGGCACCTAGATGATCTGCTTGTTGTGTGCAGCAGCCTTGATCACAAGTATCGACGTCGACGTGTCCTGTCTTTGCGAAGTAGTGTCATTTTGATGATTGCTTGCATGATTTTGATAGCACATCCGTAGGCAATTTGTAACCATCAATCAAGTCTTCTGATCCCGAGCTTTCCAGGGCTTTGTGCCAACGATACAGAAATATGCGTCAAATTTGAGAGAATAGTGCGCGCCTGCCATATGGACATAACCCACAGCGCCGACCGCCAGAGGCTATCAATTTGAGCTTCCTGGACTCGCGTCTGCTCATGCATTTCACATAGGTGACCCGCTTCCTAGTCGTCGCAACTGGTAGTATCAGCTTGATTAGCACAATGTTTCGTGTAAGGTCTCTGTGTGTTGGGCTTTGCTCTTACAAAATACTCCAGATGTTCAAAGTCAACGCTGTCCTTGTTCCCTTCGCGCTCTGCGCTATTTCCGACTACGTCCTTGTCATTTCCCTTGTTTTCGTGGTCGTCAATATGGCATTCGTGGTCGTTCTGGTAGTTCTCTCATATCGACCGTCTGAGTCAGGCCTGCAGTGACATTTTGAGCAGTCGGCCGAGGTTGGTAATGTGGATGTGGTCGATAATGCGGACAATACGGTCCATGCTTGTGGTTTCCTGCTGTGAGAATTCCCTCAGCACCTTGGTACGCAACGAGGCACCCCCCAACAGAAGTCATGCCTGCAAATAGCGCCTTCACCAAATCAGCTTGGAACATTATCCCTTCAGATGATGGCACAATTAGAAGGATCGCTCACAGGTCATATGGTCGCAGCCGCCAGCCTTAGAGAGCTTGCTACTGCACTTCGGGCAAGGCTTTGAAATCTCGGCCACCTTTGCAAGCGAAGCTTGCTCATCTGCAATGATTCGCGCATCGCGATTTCTATATTGGGAGCAGGATTCGTCCTCATGCATTGGGATGTTGCAAGAGGTACAGTAGCGTAGATTGCATGTTGGGCAGGTGAAGATGTAACCATCGTCGACAATGCACCCGCCTGGACATGTTTGGCTTGGGCAAGATTTCCATTTCGGATCAGCCTTGGCCAGCGCGAGGGCGACATGATCAAGCCAGCTAACAGTATCTTCATGTAAGCGGCTTGCGGTGGTTTGCGTGATGTTTGCACTAGTCTTACCGCGCGTACAAATCTGTGGCGAAATGTTTGTTCAAGATACGCATGTCTTGCTCCTCCAATTTGCGAGGACAGTGGAGACAGCTAATCTCGGCACTTTTCTCATCGTCGAGTCGGTCTTTGATGCACCGTTCCCAGCAATTGTAGCAATTGAAATGCTCATGACCTGAGACATCTGCATGGACAGCATGGCCGAAGGCTAGGCCTGGCCCGTCTTCGTAACAGGTCTGACATTCCAACATTTGCACGGATTGTGTCGCCTCGGATGGTTCTGCACCATCTTGCTCTGCGGCGCGTTTCTTGGCTGGTCGAGTTTGCACAGGCATTGCAGAGCCTTTCTTGATGTTGGCTTATGTATGTACAGATGACACGAGAAGAGTGCGGATAGTGCTACTGTATACACAGATAGAAGAGTTCCAATGTCGCATGGCGGTATTTGCTCGTCCGAGGCGTTACTCGTGGTTGGAGAGCATTGAAATCATTCGGAAGGTTCGGAATATGCGCGGCGAGATAAAGTGAATTATCGCTTCGTGATCGTATATTGAGATGTGTTGACAAGGACATGGCTGACATGTGACAGAATCTACATGGCCTCCCAACGTTGTAGTACGATGTTGACCTGCGGCCGCGTCAAATTGTGAACTAAGTGAAACCATTGCAATCGTGTAATATTTCATAATTCATGAACATAAATTTCGAACGCCGCCAGCGCCTTCGCTTCCAACCGAGTAAACCAATTGTGACGAACGTGTTCTCCGAGCGCAGATGGTCATGCCATCAAGTGACCATAGCATCATCTCCTACGGATGACGTTCCCAGACCAAGCGACAATCCAGCTGGAACAGAGTCGATCTTTGCCTCCCGTGCAGCAGATTCTGCCCAGAGTCTAGCGCGCACAAGCTGGCGAAGTTTGGCTTCATCCCGTTGGCCTCTGTTCTGCAATATTGCGCGATTTACATCGGACGCAACCTTGGAGCGGAGTGAGGTGTGCAAAAGCACGGCGACCTCCGATGGCATCTTGTCCACAGGAAATATCATCAGGGCCATCGTTCTTTCGAGTGCGTCCTGATATATTTTCCCAGTGGGAACGCGAGGCGCCAGTTGCTCCTGCGCAAATACAATGGCAGGTTCAAACGCAAATGCTCGCTGAGGATTCGCATTATCAGGATGATCGAGAATTTGCCGAATCAGCTCAATAAGCTGGAGCTGCATGAGATTGAAATGAAGAGGATGATTGTCGTCGAGTATCTAACGAAGCTAATTGTTAGCATTGTCGCCGAGCCATGTAGATGAAGCGACTAATGGAGGGAACCGAGCGTGTGAAATCATACTGAGGACTGAAGGTAGTTTGTGAATCATCAATTCCCCTGAGGGCGATTATGCGTGGTGCATGAAAACTAATAATCATTTGACACAAGGCGGAGAAAGATTGCTTGAACATACCTGGGGATCAATCTCGTTGATCATGTACACCGCCTCCTCAACACGGCCAGCGTGAAGGGCATTGCGGATGAGTACTCGCTCTCGAATGTCTTGCGGCGCAGAAGGAAGCTTGATATTGGTTTCTTCGGCGAATTTCTCGGCAGCAGCAGGGTAGCCCTCAGAAACAAGGTAGTCCATGACTATCCAATTGATCTCACTGAACGAAGCAAAGTCAGCAAGACTTGCCCAACCGTTTGAGCGAAAGAGCCAAGCTTTGGCTCATCCACACAAGACGCAGATCACGTCCAGCCTGATCTGCACGACGAGTGACAAGCTGTAGGAGTGGGCCAGAGAATGATATGATGTGGATCCATGGTTCAGAGGTACAAGAAATGTTTAGTTTCTCCGCAGTGTTTTTTAGGAGAGATTCCCATCTTGTTGTGAAGCATCATACTAGGATCGTGGCGATGGAAATAGCGAATGCAGTATCATCATACCTCTTGCTAGGCTTAGCCTCATCCACCTTCTGCTCGAAAGACTTTGTTGGACGCATGATGGCGATAGCTGTGGGACCAAGTCAGAAGGGAATGCTGGAATGAACGTGAAGAGCATTTTCTTACCTGCCGTTTCAATGCCACAACGCAGCTTCGACCATTGCTAAACACCCGCGTGATGCGTTGGTGCCGCGTGTCGTGAATAATTTGTGGTGCGAGACCAGGCGCTGAGGTGATAGCTCACATGAGGTTGATGTGTTGTTGAAGGAAAGATGGTTGATCATTCGGCAGCTGCAGAAATAAAGCTTGGCTCCCGTCAGAGCTTTCGCTTATAGTCGTCCTGCATGGCATATGTCTTGGTATCACTGCATTTTGATCGTGCGACACACCTTTTCCCTCTGTCCCCCGAATTTCACAGATGCAGGGATATCTGTATCGTCCTTGCTGGAATTTCCAAGAGACTCAAGATGCTCGTCTTTTTGTTTCCTACCTATGCACATACTGATCTGCGGTTCGCAGCAGCATTCATTGCGCGGGTATTGGGATTGTGTTGACGACTTATGTCCCTCATCTTGCATGGCCTGATCTGTGCTTCGGGCTGAATTCTTCCCTCCGAGGGGGAGTTGGCATTTCGACGCCGTCCGTAATTCTCTTCCTCTGTCACGCATCTTTGGACCTTTGTCGTTCATGATGTGGCCCTTGGCGATATCTGCCTCGGTCCTCTCTATGCGACTTCGATGACTCTCCCTACGCTGGAGCTCCCGCCGAGCTCTTTGGCTGACATAGAGATCGCTTCTCCAGAGTCGGCAATTGACTCTGGAAGTGCCTACTATTCTCCGCCATGGGCAAACACCTCCATCATTGGCATTGCCGGCAGCTCCGGATCAGGCAAGACTTCGTTGTCTGTTGCAATCATCCGTGAGCTGAGCTTGCCATGGGTCGTCATTTTGTCGATGGATAGCTTCTACAAGCCATTGACCGCGGAGCAATCCGCTGCTGCATTCAGAAATGAATACGATTTTGATTCGCCCGAGGCAATCGACTTCGACGTATTGGTCGAGAAGCTGAGGGATATCAAGTCTGGGTAAGCCAGCCCAATCAAGCTTCGTCCGTGGCATGCAAACTGATTAAATTTGCAGTAAAAAAGCGGATATCCCTGTCTACTCGTTCGAGAAGCATTCCCGCCTCGATAAATCCACTACAATCTACTCTCCACACGTACTGGTCCTCGAAGGAATATTCGCTCTGCACGATCAGAGAGTCCTCGACATGTTGGATGTGAAAATCTTCACCGAAGCCGATAGTGATCTCTGCCTAGCTCGCCGACGTGAGTAGACGTGCTCGATCGTGACTGGGTACAAGACTGACCTCCAGTCAAGTCGTGCGCGATATCAAAGAGCGCGGCCGAGATCTTGAAGGTTGCGTGAAGCAGTGGATGTCATTTGTCAAGCCGAACTTCACCAAGTATGTCGAGCCACAACGAAATGTCGCTGGTACGTTGCCACTATTCCCTGATCCCCCCGCTTGCTCTTGAGCAACCATTATATGATGCTACAAAATTTCAAAGCATAGTTCACCTGAATTTCTTTGACGAAAAACAAATTACCATCTTATCTTGTCTGATAATGGACGATATTTTACAACCTTTTATTCATGGCGATGACATGACAGCAGTAGCTAACGACCTTTCCAGATATTATCGTACCGCGAGGCATCGAGAACAAAGTGGCCATCGGTATGTCAAGGATGCATGAACAGCCCATTGTGGTAGCCTAACACGATCTCACAGGCATGGTCTCGGACAGAATTCACAAGACCTTGAGAGAAAAGTCGATACAGCATCAATCCGAACTTCGTCGCCTCGGACGCGTCGCGGAAGTGACCCCTCTTTCTCCAAACGTGATAGAACTGCCTCAAACAAACCAAGTCATGGGCATCACGACACTCCTGCTCAGCCCACTCATCAGCCGTGAAGAATTTATCTTTTATTTCGATCGTCTCACAGTCATGCTGATCGAGAAGGCCTTCGAGGAGGGACTCTGTTTCAGTCCCCACATTGTATCCACGCCTGCCGACAATGCCTATTCTGGGCTTCAGCATTCTGGCGAGATATCGGCAGTCGTAGTCCTCCGCGGCGGCAGCACGCTCGAGACCGGTCTCAAGCGTGTCGTCCCCGATTGCCGTACAGGTCGTCTTCTGATCCAGACAAACTTTCGTACTGGCGAGCCTGAATTACACTACACTAAGCTGGCTTCCGATATTGCCGAACATCGTCGCGTCTTTTTACTTGACTCAGAAATGAGTAGTGGTGGGTCGGCGCTGATGGCTGTTCGTGTGCTCCTCGACCATGGCGTCGCTCAGGAGCGGGTCGTCTTCGTGACTTACTCTGCGGGAAAGATGGGCCTCAACCGGCTGATGGCTGTTTACCCAAACATCAAGGTCGTTCTGTGTAACATATCTACCGACATGGAACCTCGATGGATTGAGGAGCGCTACCTAGGGTGCTGAATGCACGTGACTTCAAGACTCCACTTTCTGCCGCACCAGCTTTGTTGGAGCGGCTGTGTTAGTTCCAGTATCCAGGATAACCTTCAATAAAAACAATCATGATAGATCCACGCCGAGACGAGACCGAAGAATTCTAACGAAGCCGTGCACCTGCTCTGGCCTTTGTACATTCGAATGCACTTGTTCATGATCAGTGTCCGCAAATTGTCGTATTCGAAAAGTCTAAATACAAAATTTCTCGAAATGACGCGCAATGCATCTGGTGTAGCCATGAACTCCACGCTTGACATGTGAAACCCTTCGAACCGTACGATCCTCATCCACCTCATTTTCTCTTCGGGATATGCATCGTCACCCTTGCGTCGACAATGAGCACATCGCCGCAGCGCCCACAACCATCCTTCGTGCACCATTTGCAATCGCATTGACGTGGCGCACAAGTCCTACACGCATCCGGAAACTCCTGTTGGTGTTCCAACTCATCACAAAGCACAGCGACAAAGCGCCCCTTCTTGTCAATGACAAGTTCCGGCCGATCCTCCTCAGGGCCAGATGGAGTAGTGTTGGAGGACACATCGCCCTTTGATGATGAGGAGGGCCTCGGCGGTTGCTGCGAGCCCCTGGATGACGATGAGTATGCCGGGCTCGTGGGAAACGCATTGAGGAGGAGCGCCGACAGCCTGGCTGCATCTGGCCCACTCCTGCCCTGCGAAGCTGTCCAGGAACTCAGCGCCGAGATGGAGTCATCGGGAATCAGCGCAGGCATTGATGCGAGATTTGATCTGGTGAGCCGGGACGGCGCACGAGACGCTGCGGCCTTGGGCGAGCATCGCGAGCAGGCCTTCGCCGATGACCCTTGCTTCGACGTCGTCGAAGATCGCGCCTCACCATCGTTACGCTTTGGCGCCACCGGTTCCGCAGGCTTCGTCTCTTCTTCTTTCTCGTCTTCTTCTGCTTTCTCCTCTTCTTTCTTGTCGTCTTTCTCCGCTTCTTTTTCCTCTTCTTTCTTATCTTCTTGCTTGCTCTCTTCTTGCTTTTTCTCTTCTTGCTTTTTCTCTTCCTTTTTCCCTTCCCCGCCGAACTCTCGCAACGGCGACGGGCCACCCCTGGCTTTCCAGCACGCGTGGACAGGTGTCCACCTCAAATTCACCTGGAGGACATTCTCCACCAGCTTCTGGTTCTTCTGATGCAAGCGGATGACATCATTAGAATATACCTCAAGCAAGAGGACGTCGGCACGCGCTCTGTCGCTGCCACCTTTGCGGATGGAGCGCTCGATATCGTCGTCCGTCAGCGTGTAGACGTATTGGAAGCTGCCATTGTTGCGGAAGAAGATGGAGCACCACGTTGCGAGCACACGATCGCTGACGCTTGTGTGGAGGTAGAATTTCTTGCCGAGCGGCACGAGGCGCCGGTAGATCTTTTCGATCGTGGCGTCGTTGACGTGGACCTCGAGTTGACGGCAATCGTCGGAGTACTTCTTGAACAGTTTGATGAGGCCTACCATCTTGAGGGCTGGTCGTCTGAAGACGAGAGCGAAGTGGGACAAGTCTCGCAGGGGGCAGTGAAGTCTCCCGATTTTCAGAGCTTAGCAATTATTTGAAGCGAAGAGAGAAGGGGGATGCCGGAAGGACGAGACTCGAAGGTCGGGAGATCAAATACTCCCACAATACGAGCTTTTTAACATGTCCATCGAACGAGAAAAAATCCGATTAACCTTAAAGTCAAAGATCGTCATCCACCATGGCAATACCTTCCTTTCGAGCCGCGTTCCTGAGCAAGTCAATAAAGCTTGATGACGAAACCCGGCTCGAAGCCACACCGGGCATTCTCATCCCCAGATATTGAATGAATCTTCAATACTCTCAAGGTTTCATACAACGCTAGTCCATTTCAAAAACCTCAACGCTCGACTTCATCGCGTGGAAATGCCGGTTTTCTGGGGAATATCTTCGGGAACAAATTATACTCCGTGATAAATCGTCATTGCGCGACAGCTTGGCGGAAGACTGGATGGCTCGCGTGGAATGTAAGTCTGGGGGACTCGGGTAAACTTGCACTTGAAAGTGAATGGTACCTGAGTGCGGTTAAAATGATGCTTTGTAGAGACAGCGATAGCTTCCTTACGCAGCCTCGATTTTCGTTTTCGTAACGTCATACATCATATCCGCAAGAAAGAGCCTGCCTCTTCCCGCACAGGGTCTTTGGCACTCCTGATATCGTTCCAGTATGAGAATGTCCACGACTCCCTCGGTACCAGCAAAGGAATTTGTGCATCACTCAAACTCGTCCCACCCAAGTCCGGCTCTCAATCCCATCCCACACGCAGACATTATCCACCGGAACATACTGCTCGGTGATAACCTTGATCGCCTCCTGCGCGACTAATCCGCCCGTCAGGGAGGCGATATTATGCAGCTCGGCGCCCCCCGCACGAGTCAATTCGACACAGTATTTGCCTAGTGACGCACGGAGATGGTCGTACTCGGGATTTTCGATGCGGGTGCCTGCTTCAGAGATCAAGGCATCTGTGATCGTGTGCGCGATGCCCGTCAGTTTCTCCGCATCGACGTCGACCTCGGCGTCAGACGAGCCGGGAAGTCGTAGACCTTGTCCGCCGAGTTCGGAGTCTGGAGTGGAATGTGTGGCAAGGAATTCGTCCCAGGCTAGGAAGGCAATGTACAGTGGGAGCAGGCTCTCCGGGTTGGTCAGGTCGTTCACGAGTGATTTTGCACGGTCGCCAAAGCTGAGCTTTTGACCTGCGTCGACGACCTTCAGGGGCCGCCCGCGAACCAGAGAGATGTGAGCAGCTCCTTTGCAGAAGTTTTCAATTTCTTTGTCGTCAATCGAAGGGAGTGATGGTGAGCGACCGGTTGACTTCTCTAAAGCACGAACAGTTTTTGTGACCTCTGCGCAATCCGCGCGGGCTTTGTCTTTGTATATGTTTTGGAGCTGAATATAGGTCTCTGACTGAGCCTTCATGTCAGGTACAGCACCAGGGAGAGGAAGTTGGTTGTGTTTGGTGTAGAACTGCTGGACTGCATTCGCGATCAGCCAGAAAGGCGGCGATGTCGTGGAAAGTTCTTGTGCCTCGGGGGCATTGAGAATCTCTCGCACATTCGAAGGTAGCGAAGGCGGGTTTAACGACTTCAAAACTGCAGCGCAGGCCTCGTCGAAGTTCTCTTCCGTGGCGCTGCCCTTTCTTAATTCTTCTCGGAAGGCCGACTTCTCCTTGTATGTCTCAGGCAGTTTGCCTTCATGTTCGGCCTTCCATACCTCAAGGTAGTGTAACAGCAAGCAAAGATAGGGTATGTGTGCAAAGTCTTCGCCATTCATTTTGTCCATATCTGCCGTTTTCCGCCGCGCGAAATCTGAGAGCTCCGGCCAGGGTCGTGTAAGTCGCAGGTCTGTCGTGCCCGTCGGATCGGGATGTGTGTCAACGATAGGGAACGCAGGCGGTAGGGAGATGGAAAAATGTGAGTAGAAGCCGACACAATGGAGGTAAAAGGTGGGGATGTTGCTTGCGCGAGTCTGAACCTCGATGTTGCGTAGGATGACCGAGTCGACCGGTGCTGCGACAAGGACCAAGGTATATGGCTCGAAAGCATTCTTGCCGGTGACCCATGATTCCAGAGGCTTTTTCTAGAGTTAGCACAGGTATTCGACCTTCCACATGTGCTCGTAAACCCATACCTCTGTAATCGCATGTCCATCAACGTCCGGATTCAACTCTTTCAGTAGCCTCGTCGTCTGTTCTGCACGAAATTTGCCGAGCGACGCATCCTCCAGGAAAAAATTCACCCCGAGGTCAGCTTCGGTGACCACTTCAGAGTCGAGAATGCTGAATTGCCCGATGCCAGGCAGAACGAGGTTCTTCAAGGTCTCCACCCCAGTGACGCCAGATCCATTGTTGATGAGAAGGATGTGGGTGTTCTCCAAAGCGATCTGGCCAGTAGCTCCCCACAGGCGTAATTGACGATCGTATCTCTTCTCCTGTACTCATCAAAAGCGTCAGCGATTGCGAAATGTCGTATCGCGCAGGATTTTGTTCATTGCTTGCCTTGGCTGTGGGTATGCCTTGCAGCGGCGGTGGTACCTCGACGGCTATGTCAGCCATGGCATATGCTCTTGCAAATTGGTGTAGATGAGAAGGCCGGATGCGATAGAGATGGTGTTGTTCTCTCGCAACTTTCCAGGTCACGAAGTGATTCAAGTGAGTTCAGAAAGATGCTCAATTCGCGTTCAATGGAATGATGAATGTTTAGCTAAGCAGCATGACGATCCTCAAAGCGTTCACCAGGAACGCGCCGCGCACCGCCACAAGATCGCGGGGTGAGGGTCAAGCCGCTCAATGACCTCAGCCCGCGGAATACATCAATCATTTTCATCGTCCGAAATCACTTCCGGTCGTTCGGCTGTTGGATTAGGAATCGATCAACTAAATTGAGAAAGGCATCAGTAGAGACCTGATCATCAATTGTATCATCACTGGGGTATCATCATTTCTCTACCGTAATCGGCATTCATCCATTGATCCTGCTCCAAGATTTTTTCCCGTTCCATTAATGCAAGCTTCTCCGAGAGCTCTCCGAATCTTTCCCTGGTCCTCATATACCACGAACCTCCGCAGATTCGTCCCAAGTCAGCGTACAAACTTGCAGCCAGTTCATACCTCCATCATTTCCCGTCCGCATATACGAAACAACCACACCTCCCCATCCGCCAAAATGGCCGCCGCAGTCAATGTTTCCGTCGACAAGGCCCACTCGACCATCGAGTCCGCCAAACGAAAAGCCGCCTATGCCGCGGTCGCCGCACACTTCGACAGCTCAATGCCCTTCGTCGGCATCGGCAGCGGGAGCACGATCGTCTACGGCGTGGAGGCCATCGTCGAGCACTTGAAGACACACCCGCCGCCGGCGGGACACATCAACTGGTTCGTGCCGACGGGCTACCAATCACGGAAGGTGATCGAAGCGGCAGGGCTCAACCCCTTGAGCTTCGACAGTCTGCCCGCGGATGCGATGCTCAGCGTGGCGTTCGACGGCGCAGACGAGGTGGATTCGGATCTGAACTGCATCAAGGGCGGCGGGGCGTGTCTGTTCCAGGAGAAGCTGGTGGCGCTGCGGGCGAAGAAGTTCGTGTGCATTGCGGATTACCGCAAGAAGCAGGAGAATCTCCTGACGGGCTGGCCGGCGATTCCGATCGAGATCGTGCCGATGGCGGAGAAGCCGGTGTTGGCGGCGTTGCGGGCGTTGGGCAGTACGGATCCCAAGGTCCGCGAGGTGACCGGTCAGGCCAAGGCCGGTCCGCTGCAGACCGATCAGAACTTCTACATTGTCGATGCGCCGTTCCGGAAGCTGTTGAACCGCAGCGACGTACGGGCGTTGAGGGTTGCGCATGTCGAGGACCCGGGCTACACGGTCCCTGAGCTAGCAGAGGCGATCAAGAGTATCCCGGGTGTCCTGGAGGTGGGTCTCTTCTGGGGTATCAATGGAGATGAAGCGGCGAAGAAGGGGCTGAAAGGTCAAGGTGGGCAAAAGCCCGTAGCCGTCTACTTCGGCATGAGTGACGGCGAGGTCTCTGTGCTAGAAGCGAAGAAATCCGACGATGAGCAGTAGAGGATCAGCATGCCCAATTTGCAATGAGATCCGGAGAGCATTTCGCGTCGAGGCATACGTGGGCCGGGGAACGACTGGCGCACAGCGTGCAGACCCAGCTCCAAGATTCGATGCATACATTGTGCACGAAAGTGACGACCTTCACAGTCTTCAATAATTCGGTGGCTTCGCCACGAAATCCATGGCACGACGACACGTTGTGAAAAATGAGTGAAAATGTTGATCGAAAAGCCATGCCATACAAGTGCTCGCCGTGAGCGTCTCTGTATGTCACGTTGATGTATCATTATGCAAGTCATGCCATCGTGCAAAATGCTGTGCCACGCCACCAGGAAACGCTACAAATCCGCCCCGCTATGCTATGCTATGCTATGCTTTGCAATATCATATATTTCCGCAGTGCCATGCGAGTGAAACCATAGCCCAAAGAATGCTCTGAACACAACTTTCGTGAAAGGGTGATGTCTGGAGAAGAGCTGAAATGATTGGAGACCGTAGCAAACATGATTAGATGTACAGCGTCCGTAAGGTCTCCACCACAACAGGAGGCTTTTCCGGCGATGAGCCTGCTCCAGTGGCACTCTCGTGCGGAGCATTGGCCGTCTTTGCACGGATAGGAATTAGTGGCGCGTGGGATCGAATCTGCTGCTGCTGACGCTCTTTCCTTGCTGCCTTCTGTGCTAGCTTTTTCATGTCCTTGCGATCGCGGGCGGAGACGCGTTGCTGACTGCTACCACTTGATGCATTTGGTGGCGGTGGAGGACGTGGCGGAAGTAGTTTTAAACGAACGGTCGGCTTGGCAGGTTTAGATGAATCGGGAGCGATGTCCAAAGTATTTGGTGACTTTGACAAGTCTATATTTGTGGTCGTGGCAGTCGACACCGCCGGCAAGCTCGGTGCAAAGGTTGACTCCCCCATCACTGTCTCCAACCACGGCCTACGTGGTGCTTGTTGTGGTGTTGTCCGTATGGTCTTTGTACTCGAAGCTGACTCGGCCCGGGCTTCCTCTGTGAAGTTTTCTTCGACTGACGACGGCTGTGTGCTGGCGCAACTTGTCCGTGATTGGGCATCCTGACGACTTGACGATGTTTCAGAATCCCAGCCCGCACTGCTTTGCGGAACGCCTGCCAGACTCTCCTGGCTGCTGGCCTCCATCTCCGTGAAACTTGCAATATTCGATAGAGCATGTGCACCTTTAGCGTCTGCTCGTTTGGCGGTCCTGCCTTGCAACCCTCCTCGGGAGCTTCGCCTCCTGTCTTGCCGCTTCTTGGGTCCAGCGTGCACATCATCCTCACTGTCCTGATCCCGCTCGACGCTCGAACTTTCTTGATAGGACGACGATCCAATGCTGCTATTCGCGTTCTCTTCGTCCGCATCGAGCAGACGGGACACGGCTGCATTTATATCTCCCCGGCTAGCCTCCAATGCTCTTTTGATGGTCGGTTTGTCCGCTAGGAACGGCAACGATTTCTCCACCACATCGATCTGCCAAGGTAGGACCTGTGGCGTACGTGCTAGTTGATCCTTCTGTGCCTGCTCTTCCTGAGGTGTCAAGACCCGCACTAATACGTTGGGCGGACCGGCATGGGGTCCGTCGAGGTTACGTATGGAGGAATAGTGTTCCCAAGCATGATAGGCGATGTGTGCTGTTGGTCGAGCACTCGTTGGATCCCGCGGCTGTTCCGATGGAGTCTCGTGCGACGGGTTTGGTGATACGATGAATGCAAAATCCCTCTGATAGATCTTGACGTCGTATGCGAAGGCGGCCGCGAAGGCTGTGATCTCCATGTTGTCGCCCCAGGTCCCGCCTCGAGCCATACTCTGCAGATGGCTTTCGAAGACGCGGTCGATTTCCGACGAGGAGGGTGGTGCGGTGTTCGTGGATGGCATCGAATAGGCCCCAGCATTTTTCCGTTTCGGATTGCGGCGGATGCCACCACCGGGGTGCACGTCGATGAATTGTTTGTAATAGTCGGCCTGTTCACGCATATGGGTGATGACCCGGGCTCGAATATTGGCATGCTCATCTTGGTGACCGTAGATTTGATCGGAAAGGGCGTTGAACAGACAATTGCCTATGCAACACGGAAGCAAGTCAGTAAAGGTGTGCTCACGTGTCACAACTAACCAGATTTTGGTCTGGTTGTAAATGAGAGTTGATCAACCGTGACGGGACGGTGTAGGCGTTGTAAAGTCGTCCACTATGATGAGATACACATGGCTAGCCTAAGGAGGATGGAAGAGGACAATAGGATAAACGCACCATCTCCACGAATGTCCGCAGCGTAGAGGCCCAGGGCGGACAGCAGCGGAAACTCGTCAGATGCACCGCCCATTGCACATGTGCGGAAGTTGAGGGAGAAGAATGAGCACTTTGCTCATACGACGATAGGTTGTATCCTCATCCAAGGGAAAGTCCACAGTGGTGACTGCAAATACGTGGTGATAATTGTATGATGCTCAAGGCTTGAGTGCTTCAGGTGGGAGAGCAAAAGCGTTGCAGAATCAAGTAAACGACGTGCGTACAGCGGCGTCCAGCGAATTTCAACGACCCAATGTGAGAGGATGCCGATGAGCTGTCTGTTGTGATGACAGTAGTGCAATTCTACGGGTTGGTAGAATATGCCGGGACAGAAGGCAGAGATCGTGTGTACGGAGAGTAATTTCAAAGTAGTCAGACTGATGAGGTGCTGGCAGGTCGAGGTGGTGGTAGTGTAATGAGGGTGTTGATGAGTGACAGGTACGGATGATCAGCAACAGCGTCTATGGATGATGGACGATTAGTTTCGGACGAGCTGTGCCGCCACCCTCTTCCAGGCTGAAAGCGAGAATGATCGATGATTATGTGAATCTTGCTTTGCAGGAGAAGACGCAATGTATTTGGTTTGTGACAACGACGGATGCGGTATGTGCAATTATGTCTATGTGTAGCAGTGAGGAAAAGGCAATAGAGTGCAGAAAGAATAATAATTATGAGGGAATGATGGAGCCAAAATGATGATGGTGACACACTTTCATCGGGGGACATTTCCCCCCAAGCTGGCAGTTGGCGGTGGTGATGGTGGTGGTGGTGGCAGCCGTAGACGCACACCCACACACACCCGCTGCGGCACAAGAAATACTGTGCAGCTTCCTTTTGGGATGCAGCTTTCCCCAGCCCACACGCACAAAGCCACCCCGTCGGTCAAAGTCAACAAGATTACCCGCAAATCCCTAATCTCCAAATGACTCTCGCTTCTTCCAACCTGATCAGGGAGGACTATATTGATCATGAAGCTCCTGAGTGCCGTGGAGAAGGCAAGCAATCCACACATTGTTGGCACAATGAGCTCTTGGTTGTCGTGCACCGCGGCATTCTTTTCCCTGATCACGGGGCGAGCAATAGAAAATGCAACGATTTGCACCGGCCCTGTGTGGATGGGGAAATAGCGGCGGGTTCCGGGTGCGGGCGCTCTCTCCTGGCAAATCTTTACCCCTGCTTTTTCCCTTTTCCAAAAGATCAGATCTACCTAGTGGAGCTTGAAATGATTCTTCACTCTAGAATCTGCCCAGGTGTGTTCTACTCACTCAGTCCCGTCATTCGCTGTCGGAGGCTGACCACATCTGAGACAAATTCTGGAGGTCGATCGATGGCGGCTGAGCATAGACGTCATTCAGGACGACCTCCACCGCTTTTGAACTCGTGGAGAATGTCTGCAGTACCGCATGCGTATAGCACATGCTGGTGCGTGAATAATCAGTTTGCTCTTTGCCGCACAAATGCTCGCGGAGACGGTGTGCAGCAGACCCAAGACGAGCATGCGTGCCTCGGGTATACACGGTGACACGGTCGTTGCGTAGTCAGCTTCGATAATACAGTACTGTAGATCAGGCAAACGCACGCTCCTTTCGAATGTCTTTATTATTACAGTGCAAACGTCGGTGAAAATGGACGACATAATTCATGCTTACCATCTCGGCTTTATGCTCCCCTCAAACGAGTCTACTGGATTCTTTCTTTTTTTCCCTCCTTCTAGCTGCAGAACAGCTTCACGTAACGGTCGTCGGTGCACGGGCACCAATGAACCACATAGAACCGCGGTCATCATCGAGTCGATTTCGAATCTCCTGCCCCAGTACCATGGATCGATGTGGACTTGCATTGTTGGCACTCGTACATAGGTATCATCGTTGATTTTGTTTGTTGTGTCGAGCGAAGTGTCGATACGAACTATCATATGGATACTTTCAAACAAATTTGATGATTTCTCCTGCTCACGTCTGCAGTTCCGCGCCAGTTCACATCTATGTGCAGTACCGCAGCTATGCAGTCGACTTCGTCATGCTTGCACAAGAGCTAATAAGCTGCGAGCTTCCAAAGATAGACATGTCTACTTACTGGGGTACAAGGGATTTCCACAGAGCTGCTGTCTGCCTGGCTGCATCACGAGGGCTCGGCAGCCGACCTCATGCACGCAGTGCAACTGTCGCTGCCTTGCATCATCTTACAGTACAGTACAGCACCTCGACAAAGTGGACTTCCGCCTGTGTGTACATCTCGCCTACAACAAGTCTAGGTGTCCAGCGACAATGATAGCTAATTTCGGAATACACTCGGCGTACGAGCCGGGTTCGTAAACGGTCTGTCCTTCACTATCATATCCTCAAACATGCGTGCGTCTCGAACCATCGGACCAGTACGTCCGCCCGCGTCGCGGAAGCCGTCACCGAGAAGCCGCCGTACCGCGGACCACTCAACCGGCGCCTTTTGTTCATCAGTGGCGTCCTAGCAAATGGGAATTTTGACCGAGTGGTGAAACATTGGATGACCGGATTTTGTTAATGCCTTGTCGTTCACCATCCCGAATCAATGTTGTCTGCAGATCATCGGCTCTTCGAGCTGTCATGTTTCTGCCTGACGGAAGGGACATCCTTGATGCCAGCTTGGCTCTCAAGGATTCCCGACGGACCTTTCAGGCACTGATGCTTTATTAACATCATGAAATCGTTCCCACCGTCGGAGTTGATATCGCGGTTCAAAAATTTCATTGGCTTGGTATTGCTGAATTCATCCTACAGCAATCTCTTGACTAGATATGGCTGCATACTTCCGGCGATCATAACAAACACCTCCTGTTTCAATTTTGAGCTCCTCGGATGCATCCTGAGCACCCCGAGGGTACCGAACGAACGATTTGTATCAAAGCGAACACGCGAACTCCGCCCACCTTCCAGCAACACCTGCTTTACACGATGCCATGAAGACAAACGCACACCATTTTCCATCCACAATCGAGCTGGTCCCTCGGTTCCACTCACAGTCGGAACACATACAGACCTAGTAACCTGCTTCGGGGGCCAGGAGGCAGACAGGTTTCTTACGATATTACTCGCTGCTTGCAAATGTGCAAAGGGCTGCGGACGAGTCCACGCGTCTACCTAGGGACAGTACTCTAAAGGCTCGGGCTTGCATGTGAATCTGGCTCCAGCTCCAGTTGCTTGAACACTAGGGTTGTCCTTGCTGGGGTCCCCATGAATTTAGAGAAAACAATTGGCGAATGACGTCGAAATGGAGCTGCCTGCGCTGTCTGTGACGATAAGCCCTGATTTCTTTGCTCCAGGGCTTCGACTTTGTTGCTCCTGACTGAGCTGGATGATGAATGTGGAGGCCAAGCGGGCCATGACGAACAGGGCGTGCGCAGCAGCAGCTCGCCCGGCGTTGGCACGGACCCCTTTATTGTTCAGACATGCCATGCTCTCCCCTAGCTTCGTGATAGTTTATACATACTGTTGTCCCAAGGTCTGTCTACTGCCTCGCATACAGCATCTCGTCGCAAGTCCATTCACAGCTCCACCACCAACAATAAATTTCCGCCGCCATCGCAATGGATTTCTCCGACATCTTGTTCGTACATCCCTTCCTTCTCTCGTCACCCCGAGCTCCCAAACCATCAACAGCAGATCCATCTCCGCACGCGTCCCAACATCTATCCCTCCAATGGTTCTGCAGAGCCATATCGAAATAAACGATCCAGTCAACAGAACTTGACAATTCCATTCGTCTCCGCAATGAGCGATACAATCGCTCGTCCTCTGGATAGATCGCTGACCAATGGTTTCCAACAGCCGCATCGTCAACCTGGCCACAGGTGTTTTCATGCTCCTGGGTGGTATCAGCCAATTCTTTCCCGCCGGGATGTAAGCTACCACACCCCTCTCGATGTCAGATGGTTGCATTCATTGCCCGAAATGAGACAATCCGGGCAAGCAAGAGACGGAATGAGGAAATGATATAGGTCAACAGCCAAGAGACACAGGGTTAATTTATCGTTTAACTGCAGAAAGGGAATCATCGTTGGCATCTTCTTGATTATCTTTGGTTCAGGTACGATATCGCCCGAGGCGCAGATGTCTCTGCCATGCGCAATTGCGCGCAAACATGCAAAAGAACTTTGGGCTGACAATACACCTCGAAAACAGCGACTGCGCTTCTGGGTAATTACTCCACTCGACGATCTTTAAGCGCGCTTTGAAGTCTGACCGCTCGGAATTAGAATTCCAAATCCCACCTCAGACAGCCCGCTATGCCTCCTTCATGTTCTCGTTCCTCGGACGAGGAGCCTGTAAGTATCCAATGCCCTGGCAGCTTATACAGCCATCCCGACGATGAGCCCATGTTTGGGGGTCCTGATCTTATCTGACTCGCCCGGCCAAAAATTCTAGTCTACCTTTTCATCGGCGCCATCGCAATCGGTGAAAAGTGGTACAACATCGTCCCCGGCAGTCTCACTGCCCTCGTCGGCCTGGCCTACATCGCCCTGGAATTCGTGCCTCAGATCGAGCCGCCAGCGAACATGAGGTGAGTGGTCTACGAAATACGGAAGAGCTGGTGCACGATGAAATGAGCTACGCCTGGCGTGTCGGTTACACAGAATCAAATCATCAGTATTGGGATGAAAGCAGTTCAAGATCTGACAAATCTAATCGCACAGGGACGCCGATGCCGGATGGGGAGCCGAGCAGGTATAAAGCATCACTCATGAAAGCAGCTGCCTGCATTTCCAGGCGTGACGTCGGCATGACACGCGAAGCAAGCCATATTAGAGGGGAAGACAATGCTTCTTACCAGGCGCGCGACGCCCTTGCGGTTGCATTTACGGGCAAGCAAAGTGGGTCAATCAGGCGAATGCGCTCGACAAGGAAAATCAGCTCGCAGGACCCGTGTCACCAAAGTGCTTCGCCCCTCGTCTCTTGCACGTGAAGTCGCGCCGCAACGAGTGCTTCCGTGGTGATCTTCACTAGGCTTCCCACGGATCACCTCCCTCCGTATAATATGAAAACTTAATCCAAACACCCCTCCTACCAATCGATCCTACATCCCTCGATCAATAGTAAGTCGTCTGGCGAAATGGTCTTATCCATGGGCCTGATGGGTTTGTACCCATAGGTCCGAACAAATAATCATGTCCGGGTACAATCGCAGGAAAACTTGCCGTTTCCGCGTGCGAAACAAAACCAACGAGTTAGGAGGTGTATTTTCATGCAATTCTACAGTACGACGAGACGGAACGCTCGCCTTTTGGGAAACTGAGCTGTACAACCAGACGAGAAAGGGCAAAAGTAGCGAGAAATACCCAAGGCTGTTGAAGGAGAGCGAAGAAGAAGAAGAAAAAAAAAAGGAGTTGCATCTGTGAGTAGAATTGTGGAGCGCAAATCCTCACAGGGGAAAAGGATTTCTCCACTGTCACAATCGACTCAAGATAGCACTCGATGTCCCTTCCATACGGCGTTTTTGGCACCAGAGTAAATCAATCGTCTCTCTCTCGCTCTCTATCTCTCAGAACGTCATCTGAGCTCTAGCTGTGCCTTCTCTATCCTTTCCGTCATACCATTCCAAGATCTTCGCCTAACACCGCGACAAACCAGCACCGGGTGATATCGTCGAGGCCGTGGAACAGCGGCTAGCTGGATCGCCCTCCCGCTCACCAAATAGCTATCGATATCGAGGAAACGATGAAGGCACCTACCTGTCGCCCTAGTGGTCTGGCCTGTTTCGAAGATTTCCGGGGCTGGGTATCTGTTGCCTCGGAAGTCTATCACGTTGTGATCGACATGTTGCTCTCGTACGCGGTAGAGGTCATAGTCACAAATTAAAATATGGCCGCGGGCATCCAGTCCGATGGCTAGAGGGCGAAAACGCAGAGCGGGTAGCCTTGCAGACCCATCTATTCTGCTATATCTACAAGTTCGGCCATGTAGGTTGTTATTCTTTGCAGGGGAAAATGTCGGTCCCGCTGTACATAGCAGAATACTCGGCCTCCTCCGATCCAGAGCGAGAATGTATGGCACCCTTCCAGGTCTTGCGCAACATGTTATAGAGCCGGCACGGCTAGTGTGGGCTAGGCAGTCTGATAAAATGCAGTGTTTCTGCACTCACGATCCAGTGGGTGACTCGCAACCGCTTTGACCACATAAAGCGGTTCTGTGTCCTTCTTCCGCCACTTCATTGTCGGGAAGAACCCTCCATCCACGATGTGAAAATGAGTCCTGAGCTCGGGGCCAAGATGGAGGAGTTTTCTCTCGCGATATGCTAGACCTAGGGAAGCTTTCGCAGCTGGACCTGGAAGATCGAATCATAAAGCCTCTAAACGAGCGCCAATAAGCTTGTAGTCAAGATCTTTGAAGGTCAAAATATTGTGGACAGGAATCTGTGTGTCTAGCTGAGGAAACTGATCTGTACTTTGAGATACAACTCAGGATCGTCTCTTGTATGTCACGGTAGAGGTCGAACGTCTGGATCGGTTCGAGGCAACTCATCGATGTGGGTCTCCGAGAAACTTGCACAGGTCGAGGGAGGCCTGCGCTTAATCGCACGTTCTGATAGTGCGTAAATCACAGTGAATCTAATGTTCTGTAAACTCCTCTGGTGGTACAATATCCGTGGGAAGGTATATCTAGTAGAGCTGTACATACAACCCTTTGGCAGCGTACTGTCCCCGTCAGCCTCCTGCGCACGCAGGGGTAGCCAATCCCGACGAGGATATCCTCAAGGCATGATGTTTTCAACAGCAGTCAACCATAGCGCATGAAGCAGAGCTGGGCTGTCTCCAGTGAGGCTGTCTTGTGCCTGGATGCCATATGCTCAGTACTTCGAGGATACATAGGCCTTCTGATGATACAGATTGATGTGGTTGTGGCTGATGTCTCAAGTAGGGCTCGGCGGGCAGATCCGATCAGTTCGCTACTGTCCGCTCACGTGCGGTTGTCCGTCGCATTGGAATTTATTCTGATGACTCGGCTAATCGAGTAATTCCTTATCGCCGCCACCTCCGATATGCTACAGTTCCATCACATCTGCTGGGGAAAATGGACATGGCTCATACAACATCACCCAGCAATCAGCGGTCCACGGAGATCCGACACCGGCGAGATGCAATTCAATTGGTAGGGCGCATTGAGATCTTCCGTGCTTACTCTCGCTCCCACGTCGAGGCCACGCATATCAACATGTCAAGACAGTCGTGCGTTGCGTCAGCAACTAGACCACGCCTAATCGAACGCCCACATCCCTAATACAGTGCGCATTGGAACTAGACTCTCGAAGGAATCTCCGAAAGTGCGAACTGTATGCCACCCGCGTAGACTTATCTCCTCTTCGTGGCATGATCAGCCCTGCAATCACTATCTCTTGCACATCTTTGTGTATCGGATCGTCCCACCGAGACGTTGAATAGGCCAATTATGTAAAGAGGTTCAAAGTACTTCCCCAAAAGCAACCATTATCTTTCACTATCGAGCGTTCTAGACGATCAAAAAGAGGCATCTCGACAACGGTCTGGCTGATATCTCACGTGCCGACCGCCAGGCTCGTTTCACTGGCACAACTACAAGATAAATACTGCACAGGGTCTGTCTAGTGTCTGTCTGATCTTCCAGGACCTCGACTAGTTGCTTCTAGCTCGCGGCTCATGCCTGAAGAACATCGCTGCTGAATCAAATTTGTGCAACGACATCAGTCTGTCTCGACGACAGTATCCACTCGATCCAAGATGTCGTCGGCGAGGGCATCTCCAGAATTCGTCAAGGACGATCATCCTGATCGCATCGGACCTGATGTTGATCCTAAACCCACCTGGGCCTCCCGCGGTCGCTCGATCGTGCGAGCATTCACAACCAAAGAAGGCCTCATAGGCGACTACGACTATGCATTCCTCTTCACACCGGATATCCCGTTCCTGAAACGACCTCGACGTGCGGCGCCATTCTTCGGGCTCAACGACCGCATGCCACTCCTTCTAGCCTTACTGCTCGGTTTCCAACATGCACTGAGTATGCTCGCCGGAGTTGTGACTCCACCTATCATCCTCGGAGGCGCGGCCAATTTCACACCGGAAGTCAACGCATACCTTGTCAGCACTTCACTCATCGTCTGCGGTATCCTTTCGTCCATCCAGATCACCCGTTTCCATCTCTTCCGATCCCCATACTATCTAGGAACAGGTCTGATTTCCGTCGTGGGAACATCATTCGCAACGATCCCTGTGGCAACCGGTGCACTTTCGCAGATGTATGCATCAGGATACTGTCCGACCGCAGCCAATGGCACGAAGCTGCCCTGTCCAGCCGGATACGGCGCGATTCTCGGCACGGCATGTCTCTGTGCGCTCCTCGAAATCTTTCTCTCTTTCCTCCCGCCGCGCTACCTTCGCAAGATCTTCCCGCCGCTTGTCACCGGTCCTACCGTTCTGCTGATTGGTGTTCACCTCGTCGAGACTGGTCTGAATAATTGGGCTGGTGGATCTGGCGGCTGTCGCAGCCGACCGACCACTGGTATTTATCAGCTTTGCCCGACCATTAATGCACCTCACGCGCTGCCCTGGGGTAGCGCTGAATACATCGGCCTAGGATTCCTCGTCTTCGTCACAATCATCTTTTGCGAGCGATTTGGATCTCCCATCATGAAGAGCTGTGCTGTCGTCCTTGGTCTGCTCGTAGGCTGCATCGTCGCCGCCGCTTGTGGCTACTTCTCCCGCACCGGGATTAACGCCGCTCCTGTTGGTAGCTTCATTTGGAAATACACCTTCCCGCTGTCGATTTATCCGCCCATCATCCTACCTTTACTCGCTGTCTACATCGTTCTAACGATGGAGGCCATCGGCGATATCACGGCCACCTGCGATGTGTCCAACCTGCAGGTCGACGGACCCATCTTCGACAGCCGCATTCAAGGTGGCGTTCTCGCCGACGGCCTCAACGGTATTCTCGCCGGTCTCGCCACCATTACGCCCATGTCAACCTTTGCCCAGAACAACGGCGTCATCGCATTGACTCGCTGCGCCAACCGCAAGGCCGGTTACGCCGCCTGCTTCTGGCTGCTAATAATGGGCATTTTTGCCAAGTTTGCCGCCGCCCTCGTCGCCATTCCCAGTGCAGTCCTAGGCGGAATGACCACTTTCCTGTTCTCAGCCGTCGCGATTTCCGGCATTCGTATCATCTCCACCGCGCCTTTTACCCGTCGCAACCGCTTCATCCTGACTGCTTCGCTGGCGGTGGGATTCGGAGCGACCTTGGTGCCGGATTGGTTCGATCATGTATTCACCTATGCTGGCTCAAACCAGGCATTGATTGGATTCATTGATGCGATTGAGTTGGTCATGGAGACCGGATTCGCAGTAACGGCATTCATTGCGTTGATCTTGAACTTGGTTCTGCCGGAGGAGCCGATCGATGAGAATGTTCTTCCAGCCATCACGGCGGAGGCGCCTGATTCTGAGGAGGACCGCGAGGAGTGGGATAAGATCCAGCCTACGACGTCCGGTAAGGAGGCTCAGGTGAAGGTGGCTTGAGGACTGTATTTCAATCTCGTGTTTATGATTTATGATTGACTGCTGAATTTGTCTTTTGTGTATTTATGAATAAATTTTGTCTCGTCAACAAACCGTGTTCACAAGGAAGTAGCATTGTCTTCTATCTTCGGTAAATCGACTTGCGTTCGTACCCAGTTATAACAATCGCCCATGCGTCTTTTCGAACCGCACACATCAACATTGGCCACTCTGGGTGTTGATCGGTCATGATTGGCACACACTCTCCGCCGCACAAAGACAAGGCTCTACGGTAAAATGTTTGTTGTCTCCACCGAGGATGGCATCAGATGCAGACCGAATGCTGTGCCACAATGCTGTCGAGGCACATATCGCGATGGCTCGCAGGGCTTTCCACTCAACACATGCAGGTTGACAACGTGTTGCCATTCGGTGCCATCTTTCCCTCCAAGCTTATCGCACCTCCGTCCATCCTGACTGGTCCCGCTGTTGCAAAGCAAAGCTTGACCGGCTCGTCATTGCGGCCGGCATTAGTTGGCCTTCTTCTCCGCATTTCGTGCCCACCGATTTGGTTGAGATCGGCGAGTTGACCCCGACCACCCCATTTTAGGGCTTCCCCAACTTTATCCTACTTTCATGCATTGTATGACCTCCGACGGGCACTCTACTGGACGTTGCGCTCCTCCTTCACTGCCCTCGTTCTTTGCTTGAGATTTGGCGAGTCAGGCATTGTCATATTTACTCCCATCCTCCTGTCGCTCAACCTCCCGACAATTCGACCTTCGCCGCGCACACAATGTCCGACAACTCCTCTCCAGGCGGCACTCCTGCCCCCGCCGGCGCCGTGGCCGACTGGGCCATCTTCGGCGACGAGCTCAAGGTCGTCGACACCAATGTCGAGCATGAACTTCTCGAACCATACGCCAGCTTTCGTGATGCGCCTATCAATGCCATCTCCGAGTTGGGCTTGCACTTCCTCGGAACTGCCTGGCGCAGTTATGACCAAATCATCGGACAGCCCATCTTCTATCCGGGCTTCACTGAGAACATCAAATCACTCACCATGGCTCAGCCTCGGCTGAAGAGCAAGATTCGCAGTCTCGCGACAAAGCGAGTCGAGGTTGAGGTCAAAGAGGGACAATATGGCGGTGTTGCTGCCACGGGTGAAGAGCCCGCTGTCAAGGCTGCCCGCAATACCCGCCGCAAGCAGATTGAGAGTGAGCTATCCACAGTCGCCGACGACTGGCTCGATAAGTTGGTCTGCAAGATGGAGGGCCGATACTTCATTCGTGGCGCGTACTACCTTGCTACGCAGCTTCTCACTCGTGCCTACCACCAGGGTATTCACGTCAACAGCCAGGAAGTGCTCCAGCTTCGGACCGTTGCCAAACAGGCAGCCAAATTGAAGCAGTCAATTGTCTTTCTACCATCACATCGATCACACGTAGATTATGTAAGGCTCTATGACATCTCAAACCATGGATGAGTAAAGCATGACTGACACCACATAGGTATCTTTACAAGTCATCTGTTTCCGACTTGGTATGGCACTCCCAACAGTGGTTGCTGGAGACAACCTCAACTTCCCCGTGATCGGAAGCTTTTTGCAAAACGCCGGTGCTATGTACATTCGACGATCCTTCGGTGACGATCAACTCTACTCGACTTTGGTGCAGACTTACATCGATACCCTCATGCAGAATGGCCATAACGTCGAGTGTTTCGTCGAGGGTGGACGATCGCGTACCGGCAAGCTACTGCAACCCAAGTTCGGTATTCTGGGTTTCTATCTCGACAGTGTCCTCTCCGGTATAGTCGAGGATGCCTGGATCTGTCCTGTGTCCACACAATACGACAAGGTCATTGAAGTCGACTCGTACATTAGCGAGCTACTCGGTCAGCCCAAGAAGAAGGAAGACTTGGCGGGATTCCTATCTGCCTCGAATGTGCTTTCACTCAAATTGGGCCGTGTCGATGTGCGATTCCAGAAGCCTTGGAGTCTGCGCCAATTCATCAACGACCAGGCTTCTCGCCTGGTCAAGGATCAGCCCACCACTCCCAAGGTTCTCATGCAGCCGAACATCCGACGACCAATTCTGAGCAAGCTCGGCTATCAAGTGTTGGCTGAGATTAACGAGGTTTCTGTCGTGATGCCGACTGCGCTTGTCGGAACCGTGCTATTGACCCTATCCGGTCGCAGTGTCGGTCGTGCCGAATTGGTTCGTCGCGTTGCCTGGTTGGGAGCTCGTATTGTCAGCGAACAAGGTCGCCTCGCGCATTTTAACGGAAACACCGTCGAGAGTGTCGTTGACAAGGCTCTTGAAGTACTCGGTCCGAAACTCGTTGGACGCGTTGATGACCTCCCCGAGGAGATGTACTATGCCGAGGACCGTTTCCAGCTGAGTTTCTACCGCAACATGACCATCCACCTCTTCATCTCACAGGCGCTCGTCTGCGCGGCTGTCTACACCAAAGTTAAGCACAGCATCAACGAGACCATCTCCGCACGTGAGCTCTACGACTATGTCAACTTCTTGTCTCAGCTCTTCCGTACCGAGTTCATTTTCCCTGCCACTTCTCTCGAGGACAATTTCCGCCGCACTCTCGAGGGCCTCGTCGCCGACCGGGTCCTTTACACTACACCTGATCCGGCCAACCCAGAGTCCATCGCTACCATCGAACTTCATCCCGATGAGCGTGCCCGTGGCCTTGAGAACTTTGACTTCTACTGCTTCCTGATCTGGCCATTCATCGAGGCGTCCTGGTTGGATGGTATCTCGCTCTTCATGCTCAGCCCCCCTCCCACCTCACCCGACCAATCCGTTTATCTCGACCTCTCAACCTTCCAAGAAAAAGCCCAACTCCTCGGCAAGACCCTCTTCCACCGCGGCGACCTGAGCTACTACGAAGCCGTCAACAAAGAAGCCCTCAAGAACGCTCTTGGCCGCACCGAAGAAGAAGGAATTGTCCAAATCACTCGCCCGGATAAATCCGAAGGCGGGAAAATTCCCCAGCGCATCCGTCTCCACCCCGACTGGCTACCACCGCGCGATGCCCTCGGCAAGCTCACTCCCAATGCGGTCGTGGGATCCCGTCTTTTCGCTTACTGCGAGGCGATTCACTCGTCCAGAAGAGTCAATGGCGAGACGCACAAGGATGGTGGCGCAAGTCTTACTACGCGTGTACTCCAGCTCGCGGAGATGGTGGCGGGTGACGATCTTTTCGAGACAGCCGTGGCGGAACCGCTTGGCACGCCAAAGGTTCTGAGACGACGAGTTGGTATTCGCACTGGAAGAGGTGCGAACGGGAAGGCCTCGAGACTGTAGAAGGTACAAGAACAGGGGAGCGGGATTTCATTCGGTTTCACGTCAACTATGTCTTTTAATGCGATTAGATCGTCTGGCTTCCTTGAGCTTCCTCCTTTCTCTTTCATACCTTCCAATCTCGACGATGAGGATTGCAAGAGATAAAGGGGAAAGGAAGCGGAAAGGATTAATGACTTGTAGATCTTCTTATTGCGCTTTTGATACACCATTCGAAAATGAAAAGACTAGTAGAAAAAGCTCTTTCTTTGCATCAACTATTTGCTCCTCTCGCAGTAGAAACACCGCAAATGATGAGAAGAAACATCATAAACAATAAGGAGAAATATCACAAATGATGAGACGACAATGCAGAATTTCATAAAATACGAGTTGTACAGTGATTCCAGGAAGAACTTCACCCTGTCCACGATCGATGAGAGCGACTCGTCGCCCAATCGTGATCAAATGAAAATTCGTAGCGATGTCGCTTCATAGGGCAGACACCTCACTCTAGCCTCTCCGAACACACACACGTATACATTGGCAAGGCATAAGACGTATAGCAACACCTTCGTCCGCAAGAAAAGGGAGCGGGAACTTCTCCTTCGCACTGCGCCTTGTCATAGCGATCATGATCAACAGCTCCACACGCCCACGACACCATCCTTCCTGCCCTCGCAGAGATACCCGTCTTTGATACGGACATGTTCGACAATCGAGGAGTTATTCTCCGGGTCTCCGCAATCCCATTGGCGGCCTTCGGTTTTGTCGTAGACTTTCACGACGGGCTCGCCCGCGGCAGCGACGATCCGGCGGGAGTCGAACTGTAAAGATGTAATGGCTGAATCGTAGGCGAATGCATCGTGGATATTTCCGGTGCGGAGATCCCAGATCTGAGAAGGAAGTTAGCTAAGTGAGAATTTTGGGGGGGGGGGGAGAGAGCATCGTGCAAAAATGACAGAGAATTTACGTACCCGGACGCTTCGATCGAGACTTCCCGTGACTAGAAATACGTCGTCGAACTGTAACGCGGTGATAGGACCTGTGTGGCCCACAAGGCTGCGATGCACCATTCCACTACGTAGATCCCAGAGTCGAACCATACCATCAGCAGTTCCGCACGCGAGGGCAGCATCAAAGACCTGAATAGCACCGACGAAGTCTGCCTCGGCGGATTGCATGCGGCCTGTCGTCGGTCGCCACCAATTTCCACCGCCAGCGGTAGAGTTGGAGAACGAAGGTGAGAAGGCGGAGGGGGGTGCGGCATTGACGTTGGTGTTGATCGTGGAGGCTTGGGCGGCAGCCCAGAGGACATCGAGGGTTTGCACACAGCGGCCTTTTTCGAGGTCCCATTGTCGTAGGGTCTTGTCTGCAGAGCCAGAGACTAAGGTGTTGCCGCGGAAATGGAGGGCTGTGATCTCGGCGACATGTGAGGTCAGAGTAAAGAGGTGGCAGTCGGACATGGCATCGGCGCGGTATGTGTTGCGAGGTGGCTCAGAGGAGGCACTTTGGCCTTCGGGGGTTGAATAGAGATCTTCACCGGATGATGGCGCATCTGGATCGTCGTTCTTCGAAATACTGCTGGAGACAGGAGGCGTGTAGTCGGCATTGTTGAGGTCCCATAGACGAATGGTGGCGTCCATGGATCCGGTTGCGACAATGTTTTCCTCTACTTGAAGGCATCGCACGCTAGACAAATGACCTTCCAACAGACCCACGCAGCGTCCCGCGTTGAGATCCCATACCCGAACAGTATCGTCTAGCGAAGCAGTGACCAGGGTACCGAATGGCGTGTCAAAGTCCAAGGCTGTGATCATATCGTTATGCGCATGGAGCTCGCGGATCTGACTGCCTGACTCCATGACTTCATGTAGCACTGGGGTGGACACTTTGCGTGGAACCCTCTTCCTCTTGGACTTGGGTGTCATCTCTCGGGCGGCATTCGGTGTCTTCGTTTGGATGCTTTGCGACAAAGATCCTGATGAGCTCTCAATGGTCTCGGTCACGAGTGGCTCCTCCAACAAAGCGGAAGTTCCTTCCCGTATCGCGCCCAGCGCAGGACTCTTCGAAGCCAAAGCAATTTCATCATCAAACTCTTCTTGTAACGTGTCCAATCGGTCCATAGTGATCCCTAACTCATGCTCCATATCACGCTCCTCGTCTTCCAGACCAGCCAGTCGTTCGAGAATGACCTTGCGCATGGTATTGAGATTGGCAATCTTTTCATCGATTTCTCGAATTTCACTGGCGCACATGGTTTTTCTGACACCCATCATCTCCAGCTTATGCTCTAGTCGATCTCGATCTCGTCTGCATTTCACCAGCTTGGCCGGCCCTTTCTCCTCTTCCTCAACCGCTGTCAACAGCTTCTGTCCCTTGCTATTTCGCCGACTATGAGCCTTCTTCTTCCCACTGACAGCAGCGTCGACATCTTCATCATTGCTGGGCAAGCTGGCCTTGAAACCGTCAAGTAAACTAAATGCGCTTTTCCTCTCTGGCGCATTGCGTATGAGCTCATCTGGTAAATATGACAGCGCTCGATGTTCGATTTCGGCATAACTGAACTTGCTGCGAAGAAGCTCCCGAGGGTTGCTGGCGCGCGCGAAACTGAAAACGCTCCGTTGTATTGCCGATCGTTGCGCCAGACGATGAACACTACTCAATGCATTGCGGTAGTGCTCGTTCCCGGCAGCAGCATCGAAGTTTGAGGAGACGAGGTGTGTAGCAGTCGCGTGGACGGTGCGGCCGAATGCTTCAAGTTGGCGAGACTGTATTCGCCATGATCAGAGACAACAAGGACATATCTCGAGACGTGCAACTCACACCGAGGATGGAATCGTCTTCGGAGACGTATTCCAGATGTGGAGCACGGGGAGAGCGCTGCGGCGATGTGCTACGGCCTCTGTGCGGAGCCATCGCTATGTCGAAGGACGTGTGGTCTTCCCGGTTTGCATTATTTGTTCCTCGAGTATTGATTTGGATGGTTTTCGTATGAATGTTGAGTGCGCTTTCTCTTGGATGTTTTTGTTGGAACAGCTGCGATAGACCAAGCTTTGTTTCCGGCCATGACCCCGAATGACAGCATGCAGCAAACAAACGAACAGAGGGCACTCCCGCGTGCGAGATCAAAGCTTCACACGCCGTAATACAACGTCACTGAGAATTGCGCCTGAATTCTTCTAACCGCGGCTTTCCTTTCCTGGGGTTCCAGTCATCAATCACCATTGATCCCATTGCCGGGTGACATATTTGCCCATTACATTGCAAGAAGTATCGAAATAAGAGTCCCTGTAAATATACGACATTCGGGACGTTGTAGAAAGGACCACAAGGATAAATCTACCTGCGATCCCCACTGGCATAGAGGTGTCCATCAATAGCAAGAAACCCAAATCCACCAAAATCGAGGGGCTCACGCGAGCACGCACAAGATGGATACCGCAATCGATTTGACCGATCCGAAGTCAGCGCTCAGTCTGCCACATATCAGATATCAATTGATCCGTCTCGAAGACACTGTACTGTTCCATTTGATCGAGCGGGCACAATTCCCATTTAGCAAAACGATCTACACGCCCGATGCCTTTACGTTGCCCGACTCAGGCTACTCCCTATCAGACTGGAACCATCGCGAGCATGAAAAGCTACAGTCTCAGATTCGTCGATTCCAAAGCCCTGACGAGACTCCCTTCTACCCGGATGCCATGCAGCCATTGATTCTCCCACCTCTGGAATACCCTCAAATCTTATGGGAAAACGATGTCAATGTGAACAAAGACATCAAATCATTCTACGTCGAGACCCTCCTCCCTTCCATTTGCGTTCAACTTCAACGTAGTGAACGTTCCGTAAAGGCGCAGGAAAACTATGGCTCCGCCTGCACGGCGGATGTTACCTGTCTGCAAGCACTTTCAAGGAGGATTCATTTCGGAAAATTCGTGGCTGAGTCCAAATTCCAGGAGGATCCTGAGAAGTTTGTGAAATTGATCAAGGCGAGTGATCGAGCGGGCATCGATGCAGCCATCACGAATGCTGCAGTCGAGCAGAAGGTCCTCGAGCGATTGAGGTTGAAGGGCGAGGCTTATGGAATTGACCCTAACATGACCACTGATGGCTTGACACGAAAGATCTCGGCAGATGCGGTCGTCAGTCTCTACAAGGATTTTGTAATCCCGTGGACGAAGATTGTCGAGGTCGAGTACTTGATGCAACGTCTGAAGGGAACACAATGGGAGTGAATTCGGCGTCCACGTCGACACGACGAGTACGTGAAGAAGATCAAGCACGATATCAGTGTTAGACCCCTCTGAAACAAACGCGGCGACTGACTTCTCGACGGAGCAAAACGAGAAGGCTTTGGGGATGGATATACGTCGAATTTGAAATGCTCCGCGGTTGTGAGCGAATGCCTGTTGCCCGATGACGCGGAAGAAAAGATGAAGCGGAGAAGCACTGTGATAAGGGACAAAAAGTTTTGTTTATGGTATGATGGATTTACAGAACTACGTGGCTCTCAATAAGCCGAGCGATCTAGTGATTAACCCAATGATGTATGTAAGATGTTCATGCCACTGAAAACTTTGGAACGTTCAAAGGTTGGATCCATGGATTTGTTATACGTTAGGGTTTGGGTAATGCATACATGTTGGCAAAAGTGATGTCGGCGTTTCGAGCTGGGGGCTGTCCGGATAGATCCGAGCGGACAACGGCTGGTCGGCGATGATTTGGCCCTGCAGTAGCTTATCTGATTCAGATTGATGAAATAAGTTACATCCATGGATTTTTCTTGTGCAAGCAAGAAACGCGTGCAATAAATTGTCGCATCAGAAATCGACAATGTCGAACAAAAGGGAGCGATCTGGCAATGATACCGACAGGCCACCAAAGAGACAAAGAGCGGAGCATGAAGCCCCTGTAATTGAAGAAATTCTCTTCGCGCGACAATTACAAGAACTTTTGGTCTTCAGCCAGGATGGAACGCAGGCACTTCGCAATGGTATTGCATCCTTCAAGGCATTCCTCGAGAACATCCTCTATCACAAAGACGAAGAGAATCGCGCGCGACAAATCTCCATCTTAAGAGAGTATCTGGATGTCCAAAAGCCGGCAGATATCAGCTCATTGGATCGGCCTTTTCTCGCACAGCTTTGGCAAGCCTGGTCATTCGGAGGGCAAAACCATGAGGATTATCTCGTCTCCGCTGTGGCTTCAATTCTCGCACTACTATTGAAGACACTATCAACAATACTCGATCTGCGCGAATATGGACTGCTGCTATGTCGTACTGTCGTGCAGAATCAGCACTTGCGCCTGATCAAGCGCAGCATGGACGCTCCGAAGCACAAAGAGCATCTCATATCGCCATGTTTGAGGCTTTTGACAGAAGTGACGAGTTTCGATGGCGGCAGTCTGGCTCGAGAGGTCTACAAACGTCGCGAGCAAACGTTTGACATTGCAACTCTGCGACGGACTTTGGCCATGGTCAAAACTGAGTAAGCTTATCCATCTGGGCCTTAACCTGGACCTGTGACTGACAGAACTTAAAGTGTTACCGAGGAAGAAGCACGCCGCCGACCGTCATTACGGACACAAGCTCTGCGATATGTCCTGCAGCACCTCAAATACCTCCACGAAGGTGGCAAGGTAGACATCTTGAAGAATCGAGGACTTTGCTCGTCCCTTTTCCAATACATCGCGACCGACCCGGCTGAGGTTGCTGCTGATCTACTGAACACGATTGAGCAAAGTGTTCTTAAGGACAGTGAACTTCCCCGCTCAGCCAAAGCTGCGATTCTCACAGCTCAGAATCTGGAGCGGGTTATGGAAATTGCGACAAGAACCGCAGAAGACGATACTCATGGAATCTCCGCCATAGCGTTCGCATGGCTTCATTCGATATGCACGACATCCTCATATGGTGTACTTCGGTCGCATAGCTGGTACCCGCCTGGATCTAACACGGTGGAGGTACCTTCCAATGACGATGCAATCTTGACCCGGCTCGATGAAGTGGCTCCTTTCGATGGTGAGAGATCGTTCAACGTGAGAAATACTACTTTGCTCACGTGGATTCTCGCTCTGCGACCTCATGCAAATCCTAAGGAAAGGGAGCTGTTTGTTGCCACTCTTCGTGCAGCCCCCGAATTGGTCGCTGCGTACACCGCTGAGAAGACTCTGCAGATGGAGCCCAAATTATCTAACACATGGATCGGTCTCGCTTCGGTGATGTTTGAGATCGTGCAACTGCCCGTTCCTGCATACTTGGGCAACGACGAGACCTGGGCGCAGTTACCACCGAGCCCAGCCATTATCATCGAGAATATACTGCCTCGACCGTTGACTCAAAAAGTCTTGACTCGATGTCTCAACCAGAGCAGCAGCTTGATATCCTTTTTCGCAGTTCGGATATTGGTGTTAGCCTTTCAGAAGATGAAGATTGTCTTGTCGGAGCTCTCAGCCCATGCTTCAGACATTACTCAAAGACAATGGACTGGGTGCCGCGAGACATTAATTCACTTCTTCATTGAAAGATGTCCAAAAATGAAAGATGTCATTGCAACTTTTCGTCAAATCCCTGACGATGAAAAACATGCATTGCAAAGGGAGGCACTCACGAAACTATTGAGACTCTACTATGAGGTGACGCCTCTACAGGCGCTGGAAGAGAAGTTTGAAATTTCAACTGTTCTAAACGCAGCACTCTTGCGTGCCGAAGCTGCACAGCTCTCTTCTGAGACAGATAAGACTGCCGAATTGCGAGCTCTAGAGTTGGAACACCTCCTCTCGATCGCTCAGTACAGTCCGGCTATCAAGTGGTTCCACAAGGGCTCGCTTCGATATTGCCCGATAGTGACGCTCCTGCGTATGCACCGCAAGGACACCACCAATCCACAGATTCGTAAACTCATCACTCAGGTTCTCCAAGAGAATGGTATTCTCAATGCTCATGAGAGTCCTGACGTTGAGCCACCAGCGAACGCACTTGTTGCCAGTGTACTCCACATGGCCGATGGGGATTCGACATGGGAGTTGCTCGAGGATTGCATTGTGCGGGCCAGTCGAAAGCCCGTCAAATACGTCGATGATCTGGAAGCGATTGGTGTGCAGAAGTCGAAGAAAGATGTTACTACCACTGAAATGCCGAGCATATTAGCTGCCGTGATCCTCGAACAGAGTCCTTTCGTCGCTGCCGACAAAAGCGAAGCCGCTGCGTCGAAAGCATCGTGGATGAGGCTGTTCCTCAGATTGCTCGCCGAGACTGGCGACTCGGGAAGTATTCTCCAGGAGTTGACTAAACAAGTTGGCAAGGTCATACCAAGTAAATCAAAGGACAAGAAGGTATCCACAGGACCCCTATCTGAGATACTGCCTCCACTACACGCCACTTCGGAGACGCAATCCCAGACTGTGCGACCAAAGACGGACCCACAGCTTTCCTTCAAAACGCCCGCTCCGGAGTCTGACAACCACCCCGAGCTCTTCCGCTGGGCTCAGAAGGACATTGATCTCGCCATTGAAGATGGTGACATCGACGCCTTGATCCTATGCCTCTGCTCCCAGCACACCGACATCCGTCGCCAGGCGCACGGACAGATCATCAAAGCGAGACATGCCCTCCAAGCCAACGCCACCTTCGAGAACAGCAGCCAGCTGGGCCTCGTCCTCGGCGAACTCAGCGAGACCTTCGAGAAGCAGCACCTCGCCCACGACGCCCCGCCCCTCCCCTACCTCACCGGGACGTTCGCGGCGCGCGCCTTCCGCGCCCAGACCCAGCCCGCCTCGGACATGTACCCCAAGATCAACCGGTTCCTGATCCGCGGGCCCGAATGGCGCAGCTCGCGCCTTCCCGGGTACTGGTTCTCCAACACGGTCTCGGGCCTCCCGGAGGAGGACGACGCGTACTGGCGGGAGGTCCGGTGGGTGCTGGAGTGGCTGGTGGACGGGCTGCGCACGGGCGCGGACTTCGACCTGCTGCGCCGCGCCGGCGTCTTCGAGAAGGCCATGGCGCTCGCGCGGGGCCCCGGCGCCGCCGCGAACCCCTCCGTCAGGGAGCTCGTGCTGGAGCTCCTGTCCCGGGCGGCGGCGGTCGACGGCGGGGCGCTGTCCCTCGTGACGCGGTGTGGGGTCCTGGCATGGCTGGAGATGCTGGCGACGACGACGACGACGGACGATGCGGCCCGCGCGGAGGCGCTGAGGGCGAAGATCGTGGCGAGTTGCGACGCGGGGAAATTGGAGGATTGGATGGCCAACCGACGGAGGAGGAAGCCCGAGGAGGAGGCGGAGGCGGCGGCATGATATGTTTTTCAAATGTTCATTAGACCTCTTTTCCCTTCTCCACGGGCGCGGATGGTCGTGCCTCGCACCGTCGGGTGAGGTTTGACCCTGAGACACACACACGCGCGGTATATATAAGGACTCTGCCCACTCTCACTCATGCATCGCTCTGCGGACTTGAAAACAACCCCCTGCCCCCTAGATGAAGCAGAAGAAGGAGAGGGGGAAGAACAAGGCAAAAATGACAACCAAAGACTTTCCACACAACCCCCAGTGACAGAAAAGAAAAAAAAGAGACGAGAAAAGTTAAAAAAAAGAGCTACGCTTGCATTTCTTTTGGCCCGCCCGCCGGCCTGAACATCACACCTCTACCGTGGAGGAAACGACGACGACAACGACGGGGAGAAATTCCCACAAGACGACAGATGCCCGCCTTCCTTTCCCGTCCCTTCCCTCCTTCTCCCGACCCTTTCCTCTACTCCCCTCCTTTCCCTCTTCATACATTTGAAGAAAGAAAAGGGAAAACAAGGAGGAGAAGGGGAACACGGACCCGCCAAAAACCCCTTTCATTTCCCCTTGCCTTTCTCCTTTTCGCGCGCCCCTCCTGTTCCTCTCCCCTCCTCCTCCGCAGCAAGCCACGACAGATTCCGATTTCCGCGTGGAGTCTGCAAAACGAGGGCACAGCGATGGAAACAACGAGGGGAGGGGGGGAGGGAGAGGGAGCAGGGGCGGCTAACGGCGGCCTGGCTCCCCGATGCCAGGGGGTAGGATCTGCACGCCGTAACCGCCGCCGCCTCCTCCCGGCGGCGGCGGGGGTCCGCGCATGTGCTGCTGCTGCTGCTGCTGCTGTTGCTGCGGCAGGGGGGGTCCCTGGGGCGGGGGCATGCCGTAGAAGCCCGGCGGGGGCATGCCGGCCTGTGGCGGCGGCGGGTGAGGGGGGAAGCCTGCCGGGGAGGGGAGCTGGTCGTTGCGGGGCTGCTGCGGTTGCGGATGCGCCTGTTGTTGTTGTTGCTGCTGGAACATGCCGGGGAGGTTGTGGAAGCCCGGAGGGTGGTGGCGGACCATGTGCGGGTTGAAGCCCGGGGGTGGGGGGCCGCCGGCGAAGTCTCCGCCAGGTGGTGGGCCGTTGTAGAATGGTTGTTGTTGTTGTTGTTGTTGGGGATGCGGCATCGGGGGGCCCATCTGGGGGATGTGCGGGACGCCGCTCATGCGGCGGACTCCGATCGAGCCCTGACTGGACTGGGGTTGATGTTGGAAATGTTGCTGTTGCTGGACCTCGTAGTTCCTCCTGAGTTGCTGCTGTTGCTGTTGTAGTAGAATTTGTTGCTCGTCGAAAAACCCAGGCGGAGGGGCTGCGCCGCCGGGAGCGCGCTGGCCTGCCCGTCGTTGCTGGGATTGTGCATTTTCTTGCATTTGCTGTAGCAGTAATTGCTGCTGCTGCTGATGTTGATGCGGCTCTTGTTGCTGTTGTGCAAAGTTGCGCATCAACTGCTCTTCAAACAGTCCAGGAGGCTGATTGGGCATTCGCGGTTTCGGGGCGTGAGGCTCAGCGGGGGTTTTGTTCTCGTGACCGAAGCGCTGGAACAGCTCCGGCGGGAAGTTCTGTTGCCCAGGAGGGTGCGCGTCGTTGGGTTTGTCATTCGTCCGGGCGGCGTCCGTCTTCAGCAGGTTCAGCAGCTGCTGGCTGCCGTTGCTGTCGAATGCCGTCCGCTGCGATCGCTGCTGTTGCGCGAGCAGGTTCTGGATGTTGTTGTCCGGGGTCGCGGCGCCTCGCGCTGGCGGATCAAACATCGGTCCGAAATCGTTGATCCTGCCCGAAGCAGGCCGGGACTGTGGCGGTTGCTGTTCCCGCAGCGCATTGAATGGGATCCCAGGGGTTTCTGGGGTCATGGTCGCCCCTGGCGGATAACCTTGCCTTGCATTCATCCCGCGCGGCATCTGCATGGGATCGAACACACCTGCGTACTCGGGTTCGTCCACCATCCGACGTCCGATGCTGCTATTCGTGCCGTCTCCGCGGAGTGGATTCTCCGGCGGCGACTGTAACCTCTCCGGGCTACGCGCTTCGAAGAGGTCCGTAAATCGACTTTTCGGCCTCCCGTTGAAGCCCGTCTTGTTGGCGGGAGGCGAGGCGGGCGCTTGGTCGTTGGTCGGGTTCGGCGACGGTGCGATCTTCGTCGAGCCGAGCATTTGCAGGACACGGTTGAAGCCGACCTTGTCTTCAGCGCTCGCTTCGACCGGAGGCGCCTGAGGAGCAACGAACGGTTCCGGCGGTGGGGTGGTCACCTCCGCGGGCTTGAACATGGATGCGAACCGACTGGCCTTGGCCTTTGATCCCGGTTTGGTGGTTGGGGCAGGTGCGTTGCCCGTCGATGCAGCTGCGTCGTTCGCTCCCCACCCGGGCAGATTGAACCCATCGAGCTTGAGGGGCGCGACGTTCGCCGGCCTCGCTTCGGGTTCTTGTTGCTGTCCGGGCTCGGGTTCGAGGGGCTCCTCCTTCTCGAGGTCTTTCCTCGGCTTGCCCATGCTCTCCTTCCACTTCTGGAAGTCTTCCTGTGTGCGAGCCATCCCCATGCCCAACTCTTGGTCTTTCTTGACCACGGCGTCTTCCACGAACCATTCGGGGTCCTTTTCGACGTGGCCTCGATCGCCGTCTCGCTCGCGGCGCTGCTGTTCGCGATCACGCCAGCCGCCGGTCCGTTCGCCGTTGTGGCGTTTGTCATCGCGACTGCCGCCCCAACGCGTATCGTGCCTCTCCCCGTAGCCGTTGCGCCGCTCGCCGTCCTGATCCTTCTCATGTCGGCCGTGTCGGTCGCTCTTCTCTCGCCCGTGATCGTCGGAATCCCCAGCGAGCGCCCGGCGCTCACGGTCGCGGGTCCAGCTCTCGCGAGCATCTCGTCCATCCTTGTCGTTGGTGATCCGACGCTGCTGGCGATCGGCGAAGAAACGGCTCCGGGCGGTCTCGGCCTCTTCGGCGTGTGAGCCATCGGCGGGGGCGGGCGTGGTCCCGGAGCGATCTGGGAAGTCTGCCAGCCTGGGGATGTTGCGGCTGGAGGGGAACATGGTCCGCGGCGGGCCGAGGGAGATGTCTTCTGCACGACGAGGCACGCGACGGTCAGCCCGGCACGATCCATGGAAAGGCACTCACATAACTCACCTCCGTTCCTCGAAGTCACCGGCCGTGACAGGCCCGGCCGCTGCCCGGTGCTGAAGCTGCCCATCGGACTCCCATCCCCCAACGAAGCCGAAGCCGTCAAACCTGGCCGCTGAAGCTTTTTGGAGGCGGTGGATTGTTGGGGTTGTTGGGATTGCTGTTGCTGTTGTTGTTGATGTTGTTGTTGCTGTTGGGCGGCGTCACTGTGTGGGATCCTTAGCCTCTCCCTCGCGCCGTCGTCCCGCTCGATGTACACGTACTCTATCCATTGCTCGATGGCGGGCAGGTTATCCGGCTTCTGGACCAGGGGAGATGTTCTTAAGTGGTAGAGCTCTTCAGCGGTATACCTGCGGATCGCCATGACGTGATCGGAGGCCAGCTCGAGGCGGGAGATGTAGAATTACAGGTTTTGGAGGTGTCGATGTCTGTCAATGGTTCAAGTCGGGGGGGGGGGGGGGGAAAGCGCAAGCCAAGCCAAGATCTTTGATGTGATGTGATGTGATGTGATGTGATGTGATGAGAAGCGATGCGATGCTGCTGATGAGGATCGAGCGATTGGCGAAAGATATGAATGGAGAGCCGCGAAAATGACCGAGAGGTTTTGGTGGAAGAGTGGTCAATGGAGATGAGGTCGGAATTGGATGTTCCCGATGCAATATGGTGGTGGATTGCAGCGAGAGGGCACAAGACCTTTGCGGGTCGCGGCGCGGAGGAAGAATTCCTACCTAGGGAGGAATCCCTAGGGAATTTCCTGGGAATTTCTCCGACGCAGGAGCGCGATGGGCGGGAGCGGGGAGCTGCAATGGATGGCGGAGGAGGAGGAGGAGGAGGAGGAATCTCGTCGATTGTGTGCGATGGTCGAGAATGATGTCGAGGTGTGTCAGCGATGGTGGAATGATATGGGGATATGGGGATATGGGGATATGTGATATGGGAAAATGGGGTTGTTGTAGTAGTTGGTAGTTGTGGTGGTGGTGGTTAATTGTGGTTGTCGTGGCGGTTTAACTGAGGCCCTTCTTTTTTTTGCCCCCGTGGTGTTGACAGGGAATGCAATATTTCCCTACAGCACAACAACGATGATAACAGCAACAACAACAGCAACAGCAACAATCAATCGGATCAGCTCGCGTGTGATGTGAGAGTGGTGGTGGTGGCAGTAATGTGTGGCAGTAATAATGTGTGGTGGTGGCAGTAATAATGTATGGTGGCAGTAATAATGTATGGAGGCAGTAATAATGTACGGTGGCTGTGGTGGTGCTGTTGATGCTAATAATGCTTGCTGGTGCTGATACTTGCTGCTGATGACTAACACTTGCTGGTGCTGCTGACTAACACTTTGCTGATCGGGTTGGTTTGGTGTGTGTATGTATATATCCATGGATATGTTGTTATGTGGACGTGGACGTGTGTGTATGTGTTTGGTCGGGCTTCGGTTTCAGTGTCTCCATACTTTCCCTCGACCCTTGCTTGACCCACCTGCAGCAGTTGGAGAGAAGCAATTCCACAATCAATGGATGGGATGGGACAATAATAATCACTCCAGGGCTGGATTCGATATATAAAATTTATCATTATTATCATTATTATTATGCAACCAACCAGAGATACAGTAAGCGGAAATACCTATTGTACATATCGTATTGTTGTGACCTGATAAATGAATGGATAAATGGATAAATGAATGAATGAATGAATGTATAAACAATCCTCGTCTGCATAACATTTGTGTACAGGTGTACCAGCACAATGACGGAGGAGGAAGACACATTTCTAGGGCAAAAAAGGGATTCGAAGGGTTCGCGGGGCACGAAGCCGATGATGATGACTCAACTCCATTGCTTTATCCTGTCGTGACCTACTTCTTAATATCAACAAATTATTGCGGCATCGTGTCTCCCAATGGGGTCTGAGAGGAAACCTCACATATGCACACCAAAACATCTATCACGAGCCATTCGCGACCTATCATCATCATCATCATCATCATCATCATCATCACCACCACCACAGCCATAAATAACAATCGATCAATCACCACATAATCCAAACAGCCACCAATCTTCCAAAAAAAAAAACCACCTCACGAGAACAACAAGAAAAGTCAAAGAACAAAAAGGGGGAAGAAAGGAGAAACAAAAACCAACAGAAAAAAAAACCATGGCGGACCTCACCGACCCCTCCCTCCCGGACGTCGTGCACACCTACCACCGCCTGCTCCACGAAGACCCGGACCTCACCATGCCCGTGGCGGCGATCGAGGCGCTCATCCTGCGCCTGAGCGAGACCCCCGCGAGCACCATCAGCGAGACCCTCGACCTGATCAGCACGCTGACCAAGCAGCTGAAGACGCACATCCCGAACTCGATCTCGCTGTCCGCGGGCACGGACCTCTTCCAGCAGTACCTCATCACCTCGCTGCAGCGGCCCACCGGTAGCGCCCCCGGAGGAGGAGGAGGAGCAGGGGATTTCGAGCAGGTGCGCGCCCACCTCGTGCAGAACGGGAAGCTGTTCGTCGAGCGGGCCAAGGCCGCGCGGGAGACGATCGCGGGCTTCGGCCGGCACCTGATCCGGGACGGGGACGTGATCCTGACGAACGGGGGGTCGCGGGTGGTCGGGGCCCTGTTGCGCAGCGCCGCCGAGGCCGGGAACGGGAACGGGCGGGGCAGCGTGCGGTTCCGGGTGATATACGTCGTGAGCTCGGACGACGGGACCGCGGAGAGCGCGGAGCACATCGCGGCGCTGCGGGAGCGCGACATCCCCGTGGCGACGATCCCGGCGACGGCGGTGGCGTTCGCCATGGGCCGCGTGACGCGCTGCTTCGTCGGCGCCGAGGGCGTGGTCGAGAACGGCGGCGTCATCAGCCGCCTGGGCACCTTCCAGATGGGCATGCTGGCCAAGAGCCTGGGCAAGCCGTTCTACGTCGTCAGCGAGAGCCACAAGTTCGTGCGGCTGTACCCCGTCGGCCAGGACGACCTGGGCTTCGAGCAGAGCGTGGTCGAGTTCCGGACGCTGCGGGACGAGATCTCCGCGAGGGAGGAGGAGAAGGAGACATCGGAGGAGGACGGTAATCAGAACGATGAGAACAAAAACAGCAGCAGCAGCAGCAGCAGCGGAAAGAAGGTCTCGCGGAAGGCGGAGGAGGCGGTGGATTACACGCCGCCGCACCTCATCTCCGGCATCATCACCGAATCCGGCGTCCTCCTGCCCAGCGCGGTGAGCGAGGAACTGATCAAGATCTGGTACTAGGGCGGGGTGACCTCGAGGGGAGAGGACGAAAACGTGTGGAAGTTGCCCCCTAGTCGATGATTTCAAAGCCCAAAAAAAGAAGGAACTAAAAAGTCCTGGCAGGAAAGGGCCAAGAAAGAAAGAAAGAAAGAAAGCGAGAGCGCCAACGAGGCGAAGAGCAAGGGGAAAAATTGACGACGAGGGGATCTTCTGTGAGTTGCCCGATGAGGGTTTCTATTTGTTGTGATTCATCCCTTAGCGAAGGCGTTACATAGGCGTCGAAAAGAGAATTTACATCCTTGTGGGATTTTTGTTTTGGGGATTCGGGATTCGAATGGGATCTGGCGGTGTTTCCTCCTCTCTCTCTCTCTTTCTCTCTCACATATGTATATTTTCACACACCTACACACCTATATATACCCGAGGACGCAGGGAGGACACTTCTTTCCCTATCTTTGTTTCGTGGACATGTATAAGGCGAGAGAGAGGCCTATTCGGGAGAAAGAGAAAGAGGAAGAAGAGGATCCGGGAGGGGAAAAGAGCCCTGTTTTTCACGTCCGTCCTTCGGGTTTCCTTCATTTTGTTCCCCATTTCTCATTTCATTTCATTTCGTTTCATTCCCTCTGAGAATAAACCCCCCCCATGTCTCTCTCTCTTTCTCTCTCTCTCAAGATGGGATCTCTGCGTAATTGTACCCTCGAACAGATAACCCATCCATCCATTCATGCATTCATCATCATCAAAAAAGGATCGTCGGTTCGTCCGTCGGGTTCAAAAGTCGAAATCCGAGCATAATTCCCTCTTCCCTCCTTTATTCTCCCCATCGTCGTTCAGACCACCACCCGTTTCTTTCCCTCCCCGATCGACCAAGAGGGGGGAAGAAGAGAAAGAAAAGACAAAAACAGACAAACAGACGCCGATGGAGGGGGGGGGAGCAAATTCACCGTCGAGTTTTTCAACCCCGTCACTCGGCCAGCTCGGCCAGCTCCCGCTCCTTCTCCAGCAGCGCCCGGCGCATCCGCTCCGCCTCGCGCCGGAGTTCCATCCGACGGAGGTCCTTGGAAGAGGAGGAAGGAGGCGCCGCGGTCAGATCCGACGAGAGGAGCGCGCGGATGGAGATTTCGCTCTCGTAGGGGTGGCTCCCGGTGGTGGTCCGCGAGGAGGACGGGGGGCATGTGGCGGGGTCGGCGTCGCGCATGACGACGTCCTGGGGGTGGGGATATGATGACGATGAGGTTTCGTTGCGGTGGTGGTGGTTGTTGTTGTCGTTGTTGTTTTCTTCTCCTTCGGCGGTGGCGGAGAAGGAGCGTTTGCGGTTGTGCTCTTCGGCTTCGGGCTGCTGTTGGTGTGAGGAGCCGGGGGGGTTTCGATCGTGGTGGGTGGTGGTCATGGTGCGGAAGGCGCCGGTGAAGTCGACGGGGATGGGGACGTTGGTGGTCCGTGGATTGTGGTGGTGGTGGTGGTTGTTGTTGGCAGGGGAAGTGGGGTCGTCGAAGTCGCGGCCTCCTCCAGGACCGCTGTAGACGGATGACGAGGGAGGTCGATCGGAGAGCATGGAGATGTCGCTGGCGGCGTCGTTGTTGTTGGTGCTGTTGCTGTTGCTGTGGCTGTGGCTGTGGTCGGAGGCGGATTGTCGAGGGATGTGCTCGATGGTGTTGCCCGTCATGGGGACGACGCGCTTCCGGCGTTTGATCTCCGCCTTCTTCATCTGGACGGGGCGGTGGGCGCCGTGGAGCTTGTAGTACAGCCCGCAGGCGTTGCAGATGGTGTGTCCGGCCTCGTCGCGGCGCCACAGCGGCGTGATGGTGGTCCCGCAGTTCTGACAGGCGACGACGACGTTGGTCGCGGTGGGGGAGGAGGAGTGGCTGTAGCTCTGCAGGACGGCCTGGGAGGAGTTGGAGCCGTCGGCGTTGGGTCGGAGGGTGACCTGGGCGATCTTGGACACGCGGTTGTTGTACGCGGGACATCCGCTGCAGGCCTCTTGACCTCCGGTCCCGTTGCACCGCCCGCCGCCGGGGCAGGTGCCGTTGATGCTCTCGTCGGCGGAGACGTAGGTGGCGCCGCCTTGGATCGACGTCGGCGCGGGGCCCATGTCGTGCGATCGAGGATCGCCCGGGTTCGACGAGTTCGCCGAGCCGCGCTTCAGCCCCACGGGACGCATCTGGTTGCGCGCCTTGTAGTAGAGCCCACAGGCGTTGCAGATGACCGCCCCGGCCGGGGACCGTCTCCACAAGGGCGTCTTGGTCGTGCCACAATTGCTAGGCCGTGTCAGTGATGCGGGCGGGGGAGCATCCGGGACGCTCGCGCGACTCACCTGCACATCTGCGCGCCGAGGATGTTGTTGGCCCCCGGCGACGCTCGATGATCCGACGCGGACGATTCGTGAGGAGGGGTGGAGTATGACGGCGAGTTCGGGGCATTCCCGCCCTGTTCGAGATGAGGTGAGCGTCGGGAGCCGTCGCCGGGTTGGGTCCGGGGATGTTGGCCGTCGGCGGTCGGCTGCTGTGGTGGTGGTGCTGCTTGAGACCGCGACGCCTGGAGTTCCTGGGCCGACATCGGGTAGGCGCCCTGGGAGTGGACGACGAGCTGTTGCGCCGCCTCGAGTTCTTGTTGCGACGGTTGTCTCTGTTGCAGGTGACCCGGGTGTTGTTGGGTGGGATGTCTCGGGGCGGTCGCTGCAGTCTCGCGTCCACCGGTGTGATGGTCGCTCGCCATAGCAGTGGGGGTTGGGATCGAGATCAGTGGTTGTTATTGAAGCATTGAGATCTGTCTGAGAAGAAGATGATGGGGAGGAGGAGATCGACAGCGTCAAGCGAGGACAGGACGAGAGATTAGATCGTCGGTGTCAGTCGGGTTCCTTGCACTCCAGGGCTCTCCTCCTACTTCGCAACAGGCAGGCGAAAGAGAGTGAGACACAGGGAGAGGCAGGCGCGATGGAGATGATCTGATATGATATGATAGTGCGCCACCTGGAGGGCACTTGGTTCCGGTCCAAGTCAGTCCCCGTGCCGTGGGCGGTGGTGGTCGTCGTCGTATCGGTCGGATCGGACGTCAGGGGAGTAGAGTATAGTACAGTACGGTACCGGGTGTTGTGTGTTATTCATGTATTGTACTCAAGTGTACTGTATACCACCGACGAGTCAAGTACTGGAGGGAGAGGAGAAGCAAGCGATCACGGTAAGACACACTCCTGTGGTTGTTGGTTATTCCTTGATGCTTTGGGTAGGAGGATAGGATAGGATCGGTGGTGGTGGTGATGATGTGTGGCAGTGATATATGGTGATGGTAGTGGTGGTGGTATTGTGCGGTAATGGGGGTGTGTGTGTGTGTGTGTGTGTGTGTGTGTGTGTGTGTGGCTATCGAACATCAAACAACACACACGAGGCAGATCTGCGATCCAGAAGACAGGCGGCGTATAATGACAGCAATACTAGGTAATCATCAATGCGTGGTGAGTGACTCCCCCTACACAAACAGCAGTGCGAGTCGGCTATACAGGCAGTGACTACACTATGACTATGACTATGCCGGATCCCCATCCAGTCGCAGTTGCAGTTGCAGTTGCAGGCGAGGCGGGCGGCGGGATCGTCAATCCAGGGTCAGGGAGAATGTCATTCGGCTGACATGGTTCGCTGTAGTCGTGCATATCATGGCGGTGATTACCAAAGCGGACGATATCATTGGCGGAGAGTGAAGCGCAAGGACCCCCCCAGGCCTGTTAAAAAGTTAGGCGCAGATGGGAGAATTTGCTGGGCTTTTGCTTGATTGCTTGATCGATGGATGGATTGTTTGCGCCGCTAGTCACTTCTACTCTCTACTCTACTCTACTTGCCTCTCTCTCTACTCCGTCACCGAACTTCAAATCGACTAGGATACCACTCCTACTCCTCCCGTCTCGATTCGGTCACGGATCGGATCCACTCTGCACCTTCCAGATCGGGTTACGGCCCCCGGATGGCGCAAGACGAAGGAGAAGAAGAAGAAGAAGAAGAAGAAGAAGAAGAGGAAAGAACAACATTGTCTGTCGTGCCTTTTGATAGATGATACATAACCCGGGACGATGGCTCCAATTGACTCCTCACGATCAAATCAAATCATCACGACGGTCCGCTCTGGGTCGATGACATAACGCACTGGGGAATCCGTTCCATTCCATCTGATTATTACGCGAGGCGGGAGGGGCTCGGAGCGATTGTCCGCTCTGGGAAAAGCCTTGCTGATGGACATCTCCCTGCCCGGCTTAAAGGGTGCACGTTTCCCATCGCCTGGCTGTCGACCGTCACAGTGGACGATGACCTGATCTTCAACTGGGTGCATCTGTGTCCAAATGAATCCATCCCCATCGATGACTGTCACGTAGAGCCAGAGTGTGGCACAGTCTTGAGGTCACGGCTGTCGTAGTTATAATTGTAGTTATAGTTATAATTATAATAGTCGTGGTTGTGGTTGTGGTTGTTGTTGTCCTTCATTCATACCTACCTACGTAACGTAAGAACGCGACGACACCTCACACCTCACACCTGGCATCTGACATCTCCACACTACTGAGTTGAATCCCAAAAGATGAGGAGAAGAAGAAGAAGAGAAAAAAAATCGAAAAAGATTTCACCTCGTCTAGGAGAAGGTGAAGGAAATCACATCCCTCAAGTAGAAAGGAGTCATCACGACCACAACGCAGTTGACGAAAAGGGAGAAATACAGCATTCCGGTGACGAATCCGACAGCACTTGACTTGGTCTCGCTCGTCGACCATCGAATCGCAACGACGTCGTCTCCGTCGGCGGCTGATATGCCTGCCTGCGTCGGCGACGTTCGGTGACACCGTCCTCTGCACGGAGGGGCATCAGGCGTAGGTCGGCTCCGATCCAGGTTCTCGTCGTACTGCCGAGCATTCTGGCTGTTTCTTGTGATTATCGATATTTGTATTGTCAATCCACTCGGGAAATATTCGGCGAGGATTCGATACAGTATTGTAGTGTAACACACGAGCGCATTGAGATTGATCACCCCGTACTCGCCCATCAGCCGTTTCTTGCACGAGGGCCAGCCGGAAATCGGGATTCGATGAGATTTCTGATCGTCGAGGTTCTCATCGGTGTCACTATATTCATTAGTATATTTGGCAAGATTATGAAGAAAAACCACCCTCTCTCTGTGGTAATATCCCTTTCTCTCTCTCTATCTCTAAGCATCCTTGTCGCTTCCGTCGTCGTCATCCTCACCTTCCTTCTGGACCCGACGGCCCTTGACCCCCTTCGCAACCTCATCCACCAACGACTCCATATACTCCCGGTCCTTGCCCACCAGGGTCACCGAGTTGTGCGATTTGCCCCATCGGGGGTAACTTCCGACCTTGACGCCCTTGTCGGCGACCTTGGCGGAGAGCTGGGTGAGGTATTCCGCGACCTCGCTCTCCGGGAGGGGCGTGCTGAAGATGATGCGGTGCACGCCTTTGCCCTCGGGGTCGACGAGCCGGGGGAGGATGCGCGGCTTGAGGCCCGTGAGCATGGCCTCGAAGAGCCGCGGGATCCCCGGGAGGATGTGCACGTTCGAGTTCACGCAGCTGACGGGCACCCAGAGCTCCTCGGACGTGAAGATCACCTGGTCCTCGTCCGGCACCTCCTTGTCGTACGGTAGCTCAATCATGCGCATCTTGGCCCGCCGCGCGGGCGAGTCCACGTCCCACGAGAACGCCTCCTGCCCGGGCCGTGGCTTGGAGATGCGCTTCATCCGCTCCAGGGACTTCTCGTGGAGGACCAATGGCAAGTTGAACGCGCGGGCGATGGATTGGTAGGTGATGTCGTCGTGGGTGGGTCCGATGCCGCCCGAGGTGACGACGAAGTCATAGTTGTTGCTCATCCGCCGCGTCGCCTCGATGATCTCGGCCTCATCATCGGCGATGACTTCGACACGCTTGAGGTTGATCCCCATCGAGAAGCAGTATTTGGCGAACCATGCTGAGTTGGTATCCACGGTCTATGTCACATGATATCCTTTAGCATTTTCTTCAGTAATGTCGCAAGCGATGGTTGGCGTAAGCAATATGACTGACCTTGCCGCCGAGAACTTCGTCGCCGATGATGATGATGCCCGCCGTGTGGATCTGTTTTTTACCACCTGGAGCCGCCATTGTCGATCGTGACGTCAACAACTGTCCGCCGGTGCGTAGTGTTGGACGAGAGAGATGTCGAGTGACTTGGTTGACGCGAGCGAACATGAGGTTTGTCGATGACAGGTGCCTGGAAACCAGTCCGAAATCGCGAAACAGTTCGATCGTGAGGTATATAGAGGTCGGATCGAGCAGCTCCAATGGACGTTGTGAATAAAGAATTACCTAGGCATACGCAAGTGACATAGTGAGGCTAGCGTCATCGACATCATCGGCTTGGGGGATGTGGGGTCGGATAAGATCTCCAGTCATCTGATATAGCAGACGGGACCTGGCGATGACTTATCAGAGATGGAGTTTTGACGATTGGCTACTGCGAAACGTGAGATACTACGTTAGCTCGTTTTTATTGAATCATATAAAGACCCCATCAAATCCGTCTATTTCCTGACATGTGCAATCAGGCACCACAGCTCTCTACGATGACCTCTCACGAGAGATCAACATGCACACAACACAGAGCTCTCTCTAAACTTCCACCAAGTATTAACAACATTGGATCTCTCCAGCCTCTCTCAAAAGTCCCTCCTCTGTAGTACATCATGGTGAGATCCGTCGCATTCGAAGACTCTCCACTTCTTCTTCCAGTAAGCTGATCGGAAAACACGTCGCCCAGTCTTCCGAGTCGCGCCTCTATACCTTCTCGACCGAGACGAAAGATCAACTCCGCAAGTTCCGCCTAGGCACATCACGCTCCAACCAGCCTCAAGCCAGAATCTGTACGTCCCGCAGAGAAATCATCACTTGAAAGGTGTTCCCGGTGGATCCGACCTTGAGAGTGGCAGAAAGAACAGCGAGCTGGTGCAGGGGAATCTATTCCCTTGGCGTCGCGAAGAAATAAAAGAAGCATGAAAGCAGCCGTGAAAAACCAAACAGAAAAAAAAACACAATATGGGCAAATGATTTTCTGACACTCCGAGGAATTTCTCCCTCGTTTGCCACGCGGCGGAAATACAGATCAAATCGACAAGAAAAACATGGAGATCCGCCAAGTCGACGACGAAGTCTACACCAAAATCCCCGACATCGTCGACGAGCTCCCCGATAACACGCCGCGATACATCCTCCTCAGCTACCCCCTGACATTGGTATGCGCGGAAACCTCTCTTCCTTTCCCCCTCCGCCTCCATGTAACTCATCACCCGCCCTGAGCCGCGGGAAGAAACCGTTCCACATACTTGGGTTGTCCCCTGTTTTCCCTTCTCGAACTTGCCCCTCACAATTTCTAGGCATCCGGTCGGCTCTCCGTACCCTACGTCATGGTCAACTACCTCCCGCCGACGTGCTCGAGCGAGATGCGCATGCTTTACGCCGGCGCCAAGGAGTTGATGAGGAATACCTCCGAGGCGGGGAGGATCATCGAGATCGATTCGCCAGAGGATCTTGAGAGCATCGAGGAGAAATTGAAGGAGTGAGCAAAAGTCTCACACTGGACCATGATTTGTTTGTGAGAGCGTGGAGGGGATAGGAGGTGGTGGTGAGAGTGGTGGTGGTGGGCGTTGAGAAGGGAAATATTTTTGTTGTTGTTGATGTGGGCGATATGACACAGCTTCCTCGGTCCGAAGAGGGATGATGTCAGCGCGCCATATATGCTACCGATGCTGGAATGTCATTCTCATGGCTTTTTGCGTGGAAAGAAGATCATTTCGAGACTTGGATTCTTTTGATCAAGATAGGAATGGCACATTTCGAGTTTTGGGCGGTTTTCCGCATTCCTGGCGGGATCATGATGGAAACGAAACCCTCTGCGGGCTGGAAAGAATCTCATCCTTTCTTGCTTTGGATCTGGCAGATCTTGTTAAGCCTACTTCTCGCCTTGTGCTGTTCGTCTGACTTCTTGGTACAGTATACAGGAAGTGATTTCCCTCCAGGAGCGAGGCAAGAGGCTTGGCCGCGTAGTGTTTAATAACATACTCATACAACAAGAGTTGTGTGCATCAGCTTCACGTGTGAAATGCATGTGATTTCAGCCCGCCAAGCACCTAGGTAACGAAGGAGGACATGCAGAGGAGAAGAACAGATGAATAAAGCTACCGATGGAAGAATAGGAATAAACCAGAAGAAAGAGGTTAGAAGGAGTAGAAAAGGAAGTCTCGAAGCTCAAGAGAAAGAAAAAGAAACAAAATGAAGTATTTGTCCCTTTCCATTCTTCACCCTCCAGGCTTCTCTATCATCCGAGAAGAGGATGTAAACAATGGAGAGGTTTCTGGTGTGATAGTCGATAGCGGTCCCAGCAGAGAGAGAGACACAACATGGCGATGCCCATCAACAGTTTCTCTCTTGGTCTGATGAGGTTATCCCAAATGAAAGGATCCGACCAGCACCCCCAATCTCAATTCACATCCCCTCGTCTTTCCAAAAAGAAAAGAGGAGGAAAAAAATGAATAGGCAAAATCCAAATGCACGCCGCTTTCTTTGAACACAGGAGATCCGTACTTTTTTTTTGGTGACATGTCCCTCGCGATTGAGACATGCATTTTTTTCCCTTGCGCGCGCGAAAAAGAAATCGACTCCCCCGTCCATCCGGCCGCTCGGGGATCCCTTGCGAATGTGGACGACGCTCACAATGTGTGATGTGAAACACATTCGTGGATTCCCTTCTGAGGGCTAGAGTCCTTGTGCAGGGAGGAAGTCTTCTGCTTTCCACGTTGCGCCTCTGGTCTCGTTCTCCTGGCGCATAAGCCCTGAATGCTTGCTCCCCCGATCATGCCTCTCTGCTCTTGGAAGTATCCGCGCCCGAAATGAGAATTCAACCGGAACGATCTTCATTCCGTTGGGAAAAGGTTCCGCCGCACACATGCAGAAGTGCGGGCGAGTGTGGGAAACCCAGGAAATGCCTCTCTCTAGTCCCCCAAAACAGCGCATCAAAGAAAAGTTGCAGCAGTCACGTCTTCGACGATGCAAAAGAAACGTGTAGCCGGCTGCGAAATAAAATGGTGTGACGGTGGTGACAAAGAGAATATGCAGATGAGGGTTTTGTTCTCTACATGATCGTACATTTGGCACAGCATCCAGGCTCTTTCTCTTGTCCCTCAATGCCCATCTCTTCCCGAGCTCGGTTTGCTGACCCGGCGGTGCCGTTGTATCCCGAGTTGCGGTTGAATTTGCGGATCTCGCGGACGATGTCGTAGAAAGCGTTGTCGACGTTGATGCGCGACTTGGCCGATGTCTCGATGAATTTGCAGCCGAATGACTCGGCGAGCGCACGACCCTCTGTGAGTTGTGTCAGCTTGACATTCCCATAGCAATCCCAACGCCATGCGCGAGGATTCGCACAACATAAAAACTCACCCTCTGTGGAGACCTGTCGCTCATGCTCTAGATCGCACTTGTTGCCGACGACGGTGATGGGGAAGTAATCTCTGTCCTTGACGCGGAGAATTTGTTGTTGGAAAGTCATGATTTCCTCGAAGCTCTGTCGTGATGTGATGCTGTAGACGAGAAGGAAACCTTCACCTGTTCGCATGTATTGCTCGCGCATGGCTGAGTATTCCTCCTGACCGGCGGTATCGAGGACATCCAGAAGCGCGACCTCATCGTCAATGACACACTGCTTGCGATAGGAGTCTGTGTGATGGGAGAAGTGTCAGCGGAAGGCGTGATACGTGGACGTTGGCGTCGGTGATCGCAGAGAGGTGAGCTGCAAGCCGAAGGGATTATGATTCGCACCTTCTATCGTAGGGTCGTATTCATCAACGAAATGACTTTGGATGAGTTGAATGGTGAGACAACTCTTTCCAACACCACCTCCACCGACGACGACGAGCTTGTATTCCCGTAGGAACTGAGTAGATGACATGTCAGTGATGCAATGCCGTTGAAACATCCAAGAGAGGACAGACTTTGGTGGCCATTTTGAGTTCCTGCTCGCACACGGCACGAATGGGAATAGAATCTCAGGTTCGGGTTCAAGGAAACCGTATACGCGACGATGATAAGATCTCGCGATTGCGACTCGGGTTTGATGAGGCTGTTCCGGATTGCAGAGCGCAAGGTTTGGTACAGAGCCGGCGATTGTGATGAAGGGAGAAACTGATGCAGCGATCACGCAGGTGGTAGGCGAAGGACAAGGCTGAAGTGACCGCGTGGCGATCGCGGAGTCGATGGGCGGAAGATCGTGAAGCAATTGCGAACGTGGATCAGTCGAGAAGAGGGCGATGTGAGTGTGTGTCTAGGATGCCGCGGTTGGAATCCAGCCAGCGAGAAGTCCAAAGGGAGCGAATAGAGGAAACACACCTGCACACACACCTGCACTCGCGCGAAGGGCCGTTTGGGTTTGGAAAGGCCAGCGGCCGGGCAGCCGGCCGGGAAGTACGTGCAACGGTCAGTCCCGAGCCCTTTTTTTGGTTGAAGTCCGGCACTCCACACTGCAGCAATGGACAGACAACGGCTGCGTCTACAAAACAATACTACTACCTGCGGATCGATCTTCATGTTTCTGTCACGAGCAAGGCCGAGGCGAATGCCAAAATCGGACTTTCGACGAAAGCGCATGCTTTGACCTCACCCGTGAGATTGATGATTGTCCACTCATTCATCGAGTGCATCGAGCATTTGCTCCAGTCTGTTTGTTGATGGTACTATAACCAGGGCTAGCTTTGCCGCACATTGCAAGCTCGACCTTTCGATGAGCTACAGGACCTAGTCTTGGAGCTTCATGTGAATTCTTGACCGCCAGCCAGCAACCCTTCCGATGGCGATAACAATAATAACAACAAAGATTGACCGATGGGCGCACTGGCAGAGAATGGCGGCATCGTAGCGCCACCGCCTCAACATTCCCTCCATCGTCGCGATCCCCAGCCAGCCTACGAGCCACCGGGCATCCACCTCATCACGCGCGTCGAACGCATCCTAGAAATTCATGCAACCGAGCTTATGTGAAGCCGACTGCATATGACCATGTCATTGGCACGAGGGAGGTCTTCCGTCACGCTGCTTGCGCTTGTCGATGCACACTGCTCACGGCAAGCCGGTCCAATATCGCACCCAATGAGAGATGAGGATGGGGACTTTTCAGGACAATGCACCTGCACACTAGTATTTGCTTTCCCCACCCGGGCAATCTCAAATCGTAACGGGCAAAATTTCATGTCGGCAGGGCCTGGAATTATCCTCATCTCGAGAAGGGGACTCATCATCTTGTTCAGGGCGCGCGAAGAAAAGACCCTGGCGTGGATGAGAAAGCTCCTCGAGGGGGGTTTTTCTTGGACACCACCAGCATGTGATTACTGCGACTTCAGGGAAAGATTTCTGCGCGAGCGGCTGGCACTGCGACCTCCAAGCGGATGGACTGACTGGGAGAAGCCCATTTCACATCGAGGTTGGTGATCGTGCCCGGCCGAGTGCACATCAGCGCTAAAATGCTTTTGGTTATTTCCGACTGAATCCAGCTCTCATTGGTTTACCCACCTCGGAGGCTACTAGGGTGGTGATGTGCGATGGATGGTGGCACGGTGGCGCTGGGGAAATCTCCTTGGCTTTGGCGGGCGAGGATCTCGAGGTTTTGAGGTTTCGGGAGCCGAGTCATACTGTAGACGTCGGACGCTCAAGTATTGATACTGGCTTGTGCATGTATTCGATGTGCAATCCTCCAGAAAGGAAGCGGTACATTGGGGCGCACGTCTGTGCTGCAGGGAGCGATGTTTCTCATGCGTGGCCGAACTCAGCTCGAGGCTCACGGCCAACTATAGCAGCTAAAAGGGCTTTGTTGAGACGATGTCGTGCCCCGTAATCATTACTCATCAACAAGGCTGGCAGATTACCTAATACTGTAGTCAACCATATACTCAGAGAAGCACCAGCAAACGCTGGGAAGCCCTGGAGCCATCGTCACCTGCATACAGACGTACTATACTCTTGGTAAATCAATACAGCTGGAGTAGTTACATTGCATTAGCTCGCCATATATATCCAGCAGCACTAGAACGTCTATAGAGCCCAATCGTGCAAATGTCTCACGGCGCACCGCGCATAATCTCCCTGTACGATGTCCACCATACACGAGCCCACTGATCAAAATGCACTTCACTTCCAAGGTTGACACGCATCACTAACACTCACAGGACGAAAGCGCTTGCGGCTGGGGATACTTCATCGCGTGGTCCGCATCCTTCTATCCGCAGCCATGGATGAACATTCGGCGCCGGACGACCGAGGGTTTCATCCTCGACTTCCCACTCCTGAACGTCTTTGGTTTCACTTGTTATGTAAGTCAGTCGCCCTCTCTCCCGAGAAATCCAGTCCAGGCCGGCCCGAGCATTTTCGCACAGGTGTCTACGAATCCCAACCGCAAAGAAACCCGCGGATATCCGACTGTCTGGGAGTCCGCTAGAGACTCTGCCTCCTCCTCCCGTGTATCTTGGGATGTCGGCTGACCCGGCGGAAAACCCACCCCTCCAGACCATCAGCACCGCAGCCTTCCTCTACTCGCCGACCATTCGACACGAATACGCCGCACGCCATCCCGCTAGCCCAGAGCCGACGGTCCGGGCGAACGACTTCGCCTTTGGCCTGCACGCGACCATTCTGTGCATCATCATCGTCTCGCAGTTCTGGTCCAAGCTATGGGGCTGGACCCCGCTAGCGCAGACGCCGCGACCGACGAAAATCACCTTGGCAGTTCTCTGCTGTTCGTGTGTGATTGTCTTGGTGAGCATTTTCATCGTGCTGGCGGATCAGGTCAAGCCGGTGGAGCGGCGGCGAGGTTGGGGATGGATCGATGTGGTATGTATATGCTCTCTCTCCAAGAACCCCCGGACAGGCGTGGGAATGGTGTCTTGATCGGAACTCTTCCATGGCTGATGATTTCCGATGTTTTCCACATCAGATGTACTCCCTGACCACGGTCAAACTCCTGCTCACGGTCTTCAAATACTCACCACAAGCGTGGTTGAACTATCGCCGCAAGTCCACGATCGGTTGGGCCATTGACGGCATGACGCTGGACTTCATCGGAGGCGTCTTGAGTCTCGTCCAACTCGTGATCGACTCGGCTTCGCAGGCTGATTGGTCTGGAATCACCGGCAATCCGGTCAAGTTCGGATTGGCGAATATCTCCCTGTTCTTTGATGTCATCTTTCTTGTTCAGCATTTTGTCCTTTATGGACCGGTTGAGTCGAAGACAACAAAGTCTAGCGACGAAGAACCTCACGAGACGGATCGTCTACTGAGAGGCGAGCAAGAGGCTTCTCTGCCGCCTTCGGATGATAGGAATACTGCTAATTGATTGCCATTGGTAGAAATCTGATAGAGTTGAAAACTTGATCGACAGCGGGTGTGTTTGTACGCAATGTCGCTACAGTTCACTTGAACTGTAATATAACAAGACTGTGATTGAGCTCGACAAATCTGGGACATTGACTAGCATATGTGTTGCTACAGAATCCCATCAGAATTCGGTCAGATCGGACCGTGCACTCCGACGGCTTAAAAAAGACGAGAACTGAAACCTTTCTTTTCCACTTCGCCTACTAGCTAAGCCGCAGATAGATATCGTATAATTAGCCATCGGCGAGAAAATATACCAGATGAATCATCGGGATTCCTCTGCCTAATTGGTTCCTGTACGTAGCAAGTTACTTCTTCTGGCCGACAGCGGCCCGAGTCTGGTAGTGCTCAACGAGGACATCATCCCGCTCCTGCAAAAAGAACGCAGCACCAGCCGCCGGTCCCGCAAGCGCCGTCAATCCAACAGCCTGTAGAAGCACGTTCAACGAGAGACCCTTCCCAGACCGCTTCGTCGAGCTCTCAAGGTACAGCGTGGCCGCCCAGATGAAAATCGCCGACGCGGCACAGATGTTATCCCATTGCAAGAACGTCGCCACTCCCGTGGCAAAATCGACCCTTCGTCCATCCGTGATGGCCGCGACGTTGGGGATGATCCACGCGGGGATCTCACGGAGCGCGGGGACTACACCGAGGGTGTTAATGTGGCCCGTTGCGGACGCGAGGATGGCGAAGAGGTAGAGCTTGCGCTTGTGCGAGACCCGTCCGCTGGATGAGACCGGCACCGAAGACGTCGCCGGCAGAGACTTGAAGATGGTGAACGCGGCCAGCACGAAAACCGGGTGGAAGAGCCGCAGGATCGTCCAGAGCTGTGCGGATTTCCAGCCTTGGCCGTCGATGGCGCAGTTCTTCATGAGTAATGTGGGGATGAAATGGCCGATGAAAAGCGCATAGCCCAGAGCACGCATTGTGCCGGGCGGGGTTGCGATTGTTTCCACGCCATCTTGCTTACCCTGGGATAATGGAGCTCGGGTGCTGAGCAGATGGATGACACACCATACTGGCGTGAACATTCCGATGCCGAAAAACTCGCCCATGAGCTCGCAGAAGTATGTGCCGAGCATGAATCCTACCGAGCTGGAAGATCGGTGGGCCTCGGAGAGCATCAGGAAGAATGCGCCGGATAGCGTGCCCACAATGTAGTTGGCTTGTAAATGTCCCGCGACATTTCTTTCGTCGAGCGCCGCCCAGAAGAAGTTCAACATGAAGGCAAAGTAGTTGTCGATTGGTGCAATGCCCGTCTGTGGGAGGGCGATGGGGATGTTGGTGTTGTGGAGGATGCGGTTCTTGAACTCGAAGACGGTATCCAGCGTAAAGGACCCGTTGAGCCCGGCTTGTCTACCGAGGGTGAAGTGAGCCAGCACCGCGACTCCCGCGAGCACCGCGATGCCTAAGGGGCGGGAAATGGCCATGATTATGCCGGATTATGATCCTGATGAATAGAATCGTCTGTAAGGGAGTGGCTGCTGTGAGAGTAATTGATCGATATGTGATCAAATCGAGGAGACTGCGGGGGATTGATAGCTAGCCGGGCTGTGGCACTTCTTATACCAAAGACCTCTCAAAGAGATCAACATGAGGTCGTTACGAATAGCTAGTGCAGGGCACGCCGAGCACTAGGGTGAGTCGCGAGTCGCTACAAGAAACTGATCAAATTGAATGAGATGTTTTGATGGCTCAATTAAAGCGATCATTCACGTGCTTGCTCGGTCTGACTTACAGTCTGGGGCTACATATGCATGGCTAGTTGTCCAGGTGGTGGTGGAGATTGGACTGATTATGGGCACGCCTGTGAACCAGCCCGAGGTCAGTCAGTCATTCTCAGATCCCGTCCAATATTACGACCCCTGTAGTTCACATGTGATACAGTAATACCTAGTAATAATAACTCCTCCACTGGTTCACTCAACGGCTTAGTAAGTTCACATTGACATCGCGAGCGTCGCTCTCGGATGGAGACTGTTATTTTTTGGACGAATCTGCTCGTCTTGTCCAATAATTATACCTTGTTGGAAATGCTCACAAGGTAAAGAGTAAATACATGAAGGAGATGTCCTTGGTCCGCAAGGTGCACTCCATGGTCGGCTTGCTCGGCTATCGCACAAAGCCGAGAGACATTCGGCATGTAGCCCGCTGTTGTTGACACTAGGGGGTTGACAACACTCAAACAACCTCCTCTATCACTACCCTGGCGTTGGATTTCATCAACGACAACATCATCAGTTCACAACATCACGCTCATTGAATCTCGAATCTCCCGTTCAAGGTACTCGCATAATTTAAAATATGGCGTCCAAGACGAACCTCCTCCTCACCGCTGCCATCGGCGGTGGTCTCCTCTCCGCGCTTTTCGTCTCCCCCGACCGTCTCAAGGAGCCGTTGTTGAAGCACTTTGGCCAATACAGCTCATACATCAACCCGTTGAACGTCGACCGCCTCGTCGTCCTCTTGAAGGGTCTCCTCGCTCTCGGACTCTACCGCGATGTCGCCGCCTTCCTCTCCGAGTTGGCCCAGAACGACTTCCGCTTCTCCTCCGAGAAGAGCAAGTACGATTGGCCCAACGAGGTCATCGTCATCACTGGCGGTGCCGGTGGTTTCGGTGGTCTCATGGCCAAGGACTTCGCCTCCCGCGGCATCAACGTCGCCATTTTGGATATCTTCGAGGAGCTCCCCGCCGCTCTTCAGAACAACGCCAAGGTGAGGAAATTATCATGCCCGTTTCTTTCTTTTCTCCTCTCGCATACATGGACTAAACACATCATCACGACAGATCTCGTACTTCAAGTGTGACATTACCGATGCCGACGTCGTCGCCGAGGTCGCTGGTAAGATCCGCGCCACCGTCGGCCAACCCAGCGTCCTGATCAACAACGCCGGTGTCGCCCACGGCCAGCTCTCCATCCTCGACATCACCCCCAAGCAGGTCCAGCAGCTCTACAACGTCAACATCGTCTCCCACTTCAACACCGTCCGGGAATTCCTCCCGACCATGATCGCCAACAAGAAGGGCCACATCGTGACCGTCAGCAGCATGGCCGCTTTCGTCTGCTCCCCGGGCCTCGTCGCCTACAGCTCCTCCAAGAGCGCCGCACTCGTCTTCCACGAGGGCCTCCAGCAGGAGCTCCGCACCTTCCACAACGCGCCCGAGATCAAGTGCTCCGTCGTGCACCCGACCTTCGCCGACACCCCGATGGTCGCCAAGTTCAAGGACAGCCTGGCCAAGACGACCGCGAAGCTCATCACCCCGGAGTCCGTCGCCGACGCCGTCGTCAAGCAGGTCCTCAGCGGTCGCGGCGCCCAGATCATCCTCAACGGCAACCTTCCCTACTTCCTGACCACCCTCCGCGCCTGGCCGCACTACCTGTCGGGAATCATCCTGATGGGCGCCAACCGTGCCATGAAGGTATGTTTTGTAACTTTTTTGCGCTCTCTCTCTCTCTCTCACACACACACACACACACACACATGCACACACGTGCACACGCGTGCACACGCGAGACGAATTTCTCCGTTTGCGTTCTCTCCGATTACTAACCACTCCCATCTCACAGGCAACTCACGCAACCAAGAAGGATTAGAAAGAATTTTCGTCAGGTTTGGCCGAGAATTCTATGTGTATAATTTCTGTGGAAGAATACCAAATCCCTTATTTTTTTGCCCGCAAGAAAACTTGTCTTTCTTTTTTTCTTTCTTTTTTCCTAGGGTTGTTCAAATTCCCCCTTGGACTTTCTCGAGCCTTCTCTCTCGTCTATAGTTTGACAAGTGCGCAGACCGGAGAACCGCAGCAGTGTCTCCGATCATGGCCGTCGTATCACTCCGGTGACTGATCCGATACTTGGACTCGCCGATGACTAATATCCAGGGATGCTATTCAACCGCTGTCGGAGGCAGAAAAGAACGAAACATTGTTGAGTCCGCACTTCTCGCTAGCAAAGACGCGCCTGGCCACCATCTACGACACTCCGGTCGTCCGGAGTGTCCGCCATCTCGCAGGTCGTACACGACAGCCAACAGCGCCAGAGGTCGCCGGGTCGGTGTGGGCCAATGACAAAAGACCCGGCCCATACCGGGGACGGGAATGGCCACGGTGGAAGTCTCTGTGTCCTCGCAGATCACGCCGCAGCTGGACGGAATGGACGCGGGGCGCTGACAGCAAACGTTTGCGACTCATCGCCCGTACTGTCCTTCTCTTCTCTTGTGGTCCGCGAATTCGGCCTGGAACGGATGGAAGGGAAAACCCTGGTCGAGTCGTCGTCGTCCTGAACCTCATGCTGCGGTCGGACCTATACTGCTTCGGCGCTTTTGCGGTATCTCTCAACGCATATCGACGAGCCGTCGTGTGCCTCCGACGCTACGCATGTCCGAGAAATGTCAACGACTCGGGAAGCTGGAAGCCTCCAAATGCCATCTGGACGTTAGTCACTAGCGCGACCAGATTTCGGATTAGTCATGGGGGGGTGCGCCGGACGGCACATGGATGTTCAATTTTGGTTGTGTAGTTTTGCGTCCCCCGGTGGGAGTCGTCGGGAGATTGGGATTCGTCGTGTTAACCTTTATCACTACTCGTTGGAATGTCTCTCTGTTCGTTGTGTGTTCTTACCCTGTTAAAGGCGGGATTGGTTCCTCTCGCGCCGTTGAGAATTTCTTGGTGATGTGATGATGAATGCCTGAGCGGTGAAGCTGTCCAGGTGGTGTCACACATGTCGACGTTCGTGTGTTGCTCAAATTTGCAGGACGTGAGGCTGCTCGACTAATGTACTGCAAGGGTTGATTTCCATTTCGATATCTCAGATGAGTATTTGTCACGTTGATTCCATCATCACTCAGAGGTGTGCATTTGGATGGGGATTTTTTCTTTTCTCCTACTATACATTTGCGTTTCACGGCGGCGCAACACCGAAGAGGCTACCACCTACGAATGCTTCATCAGCAGTTTGGAGGATCGAGCATCACGGGGCTTTGTGTCGACATGGGACCCGACACCACCACCTAGGTACGAGATTTCCCTCTGGAGTTTGATCAACTTCACATGTTCGCGGCAACTTTCACCTCCGTCTCGGAAGGCGATACAAATATACATCCAGCACATAGCGTATTGCGTGTGTACGCTGTGACGCGCGTTCACATGCCGGAAGAGAAGGAACGTGGTGAAAGAAAAGAAAAGAAATACATCTGTCTCGGCACGGCGCCGCCGAATGACAGTTGCTCCTCATCAATGGCACATCTCTCTCAGCCGAACGGCCTGCAGAGGAGGAGGCGGCGGAACTACAGTCCCGTCCAAGAAATCCTGTAGATGCGCGCGCCATGGAAAATGCCCACATGCAGCTAGCTTACTAGGTAGCATGTAGATGGAGTGCATGGTACCTACATGTCTAGCGTTTGGCAACGTACGGTATTATGTACAGCATTCGCATGGGTGATCCCACATTCAGCGTGAATGACAGAGCTGGAGTCTGTCAGATGCATGCATGCAGCAAATCTGCATTACGAGGAAAAGGGTCTGGAACTCTGGACCATCGGAGAGTTTTTGTTTTAACAATTCTCGTGAGGGGCAGTTTCTCTTGGTCGCAGGAGTAGTTATGATATGCAGGTGGTCGTTGGATTTTTTTGGTCTGCCTTGGCTGCAGCATATATAGTACAATGTGTGTAGTAGGCGGGTGTTGCGGGATCCTTGACTGGGATCCATTTCTTGCGTTGCGGGGCATTTGCGATGCAGGTATTGAGAGAGGGACGACGATGGACTGACTTGGTGTGCCAGATGGGTCGGTCCCGCATTGATGAGAGGTGGGAATCTCTACGAGGATCTGACATGATATGTACAGCATGATTTCATTATGATGATGATGATGATGATGTTGAGAGCTGCATGCATCAATCTCGGCTGCAGATACAATCGATTCATACATTTCGAGAGAGATCCATAATGGCCCATACGACACTTTCTTCTTCGTATGTTATGTTAGCCTTTTCATACAAGCACACTATGAGAGCAGATCTATCGACCTACTGCAATCATGATGCGCATTTGACTTATGTACACACACACAGTACGTGCGCAGCCCGAGGATCTTCGAACCATGCCGCCAAATAGTGTAAATTCCTCGCCGATCTCAGGGACAGGAACACGCGCAAAGCTTACCGCGCGGCCGTCACTTTGCGGGGGAAAGCATTGGCGACGTATTGGCACGGCACCGGTGACATCCAGGTGTGCATCGAATTTGATGGAGGGGGGCGTGGGAAGATCTCGTCGGTTGCCATTTCCCGCGCCAAACCCATCCACACCCACCCCGGCCGGGCGGCTTGTTTGTTGGAAAAGACCAAAAAGAGGAGTTGGGGAGGGGATCGGCGCTGCACTGATTTCGTTAGCTTCGAATGGAGAGGACGACGCCTCGTTCTGTAATAACAATGTGGCATGTAGTCAGTCAGGCACGTGTGTGTGCGTTTCTACACTCGTACCTGGAAAGAATCTATCGTCGTTTGGGTTTATTGTCGTTTAGGTCTATCGTCGTTTGGGTTTATTGTCCTCTGGGTTTATTATCGTTTAGGTCTATTGTCGTTTGGGTTCATCGTCATTTGGTTGGTTTGCGGTACGCGATTTATCTCTTTGTGCTATGATCACCAACCACGCCTTTAATCACAATGCGCTGGAATGGGTGACGATGGGAATGTCCGAATGTCAGTCAATTGACCATTGCACGGCCAGACAAAAGACCACGGCGGGGGCCACACGCGGGAGATTCGATCGGTCGGGAATTGTGATATGTACTATCCTGTACCAACTATCCCTACCTAGTCCAGTAGCCTGTTCCAAAAGATGCCGAACAAGCACACCGCGAGACATTGCGCCGACACGTGCAATGTCATCAACATGTCATCGCCACACGCCGACAAGCATCGCCAACAACGGTTTCGGTCATCTCGAAAGACTTGCGGCACGGAATCCTCCGCCGCTATAGTTCAAGCATTGATGCTCCCTCTCCATCTCCATCTCCACATTACAGGCCCGAACTACCGATCGCTCCGCCCATAGCTCAAGCCTTGTTAATGTATGGGAAGAGGAGTATACCTGGGAGGTACCTATACATCCATCACCAATCTCGCACCGCCTGGTCTGCAGGTACAGTACAAGGTTCAGATGCGACCGGGGGCATGAATTGACTGACCCCAACATCGACCAACGTCGCGATGGCCTGCGCATTTCAACACGATTCCTGGGCCGCTTTCCTGCTCTGGGCCTACACTTGGCACGTAAGCCGCCACCATCTCCACTCCCATTCCTTCATCATCGCCTTGAGGTCTTGACGATCCATGCATGCATCTGCTCGGGCTCACTTCCGCTAGGTCTTCTAAAGGTATACCTATTTGCCGCCATGTCGTCTCTCTTCCAGGATTCGTCGTGCTGCGCGCTCAACTCATGCCTCCTTTGCCTCTATGAGAAGTGAATGTCAACTTCACGTCTTGCAAGTTTGATATCGACCATTTCCCCTCTTGAGCAGGCCTCATCCCAATCATGGTCAAGGCTCTACTCTTCGGTCTGCTGGCCAGTCTCATCCCTCACACCTTTGCTGGACCTCTCCGTCGACAGTCCTCCTCGCCACCGACCGTCCAGGTTATCAATGGCACGATCCAAGGAACACATCTCGCCTCATACAATCAGGATCTCTTCCTAGGCATTCCCTTTGCTCAACCGCCGACATGGGCTTTGCGATTCCGTAGTCCTGTCAGCATCAACAAACCATATCGGAACACCCTGCAAGCAACGAGATATGCGCCAATGTGCGTTGGCTATGGCGTAAGAGACATCGAGATCATCGATCACTTCTTGCGATCACAGAACTGATGGCGAAATCTATCCAGTCCGACTCTGCCGGCAAATTCACTTCCGAAGACTGTCTTTATTTGAATGTCATTCGACCTGCTGGGTATGAAGGGCAGAACCTGCCGGTCCTCGTCTGGGTTCATGTACGTCTTTCACACCATCTTCCGTCGATGGAGTCGCAGTATTAACGCCCATTCCAGAGCAGCTCTTTCACCATGGGAGGGACAAGTGATCCTCGATTCAACCTCACCTTCATCGTCGATCGATCGGTCAAGATTGGAAAGCCGATCATTGCAGTCTCGTTTGCGTATCGTTTGGCTGCGTGGGGTTTCTTGGCTTCGAAGGAGGTTCTCGAAAGTGGAAATAGCAACATGGGTATCAAGGATCAGAGAATGGCATTTCACTGGTGAGTTCCACCACATTTCTGAGTTGGCTTCAATCGTGCTGACATTTCCGGCTCTCAGGATTCAGGAAAACATTGCAGGTTAGTTACAGAGCGCGACACTCACACACCAACAATACTGACCACATCTAGCCTTCGGAGGAGACCCATCAAAGGTGACCATCTGGGGCCAATCATCAGGCGCAACTTCTGTCGGCTACCATCTACTCGCATACAACGGCCGAGACGACAATCTCTTCCGTGCTGCAATCATGCAGTCAGGGAACCCCACTAACTTCATCTCCTTCCGAGATCCTGCCGAATACCAATTACAATACAACGCCCTCGCCGCAACCTTCGGCTGTCAAGTCTCCTTTGACAGTCTCAACTGCCTCCGCCTGATCCCCTTCCCGGCCCTAAACGCCGCCATCATCCTCCAAAACACCGTCGTGTCCAGCTCCTACATCTCCGCCTGGAACCCGATCGTGGACGGCGACATCATCGCGCGGTACGGAAGCCAACAGCTCAAAGAAGGCGCCTTCGTCAAAGTCCCCATCATCGTCGGCGCCACCTCCGACGAAGGCACCGTCTTCAGCCCCTTCGGCATCGACACCGCGACCGAGATTCTCTCCAGCATGTCAGACCCCTCCCGCCTCTGCAACATCCCGGCATCCCTTGCCCCGTCCGCCCTCGCCGCCTACCCGGACGAGCCGGCCTACTACATCCCCAGCCCAGCCACCGTCGGCAACGCCAGCATCCCGTCCTTCTTCGGCAACAACCAATGGCGCCGCAGCGCCGCTTACTGGGGCGATGCCATAGGCGTGGCCAACCGCCGCGCCGCCTGCGAGGCCTGGGCGGCCGCCGGCGTCTCCGCGTATTGCTTCCGCTTCAACACCATCGTTGCCAACACCCCGGCCTACATCGGCGCGACGCACTTCGAGGACATGTCGTATGTCTTCGACAACACGCAGGGGCTCGGGTTCAAGGACGATCCCTTCGCGGGCCTCCCACAGGCGAACTTCGACCTCGCCCACCTCATGAGCGGGACCTGGGCCTCGTTCGCATATGATCTGGACGTGAACGCTTTCGAGGGCAGGTATCCTTCGGCGGTGAAGTGGCCGCAGTATGAGGTGGGGAACCCGAGGGATATCGTCTGGGATGCGACGGTCGAGGGGCTGACGTTCGTCGAGACGGACGATTATCGCAAGGAGGGCATCCAGTGGATCAACGACCATGCGTTGGATTATAAGCGGTGAATGGATGGGAAGCGAAAATGAAAATGAAAATGAACATGAACATGAACATGGACATGCACACGCACAACAAGAGAGATGAAGGTTTCCACGTAAGCCATCCGACCTTGTCCTGTCCTATATGAACCGGGACGGACGGACGTATTAGTCATCCGAGAAGATGGGTATCGGATAAATCGTCGCCGCAGTGGGCATCCGTCCCATCAGAGTTCATGTTGTCATGTTTTTGTGGACTTTCTATTTGTCCGTGGTCTGGCAGGTAGGCGGGATCAGGTCAAAGCGTTCGTTCGGTCGCTGTTGCTTCCCCTTCTTTTTGACGATGGATCGGTTTGACGCCGGAGTGCTGGTTATCATACGGGACTATGATGCTCGATGGTGCGCGGTTCACGGATTTCATTGTCATTGGTTGCTGACCGGGCGGGCAGGGTAAGGGTGACAACCCTGTTCTTCACATGTTGTCCTACATATGATACCTTGTCCGTGTTGTTCCACGTGCTGCAAGTTGTGTATTAGTCATCGGGATGATGGATGCACGCTTAGTCATGCCGGATTCCTACATTCGTACGTCCAGTGGGAAGCTGCCTCCGGATCATCATCAATTCCGCGTCCTGATGAATGTTCATCTGGGCAGTCGTGACAACTTGGCCTTCAAGGCACTTGAGCGCAGGCCGGCCGGACTTCACAACCGAACGGACGGTCCAACCCCGCCCTCGATCCTGCGCTGCTCGGAGATAAGCGGTTCGCCCGGCGGCATGCCTTTCCTCTTCTGGGTACTATCGTAATGCACTATGAGATAGTTATTACTACTTACTATCTTCTCTCTCATCAATCCCAAGGTTCCCTACTCCCTCGCAGCTCCATATCTGTTATTCACTCGAGATCTCACCTTCTCTCGTTACAGCGCTGTATATCTCCTTCTTCAAGATCAAAGACTGATCATCGATGAATGGCGAGCGCACGGTGATCTTGTAATCTGTAAATACAGCACGATCGACTCAAACAATGGCCATGCTGTTGGAGTTGAGCCACGAACTACTTCACTGCATCTTCGTGGATGTGGAACCATGTGACATCGCAGCATTGAGCAGCACATGTCGAGCATTCCACGATTACATCCGCGACAATCGACTCCTCCATCGGGAGCTCTATCTACGGCGTTACGATGAATTCGAGCACGATAAGCGGACGAATTGGGAGCAGCAGCTGCACGATCGATATCAAATGGAGCGCTTGCTACAAACCACAGACGCCGCAACCAAACGGGAGAATTTAGACTTTGTAGCAACACAGGTGTCGAAGATGATGGAGTCTGCGCATTGCGACTTTGAACAATCGAAGAATCTCCAGATGTTAAGCACGGCTTTCAAGGAGCGGCAAGACAATCTCAATGTCTTCCTCTGTTCATCTTCGTTGTTCCATAACAAGCGCGCTGGCGACGGCACAAATCACATTCCCGCGGATAATGCGAGCACTCGGCAGGCGTCAGCAAAGTTGCATTGTCTGTATGGAGTGCCGATTGACACCGCACCGCGGAGACCGATTCACTCCCTGATGCAGCCGGATCTCACCATCGGACCGTCTGGCTCGACGAGATCGCAAGTCCTCGGTCGGCAACCCGTGACACACCCCTGGGCTCGATCAAGAGTCTACGACCTCCGCGAATACACCCCATCAACGCTATGGGGACCATTCAAAGCCGACGGCTCGCACCAGGTCGATTGGGAGAAAGTCGAAGCCATCATGATCGCCCTCGGGCACAACATCCGACGGTACCAAGGCCGCGAGGATTCCCCCGTGCATGGACTCTGGACCGAACCCTTCAGAGGTGCCTCCCCGGGTAGCTTCCACGACCCGACTCCCCCGGCAACATCCCCCTCTGCACCAACGCCACACCATGAGGAGGCCCTTGACGCCGAAGACGCCGAAGTGTTCAAGATCCGCGAACTCGCCCTCAAACTCGACGCTATGGACCCCTACGGCGTGACGGGCACGTGGATGCGCGTGGTCTGCTTCCTCGACTACAACGACCTGTACACCTACAATTTCAACGTCCACGGCCTCCCCGCCGACGACGAATCCCGGGGCCCCGTCAGCACAGATGAAGGTTTGATCCACCTCTCCGAAACAGTACGTTTCCTCAAATCAGACCCTTCACAGACTGACTCTTGGTTTTCCCTTCCTCGTGATTGGTGTTTTAGCAATCCGACTGATCCGCATCAAGCTCCAAGTCGTCCGCGTCGAGCCGCCCGATTCGGTCCTGAACGCCGACGACGAGTGGGCCCACGATGACGACGAAAACCCCCTGCCGGATTGGAGCAATTTCAAGGGCGAGCGGTTACCCGTCGTGCATTTCTGCGGCAAGAGTTGGAGTCTCCATGCGAGTTTCGATCCTAACGCGAATAGTCGCATCCGCGGTGAGTTTTGCCCTTTTTCTTTTTCTTTTCCTTTCATACTCCCCGTTATCTGCCCTCTGAGGAAGGAGAAGACCTCAGGTGTAAATCGTATCAGTCATCGGCGGAGTCGATCTCTGCTGAGTCATCCATCGGAACGATGCGCCGTCCGTCAGCGATTTGATACCGAGGTGTCCGTGTATCTATTCCGCGGCATCTGCTTCCCTTGATGATTTCAAACGTCGATCGCAATAACCAATGCTGATTCCGGTCGGCGCATCTTCCCAGGAACCGTCCGACAAACCCCCGAAGGCGAGATCCGCTGGACGACGTTTTCAATCTTCCACGGCGAGGAACGCTGGCGCTCCGAGGGCATCCAAGTCGGCGGGATCCGCTCCGAGAGGGGCGTGTTGGGGAACTGGTTCGACAAGTGAGTTGTCTTTTTTTCTTCCTTCCCCAATCGTCCTCTTTCCTTTTTTGGCTTCCTTTTGACCCTTTTTTCTCCAACCTTTGCATCTCCAACTGTTTCGTGGACGCTAACTTTTGGCGATGTGGGTAGGAATTACGATATCCACGGTCCCGCGGGCCCGACAGCCTTCTGGAAGGAATCGGATAATGTGCGCAGACGCGGATAACGTCGTCATGGCAAAGCGGTGTGTGAAAAGAAGAGGTGGAATGAGAACTCGGTATGTGTGTGCCCCTTCTTCTCAGGGGGGAGCTGGGCGAGGGTTCGCTTGGAAATGAGAAGTTTGTGGGGAAATGGAAGGGAAGAGAATCTGGTTTTTCTGTGGAGGGAATGGCGGTGGTTTCTGAGAGTGGTAAGATAAATTTGGAGATGGGAGGAGAGGAAACTTTTATTGTAATGTTTTATTCTGGGTCGAGGGAGGGATTTGGGCTTGCGTTCTGATGTATCAATGGCTCTTCTTCTATCTGGCATTTTTCTGCTTTTTCAATTTTCTGCGTTTGGGGAATCAGATGCTATGGTTCATGGGAAGGTCTAGTTGTGTAAATGACGCGTTCGTGGTGGGAGAGAAAAGAAATGAAACTTCCACGCCAGTTCAAAAAAATCACACCCGTCGAACGAGAAACACGCCGTGGAACAATACCACCTTCGTTAAAAAAAAAAGCAACATCACAGGGGAAAAAATCCCACTCCATCAAAATTCTATGTCCTTCCAAAAAGAAAAAGGGAAATCACTCGTTTCTCTACCGCGACGCCTCCACCTTCCTCAACCGACAAAACAGCGCGCTCTTGTCCCAAAGCACCCACGTCTTCTGCTCCGTCCACTTCCGGCTCTCCTCACACAGCTCCAGGTCGAAGCTGAGCAGCGTCGCCGCGAGGATCAGGCGGATCTCATGGAGGGCGAGGTTCTTCCCGATGCAACCCCGGGGCCCGATGGAGAAGGGTTCGAAGGAGGAGAGATCGTCGTGGCGGAATTCCTCCGGCGCGTCCTTCTCGAACCGTTCGGGGACGAACTCGTACGGTCGCGTCCAGCGCAGGGACGAGCGGTAGGTCGCGAGGTGGTGGATCCCCACCGTCGTCCCCGCGGGGAGATGGTCTCCGGCGATGAGGGCGCCGCCGGCGGGGATGACGCGGTGCAAGGCGATGGGGACGGGCGGGTACATCCGCAGGCCCTCGTTGATCACCGCTTGGAGGTAGGGCAGGCGGCGGAGCGGGTCGAGGGAGAGGTCGTTGATGGAGGTGAAGGCCGAGCGGATCTCTTGCGTCAGACGGGCCAGTTTGGACGGGTTCCGCAGCAGGAAGTAGGTGATGCCGCTGAGGGCCGTGGCGCTAGTCTCGGAGCCGGCGCCCATCATCAGTGCGCCGGAGACGTGGTGTTCGGCGCGGGTGAAGGGCTCCGGGTCCGCGGCGGATTTGTCGATGATCTTCGTCCAGAGGTCGGCGCGGGCTGGCTTGGAGGCGAGGCGTTTGTCGACGCGTTCGGCAGAGTGGCCGTAGTGTTTGTGGCCTTTGGCCCGCACGGCTTTGGATTTCAGGAGCACGTTGTCGACGAGATAGCGGGTCGTGGCGGAGAAGCAGCGCAGTGCGCGGATCGGCGTCAAGGCGCGGAGGCTCTGGAAGATGGATTTCACCCAGAGCGAGTACTCCTCGGCTTCGAGCATCCCGAGGGAGGCGCCGAAGGACATGTCAGCCATGATGTCGAAGGTCGTGCAGTTGTAGTACATGACCATGTCGGCTTTCTTGCCCGCGTCGGCGACGCTTCCGAGTTTGTCGATCAATTTGTTGATCCATTCGATCAGCATAGGTTCCAGATCCTTGAGACCGCGGTCGGCGAAGGCGGGAGACATGATTCGACGGTGTCGCACATGGTTGGCGTCGTCGGCGGTCAACATGGAGTCCACTCCCGTCAGAGGAGGCGGAACCATCTTAGGGTCCTTGAACGGCAATTGTTCGCCGGACTTCCTGGCGCCGTGGACATCCTTGAAGATCTGACCGGTGCCGATGTAAGAGAGCTCGTTCGGTCCTACTCGGACCACCGGGCCGTATCTGTCGTGAAGCTTGACATATTCCGTGGCTTCGGTACCGCGGAGCAGCGTGAGGGCTTTGGGGAGCGTGGAGAGCGCGCGGATCTTCGGACCGGGATATTTTGCCAGAGGGCCAAAGTAGATGTTGTGGATTGTCGACAGAAGGGTATATCCCACCCAAGAGCCGAGCAGGAATAGGAACAGGGCGGTGGTGTTGCCGATCGGCAGTTGGCGCAGGGCAGAAAGTCCTTCTGCGAGAGACATGGTGACTTGTTGAACTTTACAGCGAACACAGGCCACGAGATGTCATCTACCAGACTTCTTTTCACAAGCACGACTGGCGGGGGCGGAATGATATATATGTATATGTATTACATGCGGAGATCGTCGCCCGTCCTACAGAGCAGCTGTGTCCTTTCAGGGACAATGCAACGAGCTGCAATCCGGATCGGTACTTTCCCCTGGTTGGCATAAAATCTACGACATAAAATTCCTTGGACCAACGGGAGGTTGGATGATGGTGACTAGCGTAGGCTTGTGACTATCGGGCTTGAAAGGATCGTCACCTCACTTTCAAGTAATAATAACTACAAGTGAAATCGGACAGAGCACTCAGATGACTCATCAGATACTGTGTTTCTGTGATGGCTGATATCTCTGCCCTGTCATCTAGCGACAGAAGCGGAAGATCAGATGAGATGTCGTTTTTATTGAGTCGTCGAGATGCTCCGTCGCACCGGTATCTCGGTATCAATGCTGACTACGGTGGGTATACTGACATTTGATGCAGCAGAATCGTGACCATGGCAGCCCTATTATTCAAACAAAAAAATACCTTGACTCGAAAATGTCGACTCTGCATGCTCGTACCGTAGCAGCTCCCCCTCTTGTTAGGACTGCTCAGTATCTGAAATGCAATTGCATAACTACTCCTCACGATAGAATTATCCGGCAGCAGAGCAGAGGACGAGAAGACCGCTCGTCGAGGCCGAGATCTCAAACTTTATTATTACAGTAGTGCCGCTCCCGTCGATCGTGCTAATAAACGAGGCGCCATGCGAGAAGATACGAGCTTCACAGTACCGCTCTGAAGCCTAGGCAGCTCGGCACGTGTGCTGTGGCTCGGACCTAACTTCTGTAATCGTCTTCATCATCTGCTTGTTCGTTGCGCCAGCCTGCGCGACACGCACGTTTGGGTCGCATTGCAATCAACGAAGTGATTTATGACACGAAAGAGCGAGTGATGGGTTTCCATGTCGCAATCTGTTGATTGTGCGTCAATGACCGACAAATAAGATCAACGAAATGTGTGTGAAAGGTTTTACTCGCGGGTAAGTACATGTACGTGGATCGCATCATGTATGTCCATTATGTGCAGGCTGTGCACAACTTTGGATTATAACAAGGAGGTCGTTCATGTAGGTGGTGTAGATTGTTGTGTAGGACCAAACCGTCGACATGGTTCGCTCCTGTCCGCAAAAGGGAGTTTTATAAACATGCTTCACAATTGAGAGATGTGAGATATATTCACTCGCATATCCCCATGACCCGCAAGCTACCTGGGTCGACTTGGAGAATCTCGAAGCTTATATGTGACCATGTCTCTATTAAAAATCATCCGCAATTGCCATGGATTTGATCCTCTAGCGTATCCATTTACGTTGTGAGATGGATCATCGTATGAACATGATTACATCATGAGAATGAGGGATACTAAACAGCCTGTTCACCACTCAACGCCTCCGCGCTCACAACAGCGGGAGGCGCAGGAGCAGGCGCCGTCATCGTCGTCTTCCTGCGCAGCATTGCAATGGCCTCAACATGATACGTCTGCGGGAAGAAGTCTGCGCCCCGGACACTCTCCAGCTCATACAGCGACGACGAACCTCCCGCATCCCCCCCAGGCAATCCGCCGACCATCCAACCCACATCCCTCGCCTGCGTATGGACATTGCAGGAGACGTAGCAGATACTCTGCGGACCGTACTGGAGGAGTTGACGCACGAAATTCTCATCGCAGCCTTTACGAGGCGGGTCGATGATGACGACGGTTTCGGCGGGCGGGAATTTCGCCGTGTCGACGGAGGCGAAGAGGGCGTTGGCGTCGGCGGCGATGAAGTGCGTCGAGTCGCGTGGGAGGTTGTTGCGTTCGGCGTTTTTCCGCGCGAACTCGATGGATTCGGATGAGACGTCGATCCCGATGCTGCGCTGGAACATGCCGGAGAGTGTGATGGTGAAGAAGCCCGAGCCACAGTAGGCATCGATCATGTTTTTGATTTTGGGGACAGGTTCTGAGTTGGATTCGTTGGTGGTGATGGTTTGCGCTTGGAGGAGTTCTTCGCGCATGATTCTTGTGACCGATGGGAGAATTGAGGAGTTGTTCTGGAAGAAAGCGCCAGCAGGATTATCGAGGCGGAAGTCGTCGACGTATTCGGTAGACGTGGCTCTGTTGTTGGTGATGCACGTTTTGACGTGGACATGGTTACCACGTTCCTCGAGAACTGTATCCGCCTGCTTGCGTGCGATCTCGAGAGCATCCGGAGAATCCGCCGGGACTCTTTCAATACTCTCCCTAAGCAAAAGAGTGGCACCCTTCTGATAGTTGTTCAACTCTTCCTTGACTCTTCCACGCTCCCGTTTCATCCCTAGGCGCACGACTTCCGTACCTATTAGGCAGTCCTCTATGTCGATCGTTTTCCTTGTGCCTTTCTTCATGAAACCAATCGGTGGTACTTCCGGCCATGTAACTTTCGCCCCATGTCGTCTATCCTGCTTCCATCTCGGCGGACCATCAAAATGCGGCGTCAACTTTGTGCGATAACCATACTGAAGAGGCGAGGGAATGGTGTCACCGACGGCCGGAACGACCGAGGCGGGCAGATTGGAGAAGTTCTTATATGCGCGCTCGACGACGGACTTTTTATGGGCGAGTTGGTACGCATAAGGCAGGTGCTGAAATTGGCAGCCGGAGCATTGTGTGAAGTATTGACACGGCGGTTCACCTTCGCGAAATTGTGAAGGTGTCACAAGTTTGACAAAGTCGGTGAGGGAGTATGATTCTGCTTGGAAGTGCTTGTATACACGTGCAGTAACGACATCGCCTGGCGCTGTGAAGGGCACCACGTAGACTTGACCGTTCTTTTCTCCTAGTCCGTCACCCGTCGATGATATCCGAGAGATGGTCACTTCCAGCTCTGAAGGAGTCGGCGGTAGGACTTTACCCAGCGCATCCTGTTCTGTCGGTGCATCTTTCAACTTCAACTCTTCCAGAAGGCTGCGGACATCATGCAAGATGACCTCTTCGTTTGAACCCTCGCTCGTTGTTGACGCCTTGAGTCTCTTGTTCCTCTTTCCTTTGAAACTGTTCGCTCCACCATGCAAGCTTCTCTTTTGTGCCATGCTTGCCAATGGTCGCAATAAATGCGGCGGCGATACGAGCAGGCGAAACGATCGGTATAATGATGTGTTCATGTGAAGATCAATTGACCGCACCAGTGGTCGCCTTATTCTCCAAATTTCCAAATCTAGCACCTTTCTCCACACGCAGGCAGGTCTGACCATTGGATGTGTTGCGATTGGGGAGAATTTCGGGACCCTTGAAATTTTGAGAGCAACAGAGCGCTGAGGATTGATGAACAACCCCGATATACAGTACATAATATCATCCGTGACTGTGCCATGATAACAGCAAACCCCATTGTAAACTCGAATACATTTGATATTTGATCATACATGACGATATCACGAATGGAAAGTAGCCATCTAGGTACCTAGCACTGAAGCATCGTGTTAGTCATCGGAGGTAACAGTCATCTGGCTACTAGGTAGTTATCGGAGAGACGGTGCAAGTCCTGCATGGCATGCTATCGTTCTTGCGAAGAACACGATTAGACAGACGTTCGAACACGATTGTCACTCAACTTCACATGACCGTTGCTACGTATGGACTGTTTGTATATCTACAACGCCCCTACCCAAGGATCCGTCAGATGCAATTTGCTTGAACGTGTTTGAATTGTGAAAAGAATGAGTTGTGAGTGCCCGTAACGACGCATTCAAATCCTTACCCAAACCCTAACCCACCGCGAATTGGAGAATCCTGAGGTCGCGTCACAAATTTGCAACACGCTTCCATACGAAAAGCCGGGAGATGGTACAATACGAGATTCAGTAGTAAATTCTGCCTTAGCGCATCAGATGACTACATTGTCGACGTAGGAGCTCCAGTGTTCTCGTTCAAGTATGAGCGTGTAGAAGGGCTGAGTGAAGGCTGCTTGAGTCTACCCATTGAACGTATGTTGTAGAGAAGATGGACCATTTCTAAGACGTGAGCCTGAATCGCAGCAGGACAAGGCAAAATGGCATTTCATGTGATGAAGACGTTTTACGCAACCTAGGAATGCGTAGAAAACCAACCGAGGTGGGTCACATTTCAAAATGACAGGAGAGGCGAGATGCTTGTGAAGACTCCCGACACGGCAAGAACGAGTGACGATTTACAACACGGTGAGCACATGCCGAGCCGAGCAAAGCTAGTCCTGGAGCCCTAGGTACGCAGAACTCACAATTCGAGTGTAAAATTTGATGAGGCTCAACGCCGCCTTAAATCCGGGCGATGGAAGAAAAAATAATGCTGCGGAAGGGCCCAGCACTAGCGCTCCCGCTCCCGCATCGACAATATATCAATTTGTCTCTCCTCGCAAACCTGGTAAAATTTTCCAGCGATTTTGTCAGTGGCCACCCACCCCCCAAACTTTGAATACCTAACTGACAACCCCTCTCCAGACTTCTAAGAATCATTTCTATAGAAAAAATCCGCAACTGTATTCTCTACAAGAGCTACAGACTCCAACCTGGCTGATGAGTCGATCCGCGGCGCCCAAGAGTGATGCCAATATGTCGGGGCTTTGAGCTTCGGTGGTGATGATCTCACCTCAGCTGAGTGTCTGGTTTCGGCCGGCTTTTCTGAGAGGGTGCTGTCGGACGTCTGACAGGTGGCTTTTCAATCTTACTTTTCATCATGGATTTGGTTTTTGAGCAACCGAGACTTGGAGAAGAGGCTGGATTATGAGATGGTCGAGGGCGATGGTGGTACACATGTGGTGGCGCATCGACTATAGTTGGCATTTATGGATGGACTGTTGGATATATTGTCACAACGCTTTGAGGATGGGAGTATCACAGGAGACGGGCTCTGTGCACTCGCGTTGACAGTATGCTGCTGTCATGTCGCTGGTCTGGTTCGACTCCGCTGTGCGGATTAAGCGATGCTTCGTTTTACCATACGGATGAAGTTTTTAACGCGTCCGAAGCTGTGGATTTGCATGGATGAAATTACCCATTTGTACTGTTGCATCCTGTATAGATCACCATCCTTCATCATACGTTACGCACCTGCATTGAATTCACGACGAAGTTTCAGAATACTGATGCAACATGAAAGTGACATGGCCATCTATCTACCTCCCGTCACTTGCCCTTCTTGCTCTTCGTGCCAGCACCCTTCTGCTGCCCGTCTTTCTTCCCAACCTTTTCCTTATAATCCTTCAACTCCTTAGCAGCATCAGCCTCCTCCTTGCGTTCCTCCTCTTCTTTCTTCAGTCTCGCTCGCTCCAGAGCTCCCCTCTTCTCCGCCTCCTCTACCATCCGCTCACTGTACTGCCAAAGCTGCTTCTGCACGACTTCATCCTCCACTTCCGCCCTGAGAAAGTTGCGCTGTTTGCATTCTTTGAGCAGAATCCCGCCTTCACTACGGGTCAAACCTTCCTCCATTGCCGCATGCAAAAAGCTCTGAGCACCCATCAGCGGAGACTTCAATACTAGCCACCAGAATGGGTATGACAGCAGATAGAGCAAAAGTCCGAGCAAGGTGCCGGATGCGAGCCACCTCCTGGTGCCGGGCGTTCTGCAAAATCCCGGGTCCACCAGAATGACCTTGGAGTTCATCGGCATGTCGTCAGGCCGCTTGTATGCTGATAGATGCTTCTGAAATGCAAGCGCAAATATCGTAAGCGCAAGTTTCGATGTAGCGTAGGCATCCACAATCGGGGTCTTTGCAGCCTTTGGTGGTGCCGTAGTATCTGCCGCCTTTTCGCGTTTAGACACTTTCTTGTGCTTCGCGGCGGTCTCTGCTGGGTTGGTGATTGCCTCAAGATTGCCTCCGAGGTAACTGCTACATGTCGCAAACACAATCCGAACGTCTCGATCCGGTGGCTGTGCCCGCAATGCAGGAGACAGAATCGAAAGCAGATGGAAGTTGGCCAGGTAATTGACTTGCCAGTTCAGCTCCACGCCTTCGCGCGTGCTCTGAACAGCACGACTCTTCGGTGTCATAGTATTGCCACAAAGCACAATCATGTCGAGCCTTCGGGGCGGTGCATTGTCAATCCACTTGGTCGCAAACTTTCGAATGCTGTGAAGAGAGGACAGGTCCACCTGTTCCGCCGTAATAAGTTCATTATTGGTTTCCTTTCTGATATCTTCGATGTGCTCGACAATGAAAGGATCGCTGAGAGAGTGCTGAGTGAGCAGCACAATTTGTGCGCCTCTCGCAGCCAATGCACGAACGGTGGCTTCACCTATACCACTTGTTCCGCCTGTCACCAGCACGACCTTGCCATGCATCTTTCGTTCAGCTAGATTGGAAGCGCCTGAAAAAAACACCTTGAGAATCCACAGAAGCACGATCCATGGTATCGTCTTGATGATCGGCCATATGTATGGTATTGAATCGATGCCTTCGAATATTGCTTGTAATGCAATGTAGACGGGCATCTTGACGAACGCAAGCCCAAGATGCAAATATCTCTCAAATGATGCTCTGCTGTTTGTGACGTTTCAAATTGTTCTTGAACACAAGTGCTTCTGGCGTCAGGGTCCGCGAACGTCGGGATCGTCACATCGGGCCGCGCGAACGGTCGGCTCGTGCAAGGTCCAGCATGCATTGTTATCACGAGCTGAGATTATTATGAGCCGAGCAACTTGAGTCATTAATTGTTGTGGTGCTTCTAAAGTCTCGCAAAGAAACCAAGGGCCGGTATTTGGTGATAATGCAGCAGCTGCAGCACAAGGCGGTGGTGCTATTGCCTGTATTCAAAGCATTGGGTCGGCAACGCACAACCTCCGTCTTCACATCATCATGCAGGCTGGTCCTCCAGAATAACTCAATACGGCATTCATCCACAGGCGCAAGCAACGATCGCAATAGTCAGCATGGCATCGAGAGTACTAGTGATGCTTCCGTCAACCTCAATTCCGCCACCAGTGCTCAATCCGTGAGTACTGGTTCGCTTCCGTCTGCTACGGAGTCGCAAAGGTTACAAGCATCCAAGAAGCTGTCCAAGCTCATGGACGGGCTTCTATCACGCGCATCTATAGCTGGCCAACATATCAACGAATACACGGGAACAGACTATACTGCAATCGATGCGTTGCGGAAAGACATCTCGAAACAGGAGGAAGTAGTGAAGAATTGTGCTACAGGTTGCAATGCTGCGAGAGCTCAACAGCAAGATGCCCACAACAACCAGTCAAACGCGTCGCGTGAAATCGTGGGCTTGCTGGAGCGAAAGAGCTCGTGGTCGCCTGTTGATTTGGAACGCTACATGGCGCTTGTCCGTTCCGACCATGTCAATGAACAGGCCGTGCAGGCGGCAAAGGACAATCTGAAGGCAATGGAACAGAAGCTCGACGAAGCAAGAGCTATGCTCGAACGTCTGGAACGGAAGAGATATCACGAGGAACAGATTTGGAGTGATACAATCCGCAGGAACAGCACATGGGTGACATTCGGCCTGATGGGAGTCAATATCATCTTGCTACTAGCACAAATTACCATATTTGAGCCTCACCGACGAAAGAAAATTGCCGCGGATGTGCAGGATATGCTTGATAAGAGGGAGAGGAACTCGACAGCCGCCATCGACGAAGACGCACTGGCATCCCTGGTAAGCGGTATCCTGAACAAAACTCAGCCAGCCACGTCGCCGGAGGTCCGGAGCGACATCAATCTCGTGGATGAGCTGCTCTCCGGAGATATCGCTCCCGGGACCAGCGGAGAGTCGTCGGGCGCTGCCATCCCACCACCGCAGCCAAGGCTTATGAGAATATCTGCCGAGCCATGGTGGTCTGCTGCAAGCGCTGCGGATAGGCTGCGCATGACCAGAGACATTATCTCAGACCAGTTCAGCGAGCGGCTTGTCCAGCTGAGGAAGATGGACGTCACCACAGTTGCTTGCATCGGTGCGGCGGTGGGTGCTGCAATCTCGAGTGGTTTGATCGTCGGACTTTCACGGCCCACCTGATGCCTTTGCCTGCAGTTTCACTGGAACTCTCCGAATTCGCCATCGTCGAAACCGAGCTCTGCTGCCGATTTGCCGTCCTGCGTAGGCTTGGGCAAGGATGTTGACGTACTGTCTATTTCCGAAGCAGGCGGTGGAGGCGGGGCGATGGAGAACAGAGCTGCGTCGTCACCTGCTCCGCTCGACGCCTTTGTTGGAACGCCACGTCGACCCTTGGACCCGACTTGGATATGGATCTTCTCTCCATCTTTCAAGCTAAAGTCTTGTTTCGGTTGAGCCTCTATTTTACCAGCTGATGAGCCATCTTTCCGTGCTGGATCTTGATTGTTTGGGACGTTGTCAATGCCGAGAACCTTTCGCACCTCTCCTAAAGCGATGCCAAAATCGAACGCTGGACTTCGATCCTCAAAACCTATACCCAGAGTTGCCTTCATGCCACCTTCGCCCTGCACGCGAACAGCAAAGAAGCGACTGCTATCGTTGGCTTGCTGTACGACGGCAGATGCCGTGTAAGGAGCGGCCGCGAAAAGGTCGCCAGTGTTGGTATCTTCGAGGACGATGTCAGCCTTGATCTTCGTCCCGAGTGATGTCTCGATTATTCGCAGTCGACTGGTAAAGATCTGCTGTGCTGTCGGTTGTGTCGGAGATGTCCATTGCGATGCGGTGAACCCCCGGTTTGAGGTCAGCGGCGGAATTTGGTATACGTGCACCCCAGTGGTCGCGAACAGCACACGCTGAATGGCCGAATCTGGCAGCGGCTGACCTGTGGCAGGATCAGTGGTGGTCATGTTGTACAACAACTTCGCATTGTATTCCAATCGATCTACATCAATACTAACAAGATAGCTCAAAGCAATAAAAATAATGTCAACACGGACTTCACGGTGTGCTGAGGTCATACTTTGAACGGCCCCCCACAGTCTGGACCCCTCCAGCATGGCGGAGACCCTGGCACGCCTGGGTAAAGTTGCACGTGTGAATAAAAATCGCCGCTGTCATGGCCGGTGTCGCATGTCCATTGCACATCTGACAATCTGACATCAAGTATTCGCAAAATGTCGCCCTCACGAGTAGACGAAGAACCGGAAATTGCTTCCACACAAGATGATTCGACAGTGACAACGCTTCAGCAAGTGCTGTGCTCCGAGACGGCACCGCTCGCGAAAAGGTTTCGTGCCCTCTTTTCTCTAAAACATCTTGCGGCTCAAAATCCTGCAACATCACAGACGGTCCCAGCGATCCAAGCAATTGCTGCAGCGTTCACTTCGCCGTCCGCACTTCTCAAGCATGAGCTCGCATACTGTCTTGGCCAGTCTGGAAAGGATGAGGCTATTCCATACCTGAGGCGGGTGATTGAGGATAGACAAGAGGATGCGATGTGCAGGCATGAAGCCGCCGAGGCAATTGGTGCACTGAACGATGCAACCAGTTTACAACTGTTGAAGGAACGGAGGGATGACCCAACCGAAGAAGAGGTTGTGCGTGAGACATGTGATATTGCTGTTGAGCGCATCGAATGGGAGCACTCGGATGGGCGCAGGCAGGAAAAGTTGAAACAGAGGTAAGTCACACGACTTGTAGTATCGTGGATCACATCTTAATCTACATACAGTGATTTCGCTTCCATCGACCCGGCACCGCCACTTGCAGAGGGTGCCGACACTCCTTCGATCGAGCAACTTGAGAAGACTCTGCTCGACACAAAACTGCCACTCTTTAAGCGCTACAGAGCCATGTTTGCGCTTCGAGATCTTGCCTCACCACCGGATCTTCCAACAGCTGTCCCAGCAGTTCACGCGCTTGCGAGTGGCTTCCACGATCCCTCCGCGCTGTTCCGTCACGAAATTGCATTTGTCTTTGGACAACTCTCACACCCGGCATCAATACCAAGCCTCGTCGAGGCGCTCAGCAATACGAGTGAGGCGAGCATGGTGAGACACGAAGCCGCGGAGGCTTTGGGCAGTCTTGGCGATGAAGAAGGCGTGGAAGATGTCCTGAAGAAGTTCCTGAATGATCCTGAGCAGGTGGTGAGGGACAGCATCATCGTTGCGCTCGACATGGCGGAGTTCGAGCGAACCGGCGAGACCGAATATGCCACGATCCCTTCTCAAATAGCTGTAGCATAGTCGATGATTAATTGGCAGGTGTCAGGTGTGTCGGCAAGTGCACTGTCATGCGAAGCTTTCCATGTAGAATAAAGCAAATTGATTGGCTTGGAGCATTTAATTGTCGTTCCTCCACTTGTGTCCGCACTGCTGACACGTGTAGAAAATTGTGCTGCCTTCATCAGCAGAGCGAAGTTGTAATTCGTAATATCGTGCGTCGTCGCTGCCACATTTGCCGCAAGTCTCCTTGGTGCCAACGTCCGTCTGAACGCCAGCTTCTGCGACTTCTTGAAGATCGGTCTTTAGCCTTGTCCTCAACGTTGAGGGGAACGCATTTGGCTTTGAGGTAGTGATGACGACTTTTGAGGACGTGTCTGTGCATGTCGTTCTCAGCATAGGATGCGCAATGCGACAGGAAATCCTTGCCTACCTTTGTTCTGAGAACCACAAACATCACATTCAATTGATGTCTTTTTCCCGACATTCTGCTCGAGCAGATTACCGCAGTCCGTACAGAAGATTAGTGATCCGATAGCTGCCATCTTGTATTGGGAAGTAATGTACTATGGGTCTTAAGTCCAGCGAAGAGGCAGTTTGTTTAGCGACGCGCAACAATAAAAAATTGCAGGTCTTATTCCGGTGATAAGATCGGAATTACTGCCGTCGATCGCATCTGGCTTCACATGCAGGGCAAGCCTTGGAGCGCTTGCGGAGGAACGCGTCTCTGACTAAGCCCGCCTAATTGATGCTCGTCGACATCCACTTAGATGCCTGCCTTTGGACACAATCTAGCGACTGGCCAAGTGAAGTCGCACGCGATACCTTGCTCCCTTGCAACTTTGACTGTCTGGGCTATAATCGACATGTCAATTCATCACTTGAATTGCGCCGCAAACACATGCAGAAATCCTCGACAGATGGAAGTTCTTTGAGTCGAGAAATGCAGGCGCGCAAAGCGCGATCAGTCGGATCGCAAACATGGAAGATGGTTCTGATCAATACCGGGCGCAGCCTAGCAGGGTTCGCCTTCCGACAGTAAATGAGGCGATTCCATTCTCGCCCTTCAGCTCAATTGTGCCGTTCAATTCCAGTAAGTTTGACATGTGACAGATGCTTTTCGAACGCAGAAGTGTCATCCAACAAGTCACACACTGCCTTTGTTGACAAGGTTGGTTGCTGACTGCAATATTTAAAGCTCTTATACCGCCCTTCCTCGCCCTTCCTCGCTCGTCCCCTGCTGCATTCGAGGACCAGAGCGATGTGCAAGCCGTCAGAAAAGAGTTGGAACAACTAAGCATGCGCGCACGAACGGCAGACGAAGCTTCGAAACGATGCCAGAGGACGATTCGAGATGTGCAAAAGCTGTTGAATCCGGACAATCTGACACAATTGAAGTTTAAGTGTGCAAAGAGAACGATATCGAGAAGCAATGGACACAATGCGGCACCCGCCAAGGCCGTGGAGTTGTCTCCATTTGCAAAGATGGTGTTTGACAACACAGAAACGCCTTTCGTACGATACCGCAGCGCAGATGAGCATACTTCACGAGCGCCATCAAAGGTTCTAGTACAGAATGTCTCTGCGCCTGTCCAGAATACCGCTGTGCCTGTCAAGCAGAAACTCAAGACTGAAGCTCAAGTTCCGATAGAGTCCCGTCCGCAAGCGCTCCAGGCAGTCGTACAACTCGATGTAGTGAATCCTGCTATACGCAGTGAGTATGAGAGGATTTCTACGGCAGAGCCTCTCATAACACGACCAATTGCAGTCGTCCAACCAACCGCGGTGGCAGAGAACCCAGTTATGCCACCAGTAGAGGCGACGACACCAGTACATTCACGGTTGTATGTGATTCCAAAGTCATTAACCCCAGCTCAGCGTGAGCAATATGAGTTCATTCCCACATCGAGCATTCCCCTGGATCCGGTCGCAAGCAAGCAAACCCCCACGATACCAAGGCTAAGCGCGGATCAACAACGACAAGCAGCCGCAGCAGTTGAGAATCTCCAGTCCCAGTTACAAGCGATATTTGAGGCAGAAGACCATATGCAACCCGACACTTCGGGAGAAGCACCAGTACGCCAGAACCATCTGTTCGGAACTTGCGATGTGCAAGGTTCATCGGTGTCTGTTCTGCGTTCGCGGGCCCAAGACGAGCTTGATACTGCAACCGCTAAGGTAGTTTCCGCAGGGCGACTTTGCGATATCGAAGTCGAAAGCCTCCTTAGAGCGCAACGTGTGTGTGAAGCTGCTATTTCTGCCATTACCTCAACATCATTGCAAATCAACGAAGATTGGTCAGACGAAGACACAAATGAGTGGCTCAAACGCATTGCGACGGTCAAATCGGGTCTTGTCGCTGCTCGTACCATGACGCGCATTATGGTGGGAGCCTTTCGCTTCAAAGAGACACAGTCTGAAGATAACGTCAAAGCTGTTCTCTACGCGCTGCGATGGGTGATTGACGGTTGCATCATCCCTGTCGTCGGAGAACGCCCGATGCGCGGAGAGAAGAGCAAAGGTGATCGAGACGGACCTCCAAATCGCATATTTGCGATAGCTGCAGAGAACCGAGCAGACCTCCAAGGACTGATAAAAGGCGTGCAGAAATGCTTACGCCTGCTCGGCGATCTATTTTCAAAGACAAACATCGATGAAAGCGGCATATCCAGTGCGGAGTTGATGTGTAGGACTTTGATCTTCGGCGACAATGCGCCTACAGAAAAGGAAAGCGCGCTTGGACTTGCGGTTTTCGAGAATATGCGCCGGTCCAGTATGGATCTTGTTGCTAAGATCTTCACGAAATATACTGGGCAGCGTGAATACATCATCGACCAAATCTTGCAGTCGCTGGAGAAGCTTCCGCCCACAAAGCAGAATGCTCGTCAATTCGCGCTGATTGACGCAAAGCCCATACAACTTGTCTCCGCACTTTTAATGCGACTCGTTCAAACAAGTGCCATGGCAGGTGCCGACTTCAAGGCCTTCGATGATGACGCCAGCGCAGATGAGGATGAATCAGCGACGGAAGAGTCTGACGACGACTCTTCCGATGAAGACGGCCCCCGACAGAAGAAAGGACGCAAGTCCAATAAGATGCCAAACGCCAAACAGCGTGACGATCTCGCATCGACCGCAAAGGAGTTGTACAATGCTGCGCAACTGAATGCGACGGAAATCGTCGGCACTCTTTTGCGTCGTGCCTTGAGCACAACCAAGTCAAGTGATGAACCTTTTCGCAAGTTGCTTGATATTTTCACCGAGGATTTCATCAATGTCCTGACATCCAGCGATTGGCCGTCTGGCGAGTTGTTACTTCGTAAACTCGTTGGTCAGATGTTTGGCATCGCCGAAAATCCCAAATCTCCAGCACCATCCAAGTCCCTGGCACTCGAGCTGCTGGGAACCATCGGCTCTGCTATCCTTGATGTTCGCATGTCGACTCAGGAATATGCCAAGTCGATCGACACGAGCGACCCGATCTCGCAACGTTTAGCTGCGATGGCAAGCAGTTTAGCAGATGGTACATCAAGCATTGCAGATCTGACCTCGTTCGACGGCCCATATCGAGTAGTCATTGAGTATTTGCATGCCCGCGGAGAGACAGACGCACACCTACAGACCGCGCGAGGCTACCATCTTGTTCAATGGGCTGAACATCTCAACAGCAAGGATATGCCATCGTCGGATACCACAGAAATGAGGCATCTGAAACGCAAGATCCTGAACATGATATATGATCCGCTCTGGCTGGAAGAAGATCCCGAGTACGCCAATGTCACCACTTCAATGGGAAAGCTTGCAGCAAAGATTGTGACATCACGCCTGCTGCTCTGCCGTGCGTTCCCTCGTATGCTCTCCATCTTGCTGAAATCCATGACAAGCGAGCAATCAACAATCCGGAGTCGTGCGATCAAAAGCGTTACAAATTTATTAGAGAAAAGCCCAAATTTGCTTGATTCTGAAGTTCATCTGCTAGAATCAATCCTGCGTGCGACAAGGGACAAGTCAAGTTTGGTCAGAGATTCTGCAATGATATTGATCGAGAAGTGTGTCTCGCTACAGCCGTCCCTTGCAGCCCGAGTCAATACCCGAGTTATTGAGCGAACAACAGATGCCTCGGCGCTTATCCGCAAGCGCGCCATCAAGTTTTTGAAGCAGCTATATTCGATGATCAAGGATACCAACGCGCGCGCCGTTATCGCTAATGCAGTCATTTGTCGAGTTGCTGATTCGGAAGAAAGCGTAGCTGAGGTTGCGCTGAACACCATAGAAGAGATCTGGTTTTCTGGCTTTGGCGAATCAAAGAATGGGATCGATGTTTCCATACAGCTTCGTGAACAAGTTTCGATGATCATTAAAACTGTCGACTCCAGCGAGGCAGTTGTGGACGTTCTCGAAGGCCTAGTTAGAAGGATATCGACAAAGCCAGCGAGTGCTTCTGAAAGTCATAAGGCTTGCAAAGCCTTTGTGGCGACATTGTTTGACGGTGTTATTGACAGCAGCGACATCCCGGGCTCACCTCAGCAGTGGGCCATCTTGCGTACACTGACCATCTTTGCAAAAGCTGCACCGAAACTGTTCAGTGCCAACCAACTCGAGCGTCTTGAGCCATACGCCAAGAATTTGAATTCGCAAGATGACCTCCGTGTCTTTCAGCATGTCATCACCATCTTTCGCTATACATTCCCCTACGTGACGGCTATCAGTCATGTCGTACTACGAAATCTGCAGGAGTCACTGTTGAAATCTGTGCAGCGTATTCCAAGCTCTGAGTTGGCGACCGTGGCGCCTTGCCTAGCAGCTATCGCAGATGTACTGGACAACACAGGGCGCCTGGTCTCCCTGACAAGATCAGCTCTCAAAGCGGTGGGCATGCGGACCAATGTTGATCTAGCCACGAATCCTGCAGAAGCCCGGAAGGTAGAACGATTGCTTTACATCATTGGCCACTTTGGCAAAGCTTGCGATTTCGAGTCACACCTGGCATTATTTCAGAGCGCAACGGACTGCCCGGGCTTCAAGGGCGACTCTGTATCGGCGTACATGGTGATGCTCTCCTGCCGTTTCACAAGTCCGAAACATCCACACGAAGTTCGAGTCGCTGCGCTCTCCAGCATTTGTGCGGTCTGCCACCGCTGCCCAACGCATTTCTTGCGCGAGGATGTTCTCAATGCTTTCAAAATGGTATTTGCCGACAACATACAAGAGCTTGAGCAAGTCTTGCTGTCAAGCATCGCCAACTTCTTCTCGGCCCAGGAGAAGCCTGAAGACGATGGGAGTGTGCCCCAGCTCGGCACTGGAATCGAGTCTGGCACAGAGCGATTGGGCAATACTTATCAAGCGACCGGCTTGGACAGCGCCTTTGGAGTACTGGCCCAGACGTTCCTCGAGGACTTCCTGCGAATCGCTCTCGCATCGCAAGACGATGTCGCCATGTCTGCGGCCCGCATTGTTGTCAGTATCAACCGTCAAGGCCGAGCTACACCTCGCCAGAGTGGATACTGTCTTGTCGCGTTAGAAACTTGTCCCAACCCCGTCGTTGCAAAGATGGCTTTCCTGGAGCACAAATCGCAATACTCCAAGCACGAAGGCACTTTCGAATCAGATCTTCCGCGCTCGCTGGAGAAGACTTTTCAGTATCAGTGCAATCTATCCCAGGACATCACCGGGTGCACTGGTCAACCTCCGGTTTCGAAGCTGCACTTTCTCTGGGAAGTACTCAAGACTGGCAAGGCCAAGGTTCGCGCGAAGCTCTTCACGTCAATGTGTTCAAAGATTGCATTCGATCCTTCCTCATTCGTGCCATCGTCCCCGATGCCCGAGCGACTTCATTCGGCACGTTTCAGTGTCGAAGCTATGGCATATTTAGAGTTTGAACGAGGCGAAGAAGTGCACCACCTGCTCACTTGTCTCGAGAAGACCTTCTCGACCACTGGTACGCCGGTCGCTCAAGCGATAGAAACTGAAGTACAGCAGCTGCTCATGCCTGACGTGACAAGTTCAATTGAAGTAAATCCCGCTGAAATGACCGAGACGGCTCCGAATCAATTACCACAATATATCGACCCGGCACGCCTTCAACAGCTGGCAGTCTTCTCCCAAATTCTCTCCCTACTATTCGAAACCCACTCCTTCCTCCGACGCGCCTGGAGCATGCACAAATACAAAGGCAAACCAAAGAAAGGTTCGGCCAAAGACGCCGCCACAAAGGCGATCAAAGCCCCGAACTACACCGCCCTGGCCGACTCCTACCAGAACCGCATCAACAAAATCTACAAGGTCGCCGCCACCGAAGTCGACCAGCGAGCTATCTGCAACGCTTTCGCCGAGACCTTCAAACGCGATGACGAGGTCAAGGTCGGTTCCGACGAGGACGGTGATACGGACATGGACAACATGATCGACGATGCTCGCAGCGATACTGCTTCTGAACGTAGTGGCTCCCAGCCGCTAGGGACTCCGAGGAAGAGGAAGCGGAGCGTTGGGCCGTCTGGACAGATGCGGAAGAAATTCAAGGCGAGATCGGCTAGTGATGCGGATGAAGATGATTATGACGGATAATGAGGAACGGTCCCCTGGGTGAAAAGGAGGCGCTGCGTATTGCTTTTCTTCAAGATGATTTGTTTGTTTCTTTTTATTGCTTGATGTCGGGTCGGGCTCACTCATCGCCATGACTAAATTTGACGATGCTTTGTACGATATCATTCCCTCTTCTGACCAGCGACGTTGATTTCATATCTCCACCATTCATGCCCTCGACTACCTGGGTTGTCGTGCACGTTCTGACCGGGATACATATACCGTTCTCCCCGAGGATGAAGTCCGAAATACGGGAGAAAAGAGAAGGAAGGAAGTAGTCATTGGTCTCCTCACCTGAATGTAGGTGGCCAGCCGGACAATGCCAGCGATTGCATCTGACCAGCGTGGCAATCTTGTAAAAAAAGAAATAATGCAGTCCATTTGCGGTTCAAACCTGCACCACGGACCCGGGTAGCAAGCAAGGGATTTCGACTGTTGGGTTTCCAACATGCGCGTCTGCATATGCGTCATGTACGACGACATGACATTGCAGCAGTCCTTGGGAAACACTTTTCGAGTCCTAGTCCGAGTCCGAGGAGCTTGGGGATTCTGTATTGGCATGAGGGAATTCTTAAACTTCGCTCCATCTCGACGGACCGGATCTACGCTGACCTGAAAGTTCGATCGGTTTGGAAACAGGATTGGGGTTTTTTTTGGTCCACATGAGACTACACTGGCGCATTCGATCTCATGCAAAATCAATTAGCCTGTTGGAACCATCGTGAGGTCCAGACGGACGCGCTGGGAACAAGGCCTCGATTCGTGCTCGCCTCATCTGCCTCTATTCACTTTCCCAAAAGAGTCCAGAGCGCATGGAACAGCGACCCGAGGAGCCGGGCGTGTGTGTATGTCTTTGCGTGTGTGCTCACTCATCATGGTTGGGAATGCCGGCCTCATGGCGATGTATCTCCTCTCCCCGGCGAGTGGGCGCGGACGACCCGCCCATGAGTTGGCTGCAGAACGTGGCGTCCACGCTTGACGTACCCGTGCGTTGCGTCGGTGTGGGACGGGACTTTCAGGTGGAGGTGCCAATTATTGTACCACCGTCATGCTTTTCCTTTCTTTTCGAGGAGGAATGACGCCGAAGAATTGCTTTTGCGATGATGGTGTTATGACTCATTCCCTGCCCGAGGTATTGCGACCATAAATATCGGGACACAAACATTGGTGGTGGTGGTGGTGTGTGTACGCTTTTCCACACGACTTCTTTCCGTCAATGCGTGCGTTTCACTAGAGAAAGAGGACTCATGCAAGCCACATCACACAATATAGTAGGTATGCACCAGCATCACGATGAATGGGACGTGCCTGAGACAGGAAAGCACATCCCTCGAGCAATCTCAATGCTCACGATGATATAATTATCGAGATGAGAGGAGACGCGACCATATCGTAGATTGTCCCCAGATGCAGAATTGACTTTTCGACAAATGCGAGATGAGACCAGTCGGGAAGCCCCATCGGGATGGATGTGCCTTTCGATCACTGCCACCTTCATGTCATAGAAGCCACTTGGGGCAGCAAGATTGAGACGAGAGTTCCCCATTGGGCGTGGAAACTGGGCATCCAAATCTCCATTTGGACTAATGTCGGCCTTCATCAATATGTCTGCACAGCACATCCAAGTCGAGTCACTCTATCGTGCGTTTTCACTTGCAGGCTATGGATTCATCCGATCTTCATTTTCAATAACCTTCCCAACAGGCCCGGCACTGCGGTGGTGTCCTAGAGAGAGCGTCTCGATAATGACACTACTACTACCCACTACTGCATGTGATTACACTGTACTCTTAAGAAATCAAGTTTCGTTGGTGTTCCCAGCGGCCAGGTTCGGCAGATGTAAGGAAAGAAGTTTGACACGGCAATCGATGCATTCCTGCGTGGGCGCCCATGCTTTCGGGATGCATGGAGCCTGCATCCCCGTCGTCGTCGCGCACCATCTGTTGGCCGTGGCCGCCCGTCAATCAAAAACTTAGGGACCCATTTGTCGGGTGCAGTGCCCGCCAGCATGGATGGGAGAGTGACGGGTGACAACGCATTTCGAACCAGACTTTGTACCCATGTCCCATGCCCATGCGCACGTGCAGGAGGATATGCTGCGGACGGCACTCTCTCTCACCTTCGATTTGAATTGCAGGTTTTCGCCTCTCTGCCCATCCGTCGGTTGAGTGGGAAATTCGTTGGTCGGGTTTCATGCAATATGCTCGCATCCTCTCGGTGTACTCGCATGGCGCCCATGTTTTGTGTGCATAACAATTTCGATTCCATTTGGTGGCTGAAAAGATTGATATAAAGCAATGTTATAAAATATGCAAGGATGTATTTATGAGAACCATGATGAGAAGCATTGTTTTACACATCTGGCAGAGAGTGCGAGAGGGAGAGACAGACGCCAGAGTCTGGATCGCAGGCCGAGAAAAGAAGCACAGACAGCCAGCTCCAGCGGGGCTTTCGCTCGCCCCAAGTTTCCCATCAAATTGTGCCGCTCCGAGGGGTTGGCTCGGTGCAAATTCCCACGTTTTCCTCATCACACACGTCCCGACAAAACCTTGGAACCACCTGAGCCACGCGAAGACTTGCCCATTCCACGTGCCTATCGATCTGGCCAGACTCATCATTCCAAATCTCGACGACATGGGTATGGAATATTCGAGGGAAAGTCTACGCGTGGTTGGATGATCCCTGGTCATTTCGTTCTGTGTTCACTACTGTACCTTGCACATCCAGACCTTTTGTTTCTGTTCGGAATTCGTCATCGTCGTCGGCTTCGGTAGCCGCATTGCTTTTATAGTTCCCAGCGAGTGGTAGATTGCGCCCGTCGTTGTGCCTCTCGAATGTGTGCAGAATCACGAACATCGGGCAGGCGTTCGACGTGGGATTTCTTGACGGCCGTGATGATCAGCGTTTCCCTCCTTGAGACCAGACTTGGTGGCATCCCTGGAAAATCGATAATGACGAAACATCTGGCGGAAGTACACCATACGTGCTGAAAAAAAAGTAGAGTTCTTCCTGCCCCCTGTCGCGCCGTGAATTTCGTGGGACACATTGAGTTTGGGATCGCTGAAGCGTAAAGAGCATTATCATCCACCAGGGATTCAGAGGAGAAAGTATGGCTCCTGTGATCAATGCTTCCAAACAGTTCCATGCAAGCTCCTCAAGCCACCGAAACCCAATTCCATCCATACCTCGTACCGCGCTCAAAGGAGGGAGGGCCAACATGCTCAGGGAGATGAGAGCGCTGGACAAGGAGGTTCGAACCGCTGGCGCGTGTAGTGATGTAACCGGGGTACAATTCAAATAAAACACAGAGCACCGCACCGACATGAACTTGTCCACCATCGGAATATGCAAGGGAAAAGTTGGGACGTATGGAACAGAAGCCGTGCATCATCATGCAGACGAGTTGGTGATGATGTGGAAAAGCATAGATACCAACCAACAATGCGAGTGCATCTTCCGGAAGAGGGCTAGTCTGCACGTGCGTTGCGCGCGGGTGCCATGCAGTGCATTTTCGCAGCCAGCCAGCACTGCATCCGGCAGGAAAGGGAAGGAATGGAAGAAATCCATCCATGTGGATCTGACAGGAAGCATGTGAGGAACGTAGACTCGTTGCCCAGGTGCTCTTGATCGTAGTAATATCAGTAGGTAGGTACCTAGGTATGTAGAAGACTCCAGCTCTTCGCGGATGGCAATGCCTCGCGTCCCGCCGCCGCCGCCGCCGTTCTTTGACGCCCGCCCGTTGATCACCCACGAAGTCTCGAAAGAAAGATAGCACCAAAAGTTTCGGCGTGATCCGTACCTATACACACGCCGTTTCGCCCTCGTACCCAAATCCGAACGGAGGGATACATGTACAGGGAGCATGCAGGCATAGATACCGGGCTGGCGACAGAGGTGGTAAAAGACAGGTGTACTACTGTGGGAGCTATTTCAATGCATGAACGGCCGACATGTCCACAACGGGTATGCTTAGTGGAATAGTTGCATTAGATGCTCATTTGGGTTCGCTCTCCCAACCCAACCCGACAGATAGGTTACGGTATGAGCATATGCAGTGCGAGTAGGGTTTTCTCGTTCCCGACTTCGTATCGTCATGGCATGTGTATGGACGTTTCGAGATGATGCGAGGACGGAGTCCGTCATTTTGGGTCTGCTTTTCTTTCCCTTTCTGTGACGTGGGGATGGAAGTTACTGAAGTGTTTCCATGCTGGTGATCACGGTTACATGATTATTAGCATCAGAGGCGGCTTGTAACGTGCACGGCTTTCCGCGGCCGGACAGTGATTTGATACATGGCCTCCATCTGGCAAGTCCTCTCGCACGAGAAGGGGACCCTGTGGCGTTTTCTTACATGAAGGTTGGGGTAGAAGGGAGAGTGGAAAGGGAGGTGACAAGCAAGGTCTATCCTGGACGAGAGCGGACACGCCATACCGAAGACGATGAACGCTGCGTGAGCAGAGTGTTGGTGTATTGTACCAATATCTATCTATATAGGTTTCGATCTAAGCAAAATAAGACACATGCGTTCCTGCCTAGCTGAATGAAGAAGGGGGTATCATTGCATCTGAAAAGTAACGAAAAATAAGAACAAGCAAATGAGTGCTGCGGGAGGGTCGTTTGTAGACTTCCCTCCTCCCGGGTCGTTATTGTTGAGCACCGTCCGTCTAACCTCAAAACTTAGATGGATGGACGCTCCGAAACTTTGTCCTTCGGTCGCTCGCTCGTCGTCATCGTTGATGCAGGTGGGCGTAATTTGCATGATTGATGGAGAAAAGCTTAAGGTGATGTGAATAGACATTCTGCAGGGCTTTTGCCCATTTCTAAATTGACTTCTCTGCCTTGAAACGCCGGCCCATTGTGGCGCTCATTCATGCTCGATGCGTGGGGTCAAGAAAGGATGCTTGCAGATTGGCATCAAAGCTCATGCTGGTGAGCTGCGTATCCGCTCCCACCGGGAATGATCCCTGTGTGGACTCTACGGGGAGCGATGCGATTGTTGGGAGGATGTTTGTGTGTAGCAGATCAAATTGCCAGAGCGGATGGGATGCACTGACACCACATTCAGGTCGCGATCATCACCATGAAGTCGGAGCCGGACGCCATCTTAGAGAGGATCGCCGCTTGTGGCGTATGGTGCGTCTCATGTAATCGCAGCCGCCGTGTCCTGCGTTGGTGGTGACTCTCCTTGCGTGATGATCTCGATCGAAGGGAGCTCGATGATGGGAACATCGGACATGGAAGGACGAAGAGGCCTGCACGCGGTTATTAGCATTTCAGCACAAGGGTAACCGGAGTTTCCGCAAAGGGAGGCAACTTACGGATCACGCACACATTCGTTGCAGCGCGCATGCCCACATTGTTGACAATGCATCTCATGCCGAGTCGGAAAGACAGTTCTGCATTGCTCGCAGATGAAGCGCACTTGGTGCCGGGCCCGACGGAAAACGCGAGGGTTTTCGACATGTGATGCGTTGGAATCCCCAGCTCTCGCCGAGGCCAAGGAAAACGATGATGGTGTGACGGATCCTGTAGGAGACATAGGTTGTAAATCGTTGGATGCACTGGAGAAATTTCGATAGTGCTTCAGGGTTTGAGGTGCCACAATATGATCGTCGTCGTGATTTAACAAAAATGTGCTTTCTGGATTGCTGATTTTCGATAGTGTTGTGGTCATCCTGACAGAGGAATATCGTGGAAGTGGATTTAATTCTGGCGGCGGTGATAAGTTTTGCAGCCAGGATTGCGTGTTGCGAGACGACTCTGCGTGACTGATGGATTTGGAAGTGATGGTGGGCTGGAGCTCTGCCAAGGACAATGTAGGACGAGCACTTTGTGCGAGGTCAGGACTGCTCTGGACTGCGCGCACAGAATTTTTGATTGTCTCGTCAGAGGGAACGTCAAAGTATTGCTGAGAGACAACTCGAGTCGAGTCTGTCACCACTTCAATAGGCCTGGATGATGACGGCCGTTTCTTGCACTCCTTGCAGCGAGTATGACCACAAGTCTTGCAGAGTTCTTGCAAGCCAAATTCAGTGTTACATTTGTGACAAAGTCGGTGCGAGCGAGCCCGGGTGAGCTTTTCCACACGTCGGACTTTGTTGGGTGATCCTGACCCGGGATGTTGCATGATACCTGTCCATTGCGCGCGGAGGCCAGTTGAAATGCCGTATGTTCGTGACGATTGCAGGCCAGCTCGTGCCAGAGCGATTGGCAATGCGAATTCTTCGGCGTCAAACTCGTTATCGCTATGGTCGCTTGAAGCAAGTAGAAGCTCTGACGCTGGCCGATCCCAAAGTGTCATCGCATTGTCGTCCTCATTGCGTCTTCCAGACATGCCACTGCCACCCGAGGCCGCCTTGCCTTCATGTCGTCCGGGATTTTTTTGCGCCGCCGCAGATTCATGTCGCGATTCTCGAGATTGCTGGGTTGATATGCCGGTTGTTGAAGGTGGGTCCACGGAAGTTGAAATACTGTCGTCGCGCCCTGCGCTGCTGAGTTCGCGAAAGTCGAAACGTGGCGTGTTAGCCATGCTATTGTCCACGCTGCTTGCGCATGTCTGACCGGGGCCCGTCGGATCTGGCGACGGGCGTGGTATGGCCGGTCCAGACATGCATCCGGATAGGTGATGTCGAGGTAAGGAAGAAGAGGTGCGAAAGTCACGCTACTTCGGTGGGCAAGATGGCACTGAAAAGCGGAGCCGGGACATACAGCGACCAGGGCTGCCAGTGAGAGGGTGCAGTGTCTTCACTCGTCGACAGAGTCTTTTGACACGGTGAACACGGAGCGGTCATCAACCAATCCGAAAAAGTTATGCACTTTAGTGCTTGCCGATCAACGGGTCGGTCTTCGGGGTGTGGTGAAAAGAGAATAAGCCCTGGCCCTACTGCAAAGTGCCGTTCTGCGTAGTGGCGGAGATGGTGAGCTCCGCTACGACGCGGTCTTGAACCTGACGAAGTCAAACAGTGTCGTGATGGGAAGTGACATTCAAGAAGGCAGACTGGCGAGGCGAGTGGATTATGAAGCCCATCATGCCGGACTTTCCGTCCCAAGGCCCGTACTAAGGGTGACAGAGTGATGACAGGGCCAGGACGGCGCCCATCCTTCTAGAGTGCTTGTCGGCCAGAGCATGACCAGACGCTGCATGTGTGGTGGTGGTGCAGCGTTGGGTAGAGGTGGTGGTGGATGCGTGCGCCTGGTGCAGACTTGACTTTCGTTCGACCACCATAAAGACCGGTCTCGGGGCTAAGATCTGACTACGCCCAGAAGAGCTGGGGCCCGCACTGACTAAAATATGTGATCTAGCCCGAGTGGGACTACGGCAGACCCGAGCTTTCAATCGGCTTCGTTTACGAGTCCGCCCACCGACAAGGGCCTTCTTCGCTAATCGGAGCGCTGCTGTGGCTTCGGGGCACCCGTCCAGTGACTTTGACTCTCCTCGCGCTGTTTCGTATGTTTCCTATTCGTATGGGGAATCAGAACGATCTCCTAAGTACAGACCTGCTGTCAATCAGCGCCGTCGTCGCCTTTCCGGCGGCGCATCTCGATTAGCGTGACCTGGAGGGACTTGTGGCATTCCAGTTTCGTGGATAGACAAGAAGCGTGTGTCTATGCGCACATCAACGTGGATTTCATTCTGCAACCATTTCAGGCAGAGTATCTGAACTTTCGACCTTCCACTCGCGATCGACGTGGATTGACAAAGGCAATAGGCTTGGTTCACGAATCACGACACATCTACTTTTCGATTACATACCTGGGTACCCTGTTAGTCGCGAAGTTCAAAGCATTGATAGCGCCCGCGACGGTGATAAGGTTGCGCGCAAAGATCCTTTTCGAACAATGCTGGAAGCTGTGACGCTGTTCAACGACTGACATTCACAAACCCCAGATACTCATATGGCCATCGCGTCGACGGGAGGCAGACGTTGGCTCATCTCCGACAACACATAGTGACGTCTGGGGGCGAAGGTTTTAAGGGCCATACATTAGGCTTCGGCTTGAAAAGATGAGGTCCCAACAAGGTGTACACGACGCGATGTATCGTGTGCAGCGAGGGCCGACTTTTTCCTTCGAAGCGAATGAAGTGAGGCATCTTGTCCATGAGATCCCTTTGAAGGTCTACTGTAGTCCATGGCACATGCTTACCTAGGTAGATAGACTACTTTTTGCACGAGCTTCAGCTCAATAGCACGAGCGATGGCGCGGCCCTCATCATAGTCCCAGATCTCCGTCTTCCGACTGATTGCGGTCCGCCCGCCCCCCAAGGAACCGGAGCCGTGCCGAATCCGAGTCACCACATTGGCAAAGACCTCGTTCAGTTGGCACTGTTAGGGTTCCAACATACCAGGCGCCAATAAGTTTTTCCATGAAGCCTGTCGGCGTCAGCTCAAGCAATGGATCTCACAGCCATTCTGAGCGGTCCCGAATTCAGTCAGAACATTGAATCACGGTCACCACGAGCTCGGGGCCTGCGCTTTCCAAGGTTATTGGCTGGAGCCCTGGATGTTAGGTGTCTCGATGACTAATCTTCGAGCTCCGCTCTAGCTTTTGGTGATCTTTAGACCCGCCTGCAAGCCTAAGTGATGTTGAGCCAGAACATGGAGAACAGAAGTGCAGTCGACTGAACGTCAGACCTATAAGTTCGTGGAATCTAAGCTCTCGTGGCGCATATAAATGCGCGAGAATTTGGACATGATTTCATCGATAGTAAGTCCGTGCTGTGCCAATGGTCTGCAAGTTCTAAGATGCAGAATCCAACTGCAATGTGCTCTGTTGGAAGTGTAGTCAAAATCCTTCAACTGCCTCTGTTGTAAAGTAACAAGTTCTTGTGTCCTACATTGCTCACCGAATTGCTCTTCGTGATCGGCGTGAAAGGTAGAGAATGCGCCAGCTCTGTACACACCCCTATTGGGACAAACGGACAGTCACGTGATTCCATGATGAAACAAGGGGAACGGAATTTCTCCAGCCAGTATTGGTTGATGCGTCTACCAAGTTAGCGTCATTCATTCGGAAGCACTCACGCGAGCAAGCTTAGAGTCGCGAAAAAAGTGCACTCGCCCCCGATCATTCTATCACTCTCATCTCGATGTTCATCAAATATCATCGCGTACCGACTTTAAATATCGCGCCCTGCAAAACTCATCATTAATTGCGAAAGGCACACGAGTCGCGATGCTTGTTCGCTCTGCTGGACGGAGACAGCAACGCCATACTTCAAAACTCATTGCCTCATCATTTGCACAACTTAACCTTCCCTGGCTGGCACCGGCTCAATTACGATGGGCAGCATCACATACGAAATCAGTCCCAGGACAATCACGGTTACGACAGCAGCTACGGCACCCCCCAACACATACTCATCACCCTGCGAGAGGTCTCGCTACATCGGCCGATCAATACTTACCCTTTGACCAAGGGCCGCCTCCTGGATTCGCTCAAATTTTTCCACAAGCGAGTTTGGGAGACATCACATCCTTCACTACACCCCTCAAGCATTCTGCCGGCACATCACTCTACGCCCGTCCGTACAATGATCCCATCAAACTTGACACCACCACTCGAACGCCGGAGCAATTGATTTTAGTCGCAAATGGTCTTCACGGTACGGTACGTGAGCTCATGGTTCATCTCCACACTTGTGTCATTGTGGGGCGACGAGAAAGAGCTCAGGCTATTGTGGCTCGCCTTTCAGAACAATGTGGTGTCCGATCACCTGAGATCAGATATGCTCATCGAGCGATTCTCGGAGAGATGCTTCGCAGCATGGCGACGAATCCATCCGGGTCTTTACGCGCAAAAGCAGTGCTTGCCGAAATGCAAAAATGGTTTGAGGTCGAAGTTCGGAACAAAGGTGTGCCGATTGAGGCGCAGATTTTGATCATCATGATGAGGGCCAGCGTTTTCGCCCTTGAAGGATCGAGGATGGATCGATCGATTCGCAGATATGCCGAAATTGCACGGGATATCAATGACGAAGTCTTCGAAGAAGTCCTCAATTCAGAAGAGTATGACGAGAACGAGTATATGATCGTTGGACGTGCCACCTCGGACTACTACGAGGAGGAGGCTGTTCCGGAAGATGAACTCCAACGGGCACAGGACACGCAAAAGGATTTGATAGCCACTTACAGAGCCCCCCCAACCGCCGGTTTCGTTGATCTTGACTCAATACCGGAGGTTCGAGCTGTGGCAACCAAGAGCTCTGGTCTTCGAAACATTCAAAGCATGATGACAGCCTTAACTGGTCTTCCACCTCTACCCCCGGATGCAGCTCCAGAAGACCGGCTGAAGCGTGCTTTCGAACGACAGCACAAACTAGAAAAGAGCGCAGTAGAAGTCGCAGTGGAGCGCTGGCGACAAGAGGATGAAGAGCTTCGGAAGATTGGCATTCACACAGCAATGCAGACGAAGCCGATAGGTGCCATGATGTGGCAGTGGTATTCGGCTCTCCTCCCGGCAATAAAGGAGGAAGCTGCAGCTTCTGCCACAGCTTTGGCAGGACCCAAAACTGTTGCTGACGACCGCCTTGTTTATGGGCCATTCATGGAGTTACTACCGGCAGAGAAGCTTGCAGCAAATACCATTCTCACAATCATGGGAACTTTGATGAGCGGCAGGAAAACCGAAACAGACACGCATAAATTTGACGTCAAGGTCATCAATCTGACGAGCGCTATTGCAAATGCGATCGAGCAAGAATGGTCCGCACATCAAAATATACAAACGGCTGGAAATAAGCGGTCTCGCAGATCGATGGCCAAAACCCGGCGAACCCACAAAAATGTACACGCTGTGTCAAAAGACCCAAACGCTGAAACAGGCGCAGCTCTACCTCTGCCAGAAATCCCCAATGCGATTCAGGATAAAGAGTGGCCCAAGAGTGCAAAGCTCAAAATGGGCGCCATGCTTCTCTCTAAATTCCTAGAATGTGCTACAATCCCAGTCACGCGAGAACATCCACGAACGGAGGAATTGATCTCGCGAATGCAACCGGCTTTCCTCTACCGTGTTCATTTCCACTACGGCAAGAAGACGGGAATGATCGTACCGCACGAAGCACTCAGCGAAAGGCTGCAGAGCGAGCCTCTGGGAAGTCTCGTTTGCAAAAGTATGCCAATGGTTGTGGAGCCAAAACCGTGGACTGGTTGGCAATCTGGGGGCTACCTGCATTACGACACCCCGATATTACGCCTATCGAACGGTGACAAAACGGGTCGGGAATACTTCGAAGCGACAGATCGAGAGGGAGACCTCAGCACCTTATATAAAGGACTGACCGCGCTCGGCAAAGTGCCGTGGAAGATCAACCGCGACGTGTTCAACGTCCAGCTGGAAGCGTGGAATAGTGGCCTGGCGATCGCTAACTTTCCGCCATTGGAACCAGACCTCCCGACTCCGATTGAGCCTGAAGCATCTCTCGATCCCTCCGCGAGGAGGAAGTGGTTGGCGGAGCTGCGTGAGACTGAGAACAAGAAAAGTGCTTTCCATTCTCAGAGGTCCTTCCAAAATTTCCAACTCGAGATCGCGAGGAGCCTTCTGAATGAGACTCTTTACTTTCCTCACAACCTGGATTTCAGAGGTCGCGCCTACCCGATATCGCCGTATCTGAACCATATGGGTGCAGACAATGTGCGAGCTCTTCTGACCTTTGCCGAGGGCAAGCCATTGGGAGCGACTGGTCTTCGATGGCTCAAGATCCACTTGGCTACAGTGGCTGGCTATGACAAGGCAAGCCTCGACGACCGAGTCAAATTCACAACGGAGCATTTCGACGACATTCAAGATTCCGTGCTCAATCCTCTGGGAGGACGTAGGTGGTGGTTATCGGCAGAAGACGCTTGGCAGACGCTCGCGGCGTGCTTTGAGCTTACCAATGCACTGAATTCGCCTGACCCAGAGAAGTACGTCTCCTATCTACCGATGCAACAAGATGGTACTTGCAATGGTCTTCAGCACTATGCTGCACTTGGTGGAGATCAAGCTGGCGCCAAGCAAGTGAATTTGGAGCCTAGCGACAAACCAGCAGACGTGTATACTGCAGTCGCCGACGCCGTGCGGGCACATGTCCAGAAAGATGCCGATGCTGGCCATGAAATCGCCAAGCTCATTAATGGTCGCATCACCCGGAAATGTGTTAAACAGCCAGTCATGACAAACGTCTACGGCGTGACGTTTTATGGCGCGAAGCTTCAAGTATTAAAAAATGTTAACGTCATGTTGCCCGAATCTGGGTGCCCACCGGGTGTGACACCTTTGGCAGTCGCGCACTACGTTGCACTCAAAATCTTCAAGAGTTTGGGCGACATGTTCACAGGAGCTCAGGCGATCCAGCAGTGGCTAGGAACATGTGCTGATCGAATCTCGACTGCACTCAGTCCCGAACAAATTCAGAAGGCTATTCTCGCCGAGAAAAAGAAAAAGACCGCGACCAGTGAGCCCGCAAAACGTGTCGCTGCGAAGAAGCCGTCCACGAATGCGGGACTGAAAGACATTGAGAAGGTCAGCCAAAGCGCAACCGATGCCGGCAAATCTATGAAACCGTTTTTCAAATCAACGGTGGTTTGGACGACCCCTCTCGGCCTTCCTGTGGTGCAACCTTATCGCAAACCTACGAGCCAAGTAGTCAAAACGAGCTTGCAGCAGATGTCAATCTCCGAGCCACGTGTGTGGGATCCTGTCAACAAACGCAAGCAATTACAGGCATTCCCGCCGAACTTCATCCATTCATTGGACTCAACGCATATGCTCCTGAGTGCGCTCAAATTTGACGAGATTGGCAAAACTTTCGCCAGTGTCCACGATTCCTTTTGGACACATGCATGCGACGTCGACACTTTGAGCGAAGTGCTCCGGGATGCGTTCATTTCTATGCACAGCGAGGACATTATCGGTCGCTTGCGCGAGGAGTTTCAGACTCGCTATCAAGGTTGCTTCCAGCTACTTTCTGTGGAACGCAATTCGCCTGCCGGCCGGCAAATTCTCGAATTACGCGAGACAGATGCTGCCAATCCCACAACATCGGCAATGTCTGGGGTCGAAATTGAGCTCGAGCGCCTTCGGCTGCTCAACAGCGACGATGCTGCCGAGCGAGAAAAGGGGGCGTCAATGATCACAGCCGCGTCAATAGTGCAATCCTTGTCCGTTATTGAGAACACGTCTCCGGTTTCCGAGGAAATTCAGGCCCAGGGTCTCGGAAAACTGCCCGATGACGCCTCCGAATCTGACCTCAGCAAGGGAGCTGACTTGCGTACACTCGCTGCTGGTGTCGAGATCGTCTCTGAGCCGCTTGATGCTGTCTTGAGCGGCCAGCTCGACCATGCTGACATTGATGCCGACGATGGGAACACCCACGGCGAAAGATCGACCGGCGACCCGTCGGAACCAGCGTCACCTCCCAGCAAAATTTCCCGCACCAAGGCAACTAAAGCATCAAAGATCTTTGCATGGGTGCCCCTGGAGTTCCCGCCTGTCCCAGAAAAGGGCAGCTTCGATGTCACCAAGATACAGCAGAGCAAATACTTCTTCCATTGACTCTGATGTGCACATGCACCTCAGTCCACACTTTTTCGGACTGCATGAGACCACCCACCACGAACAGACTCGATGAAAAATTCTATACAATTTGGTCAAATTCGTTCGCTCCACCCGACTAGTGGAATCTGTATCCTTTTACATGTTGCATATTTTTATACTCCTGCTTCTTCTGCATAGCGAGGTGGCGACTGAGCGACTCTCCTCTGCCCTTTACACTCCGACAGGAAATCCCCGTCGGGCTTCATTCTTATTCCAGCATTGCTAAATGTTTTTTTAATTTATTTTGGGAGATTATGGGAGACAATATTTAGATTTGAGTTGGGGATTGTGGGATAGATAGATGTGAAACAACGAAGATGGACTACATCGCGAGAAACGTTTCATCTTCGCATTCTTCACCGGTGAAATGTGCAATACAAGCATCGCTTCTCGCTTAGAGAGAAAGATTTACTCAATACCACCAGAGTCACTTTGGTACAACTCGTGACGCTGGACTCAAGATTTACGATTTCTATTGCGGGAGGACATTTTCACAAGTGAACATGCTTCGCACGTACTTTTGAAAGAGGTGGGATGCGTCGTATAAACAACATCAAATCTCAGAACCACGATTTCAAACTATGTCCTCGCGAGGTGCTTCAACTGAGCACCATGCTTCGGTTGGCTTGAAGGTTCATTACGGTCACGTGCAGCGCGTCACTCCCGTGTGTAGTGGCGACGCGTCTCCTGCTGCATCGCGGGCGGGGGCCTTATTGGCAGCACATTTGCGACTCGCGACACAAGGCAGATGCAGCTCATTGTGCGATCAAGATGCCGCCGGCGATTTGCGATTCAGAAGGCGAGGAAGAGGAAGTCTTTGCCCAGGAGCGTCCTTCGCAAAGCAGCATCATTTCCTGGGCTGCTAAGCAGATCGATGCAGTCGCAGTGCAGCTTTTCGATGGCGCGGATGATCGAGCCACAGGCTCTACCGGTATGTTGACGGTCCTTGCAGATGCGCTCCCGACTTCGCCACCGCTACATACATCCGGTCCACTAATCACCATATAGATACGGCGCAGCTAGAGGCTGAAATCCGAAATGCGGCCTGGGGACTGTTTGGCACTGATCCCAGTCAACATTCGCAGCCCAAACTCAACTCATCTCAAATCGCGTCCGGGTCGCACAAGCGCAGTCATACAGATTACAATATCGCGAGAGATGCATCGCAATCAAGCAACAAGCGCTCCAAGACCTTCGGCGGGGCCTGTCCAGTGATACCGCCACAGCCAGGGCTATCAGAGCACTCTGCCATGTTCAACGAGCCCCAAATGCCTTTCCAGGGATCCTTGTTTGAGGATTTCGTGAATCATGAACCGTTCGGCATGTTTCAGGAGACCGGCGACACTGTGGCCGACATGTCTTCTTGTCAAGAGAGGCTGGTGGCCGAGGCCATTGCTGACTTCGGAAAGTCCGAAACCATTTCCACGACGCGTCCCACACCGGTCGAATTGCCTCCCAGCCCGTCGTTCCCTTACTCGTCTTCGACGAGACCAACACAGAAGGCGGTCGCTGTTGATCATGTTGAGCACGTAGCCGAGGAGCACAGCAGCGAATACAATATAGTTCTGGACCTCGGGCCCGAGCACGTTCATTCTGTCGCCGACGATGCCTGTGATACACAGTCTCTTCAGCCACCACCTCACCTCAGCCCTGTGACACTCCTACCAACTGGACTTCCGGAGACAAACACTCCATTTGAGACGCAAGCCATGCCAAAAACAGGGAAACTCCGCAGTCGCAAGCGAACGATGGAAATCGACACGATGAATAACATGGGTGAAGACGAGCTATTGGTTGAGCTACCCAAAGAGCAATATCAACCGAGACCAAGTCGAAGGCGAGCGACCGACACGATGGAGCTCGCCTCGCCCAAGGCCACTGCGCCAAAACAAACGTCCAAGAAGCGAAGGAAGACCGATGGTAATCCTGCAAACATCGACTCACGATCGTCTTTCGACGAAAATGAGCCAGTGGCTTCGGTAGAGGCAAGTCTGGTTCTCCAAGCTGACTCGAAGCATGTCGATTTAGATCAAATTGATCCTAGCAAATCTGAGGCCATTGCTGTTGACATGAAACCGCCGCCATCGGTTGGCTTGTCCGGACGGAAGGGAATACGAAGTCATACTACGATCTTCGAAGATCACATCAATTCCGATACCTCGCTCAAGTCGCCAAGTCTCAGCCAGCGACAAGCTCTTCGGCGGTCCGTCTTAAAGGACATTTCAAATGAGCCTGCAGAACAAAACCCAAAGCCAAGGCGTCAAAGCAGGAAGATTCTGGTCGATAGTGAAGACGACGACGAGGATGAGCTTGGCAAGATTAGTGATGTTGAGGACACAATCCCACTTAAACGAGGTAGAGGTCGACCATCGAAAGGCAAGCCTAAAAAGGCAACGTCTGTCGGAAACTCAGCCAATGCAATTCCCGATGAGCTAGATGCTGCAGTAGGTGCTCCAGAACCACGAGTGAAGAAAGGCCGAGGTCGACCCGCGAAGAACAAAGTAGCAGAATCAAAGGTCGATGACAAAGTGATCGAGGATGAGGAAGAGATAGAGCCGGATGCGGGCTCAAGCAGAGTGCTGGAGGCGGTCGTGATCATCCCGCCCCAAACTACACCTTCGGTAGTCTCTTCAACTCATGCACCGACACCTCCACCCGAGCCGCCCGCCAAATGCACGCCGGAGCCGAAACCTTCCAAGCTGCCCAATGGCCCCGTCACGCACTCTCCGATCAAAAAATGCCTGACATCGACTTCGAAGTATCGCGTCGGACTCAGTAAGCGACAGCGCATTCAGCCACTACATTCGAGCATTCGGAAACGATAAGTCTAACCTCGATCTTGGGCGAAGAAGGCATGCTGTCAATGTTCCCGGGTGCAGAATCAATGTTATACAGCATGAGTATGCTTTGAGATGGGGATTGATGATTGCTTCACGGGAGAAACGAACTTGATGAGCTTTTGATATTGTCTATTAAGATACCCATACATTGATAATTTCAAGAATAAGCGAGTTTCGCAAACTTGCAAAAAACGTGCACCTTAAAAATCTGTCTGTACTACCTCAAAGTAGGTGTTGAGTCTCAATTGTATTGCATGATCCATCAGCGGCCATAGCGCCTATCGCAACAGCAGCATATCCAGACTCAATATGCTAGATTGTATGATTCAAATAGCCTCCCGCCCGTCTACATCACTCATGATCATCGTCATCATCCCTCAATGGAGTGGACCTCAATGATCACAACAAGACCACCATCATGATTTGTGAATCTTCGATCAATCCCGTCCCTTCCAAACGGCGTCACTTCAAGCCGCCGACTTCAAGCCGCCAACTTCAAATCCGCCACCGGTTTCGCCAGCCCATCAACCGCAAGATTATGACTAGCCGCCTCCTTGGCAGCCGCATATTCCGCTTCCGTCAAACCCTTCCTCACACGGGCCACGCTGTCCACAATGACAGCGTCGATGCCCGCCTGCGCCTGCAGATTGCTGTTCACGGGGTCATTGTTCAGCGTGCCATAGCTGACACACACGAGCGACGAGCTCTGCACCACACCGATCAGTCTTGGACACAGCACCAGCGGTTCCGCGGCGCTGACGATGCCCAGCAGGCTCCATCTCGAGGCGAAGCGCACGGCTTCCTGTAGGCTGGACGCGCGAATGTCGCCGACGGCGCTGACGCCCGCGTCGGTGAGGAACAAAACGGGGATCGAGGGCTGCTTGAAGGTCAACAGCAGGCAGATATCCGGATGGAACGAAGAGAAGACGATGTTGCGCTTGCCGCGACGGTCGTAGACCATGGCGAGGACAGTGTCGACGAAGGAGTTGAGTTCGACGGCGTAGGTGTCCATTTCCTCGGCCACGCTCTCGAAGAGCATCGGGTATTTCATTTCGATGTTGAAGCCGACTTCTTCGGGCAACGTGCGGAACATCTCCTCGAGCGTGGTGAAGGGCGATTGGATGAAATCGCCCCGGCTGTTGGCTTTGAAACCTTTCTTTTTGAAGTCCCGCGTGTGTTTCATGCGTTCTTTGGTTTGGTCGGGGGCGACGGGGCCGCCAACGGAGTAGGAGCGCTTAGGGCGGCGGGTACGTGGATCGCGCTCTTCGCCTGGTTTACTCGCGGAGTTTGCGGGTTGGTCGGATGGATCTTCGAAACGACTGGCTTTTGGTGCTTCACTAAGTGCTAGGAATTGTTCCAATGTCAAAGTATGTACGGGCACATCTGCGCCAGTCTCGCTGACTAGGAAGTCGTGGTAAATGACAGGCACCAGATCTTTAGTCATTTGGACGTCGAATTCGACATACGATGCCCCCAAATTGGCAGCGGTGATGAAAGACTGGATTGTGTTCTCTCCGAGCTGTAGAGATGTCTTGGTTGTCATGTTCTTGCCCAGGCCACGATGACCAATGACCTTCGTTGAAGATTTCGTCCAGTACGTCTTCTCTTCAGTAATGCTCATCTTGGGATGTTTGAAAGGCGTGATGATGAGGAAGTTGAAGTTGATTGATCCGATGACTTCAAGACTGCTTCCGGCGATGAGCGGCACACTGAGATCAGTCTGAAGTGACATACGCTTCGTGCCCACATCGAGCTTGATGCTTGACAGGAGAGCCACGGCACGAGCAATGACCTTATCCTTTGACCCAGCATACGTCGGGACGAGATCGAACAGCAATTTGACTTTTGAAGGATCTTTTGTTGTGAAAGTGATGGGCGATGTGCTGATCTCCTCCTGAATCGGTAGATCGATGACCTGCGATTCGCCGTTCGCGCCTTGGGCTGAAACGACTAGCGACAATGCGGTATCAAGCTGTGTGGCATGAGCATCCGCAAGCGCGATGCTATCGAGGTTTATTGGTCCTATGCTCTTGTGCTCATCCAAAGTTCCAAGACTAACGAGCACCATAGTTTCATCCGTGAGATAACGATGACCGAACGCTTTCATGGGCTCTGGTAAGCGTGCGAGAGTATTGCTCGTGTCTTTCGGTCCACCGTGCGAGCGCTTGTCACCAAGCGACGATGTCTTTGGCGGCGATGAAGATAGTTGCGCCGGTATCTCTGGGCTCGTGAATTGACTTGGAGGTGGCGTTAGTGACGCAAGATATCTCGCCACTTCAAGATGTCCGCGTAGAGCGGCGTGCTCTTGTGGTAACCATGTCGATGAGTCACGAACATTCGTCTGTGCCCCACAATCGATCAAGAGTTTCACGATCGGTAGGTGTCCATTGACGCAAGCAATGAACAGTGGCGTCCAGCCAAAAGTCTTTTCGGCAATCTCTACATCGGGGCGGAATGCGCCCGTATTCGCCAGGAGAGCACGAGCGCATTCTTCGTGACCAAAACGTGCAGCAGTATGCAATGCCGTTTCACCTTGTTCGTCCTGGAAATTGATATCGACTCCAGCGTCGACCAAAAGCTTGACGATCTTGTGGAAGTTGGCCTTCGTCGCTAGCACTAGAGACACGCTGCTCTTCTCCACATGCTTGCTTGTCAAGCGATGATCTGTGAATTTGTGCCAATCGTCCACCATCAATAATGCTTTTGAGGTCCTGTAATGACCGCCAATGACAGCAAGATGCAGCGGCGCAAAGCCTTCCTCATCCTGCCAAACTTGTGAATCGACTCCTTCGGCGATGTCAAAGAGGTGCCAGTCTTGCATTCGTGACATCAAAGTCTCAGTTGCAAACACAAGACCGTACTGCGCAGCGTAGTGGAGAGGCGTTCGACCGTATATATCCCTGCTTCTCACGGCAGGCCGCTGAGCTGGTGTGAGCTTGTCGAGTACGAATATCAGGAGCTTCTTCGCTTCATCATCATCACTGAAATAGGCCGCGGGATCGCGCTCCTCGACTTTGAGATCGGTGGGCGCTCGCACAGGATGCTGCGCCGCGTGGATATAGGAAGTGCCTTTCGCTATGTCGTCCACTCCACCGGAGCTATCCAGCGCCCTGGACCGTCCCGTGGCAATTACCATGCGGTGAAGGCAGTTCCGCTGATTCATATCGTCTTCTGGATCGAGAGTCGGCGCTCGACTCAGGAACTCTTCAATAGATCGATACGCTTTTACAGCAATGGCACGCTGCAACAAATCCAGCAGCAAACCTCTTTGTGAAGCAGGACTTGAATTGGCAGAAGCATTCGTGTAGAGCTCAAGCAGTTTCGCGCTGTCGTCATTTCGGACGGCAGTATCCATAGCCTCCAGGACCGCCGAAGGAATCTGCAGGTTGCCCTTCGACCCCATCCGACGTAATGAGTGTGAACTACCGGAATGTATTGAGCTTGCGTCGTCGGGGACTTTGACATCATTCAAGCTTGAGAGCCATTCGTTGATGTTCCGCATGTCCAATGTGAGACGATTGTTGGTCGCAAACTGCTTCGGATCCACGCGAGTGGTCAGGTATCGGCTCTGTGTAGTCGAAGATTCTATCTTCTTGTCCAACTTCTTTGTGATCTTGACGAAACCTCGGCGGTTGACCTCTCCATACCACTGCAGCTTCCTGCATTGTCCGCGCAACTCAAGCAGAGCGCCCATCAAATCCTCCAGGTCCTCCTTTTCCAATCCATCTTTGAGCTTCGATGCGACACCGTATCGCTCGAACAAGAGGCGCAGACGACGGGAGAGTTCGGCATATCTTTGGTTGTAAAAGGTATCGACATCCTCGAGCTGACGATCAAGAGTGTAAAAGAACTCTGCGAATGTCGTTAGGTTTTCACACCTGTCCAGGAGGACATTGTAGCGTCATACCAGCCAAATCCGGCTCCGAGCCCTCCGATTCAGACTGCAGACGAGCCGTTTTGATCAACTTCTTCAGGGCTTTATAGTCGATGTAGGATCGCGCCCATTCTGGAACTTGATTACGCGCTAGGTTTTGCCCGAACTGTGAAATGGCGATCAGCGCTGTTCAGAGGTTGGAGGGTAGTTTCAGCTTCGGCGCACCTTCATGGTTGCGATATGTGCAGGTATAGTAAGAAAGAATGTGAGATGCGGACAAGTAGGATCGCACACGGACGAAGATCCTCAAATGCAACGATACATAGACAACCAGGGAGAGGGATTAATGGTCCAGGCAGAGCAAGCTGGGTCGTCCTTGACTGTCTAAATGATAGCTCTAAATGAAGTTGGAAGCACACGACCCCATGTGACGTCGGTAGAGGGACAGACAGGTTCAGTCAATGAATCAGCATGGGTCAAAGAAAAGTCAAAGAGCCACCGGATGTGGTATCTAATCAGCGGTCTTTCTTTTTGGATTGAGGCGCGGGAAGCTCAATGGACCGGATCTGAGGTAACTCTGACACAACGGACAAGCATATTGGACCTGGGCGCCAAGGCGTACACTACGCACACCGCATCCTCAGGGGTGAGCATCGTGTGATCATCGAGAACGATCAGGCGGCGAGCGGTGTGTGTGCGTGTGTGTGTGAGTTGTAGTCGCTCATGCCGTCGAATTGGCATCGTGGTGCGCATTCAAAGTGCTCTGGCGCGAAATCGAGCGGCGAGCGGAGGGGTCGGAATTCTCGGGAGACATCCAAGCTGCATTGGCAGGAGCACGCAGCATGCAGATACAGGTACACGGCAGCTAATCTGGAGGAGAGAAATGTCCACCAGTCGCCGCTCGAACGTCGCCAACGTGTCTCGGCTGCTCCGGCCCGTATTTGGAACCAACGAGAAGCTGCGCCGGCGGCTGTGGTTACAGTTTTTTTGTACAAGTCCAGCTGGCCAAGTCTGAGCTTCCAGATCACAGGGTAATGTACAATTATGGAAGTATAGCAGATCAACTCACTTTCCGGCGTTTCATCGTTCTACTGTGGCTATGTTTGCCGCCAATAAAGGGACTGCGGACGCCAATGGACGTGGCGTCGAGCGGAGAACAGTCGTGACAGTGCGGAGATGCACCAGATCAGATTAAGAAACATGGATGGAACATGCCCGGAGATCTCAAATTGCCCGTCGTTTAGCACACGGAACATATGTCGTGTGACTTGGTCCTTGCCATTGCACTTCCGGCAATTTCGCTTCGAAAGGGACCATGGAGAAACGCCACTCGCCTTGTCTACGTGCTAAGGAGATTCCTAACATGACTCATTTGCCGCTTCTCCGGCCAGGTGATCGTTGGAAAGGCAATGCCAATGAGGCTGGAGGAGAATGTCTCCGAAATCTCGAGGAAAGCTGCACTGATGACAGCGGCGCTGGAATGCGGGGTGGAACAATTCCCACACGTGACAGCGCGAGCCCAGGAAATCGATCGGCGAGCCCTGACGACCGAATTCGCGTTCACCATCACAGACCATCTACAGCTGTTCCACTGTGAATCAAACCTGAACATAAGAAATCGACGATTGATCAATCCGTGATGTTTCAAAATAATGGTTCCGGAGCGATGAACTGTTGTCATCTTGGCGTGAGAGCTCCGCACACTCTACGGAAGAGTCTTATGGTTTTTCGCAAATCCGCTCCGTGAAATGCCAATCGTGAACTCTATTTGAGCCCTCGATGATTACTGGGCTTTATCTAGGAGGATTCGACATCAGAGCCATCACTTCACTCGTAATTCTGCTGGCCCAAGTCACAGCGTGTTCGAGCAGTGTCTCAATCCTTCGAATCTATTCGCAACGTTGTAAGACACGTTCACATCCTTGCAATTTCGATGCTGATCCAGGCAAGCTCGAATCTCACATACCCGCCTGCCTCTGATGTCATACTTTCGCTCACTTTGCGACGCGTCAAGGCACCGTCTGAAGACGACAAGGCAGCATCGTCGCAATGCCGCGCATCTTGCCTTGGGCGGTTGAGGCAACCCCGAGGAAAGTCGCCACTGCGACAACAACTCCAACGCCCACCCGGAGAAGAGTACCGTCGCCAAGCGATGTCGTCAATTCTGATCTAGAGGACGTTGACATTGCCAAATCACCAGTACGGACAGCACGTCAACGCGAACGCACGCCTTCGACATCACCTCCACCAGCCCCTTTGTCGGTAGAGTTCATGAAGGATGGCTACCACGCGGACGATATATATCGCATGGTAGAAGACGAGTTCGTCGCTACTGCGAAGCTCTATACCCAGCACATTCATTACGCGGAGTATGTTCGACTTAAGAAGTTGGCTGCTTCTCGCGGAAAGGATGCTTTGGCCGGACTGCACCGTGGGACGGATGGTAAAACACCGAGGAGTACGACATTAAAGTTGCGGCAAGAAGCCGAGGACAATGCGGAGCAGCGGGCGCAGGGACAAGGCGACAGTGACGATGATGATGAATACCTGATGGACCCACAGCTGGCAGGTCTCATGACTGGTGGATCGCGATTTCGGGAAGTGCTTAGCCATGATTTGACAGTGAAGATTTCTGCGAATAAGTCAAATACACGCGCCGCGGCCGGCTACTCTCAGTCTCCTCACAAGGAGCACAAGACTTTTGATATCTTTGGCGCAGGACCAAGCAGGAACCTGTCGAAACCAACTTCGCGATCCAGTCTCGTCGTAAGTGAGGATGACGAGACTGACGAGGACGACCTCAATGCGGCACCACCGCCGGCAGTAATTCCTACTAGATTCTCTGCGAGAGCAGGGTCAGTGCCAGGTGCTCCGACTTGGGATGGCGTTCGTGCGGCACGAGACAAGCTAGTGGAACTCTCGCGTGGAACGGACAGGTCTTTGGATCCCAAAATCAAAACTTCGGGATCGGGGCTAGGCGTGCACTCGATCACTTCCGAATCGACAACATCAAGTGACAATAGGCTCCATGGAGGCTCCATGCCGTTGAGCGGCACCAAGACCTTTGCGAACAGCAGTATTGCGGAAGATGAGGCAAACAAGAAAAGAGCGAGCGAACATCTCGCGCAAAAACGAGCAGCACGCGAACAACGCGAGCGAGAGGAGAAACGAAAATCGGCAAAGACAGTGACCATACCAACGTTCATATTATGATTCTATTACAAATAGCAAGCAGCCAGCTACTTTGGACCACTGCCATCACCACCAGAGCCACCCCTCCTACTCACCATTTCTCCAGCATCGGCCTGATATCAATCTCATTCGTGAAAGCTCGCTTTCCCTGCGTCGACAAATTCCAATAGCTCTCCGCAATGTCGTCCGCCCCAATCTTCGCCTCCGGAGGTGCATCCTTCAGCCACTCCCGCGTGCGCGGGATATCAATCACGCCGTCGATAATGGCATGGGCGACATGCACGCCCTTGGGCGCAAACTCCTTCGCAATCGACGTCGACAACGCGCGCATGGCAAACTTGGCCGATGCAAAGCTAGACATCAGAGCATTGGCCTTGACCGAGGCCGTGGCGCCCGTAAAGATCAATGTCGGCGGGTACTTGGCCGAGCTATCTTCGGCATGCTTGACCAAATTCGGCAGAACCAATTGCGAGAAGAGGAAAGCTCCCTTGACGCTGACGTCGTGGCCCGCGCTGAATTCCTCCAGCGTGAGTTCCAGGAGGGGCTTGCGGACGAATCGGCCGCTGGCGTTGAAAATCGCGGCCGCGATGGGCGCGTTGGGGAATTCCTGCTCGATCGCAGCAAACGCTTGCTTCAGGCTCTCCGGGCTCGAGACATCCGTGCTGATGCCGAGTGCCTTGCCGCCGCTTGAGTTGATCTCTTTGGCGAGCGATTCGTAGTTTTCGGGACTGCGTGCGAGAAGGACGACGGGGTATGCGGCGGCGAATCTACGCGCGACGGCAGCGCCGGTTCCGGGACCGACACCGGCTACGATGGCGATTGCCTTGGATGTCATTGTGTGGTGGTGTGTGCCTGAAAGGTCACGCGAGTAGTGGAACAAGGGTTGGCTGAGCTTGCTGTGAAAAACTGATGGTTCGGCGAGTGCTGAATCTCGGATGCGAAGGTCCTGCTTATGAGAGTTGTGGTCAAACTACAGGATGATAGACTCAGGGATGGAAGATGAAGAACGAGGAATTGATGAGATGTTACATTATGATCATGATGCTTTCTGATCTATATGTGATATGCACACTCAACTAGCGTCACCTTCCATTATGCTTCGATGGCTCGAATGGCGTCACCGGATTACACATCAATTCGAAGGCTGCGCGAATCTCGAAATCGATTAGATGTGATGTACCATGACATAGATTCTAGCTACAGTACGACAGCGACTTGAGAGCCGCCCCCAGCTCTCAAACGTTCTTTGCGCCATCGCCCCCGGATTCTGGTCAGGAAGACACTAATAAAGCGCTTAATAATAGCCATGAGCTCAATTCCGGAGCCGTGGTTCTAAACTCCGAGTCTTGTGCTCCCCATGCGAGTCGCCTTGACACTGGTATTTTGATGAAAAGATTCATGCTGCTTACGATATAAAGAATGCAACCACACAAAACCCCAAAAACATGCTTCTCGAAGCACGATGTTGTGGAACAAGAAATCGTCGGTCCTGAAAGCTTGGACACAAACAAATAGCTACTATTGGTGGTGGTAATATAATACAATTCTTCACTCCGTCCACACATCCGTCTCCTTCCACGCCCCCTCCTCATCGCCGAAAATCGCCCGCGCCTCGTCGGCGCCCCCGCAGATATCCGTCCATGGGTGGAGCTGGTGGTCCTTGGTATGCAGGACGCCCAGCAGCTTCTGGCCGCGGAAGGGCACCTCCGGGTTCCAGTATCGCCACTCGATGCGCGGCTTGGAGGAGGCGTCGACGACGACGGCGAGCGGCAGGGCGGCTTTGCGCGAGGCGAAGTCGAGGAGTTTGCGCGAGTGCTCGTGGTACCAGAGCGTGCTCCAGGCTTTTTGGATGTCCGGGACGGTAAGCGACGGGTCGTATTGGATCACGGCCGGGACGGTATGGGCGGCATCGTCAGTCGCGAGGGTTTCAATTTGAGACCAGGTGCTGTTCGGCATGCCGGAGTGCTCGAAGCCGGCGACGGTCCAGAAAGGGGGCTCCGAGGTGATGAAGTCGGGTTTCTTTTCGGGTTTGATCGCGTGTAGGGTGGTGATGTCGGCCAGCAGTTCGTTCTGGGTATCAAGACCGATGCCGACTGTGGAGATGTCGATCACGTCCTCGGGCAAGTCCGTGGGCTTGTTCTCGTCGAATTGAGCGGAGTAGACTTGCTCGAGTTTGAAGTTGTTTTGGATCGCGTACTTGTAGACGTTCTGGAGGTGAATGGACGGCCCCATGGCGAGGTGCCAATTCGGAGCGCCTTGCTTACTCGCCATCAGAACAGTCTGGACGGGACCTTTCCGGTTCTTCGCCTTGTTGTTTCTTGTGATAATGTCATAATATCTTTGCACCAGCACCTCCGAACGAAGCTGGAACCAGCTGTTTTTGGTCACCACGATCTATGAGCATCATTTTATCAGTAGATGACGAGAACAAGAGGTTGGTTGCCGCCTCACCATATCCTCTGGCTGCGTATTCGCTTCCAGAAAGTTGAGGAATCGCTGCGTCTCTGACTGTCCCGAGGCATAATCGACAAACCATGGCACGGGATATCCCAGCACGGAAGCACCGAGCACCAAGCGGCAGGTGTTTACATCAATGGTCTCTGTCGCTTGGATGTTCGGGACAAGGAGGTACATATTTGCATTGCGCACCCCTAATGCGCCTTTGAAAAGCTTGGTGATCTTCTCAACCGAGGGCTTCTTGTACTTGACTCCACTGAAGAGCAGGAAACTTAGACCAAGCAAGGCGATGATGATCCATTTCCGCCGGCTCTGAACTTGTTTGTAGGACGGATCCTGTGCTGGGTTTTTGTTGTCGTGGGTATCGTTCGGCGCTGTAGCAGCACCATTCGCCTGGCCAGTGTTTCGTAGCGGCAACTCAATATCCTCGCGTGCCGACGAGTCGCGCAATTGCACCGCCTGACGCGAGAAGAAGCCCATTGTGATGATTAGAAACAATGGGCAAATGAAATAGTCGATGGTCGATGCAGACGAGACGCAGTTTTGACGACAATAGTAGCCCTGGAATGGATCTTTGCCCTAGTGCTTCGTGTGATGAGTTCAGTCCGCTGCCCAGGTGTGCTTGCAACGGGCAAACGCAATCGTGGGGATCCAAGCAATTGGCCCCGGCAATTTTTGGAAGGTCCCCTATTTCTTTGGCCTAGTGCGCACTGGAGAAGAGCACTCCCGAGGACCAAATTCACCTCCGCAAAGCGTCAGCGCCCTCCAATCTTTCTCACAATGAAAAGCATCAAACGGTCTCCCGTCTTTAACATCGAAGCATCCTTCTAGGTACAATACAACGTCTCCCAATCCTTGATGATTAAAATGCTACCACACATATTGCAACAGTCTTGAGATACCATGCTGAGATGCGCCTTATGCAGATGTAGACCGTCTCATTAGCCCGGGGCATCCAGGGGCATGTTCGCATCCTGCCACAGCACGGGGAAATTGACATTGCCTCGGGACGAACGCCACATATCTTGATTGTGCAGTCATGCTGGACTTATGCACATGCATTCATCACTCCTGGGCCGAACAACAGTGAATACTGGATCTTCCCCTCGGCGCAGACATAGAGACTCAATCAAAGGTCTCAAATTTGAAGTCGAACGCGTCGTCATTATTGCTCTTGTATAGTCCATCGTCGATCAAGGAGAAAATGTGTGCAGCCAAACTAGGCGAACAGACGGGATGTCATGGTTGCAGTGGAGGCCCGGCTACGCGTTCCTAAGGCTTTGCGGGGACGAACTTTGTCCCTTTTCGTGATGCAATCCCGGTGGATAAACTATACACGCGACGAGCTGCTGTCCTAAATTGCCCTACTCAATTTACAATCGACGACAGCAGCAGTGCGCTGGGTCTCCCATCACTCTTCCTTTTCATACTCACAATCGCGGAATGGCAATTCCTTGATCGCAGGGCGATCGTTCAATCGAATAGAATGCTCAACTTCATCCGAGGAAACTTCCTCACCTTCACGGCCGGCGTTCTCCTCATCGGTCCCTTCCTTTTCGCATACTATCTGCTAGGCGTGGTAATCTCAGCACCACTCCTGCTCGTCCGATCATCGCCGCCAGATCCATACTTCCATCTCCTGGTCCCGTCGCCTGCCACCAACGGCAACGTCTGCAGATCATTCCTTTCGGCGCGGATATTAGGCTACCCAGATCCTATCTTTGTCGGATGGGATGAGAAAGATCAGTTCAGCGAGTCTGAGGCGTATCGGTTCAAAATCGGGCAGACATTGAATTACTTGAAGAACCTGCCTGCAAAGGCCGACACGGACATAGTCTTGGTATTAGATGTCGCCGATGTCTGGCTTCAATTACGACCCGACGTTCTCATCAAGCGATACTATGACGTTCTCGACCGTGCCAACGATCGATTGAAAAAGGATCGTGTACATGGCAAGCTGTTCGCTGGCGCCGATGTCAGCCAACAGATTGTATTCGGTGCGGATAAATTGTGCGCTCCCCAGAAGGAGTCTGACCCGGCTTGCTGGGCGGTGCCAGAGTCCACCCTGTCCGAATTCGCATTTGGTCCGCAGACTGATAAGGGTGAATTGGAGGTTAGACGCCCACGATGGCTGAACTCAGGTACCATCATGGGCCCTGCTGCAGCTATGCGAGACATGTTTGAGGGTGCAATGGATGTCCTTCATGCTGTTGACCGAGAGGAGCGTGAAGGTCATCCTTCTGACCAGTTCTACTTCAGCGAGATTTTCGCCGAGCAGGAGCTTAATCGACACAAGCTGCGCAATAACAGCTTCGAGGCTGCACATCCAGAACTGCCCAAAATCCCGGACATGAAGAGAACAGAATATCACATTACTCTCGACTACGAATCCGAGCTTTTCCAGGTGTTCGCAAGATACGAGAATCACATCACATTCATGCGTCATCAGGACACTACTCCTGCGAGCCTCAGTCATTCCTCGGACGGTCGAATGCCCCGTCCCGATGAGCTACGCTTAAGCCCGGACGTCAAGAAATCCGACCCGCCATACACAGGCTCGAATGGCAAGGATGGCCTTCCATTCAGGACAGACTGGGTCAGATCTATTCTGGGCGTCAACACTGTGACCGGCCTCCCCATTCCGGTTATGCACCTGACGAACAATGAGCAATTTCGTGACGCAATGTGGGGACGCATGTGGTTCCAGGGGTCGAAAGATTACGGCAAACGTCTCTTCAAGGCTGCGGCAGAACGACTCAAAGCGAAGCCTGAGCACACATTTGTGCAAGTAGGGTCAATCAAGTACCACCCCGCGTCTTTCCGTCTCAGCGAGTACCGCGATGAGAGGCAGGGCGGTGTATGGACCAGCACCAACGAATGGATGCCGTTTGACGATGTTTGCGGTGACTTCGACGATGCCCTGTACCCTGAATACGACAAGGGTTGGTTCGATGTAGGCTTCCCGACGGACGAGTTGGACGAAAGTTCCGATGCCGACAAGGACAAGGGCGATGATAAGAAGGAAGATGGTGACGACCAAGAAAATCAAGATGAGCAGAGCGATGACGAAGAGCAGCACGTTGACGGAGAAATCCCTGGAGATTTCGGATTAGCGGCCGGAGAAAAGCCCGAAGACGAACAGGAAGAGGCTTTCCCGTTCGCCGAGACCGTCGAGACCATCGTCGAGTCTGGCGAGAAGCGTCGCCGTCGCCGTCGGAGCTCTGGAATTGTTTGAGTTCACTTCTGTACCTTGACATGTTGGTTTAGAGCTTGTACAATCGATAACATATCTCTTTTGAAGCACGTACATGATGCAAACGTCTAATTATGCTGGCTCGCTCCATTGATACTATCCATTCAACCTCGAATGCGCCTTCCCGAGTATGCCTCAGTCCAAAGCCTCTGCGAGTGCTATCAGGCTGAATCTCAGCTCCCCTCCACCAGCCTTTTCTTCTCGCCGTAAGAACGCCCGCACGCCCAAGTCCAGTGCCTTCGCGCTCAGCATATCCTCATCAGCATCCAACGCGCCCCGATCCAGCGGGCCCTTCCGTGTCCCATCCATCTCCCACAAGTGTCCGTCCTTCTCGCTCTTCACGAAACAAACATAATGTAGGTCAACGTCATCGCTCGCTTCCGGCGCACTGGTGTCCCCAGTAGCGGCGGCCGAAGCATGAGCATTTTCCAGCTCCGATGAATCTTCCACAGCCAAGGCCCGTTCCTTGGGTGCTAGTGGTGTCGCTTTGACGATCAATTTATCCAAGGCGCTGTCGGGGATGATCTGGTTTCTCGCGGCGCCGTTGGAAACTCCGTGCAGGAGTCCGTATAGCCCGCATGCATTCCCGATCGTCTGTTTGTACCATATCACGGGTTCCAGATCGCCAGACCCGGAATATTCCTCCCGGGAAGCATCTTCCTCTGCGCAGAATTTTGTGTGTGTAGCGGAGGTGGGAAAGACGAGGAGCAGAGTGTGGGCCGGACGGGGGATGAAGGCGAGGAGATCTGGGTCGTCGATGCTGTAGACGTCGTGAAATTGTAGCGAGGGTGAGAGGCCGAGCTTATGGAGGAGGCTGCTCATGACCTCCGGGTTGTTTTCTGAATAGTCATGTTCGCGGTCAGCGACGGTTTTGCCTTACTTGTTGGGCGGTGGGCAATGGCAGGAGACCGACCGAGTGGGACATAGTATTTGCTCCGTACAGGACGGTTTACCTCCTGTGAATCAGTCATGGTGAAGGCCTCGGGCTCAAGTGAATTTTATTGCAGAGCATGAACTCCAGGCAGAGGTGAGGAATCGTAGCAGGCACGATGAATAATAGATGCTCACGACACGCATAGCCGCCGCACGCGCGGGGCATTCGCGTCATTGTGCAGACGGAGGCGACTGGCGATGAAGTCACTCGCGTGTGCGGCGGCTCTCGTGCTACACTTCGTCGCAGAGATCCAATCGCTCATCTCTCTCATGTCATGAGAATCTTGCACGGTTGTCGAGTACAGTTTGCGACTACTCTGACCGATATCTTTCGAATCGAGCTGTCTCGCTCGTTTGCAGCAGGTGTTCAGGGTTCTTATCTTAACGTTATCCGCTTCCATCAGTTGCAACTGAGAGCACCGTTATATCGCAGCAACATCGTCGCCTCGTGACCATCGGAAAACATTCCAAGCATACTCTATGCAATTTCGTATCTCACAGTAGCGCCTCGTCACGAGAAATTGACGACGACACGAAGTAGTAGAATTTTTAAAAAGATCGCGGGCGACGGAAGGTGTGCTTGCTGCCCGACTACGAGAATTGTGCGCCATGATCAACAGCACGAGGTTCACATGTTGATACCCTTTGTTCAGCTCAGGCAATACGCGGCCCATCGGCTGCAAGGGAGACTTTTTGTTGGATCACCATGGAAAACGGACCCATAGATGCAGGTCCGCCTGATGAATCCGATGGCGCTCCTGGCCGGACGTTCCTGCCCTCAGATGATCGTCCTGATTCGCAAGGACGGTCTGTCGCACAAGATCCGTCCGTCCGCAAAGTTTCAGCGCCCGACGAACCTGATGGCAGCTATGATGACGAACTCAAGACAGACGATTACGACAAGAGTCAAGGGCCGGATGCCATAGCACGAGATCTTCCTATGTTCACGCGGGTTGGTGCAACAAAGGAAGAAATAGCCGGCATAGTCTCATTTGAAGACGACGAACATCTGAAGACCAAGTCTTTCGACGTGAGAGAGGTCGAGAATGGCCATTCACACCCGCACAGAATGTACAAATTCACGCTTTATGAGACAAATGCGCGATACTGGATTACTGGTGCAGACATCACAGACAAGTCATTTCGCATGCTTCGCATAGACAGGACTTCTGCGCCAGGTCAAATTGCACTATTCGAGGATGAAACCGTATACGATCGAGACCAGCTGAACGACGTTCTCACTGCCATCGATCAGGGCAACAAGGCCACCAATGGACTTCGGAAAAAGTACAGCTTTTGGGGAATTCTGGGGTTCATCCGCTTCACCGAGGCCTACTACATGTTACTCATCACAAAGCGGAAGCAGGTCGCCATGATTGGTGGTCATTATGTCTATCAGATCGAGAGTACAGAAATGGTACCATTGTCGACAGGGTCAAGCAGCTCATTTCTGAGGGATCGAAATCCAGAAGAAGCTCGCTTCCTTAGCATCATGAACAATGTTGATCTCAGCAAGTCATTCTACTTTAGCTATACCTACGATATCACCCACTCCCTCCAGAACAACATCATTCGCATGCGGAATTCTATCCATGAAGGGCATCATCACGCCACGTCTCATGACTACAACGGTATGTTCGTGTGGAACAACCATCTACTCAAGCCCGCAGTACAGGCACTGAAGCATCCATATGATTGGTGCCAACCCATCATTCACGGTTTTCTGGACCAGGCTTCGCTGGACATATTTGGGCGTACAGTATACGTCACCATCATCGGTCGACGCTCACGATTCTTCGCGGGAGCTCGATTTCTCAAACGTGGGATCAACGATTTAGGATATGTGGCGAATGACGTGGAGACAGAACAGATCGTCGCGGAAAAGGTCACGACATCTTTTCATGCTCCGGGCTTGGGACTGTATGCCAACCCTACGTACACTTCATACTTGCACCACAGGGGCAGCATCCCGCTTTATTGGAGTCAGGACAGCAGTGGCGTCACTCCCAAACCCGCCATCGATGTGCATCTCAATGATCCCTATTATGTGGCCGCGGCGCAGCATTTCGATAATCTCTTCGAGAGATATGGTGGCCCTGTCTATGCTCTCAATCTGGTCAAGCAAAAGGAAAAGGTGCCTCGTGAGTCCAAGCTGCTCGATGAGTACAAGAAGTGTCTGGATTATCTCAACAGCTCGCTGCCTGGGGGCAAGAAGATCATCTACGAAGCCTACGATATGAGCAGGGCTGCTAAGACACGCTCTTCGAATGTCATCAGTGGACTGGAGACCATCGCTCGGGCCATCCTAGATCGGACCGGGTTCTTTCACAATGGCGATGAGGACGCTCAGCTACAGAACGGGATAGCGAGAACGAATTGTATCGATTGTCTCGACCGGACTAATGCAGCTCAGTTTGTGATTGGCAAACATGCTTTTGCTCTGCAGCTCCGGGCACTTGGCGTCATCACGTCCGAAGAGATAGCGTACGACACCGACGCCATAAACTTGTTTACTGGGATGTTTCATGACCATGGCGACAACATTGCTATGCAGTATGCCGGCTCGCACCTTGTCAATACAATGGCCACATATCGCAAACTCAGCCATTGGCAAAGCTCCTCGCGAGATATGGTGGAGAGCTTCAAGCGTTACTACCACAACTCATTCCTGGACAGTCAACGTCAGGAGGCCTACAACCTTTTCCTTGGAAATTATGTGTGGGCGCAGGGTCAACCGATGTTGTGGGATCTTTCAACGGATTATCATCTACATCACAGCGATCCACGTGGCTGGCTCGAGCGGCACAGGCGAAAATACACAGATTGGTATACTCCCGAATTTATCGAGCCTCGGACCATGCCCGCAGCCCCACGTGGAGATCAAGCCCTTACATCCAAGCAGTGCGTGCCAGAGTATGATGACTACTGGAGGGAGTGTTATCGGCCGACAGCACTTTCGTCACTGCAGAAAGTATATTCTTACAAGGTTTCTTCCATGCCAAGATTCCTCCACGATCGAACACATAGTGAAACCAAATACGATTTCAGTCCGTTTGTCCCGCGAGTGGACCCTCATAAACATCAACAACATCACCAGAACGGCAGTGAGTCGCCCAACAAGAAGCCGGCCAAGAAGGGCGTCAAGATCATCGCGCCGCAGGAGGAATTGAATTTGTCAAACTCACCAGCCCTCCCAGTCCCACCAAGTGCTGATACATATCGAGGTCCTGCCCCTGATGAGATAGCGAGCATACTGCGAGGTTCAGTCTACGACAGACCGAACGCCAACGCACAACGAAATGCCGGCCCACCCGTGCGGCCGGCAGACAAAGGTCAAATGCATCTGTGGACACTGAATCAATTCCACACCCAGTCCCTCAATCCCCATGTTCCCGAACACGAGGCGTGGGAATACGAACGCTACATCGCCCACCCATTGAATCTTCCCCTGGTAGTGTCCTCCGAGGATCCCTCAGATGCCAACATTGATTTTGTCGAGTACGTCCACAAAGCCGGCGGGATGTTATATCGCGGCTCCGCGGACGACGAGGAGGGGGTCTTCGCGGCAGGCATCCGCGACGCGGATTTACAGGCTTATTGGAACTATGTCGAAGATGTGCCTGATGATCCGCTCACGGTTTTCGAGGATGATCTCGTCGATAAGAAGCGGTACAAGGCCTATCGCCAGTGGCTTAAGGGGAAGAGTTTGTTCAAGCAGAGTAAGGTTGATCCGGAGTATCGGAGTGCCTGATCGGGCTATGAACTGACGTTTTGATGACTGTTGATTGCTTGCTTGCTCTTAAGTATCATTGCTATGTATTTTAATATCAGAGGATTGAAAATACACTTTGGAAGATTCAACAATTTCTTTTGCTTTTATTTGCGCGATCTGGGGTTGTACAGGTGAATCGAATACGAGGACTACCGGATCATTCCTACGTTCATCCGAATCCAATCGCTGCCTACAGTCCCGTTATACTTCACGACCCGTCTGTCCTTCGCGTGCAATGCGCGTGACATTGCGGCGTCACGAACACCTCCTCGTAGCGCATAAGCTCTGCTCCTCATGAAGATAGACGCGATTCCTCAAGCGCCTTGACGCATGATTCACGCAGCGTACTACATTTGAACGTCGCTAAGAGTAAGCAAGGCGTGTGTATTCCGAGTCCGTCGTTGTTGGCGGCCAAGATAACCAGAATCCTGCGATGCTGATGATGACGACGACGACGTCAATTAGGACGTAAGCATGGTGCAGTGGCAAAACGCACACACACACACACACACCCACACAAAAATCGTAGCTAAAACAACGAAGAATGCGCAGAGCCTACCAATTACAGTGACCGCTTTCCAGGCAAATACAGTAAGAATCCGCCATATTCAAGAGGCCAACCCGAGCTTGTCATGTTCAGGGGAGAAGCCGGTGTTTGTTAGTGGTCGTTCTCGCCAAAATGACGAGCGTGCACAACCAAAGTCAGCACTAAAAATCGACGAAACGACAAACACTGCTCATTGGTGTTGTGGTGGTGGTAGTGGTGGTGAGGGCGGAATTGACCTGGATGTAGCCAATGAACGTACATCGAAGTGTCTTGGACGGCATCTGTTCCGCAGCGATGATCTTAGTCATCTCGAGATTGCATCCATGGCGGGCTTGGGGAACGGAATTCGTCCCGCGCTTCAAAAGTGCCCAGGTGGTCTTTGCGCTGCCTTGCCGAGATGGTGAAACATCAGGAGTCGATTTACAGATTTATAAATAAATATCACCAACAGCAAACAGCATACAGAATTCAGCAGCAGGCCGTGGTCGGTGCGGCTCTGGCATCAATTGATCGCGTCAGAACCAATGATATGGGTCTGGAGGGTTGAAATGTCGGTCACGACGCGGTCGTGATTAAATTTAGATGTGTTCGTTCATGGGGCGAGGGTTGTCTTCTTCGCTGGCATCGGATCTGAACTTCCGTCGATTGATTGGACAGGCGGGGTTGAAACTTGATTGCTGCGACAGCCTCGACCGATATAGTGAGATTTTAGCAGCGCAATACGTCCTAGAACAACCAAATCGCGTGGCTGTTTCAACGCAGCTGCAGAAGAGGTTTGACGAAGACTTGGAAGTTGGTCAGCAACAGGACAGTGCAGTCTTGACGGGAGAGCCAACAAATATTGTTCCCGTATTAGGAAAGAGCTGTGACTTCTCCAATAACGGCCTCCCGCTGCACAGACATCAATCACGGCCGATCGTGAGATTAATACTCCACTCTATGGCGTCTTCAAGGGATCTCGAAAGGGAGCAAATTCATCCCTTCCGGGCCTGTGTGGTTCACGATTCACTTTCGGATGAGAGTTTACGACGTTTTGGGACGGTTACGGCAGATTCCTTGGCCGATGAGCTCGCATCTTCATCTTTTTGTCAGACCTCCGCCGGAAAAGTCGAGCCGACACTATGACCAAACCAAGAAATCCTGCCAAGCGCACAGCCTGTGTATCAGTGTGCAACAAAAGAACTTTAGTAGTTGGCTTGTGGTCAAAACCCTTCACTGGACCTGAAGATATTTCGGTACGATGTTCAGGGTCGGACAGACTAGAGAGAGGATCAGTTCGTCCGACGTCAGTCATCGTCATATTCGGCGATGACTAGACACGATGGCGATGCGTAGATGTCGCATGGAGTCATGAGATCGGGCGGAATAGTTGGCGCATTTCCAAGTTGCGCTGCTGCTGTGTCTAAAGGGTAGTGCTGGGAAGATCTGGTGCTGAATGCCGTCCGCCGAGCGCAAACGTGAACCAAACAGTTTTCCGCCAGCGTCATGACCTCCTCCTAGCGCGTCAACGGAACTCGTCCGCCCGCGTCGCCTTCCTGTCACCTGCTTTTCCCTTCGCTCCCACACCCGCGACGCTTCGCCCTTTTTCTTCGAGGCCGCGAGCGAGCCAACGGTCCTCGGTCCATGCCATCCACGCGAAAATTCTCTGTGCCAAAGATAGATGGGAGCCAGAGCGCAGGCAGCGTGCGGCGCGCGCCTGCTTGTTTTGACTGCATCGCATGAATCCTGTTTCACGAGTGCGAACATCGCTCATGCCTTGTGGGAATGATAAAAACAAGCGCATTTGCTCGAAGAATGGGACAAACGGGGACTCCGATGTGAAGCGATAGTGTGCGGATCGTGAGAGGGCCAACACTTTTTTTCGATCATTTGGTCTTGAGTAACCCCTCAGCGGCCTCACGGCGACGAAAAAGGCGTACCTCTGTGTCGGTAACCAGTGATGTTAAAGTCCTCTGAACGAAGTGAAATTTGCGCAGGTTACCGGCCGACAGCTATTTGTATTCTTTGCACATCATCGAGCACCCTTCCTCGCTGGCCGCCTGACTCGTTGTCATGCTCAGGAGTAAATGTTGTGAAGTGATGCATCATGTCGTTGTCGTGTCAGGCCCCCATTCTCCATGCCAGGCACTAACTCCAGGCTTTTGTCTCCGAGACAAGCTCGCCGCACGGCCAACACGTGAGACGAACAAAAGCCTATGTGATTTAGTCAGCATGAGGTGAGTGGGCGGGTCAATACCTGGGTATGCTGTATAGAGCGATGGCGATGGTCGATGGCGACTGCTCCTGCCGAAAAGGGCCCTTCAGGCCACTATGGACAGGTTCGCTTGCACGAGCCAGCTCTTGTCTGTCATCACAGAACGTGGCCGTTCGGCCAAAGAAGCAAAAAAGGGACGGACAAAAAAGTTGATGGGTGCGGACGAAGCTAAACTCTGCTGCCCTCCCTCCTTCCCTGGCCGGTGAGGTCAAGGCGAAGAGACGCAGCGATGTAACCAATAGCGCGCCATAAAGGTTCGACGCTTCGGCCAATTTGTGCGCGGGTCGGCAGCTAGAGCAGGACTAACATCCGCCCCAAGCCAACACGCGTGGGTCGGAGTTCCCGTGTGAAGCCAATCATCCTGGCTCGACGTGCTGTCGTCAGCGCTTAAATGCAGTGGGATCCTTGTTATTCCGCACGCGGGCACGGGGCAGGTGCAGCACAGTCGTACAGTAGCCTGATGGTGGTGATGGGTGGCGGTTGTGCTAGAATCTCGGCTAGAGAGCAGTGGAAAGCGAGCAACCGGAGATCTTTCGAGGCCAGGCCCCACCTACCATGCGGACTTATCTGGTTTGATTTGTCGCTCGGGGCGGGAATAAATTTGAAGAGCGAGATGAGAGAGAACGTCACCCGCAACTTTGTGAATCCCTCTTGTGTTTGTTTGTGTGGGTGGGTGGGTGAGTGGGTTCCTGTTTGTGCGTATGGGTGTGAGAGTGTGAGTGCGCTGCATGCGGGTTTCCGCGGTCGCTCTCATCTCCCCTTCTGCCTCAATCGATCCCGATGTGATGGCAACCCATGAAAGGAATTCAATAGATGATGCCGCCGTCGCTCGACAGACTCCTCAATGCCATTTCCTGGTTGAAGTGGCGAATTCGTGCAATCTCGGACGGGTCGAACGGCCCCTCTACGGGAAACACAGTCGAGCCCATGGTCGATAAATTGCTTCTTGTGCTGGTTATCACGCACGGGTAGAGACGCTCTGGATTTCACATGGCTGATGTTGTGGAGCATGACTAGCGATTTAGAGTTGCAGCAGGATTGTGCTCATGCTTTGACAATCCCCATGCATCCCTGGGTCCCTCATAATCGCCGAGTGAGTGAATGTAACATCATCTTGGCCCCCGCATGTACAGTAACAAGCTACTGAAGTTGAAGGGTTTGCAAATTTACATGCATTTGAGCATTGCTGCCTGAAAATACTCTTTGTAGTCGTCGCTAATAAACCTCTAAAATGCCTGCCGAATGCGCTCATCTCCCGACAAGGGTCACTAAAATGTAGAACTCCCGCTATCCGCTCGACTCATAAATCGCGGGATGAAGATCTCGGGGTCTGAAAGAACAGTCACAATGAATAGAAAATATGATCCGGAAACGCCTTCTCCCGTTCCGTTCGTGGTAATCGTTAGCAAGGTGGGCTGGCCGCAGGCATCGATGCTCGAGATTGTGAGATCAGCGAGGAAGACCGTCGAGCATTTGGTGACGCATAGCTCTTTTGTACGCGGTTTTGGTAGCCTTTGGAGACCTCTCGCTTTGAGCAACCGTCATCGACGTGTCTGGAAGAGGAATAGTTAGCAGGGCACGGGTCAAGAGATACAAGTATAAAATGAGCTCACCGGCGAAGAGTGTCCTTGCGAGGGAAAGCACGGTTGCACATGCTGCACACGTGGTCGCGGATGTTGAGATGAATCTACTTGTGGTCAGCTTGGTGCCTTGGAAATGATAAACTTGAAGTTCGGACTTACGCTCTTGGTATGCCGCACCAGGTCGGTGTTTCGGACGAATTCCTTGTTGCAATCGGGCTCGGTACACTTGTATGGCCTTTCGCGGCTCTTGTTGTGCGTCAACATGTGTGCCTTCTTGTTGTAGCTGCGTTGGAATTGTCGGTTACAGATGTGGCAGGCGCAGGATGGATCTGAGGAAGTGGTTCGGCCACGCTTTGGTCGCATATCATTTGAGATTTGGTCTTGTAGTCGATTGAGCGACGGCTGTTGCTGGTGCTGCAACATTTGTGGCTCCACAGGGAAGTTTTCGAGCTTCGCAGGCGCATATCCTGCGTGCGAGTAATTTGCGGACAACATGGCGTTGTCATAAGGTTCACTCGGGACGATGTGCATCGGAGCGTTGCTCGCCAGGGAGTAATGTCGCATGCGGCTGTAGTCGATTGCTTCCTCGACCTTGACGAATGGCGACTGAGCACATGTGTACTCGTTGTCGGAGTGTGCGTATGGTGAGGATTCGCAAATCGAAGGCCGCGAACTCTCGCTGTACACGGAGTGATCGGGCGAGCCAGAAGCCTCGTACATGGGCTCGAATGCTTGATCATGATGCTCCCACGATGGAGGGCCGGTCACGATCGGTGGTGATGGATATGACATGGCCATGTCGACAACAGAGTCCGATCGGATGTTGCTGGCGGGCATTGAGCACACAGGAAGGGTCGCCTCATATGATGATGACCATGAAGCAGAGACAGGCAGCGGTGAAGCAGCGGAGGTTTCGTTGTGGTACTGTACTTGGACACCGAGTCCTCGTGGGACTTCCGCGGGATGCCAAGATGTGATGGTTTGTGTGTCACGGTAAAGATCCTCTGCAGTGGTTGTCGGCCAAGTGTAGTCTTCGTGAAGTTCGTGGTTATGCTGGTCCTCGTGACACGAAGGCGGGCTGGGATGCAGGGTCATATCCGAAGGACGAACAACGTCGGAAGGCATGTCTGTATGTTCAGGGTAAGGAAAGAAGCTCATGTTTGGAGGATGAAGCGAAGGATGAGTGACTGCCGAATGTTCTGATTGTTGGCTGGGTCTTGGGATTATAAGCAGAGCAGTCCGATGTGTCATACACAAGGCAACCAGAGGACGATCAGAGGCCGGCTATCGAAGGATCATCGCTCCCGGTTGGATAGTCTCATGTAACAGGATATGTGCGGCGGTTAAAATAACATCAAACCGTGCAGTGTACTAAGGTTGAGTGAGTGGGCGGAGGCACTAAAGAAAGACGCTGCTGGTGTGGATCAGGGCACTCAGGGTGAAGAGTGGACGACGAGGACGGAATGGCAGCCTCAGATCAGAGAGAGAGGCCGTGTCGACAGAGAGAGCAGTCGATCGTCGGACCAGCACGTTCACCCACCCACAAAATACCAACACATCCACACACACACCCGCACCACCCATAGAGAGCAGAGCATGTACATGGGGTGACCGAGTTTCATTCATCTTGGCTTGTGACTGGGGCTCTAGCGTCGCTGGGCCAGGCATAAGAGAACGGCTTAGACAGCGGGCTATGCAAGACTACCGCGGCATGTACATCACCTGTTGGAATGAGGGCGAACCATCTCGGCGCCCGTCACGCATGTCGGCAAGAATAGCGGACGGGCTTATCATTGCGTCTACCGAATCGCTGCTGAGACGAGTCAGGCCTCCACACCTGCTGGCCAGTCGCGGTGCCGAGAAAGGAAAAGGTCGATCACTCTTTTGGGTTGCCCAGGACGGCACGCGGGAGCAGGCGATGGCAGGGATCATTAGGCTCGCTCACCACAGCGAAGCTCGGTGGCCCAGTCAGGGCTGATCTGTGCGTTTGACTTTGACGCCGTTGGCACTTGTGCATCGGGCTAGCTCGGCTTTTAAGCGCGTATAGATTGCGGCTTGGTGGCCTTAGTGGGGTTTCGGACGAATTGCTAGTCATTGCACCACTTTCCTCAACAGGCGGGCAGGCCGAGCGTGCATGGTTAGGTCGCCTCGGACACGCCAGAGGTGTGATACTTTCTGCACGCTTCATCACTCATGGCTTTTAGTGGCGCTTTCCTGCCTGAAGCCAGCCCCCATTCGCAGTCCTGCTGCACTGTGCCCGTTGCATGCGCCGCAAGCTATTATTGCCGCTCCTGCTGTGATGCCACCAAGACTGCCAGCGCGTCAAGCTGTCGCTGAAGACCGGCCACCATGGATGCCATCGATGCGGCGTCGCATGTTTCATCTTCAAACGGCACTGTGCCATTTTCGCGCGTCGTTGGTCCCTCGAAGGATTCAGTGGCAACGCGCGATCGCGTTTGCACTTCCGACGGGGGTGTTCTAGACATCGCCAGAGCGTGGCGCGAAAGAGGGCGCCGAAGTCGTTTCACCGTGCGATGCTGGGTGCGTTTGCTTCCAATCGCACCTCCGGCCCGCGAGTAACTCTGTAAGTACGCGCGCCCACTCTCATACCCAAAGATCATGGCCACAAAAGGCCAATGGGTTGCCTTGAGCAGTACAATTCGCGCGTTTCTTACAGACGGACCGGACAGCACTAAACGGAGCGGCCTCAATAGGAGAGGTAGCAGATTCTGTGTGGACGAGATGTCAGTGTGTCGGTCTGTCATAGGTAATGGGTGGGCAGGGGCCAGGTTCGCAGACGGATATTCGGCTTTCAGAAACCAACAACCCCGATTGATGTCACCGCCATGATTCGTCGCCCGGCTTGCTGCTACATTTAGACGCAAATGAAAGGCCGGGCGGCCTGGACGGGCGTCTTGAAGAATGGCGCCTTTAGCGACGCCGTTGCAGAGCCACGGGCCCACACGTGTCTCCACAAGGGCTTTGAGCACGACCCCATGTTTGGAATGTAATATTGATAAAGATAGAATTGTCACTCACCAGGGGTGGCAGGAAATAAGTCAATCGGTTCGATGTCGAGGCCTCAAGGACGTACACTGCATATCTGCACCATTCATTAATATCTTTGAGGGTATAACGGCGCAGCATTGAGGCTCTGGGACTTACACAAATAGATATTCATCACGGGAATGTTGCTGGACCTGAACGGTCGCCAAAGGGGTCTCGTTAGCCGATGTTTGCGAAATCGGGGGGGGTCGGCGACCGAGTTGCTTGACCGCCTGCACTTGCCTTGGTTAAGGTGTTCGAGAGCAACGAGATCAGCGAAGTGATCAGCAGGATATTTGTCAAACAGCAGAAAATAACCATGAGAAAAGGGCCCAACACGGGGGAGATCTGGGAGCCTGTCAGTGCAACCGACCCCATTTTCGCCTCAGTGCGAGGTCAAATTCACCTTTTCTGCCGCATCCTATTTAAAGCATCAGCGAAAGAAGTCGCGCAAATTGTGGTCATTCTACTCACGAATCCAAGATAGCTTGATCCAAAGAACACTTTGATTAGAATCCAGTTCATTTGCGCGAATGTGAACGTGCCCCGTGCGAGAAAAGCCAACCCGGTTGAGAAGCCCTGCCAAAGGGATTAGCTATTATCCAAAAGGGTGTCTGTTGTCTCGGAGGCTTGCGGGCTTCATGACCTACGAGGTACAGTATAGCGGTGAGCCCAAGGAACTTGATGAAGTCTTTCGTCTTGAGGGTCGTCAGCAGATGCACTGCAGCTGTCGCTGTACTTTGACAAACTAACCATTTCTTTCAGCGCTGGCAGGAGCATGCCGAAGTAAGGCAAAATGCTCAGCACGGAGAAGATCCTTCGTATGTGTCAGTGACATCTGCTTCGATACTTCATTCCTCTGGCATCTTACCTTGGCACCAGGAACAGCGCTTCTATGGACAATATATCAAAGGCAAAGTCTGCCGTTGCTCGGTTGTTCGTATATAGTCCTACGACTCTTGTTACGAAGAATGTGAAGCCTGTCAGAATGATCGCCACATCCCACAGCGCCCAGAAGTCTGACGCGTAGAACGCCGAACCAGCGTCCAGAAATTCGCCCAGCTCTGAAAGGGGCAATCAGCATTCTGCGTCAAAAGAAGTCTCAGATGACCGACCGTTATATGTGAATGAGGCAAGCCAGATGTACATCATGACTTCGGGACCGGAAATGTGCTCGGAATGCTTCTGAACAAGCACAATATAGTAGAAGATAAGGAACGCGGCGAAGAACATCATCTCGAACACCTTCAAAAAGAGGGGCACTCTTAGACGACAGTAGGGATCAGCATCTGTCCGGCGGTACACTTTGGCCTGCTTCACGGAATTGCGATCCATTGAGTCCCAGAAGGCGATGTCTCCGTTCCAGATCCCGTCGATGATTCTTTGAATAGCTTTCTGTGATAAAAACTTCTTGGCATCAGACACAGCGGCGATTTCCAACGCGTTCAGGCCCGCGAATGTTGCTGCAAAATTGGACTGCTCTGCATATTCTGAGTCACTGGGGTCTTCGTCATAGAAGGAGTCCTCCATTGTAGCTCTGCCTTCGTCCAGAAGCGGAGATCGTTCGGTCAGTAAATCCTCGTCCTCGTCGCATCGCTCAACATCAGCTGCTAGACGTGCTGCGTCCTCAACGCTCGCTTTCGAGACCTGGGGCAAATCACAACATAGCGAATCAATCGCTTCGGTGTGTGATTTATACATGATCAACCTCCACGCCACAAGCTCGCATGCAAGTCCCCGGCTTTCATTGATGCCCCTGTCATCGTCAGATTCAATAGCATTGAAATGCCATTTCAAGGCACTGCCGCATCATTAGCACTTCGCTTGATCTTCGTTGGCAATGCACCATATTCACTTACAGTAGCGCGCAGATGATTGAAGGATGATCGACATCGTTCACAAGATACTTGATGAGCCATTTCAAACTACTTCCATAAACATCACGTTGCAATTGTTGCCATTCTTGCGGTGTTTGGATGGCTGAAACGAAGAATCTGTATCCGCAACTCTCGTCAGATAAACTCGAATGAGGTTGTGTTTATCTTCAATCCGACGTGCGCTTTGTAGAACGCAGACTTGATACGCACATGCTAAGCTTTCGGACGAGGCCGTCGAAAGTCTCTCGGCCACTGATTTGCGGTAGTGACAGCATGTTACATATGCCGCGAACTCTCTTGGATTAGCGATCCCGACTATTCTGATATAAGCAGCCGCTCCAGGTGTTGTCGTAGGCGATGCTTGTGACTAGGTTACCGTCGAGTGATGCGCGAATTAAACGCTGTAGGGGCGCGGGATTGGGAGTGTGGTCCCCGAGTTGAACATGTGTGGCCGCCAATTTGCGCGCTGTACGACGCTCAAGATTTCATATACCCTCGTCGACGACTCGATGCATGATGCGTGATAGTCTTGGAGTGCTCCCGAAGACTCGCATGAATCATTGCTAAATCCTGGGATACGTCAATGCGTGATTGGCCGTGAATGCTTGCAAGTGACCCAGGCCCATGCGCTAGGGTTGTGCTACCCAAACCCTAGTCGTCGTTCTTCTCGCCTGGTTTCTTTCATCGTCATTTCAGGACGTTTCGCGATCGTTATGACGTATGTGATATTTCGGATATATGATAGATGCGTCGGCCAGGGTGAGGAGTGGCTCACTTCGGGAGTACTGAATGTGCACAGGTAAAATTATCTTATGCTCTATGGCATTTGGTTACGCAAATCATCAGCGAGTAGGCGTGACGCTCGCCATAGTCGCGCACAACATGAGGGTTAAGCATCTGCGCACCAGACATGCATCGAAGAGGCAAAGGAAGGCCGTGAGATGATTTCGAACAGCATAAGATCTATTTTACAAGACGGGGCGTGATCATTCGTAATATGGAGGATGCCTGGAGACATCTTGTGTCAACTCGTCATGACATTAAAGGGCTAATGTATGTGCCGTATCCTCGTAAACGATCATGCCACTCGAACCCAAATCTTGCCGTTGTGTCGGACAATTGAACCTGCAAGCAGGTTGCTGATCAAGGTGCCTGCCACTCGGGATTCTGCGAGATTGTTAGCATGTGATAATAGCGCTCAAATAATGATTATCGACTGACCTTTCGCAGTATGCAGATTCCTTCCATCACGTTGGCCAAGCAAATGTATTCGTCGTCCTCCAATTCCGCGCGCTCTCCATAGCTCAGCAGTACTGGCGTGGACTGTGTTTGCCAGCCAGTGATGGTCTTGGGACGACCGGCCTGTCCAACAATATCGACAGCCTGACCGACTCGCACATTCACCTGAAGCGGCTGGAGATCCTCATCCAGCGTAACCAGGAAGCGCGGATGCATTGCAGTGACAATGTAGTACAGGAGATAATGGTGATTGTTGAGGATGAAAGCCTTGGGATCATCGATGAGTGCGACTGTCACAGTTAACAAACCAGCAGCAGCAACACGCGAGAGCACTGAGCGATCGGTGTGGAACGGATTGATGGTGAGTGTGCCCTTGCCCATGTGCAACAGCCCCTGTGCAATCCGAACCATGAACAAAGCATGCGCATCACGATGGTAGTAAGAGGCAAGCTGTCGAAGAAGTTGCGCAATACGGGCATTGTTGGTTCCCGCACCAAGCATGCCCATGGCAAAGATTGCGTTGATGGCGACGTCGATATCGTTGTCGTGGGAATATCTTGAGAGAGTGTCATAAACCTTCATCTGCGGATTTGAAGGACTTATGAGACCCATGGCAAGAGGGACAGCCTTTCGGATGTTGGCTTCGCCGTAGTGCATGAGATGAGCGAATTGTCTCAGAACCATTTCCTGCCCAACATCCTCGCCCATGGCGACAAGACTGAGACCGAGAACGGCATAAGCCTGCACGAGCTGTTCACCTGAAGCGGCCTTCTTGTCGTCCCAATCCTTGTCGTCATCATCTTTATCCTCGATGTGCTCGTTGCAGATATGAAGAAGCTGCTGGAGTTTGAGAACCGTACCAGTGCCTGCCCAAGCACAAATCTCCGCTAGAACGGAAGCTGGTTTTGACATGGGATGATCAATGGCTTTCAAGGTCTCGAGAACGACATCAACCTCCTCTTGTTGCCCGAAAAAGAGCAGTGCGAGACCCAAGGTCATGAAGCGAGTCCATTTGTCCTTCAATTGCTTGTTGCGATCCTCGTCCAAGAAGGTCTGGATGATTGCCTCGCTCACGTCAGACTCGGCTGATCCGACGAAGATCAGACCGAGAGACAGCGCGGCGACTGCAGAGATCTGCATGTCCACACCGGTATCCTGAACAAGTGGCAGAAGGAGCTCTAGCAAATCCTCCTTGTTCGAGCCAGCGTAAGCCAGACCCAAGCCCATGATCCTTGCCACGCGTTCGTTCGTCGACTTGTCGTCCAAGTCACCGAGCAGAGCCAAGGTAGGGTCGCTATCGAGCCTGACACCAGAGTTCATAATTCCCATTGCGAGTGCGGCACCAGCTTTGACGCCGTCATCGGACACGTACGTGTAGGCATCAATTTTGTCCAATCCAGCCTCAACATCCCAGAGCATGAGCATACCCAGCGTGGCTGCGGTTGAAACTTGTCCATCCTCTTTGACTTTCCAAATCCAGCTTGCCTTTACGCCTCCTTCTACGAGCATCAATTTGTCATCTCCAAAGCCTGCATTGACGAAGGAATTCACAAATGCTGACGCGAGGTTGTGCCGAGCAGAATCAGTGTTTGTGAGGCCGGCAGTCCGGCTTGATTCGAGATGTGATTTGTAAATGTCTTCGGGAACCTTGGGATCGAGCACATTGAGTTCCTTAGCAAGCGATTTGAAGTGCTCAGGTAACCTGGTGTTATCTAAGCATGCTTGCAACTCTGGATCCTCAACATCCTCGCCAAGGTCGAGGCATATCCGTTGTCGACCCAGAATGAAGGCAAGCTGGCGTCTTAGGGCCTTATCTGTTGTTGCGTTGAAATCGGACTTGATGAGATCTAGATCGTTCAATCGTATCGCAAGAGAAATGGCTTGAGCCAGCTGTTTGTATTGAACATAAATTTCGTGCGCAGTTCGCAGAAAGCGATCATTGTCAGGGTAGGTGAGGAGTGGGACCATAGAAACCATGTACAAGCACACGCGGGCGTAAGTGTTCTCGTCCAGATGATCCTTGATCTGCTCAATCATCTCAAGCTCTGAGAGAATGTCGACTGCGTCCGCCTCTGCATTGTGAGAGAGGAAGAACGGAACAAGTGTCAGTGTGAGGTTGGTAAGATCTTCCACGTCTTGGTCTTGCTCCAGTCGATGCTGGTATTCCTGTCCGATTTCCAACGACAAGTGACGCATGTACTCGTGTCCCCACGACCCGTGATCTGTTCTCGGTGCAAGGAGGCGGTATTTCAGGGTATCTCTGGTGTTCTCATCGTCCGAATAGGTCATACCCAGGACAGACAATGTATCTGCAAGAGAGTCCTTATTCTCACCCTTCGGCCATTTCTCGTACGCATGAGTCAACTTCTCATAGTGCGGTCGAAGGAACTTGAGCGGCTTCGGCACAGCCGTCATTGAGCTGGTAGATGTTTTGATGGTTGACTTGATCGCTTCAAGAGCGGCCTTGAAGAGTGATGCATCTGACTCCGTCAATCGCTCCACTAACATTTCCAACTCGTCCTTGAGCTTCTGGTCCTCTTCGCTCAGCTCTTCTGGTGGCAAGTCGAGGTCACCAGCTTTCTTCTCTTTGACATTTTGCTTTTCCTCAGTGCCATCTGACGGCGGAGCATCTTCAGCTTTTCCTTTGCCCTTATTCTGAGGTTTAGCCTTTTCCGCCTCCTTCGCCATGATGTAGGATTCCGACGATAGAGTGCAGCTTGATTGCCTTATGGATATATCACAAAGCAAGCGGACTCCGCCCGGACTGTGTGTCGAGATACAGCCCTATCGATGGAGGCGAGTGGGATATTGTTCTGGGGCAAGTCCGGATTGGAAGAGATGTGTGTTCAGAGGTTCGTGATCTCGTGCAGCGCGCTCACATTTACGTATGTCATGTTTGTTTAGCAAGGTGATCGCGGGCGAGCTCCGCTTAGGTAATCCGCCAAGCGCTAATCAGGGAAGCGGGAACGCCATGCATTTCAAGGCATGACTCGCGTGAGCGAAAGAAATATCAAATTATTCAAGGAAATCTGATAACCCGACACGAACAACTTCCTCAAGGACCAAAATTGTGTCGCAATGAAGTTAGATACGGGCGCGCTTCGTTATCTTACGAGTGATGACTGGAGGGTGTTGACTGCTGTGAGCTTCTTCCATAGGCTCAAATTAATAGATCTCGGTCGCACGTACTGATGCCAACATCCAGGTTGAGCAAGGTAGCAAGAACCATGAAGTTGTTCCGACACCTTTGATCACGCAGATTGCTGGACTTCGAGGTGGTAGTCCTGTGAATAGATGTATCTCCAATCTGGCCAAAGTCGGGCTGATCGGCAAAGTCAAAAATGCTAGATGTATGTGGTCGACGAGAGCACGGACGATTGCTCTGAACATGGAGCCGGGCTGACCCTTCTAGATGATGGATATCGCTTGACATACGGAGGCCTCGATTATCTGGCATTGAATGCTCATCGTAGAAGTGATGTTGTCTTCAGCTTGGGCAATCAAATTGGTGTTGGAAAAGAGTCCGATATCTACATCACGGCTTCTCCAAATGGCAGACAACAGGTGCTCAAGCTCCATCGACTTGGTCGGATATCATTCCGGACAGTGAAGGCCAATCGCGACTATCTTCGCAAACGAAGCACTGGCTCTTGGATGTACCTATCTCGTTTGGCAGCACAAAAGGAGCATGCATTCATGCAAGTTCTGTACCGCGAAGGATTCCCTGTGCCAGAACCACTTGCTTGGAGTCGCCACACAATTGTCATGGAATTCATCGACTCATTCCCTCTACGAATGATCGAATCTGTGCCGGACCCTGGTAAATTGTACGCGGAGCTTCTGGACATGATAGTCCAGTTGGCACAAAGGGGTCTTATTCACGGGGATTTTAATGAATTCAACATTCTGATCAAAGAAGAGACGAAAAATGATAGAACTATTCTGAGGCCGATCTTAATTGACTTTCCGCAGACCGTCAGCACCAACCATTCGAATGCTCAATTCTATTTCGATCGAGATGTGGCTTGTGTCAAGCGGTATTTTGAGAGAAAGTTCAAATACACCTCCGACGAACCAGGACCGCACTTTGCGGAGAGCATAAGAGATGCAGATCCTGCGAAGAGGCTCGATATTGAAGTGGAAGCGAGTGGCTTCTCAAGAAAGATGGGCAAAGAGCTGGATCGCTTCATCGAATCAACTGGAGGAATTCAGAATGAGGCAGAGCCCAACGTCCCTGTAGATGACGACGAAGCAGAAGAAGATGAACTCGACGAAGATGAAGATGAAAATGAAGAAGAAGAAGATGACGATGAGCTTGGGCATCAAGAACTTAGCGATATACCCAGCACCAGCGACAAGATCGAAGAAAAGGCCGATGCTGCAAAACAAGCTGAAGCTGGAGCGACTGTACTTCAGAACGACCATTCTGAATCACAAGAAGACGTCCAATCGGGGCTTGTAGAGCCGCTCGAGAAGCTATCAACGCAAGATAATACAAGCAACCCCCATCATCCGGCAGCTTTTGGTTTGCAGCCCTTTGATCTTCCACAAGACCCGGATGCAGTATCTCAGAAGGTGCGGTCGAAGAAGAAAGCCACTGGCTGGGCAATCTAGAGTGTTGGTCTATTCGAATCATCAAGTTCGGGATCATTGGGGATTCTGCTTTTTGCATCTTTAGCATTTGTAGCTTTGCTATACCCTCCAAATTCCCAACAGTCGCGCGTGTTTGCTACCTGCCAGACAGAGGATACGCCACAGTCATCACACGGGCTTTATCCAATCATTAATGGAGACTCGACGCAATTAGTCTCAGTGGCTGCGAGTGGGCTTCGCGACGATTCGTTATTTCAAATTAGCAAGTCATGGAATCGCAGATATCATAGTCGTGAGAACTTGCTTCACTATCGTGGACACAAGCAAGCCAGCGTACTGGTGTGACAGTGTGAAGGACATCACGAATCCTACGGAACTGTAGTTCAAGAGGATGAGATGTGGAACATTGACATCTTTCGGGCAAGCCTCCATCGCAAGTGATTCGTAATACTGTAGTGTGACTCATGCACCATTTTCTTGCAATTATGACAGGAATCGTCATGCAATCTAACCGAAGTTAAGACAATTGTCTACAGGGACCGTAAAACCGACAACATGAATTCTGCGGACAATGTGCATCAATTGCTGCGAACAATCTTCGTTGGGCACGGGCGCAACTATGTCGATGACGAGTCCCTGTGATGTATGGCCTGCCCCAAGGTGGTTAGCTTCATCTCGAGCTTGCCTTTGTCCTTGATGATGAATCTCTGTGTCCCGCACATGCCCAGGTGAGCTTGATAGCACAAGGATATCATTTGATAGTTAAAGACTTGAATGCTAGGTGCTTCGGACTGCGGTTCGCTGCCCATGAAGCTATGCTGTAGGAAGATGCCACACGGAACTTCGCTCGCCATCGCAGAATCCGCGGGACTTGATAATCATCAAATCTCCCATGGGTCGTCCCCCGTACTCTTCATTTGCTTGCCAACAGTGGACTGAAGATCGCAGATGATCGTACTGTGGTGTGAAACAATACAAATCGTGCATCAGGACGTGTCAGTAAAGAGAGGGATGAACAAAGAGCCCGAAGCTAACCATGGATATGGACATGGTCATGTTGAGACCTTCGTCATTGGAAACCCAAGGATACCTACCTTCCAAGGTAGGTAGAGGCAGTGCAAAGCCTTGCCAAGGTGGAAAAGACAGGACTTCGTATGCACACGAATAATTACGAGGCATACGAAGGAGGGACAAGAGCACAGCACCCTTGCCGTCGGGCAGAGTCAGATCGTGGCTTGTGAGGGAGGGTGCGGACCGTTGCGGCATTAGTTGGTGCGACGCTTCGAGGTTCGCCCGCAGGTGATCGACAGTACTCCCGTCCGCTATGGTTATGGTGTGTGTTCATTTACAAACACCGCGTTGTCTTTCATCTTGTTGGTACGAATTAAACCATAAACAACTTCAATCGAGTATTGATTGCGGCGCGGAAGTCAAGCCATGTCGCTCCGCCATGATAAAAGCCATTCCGCTCGATATCGATCAATATTACCCAGGGAACCAATGTAAATGTGCAAGATAAAACGCGGCCCAGTCGGGCTAGCAGAGTGCATGAAGCACTCGCGGCGCCAAAGTCTCTGCGGGCAGAGTAGCATTGCGCAATCTCTCGCGCCGAGGTACTGATAGGGCGGACGGTGAACGTTCAGGAATCGGGATATCATGTCGCCGATGCTCCTCTAAACATAGTGCAGGATGTTCTACAATGGTCCGATATCACCTTCTACCACGCATCACCGTCATTCGCCATACGATAAATCTGGTGTCCACGAGGTCCAGAAAATCATTGTGCTGATCAAGCAGACAACATGAGCTCTTGGTGACGATGGAAGCGGTCACTGGCGGTCAGGCCTGAGGAGACAGTGGAGGATGTATGCACATCGGTGATGCTGGGGACGGTCAGGGATATCCTGTGTAGCTTTAGCGTACGGGAGCGAACGGACCGGAACCCTGTTGCATTGCTTGGCCGATGGATGTTTTGTCACTCACGCTGCGCCGTCCCTCGTTGCCAGCATGTAGTGTGTGATGATCTTACGTGTGTTGGTGTTGGTGCTGCATAGATGGCGGCTGAATCCACCGCCGTATCCGGCCAAGTGCCAGCCAGAGATGTGCCGTCCTTCGTTGGTGAGCTGTAGTATGGACGGTCAAAGCTATGTTGCTGTCCACGGCAGCCACTGCCGTTCCACCCGAAGGCAAGCGTTCCTGTCTCAAATCCTTCCGATGCCATCACCAGATGACTCTCAATCTGTCACCGGCGTGATGAAATCAGACTCGTTGTGAGGGTGAAGACTTGCTGGAATTTCACGGCACAGAAGCAATACGAGACTACGAGATGGGAAGGTTCCACCTTTCCTTGTCGAATTGAAGTTGCATTGCGCCAACTCATCAGCGGGCGCGCTAGTGTGGATTGGCCCGTTCTCCCGCGGGACCCACACCGGAGGCCTACAGTCAAGCCCTGACACTACAGTCAACGCCCACTTCCCCCAACTTCGTTCTCTCGCGAATTCGTCCACCTGCAACGACAATCGACCCATCATCCTTTCGGCACCAGAAACACCACTTCTTGGATTCCATACCGTCATATCGGCACGAATGAAATGCTCTAACGCATCATTCGCAACGACGAGAAACCAAACAGCCGGCCTGTTTTCATTTCATACTTTCCTCCGGTTTCTAAATTCAAATTATCGAGTAGGCGCAAAGCAACGACCGCGTCCGATTTCCTTTACTTCAGTGCATCGACACCCGTACTCTCGTCTCTAAATCGACCACCGAAAGCACACCCATGTCCCTTTGATCAAATTCGTACGCTTCAAACATGGCAGAGGAAGCGTTGTCATGTTTCGAGGATCTGGCGTCTAGCATACCAAGATGGATCGCCGAACTCGGTGAGATCACAAGAAATGCGACTGTCCGGCAGAGACAATATCTACTAGAGCACCAAGAGTCGGATTGTGTTATACCACCTCGGAGTCCTTGTCGGAAAAAGTCCAAATCGTCCTCGCTGGCCTCTGCGGAGTCTCACACGGCTGCAAAACGATCCGCGGAAATCCTCCGGCCACAACTGCCTTATCTCACTGATTCTGACGCTCTCCGCCTTGATCAGCGGCAGAGAAAAACCGTCTCCGCTTTGTCCGGCTGTCAATCTGGTCCCGTAATATATCGCTCAAGCGGACTGATCGTCATTTATTATGACGCAGACATACAAAAACGCTTTGAACAGGTTGTCAGATCGATATCGACTGGTCGGAATGAACTGCGCAAAGGCAAGATGGGAATGACTGTCGCAGCACTATCACGATCAGGATCAAGCAGCAGTAGCGACGGCAGCAGTGACGGAGAAGAATTCTCACCATCCTCATTTAAAATACGCCTCTCTCGCTCAAGTCGAGCCATCCCGTCCACTTTTAAACGGGACGACGGCACTCAATACTTTGACCGCATCGATGGTCACTTAGATCGAGGTATATCATTATGTGAGCGTGCTGCACATCAAATCTTACGAGACGGAGATTGTGAGGCGGAAATGGTCAAGGTCTATGCCGCACTCAACGAAGGCCTCGTTGTCGTCCAAGAGAAGATCCCAACACTGCGAAAGCAAGCAGAGAAAGCCGCACATCGTCGACGGAAAAGCGCTGAACGAAAACGGGGCAGTGGTAATGAGCGTCGAGTCGATCATGACGAGACACCAATAATGAAGCATGCCATGCCGCCTGGCGAGATATCACTCGCAGATGCGCTTGAGGTTGACGATGATAGTGACGACGGTTCAGGCGAGTATGACATCAATACCTTCCAAATGGGTAAGATGTCAAACTTTCGCCGCGCGCCACCGGTGAACCGATATGCCGCTGCCGCGATCTTATGATGGTCTTTGGGAATTCTATTGCATTTTGAGCGTTGCATTTTTATACTCATGTCCTTTCAGGGCGAATCTAGCGGGGAGTCATGGGGTGTTTGGAATGGGGGCATATCACAAAGGGCACGCCGGCGAGCGGCCCTTCACGAGCATTTTTCTTATTTTGCCTCGAGCATTCTTTTCCGACCTTCGCGGGGCAGGTCACGTTCTTCTGCGAGCATCTGCCGCCACACACGCACACACAAAAGACGTGTTATTCATATGTCAATTCAAGATCATCTGTTCCTTGTCTTCACACACAACTGACGTTCTACACTAGTCCTCTCTGTACCTGGTCACTTATTAGAACATGCTCGCATGAGTGACCCTCATTACTCCACGACCCCCATGACGTCGTGGAGCATACCGGAGTATATGATAAGTCGAGTTCATTCCGTCGGTGGAGCTGAATATAAGCACGCATTGAGGATTGCCACCCGACCGCCGCCGCTCCTCCAGCCAGTGGTGGCGTTGATGCTCATGGAAGCACAGAATAAGCAGCCTGTCGCTTTGAACATAGTCAAGCCCTACATATTATCGCCAACTAAGCCACCTGATGTCGCCAGCAAATCAAACATGCCTTTCAACAACCACACATTAGGTTACTAGCTTCGCGACGGTTGAAACTTGGCCGAGCAGCTCGCAAGCAGACATTCTCTCGCCAGCAACTATCGAACAAATAACAGCAGCTGCGTTGCAGCTATCTCCCGACCCTATCGACTGCATCAGACCATACGAGGGAGAGCTGTAGGATGATTCTTGGTCTTCATGTACGCCGTCCGGGAGAACCGCTGAGATTCGCCCTTCGTTTCCATGCCCATCCTCTTCGATGCCTTTACAATGGATATGTTCTGATGCGGTCTTGGTGATTGGGTCGGAAACGCGTGACTCTCTATAGCTTCAAGTATGTTGCAGAGGCAAGCCTATGGAGCGGGTAGTATCGTGATGTGTGGCTACTGGCACTGCGGACAAATATGGTGTGTAATGAAGGCGTCTGCATGCGGGGATTTTGCAATGACTTGTTTTCTAGAAAGCAATTCATCCTCACAACCACATTGCTGCTTGCCCGAATTCTTTTGGCGAATGAATCTCACCCCTCTGAGTGGTATCACATGATCAACTTCAAAATCGAAAAGTCAGTGGTGAAGTGCAGCCTGTGTAGTACTTTGCGAGGGGCAAAGCATGTATGAAGACTACGGGCCAACACTCGTATTTCGAGAACACTGTTCTGAAACGCGATTGCGTTATTAAAAATGACTCTTTGAACAAGATGTATACATAGCCCTCTAGCTCCTCTTGAAATTGGCCAGCATTAATTTACGAGTCTTTACTTCGTCCGGACTTGTTTTAGCTTCTTTGCGCTGTGCTCGAATTGTGTTGCATAGGCCTTCGGGGTAAACCGCCGCTCATTCGGCTCCTGCACGAAGTATTCATAACCTTGCTTGTTTGCAAAGCGGATGGCGTCCTCCTTGCTCTCGAAGTTCAAATGTGTTCCCTGCATTGCGTCTGCACTACTTTGCCAACCCATCAGAGGGTTCTCCCATCTGTGACCTTTGTTGAGGACATCCCAGTCCATTCTCCAGTGGTGGCCGTGCCAGTTGCCAGATTGCGTGGCCGTTTTGGCGGGCTTGTAAATACTGTTTCAGAAACGATCAGTCTCGTTCACAAGCGAGAGAGCTCCGCGCTGAATACGAACCGAACAGTGCGGGCTTGAAGGTCGGTAGGAGCGCCGGACAACACAGCAGCTGGAGTAATCTCGCCCGGTTCGCTGCCGTCCATGACACGCATTGGGATGGGTGAAAAGTTCCTACGATATCGCGTCAGAAGATCGACTCCTTCCGTGCTTGTCTGGGCGATCTGTTTCTCACGAGGTCCGGTAATCCTGGGTCACGCCATAGTCCAATTGGTGACTGGGGTGGGCATCTGCTCCACCTTCACGCTTGACTGGCTGCTGTTCGGTTGTTGGGATCACGGCCGTGTCAACTGAAACCGAACTCTCGAAACGAGCCAGGGCGGGAACTCGACGTGACAGAGCTGGTCGCACCGCTGTCCGCAGGACGACCGTCGCGGACTTATGCAGCGCATTCATCGTATGCTGTGAGCCAGAATACAATCACTGCGTGGGTTTGTTGAAGTTATGTAACATACAATGTCTACTGTCTGGATGGGTGATGCGCTGCGGAGCTGTTTCGGGACTAAGCGGAGGCTTGGCGCCAGCTTCGCATTGAGCCGACTTCAAGGAACGAAGCTTCGGCTCGACTTCTGTCGCATCAAGACAAGGTACAACTATCAACAATCGCAACCATGGTGTCCTCGATTGTTCCCCCGAAGGTAATTCTTTTTCGAGATGATCGGCTTTTGAAGTACTAACAGGCTGTCGGCAGATTGCGTCGCCGAACGTGAGTGTCTCCCTCCTGACGACCAACCCCCAATGACCTTCACAATCGCCGAAAAAGCCCGAGAACGGCCTCGATGAACACGACATTGCGCCGCTGGTGGAAATGATACATGGAATCGAAGAGCTGATTGAAATCTGTTGGAATAGGCTATCGGCAGCCAGGCCGACGGTGCGCGCATGGCCAGAGTCGTCAACTTTTACGAGAAACTTCCCCGTGGCGCCGCTCCTGCTCCGAAGGCTCGCGGTCCTCTGCAATGGTACCAGCACAGATATATGGTTGGCAAGAATGCATCTGCCATGCGTACGTATTTCCACACCCAACAGCTGCGCAGCATCAATGTATGGAGTGGTGGAAATTGGCATGGACATTGGCTGACTGGGATGTTGTAGCAATCATCCACGTCATCGGCGGTCTTCTTCTCATCGGTTACGCGCAGAACTACTACTTCCATCTCCGTAAGTGTTACGCTGCCATTGCTATCCGTATCGCGGCATTTGCTGAACGATTTCAGGCCACCACAAGAACCACCCTCACTAGGGGATCCATACGGTGCGCTCAACGATTGGAAGCTCGACATGAGACCGAGGATCTGTATATAGACTGTGAAGTGTCGGACCGCTCCTCGAATGGCAATGTAACAAATATCGGATTGAATTCAAGCTCCTTTGTTGTTGATGATATCACGTGATTACTAGATGGCATTTCTGCACCTCGCAAATCTTTGGTGACACCCATGGAATTTATTAAATTTGAAGCGGAATGCCTGGGACAGCGGACGCCTTACTAGGCCTACGAATAGATCGATGTGATTCATTAATGGCAACACTGTAGGTCCAAAGCCTTCTGCCGTCGTTCTAATTCATCGTCGTCAGGCCGGCTCGCATATGTCACGTGTCGATGACTGCCCAGGCGACGATGACCAACGCCTTGTGGTCCGTGCCCGGTCGCGGTATCGTGGCACTGAGCTCCTTTCAACATGATGATAGACGAGTTATCCTCATCAGACACGCCCTCTCAAAAAACCTCCATCCTCTCCGCCTCAGGGTTTACTCCTGCGTGCGACTCTTCCAGGCGCACTTCTCCACGGCATTTCCGTGGACACTTTGTTCCCGAACGGCATTTGTTCAGCGCTTTGAAACAAATATTCGCTGCGCCTAGCAGATATCAATCTCGACCCAAGATCTCCATCATCACACGACGCGCATTCTAAAAATTTGTATCTAGTATACGATTCTCTGATAGCTGGTCGGTCTGTAGCGAACCCGAGGAGCACCGGCAAATTGTCGCAATAGGTAAGACCATACCTCTTCCTTGCGCCAACGATCCTTTCAGCAACAGGTTCCCAATCGAGACACAAGAATGCATTATATTTGTAGCGCTCTATTCCAAATGAGCGATGGCATTCGCGGCACATGGACTCCCATCTCGAGTCACAAATGTGAGAAGGTTAATCTGACAGTTTGCAATACTAGCCTGAGACACTGTTATGGCAGAGCAGATCGGCCACAATGTGGTAAACAACTTCCAGTCGGCGAGTGGCTCGCCATTCGCCGACGTTGCTGTCAACCAAAAATCTGTTCTCGCTGTCTCTGACAGCAACTCACCCTCCATCAACGTCGACTCCAACACTTCCCAATCGAGCACCCCCTTCGGCAAAACGACGAACAGCGATGTCGGAGAACCAAGCGCTGGTAACGACGCATACGCTGGGAGACTTGAGCCACAAAGTGCCCTCCATGATGTGGCGGTTCAGGGGCGCGCGAATGATGTCCACGACGACGCGAGCCAAGGCGAAGGAGTTGCAGATGATAGAAGCCTTGCAGATGGATCTATCGATGCAAGCGCCAATTCTGACACCGACACGAGCCGGGCGGATATCCAGGAACGGAAGGACGCGAGTAGTCACAATCGTACGAACTCAATGAAAAAGCCGGCAACATTCAGCAAGGTTTCTGTGACCAGAAACTTTCTTGCCAAGACGGCAACAGCGCCCACAGGAGTGACTTCCGTAAAGCCTGGCGAAAAAGGTCAGGAACCATGCTATGAATGTATTTGGGAAAGCGCTGACATGAAGCAGTAAGTGTACTCTCCGTAGCTGCGCTCTCTGCAGCGAAGCCACGGTTAGTCGCGAAGTCAGGCACGGCGCTGCAAAACGCGCAGAGGCTTCGACCAGGCGCTGACGGCTCTGGCGGGCCCGATGGAAGCAAAGTCTGGAACAAGAATCAACGTGAGTGCTGTATCATTCTTCATTCGCAATGTGAACTATGCTCACAAAGGGTACATAGCGACACGACCTCCCCCGCCGAAGCAATTCACCGACGAAGAATTGAAGCAGCAGTACGGCATCCATTTGGCAAATCGCTTGCAGAGTGACGAAGGAGGCAACGAGTCTAAGTGGGCCGACATAGACGAGGATGAGGATGATTGGGCGCCTGAAGCTGTGACTTGGGTAGACGGCACGAAATCGACGTTGAACATACAAGAATCCGCGCCCGCTGCTGCCCCGAAAACCTCGTCAGATGGAGAATCGACAAAGGAGGCACCTGGAAACGTTACAGCAGCGCCGCTCTCTCAGGCTCCACCGCAGCCCGCAGCTCCCCAGAAACTGCCATCATCGACGCCTCCGCCAGCAGCAGCATCGTCTCGACCCCCACCGCAAACAGAAGCACCAGCATCAGCCCGGCCAGCTTTGACTAGCATGAAACGACCGGAACAGCACATGAAGATTTTGAGACCTGGCGCAGCTGCTAGTATGGCCAAGCAAAACAACGCAACTATAGGCAGTGCATCGTCCGACAAACCATCTCTGAAGGCGAAGAGTTCCGCGCCTCCAACGAAATCGCCATGGGCTCCCGTTCCGAAAGTAGAGTCGGTATCCCCCATAAACCCTCCTATCCAACAAACGACAACTGTACGACCACTGGCGACACAAGATGCTCGCGCTTACGAATCTGCTACGGCCGCTCAGCCTGCCCGAGAAATTGCAGCTGACACTTTCGATCGATCGTGGCGTGAAAACGAGAAAGGCAACAGGGAATTGTACAATTCAGCCAATGGAAGGTACGAGCCCGTACCTGAAGGTCGACGTGGGAACGGTCGATTGGAGCCTTCGGTACGCAAGCCTGCGCTGCTACAACGCTCAGCACCAGGAAATGAGACACCTGAATCGAATCAAGCCCAAATCGGATCTCAACAGGATGTTGGGCAAGGCAGAAGACGTGGTTCAAGCGTCAGTCAGACTAGCGCGCCGCAGAACAGACACATCATGGCAAATAAGGTCCCTGAAGTCTTGGAGCATTCTGCTGAGAGTGCAACAGACGTACCGCAGACTGCTGCTGTCGGCCCAATCGCAGATTCAAGTTCTGTCTGGGCCAAACAAATGCCGCCACAAAACGTTGCGCCTGCTGAGCCTTCAATTTCCGTAGAGGATGCCTTGAAGATGCAAGAGAGAGTAATGCGTGAAAAGCGTGAACTCGCCATCAAACGCCGAAAAGAAGAAGAAGAGCGAGAAGCGAACGCAAAGCAAGAGAGATTGAGGGCCAAGCTCGCAGCACTTGAAGGGGCGGGCAAATCCAAGAAGGACAGAGAAGCAGAAGCAGCCGCCGCCGCGTCTACCGCAACGAAGACGGTTGAGGACGCGGATGCTCGACCCAACAATGCATCCAAGATTGTCGCACCAACTCCACCATCGGCGGCTGTAACAGAATCCGCTCCAGCAGCGCCTCAAGCGGATGCACGACCCTACGAGAGGATTGCGACAAAGCAACCTTTGACGGACAGCAAAGCGCAGAAAGCAAACACTTCCGACAGACAGCTTTTGGACGAGAATTCAACTATCGCCCCTGAAGGCACCTCTGAAGCTGCAGCCCGCTCGCGCCTGTTGCCGGAGCCGCACAACCGAGACATGTTCGCTTCATCCGGTCCTGCATTCACCAGCCCGCCATCATTCCAGCAAAACCCTAGTGATCGCAAGGCCCAGACAGCGTTCGGACGTTCGCCCAATCTTGCTTCGGAATCGACCTTCTCGCCATGGCCGAAAGCTCTTTCTAGCACAAGTGTTTGGGGCACTTCTGGTATCGGCAATGGAACCTTCGACAGCTCCAGCAATTTCGCACCTCTCATGGGGCCAAGCGCTGGTCTGCCACCTCCAACAGGCATGAGTTTGCAACCAACTTCCAGAATCTCGCCCAAAACGTTTCCAGGAGAAGAACGTTCGGCAAACATGCAGCAGCATCAGTCACCGGCACAGACGCAGGCACCGACGTCACACTCGTCAGAGTCGCGCAAATTCGCATCTGGCATTGATAGCCGAGGAGACATGTTCGCAAATCAGTCTCGCTTACACGTAGGGTCTCCTGCCCCTGGACTTGGTCGACCTGTTCATCCCCCAGGACCAATTGGCCCGCCGTCGCGAGCTCATTTGCAGAATGACCAAACTAAATCTAACTCGAGTCTTGCTCAATGGCATAATCTCGCGAACGAAATGCCCAATCAATTTCGAGGACATGCTGAAGACAACGCTGTCACCAACCCCAACGACGTTAGCAGCAAATCGGATGGACACATCTTCCGAGAAACGTTCAAAAAGATCGCGCCTGCCGGCGATGGCAGACTTGGGATGCCACGTAGATTCGAGAGTACCGAATATACTGTCCATGACAAGGAAGGCATGTCGAGAGCCCCACTTGCCTCATCAGGGAGACATGCCACACCTCTGGCGCCATGGGCAGCACCTGGAGCCAATCCTATTGCACTGGTTGAGGGACCCGAAGTATCCGCTCAGAGGAATGCAATAAGCCAGCAGCCTCCAATTGCGCCTCCGCCTTCGTCGAGCGCGCAATCCGCAGTTCTCCCGCCTCATCTGCGACCAAAGGCAAAGTTTCCTACCACCCCAATTGAGTCGGTCATCCGGCCGCACGGTCTTTCACCTCCTCCTCCCGAGACAGAGAGCCACCCAGTTAACACTGGAGACGTGCATCATCCTCAGGTCAGGCTGCCCCCTCCCCAAGCGAGAGTTCGACTGCCGCCGTCATCGGCTCAATTGAAAGCCCATGCATCGGCACAGTCGGCGCCGAACATGACTACCGCTCGCCACCCCAACAATTTTGGTCCTCCTGGTGCGAATCGACCTCTTGTGCAGAATGCCGATTGGCAATTGCGGTTCAACGGTCTCTTCGGCAGGGCGGCTGTCTCCACCGAGACACCTCCATCACCGCCGAAGACACCGCCGAAGTCTATAGACTCAGCACTTGCCGTCGCAGCCTCAAGCAGAATGTTCATGGATGACCATCACCACACGCTTTTCCAAGGTGCCACAGTGTCTCTCCCATCACCAAAGCGAACTTTCACAGGAGCTGTCGTGTCCTTGAATTCCAGAGGGCCATTCACAAAGCCAATAAGCGACTACCTCTTCGATGAGGAACGGAGCTTCGGTTCACGCCCGGTTGTTGTGGTCCCACGCAACCCCAGGTACAAATTCGCGCCACACGAGCCTGTAGTTCAGAATCTTCCGACAAGCAAAGATTCTCGCATGTCTCGCGCCACTGCATTTGAAGCACAATCGAAAGAGAGCCTGCCGGCGTGGGTTTTCTACAAGAATCCGCTAGGCTTTCATTTAAAGATCCCTGGCACGCGTCTCAATAACAAACTCGTTAAGCATACGAGAGTACATGATGACTCAGCAAATGCACGCACGCGTCGGACTCAAGATCGTCCTGGATATAACAAGCCAGAAAAGGGCAAGGGAACCAAGTCAAATTCCAACGCGCCCGTAGCTGACGACGAAGCCCGAAAATCAGGCATCAGCGAGAAAGCCACAGTGCGCCCGTCCGCGGACAATCCCACACCATCCTCGGTGACTAGAAAGGCGCCAGTCTCATTCGGAGCAGAGAAGAAGACCACCTGGACGAAGTCCGCCCGTGGTGGCCCGCGTCGCTCGTCAACCCGTCCTGCGGCAGTCTCGTCGAGTTAGTGGTTCTACGAGCGTCCCGCATCGGAAACCCGGGGTGCTGCAGATGCCCAAATAATTACAAAAAAGATCTTCGAATGGCGTGACTCCACGACGAGCAAGCGGCAGACAGTTCCACGAGTCCAAATGTAGGCTCGGCCATGATTAGCTTTTGCTTGCGGAACCCTGCACGAAATGTTTTCCCCCTCTTCGATTCTGACCCTGCACTGGAATTTCCTGCTCTCCTACGGTCGGCAAACCATGCAGTGATCAATTATGGCGTTTCTCGGGAGCGGATTTCCGATCAGGCTTCACCTGATTGGTTTGTTCCAATTATCTTTGCTTCTTGGCGCCGCAGTTGTGTGCACGCAGCTGTATTGTTAAGACAGCCCCTTTTGAACGTTTATCTGTTGATGTTTTAGTTGGCGAAATGTTCTGTTCATCAGGCCGAATTAATGTTCCATGACTCTTTTCGATTCTGCTCCACATGCTCTCTCCTCACACCGTGAACGGCGCTGCCGTGTGCGTCGTGTAGTCTGTGCCCGCTTTTGTCGGACTATACTCATAAGTCGTGCTGCGAGCGCATCGTCTACAAATCTAATGATTAGCGCTGCGAAACATGGTGTCCATGGACGTCATATGTTTGCCGTGGAACAACCCACCATGGATAGACCCTGTGGCCTTATTGTTACTCCTAGCGACGGTGCTACCCTTCTCGGTCCGGGGGCGGGTCGCGACACGCGACTTGTGCATATCAAACTGTACAGGCAACTTGAGACTAGTCATGTCTTTTCATTGAGTTGAGCAAGACTACACTTGGGCTCAATCTAGATGTAACGAGAAACCACTCGCGGACGATGATGCCGAATTCACCTATGCTAGTACCCTCCCACGATCACTTGCTCAGCTTGAGCATGACGTATGGGATCTCGACATCCTCCTCGGTCGTGTCCTCCGCGGTGATTTCGAAGATGACGTTCTTCTGGTGATCGGGGATTTTCTTCTTCGAGATATGCTCGACGAGATCCGACATCCTGAATAGCAAAATGTTAGAAAAATTGTTTTTCATGTTAGGGTTATCACGGTGCAAAAGGGACAGGACTTACTTCATGGGCAGGCGGTCTTTGTTTTTGCTCGCCGGGTAGAAGCTTGCGTACAACAAGCTGACGCCAGAGCTGACCATGCTGACGCTGAGACCCTTCTTCTCAAAATCATCCAAGAATTGTTGCAACGTGACGTCTTCGATCTCGAAACGATCCCACAGCTTGTCGATCTCGACATCGCCGTCAGGGCCCTTGTATGTTCCTTTAGGACTTGCGATCGGCTCACTGAAGCCAAAGAATGGCAGGGCAAGGTTGACGAAACCGTTCTTGTATTGTTCGATGTCGTCTTTACCGTCGATGATCTTGTACAGCTCGAGCACCACCAGACCGGTGACAAGCGCCGTGGTAGTGGCGATAGCTGGGATAATTTTACCAGCGATGAATTTGGTCTTGTGACGATCGGCAGTGATGATCTTGTAGTTCTCCGCGCGCAGGTTTGATGCAGCAGTGATGAAGTCGATGTGGTGGTTGGTGTCATCATCCTTCTCAAACTCTACAGGTTCCATGCGGAAGCCACCCAGGCTGCTCGGCGATGGAAGAGACTGAACGATCTGCTCAAGAACCTCATTGTCATCTGGAGGCGCATTTGCGTTCGGGTCTGGCTCTTTCTCGTCGGCTTGAATCTTGACGTTCGAATCGGGGCTGAAGTCAGGAATGACCATGCGGTCGATCACCGCCGCGATGGCTTTCTCATTGCTGTGGCCTTTGATGCCGTAATTGAAAGCGTGCAAATTAGCACCAGCAACAACAAAAGACATGTGAGTGGCATCTGCAGGGTTAAAGACGAGTGGGTCTGGTGCTCGCTTGGGCCCTGACCAGAATGGTTGACCGGTCGACGTGGTTGAGTCTTTCGGGAAGTTGTAGAGAAGCTGTTGAATAGCATTCGTGTATTGCTTCTCAAATTGCACACGCGCCCACTCGATACAATCCTCAAAAGAAGTTGGCTTCTCAGTGACAAGGGAGTCCCGAAGGATCTCGAGAGTTTGTTTCTCGTTGCCAGCTTGCTTGAGCGAGGTGCCAATGTAGTCGGGTTGTGTGATGTAAAGGTTGACGGTCTCTGCAGGAGCAGCGAAGTAGGTGTGGAAGAGATCCTTGGACCATGCGATAGTATGTTCGATGCGGTTGGGGAACGACTTCAGGGTGCACATTGGGAAAGACTGCTCTGGGGGATCAACTGAGCTTGAATAAGACTCGGTCTTTCTCGGGAGCACAACCTGTGTGTTTCCTTTCGTACCGAGGGTACCGCTGTCGATCAATGGTTTGTGGAAGAATACACAGCGTCGGTCAACGTATGTACGAGCATCGACATTGTCCAACGCGTTTGTCACACCATCCTGAGATTCCCAGAAATCCTCGTTGAAGACGTGTTCGGTGTCCTGCGCCACACGATCCTTGAGCATATCGATCTTTCCCTTGAGATCGGGATTCATGGCCTGTACCGCTTGAGAAGCACATTCACTTTTGAGCTTGCCAACATCCTTTGATCTGAAGAGAAATTGTCGGTTCAAGTTGCTCTTCTCAATCTGGTCCATGTCAGTGACGCTAATCTTGCCCCGAGGACCAGTCGCTAGACCAATCATAGCCCAATTCTTCAGCATTTCACAGCCAATGGCGCCGGCACCGACAAGGAATTGCTTCACATTCGAGATCTTGTCCTGAAACTCCTTACCAAACACTGCAATTTGTCCGTCGTAGCGAGTACCCAGCGGCTTGCACAACTCTTCACCTCGCTTGACTGACGTCGGAAGCGATTCTAGGGAGTCGAAGTACATCCATTGCTTGATAGGGTGGAATTTGCCGGACACCGACTTGAGGACTTCTTGCGCGGCGAGACCACCGAAGAATGCCGCCATTGGCGAGAGATCACCTCGCGCTTGGTAGGAAAGCTCCTTGATGACTTTCTCATCCAGTTCTGGCTTCTCCTCAGAGGAAGCTGCAATTTCTTGCGCTAATTTGAGGACCTTGGCTGCATCCTCATCATTGTGAGGCCGTGGTAACTCTCCGTTGTGTTGCTCCGCAAATGCGTGTAGTGCTTGGAAGCCAGCATGTAGTTGCCCCGGTCGGTCGAACTTGGCGAAGTCCGAGATGAGGTGCTCAGGTGCCTTGAGTTGTTGGCTTAATGGCTCAAAGTCAAGAATCTTGGGCATCTTTACTTGTTGGTAAAGACCGCCACGCTTGTATGTTCCTAGTCCCGAAACATCGCCGATGGAGAATGTGTAAGGTCCTTTGACCGAAATCTTTCGCGGTGTTCCGTCGTTTAGCTTTTCCATGCCTTCCACCTCCGTGAATGTTACAAAGTCTCCGTCTTCCAATCCATGTCGTGTCTCGTCGAGCGCCGACACCAGACCTTCTGAGTCGATGCCAGCAACGATTCCATTCAGTGGATTCTCACCAGTGGGATCGCCGACAGCGAAGTTTTTACCGAAGTCTGTGAAGATGGACCCGAACAGACCGAAAGTGTCAGCGATGACGATGTAGACACCGTTGGCGTGACAGTAATCGGCGATCTGAATTTGTTGCTTGAGAGGAGTGTCCGTCAAAACGACTACCTGGTAGCGCTTGAGCTGAGAGAGATCATCTGTAATGCTCTGGCTGCCATGCGGCGTCACAGGAGTGTACGGGTTGAGTTCAGCCACCCGAGGAATCGTCACAGCATCTCGAGGCTTACCCACATCCTCAGGATGCAGGAAGAACTGAGACGAGAGGTCGGAGATGGCAGCCGGTCGTGGATCAAAAAGTGTCAAGCTCTTGACGCCTGCCAGCGCAATGTCCTTTGCGATTTCCACACCAAGACCACGAAGTCCGACAATGAGCACATTTGATGAGCCCATGCGCTTCATTGCCTCGTGTCCCAGCACGTAGAGCTGACGTGAGTACAGCGACTCATCGATCTCGCCATTGTTAGAACTCTCTTTCAGTTGTTGTATGGACTGGGCCGGGTTGTCGACCTCCATGGCGCCGGTTCCGTTGGTGTTGCTTTCGCTTGTGGTCATGGACTTTTTATGTGATGTGGCCTCAGCCTCCTCTCCGTCTGAGAGCGGTCGTTTCGAACCCAGTTTGACGACGGTGGTAGTTAGGTGAGAAATGGTGGGCAACGTTTGGGGTGGGGAAAAGAGAGGAGAGGAAGAAAGCAGGACAGCAATCGAGGCTATACTGATGCAATTGAAGATACAGAGCGCGGCGCGTGGTTCGGAGTGTGGATGGAAAGATGTGTCAGCGTGTGGCGGGCCGGACTGAATGCAGCAATAGCAGACGACGACGATGATGAGATGATAAAGGTGGTGGATGCAGTGCAGTAGCTGTTGATAGGACAATTCTGCTGTAATGGTTGGAATGGAGCAAAGGCGCGCAACCATCGAAGCTGCTAGCACCTCCGGACTGGCCTCTGTTTCTGTCATCACCAGCTGTTGCCGCAAGGGCCTCTCGACGTCACGCAGTAATAAACCTAACCTAACCCACGCGAATCCCGCAAAAACGCCAGGCGCCAACTGTTTTCCCCCTCCATCCACACACCAAGGGCATTCCACGCTGTGGTATCCCGTAAAACTACTCCTGTACACTGCAAGAAGTCGCTGTCACGATTCAACACCTGCATGGTTCTCTCCATACCGTTCAGGTCGATGGTCCGAATTGTTGTGCATTTGTGGCTCACGAAATGAAGATGACGAAAACGAGATGAGTCAGGCCGATATATCATTGGCGATGATGGAAGCTTGTGCGGACAGCCTACTGAAGCTACCAGTTGTTTACTTGATCTCTGCCCATTCCGCCAAAGCATCCACATACTTCCCCCAATAACCATCCTGCCACCCCCGAACACGACTCCAATCCTCCGGCCTCATGCTAGCCTCCAACACCTTCAGCCACGCTCCAATGATGAAGTCCGCATATGCTGGCTCATCGCTGTCCAGGAAGCTCACGCCATGCTCACGTTCCGCCGGGCCATGTTGGAATTCGGTCTGCTTCGTCCCAGGCGCACGCCAGAAGTGATCGGTCGTGCCGCCAGTGTGTCGGAAGCCTTTGAGAAGCTCGCCGAGCGCGGCTTCGAGGGAGACGAATGTAGCCTCGCGTTGTTCTGGGGTGGGTTGGAGATCGCTCCATGCACTGACGCCGGCGCGTCGAGCAAAGGTTGCGAGACATTCGTCCTTGCTCTCTGGCGGGAAGATCATCTCGTAGATGACTCCGAGATGTTTGCTGAATATCGTGTCGATCTGGGCGTTCAAGATTGCATTGAGGCCGACTGTGTGAGGGTGGAAGAGTGCGGGCCGGTCGGGGTAGGTCTTGTCGAGATAAAGGGCAATCTCGAAGGTGTCGCCGATGATTTCTCCTGTTGCATGGTCGTGTATCATTGGCAAAGTGTTGTATGGTTTGCCGTTTGGTAGGGTGCGGTTGGCGGGCACATTGAGTTTTTCCCGCACTGCATGGATATCCGGCATATCAACCCATTGTGTCTGGTATTGAAGACCTTTTCGATTGAGAGCGAATCGAGTCTTCCAAGGGTTTGGAGCGAAGGTTCGTAGCGGTTCCGCTGACTTGATGTCGTAGAACGTGATTCCTTTATCGGAGCTCATGTTTAGGTAGGTAATTGCAGAAAGGCGTAAGGACGACACTTTGTAGATCGCGGCGGATGATGTGTTGTTAAAGGGTATATGGAGCTTCAAGTTCTTTCTGTGATCAGCCGTTGACGCCTCAAGTTGTGCACGAGAAGGGACGAAGGTGAAGGCTATTTATGTACCTTCAATATTTGCACAAACCCGCAGGATGACGGAACGCCAATGGTGTGGCGGAGCCGAAGAGCATCACGAAGACTCACATTTTGACTGCATTAGGGCCTGTGATTGAGCTGTAAGACTCACACCCGGGCCCACACCATACCGACTCTGCGGCTATGAACGCCATGGCATGATGATCGTCCTCAAGATTCGCGCACCACCACTACTTTACGAGATTGGCATGACAGACAGCCATCGCAGGAGAACAATGACCAGCCATCTTCGACTACCTAGGTACAGAGAGAAGACCAGAGAGAGCTCTCCATCGATCCAGACTTCCCCACGCATTGCAAGTCAAAGAGCTGTGGGTGCACGACCACACGAGCAGTGGGGATGGTCTATCATGGCGTGTAGAACAAATAAAAATATATACAGTCGATGTCCAATGATCGATCTATCAGGGGGTATCAAAAGCGACTTTACTTCCTCTTTGTGGCTTGTGAAGCGAATGTTCGTGAACGTCGACGCCGCGACTGACCCAAGCTATCAAAGAGTCCTCAAATCTTGCAACGCCAGGAAATGGTCACCGCTGGTTTCAGCGGAATCAAGTCCTCCCAAATTCCAAAACGCCATCATTAGGTTACTTCGTCAATTCTCGTGAGATGCGCATCCCTCTCCATAGCTCGCAGGAATGATCGCCGAGTCATCTCATTCGCTGTCTATGCTCATTAATCGGCTCTCCCACCATTCCTTACGTGCTGAAGGAGAAGGCGCACTGATCGGACTTTCTGCTTTGTCGCGCGTCGCCTGTAATCTCTTCTCCCAATCCGACCGCTCGAGGCGTAGACGGGCGTGAGCTTGGTCGACCTCCATGGCGCGTCGATCGCTGATGCCACTGAAGCCGTGTGACAAAGGCGAGCGGATAGTGCCGACGTCTGTCGCCGGCGAGACCGCGGATAGTTTACGACTGCCGGGACTGCTGAAATAATCGCGAACTCGTGGGTTCTTCTCCGTCTCATGCTGCGGCATTCCATTCTCGTCGTGCTCGCCACCGTGCGACGCGAGTTGACGGCTTCGGAAGCGAGCTTCATGCCACTGTGCGCCGAAGCTAAACTTCCAAAATACGAAAGAGCCCCAGAAGGAGCCGTCTGACCCTGGGATGTGGCGCCAGGGCTTCTCGCGCCAGCAGAAGACGGCGATGTCCACGAAGCCCATGGAGCATTGCGCGACGATATTCAGGATCCGGATGGCGTAAATGGGGTGCTGAGCGTAGTAGTCACTGTAGCTCATTGCATGCGCGACGAAGGGCATGACCCACATAAGCATGTAGACGACCGGGTAGATGAAAAGAAGGCGAAGCTGGCGAAGGATGGTCTGCCGCCTCCGCTGGACTGCCGTGTTAGCAGATTTTTCCGGCACGCCTACGGGAGGATGCGCAGACATCGGAAGACTCTGAGGCGTATCGTTTCCGAGTTTGGTGTTGATCGGCGGCAGTGCCGCCGAAGAATTTGAGGAGTGTTTCGAGGACCAAGATTCTTGGCTATCATCCAACTCGATCGGCGGCGGAATAAAATCCTCTGCAAGGACACTAGTCGAGGCCTGTCGACTGCTCCGTCGCGATGGTGGGATGCTGTGACTGAAGGGGGAGAAGCTCACAGATGTAGGCAGGCGGGTGGATTCCGGAAGAGCATTCACCTCTGTTGCGAAGTTTACAGCAGAGCCTCTCCTACTGGTGCGATTTGAATCGGTTGGGATGTACGCCATTTGTCCTGGAGCAATGGTAGGGCCATCGTGCGGCCCAATTCCTTCATCACAGTCCAAGTTTCGCTTTTCACCCCGAGGTTCGAACATGGTCGTGGAATACGCGCGCTGTGAAATCCCAGCCTTCGTCGTCGTGCTGTGTCCAGTTAGACCACCCGACGAACTCTCATCGTGCTCGGCACCAAAGATTTGAAATTCGAGTCCAACATGCGTGTAGATCCGGATGGCAACTCCCAGGGTGAATATCCAGATCAAGTACCGCGGGATCCAGGACAAGGCTAGACGGTACCAGAAAGGTCGGATGGGTAGCGTACAGAAGCCACCTTGAGACACGTAGGCGTCGTTCTCATTTATAAATGCCAATGAGGCAGAGATATTAGGAAGGATAAACCAGGCGCCCAGGACCCAGTGACGAACACGATAAAGGCCGTCGTACCCGAAGAGCGAATTATTCCGAGGCGGGAAGACCTGGAGGTAAGTATGCAAAGCTTGAAAGAAAATGGCCCAGTCGCAAGCCTCTATTCCAGTGAACAGCAGGTATCCAGCACCCGAGCAGAATACCGAGGCGTCTTCTGGCCGACCCAATGCTAATGTCACAGCGGCATTAATTCCGAACCAAATCGATTTCCACCTGGAGCCAATGTCAGTAGTTTGCAACAAGGTGTGCGCGCGACGCGTCTAAAATGACAGATCTGTTTGGTCTTACAAATTTCCAACAATGAGCAGAAGAATGAGATCACGCCGAAAATTCCTCCGCATGACCAAGAACCAGTAAACTCCACAAACAGAAGCAATTGTGCTGAGCGTCGAAAAGATAATGGCCAGAGTCTCTATCACTTGGGCCTGTTCGAGCGATACCAAAGCCGCAGCGTCGAATTCCGTCTGTGAATGCCCGAGTGTTGTTGCGGGTTCTCGTTGAAGCAGCGTCCGGCCGGACGCGACGAGAAGGTCGACATTGCGCGTGAAAGCCGACATGCTCGTCATATGAGACCAGCAATTGCTCCAGGAGCAGACGCAGGCAGGAATAAGGCTGCCAGCGCTCTTCCAGACATGTATCGCAATCTATAGAGACGGATGAGGGCGGATTCACGAATCGTAGTGCGGCGTCTGCCTCCGTCCCAGCGGGAAAATGTCAGCAGAGTTTAAGTGCCAGGCGGCAGGAGGTCGGGTCGCGCCTGCGACCACAGAGGTGTGAACGACTCCTGGGCGCGTGCTGTACAGTGAGAGGTGCCAAGTGAAGTTGGGTTGCGTGGTGTGAGATGTAGTAGACGCCAGAGGTGAATGGAGAGGAATGACGATGACAGAAGGAGGAGTATAGTCCAGTAGGTATGTGTAGAGTAGTGGCGTAGTGGTTCGTGAGAAGCTGTCGCTAAGATGAGAGGTACACCCGCGCGACGACGCTCACTTCTCAACAGGCCAAGGGCGAAGGTGATGGTCGGTGCGCGGGAGAGTGGAGCGAGAGAAGACGGGGGGAGACAAAGAGGACAAGCAACGCAAGCGGCCCTGGAGGGACGGACTGTGGGACTGACCTTTTCCCACCAAACGAGCCCTGATGGTTAAATCCCAGCGTGGAGGATGATCGTCAGCGTAGCGTTGCGCTAATTGCGCCACTCGGCGTTGTGCGATTAATGAAGGGTGATGGATGACGAGGATGTCGTCGCGTATCAGTCTTTGTCGTCTGATGAGATGTAAATCATGAGCACAAGGCAGGATGCCCAGGTGAATAGCGAGCGTGTGGTTGTGCGATCGGGGAGGGAGAACAATGCTGGTGCGAGGTCAAGCTCAAGGTCAGCGGGAAGACAAAGACGAGGACGTCGAGGGAAGAATTTCCCTCTCACGATGCACCGACCACACATGCACTATCCAGTAGTCATGCAGTGTGCTCAATTGATGATTGTCGCTGATGAGTCCTCACCACTTGGGCCAGGCGGCACAGAGAAACAAAAGAGAGTCTCGCGTGGAAGACCCACTAATAATGAAGTGTTGTTACACTCTTAGGCTTTGTAACCTGGACAGGTGAACAGCATCCGGACTCGTCTTTCATTAGACTTCCAAGGCAGACCCTGGCTGACCGACGCGCTCGGTACTCTGCTGTTTTGGACCTGCCTGGACTGTTTGCAAAACCCGTCAACCTCCTCCTTTATCACTATCACCATTGATGATGCGTGTTCGATGGGACTGCCATATCGCCGCCCACTGATTCCGCCTTCGAGAAGAGCACGTTAATGCGTTTGCCCGCTGGAAATAACGTGCTTCTCCTTTGTCAAAACCCACAGTTCCATGGGAGTAGAGTTTGGCCAGACCGACCCGACCAGTGAGCGACTCAGGCGCCTGCATAATCTCACCCATGGACCCCAATCCCGGCAGAAGTTGCACCACTCTGCCTCGCGCGAGCAATGGCAGACATGCCCCAGAGCCATGGTAGCTCGTCCTTGATGAGATGCGATCTGATTGCCAACACGACGATAACGGAACTGCTCGTCGCACAACTTGAAGGGCCTCACGGCGCAATATACGAAACATGACAATCCTGCGGATGTGCGTTCTCGTGACCCGGCCCAGAGGTCGGATCTCGGATGCGCACATGATCCTCATGCAGCTCTGTTCTTTTCCCACAAGGATTTCAGTGGGCCGCACAGGTACGCTGCAGCTGGATCGCCCTTCGCTTGAAGGTCCAATCGGGAAGTTTTGTCCATCCAACTGCTGGCTCTCCTGGTAGTAGTAAGACATTGCGACAATTGCCAGGTCGCCATTATAGAACACGTGCAGGCCTACAATGATCAAGCAGGGCTGTGTCTCGCACCTCGCTGGAGTCCAGGCCACGATGTACTGCTGTGCTGTGCTGTGCTGGATGATGGTGATGGTGGTGGAGGTGGTGGTGGGAAAAGAAGCGGTACGACGGCGGCAGGCTGGCGAGTGGGCTGGGGCTTGACCGGAATGGGAGAAGCCGTTGAGTTTCGCTCATGCGGCAGCGTACTCCGTGTCCGCTCATCATGGCTCATGCGAGCTCACCCGCACCGGATCTTTGGAACTCCTTTGACCTCGCACGCCTGCCCTCAGCCCGAGGTCTCACGATTCCAATTTCTCACCAGTGTGTGTTCATGGTACAGACACTCTACACACAACGATTCCCATTCCACGGTCGCCGCAGAAGCTCACCACATCATTTCTAACAGGGACGTCGTCATTTGTCCTTCTATATTTCCTTTCCCCCGTGAATATACATGTACTCGGTGGCGTGCAAGCCCGTGAAGATGACTTCACTGCGACGCGAAAAGCGGACAGCTCCCGACCATCCGATCTCAAAGCTGGGCAAATCGGGCCGCAAACGCCTTCCTATCCGCTTTGTATGCGCGCCCCGCTTCATTGACGTGTTCCTCCACTTCCTCAACAGCTGCAACGCCGTTCCAGCTACCCGGGCAGTCTTTCATCTATTCCTCCTCTTTTGGCTGTGGCAATAGCAAGCCATAACCAGGCTTTGCACGAGCGGCAAGCCATAGCCGGTCTCCAAGGTGACATTGGCATGGACACGTTATGCTCGTCTTCTGGGACATGCTGGCGTGACTGCGGCTGTGGTGACAAACAGAGCCCGTCGCTCAACGTAGGAATCTTTGCTACTAGACATGTATGCGAACCTCGCCCGGGTGTCACATCTCGATGAATTAACCGACGCAAGTTTGGATTAAGAAACGACCAGCGTGCACAATCGTAGTGGTCAGGTATGCAGGTGGTGAAACCTTCGGTGTCCAAGCATTGCCCAGGTGTCTGCCCGCTTTTCCAAGACACGTCGAGGCCGGTGCTTGTGTGGCTCATCTCCACGGCTTTTTCAATCATGATAAGCGAAATTCTTCAACCTCACCATCAACACAAAGTTTGGTGGAAACGTTAGACATCTGCACATCGTCATCGTGCAAACGGGGCCTGATGCTCATCCGTCTGTGAGAGGGGATGTCTCATCAAATCCGGGGGGCTCATAAATGCGTATTTCTAGCAACGGAGATTCACAGTTCGATAGTAGTGTGAGGAGACAATCGATTGCTAGCTTGTGACATTGTATCAAAACATCCGATATTCTTTTGGGCATTTCGTCGTAATATCTCATCCGGTCGGTTTTAATTTTACATCATAATTCTCCGCGGGTCACTCTGCTCGTATCATTGACAGGCATGGTGCCAAAGGTAACCACCGAGGACTTGTTCCCATATGCTTAAATGAAATCACCATCCCCAAATCCTCCGAACGGATTTGGCGGGCGTCCTCCCATGCCCGCTCCGCGAGGGTGTCCGCCAAGGCCAGGTCCTACGGGGTCGTAACGACTGCCCGGCGGAGCGCGTGGATCATATTGTCCACCTCCACGTCCGCCTTGTTGTCCTGCGAATAACGGGTCATCGAACGTCGGATGCATGCCACCCCCGCCGCCAAAGGGACCACCATTGAATCCCGGTCCGACTCCGCCGCGAATGGGGTCATTTGGACCGAGACCTTGAGGATAAAGGTCCCGCTCACCGAGACGACCGAAACCACCAGGTCCGCCGCCAGGCATGCCGCGACCTGGGCGCTGGATTTCAAACTCGTCCTCGAAGCCCGGAATGGGTTCTGGGAGAGGTCGCCCTCTACCTGGACGGGGCATGGCAAGTGGGTCGTGGAGAGGATGTGGTCGTGCCGGTGGATCATGCGGATCACGCAAAGGATTGTATCTGGCAGGATTGTATTCTTCCCTGCGAGGTTCTCGTGCTGTAGCGGGTGGGTTCGTCGTCGCTGTGGTCCCAGATGACTCTTCGTAGCCTTCCTTTTGTATTGATGGGAGGAGTTTCTGAAATATGTTCAGGCGCATCAAGGTTGCAAAGTCCGAGAGGCGACCGATGCTGATAAATATGTCGATGACCTTCTTCTCGGTTTCCTCGTTGGAAGTCTCGGTATTCGAGGTGCTCGTATTCGAGATTGACAAAGGCAGGCTACTCTCCGAAATATAATCTTGAGTTTTGACGTCGAAGGAATAAGTCTTGTCGTCGCCCATGCCCATGCCCATGATGACAACCTTGTTGCCCATGCGGTTGACTTTCAGCAAGAACTCCATACTGCTTTGGCCATGCTTGTATCGGAAAGCATAGCTTCCACTGTGAGCGTTCCAATCGGTCGGTAGAGGCTTGGCTTGGCCAGTTTCAGACTCAACTTCGAGGCGATGATCTTCACCCAGACCGACAAGGCGCGATCCGATAGAAAGCATGCAGACATGTGCAGCCAAAGCCACGGCATCGTATGAATTCTTCAACGGTTCGGAGTTGCTCTCAGGAAACGAGGCGACCATGCGTCGCGAGAGGGCCTGACTCGACAGCGGATTGGTGTTCACCATGATCTCTGATGGTTTTCGACGGTAAATGTGAGTTGTTTGGTCCGTTCAAGTTGTGTGAAGTCAATTACCAAGTATTGTAGTGAATTGGTGATCAATCAGGGCATTACGTCAAGCCTGCCGCCTACGTGGGCACCTTGGCTGGTGGCGCTTTGAAGTACTCAATTACCTGATCGGGGCACCACGCGAGGGGCACAGGAAGTCCTCACAACAACAATTCATAACTTACCTTGGTAGTCTTCGGTGATCATTGTATCCCTGAGTAATAATTTAAATGTAGTAGTAGTAACTATATCATAAACGTATAGGCGTTAAATACATATTCACGTCTCATGATCCTGACTTCGTAGTCGACGTGGATATTGTTGATGCGCCTCCAGGGTCTCACTGCCACAAGAGGCAAGGTGAATGAATGAGCAACGCATAAATTAAATCATTATAGAACATCATTCCATTCCTTCAACTTCGCGCTTTGCAAGGGGCTGGTAACTATGTCGCCCTCCGTCACGGCCGTCCAGGATTGCTGACTTGGTCCGAGACGTGTTGTGTCTTCTGTGGACACAGAACTGATCGCTCGACGATTCTCATGAATCGCCTTTGATGCTGTGCACGATGCGACGAGGAACAATGGCCGAACAAAGCGGACCCCACAGCTATGTGGCCGATTCCGCAGTCACTGCTGCGTCCCTTCATGTCGCTCGCCTCATTGGAAGTCATGCTGCTGACACTTCCGCTCGAGCTCCAAGGCGGAAGGCACAAGAGATCTGAAACCCCTCGGGTACGCTATGACAGGTTGCAATTCAACGTGCTCCGGTCTCGAATTCACTCAGCGCACTTCGCATCCGTACCTGGCTTCCAGGACGATATGGAAAAGGCGATATGTCTGCGAAATAGGCATTACATCCTTCAGTCAAGATTGAAGACATTGCGCAGAGTGTTGGACGCAACCATCGAAGCACCAGGAGGTACGGTCCTTGCAATTGCGAATGCGCGGGCTTATCTTCTCTCAGAAATTCAATCATATCCGACGTGCAAGTCAAGGAAGAATGGCGCTCGGTATCCAACCGACTTATCGCGAATGGTCAGGATCCCTTGAATCTACCGCGATTTGCGGGACTCAGTCATGAACCTTGAGGATGAACGACTGTCATCTTGTGTCTGCTGACATCCGGAAGCCCCATCGGTCAATACATCGCGCGGCTAGAACATTGTGTAGTCAGCTGTTCAACATCGCCTGCTCAAGGAGAATTTTTAAGCTCGCAGCATACGCGGAGAAAAACGATGTTGTTTTTACGAACACTGCTGATGGGGAAGTATTCTGGTTTTAGAAACACATTGTTTGTGTATTTGAGAAATATAATTCTTGTTTATATCACAGTTTGCCTATATTGTCCCCAACATTCATCTTCTTCACTGATTTCGTAATGTCCTCGAGTACCGCATTTCGCGTCGTCTAGTTGCCGTCGGGGTAGACGTTGTTCTTGACCTGGCAACCGCCACCAGAGCTCCACAAGGCATTGGCTAGAAGGCGAAAAGCATCAGCAAGCGTTCAAAGACATACCATGCACTACCCTTGCAGCTCATCGGGAATTTGCCTCCGTATGACAGTGTACGTGCAGCCCAATAGGATAACTTACTGTTAGCGGAGTGGCTGTTGGAGCCATCACGGATGAGCTTGTGGCCGTTTCCGGAAGGCGAGTTGTTCTCGCAGTTGAGCTCGGCCTGGCCGCCGTTGCCGTTGCCGATCCAGATATCAATTTGAGCGTCCTAAATTCATGCCATTAGTCACGAAGCCCTGGATTGTCCTTCTGGGAGAGTTCGGCTTACGTCACAGCCGGCGCAGATGTCGGCCATCACGAGGTACTTCTGGAGGTAGGGGAACCAGGTGATCTCGCAAGGCTTGTGCAAGAAGGAGCCCTTCTTGGTGGCGTAGGTGAGAGGGTTACCGAACGATCCATCACCGGCTACCGTGTGTGTAAGCTTTTATGCCTTGGGCGGAACTCGAATAACGTTGCCGTCAAGACATCGGAAATGACTTACTGGCTTTGTTTCCGCGTCCAAGGCAGTTGTAAGCAACCTGGTTGCTTGGTGGGTCGTTGTCGGGGTCTGCGAGAATGATCAATGCCTGCCTCTTCCCATGGTCTCATGTCCTTCTCGTATGCTCATGACTTACATCCGTACCAGGTCTGCTTGCTCAAGGTCACGGCGTCGTAGGCAGAGACCTGAGTGGCAGCCGCCAGAACGGTGACTGCGACACCGGCAATGGTCGAGAAGGAAGGCATTTTTGGATGATGTAATGTGGAGGAAAGTTAAGATTGCTGGAGTTGCGGTGGTTGATAAGGAGAGCTGATGTATTTAGCGATTGTTGATGTGGTGCGAGCTGCCTTCTTATATAGTTTCTCACGGGCATGATCAGCTCCATACATGCCTTCTAAATTATCCTCCTCGGTTGCCGCCATCACAGTCACGGACCCAACCCTGCGTGATTTTCAAACTCAGACAAATAGTCTATACCAATGCCCCACCGGCGCTGAGCTCGGTCTGAAAGATGCGAGCTGATGATTGCTGCGCTTACGCTTCCCATCTCTAGGGCTGCCGGATAACAAACTTTTCATCGGTTAAAGCCATGCCCTTCTCCTCTTCTGACTAGAAGGCAGGAGCGGCCAGGATCCGGTCATGTGTTTCGTCAAGGAGCCGTAAGATCGTATTCAACAAAACATCTCCGGTAAAAGTATACAGAGGTGGTTGTCCATAGTACCCACATCAACACTATGCATTGGGACGCCCGAACCTCCTCCAGCGACTAATTCCTTACATCATCACTATCAGTTCTGTGGAGAGCAACGATCTGCGCTCAGGGCACTCTTGAACTATTACGAGCGGCGTATGATGGAAGGGTCCACTCGGCAAGACGAGCTGAGTGGGCATACATGGCGCCTCGATGCTCGTGCATAGAAGTTTGTGCATGCTCGATCTCAGCCGCAGAGCTCGCTCAGGCACGAGCTTTGGCGATTGGACACGCAGCAGCCGTGGAGATCCCAGGGACCAAGCTTCGAGAGATGCTTCATAGCGCAATGCTTGAATCCCTTTAGCTCCACGTCGGATTTGGTCGGAAAGTGTATTGCCATGTGAAGTCTTACCAGGACTGCGAATAACGCACCAGCTGAAGCAGCTGAAGTGGAAAGAGAGGTCGGAGCAGGATTCCCAGCCAATCAAATGCAGCTGGTCGGACTTTGAAGGGCTTGCCCTAGTGCTTTCTCTATCAATTCCGACCACGCATCTGGGATTAACCTCGCGCTAGATGAAGAGGCCAGGGTCTGAGACTACCACGACTACTTGAACTCTGTCTTCACCCGAGTCGTAAAGGATTCACCGTGCGTACCTGATGATACTTGCACTGCCTTGCTTATTAGCAGGAATAATGCTGGAATGGGTTGTACGGCCGACCGGAGGACCTCACTGTACTGAAATACAGCTGGTAGACGTGCCTATGCCGACTCGAGCCATCAACACACGTGAAGCCTCGTACGGTCTTTGCCTCATCTGGAGATTCTGTTATTTAATATTACGTCTCTAGTCGTAAAATGCGAATTCATCACAGACAAGAAGCAATGCTGCAGATCAAATGCTTAGTAAAATGCGGTGTGTCGTAAATCGTCCTAGCGATTTGGCCTGCGATAGCCTGCACAAGCGGCCTCTGCGCTTACTGGTACGACGCTTCACCCCTCAACTAAAAAGTCTCGTCTGTGCTCTAGGATTTAACAGATACCTGTGCAAGCCGACCCTGCATCCCGATCCGGTCATGAATTCCCTATGCCCTGGTGTACTGTCTCCCTTGGGCGCCTTAAATCTGACATGCATCATTCATCATTCATTGTCCATGATGGACAATTCCTTTCATGTTTGGGCTCAGATCGACATTCTCCACTCGCGCTGACAGGGAAACACCTCGGCGAGTCATGACACGCTGACCATTGGCGAAGGGCAGCGAGACCACATTCTCGTCGCAATGACCTGAATGGGCCGAAGTTGTCGCGGGGCATTACTTGATGCTGCTTCCGCGTGGCTTTGAGACAGACCGGCAGTTTTACAGGTATCGAGTGCTCGCCTGCCGATGAATTGCAGGAACGTCATGCGACTTGCATGGAGACAAGGCTCGGCGTCCCGTGACCGTTCGCCGGCCCACGATGCGTGCTGCTCCGAAGAAGTCGACAATCGCCCTTGAAGAAAATAATCAGAATTGGCAGACTCGGAGTTCAGCCTGAGTCCTTGTCCTGAGCAGCCACTTTCTGCGCTGCAGCAGCCACGACCTCATTTGTGATGATGCTCTTCCGTCTGGTGACTGCTGCTGCAGCGCTCTCGCTGAGAGGTCTCGTGATCCATTTCCCGGTGGTCACGTCGAAACCCAGCTCTGCTGCGACACCGGGGTCCATACCTTCATGAGAAGGAATTTCAGTATGATACGCCTGGACATCTCGAGTCATTGCCGGCTGATGTGACTTCGGTCGCGGTTTTTGCTGTGGGAGTGCCGTCGGAACCGGCGGGACCGGCGGCGGTGGTTGCTGGTGAACATAACCCGGCATCGAAAAAGAGTGATGGTTTGGTCTTCGCGGAACAACGAATTCGGTCACCACTGCTGGTTCAGGCACAGCAGGAGCTCCGTCCGAGATGTGCTCGCGAACGCCTGCATAAGGCAGCTCCGTGCCATCCTCGCCATAGGCAGGCTGTAACGACTCGAGCGGAAGTCCGCCCCAGCTGATGCGATGTTCGTGCTTGCCACTTCGGATACTCCCCGCCCAAGACGAACGTTTAGACATCGCGCCAATGGATACCGACGTTCCTCGTTGCGTATTCGCCGCAGACGATCGTCTTCTTCGACGGCCGCGAGATTCTGAACGATTGTTGAGTTCTGTTGTTGACGAATCTTGTCCGCCAAATTCGCTAGCGCCGGTACCGGATTCAGAGCCATCGGCACGACTATTGCGCTCATCGTGAGTGCCATTCTTCTCATAGCCTGGTTCTCCTGCAAAGACGAAGCCGTTCGCATACGAAAAAGGACCCTTTGAGCCGTCCGGCACAAAAAATCGTGTGTCAATGCGTAGTGCCAACCAGCCACACACAACGATTATTTCCAGAGTAAAGTTGAATATATAGAAGCTAGCCTTGGCAAAATAGTCCGGAGCCGGGATCCCTTGGGGTGTCGGCCTAGGATAAGCTGTGCCAGCACGATACCACGCTCCAATCGAGAGAATGACGGCAGATATCATCGATATGGCAACTTTTGCTCGCATACTACCACTGCCAAATTTATCCAGAGTGCACGTCATCTTGATTTTTGGATTAGCGCGTGCTGCCGAAGAGATTCCAACGATGAACAGTGGCAGTGTCGCCAAGATGGCGAAGCACGTCTGACCATATAGCTGAATGTCGCGAGCAGCTTGCTGAGGGCCGGGAGCATAGGTATAGAATTGCACAATCACGGCCGATATCAAACACAGTACAGTCGCAACTGTGATGAAAATGGCTATCGGTATAATCGCAGAAAACGGTCGCGACCAGCCGAAATGTGGATGTTGGGCACGAACAATGCGTTCGGCGAAGAATAAGTTGGCGATGAATAGAATAGGAATGCCGGCGTAGACAAAAATTCCGGCTGCCATTCCCAGAGAGATGTTCCGTGGTTGCTGGGCCCATGCGATGCGCAACGACGTAGCTATTATCCGTGTCATACAAAAGCCTGGCGAATCGTCAGCACGAGAGCCTCCTCCATCATTCCATCTGTTCAAAATTTAGATCCAAGGTGGGAGTGAGATGTATCCTACCAAATGTGGCTGCATTCAGAACGAATTTCCTCCCTCTCTTCTTATTGATCTGGAAAAGACCCATGTGGCCGGCAGCGGCAGCGATGAACAAGGCGAGAAAAATGGCGGAAACGGGAACATCTGGCAAGAGGGTAGGCACGCCGCCTAGTGCTTGGTTTTGTGGTGGATATGGAGGGCCTGGAGGGATCTATGGAAGAAGATTGTTAGCACTGTCAGGTTACAATTGGGTTATTCCAATACGTCGTCGCGGCTGTGATTGCCATTGGCGAGGAGGGAGGGCAGGGACCGATGTGACTGACAGAATCTTGTCCCGCTGAGTCGGCCATAACGGCAACCGCTGTGAACCGGTTTACCTAGGGATGCGAAAGCATATATGCGAAGATCTCGTGGTGCATTGGCGCAGTCAACGACAATGCACGCCCGTATTCCGAAGGAAAGCCAAAACTTGTGACAGTGTTTTTAGTCGAAGCTGATGAAGAAGTGAATGACGATGGAAGGAAAGGACGCTGACATGCGTGTTGAGCCACGTGCCAGCCGCAGACGCGATCAAGAACGAAAGTGCGATGTGTAGTCAATGGTGACGAAGAGAATGTATGTCGTGCGACAGGACAAATGGAGATTTGGTGAAGGTGGAGCTGCAGTACTATAATCATCATTATTATTATCATTATTACGCCAGCGCGGTGCGGTACGGTACAATTGCAATGGACGAATGCAAATTAGATGCCCTTCTCCGCATTTCGACGGATAGCACGTCCTCCTGCCCTGCGTCTACAATACATCACCGTACATATAGCACAGCTGGGAAAATTGGGAGACTTGCTCCGACGATGCTCCGCAAGGGGTTCCCGACAGAGGGGTCAATGCTCGCCCAGCCAATCTGCCGTGCCCACCCACGGCAGCGGGATCATTCGAGAAATCGATAGTCTCTCAGCATTAGGCTGGACCTAAGTCCGAAGATGGCATTCACGAGGCATATAGCGCATCGTCGTTTTCTGCACTGGCCTCGTCTCATTTCTGAGCACGAAGACCACAGGACTACTGTATGACAAACTCGTGGCTTCATGAACACATGCTGTCCGGTATCCAGATCTCGAACCCTCTCTCCGCGGCCGCGATAGAGCGAGCGACCGTTGTGCCAGAGAAGTCTGCTTTCCGCGCATTTGGCTGGTCATATGTTCAGTGTCGTCACCTCGCTTAAAACCTCAACGGTTGAGTGGGATGGACAGTACTGTACGGATCACATCTAGAATGATCCAATTCCATCAGGACCCGTATCGTGAGCGACAGTTGTCATGCTTCCCAAAGCAAGCATCATGTCCGTCATAGATCACATGACATCTCCGATGACTTCGCAATGTTCGAACACCCGGGTGGCATGCTGACGACACGATACGAACTCTGGCTCTGTCGCGGCTTCCATTGCTGAAGACTGTGGTGCCGTGCGTCGTGACACCGGCCAGACGTAACTCGAATCTGAACACAAGCAGGGATAAGCAGCCCGGGACTCGCTGCTTGATATCCTCGCACTATGTTCCACCGCTGTCATCTCATAGCACAAGGCATGTGGGCGCCCAGATGGGTTCATCTCGTCCCGACCGGATCCCCAAGATCAGGTTCTGCAGATATCCGAATGAGTCCATGAGAACGCCTCGACCAGCAATCGTGTCTGACCGATATCCGGGGTATTACAGCATGAAGCAGCAGCATCCATTCGCTCTCGTGTTCTGGCGTCCTCGCGCAATGGTTTCACACGTCGGCCACGATACTGGTGAACCCATTGTAAAGTGACACCGAAGAATCGCTGTACAAACCTGTGGTGTCCGAAATCTATCCACGTGACGATGATATTCAAGAAGTTAATAAGTAGATTGGATCTTCTCAAGGTCGTTAATCTCAGTTGTGTCGATTAAGTTTTCGCACGACTTATCAGAAAACCTAAAATTTATACGTCAACTGGATTGATGGAGAGACTCCTTGCCAAGGGTTGCCAGGTATTATAAGTCTGAAAAGGTTAAATGATCAACTGTTCATGACATGGAGAAGCTTGAGATGCTGACCTGGCCGCGCCACGTCAATCGCACGTTCATCGGCGAGCATTGTTGGAGGTATTTCGAGCCTGTGATGCTGGTCAAGTTTTGAACTTCTTATCAAGTGAAAGGTAGATGAGACAAGATTACTCGTAGCTCCATATCTAAGCTCAATCGCCCTGCATATTCTATAAGCGGATCTACATGCATGCACGCCCTATGCAGGCCTCAAATATGCTCAGGATACCTAGTAGTTTGTATAAATTCCAAGTAATGCCTTGTTACCCAGATGTTTTACAGGAATCACGAACTCGACGATAGCCACAACGACAGTGATCAATTTCTGAATCATGCAAGAGCTCAATTGACACCATTCATCGACCTTCAAGGTTACGATCATCAGTGCATCGAGCTTGGAACGAATCTAGAAAATTTATCCATTTCAGAGACAGTATCACAATTTTCTAAATCATCAATCCAAGTGACCATCAACCCGCCGGCCGACACGAACCAAGACAACTGCTGCTTCTAAAGCATCATTCTTAATCATGACCTCGTCTTCATCCGATGACCTCCCACACCACACCTCGCCACACCTCCAACTACTCATCGCCACTCCTGCAGAGAACGCCGCGCAGACCGTCTCAAACAGCGTCGAATGGCGCGGCCCACTTACCCAAGAAGTCTACCTGCGCCGTGAAGCGCATCTAGCCACACAAGACTTAACACGAGACGGTAGGTTGACCGCATGGCTCCTCATCGATACTACAAGCGCATCCGGCAAGGGTGAAAACTCCATCCTTTCAGAAAAGGATGGTGAGAGGCGAAGAGGCCGCATCCTCTGTGGCTGCGAGACGATCCGCAAGAGGGCTCTGACGAAAGTCGATGATGGCTCGGTACGGGAGGTGGTCTGCTATGGCGTGGCGTCGGTATTTTGCAGTGAAGAGCTACGAGGGAGGGGCTATGCGGGTAGGATGATTGAGGAATTAGGGAAGCGTTTGGAGGGGAATTTGGATTTGCCGACGCTTCAAGAGAGTGGTGGGGATGACGGCGAACCAGTCAAATCGGCCGCATCGATCGAGACAGAGCGGCCACTGTTCAGCGTTCTATTCTCGGATATTGGACGGAAATTCTACGCCGCGAGAGGCTGGCGCGCGTATCCCTCAACGCACATCGCCCTCCCAGCAGCATCCGCGCCTGACGACAGCACTTCAAGCGCAGCTCCTTCCAATCTCCCACCTGTAAGGCTGCTCTCGACAGCCGATCTACCGTCGCTCTGCGCCAGAGACGAGGTTCTCATTCGCACCCGTCTAGCGCACACAAAGTCCCAAACACATCAAAACCCGGCCATCGCCATCATCCCGGATCACGCGACCATCGCCTGGCACCACGCGCGGGAGAATTTCTTCGCGCGGGAACTCGACGGCCGCGAGAGCCCCGAGTTCAAGGGTGGCCTGGTGCACTTACAAACACCGAATGCTTCGCCGCAGGGTACGACAGGCGATAGTTTCGGCGGCGGCGGCAAGATCTGGTGTTACTGGAACCGCGTGTGGACGGAGCATAATGACGACAAGGACCCCAATACCCTGTATATTCTGCGCTTGACAGCGGACGATGAGAAGGTCATGAATAAAGTCCTGGTCGAAGAAGAAGGCGACGCAGCTGATGACGTCGTCGTCGAGGCAGTGGCCGCGCTTCTCCACGCCGCACGGGTGCAAGCGCGAGAATGGGGGATGAAAAAGGTGTGCATGTGGAGTCCCAGTGGTGTTTCTGTCGCTGCAGCGCGACGGCTCATGTTGCAGGAGAGCGGCCAGGACGCGGCGGACGCAATAAGGATCATCACCCGGGAGAACGACAGTATTACGAGCTTGAGATGGTTTGGAGAGGGCGGGGCGGAACGCGAGGTGGAGTGGTGGTGCAATGAGAAATTCCAGTGGTGTTGACATCATCGCATGAGGCTATATAGAGGGACGAACGGTCGATAGAATATAAAAGAGACTATGGTGGATGCTACTGAGAATCTGCAACAAATTTTCGTTGGGTATCTTTTTGAAAAGGGAAGAAAGAGGCTGCAATGAGATGCCCTTGAGCTTTACTCACAGCGCATGTTTTCAGACGTCGGAAAGCCTTGCGGTAGCAGAGAAGGGAAACGTTGCAAGGTACAAAGAACGACGACCTACCCAACATTCAAGTGGTGTTCTATTCGCGTACGGAGGGTTGTGCTATGGTCATCGCTCCGCCTCTCCATCTACGCTTTCTTCGTCTGTATGCTCTTCTGTAAGTGTGCGGCGGTCTGTGGGCGGACTGGGCGAGAACAATGCATCTGTGCTTGGATGACGGCGTAACTTCTTCATCGCCAGCGCGCGCCGAATCTCGACTTGTGCGAGCTTCCGTCGCAATTGTACAGCGTGGCGGATGAGCGCCGCAATTTTGTCCGGAGAAGGTCCAGGCGGTGGAGATCCTAGGGGTCTTGATGGAACGGAACCTCCGGTGACAATGCCGTTTGATTCTTCGGCGGTAGCATCGGCGTCAGTGGAGTTGAGCTCTTCATTAGAATCGTTTTCTGGGCCGTCGTCGTCCACGAGTCGGCATTGGGAGGATATGTAGGCATAGTAATCGGATGCGGTCTGACACTGGCAAAGACGTTTGGTGTGCATGGATAATAACGCCAGTGCTATATGGAACAATCCGGAGCCTCTCAGATCGGACAGGCACAACCAGATGTCCCACACCCGCAGCAACGCCTCTGCAGGGAGCACTGCAGTGAATGCGGTCAGGAACCAATTCAATGGCACAGTCTGTTCAGGAGGGATGTCCAAAAATGCTAGATGATCACTTAGTTTGGGCAAGAGATCGCGGATGTAGGCCCGAAGCACAACGTTGTCAACTAGTGGACCACTCAGCCCAGCATCCCTGGCGAAATAGTCTGTCGGGAAGAAATCATCGATGATTGTGCATAGAAGCCAGAACGCATCCGACTCTTCAGGAATGGCTAGAAGGATATATCCGGCGATCATGTTTAGCCCTTGGGTATATCCTAATCCTGGATACTTGTGGCAGAAAGCAACGAGGACGCGTTTCAGCCGATCGTGGCCGCGCTCAGCATAGAAGTCGTACTTCGAGGTGAGTGTGCGAGGTACGTCCTTCAGAATCGCATCCATCTCGTCAGCACTATTTGATGTCTTAAACGAAGAGGCCTCGTTCAGAAGGGTCTGATAGGCGTCCGGGCGGATGATCGTGGTCGCATGACTGAGCTCCATCCAGATTGGATGGCGGAGTCGCATTGGTATTCCTCCGACCACAAGTCGCATGAGATGCTCCAGTTTTTGCCGGCCAGCGGAGCCTTCGGTACCAAAGCGAGATGCACCAATCAGTTCGCCGGTATCTGTAGCGTTGTGGTCGTCATCATTATCCTTCGAATTGGAGTTTGGACGCTGCTCTCGATGCTTGGCAAGGCGTAAAAGAAATTTGTTCCACTCGACTTCTTGGGGATCTATGGGCTCTTTGCCAGAAGTGACGAGTGTAGGTGGGAGCTGATCACGATCATGACGTGTGCTCATCTCGACGGGCTCTCGAGGTGGTCGCGAGGCAGAGTATCGTTTGATGGTGCCGTTAGGCCCCTTGGACGTGGCTACGGTGGCACTTTTTGGTCCTCCACCTCCACTTCCGAACAGGGCTGCAGCCCAATTGCCGCCACTGTCATTGGAAGCAATGCTTCGAACATCGAGTGATGCTGGCCGAGCGCGAATGGTCGCCACACGTGAGGCCGATCGCGAAGACGCCGGGCTTGGACCTGTAGGCGATAGTTGCGTCGAACCACGACGTTTACCTGTGCCACCGAACAACTTGGTGAAACCACGAATCGTTGCATAGTTTTGTGACGATGAAGCAGCATCGGAGAGCACGGGGCTGCTACTACGTCCAGACGCTACGGATGGGGCTGTGATAGGAGCAGAAGATCCATCCTCCTCGGATGCTGCAGCTAAGGATAATTGGCGAAGTTGGGCTTGCGAAGCGTGTTTGGTTGCATCAGCGATCCGAGATGCGGGAATGTTGTGCTCTTCGGCTAGGCGGGTCAGGGCAGTGACATGGGCATCGCGCTCAGCTAGTAAGCCCGAGAGTCGACGAATCAGATCGACAGCACCCCGTTGGTGAATGATACGGTGGATGACATCGGCAGGTGCGTTAGCCAGGGTTTGAGGGTTTCCGATTGAGGAGGCATCTTGTTCGTCGAACATAGACGGACCAGTGCCATCGAGCAGACCATTGAGCGGCTCATATGATGGCGCCGCGACCGCAGCCGCCGTCGGTTCAAGTTCAGGCGAGTTCGAGCTAAGATCCGGGAATGAGGTCAAGGACGTGGTATCATCGGCCTGCAGGAGTGGCGTGCGACTGCCCTGCCGGCTCAAATCACTCGCCATGAAATCTTGATAGTCGGTGCGTGTTGCATTATGAGCAGTGCTTGTCAGAACAGAAAGCTGTAAAGTACGGCAGTGGTCTAGGGTATAATCTTTTAGTTGATTTTCTCAAGTTTCGCTGCGTGTATGTTCGTGGTCGTGACGCCGGAGGATATCGTGAAAAGACTACAATGCTCCGATGAGGTGTATATACCCTAGACAAGCCCTGCTGGAGACTTGTGCGGTCACACGTATATGCAAGTCATCAATCAATCAAGCGGGATGCTTCCTCCTCCTCCACGCGCCTTGGTGCAAACTCCGCGGGCGGGAACCGTTGGACAGGGACTTTCCTCACTCTCCCAATTTGTTCCTGAATTCTCCCTTATCCACGCTCTAATGCAGCACCACCTCTGCGCCGCCATTGTATCCGTTGCGGTTTACCTACGTGTACAGGAACAGTTTTCGTCACGCCGAGATACCGCGAAAAATAAAACGTGGATGTTCTATTGAATTTGTAAATTTTGAGGGCAGTTATCGTGTATAGTTATAGTAACGAATTGCCTCTCTATACCTCTATCGTACTACTTACTATGTTCGTAAAGGTTCTAAAGTGTACGAGGGCAGCATATGTAGAAGATAACGTCATGCTGTAGATCTTCACATATAGCAATTTGCGCATCAGCCCCGTTGCGAACCTCCCTGAGTGAACACCGAGTACACCCAGATTACACATATTGTAGCTGGAACAATTTCACGAGCAGCTGCCATATGATGAACTTCAAATAAAGTATCGAAAACATTGCCAACGTTGTCCCCGCGCACGCAAGATATTTATCTACGTGAAGCGCGATTTGCTCGCCGGGCCGCCTTTGTCGAGAGCTACTTCATCGTTACCACCGCCTGTCCCTCCATCAAATGCTCTGATCATCAACTCCAACAATGCCAGCCAATTTTCATCTAGACCTTGTCGCGTTCGCGCAGGACCATTTACCAGAGATCACTGGAACGGTCGGTCTCGTCAGCTACGCCTTACTCCGGAACAAATTGACACCCGCGGGTATATTTGCGGGCATCTTGGTGGCCGGAATCCACACATTGCATCCATGGCGGGCGTTCTTCTGGCTTTTGATTGTCTTCTTCTTGGTTGGGACACTTGTCACTCGGGTATGTCCATGCTCTTGCCTCATCGGCGTTCTGATACTATCGAAAGATGGGTTTTCAATTGCTCGCTCATCGCTGACACGTGGTCTCTGCCGTTCTAGATCGGCCACAAAGCAAAAGTTCATCTCACGCAATCCGCTACCGGTGGCTCGGGCGGTGAAGGTCCTCGTAGTTCCGCCCAGGTTTTCGCCAACTCTGGTACCGCATGCATCTTGATTGCTCTACACAGCTATTTGCTCCATGGCAGTTCGAAGCCCTTCATCTCCTCCTTTCTCCCTCTTGCAGCCGGACCCTCCTTTCCGATCCTTCAGGGCCTCCTGCCGATCGGCATCATTGCTCAGTATGCGGCGGTCGCCGCCGATACCTTTAGCTCGGAGCTCGGCATTCTTGCGCGGACGACTCCATTCCTGATCACTGCGCCCTGGAGACGAGTTCCGCGAGGGACCAATGGCGGCGTAACGCTCGAAGGTCTGTTGTACGGCTTGGTGGGGAGTGTCCTCCTCGTTGGTGTCGCACAGTTGGCTCTATCTCTCTCACCATATGCGACCGCCGCCAAAGCGACATTGTCGCCGTCTACTATCTGGCTATTATCATTGGCGGGACTGGCAGGTAGTGTCATTGACTCGGTGTTAGGAGCTTTGGTGCAAACGACAGTCACGGACCGGACGACTGGTAAGGTCGTCGAAGGCGCGGGCGGTACTCGGGTCAAGGTGGCCGAAGGAGGTAGTCGAGCCAAGTCAGGGCGTGATCTCTTAACTAACAATGGTGTCAACTTTGCTATGGCAGCCATCACGAGTGGATTGGCAATGGGAGTGGCTTATGCTCTCGGATTGCACGTCGGATTATGAGCGGAAAGATCATGTGTGACTCTCGCATGTGCCGCTCAGGCGAAGTCTCGACAAAGTTAATCTCGAGATGAAGCAAGGCACAAATTATCTTGTAATCGAGGATTTTGGCATGTAATGAGACTGATCTAGGATTATCGCAGGCGTAATGATACAACTACAATCATGTACAAATAACTCGCAATCTTGGGATCGGCTTTGCCGTGTGATGGAGCCTGGCGGCAGGATTGGAACAAGTGAAATCCGCACAGGCAAATGGAAAGCAGTTTCAGATCAAGTAGCTGCTAGCAACCATCATCACATGCCATCGGCGACCAATCCACCGGCTCTAGGCAGCATGCTCAGGTGTTAATAGAAAGCTCCCGTTCGATTTCTGCTTTCACTTGGCTCTCGTCACTTTACTGTTCATCGGATTCTCTTAGCCTTCATTGCTTCTATAAGTTCGACGTTGCGGTGCTCGACAATCTTCTTCTTCGACAATCCATCTTCGACCTTGACTACTCCAGCTTCATCATTCATCATTACCGGTATCCATCATCATCCACCATCAATAGCAGACATGACACCTGTCACGCCGTCCAAGACCATCTCGCTGAGCAAGAACGATGCCGCTCTCGCTACCGCTTTTGTCAAGAATATCTCTTCCACCACTGTAAGTGCTTACTTTCTGACGCCTCTCTTCAACCGCTGCGAATTCCGCTTCTCACTGAAGAACACGAACGCCAGGTCGACTGGACAGCTGTCGCTACTGCTGCGGGTCTCAGCACCGCCAAGTATGCCCGCGATCGATGGGCCATCGTCAAAGCCAAACTGATGAACTCTGACGTCTCAACCTTGAGCGAAGCTGATGCGAAGCTCTTCGTTGCGATCATCAGGGGTCTGAAGGTCAGCAGCATCTACTATCAGCACGGATCAGTTTACGGAAAATCTGACTTCCAGATTTAGGTTGTCGATTGGGCCACAGTCGCCAAAGATGCCGGCTTGAGCACGCCCAAATACGCCCGAGATCGCTGGGCGATCGTGATCAAGAAGCTCACTGGCGAGAAGCCCACCCCACGATCGAAGCTCACTGGCGGCAAGTCCACTCCACGATCGAAGCAGACCAAGTCGAGCCCCAAACGCGTCTTTGCTGGTCCTGACGATGTCAATGACACACCGATGGGTACACCTACCCCCAAGGAAAAGCCCAATCAGGGCAAGAAGCGCAAAGCAGGTATGTCTTGCGAATGACGGTCTTTCAGTCTAGTGTGTTACAGATCACTCACAAACCGACCAGAATCGGTGCTCGATGACTCGATGGATGTTGACCGTCTTGAGTCCATCTTCTCAAACGTGAAACAATAAGAGGAGCCGATTCCAGTAAATTATGATGGCGCTGACGTCAACGTGTTCCAAACTCCCACCAAATCGGCCTCTGCCTCGCGCAAGGGAAAAGGCAAAGCCATCTCCACCATCTCTTCGCCAACAAAGGCCAAGTCAGGACCATCGGTCCGCGAGCAAGCCACGCATCGTCTGCCCAACGAAGTTCTGGGCGAAGACGTCTTCTTCGGCTTCGATGACCACGAGGGCATTGAGCACACGTATTAGCAAGGTTCAAGAAGTATTCGAAGATGGAGGTAGCTTCCAAGGCCATCTGGTCTTGAATCTTTCGTGAGAGAGGCGTGATTTGAGATTTGAAATGATGCAGCATGGATGTAACGTGATGTTGACATGGTGTTCCACGATGCGGGCTATCACGGGGTCATTCCGACTTCGCCGTTGAAGAGCAGCGTCGTCGTCGCCATTGCCACATCCACACAGCACAGATTGTGGAAGAGGAAGAGAGAATGATCCATATGGCACTCATTGCGACTGGTTCGCAAATCATGACAGCCCCGGAACTTTTCCTGGCGAAACATCGCGAAAAAGCCCTGTGGGCAACCGAAAGACAACGAAAGCAAAAAAGTATTCAGCAACGACAAAACTCCCCGCCCTCAGAACAACGAAAGGAAGAAAAATCTTGTAATGATCTGAAAATGAAGAATGAACCAACGAACGCATCATGCATGATAAGGAAAAAAATTAAATTATGTCCCACAGAAGAGACGTCCTCTCCCCATTCTCTCCTTCTCGCTCATCGTCAATCATCATCAATGGCTTCGTCCCACACGTTGCGAACAATAGAAGGAAAGTGCGCCTCTACTGGATCTTCTTTTCCATGTACCCACCGGCCCCCTTTCAGGCAGAAGACCCAAGCCACATCCCCGTCAAACACCCGCCAGCCACTCGCCAGCTCGATCCACAAACAAAAGAAAGGAAAAACTCCCACATGCATGCCCCTCTCATTCGACTCGTCCTTCGTGATGAGTCAATCGACATTGAGCGAGTTGCAAAACCACACCGTTAGAATCCGCCGTGTGCCGCGAAAGAAGCCGTCCTCCAACCTTTTGCCCCCGCATCGATGCCCAATTTACTGAAAGGTTTTCCTTGTCGTAGCCCCACCGCCATTCGCACCGCGTCTGTAGGAGGAAAGGCCGATGCAACGGGAGGATTGTCTCCCGGTCAAATCGCAAATCTGCCCTTGGGGACCGGAGCCGGCCACCACAGAAGCGTTCACAGGCAGTGGCCGTTCTCTGCTTCCAAGTGAAGGCGTGGAGGAGAGATCGAATGGCGCGGGAGGCCGTGTCGACTTGAGCGTAGTGGTCGTGCCTCGGGAGATGTTTCGCTTTGATGCATCGTGCGAGAATGTGCGAGGGAACGCGTGATCACCCCTTCCCCGGAGAGATGGACGGGGCAGCAGATAGGCGAGAAAGGGAGCAATGCTGGGTGGGGAGGGGGAGGGGGCGCAGGAAAGTTTTGGACCTGAATTCATGAATTCCGACCTTCAAAGAAATTCCAGCAGTCACCGAAACGCCACTGCTGCTCCTGCCTCCCAAACACCGTCGTATATCCCACCCCACCCACAGCCAAAAACTTTCATAAAGAACCAGAGTTTTTCGACTGTTCCCGCCCAGTGTCCACTTGACAGCTTTTGTCCCCGGCGATCGAAACCCCAATAACACCGCTACTAAACGAAATCGGCCGAGTACGAGAAACCGCGGAATTCCTCCTGCATGGCCTGGCTCAGGACGCTCTGGACGGGCGTCAGAACCGGCGTGACACTCGTGAATTCGGAGTCGAAGTTGCTGGTATCGGTACGGCTCTTCAGGGTGGGGATGAAAGGGGCGGGCACGCGCTTGTGGTAGATGTCGTCCCAGTTGACGTTGCGGAAGAAGGCGTGGGACATGATCTCCTGGGCGTCGGTGGGGCCGGAGCCGAGGCGGGCTTCGGGTTCGCGGGTCAGGAGCTTCTGCAGGATGGAGACGCTGTCGCGGGGCATGTGGATCGGGTAGAGGGGCTCGTCGGCGAGGATGGCGTCGTAGATCTCGTCCTCGTCTTCGCCGCGGAAGGGCGATTGCTGCAGGAGCATCTGGTAGATCAGGACGCCGAAGGCCCACCAGTCGACGGCGCGGCCGTATTTCTTGTCCAGGAGGATCTCCGGCGCCATGAATTCGGGCGTGCCGCAGAAGGTGCTGGTCGTGCTACCGTACCACATGTCTTCCTTGCAGAGACCGTAGTCGGCGACTTTGATGTGGCCGTCGAGCGTCAGCATGATGTTGTCGAGTTTGAGATCGCGGTAGATGACGCCGTTTTCGTGGAAGTATTTGAGGGCGAGGCAAACTTCGGCGGCGTAGAATTGGGCGCGCTTGGTGCCGAAATGGCCGCGTTGAATGTGAAGCATGAGATCGCCTCCGCTGATGTATTCCATGACGAAGTATACTCGGGTTTCGGTTTGGAAACAGGCGTGCAGATTGAGGAGGAAAGGATGACGCTCCTTGTTGGCGATGAGGAAGACACGCTTCTCTGAGCGTGTGCTCTCTACTTCGTCATTCTCGATGATGAACTCCTTCTTGAGGACCTTGATAGCATATAGTTGTCGAGATTGCTTGGTTTCTGCCAGCATGACCTTACCGAAATTACCTTTACCGAGCACAGCCAGAAAGTTGAAGTGGTCCAACCCGATCCGGCGGCCAGGACCAGCGGTGTTGTGAGGTGGTGCAGGACGACGCTCCTCCACGACGGGGCCAGTGACAGTTATATTTGCAGCCGGGGCGAGTGGTTGCTGAGGTTGTTGCACTAAAGCTTGAGGTGGAGAGAGTGGTGCGGCCTGAGGCTGATACTGTTTGACTGGCGTAGGAGGTGGGATATTCTGTGGTTGCTGTAGTTGCTGTGGTTGCTGTGGTTGCGGGATGGCAGCCTGTTGATAAGGTGGAACGCCATAAGAGTTGACATTGGCGTACCGTGCAGGATCATATGGCGCTTGCTGTGCTTGTTGAGCGCGCTTGGTCTCGTTGCTGAGAGCCGCTTGCGCAGCCATCGCTGCTTCTGACATGGTGCGTCCGCCCTGTGGCCGCTGAGGGCTCTCAGGGGACGAGGGCGTACGACCACTTGACATCGAAGCTTTGGCAGCATCGACAGAAGAAGCCACTGTGGCGGGGCCTTGACCATAAGCCTGTGCGCGAGGGTCTTGTGGCTCGACCGGCTTGCCGTATGAGAAACGATCTTGCTTAGCAGCATCCTGTAGCACTTGATCTTGATGGTCGGGAGCAGGCGCGAAACTCGCAGTCTGCGATGGAGCAGGCGGTCGGAGGCCGGCTTGCTGTTGGCTCGGACGCAATGTCCGTCCTTCCAAGCGACCACCAGCCTTGCCACGAGCGGTAAGAATCTCATGCAAGAAAGAGTTGGCCTGCTCCATGCTGAGACCACAAAAGTCAGGGACGAAATGTATGCAGCTTGTGTGGCACGTCAGCTTGCACTCCGTACACTTCTGGGCCTGTTTGCGACCAAGCGGAAGAAGATAGCCGCAGTGGCAGCACCAATTGGCACTGATATTCGAGAAAGCATTGAACCGATGCGGCACGCGGTGATTGAGTTTGACTTCGTCTGGATCCGAGTCCGCATTCGACTTGCTGATACACTTGGTGACGACCTTGGGATAGCAGTTCTTGTGACAAGTATACTTGCAGTCGGTACATTGCATACCAGCTGTAACGTTGAGAAAGTCACCACAGAGCGCACAACGCATGATGTTGTAGAATGTCTGTGTGGCGAACTTGTGACCGTACTGCTCCACGACATCCTCCTTCTTCTGTCGAACGGCACCCTTACGGTTAAGACCGACATCGAATGGTCGTCGATCTTTTACTTGCTTGATGAAGGTCAGCGTCAGATGGATCTTGCCCACCGGTTCCAGTGAGAACCAAGTGTCGATGTAAATGGGACCTGTTTGGGGCGCCAGACCGGATCCGGGCGGGCCTCCAGCAGCAGCAGCTGTCGAAACCATCGGGTTGCCCCCCGCACCGGGCGGGGCTTGAAACTGCAAGTCAGGGCGCGCCTGTTGCCCGTCCATCTTGTCTGCTGTAATCCATCCGGCTTGGTTGAACTCGGTCTCGATACGTTTACGACGAATCTCGTCCACGAGATCGGCAAGCCGGATCCAGAGAAGACCAATCGGCACGGCATGATCGCTGCTGGTCTTGTCGTACACTGTAAACTCAATCTCATTGGCCTTGTCGACGTCAAACTCGTGTACCTCGTCCGTCCATCTCTCCGTCTTTGTCGCTTTTGTACGTCCCTTGAAGGCATCCTCAACCTTCATGATGACAAAAGTGTCCGGTCCTCGGCTGAAGCGCGATGATGATGCGTGGTCAACATCAGCAATGGCCTGTATGCGAATCGAGAGGTGACCAGTGAGTGGTTTCCGCTGGCTTGGTGTGTCAAGACTATCGTCATCCTGCGGGTCTGCTCCATTTTCGATATTGACATGCAGGTCCTCGTATCTCCGCAGCGCTTGCGTGAGAAGATGAATCTTCTGTCCACTTTCTTGCCTTCGCATCTCAGCCTCGGTTTTGCTTTTCCGATCGCCTTCCATGTGGTACAGCTTGACCATCTTTTCGATTCCATCTTTGTACTGCTTCTCCACCGACAGCTTGAATTCCAATTGTGAAAGCATGAGTTGGATACGAGGTCCCAGATGCGGCGTATCATATTTGATCAGATCTGAATCGAACCAGTCAGCAGATGTCCGTTGTTGAGAAGCCCGCTCACAACTCACCTAGTTTGCCATAATTTGGCCGTGCGGCCGGAGATCTATCTGAGGGTCCTGATGGTGCATATGGAGCCCTTGGAGGCATCAAGCCTGTTGCGCCTTGACTGTATCCACCCGGGCCAGGATTTCCATAGTCAGTTCCTCCGCCGCCGTGACCTAACTGATTATTGTGTCCTCCGCCAGACAAGCCATTGTCCGGCATGCCATGGTGGGGCGGTGCAGAACCTCCGGAGAGTGAGAGGTTCTGCATGCCATCGCCCATTCGCCGCGCCTGGAGACTCTGCAGGGTTTGTTCAAAGTATTGCATATTTCGCTGTGCTTCGCGAATCTGCGACTCGAGCTTGGAGTTGACGGCGACATTGCTGGTGGCCTGCCGCATGCGATTGTAGCCCTGCAAGAGCGCTTTCTCCCTCTCGATCTTGCGATAGATGTCTTGAATGGCCGCATCGTCGTTCATGGTGACGGTGATGTGCCGGGACCGGCTGGAGAGGTTGAAGTGGGCTGAGGTCGCGATGCGGTTGAATTATGATGGTAATGGTGGAGGTAGTGGTGGGGCGCGTTCCACCCGAAACGTCGTCAGCGTTTGGCGGGCGTGAACTTCACAGACGGCGACTGAACTCGGCCGAGACAAGATGTGGTCGCGGGGAGAAAACAGGGACGGGGAGGTTTCGATTAATTAATAAAATGACCTGCGTATGTTATGCATTACGACGAGGCACAAAGTCGAGGAAAAAGCGAAGAATAATAACGGAGTGCTTATTAGATCAGCCGTGGTGGGCATCCGCGAGCAAGCGGCGCAGATTCTTCCAGACGGGGTGATGGATGAGCGTGAAGTACAGCAAAAAGTGTGTATGACTCGATATGATCCATGCCCAGGTGGATTGATGGGGTTGCCGCAAAGCTGGCGTGCTGCTGCTGCTCCTGGTGGGCATAACATGTCAAAGTGCGCGCGCCATTTACACACATCCGGGCACCCGTGGACATGCGTGTGCCGGTCTCGGGCGGCAACGGACGAGATGGGTCAGATCGAGGATGCAACTTTGCAGAGAATCTTCCGAACCATTCACTAAACGAAATCGGGGAGACCGGCGTCGATGAATCGGGCCCATCACACGCATTAGAATGGCATTGTTCAGCCTATCTTTCGTCCCATCATTATCGCGACACCATCCTCCTCAGTCGCGCTTGCGAATATCAACCCGGACCAATGATTCCTCTGGCGTTGACGCGATGAGCTTGGAAGGGATCACGAGACGGCATCAATCACCAATTCTCAATACCGATCGCCACCTCTGGTTCACAGCATGCCCAGCTGATCGTTTGAAGACCTTGTCATCAATACGACGAAGAGGCCAGTGTGCGTGCCGGAGACTAGTATCATCCCGAGGTCACTATGAATGATGCTGCGGGAGGGATTGTGTTCGACGTGGAGAACGGAAACCACCTGGGCAATGTGGGGAGATTTCGTCCCGTCTTTGCCATCGTCCCACATCGTCACACATGGATTATCGAACATGCAGGTGCCATACGTCGTCAATGTTCGTTCGCTGTATCCATGATTAGTGGCAGGACAGTCGCCTCTTCGGCGATCCCCTTCACGGAATTCTCCGAGCACCAAATCTGACCCTTCCGGATTCGTTCACAGCGTGGCTCAAGGTCCCTCGCATCGGAGTAAATTTATCTTCGAGGACGCGAATACGAGGACGTATGGAATTTACAAAGTTTCGCACCTCGATTGATCGACGGAAATCAACGCTATGGAACGCGTCAACGCGGACGTGACCGCGGCTGAGCCACAATGGCTAGGGTTATAGTGGAGTTCCCAGGCTGTTTGTGTGTGACGCCACGATCTTTCTCTCAGGAGTTGTCCAAGTTTTTTTAACGAATGTTCATCAGACTGATTATCATTGATGATAGGCGAAGTTGTGGCGAGCGCGCGATATTCTTTCGTCAGCGACTCAAAACATCAGTTAGTCTCCCGTCCGTCTAAAAGGTATTGCTGGATTTGTTTAAAGGGGTCGCACTTCACGTAAACAATTATATGACAATCCCGAACGAAGTTCAACCGAGTTGTTTCGATTGTCACTACATACTTACATACCAACCCGACGATCCCTCGGCCCTCCCACTAAAGCACCTTCCACGCCCAAGAGGGATCGAGGATTCCCACAACACCAACTCCACTCGACTGAGACCAACAACAGCAGATGATACGAGACTTCCGCTTCCTTTCCGATTCCGTTTTCTCCAAAGAAGAACAAAAAGTCGACTGTGCCCTGGGTACCCGCAACGCCCCCGATGTGAAAGAACGAGAAAAATCGCAATGGTAATGACAGCATGAAAAGGTGGGACATCCCTTAAACCCCTCTGCGAGTTCGAAGGGAACAGGAGTCTGGGATGTCCCTGTCTGGCTGTCTGGCTCGGGGACTCAGAGTCCATCGGAGCATCGGGTGGGATCCGATCCCGTCGAACGATATGCGCAGGATGAGACCTGTCCAGGGGGGAATTGAGGGATCGGGCTTCGGTGACGGAGGTGGGCATGATGATGATGACGGCGAGACGGCGAACAGGTCAGTGGTGATGGGCCCATATGGGCTGGTGAGGCGGCGCCAGAGAGAAAAAAAACAAGAGAATTATGCAGAGGCAAGGCCAAGAGTATGTGGAAGAACTGGAGGAGCCAAGAAAACGACAACGATGAAAGGAAAATGGGGTATTTTTATCTAGACAACACACAAGAAATGACAATTGAGAGGCCGATGATGGGTATGGAGTGAAAAAAGGGCAAGAAGAACTATGGCACAGAATTTGGGGGAGAGATGGACGGAGACGAGGTCGGAGACGGAGACGAATAGGGAGATGTGTATGCGGAATCTGATTGCTGGAGGTGCATTTTTTTCCATTCTGATTGATCGATCCCCTTTTGATAACGCCGGATGAAGGAACGAGAAGGTGCTGGGATGGGATGGGACGGGATTGGACGGGACAGGGAGGAATTGGGCCGGGAGATGCCTCTTTTTCTCTCTTTCTGTCTTGCTCCTTCTTCATCATCCTTCCACTCGAGATATCGTTCTCGACAAGTCCCTTGTTGTCGACGACCGGCTAGTCCGGTACTCGATAAGACAAGGAGGCGTGAAAATATTCGTCCGTTGAGGGTTCTGCTTCGCTACTGTTCGACAGTAGAGGTCGTTCGCCGGGTGGTCGGTTACATTAAAAGTGAAGAGGCAAATAAGGCAGGATGGCTGGAACAAGTCGCTGAGAGTTAAAGGAGAGACGCGGCTTGTGTCATCATGACCAAGGGAAGGCAGCCATGATGCTGGGGACCAGTGCACTGCAAGAGCCAAGTCAGCATTCGGCGCACGCGAAATTAAATCGAGCAGATGAACATCGATGACACGACAAGTAATAATGGGAAAGAAAGAAACATACCCCAAAGCCAAAACACCTGCAATACCCGTGAGCGCCCTTCTTCGGACTCTTTCTTTTCGCAGCTCGACCTCGACCACCTTGGCGCGCTTCGTAGTCTCGACGGGCGCAACCTCGTTTTCCTCAACGGTGATCTCATCTGCTTTCCGCTTGCCGCTCTGGCGGGGCGAAGTAGAGGTAGCATCGGTGGTGCTCCGGCTGAGGCGCTCGGCCTCGGCGACCATGTCGCGCGCCTTTTGTAGCATCTCATCCATATCGTTGGGCGGGCCAACAGCCAGGTCCGGGTGCGATGCGGGCACCGAGACGCGGACAGTGGTGGACTCTGTGATCTCGTCGGTAGTGGTGCCGTTGGTAACGGGGACGGTCGTCGTCTCGACCTCGACCTTGACGGCCTCGCTGTCCTCCTCCTCCTTGTGGACGCCGTTGGTGGTGACGGCGGTGTCATCGGCAGCAACTGAGGCGGTCTCATCGACGCTGTTCACAGTTCCGCGCGGTTTGCGAGCCTTGCGAGGGGTGGCCATCTTGCGCGCAGAGGCCTTGGACTTGGTGGTGGCGGTCGGCGACTCAGATCGGAGGCTGCGAGCGCCGCGCGTTGAGCGCTTGCCATCAGCCGATTTCTTCTCTGCTCCTCCGGGTGTTCGGCCGAGGCCATTGACGCTGTCCTCCATGTTGAAAGGTGGTGGTGATGTGATTTGTTTGCTCGCGTCGTTGTTGCCGTGCGCAATGTCTTCCGGGTCGAGCAGGGCAGCAATCCAAAGCTTGATGCCGTACTCATCGGCCAATTCGAGAGCTGTCACGAGTGAAAAGAATATGAGATTAGCGTCCGGAATGTGAAGATGACGCCATCAAAATGTGCCGCATGCCTACCTTTAGCTGGGCTGATCCAAACATTTCCAGCGACCTCTTCGCTTGAGGTCTCTTCCAACGATGTGATATACTCCTTCTCAGTCTTCTCCTCGTCGAGAGAAGCAAATGGGAAGGCGGCTTTGAACATGCCAGTGGCGCTGATGTAACCATCACGCGATCGTCGCTGCAGGGAAAAGAGACATGTCAGTTCGTGTGTCTTGGACGGATGCATGCGCGGTGCCTTGCAGTATGCCGACAATGCGCGCGAGCCAAAATGCAGAGGTTTGCGCGCGCATTTGAGTTCCCGAGATGAATCAACCACTCCGACCCGAGCTCATGTAGCGCACGCGACCTGATCACCCACTCACCATCAAAAAGTATGCCTCTGGGTATTTGCGGTTGGCGCCACGAAGGAAGATACCACTGCCGGAGAGATCTTTGGGGAGGGGCACACGGAGGTGAGCGTAGTCGAGCATGCCCAAGTTCTCTGGCTTGGTGGCATTGGAGGTGCCGACCTGACCGGGCTTCACTTTGAGCTCGGTCTGACCGAGACAGCGACGCTCAACGAGGACTTCATCTGTGGAGAGGAACGACGTAAGCGAGAGTCGGACTGGCGACGTGCAACCACGCGCAATGGATTGACGGTGTTGACAATTGCAATGCTGGAGGAACCGGGACAAGGTACGTACGAGGAGGCGCGCGGTCTTCCTCGAGCATAGGATTGCGCGACTCGGGCAGCGCTGGGCGTTGCTCCGCCATTGTGAAGAAGTGCAAAAAAGTCGAGGAATGCGCGTGAGGATTTCGAAATATCAATGGATGGTCGCGCGAGTCTTGAAGAGTGCAGGACAATTCAAGGAAATGGTGATGGATCGTCGCTGAGAGGCGATGATGCTGGTTGCGGAGAGAGATAAATTGATGCTGGGGTACGTGAAAATGACCGCGAATGCGACGAGACGGAAAGTCACCAAAAAGAGAAGAAAGCTGTGGAGAAGACAGACGGCAGCGCGGACATGGGGGAGTCTGTAGTACTGTCCTGGAGTAGCGCACGTTACGTGACGGACAGACAGCCCTGGGCGACGGTGGTGGTGGTGGTGATGATGATGGTGGTGGTGGACGGTGGGCATGGGCAATTTGCAGCACGGCAACGCCTATCGAGCAATGCAGGGCACTCGCACACACTCACTCGATCATTGTCACTGTCACTATGGCACAGTACACTACAGAACGGTGTGCAACTCATCTCGCCTCCTCCTCCTGACCGTTTCTTCCTTTTTGTTGTCTCTTTTCGGCCAGAGCAAAACCTCTCGTGCCCTCCTCTCTCCTCTCCTCTCCTTCTCTAGTGTGATGAGATGAGATGCGGCCGTTTGGGTGACGGCGGCCCGCTGGACACTTCCGAGCAATTTCTCACCAATCACACGCATTGCTCGGCAACCCTTCCGTGTCGGTAAGAAACGTGGAGCGCATGGGAGACTGGCAAGGAGAATGCAGGTGGATCCAGTTCCTGAAGCTAGACACTACCACAGTGCAGCACATACACACGTTATCTCTCTTCATGTATCGCGGCCCGAAGCATCAGTCCAGCCAACTCATCATCTCGACAGTTAAGAGGGGAAACTTCGCAAGCTGCTCCTGCAGATGCGATGCGTGGAGACTGCGGATCATGATTGTGCTGCCCAACAGGTGGAGTCAGAGCACAGCGGCATCGCTGAGTGTCGTGATCAATATTTCCCATTCATCACGACCACAGCACTAGCCCCGAATCGTGGTGGTGAAGCTGGACGCGGTCGCGTCTCTCATTTTTCACTCCCCACGCGACCTCGGAGGGCGCGCGAATCGAGATTGTCGCGAAGACAATCTCTGTGTGGAGACTCACGCGTAGACTTGACCATCAGGAGCAAGCATGTGACTGCACGTGCCTGAGATATTTCTGGCGTTCTCACGGGGACGACAAAGCAGTGTGTGCGGCAAGAGTCTCATATATGGTCATATTGAGCCTGCATTGCAACGTGAGAGCAATCGAGCTTCACTGTGGAAATCTTACCAACAAGGCTCCTGAAGTCATGGTTAGAGATGACGCCGGTACTACAGCATGTGAGATTGTTATGTGAAGACCAGGGCTATACAAGCTGTAATCGGCTTGTGCAGCACCGTCTGATTGACCACCACGCGACCATCGGACACTTCAACAATGGTATGAAGTCTCACGATCTGGTCCATCATGTTATTACACAGCGTACCGAACAGTAACAGAGCGCGAGGAGTGATGCCTGAGGTGAGGCGACAAAGCGAGGAACCTTGGAAGGTTGCGATTGTCTAGAAGCGTACAGCAGTGGAGCAGTTGGCGGTGAGCCTGCACGCAAGACGCAACTTTCAGGGTTCAAGGTGGGGCAAAACGACGACCGTGAAAATGAAGGAACAATGGAACACTGCAGTAGAGTCGCAATAGTCGCTATCTACTAGGTATGTGCAGGAAGACACTCCCTATCCACCTGGGCATCTATGTATTGCCGTCCCGATGCTTGAACATGAGCCGCCTCGTGATGGTGAAAATTGATAACAACGGAGCGCGATCTTCAGAGATTGCGGGCAAGAAGAGCCAGGAGTTTCGTAGATCTGTAGCACTCGCGGAGCTGCGAGATCTAGCACAATGTGTACAACTTTCCGGTGTGCTTCTGTGTACATGTGCAACAAACGTGGTTGCTTTGGCCATTGTCGTTCCCGTGCCCACCCACCTTCCCTCCTCCACTTCCACCATCTGCTTGACAACCGCGTACTACCTCTCTTAAGCGCCACTGATCAGCATAACTGCTTCCAATCCCAGTCATTTCCCATTCGAAAAGCGCCATCTCCATCCTTCTCGATAGCCATCCTCCTCGTTCGTCGCTGCTCACTGTACAGATCCATCTCTGCCACAAGAACTTGCACCGGCCGCTATTTCTTACAACTCTCGCTCCATCGTCACCATGTCTGCGCCACACCACGATGAGCACGACCTCGAGCCCGAGCAGACTGAGGGTTTCAAGGTCGGCGAGAGCAAGACCATTGACGAGTACCAGAAGCTAGGTATGTTGCGATGAACCATTTGTGTACCTCCTGCGAAGCAACAGAAGGAAAACCGACGATTCGGTCACCAATCCCTTCAACATCTAACCTACCGCTCCACCCTCGCAGACCAGAACGACGAGTCTCTCAACAAATGGAAAGCCTCACTCGGTCTGGGCTCCGGCACGTCCAACGCCGACCCATCAGACCCGCGCAAGGTCATCATCCTCTCTCTGGGCCTCGAGGTCGCCGGCCGCGAGGACATCATCATCGACCTGGTGCAGCCCGGCACGCTTGAGAAGCTGAACCAGCAGCCCTTCACCATCAAAGAGGGCGCGACATTCCGAATGAAGGCGCGATTCCGCGTCCAGCACCAAATTCTCAGTGGCTTGAAGTACGTCCAGGTCGTCAGCCGAATGGGATTGAAGAGCAAGATGCAAGAGATGATTGTGAGTGGCTGCTTCACTAGATCTGCCCACCGCCAGACGATGTGATGAAGCCTGAGATCGATCGTGGGATTTTGGAGTGCTAACGTATGTCCGCGAATGTGCGGCGCCACGATGACAGGGTTCTTACGGTCCCAATACTACCGACAAACCCGACTACGAGAAGAAGTGTAGGTACAACGCCGAAATCCCAAAGGAGAACGTTTCAATCGCAGATGTCTGACGAAATACTTCCAGTCGAGTCCGAGACCGCTCCCTCGGGCATGCTCGGCCGCGGGCACTACGAAGCCGTGTCCAAATTCATCGACGATGACAAAGTCACCCACCTGCAATTCAACTGGTCATTCGATATCAAGAAGGACTGGTAGAGGTCGAACGGATAGCACGATGGTCTCATTCAGAAGTGGCATGAAGAAGAGGGGGACGACGACGACGAGGCGAAGGAACACTCTTTGACGGTCTGGATGAGACACCCGTCATCAGGAGGAATACGAGATCATAAGAATATCGCTGAAATGGACGAGAAAAATGATGACGATGAAACGAAATCCAAACAACATCAAGCTCCAACAAAATGAACATGGAAACAAACCGATGACTGGGTCTCCAGCTTGAGAAGCAAATTTTCTCCCGACATGAATGGATCCGAGTGGAACGAAATCTACAGACCATATATAGATTGGGGGAAAGAAGCCAAAACAAAACCAAAATTTTAAGCCATTTGACCCAAACGAAAGAAACCCAAATCGTAAAGAATGAATAAAAAGAAACCCCGACTTGCGAACACCCTGACAATTTTCAATTCGTGATTTGCAGTTTATTTCTTTCATTCACAAAATCTACATCATGTAAACACCCTCGCTATCACGACACGAGGGATGTGCAGTATATCTCCAGCAAACATGGACCCATCTCATCACACCCCATATCTGTGCAACCGGGAGTGTTTCCGGGCAGTCCATGTCGACTCTCCACGGCATTTGACAGTCAGATGAGAACCTTGATCGATACATGTCAGGAATTCCCAAACTTCCTCTCCCTTTTTGTTGGCTGCTCTCTTCCGCCTCCTCTTCCCTTCAAATAGAGAGAGGAGGGGAAGGAGAAAGAAAGATGAAGAAGAGAGGGAAAAAAAGAAATCTAGCGACATTACCGTCGTCGTCGTCCGATCAAAAGTTGAACCCCCGAAATCTACCCAAACAATCTCTATTTCGGACGAATCGAAATCGCCCCTCATCGAGAAATGGGATCATCGATCGATCATGTGTGGAAGAAGGACCGGGAGAGCCTGGCCGGGATGCAGGAGGGAGAGGTCGTCGACGGCGACGGTTATGGCATGGGCATTGGCTCACGCAGAAGATATCATTCGAGAGAAAACGCGGCGATGCGGGCTGATTGGGGGATCATCTGGTGCCGGATGGGAGGGCTGGTTCGCGGGTGGGAAAGAGGTTGCGTAGGGGGTCGTCGCGAGGGGAATGGAATCCGGGCATAATCTGTTGTTGATGGTGTGATGGGACGGCGGAGGACCGGAGAGGGTTTCCTGTATTCTCGCGACGTTTTCTTTCACGTTTTCAATTCACACGTTGAGGTTGAGAAACACCGGAACCCCAGGTCGGCAGATGCTTGACCGACCCGTCGCTCAGTGAACAAGAGCAGGCGAACAGAGTGGAAGCTGATCTCATTGCAGACGAGTTGTCTTATTTCACCTCCATTGTGCTGCTGCAGTAAAGTGCCTTGGCTTTCCTTCGCTATCGTGATTGTAAAATAATTTCCCATACAGGCCCCGAGTTATCCTCTATTTCATCAATCAATCAATCCAGCCATCCGTCTCATGGAACGAGCGATTCCTCTAAGCCTTGTGCTTGGCGAGGGCGGCCTCGATGGCCTTGGGGTTGGCACCGACGATGGTCTCGACCTCAGCGCCGTCCTTGAAGAGGATAAAGGTGGGCATGGCGCGGATTCCGAGCTGCTTGGCGACTTCGGGGACCTCGTCAACGTCGACCTTGTAGAAGCGGACGTCCTTGTGGTCGGTCTCGGAGTACCTGGGAGAGTGTTGTGTTAGAAAGAGGAATTGCCGTTGTGACGTAGGTGATCCCTGCGAGCGTGGTGTTGGAGAGCATTGCGTTGAACGTCGGGTCGACTTTTGTCCCAAAGGGTTGTTTTGCGACTCTGCGAATTGTGACACATCTGATCGCACGCATTGCCCGATAGCCTCAATGCCCTCCTGCTCTCCGGCACCCTCATCTCCCAGCAATGTGAAATCACACCAGGGTAAAATTAGACTCACTCGACAAGCTTGGGTGCAATGACCTTGCAAGGACCGCACCACGTCGCGTAGGCGTCGACGATCATGAGGGAGCCATCGGCCTTGGCCTCGGCGAACTCGGCCTCGCTCTTGATGTTGTGGACAGTCATTCTGGCGGTAGATGTGGAGAAGAAATGTGGTGATCTGATGACGGGTCTGTTAATCGCTTGTCGTGATGCGCTGGTGAGGATTGATCTCCGCAGGGTGTTGAAGGTAGACATCTGGAAAAAGAGGGAAGAGATGGATTGAGAGGAGGGTGGGGTTTTATATATGTGCAAGTGCTATCGAGAATTGTAAATGTCGATCCTTTTGTGACGGAGTGGTGTAATGACGATGGGGCTGATGATTGATGGTGTAAGAGATCGGTAATCCATCTTCACGTAATCCCATCGTATCTTTCCGAAGCGCATCGTCGCGTTCCTGTTGCTGCGCGCCGGTGACTTTTCTCCCGTCTGATTACGCAAGCATGCGCTCACGCAATTCAATTTCCAAGGGTTCTCGCTTTGTTTTGCCCCAGCGATTGTTCTCTTTGGTGAGAGGGATGACAGAACCCCGCCATGCCCGCCCGCGTCTGCCTGGGTTGGACGGAATTGCGCGCCGGAGAGATACTCGCGTTGGCGATGATGGAGACCATTGGTGATCCTCGTGGAGCGCAGGGAATGAAGCAAGAAGTAACAGCGACGACTTACCTAGGTGGAAGGTGTTTGTAATAGTGTTAGGAGGGAGTAGTGATTAGACGAGAGAGATGGAAACAGGGCGAAGGAAGGGAGAGCTATATATTAAATATGTATGGGTCGTCAATTAATAATGCTATTGTCCCTGTTGTGCAATAATAAGCAGTGCCAACAGATACATACCTATCACATACAGTGGTAACCTGGAACACCCGTGGACTGGAACAATAATAACGACAAACAGCCCCGCGCAGAGGAGGTCGATGCAGGTGTCATTCCAAATCGATCGTCATCATCGTGCGATTGCGCCTTCCTTTCCCGACACTTTTTTTCCCTTCCTCGCGCCTTTCTCCGCCGCCCGGTTCCATTTTCATAAGGCGGGGCACGAGCGGCTTTCGCCCAGCACGCGCAGCAACGACGATGATGATGATATTGTTTGCGCTACAGGTCAGAATGCTGGAACTGCCCTGGTGTTCATTGTTTTGATGTACAACACAGTAAGACACGTCGGCAGGTTGCGTCAATCTCTAGTTCTGCGTCTTGTTGAATCGAGTCGCGGCCAGATCGCCGGCTCTGTGACTGTATGGACGGACGATACAGACAGAACCCGTCATGAACCCTCAGGGAGGATCGGTCTACTCAGCCGATGACGTGCTGCTGACTCGTGGATCTTGATCATGTCCAAAAAAGCCAATCTCCGATGAATTTGATTTGCAACAGGGACCGACGGACGGACGAGATTCCGCCCGTCTATCAAGATGACCATACAAAAATAATACAGTGCTGTCGGAAAGCAAAACGACTCTCCGTAGAAGAGGAAGAAGGGATATACGAAAAACTCAACTTCCCCCCCCTCCATTTCATACTTCAACCCTCCTTCAACTGAGCCCTCAACCCTACATTCTCCCTCTTCAACCTCATGCCCTCGCGCTTCAATGTCGCAACCTCCTCCTGACTCTCGCGGAGCAACCTCTTCAATTCATCAACCCCATCACCCCCGCGCACCGCCTTGAGGATCTTGCCCAGCTCGTCGTTGAAGCGGCCGTATAGCGCCTCGTTCTCGCCGTTGGCCTCGCGGTATAGCTCGTCGAGATGTTTGCATTTCGCCTCGGAGACACTGAGCGAGGAGGTCACGTCCGCTGCGATGCCCGAGAGGCGCGTCTCGACTGTGCTGGTGATCTGAGGGAGTTTGGCTTCGAGGGCGAGGACTCGTTGGGTCAGATCCATGCTGCGGGCTGGGTCGAGGCTGTTCGGGGTGGGAGCTGCGGCTTTGCTGGTACCACGGACAGACCCCATACGGCTGGGCGTGGCGCTGAGCTCCTCGCCGATGTTGTGTAGCTCGTCTTGAAGGGAGATTTGTGCAGCTGTGATTGCCTGCTGCTCGGCTTGGAGGCGTTCGCGTAGCTTTTGTGGTGATTGCATGCGCAGCTTGCGGGACGACGAAGCGAGTGGCGGTGGCATCGATGGCGGTGACATCTCACGCGGCCGTCCTGGGGACAAGACCACTGTTGATGGTAACGGACGGGTCTTATCGATCGAATGATGCTGCTGCTGCTGATGTTGTTGGGGCTGGGAATGCTGCGGAGACGCGCGTTTGATGATATTGCCCGCACCGGGTCGTTCTGCGAGACCACTTCGTTCGTCTATAGAAGTAACGCCCTTGACAGGTGAGGCAGGCTTACCCGAGCTTTGTCGTGTAGATATGATAACTTCGTCCACCCGGCCGTCTTTGCTTCTTGGTCGTAGACTGTTCGCACTTGCGGGTTTTGTCGCTCCTGGCGAGAGCTCCTTTCGGAAAGATGCAGGCAGCTGAGGACGCGGCATTCGCGAAGGCGTATTCATGCGTGTGCTTCCCATGCGCACAAGAGGCATCACAGGTGGTGGCGACATACGAAGTGATTTGGCTGGCGTACCAGTAGGCTGGCCCGCTGGCTGCTGCACATCAGTCGACGGAGACCGAGGCTCACGCTTCGGAGAATTCTCCTGAGGGAGCAGATCTGACAGCGAACTACGCCGCTTCTTGCGTGGAGGTCCTGTGGGGATGAAACTGGGATGCTCACCAATCGTAGACAGCCCCAGACTATGGCTTGAGTGACCTTCGCTGAACGTTATCGACTTGTTGCCGTCTTGTGAGGACGGACGAGAAGACAGAGCTCGACTCTCGCTGTCAACAGAAGCATGCCGAGCGTGTGAGCCACGCGAGATGCTGCTGCCAGGGCTTGCATCGCTTCGGCCACTTTTGCTCAGAGTGCGCCATACCGACGAGACCTTGGATTCGAGCTCCGATTTGCTGTTCTCGCGACCCAAAGATCCAAATCCGAACTTCTTTCGCAGAGAAGAATGGTTGCTGCTGAGCGAGGGAGAATTGGCGGTCCTGGTGCGCTTATGTTGGCCGAGTGTGTCATGCTCGTGAAGCTTCTGGATCTCCGCCAACGACTCGCCAAAATACGTCTCCGTGTCGTCGACGAAGCGGTCGATGAGCGCAATATAATCATGAGGTTCGCCATCAGTCACCAGAACCTCCGCAAATGCCACAGTTAGACTTCCACGATCCCCATCATTTCCAGTCCCGTCCAACAAGTCAGCCAACAGATTGATAATGTTCTTGAAAGCACGCTGATTCTGTGGCGGAAGTTCGCCGATGCTCGCCCGCATGTAAGCGTCAAAGTCCACAGGAAACATGGTTTCTGCCTTTTGTTGAAGGTTCTGCATAGTCGTGGTTGGCACGACCGCGCCGAATTGCTGTTTCCAAGCGATGTTGACAAACTTCTCAAATGCAGCAAAGAGCACATCGACAGATACCTGCGCAGCCAATGACATCGTCTGAGGATCCTCTAGCAGGCCATTGTACAACTCATTCACGGCGAGTTCGCCGGCGGTTGCGCGCATTTTGAGATTGCGACCAACTATGTTGCCCTTTCGAGCTTGCAGAGCAAGAATATAGGATGATAGCGTGTTCTCCAATTTTTGTGCAGGTGTCGAGGCAGTGATCTGTTCCACGCGTGCCGTTGATGAATGTTTCGAAGTAGGAAGATCACGGGACGTGGGTCGGGATTCACGACTGGGTGGTTTGGAAGCAGTAGATGAAGGCACACGAGGAAGCTGAGACGGCATTGCTAATACCGGGGCATCTCTCTTGAGCAATGTCGGTGCTTCGCTACCGGGTCCGACACTAGAGAGGAAATTGGAGATGAGCTTTCGTGGTGATCTTGAACGTGCGCGTTCGCGTGATGACGATTGAGCAGCCCTATCCTGCGGTGCAGCCTGATCCGAAGCTTGCAATTCGATGGAGCGTAGTATGGCAAGATTACGGTCGAGTAGGTACTCAGTCAGCTCTTCCTGGTCAATAGACAGACGTGAGGCCAGCAGAGCCGCAAGCTTTCGACGTATTGACGGCACAATGTCATCGATGTCGAGAAGCTCCTGGTTGAAGCTCCCATCAAGGGCATCCACAGTCATTCGCCAGACCCCTTCGCGCGTCAAAGAAAGGGCTATGACAGTACGGATGTCCTGTTGACCTGCGCGCGGCCGATCACTGTGCCGATCGATGTCTACGATCACGCGAGTGGCCGCATTGCCCTTCCTCGCTTTCATATGCTCTGCATTAGAGTTCTCGAATACGGCCCCGAACAAACCGAGAGTATCCGGCAGAACTTCAGTCGCACGAAATTCCCATTTTGCGCTCTCACGTTCAGGCTCGCTAAACCGTGGCTCTGTTTGTGCTTTGCTGAACTCCTCCACGAATCGAGGGGCTTTGCCTTCATATGTACCTTCGAGACGCAGGATCTCGCCCGTTGTCGTGAGGGGAGATTGCGATGCTGATCTGTTGTCGTCCACTATGGCATCGAAGGTGAGGAGTTGAAGGGCGCGGCCGTCAAGCAGTTCACTGCACTGCAGAGCAGCTGGTTCGATAATTCGCTGAAAGATAAAATCCTGCCCATCAGTGGTCCCAACCTTTGCAGCCGATACAGGTCCGCTGCCACTCTCCAACTCGGTGATCAATGCACGAGCAGACGTCGTTGACCCAGAGGATTTCTCCAAGATGACGAGAGCATCTGTGAAGAGCACTATGACCTTTGTGACCCCATCTACACTGTCGGCGCTGAAGGGCGGCATCAACTCGATACAGTCAACAGCTGTCACTAGTCTGCCTGTGATCAAAATGTCTGCTGGCCATCCTGTAGTTCGAGCAGCAAGGCGCTGAGAGATTGCTGCAGTACCGGAGCCCTCGACTTCAGCGCAAATATTTGTGATGATGTCGCGTGCCTTCAAAAGTGATTTGAGTGCCGGATGCCTAACAGGGAGTTGCTTGGAAATACTGTCAATGTAGAGATTGTACCGCGGAAGGCGCTGTACGGGTTCGATCAGTAGTGAAGTAAGGCGTTGTTCTCCAATCTGTTGGAAGGCAGTCGAGAGTTGGTCACTCGATCGAAGTACAGAGCGCAGGAGCTGAGAGGCTTTGGCGTGGGATTTCATGTACTCCTGATACGCGTCTGCTAATTTCGGGAATTGTTCACATAGGCATTTAGACAGTGCTCCCACACCTTGTGCATCGTCGTGTAAATCTTGATGAGATTGCGCAGATCGAGTTTGGTCGTCTGATGTACTCTGGATGTCCTTCATAGCGCTACTTTCTGTGGTCGCCAGCACTTCTCTGAGCTCAGCCAGGAGGGATTTGTTTAGATCGAGAATTTGATCGAGGCTCGACGGCAGTATCTGATCGAGTTGCGCTTTTTCCTGTGAAGAGGCTTCGAGTTGCAATTTGCTCGACATCTCCTGCATCTCACTCAGCCGAGCAACGTAGCTCTCCTCAGTTGTTACAAGCTCATCCATCTCTTTCCTGACAGTCTCCTTACTGATACGAAGGAAGGATGCACTTCTGCCAATTGCAGTGGCTTTTGATGGCGCACGCTTTAATTTCGATGTCGGGAGAAAGGCTGGCGCACCTAAAGAAGCGACAAGTTCCGCATAACGTCCAAATTTCTGCTTCAACGTTGCCAACTCATCCGCATCCGCGTCACCGTGATCAGATACCTCTGCCTGCTCGCTGGGTTGTCCTATGCTTCCAGCCGGCAGCACCACGTCCACGTCCAACCAGGAAAGGCGCTGCTCACAAAAGGCCTGAGAGAGATCCCTGATGACCTCGTCCACATTTTCGATCCTCGTCATCCGCGTCGCCAGGATCGCAACATGATCGTCGCCGAACAAGCGCGCCACCGCGGCTGCTCTCGTCTGTGATCGCCATGACGACTTGACCGCATCAGAAAGCTCCGCGAAGTATTTCTTGAGTCCGAAAGCGAGTCCTCGGATCACCTCATCGCCCTGCTCTTCCCGCGGGAGATTGCTGACTGCTGAGTAAAAGGGCGAAGTCGGCGCAACGGAGAGTCGAGGATATGACGCAAGGCCAGCGGGCGTGAAGATGTGGATCTGAATGCGCGAGCTCGTGGCGCCGATGGTTGTGGAAGGTCCGTGGAGGACAAGCACAGGCGCATTGCTCAATAGCGGATCGGTCGTGTGGTACACTGCAAGATCTCCTGCAAGCACAGGCGGCGCGGCGACGATGGCCGCCATCACGAACGACGGAACGCTGGGCCAGTTTGCATAGAAGGTCACGTCCCAAGAGATGTGGTCGTGCGCGTCTGGGAGGTGGGATATATTAATGAAGCATGCGCGGTCGATATAGTCGTTAAGTCATGTTGCATTCCACCGTTGCAAATAACGATGCGAAGGACGCTCTGTATGGTTGACGATATCCCATCTGTGGTACAATATGACCGAATGGAGAAAGTATGGAAGTAACGGCCCTCAACGAAAAATAAAGAGAATTCTGGTGACAGCTACCTGAACCTTGGAATGCAGCATCATGCAAGTGACACTATTGTTTGGCTCGGCTTTGTTCAGTAGTATGGAAGTCAGGGTCTTGTGTGAACCGCGATCTGCTCTCTCCCCGCTCTCTCTGAACTGGTGAAACGACACGAAAACCGGTCGCGCTCTCACGTGGCCTAGCGCAGCCTTTTCGTTACAGGTCAACCTTTTGGAATCCTGAACCACTCGCGCCTCTACTGCCCTCCCCCAGGCATCGCAGATTCAGATATGTCGTCCCGGGTGGAATCTGGCATTGCCGTGACATTGCGTACCGAGACGGAGCGAGAGCATTTCCGTTTACTGGAGCTGCCACCGGCTCTCCTGACCCTGCTCACGTCCGAGAACCCTCCAATGTGAGAGCCACCGCAGGTACGCGACGGTAGGTCGAAGGTAACTGATAGTGTTTCCTTGTCTCTACGGCAGATTACAGCTCAAATCCAAAGAAGAAACTTCCACTGCTGGCGGCGAAGCCGTCAAGGATGCTTACGTTGTCCTTTGCACTGCGGATCAGACGTTCAATCTTCGACAAGTGAGCACGTCAAATAGTGTGTTTATCACAAGATGCACAGCGACAGGAGTGGAAGCCGTCGCGAAATGCGATTCCTCGATGGAGGTTATTTCTACCAAGGGACTTTCCGCTGAGCCATATCTGCGTGCTATGCTACCCGTATATACTTCTACTGGAAGCTATTCTTCTACGCACGATAGCGTTTCGAAGGAGACCCTGTTCTCACACATCCCCTTGAGTCAAGCCGAATGCCAGGTAGCGTGGTCACAACTCGCCTGCTTCGAATCGACCGACCCGCCGGGCTGTTTCATCCCCAGCGCCAAAGTTCAGATTCGCATCTGGGAGAACTTCATCTCGATCGCAACAGCAGCGAGCCTGGATCTCACGGGACGGCTGTCCAAAGCAGACTTGCTCGCGATCTTGGATGAACTGCGCGGCGAGGGCCCTTCAGAGCTGCTCTCGCAGATCATAACGAACGTGTCCACTCGACAACCCGATGAGTCTTTTCTTCTTGATGAAGACAGGTTCATTCAAGCAGTTGGTCTGAGCTGCCTCTCAGCGCGCTCTGATGGCAAACCGACGGCAACTTCATCCTGGCTGTCAGCCTGGAAGGAGCTCGTTCCAGAGGCGTGGAGGAGCAAATGTCAAGCCACTGCTCTTCCACAAGCAACATATCATTTACAGCATGGAGGCAAAGACATCGTGTTCGTTGACAGCTCGCAGTCTGCAGCTGGCGCCGGGTCGAGTCAGGCATCGAGCGGGCAGCAATCACTCGGGGCGAAGCGCAAATGGCACGAAAAGTTCCGTCCTTCGAAGACGAACTAGGAGGTCTAATCGATCAACACTGCTGAGAATATGGTATGTCAGATGCAGACCCGTTTACCTCGTGAGATATCGAGTACAAGTGAGCATCACCTCTCAAGTTGGGGTAGTCGAGACTAACAACCCTAACAACGGTTGTGAGCTTACTGGACGGACCCTATGGTCTTTGTCCACCTGGGCACCTGGGCACTGGGACTTTCGAAACAATCGAATGTGTGGCTCCGGAAAGACCGATCGAGGCATTAATTCTATTCGTCAGGACAATACTGCATTTCTCAGGAGGTGGTCGAATGAAATAAATTTGATCATGTTCATTCGCACTGTCCGAAAAATCGTGATACTCGTGTGAATGTGTAGTACCGGAAATAATGACATGCAGGCCCATCTGCAGGCGCGAAATGAGAGACATGCAGCCAATGAGTTAATTATTCCATGCAGTCAGCAGCCCGTATTTTATGTGGTGCCGAACGCGACGCAAATAAGCTGCGTCTGCCATATGCCGGCCCATATTCATCATCATCGATGAGGAAATGACTGTAATTGTGATTACATGTATCTCCTGCATGAGGAGGAGGAGGAGGATGTCATCAGCCGCGGGATGGCAAGGTTCCAGTTTGTCCGGCCACCTCTATGGGCTCACGGGAGTGGGTTCCGGCGTCGAAGATGCCTGTACTGAATATTCCAAGCCTGTCATCAATTAACCTTTCTTGACTGACAGGCAATGGACAGTAGTGACAGTACTACTGTATCCAAGGTGACGGGGACCGATTTCGGTTCGAGCCGAGCACGATGATGGTGATGGTGAGAATAATTGCAGCAGCTGCAGCAGCAGCACCACCACAGTGCAGGGTTAATCCGAATCGCAACCGAGAGAGAGGAAGAGGAGGAATGGGAGGTGAGCGCTAATGATCTAACGGCGGAGAAAGACTAGCAGACATGCGACAAACGATTCCCTGAGACGACGAGAGCTTGCGAGCAATGCGTTGCGACTATCGTTCTTCCTCCTTCGTCGTTCGATAATAGGAAGACTAACTGTATATTGCGCGGTCACGATGCTGACAATGGATTGATTATCCATCGTGTAGGATGACCATCAGCGTAGGCTCGCGATGACGATGGGTCTCGACGTTCGCATTGACGATGTGGATCCTGCAGACATATTGCTCCGACGAACCAGAGATAGATTGCGACGTTCAATGGTACGAAGAACCCTTGATCCTCCTTCATGATCCAGTGTTTCACCATTCCGATCACTTCACGTCGTTATTATATATGAGAACGAATTCCAGTCCCGGCCAACTCGTGCAGGGGGAATGAACGACCACCACGCGAGCATGAGACATGCGTTCGGAAGTGCTGTCGGGAGTCTCGTCCTGTCTGTGTGATGAGAGAGTTTGCATGGAGTCGAGAAGCGGATGAGGTGGTGAAGATGATTGGGGTTTAGCGGCAGGATTCGCGAGGGAAGAGGTAATTTCCACGAGACGCGCTTGTCGCGTTACGGCCAATGGTGAACAGGCCGACAAACACGCACAGGCCCATGGTAATTTCACCAAACATCAACGGTCGGGCCCAGGATGTGATGATGGGCGGTTTGGACTACACACTCTCTATGTCACGAACCCTTCCAACATTTCATGACAGGAGAATGAGACCCGGATCATACTGTACTGTGTGTTGTAGTAGTAGTCACTCACACACACTTATGTTCGTCGCACGCGCACAGGAGGTACGGTAATAGATTGGGCGGCACAAGCACCCACACACACCTAGGCGATTGCGAGGGAAGATCACGGCGAACTCGCTCTTCCCTCCCTTCTCTCTCGCACTCATCGTCGTCGTCGCCGTCGTCGGGGATAGTTCGTCTTCCTCTCTCACTCACCACGGTCGGCCGGATTACATACCAGACGGGACTGGCAGCAACGTCCTGCCCGTTCGCTCTTTCCCTTTCTCATCATTCAATCTCTTCCTCTCTGTGACACAGACACACACTCGTTATTGTCAATCGTCGTTCTTTCCTAGTCTCGTCTCTCGTTCTTTTTTTGCTGCTGATCTATCGCGACACGATAATACCATCACAACCACAGCTACCTACTGTTTAATGCGGTGACCTTTTCGACGGCCACGATTGTTTTTGTTTTGGCTTCCATCTGCAGCAGCCTATCGCGCATCTCTCTGCATATAACCCCGCAAAGGGCCGCGTTCTGGATGATCCTCACAATTCCGACCTACGAAACTATCCGACCGCCATTTCTCTTCTGACAGAAGTCTATCAATTGCGACAACCCGATTATAAATTGTGGAGGACATAGATCAGCTCATCGCCGGTGGCAGACCATCGACGTTGAGAGTGGCCATCACGGCGCTGATCAACAGGGACACTTGCGAAGCGCGTCGAGCGAAGCCGCATCAGAGAATGCGCTCCAACATACTGGACGGATCGCGTCCGGATTACACCCGATGGAATGATTACATCTCGGTCCAGGATGACGGCGCATCATCAATAGATAGCTCGACCCTCGAGCTCACCGCCGACGAAACTCCATCCAACGCGCAGTCCAAAAGACAACGGAGATCACGGCGCGTCGCCAGCCCGAGCGCAGCATTGTGTCTTCTTCTAGCAGGCAGCCTTCCACTCGCCATGTCGCAAAGCTGTATCTCTTTGGCCAATTCACGGACGTGCCCGGCTTTTAACGCGTCGTCGGTCGCAACGACTGGAGTCGCGGCCAGCCTTTTTCCTTTTCTCTCCGGAGTCAACAGTGTCGACTCCTTTGATACTGCCCTGGACGTCTACATCAGGACCAGTTATACTCAGACCAAGTACGTAACGATAGACGACCGTATTATTCTGCAACTTGGAAGACAATTAACTGACGTGATTACAGATATCAAACTTTAATAGGCTGTTCTAACGTTCAGCTGGGTAATACTACCGCATACTATGCAAGATATACCGCATCCTTCCTTTGCAATGCCATCATCCAAAATTCGATTTCCGCATGTGGACTTAGCGGAGTATCGACAAGACCTCTCTGCGCCGACTCTTGCGCAGCCTGGGCCCAGAGCGAACAACGCATCGTGGCAAGTGATGTCTGCGGCAATGCAGGCCCTAATGCTCTCACACAGATCCGAGCAGACTTCACCAATTGCGCTCTTCCCGCGAACTCGTTGACAGGATCCTGCATTCAAGCCGTGGTCAACGAACCTAGCAATTGCGGCTTCAACACCAACTTGGGGGGCTTGTGCTCGTACTGCTCCGCCAGCTCTCCTAACGCGACTGATTCGTGCTGCGTATTCTCCGACACTACCACCCGATGCCAAGGTGTTGTCCTTCCGGTCGTGGCGACTGCTTCGCTTCAAGCCGTCACTGTCACTGCCACGACTAGTACCACAGCAACGGTGACGCCGTACGGCAACAGCTTCGATTCCAACCACCCGGGTCTCACCAAGGGTCAAATCGCTGGTATCGCTATTGGATCCATCTTAGGTGCATTCTTCCTGCTCTTCCTCATCATCGCTGGCTGTCTTCTGCTTAAGCGTCGTCGTGACAACAGCCCTCCGACGAGCATTTTCAACCAACCTGCATCCGGTCGTGTCCCTTCGCAAATGTCGGAAATGTCATATCACGATGGTGCTGGCGATGCTGAGAGAGCCGGTGTCGCTCTCTTCCCAGGCGGTCGCGTCGCTCGCATGGCAGCACTCGAGGGTAGCAATGCTTCAGATCACGGCCACGATCCTTATGTCCTTGGCTCCTACACCAAGTCCATCTCCGATGATGGAATGGAAGATAGCCATGGAGCTCACTTGGCTGCACTTGGTCCACCGCCTCAACGAACTGGCTCGCTGACAAGTTCCTCTCATCTTGATCCCGTAAGCCGTGGCGGACTCACATCCTCCAGCTCAAACAACCACTCCCCCAATGGCTCCAACAACTACTACTCTTCCCCCGAATCGCGACAACAGAGTGAGCAACTGGACTTCTTCAAGGACTACTACAGTAACGACTTGGTCCACCCCGGCGATCAAGTCGCTACTCTGTGGGCCTATGAGCCGCGTGCACCGGATGAATTCCACCTGGAGCGAGGTGATCTTGTCAAGGTCATTGGTATTTGGGACGACGGCTGGGCGACGGGCGTACGGATACGTGGAGCGAGGGCAGAGGACTGGAGACCCGACGAGAAAATTCAACGAGACAGTGGGTTGAGTGGTGCCGCTCGACCTAGCACCAATGCTACGATGGGCAGCGTTGCCGACGATGGTGATGTCAAGGCTTTCCCTCTGGTCTGTGTATGTCTGCCACAGCATTGGCGCAAGACCATCGAGGGTGATACGACCGATATCTCCGGCGGTGTGGTCGACCCATTCTGAACGTGTTGACCGTCTGCCAGTCCGACTTGGCTGAAATTCAGCTTCACACGCCACGTCTGCTATCGCCGTACCTGCGGCTGATGCGGACACCACTCAGCTCTTTCTCTTCTCAACTCGACGAATTCCAAAGATCAAACCAGCCCCAGAGAAAGCTACGACCATGGACGGAAATTTCCTCCTCTATTGACGACATCCTGTTGCAAAAATCCCTCATCTCATCATCATCCGCAAGCATCTCTCAATCGTCTCGTCTACTCTCCTGCCGTTATTTCGCAATGTCGTCGTTTGGAAGTCCATCTCTACACCAGTTTATACCCCATTACGGCCCTCGCCGCGCCGCGCTTCTGTGGAAGAAGTCTTGCTATTCTTGCGACCCTGCTTTTCTCTTCTCGTTCCTTTCCTCAAGCTCTCTCCGCGATTCCGATCTTGCTGTTTAACCTTTCTGGGGCAAGCAGCAGTGCAAATGAAGGAAGAGCATGAGGAATTCTCTATCCATGGAAAACCATTGTTCCAGACGAACTTTTCCATCGACACAAAATACAGTATGTAGCTATGTAGAGATCAATATATATATATGTAATGTTTTAGATCATCTATCCCGTGCCGTCATTCGTCTCGAGACCTTGTCTTGTTATCAATTTCCCGCCCGACATTGTATTTCCCCGGACGACGCCTGCGACTGGCTTCGAACTTCGAACGGAGAAGCTAAATACGGTACGGAATTGATGCAAAGCCGCCGCTGCCCGCCCCAAGACCCTTGATCGGCAGGTTCTTTGTGCGAAATGCCCGACAATGGTGGGGTTCGGTGGTACAATTTGGGTGAGTCAAGATACGCGTTTTGCTATATTGAAAGTACGTGTGTGGGGCATTGAATTTGTTTCTACAGCACAAACTCCAGTGCAACCCAACAATCACATCTTCTCGCAGAGCACACCATGGATCGCATCGAAAATATCTCTGAGGCTCTTGCCTCGGCGACCATGGACACCACCGACAAATCGGATACCGTGGTCGCCGCTGAGTCGGCTCCCACCACCACCGCTGCTCCCTCTGACGCACCCACCGCTCCTTCAGCTGCGCCCACGGAGAAACCTAAGAAGCAGCAAAAGGAAGCAAAAGAAAAGAAGGTCGCCGCCAAATCGAAGCCGCAACAAGGCGGCGGTGCTGCGAAAAAGGCAGGCGACAGCGGCGACACCAAATCCATCACGGAGCCCAAATCCGGCGACCTGTCGGAATGGTACCAGCAAGTGATCCTCAAGGGTGACATGATCGACTTTACCGACATCCCAGGTTGCTATATCTATCAGCCAGCGTCATACCGGATATGGGAGTTCATCACCGAATACTTCAACGACAAGATCCGCGCCATGGGTGTGAAGAACTGCTACTTCCCCCTGTTCATCTCAGAGGCCAACTTGCAGCGAGAAAAGGACCACATCGAAGGGTTCGCTGCTGAAGTCGCATGGGTGACCGAGGGCGGCAAGTCGAAGTTGGAAAAGCGTCTCGCCGTTCGCCCGACCAGTGAGACGGCCATGTACAGCTTCTACAGCAAGAAGATTCGCTCGCATCGCGATCTCCCGCTCAAGTTGAATCAGTGGAACAACGTGGTGCGATGGGAGTTCAAACATGCCGTCCCGTTCCTGCGGACGCGAGAGTTCCTATGGCAGGAGGGTCACACGGCACACTTGACCGAAGAGGAGGCTGGTAAGGAGGTATTGCAGATCCTCGACTACTACGCCGCCATCTACGAGGAACTCCTCGCGGTTCCTGTTGTGAAGGGAGTCAAGACAAAGAACGAGCAGTTCCCCGGCGCACACTACACAACCACCATCGAGGGCTTCATCCCCGCCGTCGGCCGTGGTATCCAGGCCGCCACCTCTCACTGCCTCGGACAGCATTTCGCCAAGATGTTCGACATCACCGTCGAGGATCCCAACCAACAAATCGAAGCCGGAGGCAAACGGGACAAACTCCACGTCTGGCAGAACAGCTGGGGATTCACCACCCGCTCCATCGGAGTCATGATCCTGATCCACGGCGACGACAAAGGCCTCGTGATCCCTCCCCGCGTCGCCGAGATCCAGGTCGTCATCGTCCCCGCCGGCATCAACGCCAAAACCACCGAACAGGAGCGCACGCAGCTCTACGCCGACATTGAGAAGATCCGCTCCACCCTCGTCACCGCCGGCGTCCGCGTCGAAGCCGACCTCCGAGAAGGCTACACCCCGGCCTTCAAATGGGCCGAGTGGGAGCTCAAGGGCATCCCGCTGCGGCTGGAATTCGGCCCCAAGGACTCGGCCAACGGCGTCGTGGCCACCGCACGCCGGGACATCGACGGCAAGCCGGGCAAGGGCAGCCTGCCGCTGTCGGAGCTCTCCACCGGCGTGCCCGCGCTGCTGGAAACCATCCAAAAGGAGATGTTCGCGCGCGCCGACGCCGAGTACGCCGCGCACCGCCGGACCGTCACGGAGTGGAAGGACTTCGTGCCGACGCTCAACGACAAGAACGTCCTCCTCGTGCCCCACTGCCTCGGCGGGCCCTGCGAGGACCAGATCAAGGCGGACTCCACGGGCCACGCCGAGGGCCAGACCGTCGACGCCCGCGCCCCGTCCATGGGCGCCAAGAGCCTCTGCATCCCCGCGGAACAGCCGCCGGCGTGGAAGGAGGGCCAGCTCTGTGTCAACCCGAAGTGTGGGGAGAAGGCGGTGAAGTGGGTCATGTTCGGACGGAGTTACTAGATGGGTTTGGGGGGGGGGGATTCAATTGAGAAGCTGGTTGAGGATGTGAAGCGTGCCGGAATCGCGTTCTTGGAGGGGGAAAGGGGGCAGCGGGGCTTTGTTTTTTTATCCCTGGCGGTGATCGAAAGGCAACGGAGGCGAAGTGTTTTTTTTTGTTTCACGGTTTTCCGCATTTTTCTTACGATGTTTTGGGGCTTCCCGCGCCTGCATTTCCTGCACCGTTTCTCTCGGTCGTGAGTCGGTGACAGTGCTTTCGATGGGCTCCGGGGGATGGAGGGGGGCTGTGTTCTCGTGCGAAGGGAGAATCTCCTGAGCGTAGTGTTTTTGCAAGGTGTCCGGGAGTGGGGGGGGGGAGTGGTCGATAGGCTTACTGTGGAATGGAATGTTCGAGTTGAAGACAACAAGATGGGGCCGATTCCCGTCCACGCGAATAGGGGGTCGGCCCTTGCCTTTTCCTTTTCACGATTTTTCCTTTTTTGGAGAAGAAATGTTGGGAGGTCTTCACGCTTGCTTCCTCTGCGCCCGACGCGAGACCACGGGGAGAAAAAGTATCAAGATCAAGATCAAGAAGTCGGTCAGCAAGAAAGCAAGCAAGAAAGAAAGAAAGAAAGAAAGAAAGAAAGAGAAATCTCGAATTGTTTTTTTTCCAGTTGTGTAATTTTCATCCCATTCGTTAAGATCATGTTTCATTCCACGGCCGTGTTTCTCATCGAGGCAGCGATTTCCACGGTGGTTTTCCCCCCAGCAACCCAACCAGGAATCCTCGAAAAAGAGGGAGGGAGAAAGACTCGCGACGGCGTTCTGCCGGAAAGGCAGAATTTTCGGACCCTCAAAAGTGCCGCTCGGAGCGAATGGACGGCGAGGAGGAGGAGGTCCTGTGTCGTTTTGTTTTGGGCCTCATTTCTCCTCGGGCCCCTTGCGGTATTTCAAACTTTGCAGTTCACTAGGAGAAGAAAAAAAACTTAGTCAGCAGATCCATCCGTGAACGGAGAGAAAGAAAAGAAAAGGGGGGCGAAACTCACTCGAACCGCTTCACGAGCACGCCCTCCCCGCCCTTCTCCAGGTCCACGCTGTACACCAGGAACTCCCCCTCGCTCGTCGCCACCATCACGTGCGGCACGTGGTGCGCCATGGCGACCACACACCTCGCCGGGGCCCCGCCTGCCGCCGCCGTCGACGCCCGCGGCACCCGCACCCAGGCGAAATCCCGCTGCGGCTCCCAGATCTCCGTCACGGAGGCCGGCAGGTAGCCGGCGGCGCGGCCGACGAGGGTGGTGGTCATGTTGGCGGAGGTGCGTCGCATGAGGGACATGAGGCCCTGGGCGCGGGGTTGGGCGGGCATGTTGTTGTTGTTGTTGTTGTTGTTGTTGTTGCTGCTGGAGGAGGTGGAGGGGTGGTCGTTGTCGTTGTCCGGGTTGTTGTTGCTGTCGTAGGTGGGTGGGGAGAGACTGCCGGAGGGGGGCGGGCTGCTGCTGCGGTCGGAGAAGAAGGATGACTTGCGCGGAGAGGTCGGCGAGAGGGGACGGGAGCGGGAGGTGGGATCGTTGGTGTTGGCGGCGCCGGCGGGGGGTGCGAGTTTGAAGATGTGGACGGTCTCCGTGGCGGAGGAGACGCAGAGGAGGGTGGAGGTCGCGTTGAAACTCATACTGTAGATGCGTGCGGGCATGCTCCCGCGGCGGAATTGGTAGAGTTTCCGACCGTCGGGGATGGAGAAGACGCGGATTATGGTGCCCTTTTCGGAAGATGTTGCCATCAGAGTGCCGTCGTTGTTGAGGGTGATGAAGGAAATGGGAGCCTGATGCGCTTGGATGACGGTGACCTCTTCCATCTTATTCAGATCGTAGAGGAGGATGTCTCCACTGATGGGTTCCTTATTCGTGGCTGATTTGGGGACATGAGCAGGTTGCGCGTATCCACTTCGAGTCGTCTTTTGATAATGTGGGATGGCGAGATAATTGTTCTCTGAATTTGGTGAAATGGCACCGATGCCAGCCGGGTTGAGCGGTAACGTCTGTTGGTGAAGCATTTTCATGTTGCTAATGTCATAGATGAATGCGACTTCCTCTAGCATAACCACCAATCTTTTCCGATTCATCTTGACAGCCACGACCATGCCATGGAAGGTCAATTCGCAGATGGTCGAGTGTCTCTGGGCGCGCTTGGAGAGATCAGTTGCGGTTCGTCAGCGGTGTCAGTCATGAACTTCTTGTACCTTTGTGTTTACAATGCGCAACAGTCGCGGGGTGAGGATCATGGCGACGAGCGATGTCGAGAAGAGTTGCTCCGCGAGGGAGATGTCATCGTCGGAGGAGTGGTTGGTGAGTTCGAAAGGGTCGGTGCTGTAGACACGCAGACCCCGTGTCGTCGCTGTTTTCCAACTCGGATGTTAGCCAAGTGAACACGACGTCTTCTCCCGGAGAGGCGCAACGCGATCGCGGGCAGCATACCAACCGCGAGGAGACTGTGGTCCTGGTTGAATGTGACATAATTGAGGCCCGCCATGGTTTTCCGAGGATTGTTGGTGAGCGAAGCGCGATGCTATCGCGAGTCCGATGATGTGCCACAACCACCAAGCATTCCTCCTCCTCGCCGTCCTGCTCCTCTTTCGATTACGCCGTTCCTCCTTCCCTTGCGCACGTCAGGTTTAGCGCACGCAGTCCTCGTCGAAACTGTGACGATTGGTGCGGACTTTCGTTCGAAGCGATACTCGAGATCGGGGTTGGTCGAGCCTGCGAAAAGTAGATCGAACGGGTCGCGCGAAATGGAATAGCTTGCGATGATGTGAAGGACGTGTGCGATCGTGAAGCGTCGGTGTAGTAGTTGATAGTGGTGTTGGTCTCCAACCAAGCAAAAAGAGTGCTGCAGGCGGCTAGCTAGCTAGCTATCTATGCACAGGACTGCGAGGATGGACTGAGGTCCTGAGCTGGAGAGAACGAAGCCTGTGCCGGCCGACGACGTAATCACGAGATATACAGTAGATGTCTAGGCAGCTTCACGAAAAGCTTGATTCCCAATAGAAATGTATATGCATGTACAGTACATGAAAGAGACGTATCCCATGGGGAATACTACTGAGTATATCGTATATACAAATCAAACAACGACCATGCTGAGCTCGTGACCTGAAGGTGAGGACGGGGCGGCGGTATACAACACAATTGTTCCTGGTTTACGGCGTGCGCTGCCTGTGGGAGAAGAGAAGACGATCACCAACACACAGCGACAGTACAACAACAGTACAGTACAGGCTGAGGCACTTTCCCTACTTTCTCTCTCTCTGTCTCTGTCTCTCTGGCGGACGAGGGACAAGCCTGAGGGAAAAGGACTCCATCACGTGGTCGATGTTTCTCCCAAGCGAGATAGGCTCGATCCTGGAGAGTCTTCTCCTACATACTGAGGACATTCACCTGCAGATTCTGTAACGACGATGATGGACAATAACCTCTAATAATATAGACAGACCATCAAGCCTTGATTGATATGCTGAAAGGTCACCGATATATATGCCCAGGTGGTCGTGACGGACGGGGATAGACAGGACGAAGGAAACCTTGTGGGATCGCGTGCCCTTCAACCAGCCCAAACTCTCGCGCGCGGGATTCTTTCCGGCTCCGTACGTGCCCCGCCATTTCTTATTACCCTCCTTCATCTCCATCATCATCATCATCAACTTGCTTGTGAGAAGATCGGTGGGAAGGTTTATTGGCGAACATCAGACGACGACAGAATCATCATAGTCCAAAGAGACCATGTTTTTCTGCTCCTTAGAACTGGGTCTCTGCATCAACTCTGGGGGCTGATTCGCCCAGGAGAAGACGTAGACGATGGTGGGAGAGACGTTGGACTGTCCGCTGCCGTATATATCTCGTGCTCTGACGAATAATATCCATCTCGGGCGGTTTTTGCTGCATGGTGATGTACTACAACCCCGCGATATATCTACATTTCATCATTGACGATGGTGGATCAGACACGGCGCAAGAGAGAATGCTGCACAGGAAATTGTGACAACATGTGGGAAACCTCCCCGTCCAACATACAGTCCGTAGTGTCTAGATTAACATCGACTGGCATGTCTCTCCGTCGTCTTCTCACATCCGTCGCGAAGACAGACACGCGGATGTGATCAGGAGGGTTCCCGGGATAGAAGGGTAATCGATTCCGAACATCTTAGTCGCATGCAGGTGCGCCGGCGAGGATCGCAGGGAGGCGGCGGTCCGGCGCATCCATTTCGCACATATGCACCTCATCTACCTTATTCGTGAGACGGGAGAAAAAAAAACTTATTTCGTCTTCTTGAGATAGGCAGAGGGAGATCACCATTCGCTGGTATATCGCTCGTGGTCGCCGGGAAGAATTCGTTGCTGCGCAGGATCGATCGTATCATGCCTTGACACTGACACACCCGCTTTCTCATGAATCGGAACACGATCGGAACCCACCCACTGACGACGACCATATACGATATATATGATATAAATATACATATATACACACACGAAGTCCGCGATCAATCACCCGTCGTCCATCAACTCATCCGTCGAGCCATTCACGACATACGATCATCTATCTGGCTGTCGCTTCAGGATCTACATGGACTGTCTAAGCAGTTCCGATACTGCGAATCGACATTGACAGATCCTCCTCGGATCGGAGAGAAAGCGTCTGATGCGAAGACCGTCATCAGCGCATTTACCCACAACAAGACAGGAATCCACATCATCATCGCCATCAATAATAGCAGCAACGACATCACATCAGCCTGAACGGGCTGCCCGGCTATAGCTCTCCTGTTGTGTAACACATTCCCGCCCGAAAATAGTCTCGGCCCCAGCGGGCATCTTGCCACGATCAACCATGTCCGATCAGAACGGAGACATCGCCGCCAAGGCTCTCGAGACGCCATCGCCACATGTCAAGCACGCTGGCGATACCATCCGGCTTGTATCGCCGGTAGACAGTCCGTCGCCGTCAGGCTCCCCTGCCCCTCTCGTCCCTACAACGCCGACCATCGACAAACGGCGGATCGTGTCCGACAACAATCGATCGAACCAAAAGGTTCGCCTGTCGGATAAGATGTTCGACGCATCATCCACTCCACAGGCATCCGTCGTGAGGCGTGCCACAATGCCGGCATCGAGGCCACGCATCCCGGGTGTCCCAGGTGATGCTCCTCCACCGGTGCCGAAGGTGGACCACGCCAAACAAAACAGGGACGGTCTCGTCATGGACACTAACAAGAGCAGCATCGTTTCGAAGAGATCGGTCGAGAAGCTTTACTACGCAGACCAGCCGGAGTTCTTTCGCTATTTTGTGTCGAAATTCAAGAGGCGCTCGCCTCTGATCAATCGTGGCTATTGGCTACGTATGAAAGCCATTGAGCACGCAGTAGCCCGCTTCCTCACCGAGAGGACGACCAAACGGAAAATCGTGGTGAATTTGGGATGTGGCTAGTATGTAAATTCTCGTCTGGTCATGGATCGGCACGCTTCTCAACGATAGAGTATGCTGACTCGTCCTTGAATTCCAGCGATCCTCTCCCATGGCTCTTTCTCGGTCGTCAATCCGAGCTTTGCCATGACACAACCTTTGTCGATGTCGACCACCCGGCATTGATGCAGAACAAGATGTCCATCATAGAAAAAACGGAACAACTCCGCGAGTTGCTTCCCAAATTCACGAGGACCGGTGCAGAACAAGGCCTCCTCGCCTCAAGCGTTCCATATGTTGCCATCGGGTGTGATTTGATTGATGTGGGACCCCTTCAGAAAGTTCTTCAAGATCATCTTCAGCTTTCAACCGAGGACGCGGCGATCATCTTCGTCTCGGAAGTATCCACAGCCTACATGGAACGCGAGGATTCACAAGGCGTCTTCCGCTTCGCAGCTACCTACAATGATGTCAGGTTTGTCTTACTCGAACAACATCTCCCGGACGGTGCAGATCATCCCTTCGCGCAGACAATGCTTGCCCACTTTGATAAGCTACGGACACCGTTGAGAGCGGTCGGCTCCATGGAGCAGATGAAAGCCCGATTCGCAATCGCTGGATTTCCAGACAGCGGCATCGACATTCGTAGTCTATGGGAATTATGGTCCGATCCGACATTCCTCAGCGCTGAGCAGAGGCGTGCATTAGACAAAGTCGAACCATTCGACGAATGGGAAGAATTCGCACTGTTCGGCTCACACTACTTCTTACTCGTGGCTGAAAAGGAGCCTGGCAAGGACTACACGCACAAAGCCACCCGGGGGAACCGTACATCCTTGTTCGCTGGATCCGGTCGTCGTGCGTCGATCATATCAAGTACGACCAACGGAGCTGAATCGCCACAATACCATTTCGGCCCGGAAGACACTCTGCAGACCCACGAGCTCCTCGAACCACATAATTTCCGCCGCTTCGCAGCAGTCTTGAACCCCACCACCGTAGACGATCAAGTCGATATTGTTGGTCTACATGGTGGACTCGGCACGCAGGAGCGTCTGGGTAGCTGCAACACTTACACACGTTTGGAGAACACTCCTGCAATCGAAGGCCCGCCGCTCCGCAACGGACTCATGTGCCACGCCATCACAAGTCTCGGAAGCACCTCGAATGTGGTCCTCACCGGCGGTCGAACCTCTCCCGATAAAGCCAGCGCGGAATGCTGGCTTCGACTGGATGGGAAATGGAAAAGGGTGCAGAACCTCCCCTCGGGTCGATATCGGCATTGCGCTGTGCCTCTGGTTCTCCCGACTCAACCGAGGCCGGCCCATACGCTTCTCCTATTCGGCGGGAAGACGAGTGAGGGCCATGTGCTGGACGAGTGGCTGATCTGGACCGGAGAGACTGGCTGGCAGCAAATTCGCGTGACCGGTGAGGTCCCACCGGCCCGTTTCGGCGCCTGTATGATCACCGACAGTCGTGAGGGCGTCTCCGGCGTCCTAGTCGGTGGGATGACCAGCGCCGGTCGTGTGCTGAATGACTTTTGGTATTGGAGCCTCGAAGGGGACATGACTCTCACATGCCGGAATGTCACTGCTCGTGCGACTGCCTTTCTCAAGGGCGATGCATTTTTGCTGGGTCGGTTCGGCGCTCAATTGGTCTGGTCCAACCGCGGGATCTTGATGATCGGCGGAGTCACCGGCTCGCGTATGCTCACCCGACAGGACGAGATCCTCAATATGAAATCGCTACGGCCACAGCCGATCCATGGACCCCGACCGCTTTTCATCGGATTCTCCGTCCTCGACGTCGATGGGGGATTGATTGTGCTCGGGGGTGGTGCGACATGTTTCTCCTTCGGCACCACTTGGAATCGAAGCTGCATGCTGAACGACGCCCTGCCGGGGTCCTTGTTCCAGATGGAGTGGCGGATGCTCCACATCACCGAGGCCGGACAACCGACTGCAGATCAGATCGCCGTGTTTGGCGATGTCCCGTCCTCATCCAACGCGAGCAAGGCTGCAATCTCGACCACCGGCTTCGCGGCACCATCCACCCACGGTGCTACGTCCGCCATTGCTCCAGGTCTATCAAACCCCTTACCGGATCCCGTCCGAGTGCAGGAGATGCCCATGTCCGACGGCATCAACTTCGCACAATACGTCGAAGCCGGCCGTCCCGTCATCTTCAGGAAATGCGACCTCGGGCCCTGCACCACCAAATGGACCACGCCCTACCTCAAGGAAGCCGTCGGACCCGAGCGCACGGTGTCCGTCCACGTCGCCGCCGACGAGAACATGTCCTTCGCCCGCAAGAACTTCGAGTACGCCACCCAGCCGTGGTCGACCTTCCTCGACGCGGCGGACAACGGCGAGAAGGTCTACCTCCGCGCCCTCTCGCACTCGCACCCTCTGGAAAAGCCCACCCGGTTCGCCGACGACTTCCCCACCCTCTCCCCGGACTTCACGCTCCCGGCGCCCCTCGCCCACGTCGTCGACCCGGAGGGCCGGCCGGCGCACAGCTCGCCGCTGCGCATCTCCGGCGGCGGCGTCCGCATGTGGCTGCACTACGACGTCATGGCGAACCTGTACTGCCAGGTGCGCGGGCGGAAGCGCCTCCTGCTCTTCCCGCCCTCGGACGTCTCCCTGCTGGACTTCGCCCCGGGCGCCTCCTCCTCCGACCTGGACCCGTCCGCGTCCGCGCACCCGGGCCTCCGCGGCACCCACCCGCACGAGGCGCGCCTCGAGCCCGGCGACATCCTGTTCCTGCCACCGATGTGGAGCCACACCTCCTCGCATCTGCCCTCCTCCACCTCGCCCTCACCACCAGCAACCTCCCCACCGCCCCCGAGCATCGCCCTCAACGTCTTCTTCCGCAACCTGCCCAGCAGCGCCTACGCCGCGGGCAAGGACGTCTACGGCAACCGGGACCTGGCCGCCTACGCGCGCGGCCGCCAGGACCTGACCAAGATCGCCCGCGCCTTCGACGAGCTGCCCCCCGCCGTCGCCGGCTTCTACCTCGAGCGCCTGGCCGCCGAACTCGAGGCCAAGGCGAAGAGCCTGGCGCGAAACGCGGACCTGCATTCGGTCTTCGCCGAGTTGGGATGATGACGCTGCTGGTGGTGGTGGTGCTGCTGCTGCTGCTGTTGGCTTGGAGCGGGTTGGGGGTTGGGGGTTGGGGAGACGGTGATCGTGGAGAGCAAGGGGACGGCGGGACGGGCAAGTGCGGTGTTGGGGGATGGATGGCGGGAACGGGTCACGACCGGGGCGAGGGAAGATTGTGAATCTCTGGAGGGCAGCGGCGCGGAGTCCTCTGTTGGCATGGTTTTCTTTCCGCCTCTTTTTTTTTCTCCCCGTTTAGAAAACCTTCATTGCTTTATTGATTGTTTTTCCGCCGGCGTGGAAGGCTTTCTTGTCTTCGTCGTCAATTTGGTTTGATTTTGGTTTTCATCTTCGAATGGGGAGGAAGGAAGTCAGTCCTTGGGATCGATCAGGCACACCCTCCCCTAAACAATACATTTTCGACCACATTTCCAACAACGGAACGAGAAGTTTTTTCTTCAATGTTATCGCTTTTTGGCTCTGCTTTGCTTTCCTCCCTATGCTACATTCCATCCCCCTAGTCCTCAATTGAACTGGAGGATCGTCGGCGCCCCGATGGATATATATAATACATGGACGACACGAGCCGTCGGGGGGAACTGGCCTCCTCCCCTTCCGGGTGGAAAGGGGGGCTCAAAAGCCCGTGATGTTGCCTCCTGGAGGTAGCCAGTGGTGTACATAACCCGCCAGGTGAACGACCACCGTGCTTTTCGACCCGTCGTCCTCCGTCATCGGACCGCATCCTCCCGCTGGAACCCATGCTCCATATCAAAGGTGCAGAAAAAAGACATCGTACCGCTTTTGTTTATTATCTCTCACATGCCCGAGTCGGATCATACAAGTCTCAATCGCGAGACCGGACCGGACCGTGGAGGAGAGGAGAGGAGAGGAAAGGAATGTCCCCCTCTACTTGCGCTCCTGTTGGGCGGCTTTGGCGGATTCCTTCTGCAGGGCCTCGATGGTGGACTTGTCGGCCTTGACTTCGCCGCGGTCGGCTTTGACCTGTGATGCGGGACCGCGTCAGCGAATCCGGTCGGGGACGTTCCTCTCCCCCATCTCCCATCTGACATCTCCCTCTCACGCAACCGACGAGAGGGAGGACTCTTTCGTCTGATGCTGAGGATGACTGGATGGGTAGGAAAAGGAAAAGGAAAAGGAACGGTCACGTACGATGCTCTCGCTGTCCGAGGCCAGCGTGTCTTTCCACTCGCCCTTGCCCTCCTTCTGCGCCTTCAGCTGCTGCTGCTTGGCGGCCTCGGCCTCCTCGGCGCGGTTCTCGTTGTCTGTAGATTTGCCGAAGAAAAGATGGTCAGTGGAGTGCTCTTCAATCGGACGCATCTATGTTTGCTGTGGATGCGGGTGTGGATCTGTATCCTTTCTTTTCTCTTCTTTCCAATGGAGCCGTCCTTGTCCATCGCGCATCAGACCGACTGACTGACTGGCTGGGCATCGGGATGTGGATGTGGTCCCGGGATCGAGCAGGGCCGGCTTGGTGGTTTTCGGACACGGGAACCCCATTGTTCTCATGCGAGAGGATCGACAGGCGTGCCCATCGAGGGTGGGAGAGGAGAGATGAGGACGGAAAACTACTCACGGACTTCGCTCTCCTTGCCGACGGAGAGGGCCTTGCAGGAGTGGAAGGTGCGGACGGCGCGGGCGGACGAGGGCATGGCGACGCCGCGGAAGAGGCTCATGGTGCGGGCGGCAGACATGTTTGTGGTGGTGGTGGTGGTTTGTGTTGTTGTTGGGAGAGCGTTGAAGATTTGGGAGGAGGGAATGGAGGTTGAAGGCTTTGTTGGATGTTGTTGTCGTTGAGATGGATGGATGGATGGATTGTTGGGAGGGAGGAAGAGGAAATGATGCAGGGGAGCTGTATGAGAGAGCTCTTTCTATTATTGATGATGAGGATCCAATGGCAGCCGAGGTGATTGATCGATTGATTGATTGATTGATCGATCGATGATGATGATGATGATGATGATGTCTATGAGTGGATTGATGATGACTACGCCATTCGGCTCGTGCAAAACCACTCCGGCTACAGCACTACCACTACTACTACTACTTTGACTATGAGAACCGAGCAGCAGCTGGACGATTCCGTGCGGTCGAACAGACGAAAATCCGATTTTCTCGTGTTGTTTCGACGAGGTGATGAAGCTCGTCATGAAGTACGTCATGTTGACGAAACGTTCACGTCGTTTGACGTTGGAGGCAAGTGGTCTATGCGCGCCGGCCGAGTCGTGGCATAACCCTATACTTCCTTCGTCGGATGTGCGCCGAACCCTAGATATGCCCCCGTCCATTGGGCTTGCTTGGGCTTGTCAAATAATACCGGAGAGATGGACAGATGACCACATTTCGCTAATCCTCGTGGATATGGGGATACTCTATCGCGGCAGGAGGATTTCCGACGATGAGAATCATGAGCGCTGGGGAGTAGAATCGCCATGGGTGTCCAGCTAGGCATGTAGTCAACGTTCCAGTTTCAGGGGGGATGTCGCAGACTGGACACACACCTGCGTGAAGTAAGAACAGGACGGCGACGATCACTCTATGAGACGCGACAGATCGTTACCACCAATATGATCGAGAGAGAGAGAGAGAGAGAGGAAGGCACATATATATGTATACATATTCCCGTTCTCTCCCTCGTCGACGTGTTACTATCATGAACCCCACGGCGTTAACCATCCGGTGATATGTACATGTGTATATATATGTTACAATAAGCACCACCGGAGAAACCGAGTCACCCACTGGGAAGACCGATTCACCCACAGGAGAAAGTGAAGAAAACCAGAAGACAAAACTCGAAGTAGGGAAAAAAAGGTGCCATTTCCATATTCCAGATTCCAGATTCCCTCTCCATCAACCCGAGAAAGAGAGAAACATGAGAAAGAGAGAAACACGAGAGAGAGAGAGAGAGAGAGAGAGAGAGTAGAGAGAGAAGAAAGAGCAAGTTGAGAAATCTGCCCCGAAAACATATCCTATCCTATCCTATCCTATCCTATCCCACACACACCGACCGATTCCTCGCCGTCCCGAAAAGATGCCAATCAATCAATCGCGCTCCGAGTTTTCCTTCACCAGCGCCCCTGGACCCGACCCGAGTCGGGAAAAAAATCCGCCGTAGACAAAAAATCGTATCGTAGCAAAGCAAAGCGTAGCAAAGCACAGCAGCGAAGGGAAAACGCGCAAAGCAAAAAGCACAGCAGAAACCCGCGTGCCCTCCGAGGAGAGGGCATGGGCACCCCCAAAACGAGGTTCCCAAGAGAGCAAGGACGACGACGGGAGAGCGATGGAGACGACAAGGCCGGAACATCATCTTTCTTTTCCTTTCCCTCACGCACCACCACCCACCAAAAAAAGACGCCGGGAAAAACAAGAACAGTGACCCAAAAGTTCGCGCGCCCCACCGTCGGCCGGAAAAACAGTTTTTGTTGTGGTGTGTGTGTATCATCGCTGCTGCTGTGCACCGCCGGAATAATCCCCTTTTCATAAGAAAAGAGGGAGAAAAAAAGCCCGAAGAAAAAACAAACGTTTCATGCCGCGCCGTTGTTGTTGTAAAAAGTAATTGATGATGTAAGGGTAATAGTTTTTATGAGTTCGGACAGAAGCGAGCAAGTAATTGACGCGAAACAATGATGATGGATGATTCAATGATGATGCATGCTGGTTTGAAGGGGTTGGTGATCGAAACGCCGTGTCGTAAATTCGCTGTTGATGATGTCCCCGGGGTATAAATTGGAAAGTTCGCTTGGATCGAGTTTGGTGAGGGGTTTCTTTTCGAAAATGAAGAGAGAGGCCGTTTTCCATCCCTCGAAGGGGGAGTTTTTCCGATTGAAAGAAGTTCAAGGGTCGTAGTTTCGTCGCATGGGGTATCTTTATACAGAAAACAAAAGAAGAAGTGCGAAAGGTTTGGGCAGAGGAGTCAAAGGAGTCGTATGCGAGGGGTGGGTGGCGCAGTACGACGCTGGGGGTGTCCGTCTCGCCCAAATGTCACCCGAGGACATAGAGGATGGCGTTTTGGGATGCAGCATGGCGGGTCATCGACCATCTACCAGCGGCGTTGCGCATACTGGTGGTGGTGGTGTTGCTGCATCTGCCGGGCAGGCGAGACGGACATGGGAGGGCTCGCGACCGAGCGGGTCGAAGGGTCGACGATTGGGATGGCGTTGCGAGTGCGCTGAGCCAACGGTTGGTGGAGCTTCATTTGCTGGGCGTGCTGAAAACCCGCGAGGCTGTAGGAGTGAGGGACCGAAGGTAATAGAAGAGACGGCGTCGGTTGAGCTTGCTGCTGGACCGGGGATCCGTCCGGGGAGCCCGATGAGAGGGAGCCTTTTTCCGATGAAGATGCCGAGTGTATGGAATGAAGCTGCGAGTGCAATGTCAGCAAAGCGGGCTCACGCGTAGACCCGATGGTCACAAGCTTGTGATTCTTTGGGATACATACATCGTCCTCGGTCAAGAGGTTGAACGGGCAGAAGACTTCGTCATCGTCAAACTCGAAGCCTTTGGCAGCCTCGAGGACGCGCTGGTAGTCTGTATACGTCGGTACCTCCAAGACCTCCTTGGGACTCCGCTGCGCCTTGAATTGTCTTTGCGCGTTCTGCGATGAGACTCGCGGTCCCCGGCGACTCCGGGTGTGGTGGCCGTGCGAGTTATGCGACGTCGCAGGAGGAGCGTATTGAGATACCGGGTAGTGGTATGCAGCCATTTTGAAGCGTGGTGTATACTGAGGATGAACTCTGGTTTGGAAGTGGCGAGGCTGTATACTGCGCGGTATTGAGAGGAAGATCGGTCGCGGGTCGTGAGTAGATTACAGAAGCATAACAATGCGAGAGAATCTTCGACAATGGAGGTGAGTAAAAGTCGTCGATTGTCTGAAACCGGCAGACCAGATGAGAGTGAGAGGAGGAGGTGGTGGTAGTAGTAGTGCTGTTGAGTAGTAATAGCGGATGTTGTGAACGATGAATCGTGAACGGTGAGAGGACAGCAGCGGGCGCAGAGGAGAGGGATATGTGGGTGTGTATATGTTGGGGAGGGAGAAGTCGAGTCGAAGTGTGTATGTGTGTGAGAGAGAGAGAGATGTGATGAAGAAGAGGTGTGGGTGGGGAGCGAGGGTACAGTAGAGAGAGAGATGGGCGGCTTTGTTGATGTTGCTGTGTATGCACGATACAAAGTGTTGGATGTGGGTGTGGGTATGTGTGTGTGTGTGTCTGTGAAGGAGAGGAAAGATGCCACTAGTAGGAATATGCTACCCTAGTCAAGACTAGTGGCGAGGTGGAGGGAACTGGAAATATGCAGGCCAAAAAGGTGCGTGTTCAAGTGGGCAGAAGTAGCAGGCGAAAAAGTATAGCAGAGCGGAATGAAGGGAATGAGGGAAGGGGAGAGAGAGAGGGAGAGAGAGAGACATCGAAGCGAGAGAGGGGGGGGCGGGAGAGGCGAATACCCGCAGGCAGCACGGTGGCAGAGTTGGCGATGATTGGGCGAAAACGAGGGCCGCTCGGGGAATGTCTCATCACGGTGGTGGTGGTGGTGTGTGCCACCCATAACCCAGCGTCGCCATCGTCACGGGACGCACGCGAGAAACGATTATATCCCACAGGTATTCACACTATAATCAATCGAGGAAAGCCGCTACTGGGGGCCTTGGCGCTTCCCAGTGCATGGCCAGAAATCATCACACAGCCTGGCTAGTGACCAATCATCTTCCGCGCGCGAAACCCGACTCGCCCGATCATTCCCGCCATCGTCCAGCCTTGGTTTTGGTCTGGTCCCCCTCCCAAAGGAAATCAAGACAGAACCAAGCTGGCTGGAAGACTCCAGAGCGAGCCATGTTGTCGCTTGCTCCTGGGACGCCTACTGTGTATGTGATGAGTGAAACCATTCTCTGTTTTCGAACAGTCCTTTTGTCCCTGCAAAAATTGGACGTCGATCTCCAAGTGACAGTACATGGACAACACGCATGCGGTGAGAACACAATCTACCCTCCAGCCCTCAGCTTCCAAGGTTGTTCGTCTCGGAGACTAGTGCTTAGAAGACTCGGCGGGAGAGAGAAAGGACCTCCTCCGCCTGAAGGAAGATTGGCATTTTAGAGCCGTGGCTGAGGCCACGATGGCAAGCGATCCATGAAGAAGGAGCTGCAAAAGCTGTAGGCGCGCCTGTGACCATCATCGCAAACCTGTGACAAAGCCTACTGTAGCGATCCCGATCTCCGTCTTCTGTGTACCTACTACCTACTGTACCTACCGAACGTCGAAGCCGAACAGCATTGGATGAACGATTGTTTCTTTTTTTTTCTTTCTTTCTTTGCTTTCTTTCCAGGTACGCGCATCTCTCATGACCAATGGCTGGGGGTGTAGTTCACCGCTCTACCTCGAAAAGCGACATCTCAGCTCGGACTTGCCATGCCTGCGCTATGCAGTGCAGGATAGTATAGACGGTTCCATCCATCATCGCGTCGCGTGCTCCGGGGACGGGAGCGTGTCGCATCCGGGACGACCGGACGGACGTACGTACGTACGTGGGAGTCGACTGTGGCGCTGCTGCTGCCGCCCCATCACAACATCCCTCCAACGAGGCAACATTTGATGAGACTCACCATGGCCGCCGGCATAATAAGAATCTGAACGGCGAGTCATGCAAGATGGCCGCGCAGGTGAGATGAGAGCGCAAGAGACGACAACGACGACGCGATCTAACTCGGGCGCGCGCGCGGGAATGATGCATGTCTGCACTGCATGGGCCGCACATGGGATCCTGTTACACACGTCCCTCACTTTCCTTTCCTTTCGTTTCGGACACGGGCCTCCATCTTCAACCCATGCACCCTCGTCCCGAGATCACAGAGATAGAGAGAGAGAGAGGAAAGGGACGAGAGGCAAGCGCCTGGCGATGTGTGAGCGCAAACGAGCGAGCCAGCGAGCGAGCGACGGGGCAGAGAGGGCGCGGCCGCAGCGCGCGAAAACACACAACGACGTCAGAAACGAGCGACGGACGAACGACGACGACGACCAGGGCAGTGCAGTGCATGCGCAGACCAGTGCGTGCGCCATCTCAATCGCACACTGACACGGTGGCACACGCACACATACACCTCTTTTCCCTCTTTCCCACCGCCTAATCCCGAAACAGGTGTCCGTGATCACCCACCCACCCGCCGGGCGCATTTAGCGGCTTTTCTTCCTTTCTTTCGACTGGATGGGATGGCACGATGGGATGGGATGGGGTCCTGACGGCGTTTCTGGTCACCGCCCTGAACGAACCACGAATTCGAAGGGTTCTGCTAGGGTTGTTGTTTCTGCATAAATCATGACGACCACGACTTTTGACTTGCACCTTCCTTCCCACCTACCTACCTTCATGCATAATATGTTTTCGCTCTGTCTGTGGATGGCCGCCACTCGGGTCGCGATGCATCTCATCGTGCCCAGTGCCGGCTGCAGTGGTGCCGCCACCAGGCATGATGTCCCTGTTCCAACCTACCTGTACAAGTTTTGCCCAGCGACGTATGGCGTCGATCAGGACTCGGCGTTCTTCCGAATGAAAGGGAACGATCACCGTCTGCTCGAGTCGGGCTGATGGGGAGAACGACGCCCTCACGCGCACACAGTCTGAGCGAACGCTCTCTCTCTCTCTCTCTCTCTCCACCAATTGTTCCATGCTCGGCCATGGACTATAGTACTGTATATCTGCCTGCCCTGGGAGCGCGAGTTTGTCGTTGCGCGCGACTAGAACGGACTGCATGGAGGGCTCAATTGATCCATTGATTGATTGATTAATTGATATCGCTGAGGGGAGGAGGGCAGGGAGGGAGGGAGGCGGTCGCAATCTACTGTGCATGATGTGTCCTGCAAGCCCTGGCTGGTGGTCGCGCGCAAATTGATGAGGTACAGGGCTCGTTGCCCAGGATCGGTCAGGGTCGAGGGTCAGGGTTGGTGATGAGTGATGTGATGTGATGTGGGTCCGTCACGAACTCGTCCTGGGACGTGAACGAAAGGCTACATGTGAACTGCAGGGGACCATTTCTCCCATGAATGTCTCACTCCATCATTGTCATCCGCTACTCCGTTGGTGGTTATGGGGAATGTTCGTGATGGGCGATCCCTCTCTCTCCAGAAATGCTGGTTCTATCGATCGATACTCCCAATAGCTGCGTTTGGGAGCAAGCGGCAATACACCAGTTTAGTCCACGTTGGATTTGTGCGGTATAGACGCCCTGCCGGTGCGCTGTACATCTTATCATCAAGGGATAATAACTATTTATAAATGAATAGATTAATCGACTCCCGAGACACCGTCTCCAATGGGGATCATATCACTATCGAACCGATGTCTTTGGAACCCATGTAACTGTCCTGTATGTCTGCTGCACGACGCAACAACAACTGGCGGTTAATCCAGCCTGAAGCGTATGTCTCGCTACTCTTCCCGCCCATAGTCTCCCTGTCCGTGCACGTCAACGACGACTCACACCGTTGCGTCAATCTCGGAGATGCCTCCTGCTGGCGCCTCTCCTCTCTTCTTGCTTGCATGATCGGTGCCTGGGTCTGGAGGGGCCGGTGATGAACAGATGTACGTACTGTCATGTTGCAGCTGTACGATAGATTTCCAACAGTCCAATCGTTGCGCCGTACATACATATCGCACTGGACGTACACATGGGGAGGTCCATGACGTTCTACCATTTCCGCCGGGGAAGCGGGCGTCAACCGTGACGGATCGAATGTGAACAACAACTGCGTCTCATTGCCGACAGCTGGACGTTTCTTGACAGTACTTCCCCTCCTCCTGTCATCCATCTGCCAGGGAATCACATCCGAAGTACGTATATCATTATCATAACAACAACAGCAATAAGAACAGGGTCCCGACGTTGCAGACGCTGTCGTGATGACTGTCCTTTCCCCTCCCAAACCTGCAAACCCGAGGAACAACATTATTCTCCCTTCAGCGGCAGCGCCACGAGCGCGTGGAAGGATTCTCCCCCGGACCAGCCGGCTTTTGATGGGACAACGGAATTACGTCAGTCCCTCGAACGATGTCGCGTGCGTGGCACTTATTCCTCCACCACTCTTCTTTCTCCGTCATGAATGTGATACTGTCCCGTCGTTTCGCCGACCCGCCGCCTTGTATCGAAGTCAGCGTATGTGCAATTGGGGATTTCCCTCCATCAGCGGCTTTGGGTAGGAGGAAGAGGAGGAGGAGAAGAAGAAACGCGGTTACAGTCACCGACCAGCACCTGCGGCGTCGCGATCTGATTGATGGACCGCCCGTGGCGCGTGAGGGAGACTCCGCTGTCGATCGTTTCATCGCGGGAACCTTCCCACAGCATCGTCATCGTCCTTCATCGCCGCCGTCTTCCGCAACTACGTGCTACGGTATCGAGGAACATGCTTGTCCTGCGAGACCCTGACAGGCAGAACTGCAGACCCCCAATACAACATTGACATTTTTATACCACATTTTCGGCGAGGTCGTCATCGGGGCGCCATTTCGAGAAACGCCTACGTTCGAGTCTCAGGGGAAATTTTAGTACATACGATGATGACAGCAAACTTCTTAGTCGCTGTCCAGTGACGCGCGAGAATGCATCACCCGTCGCCCCATCTGTAATGGATTCGGGCATGTCAGTGAAACACTATCGGGCAGAGTACCGCGCGCGCGCCCGCTCGGAGGAACCGCGTCTCATGAGATGCAGTGTCGTTGCTGATGCATTTGTTGATCTCCCCTCGCTCGACGGCCGAAACACCACCAGAGTCATCATGACTCCCTAGGTGATGAGATGTGCAAGTTTACGCGGATCCCTGCCCGCCGTTCTGCGACCCGTTCGCGCCCCGCGTCTCTCCCTGCCTCCCTACTCTCTCCTTCCTTCTGCGTCAACGCATCGCCGACTCACTCCTCGCCTGCATGTCTGAGATCCGGGAGATTTCATCGATCGGACAGAGCGAGACACGTCGCCGCCGGACACAAACGCACGAAACCCAAAAACGAGTCGAAGGCATGATGATGTACACGTACGTGTCGTAGCAGGGAGGAGATTGACGAGGGGACGATCTTTTCACGGCGGGAATGTTGTCTGTCTCGGGCGGAATTCCGCCCCCCGTAGGTGTTTGTGGAAGTGATGATGTCCGCCTTTCTTTCTCTCCCTCTCTCTCTCTCTCTAAACGAGGATAGCTGCGTTTTTACTGTGATGGTGATGGGTACGGTACAGAAGAGAAACTTCCCGGGCGATCGCCCTCTCTATCTCTATTCTGAGTCCATCGAAGACTTTCCTCTTTTCGTCTAGGGTCGAACAGTGTCGCCAGGTGAAATGAAAGGAGAAGGTTGTGATGCGCTTACAAGTGAAAGGTGCACGCCGGATGTGACGCATTTCGACATGTTCCATATCCATCGTGGCATTGGGAAACGAGTCGCGTTCATTGTAAATGTTGTCGAGGCGCATGTGACCAGAAATTCGGGCTCGAGTCGAGAGGACGGCCTGGCCTGCTGTACGCTGGGACAAACCCCGCTCCATGGATGGGCGGCGAAGAAACGACTCCGGAGATGTACTGGACATATCCAGTCCCATGAGCCGGTCTCCAGCCCAAAGATATTCCCCTTCTCATAGACAAAAAAGATCTCCATGATTTCCCGTCGACCCATCCTCTCCTCCTCGTACCGTTCGGCTTCATATATCAAACCGCCCTCCCCGCCGCCAGAAGATTGCTCGTCCACTGATAACTCCCCAGGAACACCGCGCCCCCGATGCTGATCCACGTAACCCTGGGGCCGATCCCGCTCAGAAACACCCTCGCGCCCTCCTGACGCCAGATCCTCGACGCGAGCGCGACGACGCCCACGCGCGTCGGCGAGAGCATGAGCCTCGTCTTGAGCAGGTCCAACGGCGTCGTCGCGGCCGCCGCCACCGCGCCGGACAAACTCCCGTAGACCGCGCTCTCCAACGCCGAGACCTCCCCATCCCTGCCTCCTGCTGCTCCTCCTCTTCTCCCTTGCTTCCTCCTCCTGCGGACCGACCAAGCCTTCAACGCCTCCCACAGCGGGAACTGAATCACCGTGAACGGTACCTCCCTCAGGACCGTGATGCCCCAGCCGCGATACAGCTCCCTCCCGACGACCCTCCATCCCCCACCCCCACCATCCGGGGTTTTCCGCCGCAGGGACAGGATGTGGGCCAGCGCCGCCATCGAGCTGGGGTGCTGTTTCGCCTGGGCGCGCTGCTTGACGACCTCGGTGGGCACGCGGACCGCGCAGGCCGCGACTTCGCCGAGGCTGGCCGCCAGCATGTGGGCGGCGATCTGGCGGAACCCGCCTCCTTCACTTGAGGCCGGCGGCGCGGTGGCGGCTTTGACGCCGTCGTACACGACGAAGAAGAGCGCTGCCCCCGGCGCGGACCCCACGACCGCGGACCCGATCCCGTTGTAGACGCCCCGGAACCCCCCCGCGGCCCAGAAGCCGCGCGAGGACTGCAGCCGGGTTTTGATCGTGTCGAGCGGGAACAGCGAGGTGTCGACGGTGGTGCCGGCGATGGCGCCTGCCTGTGGGAGGGGAGGTCAACGCGAGTTTCTCTTTTTTTCCTTCATGCGGGTTGTTTCTGGAGGTGTGCGCAGCGAATGGAACGGGATGGAATGGGATGGGATGGATAGATGCAAATCATGTGAAGCTGGTGGTGGTGGTGGTGGTGGTGGTGGTGGTGTATTTGGCGAATGTCGCGTGCTCTCTCTCTCTCCCGATTTCTCCCTTTTTTCTCTCTTCAAACAAACAGACGTACCAGTAATGAACGGAGATACGGGGATTCCACCCAGGGAGGAACCCCACCACCGCCCTCTGTCGTCGAGGGCCCCATTGCGTTGCGAGCGGCGGCGATTTTCTGCGTTCGTGGTGGATGGGCGATCACGCCGCGACAGAGGCGTCTGTATGTGATGGAAATTCCGAGGGCGCAGGAGTAGTCGACGCCGTGAAGCTGCCTGCCCCATTGGCGGGCGGGCGGGAAAAAAGCCCTGGCGCCGCGGAAGAGCAGAGCAGAGCAGAGCAGAGCTCTCTTTCCGGACGAACGCTTGGTCTGTGCGTCACGAATATCACTCCGATCTGGGCGGGAGATACCGCATCAATCAATCGATTGTGTGTGTGTGCTGTGGACATCTCTTCCTTCTGTTGTGCCCGATGGTGTTCCTTATGAACATGTTTTACAATTCATCGTCACGGCGAACGGTGAGAGAGAGAGAGGGAGAGGTATTTACACCGATTACATAGCCCACGCATTGTGAGCCGAGGAAAAACGTCCGGACCATAGAGGATCGATAGATTAGAAAGCGATCGATAGATTATAGATAGACAGACGGATAGACGGACGTGCTATCTACAACGACAAGGAAAAACGGGTTGGGTATATATGTAGGAAACAGCCCAAAAGAGGAAAACCTCATCTCGAGCCGACATCGAAAAAAGGGAAAAGTCGTGAAAGCAGATCGACTGAATGAATGAAACTGCGGGAAAAACCTCATCTTTTCTTCTCTTCTCTTCTTTCTTTCCTTCTACCTCTAACTGTTTTCTTCCCCTTCCTGCCTCTCTTTCTCTCTCCGTATCCGTCTCGTGTTTTGTTCCTCATCGCCGAGAAGAATTCCTCTGCTCCCTCGGAGACAAACGACGTAAAAATTGGGAGAAGCCCGAAAAGGGTGCATGATGAGGATGATGAATGGAGGGGGCGGGGGGAATCTTTGCGTGAATGAAGAACGTCAAAAAGGAGGCGCGCAAGGGAAGGGGGTATGTGGAAAAAGAAAATGATGAAAAGAAATAGGGAAGTATTAAAGACGTCGCAGGAATGATGGTGGAGAGAAAGGGGGAGGAGGAGGCGAACACGTGATGAAGGGGGAATGGCTCATTATGTGTGTGCCACACACACAGAGAGAGAATGAAAACGTGAGAAAAAAAGGGAGAAAATTCGTGTCGCAGCAGCAGCAGTAGCAGCAGTGATCTCATTTCACATGTCAAATTCAAACCCTCGAATTCCTCTCCGTGGCGGTCGCTCCGGTCGACGGCCTCGAACCCGAGTTCGCCATGCCAGCAGAAGAAGAGACAGGGGTCTCCCCGGTTTTGTCCGGATCGGCCGTGCTGCGGCGGACGTCCAGCAGCCGGGCGCTGCCGGCGGAGAACTGCCGCGAGTGGCCCTGGGGCGCATAGGAGACGCTTTTGGCGTGGCGGAGCTCGGCGTCGATGACCTCGCTGGGGGTGAACTCGGATTCATTGTCGTCGTCGGGGGAGGAGCCGGGGTGGGGGGAGCCGTTTTCGGTGGTGGTGGCGGTGGTGGATGTGATGGGGGAGATGGCTGCGGAGTCGTAGGCGGCGGAGTCGTGGGGATGGATCACGTACGAGGAGGAGGGTTGCTGCTGCTGTTGGGGGGAGTTGGCATGGCTGCTGCTGTTGCCGCCGGAGGAGATGTATTCGGAGAGGAGCCCTTCTCGGGATCGGACGCGGGCGTCGCCGGCGACGAGGGTGGCTTTGCGGCGGACGCTGCCGAAGGTGGTGATGGGTTCGTTGGCGGCTGAAGAGGAGGGTGCGCCGGTGCCGTCGTCGGAGAGAGGTGAGACGGGACGTGAGATTTCCTGATGAGGGGTCGCGGAAGAGCTCGCGAGGAGCGAGGACACGCGGTGGCTGTTGCGCCGGAGATAGTCCGCATCGATATCCACCCCGCCGAGCTCCTCAAAGCTCGAACCGAATTCGGCCTGCCGTTGGTTGTAGGATTGCGTGTCGGATTCACGTTCGGCGTGCATGATGTCAGCCAAGGAAGATTTCCGTCCGTTTGCGCTGGACCCGGCAGCGAGGTCGGGCGATCGGGCGATTCGTCGGGCGGCTGCTGCGAGGAGAACATCAGGCGTAGCGGTCCGAGAGGCCGGCGGCGAAATCGGAAGCTCAGGCAAATCCTCACGGAATCGACTCTGCGTGCGGACGGGCGGACCCGATTGAGCACGTGCGGCGGGAGGTCGTGGCGCCGGTGGTAGCGGGAGGTCAACGAGATGCGCCGGGATGGATTGTGCGCGCATCGACTCGCGCGAAGTATTCGAGAAGGAGGCCTCGGAGGAGAGGTCCTTGCTGACGACGGAGGGTTTGCGGATGGTGGTGCCTCGTCGGAAGAATGCCGCCCATGGCCCGCTTCGTTTCTCCTTGGTGGGCGATACGGGCGACACGGGAGATTCGGCGGTGTAAGTGCTGTCGCGGAGGGTGTCGGTGGTGATGGAGCTGTGACGAAGAGTGCTAGGTGGACGCGTGGTCTCGATTGCTCCGGCGAGGGTCTGTCGGGAGATGGTTTCCGTGGGCGCTGCGATACGTGATCTCACGGGCGACAGAGGAGGAGTGGCCGTGAGCGACATGCGCAAGGTCTGGACCGTGCCGATCTCTGCCTCCTCGTAGGAGGTCCTCGCCGTGCTCGGTGCGACGCTAGGGCCTCGTGGTACTTCCAGTGCGTGTTCAGGAGCCAGCGTAAAAGCATCCTCATTCTCGGGGTCGACAAAAGGGTTGGGTTGGTCCTCAGCAGGCGTCGCCCGGTCCACGCTGATACCCAGATCCTGTGGCGGCACCGCTGGAAGATCTGGTGCGAAGGCGCTAATCGGCGAGACGGGACCTCGACTGGGAGATCCAGACGGGCCAAAGTAAGGAGAAGATGCCTGAGACCGCAACGCAGGGTGCACATCGGTCGGCGGCGTCATCGTCCGCGCATTGCGCTCTTCCTCGATTCGTGATCGAACCTCTTCCGCAGTGAAATTGCTATCCTGTCGACGCACGGGGCCCTCGTTCAGTTCCTGCTGCTGGCTAGCTTGTGCGCGAAGTTTGCGATCCAGCTTGTCTGCCATGTTCTTGTGACGCTGTTCTCGACGCTTTGCATCGCGCTCCATGATGACGCGCAAATCGCTCGCGTCAAGTTCGTCCGCCTCGTTCCCCACTGCCTGATATTTCTTTTTCTTCTTGGACAGGTCGCGTACGGGTTGCTTGCCCCCCTCTGCTCGGATAGAATCAATCCGATAGAGCACACCCGAAGGAGGCTCGGCCGGGAGACTACTCGGCGCGAAACCCATCGGTCCTGCCGAGCGCACCGACGGGCGAGGGTTGATGATGGCGAAATTGCTCACCTCCCACCCGCGCTGCTCGATCCATCCCGTCATTGAAGAACGTAGCGAGCCTTCAGCCGGGAGTGTAACAGAAGAGTCCTTAGTCCTCAGCTTTTGAGCATCGCCTTGTAGCGGGTTCTCCCCTCTCTGCTGCGGTATGGACAACGGCGCATTCATCTCTCGAAGATCTTCTTCGCGAATGGCGCCACCTGCGTACGACCTCTTCGATCGATCGGATGCCTTGCGACCGAGAGAAGCATATGGTCTGCTGCTGCGCTTGGACACAGGCGATACGGCGCGTGAGGCGGGTTCCGAAGTCTGCTGGCTGCCGGAATTCGAGCTCAATTTACGATGGAAATTGTACGGGATCTGTGGTCTGCTGAGACTGGCAGAGCGCAGATGTGGGCTCGTCGATAGCGACTGGGGGTTGGGTAGCGCTGTGACATCTTCGTGGCTGTCTTGACGTGATCGCGGGATTGCCGCTTCTGTTGCGCGACGTGGTGGCGCAGAGAGGGGATCGACGGGGAGCGTCGCGAAGGGGAATGAAGCTTTTCGGCCGCTCGGGATCTTTATCGAACGCGTCGCGGTTGGATCATCGAACGGATTTGGTTCGGATGGAGCGCCGGCGTTGTCTGTCGGGTCCGGGGTCAAAATGCCGGTCTGTTGGCGCGATGCTGGCGGTATAGACGAGCCATCCTGGAGAGTCTGAGCTCGCCGTCGCCGGAAAGGCCAGACGGGCATTGTTCGTTATGATGGTGCGCGCGAAGCTGTCGACATGGCAATCGCGATCTTTTTCTCTTCGAACCGAGACTGGAGAAAGCGCGCAGGTTTGGAATAGGTCGATCGCGACGACGAGTCCAGTTTCTGTCCGGAATTGGAGAGATCCGAAGTCAGAAAAGGATGCGAGGTGAAGGGTGAAGATGGCGAAGAGAGGGAGAGGGTTTCGGATCGACGTCGAGGGATTCCGCAGGGTCCAGCGAAAAGGCAGTAGGCAGGTGGTCGTGGTGGTATAGGACGACGACTGACTGTGTGCTGTATTATGACGGGATGGATTGCTCTGGTGCTGGATCGTATTGGACGTGCTGGAGTAGAGTTTCGCGCGTAAAAGTGGACGACGGTGGTGGTGGTGGTGGTGGTGCGTGTGCGGGTATGTGCGTCTGCGTCTGTGTTTGTGTGTGAGAGAGAGAGTGTGTGTGTGAGTAGTGTGAGTGCGAGTGTGTGGTGTGATGCGCCAGACCAGACGTGAGAAGAGAGAAATGGCGTAGGTGGTGGTGGAATGATGATCATCCTATGGGAATATGGCCGTATAATGGATGGCAAATGGATGGTGGCTGCCGCGCTGTGATCTGGGCCGACCGTTGAACGACACGACTCCCACCGTTTACTATCCATTTTTCCGGTTTGCTTTTGTGATTTGAATAAACGTTTCGCCGAAGTCAAATCTTCCTAGGGCTGGCTGGCTGAGAGCTACCCATCTCGTCTTTTTTTCCATCCGAGGAGAAGGATCCTGTGGTGGGACTGTAGATCATCGCCTCGTTTTCCCCGTGGGCCTGGTAATGGTCAGAAATTGAACCATCATCACAAGGAAGAAAACCCCCGCCCGCGCACCGGGTCCCAATTGCGCCAGCGAGAGACCGGCATCACAAAGATCGCACATGGATTAGATGTAACACTGTATAATAAGCATAGGTATATATAGATACACAACATATGAAAAAATAAATATATATATACAGTACCTACGTACCACATTCCCGCCAGATATACTACTCTATTGATGACCACTGTGATCTACAGTATACGCTGCAGAGATCACCCGTCCCTTGTAATGATGTTCTACGATTGGCGACCGACATCGAAACTTGCAGGTGCAACAAGAGACAGCAGCCGACCGTGACAGCCGATGGGTTCCAGATTCCAGATTCCAGATTCTGTTCGATCGACGGGACCCAGATTGATTCTGTGCTGCACAGCGGGAAAATCGCCGAATCGATGAGACGATCGTGCCCTCTGCCCTTTGCCCTCATCGCCTGGCCATCGAAACGCCCGACCTTTTTTTCTTTTTCACCAGTGCATTTCCCCTTGTGCGCCCGGGAGTATCCATCTTTCGCAAACGACCTCACGGCACGCAGGACGTAGGCAGATCACACGGCGCCGTAGCGACCGAGCAAGTTACCAGACCTGTGCAGAGCGCGTGCCCCAAATTCCGAATTCCTCCAGAAGACTGCGAAAAAACAAAGAAACACGAAACGAAACAGACGGAGAAAAGGGCGCACACACCTGGAGTGACTTTCGGGCGGATCGATCCCGAGCGGCGGGCGGTCCAGGCGCGCTGGCGCCGCCGCCACCACCACCGGCGCTTTCCGGGGGGCATCGCATGGATTCTCGCGTCCAGACCACACTCCAATCGATCCGGACTGCAGTTCATCACGGAATCTTCCCACGAGCAGAAGGGAAAGTAAAACGTAGGCTGTCGAGCTGAAGTATAGCCCGAGGGCGCGGTGTGCACAGACATGAAATCAAACGTAGGCGGTCGAGGTAGGCTATGCGATGTTGCCGTCTATAGGGAGATTGTACTTTCCGGGAGGAAGAAAGAGAAACGAAAAAAAAACACTTGGAAGGCTCGATGGATGATTAATGACGAGACAACGATGAGCGACGAAATTTATGTTGCCTGCTGTCGACTGGGGATCAATCATGAGAGCATCATGTCACGGCGGAGGGCAGAGAGCGAGGGCTCATAGAGGACGAACAACATCGCCATCTTCAGAGCAAAAGGGTTGGATGTCAAAGCAGAGCTGGGGAATGATACCCATATGTGTGTGTGTGAGAGAGAGAGAGTGAGAGAGAGAGAAATATCGTTTCTTGATCAAATTATCTATGATGAAATGATTCATATTTTTCAGAACAAGTGAACAAGTGAAGCAAGGACAGGCAACAGCAACAGCAACAGCAACAGCAACAGCAACAGCAACAGCAACAGCAACAGCAACAGCAACAGCAGCAGGAGCATCAAGCAGTGTTCAATTCATCATTCCTAGCAGCAGAGATAAAGTAGAGTAGAGAGATATAACCCGACAAAGATCCCGAGCGTCGTCGTCGTCGTCGTCGAAGAAGAGATCGACGACCGACCCGATCCCCGATCCGTGTATATGTATGAACAATCCGTCCGACACCGATCCCGATCCCGGTCCCATTCCCAGGAGAAAACGCCCCCCCTTCTGTGATTTCCGATTCCACCGCCCAAAAAAACAGACTGCTCGCCTTGAACCCCAGACTCGGATGAGAAGAGAACCCGAGGAGGGGAAGGGGCATGAAAGGAGGAGGGGAGTAGTAGCAGTAGTAGTAGCCGTCCGGAAACACACCCGCGCGCCAGACACCCACACACACACAAAAAGGGGGTATCTATTCGTACACACACACGCGCTGCAAACAGAGAGGTTCTTTCGTTTTCCCTTGCCCCTTCTGCCTCCAGAGGAGGAGAGAGAAAATGAGGCAGGCGAAAAAAGAGAAAGAAGAAAGTCTCAAAATCGCTGAACATGGAAAACCAAAAAACCAAAAATCATGAAAAAGCGCTAACGTGAAAGGCCAAAAAAGCAAAGTGAAAAAGGCATTAAAAATCACCGATCGAGAAAAGCACCGCGACAGAGAGAGAGGGGGAGGGGGAGATGAGACCAATCATCTCACCAACTCCGCGATCTTGCCCGCGACGGCCGCAGGGTAGCCCCGGCTCAGGGCCTCGCGCACCACGGCGCGGGCGTTCTCTCTCTGCTCGACGGCGAGGTAGGCGCGGACCATGGCCTCGTAGGTGCTGGGCTCGCGGCGGGCGCGGGGGACGCGGTCGAAGGCCTGGCGGGCCTGGACGATGTCGCGCTCGAGGGCGCCCCAGCCGTGGATCAGGGCGTTGGCGATGTAGGGGGTGAAGTCGACGTTGCGGGCGAGCAGGTCGCGGAGGAGGGCGGGGGCCTCGGCGGCGACGCGGCGGTGGGCGTTGAGCGATTCGAAGAGGGATTGGTAGAGGCAGGGGTGCGGGGCGAGGGGGACGCGGGTCCCCGGGGCGGTGCCGGCGAGCACGGCGGAGAAGAGGGCGCGGGCGGCGGGCAGGTCGTGTTGCGCGCAGCCTTTGGCGTGGATGAGCGCGGCGTAGTGCACGGCCTCCGGGGTCACGCGGGCGGCGGCCATGTCGGCGAGGACGGCTTCGGCGGCGGGCATGTTGATGGGTTCCAGGGTGGCGTGGACGTCGATGAGGAGTTTGTAGGTGTGCACGGTGGGGGTGATGCCGCGGGCGCGCATGCGCTCGTAGTAGGCGAGGACCTTGCCCCGGTCGCGCTTGGTGGTGAGGAAGAACTGCATCAGGCTGTGGTAGGGCGCCGGACGGGGCTTGTAGTTGGCGCAGGCTTCCATCTCCTCGAAGATCTCCTCGGCGAACTTCTCGTCGGACACACGGCACAGGGCGTTGACGATAGTGCCGTAGGTGACGGAGGTCGGTCGGATGCCCAGGCCGCGCATCTCCGCGAAGTAGAAGAGACAGTCGTCGATGCGACGTGCCTTTCCGAGCTTGCCGATCAGGGCATTGTACAGGAACGAGGATGGCTCAGCACCTTCAGCCTTGGCCCGATGGAAGATCTTGACCGCTTCCGTAGCCTCATCGAAAGTCTTGGTGTTCTCCTTGAGGGTGGTGATGTAGAGACCGAAAGTGTTGGCGGAAGGCGCGCAACCCATCTCGAGCATGTCCTGGTGGAACTTGGCAGCGAGATCACGGCGGCCCAAGTTCAAGCAGGCGGCGACCATGTGGTCGAGGATCTGCTGCCAGCCGAAGCGGACCACGCGGTAGCGGGCGTCAAAGGGAACATCCTGCTTGGCCATCTCGAGCAGGTCGTGCGTGAGGTTGAGGTTGTTCTCCTTGGCGGCGGCCTCGATGAGTTTGCCGTAGGTGAACATCTTGGGGATACGACCGATGCGACGCATGTTCCGGAACTTGGTCAGAGCTTCACTCATGCGACGACCCTGTGGCCGCTCGAGCAATTCGTTGATTGCGTTCGATGCCTTCACATCAGTGCGAGCAGCGTAGGGGTCGAATGTCTCCTCGAAAGCAGCAGGAGCCGGAAGCGGCAGGACCGGGGAAGCGAAGATGGCTGGGCTGGTCGGGTAGCGGTAGTCATTCCACAGTCGCGACAATTCAGCACGATCGATGTTGACGAGGGTCTTCTCGATCATGTTCTCTGTACCGACGGCGGGCATCACACCACGCGAGACAATGTTCTCCAAGATGCATCCGAAACGAGCAGGGTTGGCAATGTCTGCGGACATCTCTTCTAGGATCATGCTGGATTGAACGCGAAGCAGGAACTCCAAGTTGGCCTGGCTCAACCGAGCGATGTGCTCAGGGCCGAATCGAGCAACAAGGTGCTCAGCGATCTCAGGGATGAGAGAGCCGTTGTCGACCATCATCTGCAAGACCTCAATGCCCTGCTCCGGCACAAAAGGAATGCCATTCTTCAGCATGAAGGACCCAATCAACTCGATGGCTTCGTCAATCTGCTCGGACGCTTCTGCGAGTTTGTTCTCCGACTGTGCTTCACGCACTCGGTGGAACATGCGACGCGATTGCGCGAGACCACGAGCCGCCTGTCCCATGCCGACGAGCGCGATTGCACGCATCGTGGTCGGTTCAACGAAGACACGCTTAGCACGAGCAGATTCCAGGACAGCCCAGAATGGCTCTGCGGCCTCGATGTTGGCATTGCGGATGTGCATCGCCAGAATCGCCATGCTGGCCTCGGCAAGGTCGGTGGTTTGCCGGGAGAGCATCTCAAAGGCTCTCGTGCTGACTTCGACAGAGTTGGCGTCAGCAGCTGCCACAGCGATCGAGGTCAGAGCAGCCGACTGCGCACGCCCACTCAGTGAGGCGCTGAGGTTGAAAGCGTCCTGGAAGGTTGCATCCTTGAGAGCCAAAGGGAGCAGAGCTTTGCGTGCGACAACCTCTCGAATTTCTTCGACGGTAGTCGGATTTGTGAGGGAAGCCTGGATGCTAGCCAAGAATTTCAATCCTCCCTTGAGTCGGCCTGCAACACCGTACGCTTCGATGAGAGCGGCGTAGACTTCGTTGTCGATGCGAACGATGCTGTTCTCACTGGCATTGTTGGCAACGGCCAACGCTTTGTACTCGTCATACACCTCCACCGCATTGCGAAGGTCCCCGACACGACCAAATGCAGCAATCATAGCTGGGTAGATGGACGACTGTGGTGCGAGTGCACGAGACTCCATGTATTGGTGTACACGGGTCATGTCCTCTACGCGGCCATGTGCGGCGCTGGCGTTGATGAGTGCGGCGCAAGCCTCTGCAGGCACAGCGTGTGATGATTTGGATGCACGCTCAAACATCTTCAAGGCGATGGTTAGAGAGTTGTCCTCGGATACGAGGGCATGCTCGGTCGCGCTCGACTTGAACATGAATCTTCCAGATTCCTCCAATCCACCGAAACGGTTGAGCCTCTCGTCAAGAGACTTGCGAAGAGCTACAGCATCAGAGGCGCGAGTGGCGAGGAGGTCGATGAGCATGCCATAGGTCGCTGCGTCGGGCACGACTCGTCTCCGGAGCATGTCGGAATAGACTTCCAATGCTTTTGGCACCCTCTGGTGCTTGCCGCGGCTGAGAACAATGGCGGAGCTCAACAGGGCGCGGTAGGCATTCTGCGAAGGCTTCTGCACGCCTGACAAAAGCATTCCCTGGAAAAGTGTGGGGATCTTTGCAAAGTCCTCCTGCTCCGCCAAGCGCATCAACTGCTCAGTGTATACATCGCTCTCCGCGAACGAGTCGATTAAGCTACCATCAATCGGAGAGAACTGAGTCGCGCTGGATGTCGAAAACGTCTCCGATGGACCAGCAGAGGCGATGGAAGGAGACCGGCTGGCCTCCGCAACAGATTCCTCCTTGACCCGCTGTACCTCCTCCGCAATCGCCGTGTTGACCTGTTCGAGCGCAATCGCTTCGGCCTTTTCATCCAGAAGGAAAGCCTTTTCGAAATTGTCGAGCGCGCTGGTCGTGTACGATCGCTTCAAGACGGGTGCGACCGGCGCACCATCTCCCGCCTCAAAGACCTCCTCGACATCTGCAGCCTCCTGGGTTGCGATGGGAATGGTCGAGGGCGGCTGCCACTCGATGCGCCGGGCAAACTGAAACTGTTGCCATTCCTTTGCGCCATTCGGCTGATGTTTCTGCCACGCCTCGAAGTATTTGTCTAGCCCCGAGTCCTGGTGAGCGGTATCCGGGCGACCTGCCGCGCCGCCAGCGACGGCCGTGCTGGCGTGACGTGCATGGTCCGCGAGGTGGAGAACATTTTGAAGACGAGCCTTTTCCGATTTACGGAACCTGCCGATGAGAGATTCGGCAAGAGGGCCAGGGTTGGTGTTCTGAGCCGCGTAGGAGGATTGAGAAGCGGCGACAACAGTCTGGGCGTAACCGTGGGTGAAAGATTTGAGGGCAGTGCCTGCAATGCGCGAGAGGTGGACCGTTGGTTTCACGTAAGGCATTCAATCAATACGATAAGACACCCTTCGGGAGAGAAGGAGTGAACTGTGTTGGGTGAAGATGAGATGTCAGTGATCGGTAATCCACAAGCTAATGGGAGCCACCAAAAAAAGAGAGGTATGATGCGTACAAGAAGTTTAGAATGGATGGCGTAGGTGCAGGTTCATTTGACGACGGCTGGTCGTCAAACAAACGCGCCTTCCAAAGATGGAAAGAATTAGTAGATGGGTGAAGCGGCGAAATGAAGCCGCCGAGAAAGAGGTTGTTGTGGATTTGGCGATGTGGTCGATGTCTTGAGCATACAGAAGTTGGACGGAGAGAAGAGGGTAGCAAGATGTATATGAAAGCACTGTTCATCGCTAGGGCAGGCAGAGGTGTTGGTGAGAGCCTGAGAGGAGTCACACACACACATACAGTGACACGCACACCCCAGATGGGCAGACAGCCACGAACACAATGGAGCTGCATGGAAGAACCAGCATCAGCATCAGCAGCAGCAGCCCGGCGCCCGTGGAAAACGCGCCAACAAACAAACGTGCCGGTTTCACCTTCATGCCCGGATTCGTCCTACAGTTGTCATTCCTATTCTGCTTTGGCTACAGTTGTGTCGCCTAACAATGAAGATGATAATTGTCCGTGGTTCCCAATGATAATAATGATAATAATCATAATAAATCGTGCTGAACTGTGGCCAAAGTCACGATTCCGAGGCTGACGAGACGGACTGCTCGCGAACTCCTCACGCCTAGCCGACGGTAAAATTCCCCTACTGTCCTGCCTTCCAAGATTTCGACCACACACAATGCACCAATCCAAAAAGAAATCATCAAAGTCAGAGGCGACCGACTTGTCCTTATTCGGCCAATGGTTCTCAGTTCTGACACAACCCCCCCTCCAGCATGGCATCTGCTTTTTTTCCTTTTCATCGTTCGCCGGTCCCAACGCCCGCCAGCAATTCTTTGAATCGAGGGAACCTGGGCATAATTGTAGGGCGATATCACACTCAAAATGCTCGACTCGGCTCCGTTGACCACATCCTCCTTCCTCTGCCCAAGAGCGAAATGTGGACATGGACGTGTGGACGATTCCCGAATTTCACGAGCATGGAGGCCACAGTGGTCGGGCAGGGCAAGACCGCGGCATGGCCGAGCCTCACGAAGCCGATGCAAGCGGACGATGGATGATGCATAGCCGGGGATGGAGCTGGAGGGAGGGAGGGAGAGAATTTTAGGGCCTTGGGAAGCTCCATCGAACCCGAACTCTCCGCCCGCCGCGCGCGCGCCACACTTGTCATGTTTGCCCATCTTCATTTTATTATTCGCAACCACACCAACTCCGCTGAATCGATTACTCGGATTCTCCATCGATGCCGTGGATCTGGGAATCTAGACCTGTCGAACGGAACCCACTTTGTCGATCGTCGTCATTGGTGAAATCCCGCGTTGGGGAAAAAATGCCAGCAACATTCTCGTGACGAGGTCCTTCGAGATAAGATAAGACATGGGTGGTGATGGGAAGCGGAATGCTGCAGAAAGCTGTCAGCCACCAAGCACGAACCCACGGATCCAGTCGATGGGACATTGGTCGTCGGCATGCACCAGGCCGTTTGCGCCGATGGGACGAATGCATTCATCCCGTAATAAAGTGTTCATCATGCGACACGCGCCCCATCGATCCCGGTTCGGTTTCTTCAGCCCGGCCCCGTCCGCCCATGTCCAGTATCTCCTATGTCCGAACATGTGCGGGATTTTCTTTGTACAGGATTTGTGCAGGACGGTTCCCTCCCACCCGTGATTATCCTATGTGCCCATGAACCACACCACGCGTATGCAGGTGCCTGTTGAAGTCGGCCCGGGAAGGGAACTCCTGGTTCGTGATCACGTAATCACACAATCATCAATTTTGTGCCTCTCTGCCTGCCACGAACAGTACCGCCTTGGAGTACTGTACCCTTCTCCCTCCTTCTAGCACTGACTGCCGGACATCACTCACCGTCAACAGTCCAAGCGTCATTCTCGTCATGGACATCACGTGTACCGTATGTACATTCCTCACGGAGATCGGTCTTCACCACTTCCAACATCTCCCGATAATCCTTGACGAATGCGATCCTTCCATCCCGGATCATTCTCAATGTCAGCACTATCACCATACAAATGTCTCGGATGGTTCCCGGGACCATACGAGAGAGAGCCCGCCTCAGAGAGGACAGCGCGGGTGACTCACAGTCGTCACGGGATCCTCAGGCGAACCCTTTTACGTAGTAGGATCTACCTGTCATTCCGGCCAACACTCCACAAAGACAGCCAGGTAATCCTCCTTGATATTTACGGTATCACTGATAACAGGAACAATGCACATTGGCTCCCTTTGCTCCCTATGAAATGATCTTCGCCACCGAATATATCATCATCATCATCACCATCATCATCATTAAATAATCAGGAGCTTCATCATCATCATCATCATCATCTCCCGGATTGCCTGTCACATCTCTAGCTCCCGACCGCGCGGTGCCTGGCCCTATCCTGCTGGACTAGCCTGACCCGGCCCGTCGTCTCCGAAGCTTCCCGCGATCCCTCTCCAAGGCGCGCGCGCGCTGGTCGCCGTTGGGAGTTGATGGTCGTTTGGGTAGTTCGCCCAAGTTTTAAATTTTTTTTGATTACCACATTACATACATTCCGTATCCACTCGCACACGTCCAGAGGGTTTCGCGTCCCCTATTCCTCCTTCCCTTCCTCATACTATACAAAAAGTGATCACGAGGGTCACGAGGGGCAGTTACGCTAGATGGTGATGGGCTGTGAGGAGAATTTCGCTGCTGGATGATATTTTTCCTAGACCGAGGGAGTTCCAGTGCCGGAGTATATTTCGCTTCGGCGATCATGGAGGCCGTTTGTCTTCATCAGCAGAGGGAGCCTTGGAAGGAAAGTGAGGAGGATTTGAGACCTCAGGCAGATATCTATTTGTGCCTGAGGCATAAATGAACATGGGGTTGACTATCTGATCTGGCCCACGCGAGAGCTCTGCCACGCAGCTTTGGAAGAGACAAGCCAATGCCGGTGTAGAGAGCTGTACATAGGTACCACAATTCAACATCACTTCGAAAACGTACCATTCGTCCGCCAAAATCAGACCATTTGGTGATCCAACGAGTCAATCGAGAACTTGAAAATGAACATATAGAAGAACATCATAAAATATAAATCAACTTGTCAATAATCACCACTTTCCCAAGCCGCAAGCAAAACACAAGTCCCCGCCTCCAATATCAAACCCCTCAATATTTCTTCTGCGTTTGAGAAAAAAACAAGATTCATAATGGCCTCCACCGTTGTCGACGACGAAAAAACCCCTCTCGTCCCCACCGCCGTCTCCGCTCCCGGTAAGGTCCTCCTCGCCGGCGGCTACCTGGTTCTCGATCGAGCGTACACCGGACTGGTCTTCGGCCTCAACGCCCGGATCCACGCTGTTATCCAACCGATCCCCACCGGGCCGGGGATCGTACTGAACGAAATCTCCGTGAAGAGTCCCCAGTTTCGTCATGCAGTGTGGAATTATGGCTATCGCCTGGCGGAGAGGGAGGGAGGTGTGAAAGTGACACAGTTGAGAGTGTAAGAAGTTTCTGGCGAAAATCACCCCTGATTCCAGCTCACTGATTTGGAAACGCCTTGACACAGAGATGCTGATCTCGCCCTCGATCGAAACCCCTTCATCGAGACCACCCTCAGTTATGTCCTCAGCTACATCACCAGCGTCGCCAGCCCCATCATCGAACCCTCATCCATCACCATCTACGCCGACAACGACTACTACTCCACTCCCGCCGACTTGACCACCGCCACCACCAACCCGACGACAACAAGTCCCCGCTTCTACAACTTCAACGTGCCCCTCTCCGAAGCCCACAAGACCGGCCTCGGCTCCTCCGCCGCCCTGGTGACCTCCATCACCGCCGCCCTCCTCTCTTTCTACCTGCCCAAATCCCACTTCGACCTCCTCCCCACCAGCGCCCTCGCCTCGCCCAGCAGGCGCCGCCTCCACAACCTCGCCCAAGCCGCCCACTGCGCCGCCCAGGGCAAAGTCGGCTCGGGCTTCGACGTCGCTTCCGCCGTCTACGGCAGCAGTCTCTACCGGCGCTTCTCCCCCAGCATCCTGTCCAACCACCCGGAACCCGGGTCGCCGAGCTTCGCCCCCGCCCTCGTCGGCCTCGTCGAGGAGCGCGCCGCAGACCCCTCCTCCCCCGCCGCCATCACCTGGGACACGGAGATCCTCCAGGACGCCGTCAAAGTGCCGCGCGGCCTCCGCCTGGTCCTCTGCGACGTCGCGGGCGGCAGCCAGACGCCGGGCATGGTGAAGCAAGTCCTGGCGTGGCGGGCCGCGCAGCCGGCCGAGGCGGACGCGCTCTGGACGGAGCTGCACGCCGCGAACCAGGCCCTCGCCGCCGAGCTCACGGCCCTCGCCGACGCCCAACCCACCGGATCCCTCGCCGACGACGACGGCGACGAGCCCGCCGCCCTCCGACCCCTCCGCGCGGCGTTCGCCCGCATCCGCGCGTCCCTGCGCGCCATGACGAGGCAGACCGGCGTCCCCATCGAGCCGGCGGCGCAGACCCGCCTGATCGACGCGTGCGAGGCGGTCCCGGGCGTGGTGGGAGGCGTGGTGCCCGGGGCGGGGGGATACGATGCCATCGCGCTGTTGATCCGGGACCGGGAGGACGTCGTCCGGGCTCTGAGGGAGCTGATCGCGGGGTGGGAGTTCTCGGGGGAGGAGGGGGTCGGCGGGAAGGTCAGCATGTTGGGGGTCCGGGAGGAGATGGAGGGGGTGAGGGCGGAGGAGGCGCGGGGTTATTCGCTTTGAAACGGTGGGATGGATGTAGATTGGAGATGGTTCGTGGATATCTAAAGTTGATGAAAAGTTGGGATCGAAGTAGAGGGAGAAAGAGAGAGAAGAAAAGAAATTAGATTACGGGGTAGATCACGACTTCACGACGGTGATAGATTCTGGCGTCTTTGCAGATGACAAGTTTTCGTATTGCGTGTCCAGCCCATTAGACCCTGCCTGATGCCTGTCCTTTCCCACCCCACGCGCGACCCTCTGACAACTCCGTACGCCGTCGCTAAACAAATCAAGCCAGTAGAGAGAAGCGCTGCCCGCGGATGGATCTACTGCGAGTCCCCGCGAGAGACCCGTCACACCCTCGACCTCGACTGAAGCTGGGGGAAATGCCCTCGCCGTTTCGGGGCGTGCCTGACTCACTCGAACCCTTCCGCGCGCGGGTCCCGCTTCTCCTTGCTCGGACTCGCCGTCGATGAAGCCGGCGGCGGAAGCGGTGCGGATCCGTCAGCTGATGCATTCGCGATGACACCCAGCGGATCGAGACTCGAGGGCACGGACGGCGGGGGCGGCGGCCGGGGAGGTTGAGGTTGCTGCAGTAGAGGCGCCTGAGGCGCAGCGCCGAGGAGGCTCCGACGGTATGCGGCGGTGATGGTGGCGGTCGGAGAGGGTGGGCCGAGCTGCTCTGTGTCTTCTTGGATGGGTTCGTCGAGGAGCGGGTCGCGGGTGCTGACGCCGTCCATGTCGAGGAGGAGGTCGGTGCCGGAGATGTGGTGGGGTCCGGAGCGGTTCGCGTCGACGGCGTGTTGGAGGGTGGAGAGGAAAGCGGTCATCTCGTGGGAGGTGGTGACGGATGGGGTAGACGGCGTGGTCGAGTGTTGTTCTGCGCCCTTGGCCGCGTTGTTTGCTGTTCTGGCATAGAGTCTGCGCGCTTCGGCGAGTCGTTTTTCGGCTTGCGCGGCTTTGCCCAGCTGTAGCCAGGCATCAGTGGCTAGGAGATTCCAAAAAGCGGCTTTTCTCTGCCGATTGCCACTTTGAAGAGCGCCGACGCCTTTCCGTTCGGCGAAGCAGGTTGCGATGCGCTCCATGATGAGCACATGGCCGATGGGTCCTACCAAGCGATCGTCGAGAATCTTGTTCGACCAGCGGGCGGCGTCGTCGACGGCACTGCCTCCGCGAAGTCGAAGGAGTTCGAGGCTGAGTATTAACGTGCGGAGCGCATTGTATGGCGCCGTCACGCGGTTCAAGTAGGAATAATATGCTGTCTCGATATAACTGTCGATGGTTTCGATGCGCACCTTACTGCTAAGATTGCCGGTGAGCGCGAGAAGCGTGCTTACGGCAGCCATCTCATTAGCAGCAGCGAGATGGCGCCATGCTTTGTCACTCTTGAAATCCTGAACCAGGATCTCATAAACGCTCTGGGCGAGTTTGAAGTCACGGATCATCATGGCGTAATCGGCAAGCTTGCGCATGATCGCCTCGGGGGCATCAGGGCGGTAGAAACCTTGAAGCGAGTCGTAATTGTTGCCACCGCCTGACAAAGCTGGCACGTTTGCAGCACGACTACTGAAACCCGTAAATCGCTTGGACAGCGTGATGAAGCGGCCACTCAGACCACGACGTCGTGATGCGACCTGGTCATTCCACGTGGCGGATGCCCGCTCCATGGCTGGAATGATCGACTGCGTGACCATTTCTCGCACAAATGCTCGCAAGGCAGATGCATCCGATTCGAATATGTACGGTGTAGGATCTTCGTCGTCTTCGTCTGCTTCTCGGCGCACAATTTCTGAAAGCTCCTCACTTGCAGAAATCCATTCACAATTTGGAAGTTTTATGCTGTCATCGTCGGAAGGCACGGATTGCGTGCTGCGAAGTCGTAACAGGTGGCAGTGAAGGCCGAAATGTCGCTTCATTTGATCGTATAATGCCATAGACTTGGTGATGTCGTCATAATCTTCATCATGAATCAGCACATAATATCGTAAGAATTCATTGTGCACCCATTGTGGTAGGCGGCGGTCACCGCTGTTCGATGAGTCGTAGAGGCTTCGTAACTCCTCAATAGGAGCTGGCGATCGTGATGAAATGGCAATAACCGCCGCGACAGGATGAGAAAACGTTTCCGATGGAACCATTGGCAGGCCAGATAATAACCTGCGGATATACAGCGCATAAAAAGGAGAGATGGCGTTCGGGTCGGCCACAACCGCGTCTTGGGAGTTGATGTAATCCACCTCGACCGGTCCGGAGCTCTCCTCAGAAAAAGTCAGGTGTCGCTCCACGAGCTCCTCAATCTGAGGGACATCACCACCCGTACGTAACCTTGCTGGCTTGTACTCCGGAAATGCCGCCTGCTTTGAAGGAGTGGACTGTGAATTGAGTGTGGAATCGGTACTCCTTCGATCTCCTGAACGGGGAGGCTCAAGCCCATCCTTTGCGCCAATGAAGCGGACTGAAAAGTCCTCCCACGACCGGCTCACGCCTCCACTGTCACGGACCGTGACCTTGCCTTGGACATGTTCACCAAATGGCCGAAGCAATTCCAACAAGCCACCATTGATCCCTTTGTGCCTTATGAGCTCTTCTGTATCGGCTGATGCCAGCACTGACACGTGCGGCGAGAATGCGCGCAAGATCAGATCCTTGATGCCGATGGTGTCAGGTTGAGTGGATGTCGCAGACAGAGGCGATGGGAGTATGGATGCACCGCCAGGGGAAAAGACCGAGCCATTGACGATTCCTGCGGTCGGAGTTATGATTCCGGATTCACTCGGGGAACCTGCGCGACTCCCTGACGGCAGCGCACTCGTCGATGCGAACAGGTTTGAAATGGATGCATTTGGACGACGATATTGTAACCCAGACACTGCCGCTAAAGGTGACTTGCTGAACAGTTTCCTCGAAGGCGAAGAAGTCTGCGGCTCGGAAAGAGGTTCCTGCTGTGCATGCAGTGCTTCATCCGGCAACGGTGGCATCAGAGAAGCCGGGTATTGGACGACAATTGGCGGATATAGTAGGATCGTGATTCATCGGGGTATTGTTTCCTCTGTCCTCCAAGGGTGCGTGATGCCGTCAAGCCGTCAGATTTCAGTGTCTCGTCAATTTGATCAAGTCAATTCATGTGTCGTTCCAAGTCGTCGATGTTGTGAATACACGCATGATTCCCTGTGCCGGAATACTAATAAGACGAGCATAGTCATGGGCGCAATCGGCCGCTGGGCTTCGCTGTCTAGGCTCGAACTTGCGGCGGTCGGCGTAATGAAATGGGCGATTATGTCATCATTCAATGCCCGAAGCACCCCAAGCGGAAGTCGACGATATATGGGCAGATTGGTTATGGTGAAACGACATCAGCATCAAAGGACTTGAAGTCGTTGCAACATCTTTCACAATCATCAAATGACACATAGCCCAACGAAGAATCATCAAAAAACTGTCGGCAGGCCGGTGCATCGATAACACAGATCAACGGAACTCATCTCGGAATTTTGAGCAAGGTCATCATCATTGAATGACTTGCAGACGAATTTCGCTGAGTCATTTGGCAGCAACCTTGACTTTCCGACCTGCTACTGTCAATAGATTCAGCCCACAAATAAAATATAGGAGATTTCAATGTCAAGGGAGACGGTGTATGTCGTCGGTCCGTTCGCTCTCCAGTTCACCTAGAGCAACTAAGCGACAGAGACTGCACACTCCATCTCCAATTCGGACCGTCAAATTTTCCGCCATGGCTCCTGGCTTGGTGGTGGAAGAAGTTGAAGATGTGACGCCTCTGCCTTCGAGTATAAAATTGACGCCTGTTGAGTTGAACATCCAACGCATGCTTCTTGATGTTGCTCAATACATCGATACAGAGTCACCAAACGACAATGTTGAAGGACAAGCCAGTCTACCCAAGGAGCTTCGTGAGCAGAAGCTATGTCTACGCATCACTGGTGGTTGGGTGAGAGACAAGCTTTTGGGCGTACCGAGCGTTGACATCGATGTCGCGATCAACAAAATGACGGGCTTTCAATTTGGCTTAAGAATGAAGGAATATCTGGAGATTCCGGGCAATCTCGAAAAGTACGGCCTGGAGTCCATCGCAGACAGCGAAAAGCTCAGTGCCAAAGCTGGCGCGACCGACAAGTCGAAGATGGTCGGAGGCCTACACAAGATTGAGGCGAATCCAGAGAAATCCAAACATCTTGAAACGACCACTGTACGAATCCTGGGACTCGATATTGACCTGGTCAATCTTCGAAAGGAGACATATTCAGATGATAGCCGTAACCCGCAAATGGAGTTTGGCACTCCAGAGGAAGACGCCCTACGTCGTGATGCGACTGTCAATGCCATGTTCTACAACATGAACACTCAAAAGGTCGAAGATCTTACAGGAAAAGGCTATGATGACATGCAAAAGAAGATCCTTCGCACACCTCTAGAACCCTATCAGACGTTCAAAGATGATCCTTTACGCGTACTGCGCTTGATTCGCTTCGCCGCCCGACTTGGCTACACCATCGAGGACGAAGCACTGGTAGCTATGGGCAATTCGGACATCAAAGATGCCCTTCACCGCAAGATCAGCAGAGAGCGTGTGGGTACGGAGCTAGAAAAGGCTCTTAAAGGCCCGGATCCCCATGAGGCGCTTCGACTGATATTCGAATTGGATCTGTACGACACCATCTTCGCCGATCCAAGCGTTGACCGCGCAGATCATTACACGCCAGATGTGACGCATTGGCGTATCATCATTGATGCCGTACGGGAGATGTACGAGAGCGAAGGGACTGTCTCACAGCATCTCATGAGAGATAAAGAGGAGCTGTACCTTGCCTGGCAACTGGCAGCAATGATCCCGTATCGTGACGCACCTCAACCTGAAGGTGATCCAGGAAAGAAACCACCACCTCCGATCTCGGTAGTCGTCGTTCGAGAAGGCATCAAAGCCACGAATAAAGTCTGTGATGCTCTGAATCTATCCATCCGGCACCAAAACGAGATTGCGATTTCCGTCGATCGTCTCTATCAACAGAAACGTCGACCTGAGAAGCAATTCGAAGGCGAAGACTTGACATCAAGAAGCGTCTTGGGTATGGCGATACGTCGATGGGGTCCGACTTGGCGGAGTCAAGTTTTCTACGCCTTGCTGGTGGAAATTGCAGACAGCCAGGATGTTGAGGGTCAGTAACGTCTCCAGAAGTAACACCTCGTTTGGAAACTCACAAATCATAGGGACTGAAAGGAAGTATGGCGCTTTCATCAAGCACATAGAGACGCTCGAACTGCTCGATGCCTACTCTATAAAATCGCTTCTCGACGGCAAGCAGCTCGCTAAAGCTCTCGCAACACCTCCTGGGCCTTGGATGAAGGATGCATTGGATGTAGTCATGGCCTGGCAGCTCCGAAATCCTGGACAAACCGATCCCACCGCCGCGATAGACGCAGTCCGGGCGCACCAAAACCATGGTGAGCTTCCATCAGATCTCGTGCGTCATTTCCTCAAACTTACCATTCGTCCTCTGTTCGTAAAGGCAAGTCCGCGTAACTTGACGGATCAAGGCCGGAAGGTCATGACCCCACAGCTTCCCCCGAAAATCAGCCTTCAATCACCGGACGATAGTATTACTAGACCTTGGAAATATGCTCAAGACGCTTCGGCTTTGAATCTGCTGAAGTGGATCGTCTCCGCCCTCCATCCTAAGCTTACAGAGGAGGTCTGGCCTCTGATTGTACCTCCCATTCTCACACTCATCGACGACTGGGAGATCAAGTATAAGCAGATTGGGATATCCTTACTTCAGACCCTACTTGAGAAGACACCACCTGCACTTCTCGCCCGGACCGGCTTGAGCGAGGTTTTTGAGGAAGCACTCATGCCATGTTTGACATATCTTCCGACATTGAACACACCAGAAGAATCCGTCGCCATGCTCTCTGTCACATACTCTGCACTGCTCGTGTTGACGCAGACACGGTTTCCGCCAGAAGAAAACGCACCTCAGCGCGCCAAAATGCTCGATACCATGATTCGCAAAGGCATCCTCTATGGTTACACAACGGCAAGCGAGTACCCGAGCATTGTAACCACTCTTTTCAGGAACCTTGCGTTGATCCTCGACGAGCTGGGCATAGACTCGGTCAAACACATCAAATTCATCTTGCCTATGCTCACTCAAGCGTTGTCTCATCCCCACGGGACGGCATCGCTTCCAATGCTGAATAGTGCTGTGGTTGCTCTTCAAGCGCTGTTACGTAACTGCTGGCCGAGAATGGCATATCATAGGGCTGAGGTGCTCAAGGGTCTTGCGATGTGCTGGCTGAATGTAGCTGAACTCGATGGCGGAGATAAGGAAGGCCTCGCTGCGTTGAGAGGAAAGCTCCGAGAAACCGTCGATTCGCTGGAAACGATACTCAGAGATGATGAGACGTGCGATGTGGAGGCCGATGTGGAGCAGCTGATTTCGGCCGACGACCGTTTGCGCGATCTGCTGCTCCCTGGGGAAAATCCAGTGCGCGGCTCGAAATGAAGCAGGGCAGTGGAAATCGTGAGCGTATGATTTTTGTGACAAGTGTATATATCGCGTGACTATCATTAAATGGACGGCAACATGACCCGCATTCTGCTCCATCTCCAAATCAAAAGTTACAACAAGTTTGCGATCGACCACTCTTGACGACCCTGCGATTTTGTTTAAGACGCATATACCCTTCCCACCATTAGCCGTTGTGACGCATCGCTCTTTTCTCCCTTCGCCCCTCGATCCGGCCGTCGTTCGACAACAGAGAGAGGATCTCCGACGCCCGCAGCGGTTTTGCATTTCCATTATTACAATCATGATATGACATAGGACGACCAGGCGCCTCGACGAGGACGGCCACTTTCATGTCATACCTCTCCCAGCCCAGGGATGCGGCTCAGAATGTCAAAGACGTGCTGCGTCGGCACCTGGCATTCTTGTCCGTATTTGCAGCCCAGCTGCCGCTCTACTTCGTCGCCTGCGCGCTGGTCGATCGAGCGTAAGATACCCACGGCTGTCCGGCAGCCTTGGGTGTCTGAGTCGGGCGATGGAAGCGTCTGTGTCGTGCTGAAGTTGCAGGGCTCCCACGAGGTCGCGCCTGCCTGGAAGGATGTACCGAGGCTGTTGATGTTGTTGTTGTTGTACATGCTGGTCGGGATGTTGTTGAAGTCATATGCCGGCTGGGGAGGGAAGAGGGTATCCTGGCTGAAGCTTGGGACGTGCGAGGCGGACCTGGTAAGGTAGGCGCTCTGAAGGTAGTCTCGTGCGCTTGGTGCTGGGTTCGGGTCGGCATGGGGATATGATGTCGGAGCGGGTCGAGGGCTTGTGTTGAAATCGGTTTCGCTTACGGTGGTCACTGATGTGGTCGGCGAAGCGATGTTGGGAGGCGATGCTCCTTGCGATGGTGCACAGCCGCCAGGATTGCAGGTCCGCTTCACCGAGAGCAGACTTTCCAGGCTCCTGGCTGAGGCTGTCAGGCTCGCACCAGCAGCATCAGAGTCGATTGGAACATTGTCGATGTCGTCATCGCTCAGACCGCGTTGTTTGAGCAGCATTCTCAATCGCTTGTTCTCATCGACGACGCGGCGAGCAGCTGCTTGGATCTCCGCCGAGGCCTCGACGCCCAGCTGCTCGCAGTTTCGAAAGCGAACTTCGAGGTCTTGGAGGTATTCCTTGCGTCGTGCACGAGATCTGCGTTGGTTATCTCGGATCCGTGCAAGGTTTGCACTCCGCTGTGTCCATCCGGTGTCAGCATGGTTGAGCTTGAGATTTCTCGTGATGAATCTCATGCGAGACTTTGCTGCCTTACCTGGGCGTGGGTTTGAGGTTCGTCGCCCATGTCGCTGGAAGCGAGGCGGCTCGACCCATCAGACATCTTTGATGTTATCAAGTCGAGGTGCGTCTAGATGGAGTTTGACTTGATTCGCGCTCCTAAAAGAGGCCTCTGGGCGGGGAAAGATACTCGTGTCGGAAGCGGGTGTGTGTGGTTCACGGGATAGCGGCAGCAGTGTAAAGATGGTGATTTATAAGAAGAGGAGCACATGAGCTTTGGCGACCAGAGTACACAATCAGATTATGGCGAAGACATGAAGTTTTCCTGTTTGGTCATACGATCGCGATGCTCAGCCCACTCTCTCTGCCCAGACAGTCTGGAAAATTCCACAGCCTCCACAATCACATACAAGGCGACAGCATCGCCTTGGCCTTTGAATATACTTCAGACCTTCCAAGGTTGTACGCCAGCTAGGCCTGAATACTACGCGTTCCATTCACGACAGTCAAATGTGGTGGGTGGGCAACAGGAACGCTGCAAAGCTTATATGCGCGTCAACGACAACCACCTGGGCACCAGCGGAAGATGGGTGAAGATCAGCAAAATGTGCCCTAGGAAAGGGCGGAGAAAGACGTTGGAAGGAATCGGGCGAGAACGACCTGCCTAATGTTGCCAAGTCCAACGGATCGGCGACTATCGTTGGGTAAATCCAACCTTTCAGCTGTTTGAGCTCCGAGGTTAGAAGACAGCAATGACATCCCGAGTATCAGATGTCAAGATGAAACTCGATCTCGCCCAAGCAAAACCGGTCGGAACAGCCACACCGCACAGCGGGGAAGCAAGCGCCCATGTCGCACCATCCATGTGGGACGATAATCATGGTCATGGCATCGATGATAATCACCACGATTTCATGAAGATCGATGACCTCGAGCTGGCCTCGTCAGAAAAAAGAGTAATCTATCATGGGATCTCACAGATACCAATCTTCCTCATCATACATGGTGGCCTGCGTGTTCAAATCCGACATGGCATCAAGCCACTCCGCCATTCCTGTCATGTCTCCCTGCATGATCGTGCCCGCACCCGGATTGAGTGTCACAGAACTTTCGACAGGAGCGACAATGTCGCTATCTAGGGACCTACAGGAATCAAGCTGCTGAAGTCGACCGAATGCCGCCAAAGCACGGGCGCCATCTCCCGTTCCACCTTCGCCTACGCCACCTATATGATCATTCTGGTGGACCGATCGTCGGGCGGCCACGTGGCTGTCGCGACGATTCAAGGCGCCATTCGACTGCGCTACCACAAAGTGCTGCTCAATCTCGTTTGCCGCCGTATTCCAGTTGGCAAAGCCATGTGCAAGCTGCGCTTGGTCGCGAGATGCCCACCTCTGACTATCGCGGATAAGCTGTTCCACGCCTCCGAACATGTCGGCTGGGCTGTAGACCGATCTCGTGTTGGAGGCTGTGGATTCGGCCGTAGAATTGTAGCTCCAAGCACGCGCAAGTCCTGGCCTGTTGGCTACAACGGGGGTTTGCGGATGTAATTGCGGTTGTGGCAGAGGTGGTGGTGCCATAATATTGGCTTTCAATTGAGGCATTGGCAAAGCTGTAAAACTGGGTTTGTCGTGTAAATGCCTTGGCATTATAGCTTCGTTGCTGAATTCTGCAGGGTCAGTGACATCGATGGCCGCTACGGTAGCGACTGGAGACGTCTGGACCGCATGGGCAGAAGGTTGTTTCGTGGAACTAGCGGGCGAATTCGCGTCCGTGTGTCCGTACTCGAATTCTGCTCTGGCAAGTATAACGGCGACTTCCTCGGGGACTTCGACGTTCCATTTCTTGGCGAGAATGTTCAGAATGCACAATGTGCGCCTGGCACAGATCCAGCCTTCTGCGATCTCCTCTAAATGTTTGACGCCATGAATGATATCTCGTTTGGCAAATTTATCTGGTAGGTTGAGGAGATGAATAGTGCAGGCCTGGTGAACAATGTACACAGCCACATTGCAAATTTGGCGCAGCCCGTGAGAGCGTTTGTACAGTCGCATGAGTTTTGAAATCATGGCTGCTGCTTGTGTACAGAGCTTTCTAGGGCTGACATTTGCGGGCAAGGGAGATGTCGTTTGTGTATATTTCAAGAATGGTCGAAATAAGTGAATGAACAGTAGTTGAAAGAACATGCTGCGAACGGTCAATCGCGGTCCAACTTTAGCAATTCGGATGCAACTTACTGCATGATGAGCACGTGGGAAAGTCCTCCTTCTCGAGGCTCCAACTCCTTCGGAAGGTCTCTCCGCCATGACTCAAGCCTGGTGTGGATGTCCGACAATTTCTTCAGTTCTGAAGCCTTTCCTTTGGTTTTCTCCATGTCCGCCGGATCATAGAAGTTCTTCATCAGATCATTGCTAATCTGACACAGCTTAATCATCTCGCGCGCAACAGCACGTGTCCTTGCTGGCTGAGTGTATGCCTGAGTGAAGCCTGAATCGGTGTAAGGCCGCCAAGGCGCCGAGTCCTCATCCGGGAATACGTCGAATAGCGAAACACTGACGTGCTCGGTCGGAATTTGCGGCAGACGCCCCATGTAATTTGACCAGTACTTGTCGAATTGGAAGCAACCCCAGAAAGTCATGCGCCGAGCATCGTCTTCAACCTCGTTCCCATTGAGCGGCCGATCAGAGGAGAGCTGAGTCGAGTCAAGGTTGAGACCCATGTCGCACGCCATGCGAAACGCCATTCCACTGTATACCCAACCCTTGGCTTCTCTTCCGCATCCAGCCTCTCGAACTGACATGAGGCCGAAAGCTTGTACGGTCGCCAGAGAAGGCTTCTCATGCTCGTCGTGTTCCATTATGAGCCTCTTGGCTTCACGGAAGAAATGGTCCCCGGCGGTCGCCGAGTCGTCGGGATCATCACGGGTACCGGCGACTGAGGTGAAGTGGCAGCCCAGCGCAAGCATTGCGTTGACCAGTACAGGTGTGCAGTATAGCCGGGACCGATTGGTACTTTGCAAAGATCTACCGCGATGAAAGTCTTCGTAGAACAGCTCCTTCGACAAGCATACGAAGCTAGGATAGTGCCAAGTGAAATACATGTTGAGCAAGTGTGTAATGAGATCCGGATCGGACGTTACGTTGGTCCACGACGCGATTGGGTTGACATGAGCGAATTCCGAGATCTCATCGGTGCTCGAGATGTCTTCGTCGCTCTGTCCAAACTGAATCAGATTGGAGGTGCCACCAAAGTAGCGCACCGAACCTTCATCGAGGCGAAGTTGACCCATCTTGCCATAGAGTTGCTTCTCGAAAGTCGCCTCCCGTGCTAACGACTGATCACCAGAGTGAGAGCCTTTGTCATCATTCTCGTTGGGCTCGAGAGTACCGTTCTTTTTCGCGGCAATGCGATCCGCAACCGCATCGAGGTCAGTGCAGCTTCGGATCTCTTTGACAAGATCAGGTACGTCATCCTCCGATGAGTTCAAGATGGCTTCGATCAACGTCTGAAGGGTCGTGTTGCGCGTCTTCAATTTGTCAACGTCGTTCTTGTACACGCCTTTCCTGCGCAAGTCGGAGTTGGGATCGTAGATGCATGCGGTTTGATAGACTTGGGAACAGGCGGCACAAGCGGGTAAGTTACCGTCACACTTACTTTTCCGTTTCCTGTACGGCACAGACGACAATCAACATGGTGTTCGGGATGTGATGCAGCTGCAGCATCAAGAAGCCAATGCCTGTAAGGCACGATTCCCATCGAGCGCTGAATTTGTCATCCTCACGGGAAACTTACCGGCAGGCGATACACGCTGTCGAGACGCACCGCCGCTTCGACGAGTCGTCTTCGGCTTCGATGTTGACGCCCTTGCTTTTCCGCTTGCTGCGCTGCTTTGATTTTGCTGTATAGTCCTCGCCATCATCTATGAGTTCGACAGGACGGGCAGGGAAACCATTGTCGTGGGTTTCGGGATATCCTTTCGTGCTGATATTCATTGTCGCCTGCGAGATAGCAGCGATAGCATGCCGCTGCTTTACTCCATTTGACGCATTTCGCTGATTATCGCGCTCGGAGATGCTCAATCTTGAAGGCACCTGAGGTTGTAACATTGGGAAAGGGTCCAGGACTCGTCGATGAATGTCATGCAAGATTGTCCAAGCTGCCGACTCTTCCGCGCCTGACTAGGTCCAGAGAATGCTGGCGCGAAAGTTTGCTTTCGTAGAATCTAGACTGGAATTGACATGTCACGTCGTAAATCTAGCGGTGACACAAGTTTTAAGTACTGTCCAGTAGACGAGTCCTGCTGAGCACAGCAGCATAACATCGTGCTGTCGCCACGCCTGGTGGCATGATTCCTCTCACCTAAGAATACCATGGGCGATAACAGCGTTTCGCTTGACTGTCTAGAGAGATAACCAGGCCGGTATCAAGCAAAAGCCCACGTTAGGAGCAAGCCAAGTCAGGGAAAAGGTGCTGGTGTCCCACGAGCCAATCAACGTCGCCGAATTCAAGGTTCAACTGATAAGCAACCTAGCAGGGCGAGATATTGCTCAAGTGCGCGTCGAACGAGCGTCGGCATAGCGTCATCCGGGAGGGCCCAAAAGATCGCGTGGGCGCATGGATGGCTCACGGTAGCCATCCTCTCGTGAGTTGATCATTGATTGTCTGTGTTGAACAGGATCCTATGATTTATTGGCGTCCACTTCACAAGTTGAAGGAGAATTTGAGTCCTCGTAGGGCAAATGGTTTGGCGTGGGGTTGGGCGTTGCACGCTGAGTCGACTTCGCGCGATCCCGGAAGTAACGGAAATATCGTGGGAGTCGTTCGAGCTTCGCATGGGTCGAGCTGGTCGAGCTTGTCTAATCAAGATCGTGGACAGAGAGCAGCAAGCATACATGTAGTAAACAGTGAAAGATGAGGAAGGGACTGATACATCATTTAAGCTATGTGCAACGCGCGTCTTGACACTCCAAAATCGCATCCGAACCAAAAAGTCCCCCACGCATAGAAATTCCAAGTGCATATTGATCGTTTGCGGAAGACTTGCGGACGTCAGTCAAAAGCACATCCTGCAGGGCAAACATTTTCAGCTCAAGTCATCTCACTCGCGTTAATCTCCCTCTTGTTCCGTCTCTCCATCTTCCCCCCTCCATTGTGCATCTTGCTCCGTCGTGTGTCTTGCTATTTTCAAGCACGATGCTTCTTGGCTTTGTGCATGGTGCGCAGTTCCGAGGCAGCAGCTGAAGGAGGCCATGGAAGCGTGTAGGTACTGCAGATGGTCTTGGTGACTTTCGAGATCTGTGGCCGATCTTGGCACTCATGACAGTCTGTAATTGTCTGGGTGACGGTGCTGTACCAGGTTTGGGTGACATAATGGAGTCCGGAAGTGGTAGGGGGAGGTGTCGGAGTTGTGATACTGGACGAGACACTGACATACGCCGAAGTCGAGGTGTACATAGTCATGCCACTGGGACACGTGTGGCAAGGCTCCGATACGGTCACCGTGGTCGGCTCGAAATATGTGCTGTGGAGTGTTGTAGTATGCTCGTCCTCAATGGTGGTTGTGGTCAGAACTGCGACAGGGATGTATGAAGTTACACTGTCATGTAGAGTAACCGGCTGCTCGCTGTAAATGGTGGTAGGAACGGCGATGGGAATGTATGATATCGCACCGCTGTACACGACTGTGGGCATGACGATCGGCACCAAGCTAGTCGATGTCTCTGCTGGGTACACAATAGTAGGCCGAGCATAGGTTATGGTCGGGCCATCAATGGTAATAGTCTTCGTGGGGCTTGAAGGCATACCGTAGTGAGATGATCGAGAACGATGAGCAGACCTTGAGGGTCGAGCTGAGCCACCGACATAGCTAGGAGTCCGCAAAATGGTCATGGACTGTTCCTCGGTGGAGCTTGCGTGACTCGCAAGGGATTCAGAAACGTCGTCCGAATCAAGTAGATGTTGATTCGGCTTGGGGGTGTGTTTAGCGCCATGCTTTGAAGAGCTCTTTGACGGAGTGACTCGCGCCGGCGTAGTGTGCTTGGTAGAGCTGTTTTTTACGTCAACGACCACTGCCGCCGTATTCGCTGTAGTAGCGTGGGTCGTGTGCTTGACGGCGCTGTGTGTATGGACTACTGCCACCATACGTGTTGTGGTAGCGTGAGTCTTGTGCTTGACAGAGCTGTGTTTTACACTACCGACCACAGCTGCCGCATTTGTCGTGGCGGCGTGAGTATTGTGCTTCCCGTGTTCCTGCGTTACAACAGCTGCCGCATGTGTGGTGGCGGCGTGATTCTTGTGCTTGCCGTGTTCCTGCGTTACAAGGTAGTGCGCAAATTCATCCTTGTGCAAAGCCGCGAGCCGGTAAAGCATATAATCATCATGATGGGACAACTGAGAGTCTTTGGCCTTGTGCGATTCCTCAGGAGAAAGATGATGATCATGATGTGAGAATTTCCCGGTGATGGAAGTACTTTCACGACCCGCATCGTTGTTCTCATGCTGGGTTTTGGTGAGGTCGGTAGTTCCAGTAGCAGTGGGTTGATGAGCAGAGATGGCATTGCGAGTCATGGTGGTTTCGGGCACGATGGTCATTGTGCCGGGGGCACCAATTACACTGGTATAAACCTTTGCATGCTTGCCGTCCGCATCGCTACCTGGCTCGGCAGTGCTGCGGGCGATGCTGATTGAAGGTATGAAGGTCTTCGTGCAAGTCTTGTCCGCGCATGTCAACGGAACAGTGGTTATGTACGTGGAAGTAGGCTGCTGCCATTCCATCCAGGGACCTTTTTCCGGTTTTCCCCACTCGCCACGGAACATTTCTTTGAACTCCTCGCTGTTGCCCATAAAGTCAGGCATAATATCTCTGTAGTCGTATTCATCAGCTGTGAGTCCATGTCAGTAAGTGATTTCCGCTCTGTGGAAAACTGGTGCTCACCGTGGGCCTTGGACAGCACCGAGGCAAAAACCATCGCGAAAAGCGTGATCTTCATGATGAACGTGCGTGGGTGGAAGGTACTCTGCAAAGTTTAAAGCGGACTGGTTGTGAAGTTCTGCTGAAGATGGAAACGCAAGGCGTGAAGGCTGCAGTAAACTGATAGCAGTGAGAGGCAGAAATGTAGAAATAGAAAGTGCGGATGACGGGATATATATCGAAGAAAAGTGCTCCGAGATGACGGCCACCTCAACACGATCCGAATGAAATGTAAATTGAAATATGAATTGAAATGGTCCGAGCAGGCAAAATCATGAAGAATAACCGAATACTCGCGATGACCTGCTAAACTAGTCATCAATATTGTCACCGTCCACAGATGGCACATAGAATGAGCGTCAGAACCACGGTCCCGAACTGTCAACTTTTCGCACAACCAAGAAAAGATCCGGGATCACTCTGTTGAAAGAAAGAATCGTTGAACCTGATTCGTCGTAGCAATGACGATGTTCGCCATGATCGATTCTGTTCAAGCAGAAGAGCGGATCTTTTTTGCGATTACGAGGCAGCTTGGGTAGGCTTTAGCGATGTCATTGTCTGTCGTCGACGATATTTCTTATTGTCTTCACGTGTTCGTGGCAGCTCTAGCCGACCTGCACAGGACATCTCGATGCTAGGACAGCACATATTCAGAATCCGACGTTGAATGAGTGATGCAACATGACGATCCTCGCAGACGGCGCAGTTTGCACATATCGCCCACGTAAAGCAAGTCTGGTGCGATTCATAGATGGCTACGCGCTCAATAGCGTAGTGTTGTACCGCTTGAAGAAGACGTGAGGTCAATATATTGATTGAGCTACCATGAGGAGAGACTTGCGGCTGAAAGAAGCTTGGCCGGGGCCGTCATGTATTTGCTCTGAGTAATGCCTTAGGCACATAGGTAGGAGCTGAGGCCTCACAGCGCAATCAGCAGGAATTCCCGAATTCCCGCGTCTACTCTGCGCTCGGGCATTGTGCGAATGGTCGGGTAAAGTTCTCCGACCCTAATTGCGTAAATATATACCTAGGTACCTCTGTATGCTCACAACGTCACAACCGTCGATCGCTGAGGACAGGGAGTATATACTGTCAGGGGAATGCACGAATACACAAAACAGAAGTTATTTGAGACCATACATAAACGTTCTAACGAGCGGACATGGAGGTGGCTGCATGTTTCCTTCGCACATCCAAGCAAATAATAAAGAGCGGTCCAAGGAATGGGCATGGCTGGGACTTTGTCAAGTCTGAAAATCCGACCTCGGTATAGCTGAACGCGTGAGACCGAAGCTAATCGCACAATCAAGGCAAAGCAAAGCAGGCCGTCGATCAGGAAATCGTTTCATTAGTTGTTGAACACTTCGGCAAAGGTAAACCCTGAACCCATGTCGGCATCCCGATGTGCATCCATGTTGGTTTCTCGCCAACCTTTTTTGCCTGCGGATCAAAACTAGGCAATGCCAGCGACACGCTTGATTTCAGCAAGCGTATCCGCCAGAACAAAATTGTAGATGTAGCCATCGCAGACCCCGTCGTTACCCCCATACATGCCAATTTTCGGATCGGCCGCGCCCGTCTCGCCTCCGGGGAAGAAATTTCCCATGAGTTTCTGGGTTTTACCACCTGCCACGGGGCTACTGAACGGATCGGTCATGGTGACGAGCGTGCCGTTGAAGTACATCTGCAGGAAGCCTTCGTTGCCCTGAGAGGTATTGATGACGATGCCGAACTGGTAGGTCGAGCCGAAGGTTATTTCTTTGGACCAGACAGGTTTGCCCTGAAATTTGGCCCGGACCGCCGGGTCAGGGTCGGCGCTGGGCTTCTGGATGACTTGTAGAGTCCTGGTCGTGGGGAAGAAATCTCGTGAGTACGGTGTTCTTCTGCGTAGTAGTCCGAATCGAGTGTGACTTACAACAAGTTGGTGTTGTTCTTGAAGGAGAGTACAATAGGGACGTTTGCGTAACCGGTGACGTTATTCTCATTGCCCTGAGCATAGGGCTTATGGTATGCCTTGAATTGAAACACAAACAAACCGTTACCTGCGCCCACCTTGTCCCATCGAACTTTGTAGCCCATGTAGTAAGTTTTGTTCACTTCTGTTTTTCCATGGTAAATGTGGTGTTCTTCGCAACCGTCAGCAATATTATAGGGTTCATGGACAGGGACAATAATGTGATACCTGCACGGTGATATCCAACGGCCTTGTGCTGTAGTGAAAAGTTAAATAATTGAATTACTCCAATGTGTTGAGGTTGTAAATGGCTTGAGCCTTACTAACCACTTGTGCAGCGGGAATGTTTTTGTCATCAAAGCCGGCCTGTAGGAGCATGTCAAAAGTGCGCATCGACCGTTCAAGCGATACTACGTACTCTGAAGTACAGAGAGGCAGAGCCGTTGATGGGATTAAAGTTGGGCTCGGTTGTGGTACAGGGTACGTCATTGTCCGTGCAATCGTAATTTGTCGTGTCGAACGCCGTGAGGTTGGAGCGTTGATCCTTGGCGGCGGCATCATACTCGGAAAACACTCTGGCAGTTGCTACCGCGGCGAGCGAGAGAAGGCTAAAAAAGTGCATAATGGGCAAATGATCGATATTGGCCAAGTTGAAAACTGCTGAGGCTGCCCTGTAGTCAGAAGGACTCGAAATCCAGAGCGAGGAGCGTCCTTTTATGTTCTGTCGGATTGCTGCTTGTCAAGACACGAATGTGATTTGGACCGAAGAACAGGGATGGATTCCACCAAATAGTCTCCCTGCATTACGTGGCTGAAGTCGATTCTCGCGAATAATGCTCACTCAGGATCGAAGCTTCGCCCAGCCTCGCGAATAGACCTTCTTTTGAACGACTAAATCCCACAGCTTAGTTTGACGCTGGCCACAACTGAAACTTACTGGACAGTATATCGAGCGTCGATTCATTTCTTGAGGGATTCTTTATCCAGAATTGAGATTGCTGCCATCGAAAGCTTTCTCTTCGGGTAAGTTTTACGGTCCAAACATTGGCAGGATTAAACACTTCTTCATCTACTGTATAGCTGATACTGACTCCTGGTGAAACCTGTGCGTCGTTGTATATCGACATCAGAACGTCGGCATCCTTTATATTGAGTAAGAGACACTCAATGCAACCACAGGCGACATGTGGCGTTGTTCTTGACATATCTGACATCTCGCTATGAGACGGCCTAGGCGTGCCGCCATGATCTTGATATCACTCGCATCTGATATGTCACGGCCGAAGTCTGACTTTGTGGCGAAGCCGGCCCGTTGAGGTAATGTTCTCCGCGCTGAGAGCGACCATTGAGGCAAGATTTTCCGCGCTGAGAGCGGGCACTGGTTCATTTGGAGTTCCAAATGTACGATTTATCATGCGATACTGCCGCCACTCGAGTGATTCGATGTCATCTCGAATGGAGTGCTTTCACTAGGTGGAGTGTAATAGTTTCTCAGACAGGCAAGCTTCGCCGTAAAGGTTCATGGTTGGTTGCTGGAGGACCCGTGCGCATACATCTGAAGTCGCTGACCACGGGCGGAGGCTAAGATAAGGGTTGTAGGAAGGAAAGCCGAGAACTTATGGCTATTTACCCCTCACGACCCTCATGTTTACACGCGAAGTCAATACGCGTCGCCTAGTGCGGGCATACTTTTACATCAGTAACCAAGCGTCACAAAACTTGGTCCTGGACAGCATATAATTGTGATAACCCTCTCATTCACAAGTATCATTCTGACGACGATATGGTCAGCATGGATTACAACCCTCGTATGAGCATGGCGCGCACGTCGCAACAGCAGTCCATTCAACAAAAGCAACCAAAGCCTGAGGACAGTGATGTTTACATGTGCCTGGTATGTTTGCGCACTTACTAGGTGTCGCACGGGATGAATCACATCACTGACGAAATTCTGGTGATTGAACAGCCAGACAGAGAGATAGCCGGCTGTATCAGTGATATTGGTATCAACTTTACCGTGGATGATCTGCGCAAACCAAACCCGCAGCAAATTCAAAAAGTCTTCGAGTGGTTCGCTGAGCTATTGACCAATACAACTCGCGAAATCGTTGCGCCTGCGATGCGCGCTGCAGCAGAATCTATGGTCGGTCCAGACCTTGACGCAGATCGGATCTTCACCGCAGACACTCGAGAGTTGATGGCGTTCTTCGTCACGATGCGCAAGCTGTTACTGGAGTGCGGCATTCAGGACTTTACCTTCTCAGACCTGTATAGACCGACACATCCGCGGCTCGTCCGAATTTTCAGCTACATAATAAATTTCATTCGCTTCCGAGAATCGCAGACGTCAGTCATCGATGAACATTACAACTCATCAGAGAATATCAAAAACCGCATTGAACAGCTATATCTTGGGAACCAGGAAAAGGAGGACCACCTCCGCGAGATGGAGCAAAATCGAAAGAATGTCGAAGTTGCGATCAAGGACAAGGAGCGGCGAAACGGGGAACTTAAAACTCGCCTTCTCGAATTGAAGCGAAGCCAGGAGCGAGTGACCGAGAAGCTGGAGCGCGTAAAAGGCGAACAAGCACGGATGAAGACAATGCTAGAGGAGAAAACTGCAACAGTCATGACCACTCGCGCCGAAGCCGCGAAACTCCGGCCCTACACAGAACAAAGCCCGGCCGCCCTTGAACAGTCCTTGCGTGATCTCAGCTCGAGCCTTAATACGGATCGAGCCGACATCGAGCGACTCGATAAACGTGCGCGTGCACTACAGACTAGCTGCGACGCCTTCACGCTATTACAAACGGACATCACGAGCCTGACGCGACTTCTTACCGAACTGCAGAACGAACTTGGGAAAGAGGAGGAAGAATCACGAGCAGCTGCACGGAATCGTGAGGATCTTACCGAGAAGTCGAATTTAGTGCGAGAAGTGGAGCGACAGGAGATGTTGTTGCGCGGCAAACTCCAGCAATGGCAGGATCGAACGGAGAAGATACGTCGAGATGCAGAGAGTCGGCAAGTGGAAGCTATGAGAAAGACCGAAGCATTACGAGCCACCCACAAAGAACTGAGCGCAGAGAGGAAAGAGAGGAACGAGGAGGTCGAAAAGCGAAGAGTACGGATAGAGCAGACAGAGAAGAAGGCAAGTAAATTTCAGTTGCGACAAGTTTCGATTCATACAGATTCTAATTCTTTACAACTAGATGGCCGATCTCAAGGAGCAAATCGAGCACGAAGTTCAAAGCGCGAGAGAGGAATACATGAAGATGGAGAGCCATATTCGGTTATACATCACCGAAATGGAGCAGAGCATCTGAGGGCAATACAACGAGATTACGCATGGAACGAAATTGTGCGCCGGCGGGAAACATCTGTTTTAATGAAGAGAGACTGGTCGTAGGCTTCCCGAAGATGTCGGGTTGGCTTCCTTTGCTTTTAGCGCGTTTGAATTTGCTTTACTGTATCCTGATAGCTGTTAGCTATAATGTTGCGACGACGAAATTGTAGAAGTATAATGACAGGTGAGAAGGATCAGGGTTTGAGATCTTGAAATGCTCCACATAAAAATTCGGAACAGGTCTGTGAATTACAAGTATTTCATCAAGAAATTGGAGAAAGAGAAAGTGAAGGAAACGTACCATATGCGAATCCAGTCGTCGCCGCAGCGGCAATATCTTCACTGCATATCATGCTCGTCGGATGATGTATGTGTAAGATCGGAGAGCTTTTTGAAGCAGCACCAGCGCTCGAGTACGGCAGCGATGGTGACTGTGCGGCCAACCCAGCCACGGTCACCAATACCAAAGGCTTTGGTCGTCACATTCATCATGGAGATTTCTTCCAGCCAGGGATTAGTGCTCGAGTCATTGGTCGTAGTCTCGGGTGGACCGTTGTTAGCACTGCTGGCATCGTCGCTAGAAGAAAATGCTTCGAAAATCTCCACCAGCACGAGTTTGCTATGATTTTGACTGGCAGCCTCAACAGCGACTGACATAGTGCGATTCAAACCACGTGCGGAAAAATCACTTGTGCGGCGATGCAAACCAATGGGATTCAGAACGGTCAAAAGAGGCACGCGTGCATGGGACCCCAATGGTCGTTCCTGTTGCATAGTGGCCTTAGTCGAGTAAACAGCGAGGTAGCCTCTTAGCTGCGCAACGTCGCTGCAGAAGACAACTTGTACGTTTCTTGATTCGGACAACATGCGGAGAGTAGGGGCGAAGCGTTCGAGCTCGAGACCACAGGCTGCGGACGATGTCTCCTCTCTCAGTCTCTCATCAACTTCACTGTCGTTGAAATCGGACGCGTGGTATCGACCATGCTGCATACTTCTGACGAAGGCAGCTCTTGATGAGCATACGATCAGTGTGGTAGGTGGTGCACCGTGCGATACGATGCATTCGATCAAATCAGCTATGCTTGCCACCTCGAGCACAATTGGGCGCAGACTATCCATGTCCCAGGAAGTGCGACTGCAGCATTTGTGCAGCCGTGGAGTGCGTTGATGGTCATATTGCCGAAAGTGTGGTTTAACAAGGCAGAGAAGATGTGTTCTGTGAGACGATCAAATTGTGTGATGAGAGGGTGAAATATATTTCCGCTTGGCAGGGCAACTTTGCGCCAAAGTCTGCATTGACCTCATCGCGGAATTGCACTGTCTGTACCCCACGTCTACAACGACGACAGGGCAGTCGACCATTCTAGACAGGTCTCGCCATTCGTAATGAAACCTTGAAAGGTTGAGGCGAGAATGGAGTCGATTTCGCGACTCAGCTCGCTGCTGGAAACAGGTAGGATCTCATTGACAACGCTCAAGCGACAGTGATGAAACCCCAAGCTCACTATGGCTATATTCACAGCACGCGACTTGACTCTCGAGGCCGCACGAGATGCCGGACCTCGAAGATCGACGCGACCACTCCCGGCGCAGCAAATTAAGAGCTTGCTGGACAGTCGAAGTGAGCGAGATGTCTTGGAGGGTCTCCGGAGAGTTATTGCAGTACGGATAGCACGTCAACGAGACAGCACCTCAGAGCAAACATATTGAAATCGACGTTTTATAGATGCAATATGCAAATCCACCTCAACCCACCGTGACCTTCTTTCCGGCCGTTCTCAAAACACTTTCAAATCCGTTCCCTGCGACTCGACCGCTGGTGTACAACTACCTCCTCCACCATGCCGAATCCGACCCAGACACCGCGCTCTTATCGATCAACACGATACAGAAGTCTCTTTCCGACAGCAATCCCCGCATTCGAGCGATGGCGCTGAAGACGATGTCTGGTATTCGCGTTCCTGTGATCTCACAGATTGTGAGCCTGGCTATCAAGAAAGGTGCTAGCGATCTTTCGCCAATCGTCCGGAAGACGGCCGCGCTGGCCTGCATCAAATGTGTTCGACTTGATCCGACCACTCGACCACAAATTGAAGAGTATTTAGCAGCTTTGCTAAGGGACAAACAATACTACGTCGCTGGTGCTGCCGTGCAAGCGTTTGCGGCGGTTTGTCCAGATCGAATGGACATGATACACCCGGTATATCGACGTTTGTGCAAGATGGTGGTAGACATGGACGAATGGGGACAACTGGCATTGATTCGGGTGATCACATTCTACGCGAGGCGAAATTTCCCACAAAAGACGCAACGTGTAAGGCGTGCCGCGACACAAGAACAAAGGAGCAGGGATTTCTATGAAGATTTGGAGAAAGAATCCGAGGATCAAGGAGACACCGAAGAGGTAGATGTTGTCGACCCAGATCTGGAGCTGTTTCTCAAGTCAATCGCGCCGCTACTGTCAAGTCGCAATGCTGCTGTAATTGTTGCTGTCACAAGAAGCTACCTTTACTTGTCACCAAACAAACATCTCTCGAAGGCCATAGACCCTCTCATTGCCCTTTTACGCGCTCCTGAAGATATTCAACAAGTGGCACTTCACGACATAGTCCAAGTCTGTCTTCACAATCCCTCACATTTCGCCCGCCACTTTCGGCACTTCCTCATTCGCTCTCATGAAGCGCCGGAAATTTGGCGGCTGAAACTGGAGACCCTAACACTAGTATTTCCTCACTGCGACAAGGATGTCCAGGACATGCTACTCGCAGAACTGGAACACTTCTCCAAATGTCACGATCCCCAGCTCGTCCGCGAAAGTGTGAGAGCCATTGGTCGCTGCGCACAATCATCCTCAGCGTCGTCGAACTCCATAGCATCTCGTCGCTGCCTCACTCTTCTTCTGAAGCAAATACATAGCACAGATCAAAACCTTGTCGGAGAAGCAATGGAAGTGATTCGCCACCTCATCCAGCGGTCACCGTCCGAGCATAAGAAGACTGTAATTAGGCTTGCGAAGAACCTCGATTCGTTGACCTCTTCCACAGCCAGGGCCAGCATAATATGGCTCATTGGAGAGTTTGCCAGTGGAACGGATGATAGCGAAGATGCTATTGCAGCGGATGTTCTCCGCATTCTTGTCAAGGGTTACGCCGATGAAAGCGACGAGGTTCGAGCTCAAATTATTTTGCTCGCCGCGAAGACATACTTGCATCATCAAAATCGACAAAACGAAAAGAAGAGAGCGCTCGAGGCACTGGAGTCAACGGAATCTACAACGCTAGGAGACGACGTCCGCGATGCTTCTCCCGACTCACCATCCCACACCATTGAACTACTCTACAATTACACTCTCCTCCTCGCACGATACACACCTTCCTATGATCTGCGCGATCGAGCGCGAGTGTATCGAGCTCTCCTGGCTGTTCCAGCCAGCACGGAACTTGCCAGTTTGCTACTACTCGCTCCTAAACCATTCCCACAAGCGCCTAGTCCAAGCGAATCCCGCAAGAACTTCGTCCTAGGATCCTCCAGTTTGGTCATCGGCGACGAAGAAGCCGGTTCTGCCGGCATCAGTGGTTACGAGAATCTTCCCGCATGGGTAGAGGAAGGCGATGAACCCGATCCGAAACTCCGAGAGGATCTTGATTCATCGAGAGGAGTTGAATACGGCCAGGAGAAGATCGTCTCGGCAGGTCGCAGGCTCGATGAGGCCCTGTCTAAGGATCCTGGCTATACCTCTACTGCCGCTGCTAGTAAGGGTAAGAGCAAGGAGAAGTCATTAGATGCGTGGTTGGACGAAGAAGATGACGAGGAAGATGAAGAGGAGGAGGATGATGACGAAGAGGAGGATGAAAGTGACGATGAAGAGGAGTCCTCCGAGTCGCATGAGGATGACGATGACAGTGAGGAGGAGACGGAGAGCGAGGAGGACGAAGACGAGGAAGACGAAAGAGCCGGTCTTGTCCACCGATAGAATAGATGATCACGTCTCAAAAGCGTCGAACCGAAAAACATGCCCACACATACATCGATCATGAGCATTGTCTCGCGGCCTCCTCGACTTGCGTCCATCTGCATCCAGTGATTCATTCCCATGTGACCAGTGCGCTCTCCATTTCAGATCAATTCGGCCCAAGAACGGAGGCGCATCACGCAATATATGGACCGTCAAAAGCTCGCAAAATGCCGGAATATCGGAATTCAACACCATCGCATCTCATGCATGTTCAGATAGGCGCATCGTACTAACCGCATCAGTCCCGTGAACCAGCGGCTGCCAGCGCCACAGAACTCGCTGATCGACGCGCCTATCAATGCTGATAAGTTAGCAGGCTCTAGACCAGCCATACAGACGCATGTGTAACCAGGAGAAAACTATATTCTAGAAGATAATAATACTGCATGTTGCCTTTGATTGACTCTTCGAACGATTTCCAGTCAACAGCTAATAATCCGGCGACGAAAAAGTCGGGTTTCCGCTCTTTCGCGAGAATGCGTCGGGCGGAGGAGCACTACGTCAGTGATGATGAGACGACGCCATTACTGCCGTCACGACCTCCACCACCACGACACAATAGTGGGAACAGCGACGAGGGCGCGAAAGAGCTGAATGATCAGCCTCGATCGTTGTCCTCTACATTACAATCCATAATAATTGGACTCGGCATAGGTGCTTTATTCTGTCACATCAACGTGTATTTCGGCCTACAGAATGGTTTCAGCGATGGATTGTCCCAAGAGGCCGTGCTCTTGGGATTCGGGATCTTGCAGTCCGCCAAGATGGTTTTGGGAACATCATTTGGACCTGCGGAAACTGTCTTGATCACTGCGATTGCCGGAGCAATGGGAATGATGCCATCCGTGACAGGCCTGGTGAGCTCCTTGGCAGCGGTGGAACTTCTTCTTCCGGACTCGGAGCACATCGGGTCGTGGACGCTGAGCTCTCCAACGCTCATACTTTGGGGACTGGACGTCGGCTTGTTTGCGCTTCCAATGACCATGATGTTCAGGAAGTATTTCGTCGATCAGGCGGGGTTGCCGTGGCCGAGTGCTAAAGCAGCTGGAACACTGGTGAGGGCTCTCCACGGGACTTCTGAAAAGATCACCAAGGACGCAATCGCACCACAGTCCAAGTCGAACGAGTTTGAAGGCGGATGTGAACGTGGTACCAACGACGGAGAAATTCCATCTGACGCCTCCAGGATTGAAGCTGATAAAAATGATTTTGGACCACGCGTCCTTCTTTATACCTTTGCGACTGCAAGTGCCCTTGTAAGCTACCCCTGAAAAGAATTCTCGGGATCGTCGGAGTTAACTTGTCACAGATGTCTCTTGCCAGTATCTTTCCAATTCTCAAGAATGTTCCCATTTTGGGCTCGGACATCGCAACAATGCACTACTGGAGCTTCAATGTGTCACCCGGCGTGTTCGGTCAAGGAATGATGACAGGTCCAACGATGACGAGCCACATGCTGGTGGGAGCAATAGTCGGATGGGGAATCCTGTTGCCGTTGGCTCGTTCGCAAGGTTGGATCATCGACGCATACAGCGATTGGGAAAGTACCAAATCTGGCTGGACATCGTGGATCGCACTCAGCATCCTCGTGGCTGACAGTGTTGTCGAATTGAGCTGGCTGATTTACAACAAGATTAACACAAAGGCTCTCAAAAAGCTTTGTACCGCTAGAAGTGACCGACCTACGGGTGGCGACGATCGACACTCTCTGCTTGACAGGTGGCCGAAGAGCGAGAAGTCCAGTGATCGCAGTCCTATGAATGATCTAGTTCTGTCTGGCATGACTATCGCTGCAACAATGGCATGTGCCGGAATCGCCACCTGGAGCTTCGACGGACGTGTGTTGATCAATACTACCATCGTAGCTGTATGCCTGTCGCTCTTTTTGTCCATTGCAAGCGTACGAGTGATTGCCATGGGCGATCGACATCCGGTAGGCGGGCTTGGTACGTAGCCTATGAGACGGAGTGAAACGTGGAAATGTTTGCTAACGACTCGGCGGCAGCGAGATTCTCGCAATTCCTCATTGCAATTCTCATTTCGCGGCTCAGCCCCGACCACCTGCTGATCAACCTCGTCCTCGGAGCGATTGTGCATGCGGGAATTACTCAGATGGATTGTATGATGTATAATTTTAAGATTGCATCAGTCGTCGGTACACGTCCTATCTTGCAGCTCTCGGGTCATGCAATTGGTGCCGTCTTCGGGTCGGTCTTATCAGCACTACTTGTGAAGTCTTATTCCAGACTCAACATGGTTTCTGGCGGCAAAGCTGGCATACCTGCTGCGCGCGAGTGGCTGGCGATGGCAAATTCGATCTACACGGAAGGCCTTCCGCCCTTCTACCTGGAGTTCTCATTCGCCTTTGCGAGTGTCTTCGCTCTCGTCGCCGTGGTGAGAATAAAATATGCGGATAGGTCGTGGATCAAATTTGTGCCTGGCGGAGTGGCATTCGCTATAGGTGTGTCCACGCAAGACTGATCTCGAGCAATCCCACCGACTGACATCGATGTAGGAATGTATGCGACCCCGGCTTCCACACTGCCTCGTTTCGCAGGAGCGATGGCCTTTTGTTACGCAAAGAACAGATTGGGTGTCAGCCAGAAAATCGGACCATTTATGGCGTCGGGACTGAATCTAGGCGAAAGCATAGTTGGTCTGCTTGCGTTAATAATACCGCGGTAGAAGAATATATATATGTACTCATTTGATCGACTTCTATTTTTGAACTTTTTCTGTTTCTTGCCGCCTAGTTTTCTGTGTAACGAGGATAGTGTATGTTTTCTTGAACGTACACAAATTACAGCTTTGGACTTCTGGAGTTCTTGAAGACATGGTCTATCGGTCCTATCTGCGGGCCTCTACTGTTCGATGATCCAAACGATGGTGGTTGCCATTTGATCGTGGCGGAAGCCGCAGCAAGCTTTGAAGCTGGCGACGAAGAACGGTCCTTTGTGTCCGGTGTCGGTGCGATCGTCGAGGTCTGGTTTGGCGGCATGGCTTCGATTTGACTTCGAGGAGCAGGCTTCGAAGCGACTCGAGTGTCGAGGTTGCGGACCTGCTGTTGAAACAAAGGGCTGTTACTTTGAGGCTGCTGGCTCTGTCGCGTGACAAAGTCTATTAGAACAGAATCTCCTCGAAGCTCATTTGATTCTCACCTGTGGACGTTTGCCCTGTAATGAGTTGAACATGTTTGAATCTATTGCTTGATGCTCAGATATGTCAGAAATGACGGTTTGTGTACAAGAACGAAGATATAAATACGATTCCGAGTTTATATGTCATTGCTGAGTCCATGTGACGTCTGTGATCAACAGCACACCTGTATCCAAACGTAGAGGCAAATGCGAATGAATGGATGGATGAATGGATGGATTATCAGAGCCCGTTGTTCTGCTGCTTCTCCTATACCAAGCTGTTGTTGATCATGGTATGTTTCGCTTACATTCTACTTCTCATCAGATCATGATGAGTCCACTCCACGAGAACGTTTGCGTACGCACCTGCCTCGTTGAATGTGCGGTCAGGCTACGATCGTTGTCCATCCTCACGGTGAACGCCCGCGTACAGTATCTAGAGCATCCATCGCACGCACACCTGGGCATGCAGCACCTGCCGGCAGCCGCTCCGTGCGGGGAGAGAGTCCGGGCAGCACAAGACCGCCGCGAGAAAATTCTGGCTCTCTATATTCAGTTCCAGTTGTTTTCTTCACTGCCACCCTTTTCCATCATCCTTCTCTCTACCTGCACTAGAGGCGAGACAAAAGGTCCAATACTTTGTCCATCCTGCATGAATGCTCCAACATGCACGTTCATGATGGAGAGACGACACAATGCGAGTGCACTGTCAACAGGTCCGCTCCGCCCGTCCGTCTAGAGTCCCGTTGATGGTTCGGCTGTAGGCGGCCGTATTGTGCGCTTCATCCGAGTCGCGCGGCTCTTCACTTGCGTTTGTCGGTCAAGTATCCCCATCTCTCATACTTGCACATCTCATCTCTACTCGTGATCCATACATCACAATCTACATACCCACCCATTTTCACGGTCTCGAGTCTGGCCATCAATCTCGAATCAAGAGGGCGGGTTTTGCTCGTACTACGCAAACAGCTGTGCGAACCTGGTTCATCGTCAGTCGACAGCTTCAGCCTTCAGAGAGCGAGCAACGATGATGACGAAGCGCACTCTTGTCACTGCCTCTCAGAGAGCTTGGTGTGTTTCTAACAGCGTGTCATGTCGAAGAAGCTTCGCTAGCACGCGCAAATTACAGGAAGATTATGGGTTCATCGGACTGGGCATGATGGGTACGTACTCGCTTTGAATTCCTCTCCGTCCATTGTCATGTACAACTCCCAGCCGGCAGACTACAACGCATATTGCAGGCAAACATCCGAGCTAACTAGAACGAACAGGATATGGCATGGCAAAGAATCTTCGCCAAAAGATCCCAGCTTCAGATCGACTCTTCATCCAAGACATCAACACTGCAGCGACCAAACAATTCACAGAAGAAATGAGTGAATACAATGTCGAAGTCGTAGACACTGTCCGAGATATTGCTGAGAACTCGGTATGTATCCGTCGCACTCCTTTTCCTTTCTTCGACCTCGAGCTTCCAATGATGAATTTGTATTTTCCTTTTCATGTATGATCTAAGTTGACGGTGCAAGCCGTGAATCCTGATTACACAAAACACAAAGCCAATCCTCTGATGAAGCTCGAAGAACTCACTTACTCTTGCCCTGTTCCTAATCATTCATTTGCGATCAATCACTGACGATTCGATTCAAAAGTCTACCATCATTACCGTCTTGCCTAGGCCTGAACACGTCAAGAGTGTCTTCGAGGAGATGCTCGAGCCATCCACCGACCGCGCCGATGCCTCTAGCCGTCTTTTCATCGACTGCTCCACCATTGACCCAAGTACATCTGCCACAGTAGCCGATGCAACACGCATCACCGGGCAAGGCATCTTCGTTGATGCGCCCATGTCCGGTGGCGTTGTCGGTGCGGCAGCAGGAAAGCTGACCTTCATGATCGGCGCCGCGCCCGAACATGTGTCCCGGGCGACAGCTGTGCTCTCTCTCATGGGTGCGCGCGTCGTACACATGGGCCCGCAAACCAGCGGCTTGAAAGCCAAGCTCGCCAACAACTACCTCCTCGCGCTGAACAACATCGCCACGGCCGAGGCGATGAACATGGGCGTACGATGGGGTCTAGACCCCGTCGTTCTCGCGAACATGATCAATTCCGCCACGGGTCGCTGCTGGCCCAGCGAGGTCAACAATCCCGTTCCTGGCGTCGTGGCGACAGCTCCCGCCAGTCGCGATTACGCCGGCGGTTTCGGCGCGGGGCTGATGCTCAAAGATTTGAATCTTGCGCTGCAGGCGGCCGAGGAGGTCGACGCCACTCCTCAGCTCGGACTGCAGGCTCGCCAGATCTACGAGGCGGTCGAGGCAGATGAGAACCTCAAAGGTAGGGATTTTTCCGTTGTGTATAGGTATTTCGGCGGGATTGAAGGTGGACAGAAATGAACCGCGAGGCGTCAAGCACGACATGAGTGTAGAAATTGAATGAAAATAAATGAATTTCATGTTTCTCTCACGCTGAATGCTTTTCTCTTCGTCCATGTCAGTCTTTCCATGGGACTACCTTTTATTATTGTCCCCAGATGCCATTGCCGAATCCTGTTCACTTCTGTCGACCCGTCTCACCCGGGTACCTATATGTAAACTGAATACTCGTGTCGATAAAGAAATTTGTATGCATGTCTATCAAGATCCCGTTGCGCCTTTACACACAATAGCCAGACATAGGTACCCATTCCGCCATTGCAGCTCCGCCACTACATCGCACCAATTGCGCGTCCTTTTTTGCATCCATCAGGGAATACATGGACCACATGCAAGGGGCATCTAGCCCGGTTTTCGCCTTCCCAACATTCTTCATCGTCAACACTCGCTCGGCTAGGTGCCCGCTGTAAAAGAGATCCCGTCGTCCGTGACGTTTCTCTCAGAGGAAGTAATCCCTGACGGGGTCGTTCCCCGCCTGTTGCTGTTGCTGCTGCGATTCCAAGCGATGGACCTCATTCTCGGGCGCGGCGTCGAAGACGTTCCACTTCCGCTCCCCGCCGGGCCCGACCTCGAGCACGCTCGCGAGGTTGCCGCATCTGTAGCAGTAGTTCGGCGCGCTCCACACCGTCGAGAGCTGATCGTCGAACATGACCATGTACCCCTCGTTGCAGAGCTGGTGCGCCCGGAGGATGTGGTTCATGCTGTTGACCTCGAGGAACTTCCGCACCACCTGCGCGCCGAAGGTGTAGCCCGCGCCGCGCGGGCTCAGGCTGAACTCGTCCCGCTCGGCGTCCGGGTCCGACCAGACCAGGTCGGCCATGGGCCCTTCGTGGGGGATCTCCCGGAACCGGTCGATGATCTTGATCTGGTCGATGCTGTGGATGCTGGGGCTCAGGCCGCCGTGCACGCAGAAGATCTTGTCGTCGATGACGCACGAGAGGGAGAGGTAGTCGAACATGTCGGTGAAGTGGTGCCAGACGGCGGCGTTGCCGTATTTGCGGCTGCATTCGGTGTAGAAGCCGTAGGATTGTGTCACGCCGCGGGATTCGTGGTTGCCGCGGATGAGGTGCACACGTTCGGGGTAGCGCAGTTTGAGGCAGACGAGGAGGGAGATGGTTTCGATGCTGAAGAGACCGCGGTCGACATAGTCGCCTGTGGGGAAGGGACAGATGGGTCAGCTCATCCGTCATGGGAATTTGTGGTCGCGTGATGCGTGTGCGTTTCCAGCCTACCGAGGAATAGGTAATTGGTGTCCGGGCAATGGCCTCCAATTTTGAAAATCTCAATCATGTCGAAGAATTGCCCGTGGATGTCACCAACCACGGTGACGGGCGCTTGGATGTGGACGACATTGCTCTCTTTCATCAACAGCTCTTTCGCTTTGGCGCATACCGCTTCAATGACGGACTCGGCGAGGAGCTCCTTGTTGTACAGTCGGGATATGCATTCGTCGAGATCTATACTGGCTGCAGTACGAGAAGGAGGCGGCGTCAGTGAAGGTTACTCGGCGAGGCGGTGGTGGAAACCGCTGGATCACTGCGGTCGACACTCACCTGGAAGTCCCGGCATTGCTTGAGTGCGCGGTCAGAGACAGCGCAAACTTCGGATGGCGGGAGCATGGGTCGGGCAAAGCGCAAGGGACACACGCCGGCGATTGTCGTCATCCAGGCGTGGCAGGAATAGGCGCGAAGAATGGACACGACGTGGAGGGCAGCATGCGCTTCATGAGGACGATGATGCAGGCATGGCTGTGTCGTTGGGGAAAATCGTCCAGCTCGAATTCAATGGCGTTGTCTGACCACGCCGCTTGGACGGCCAGCGCACAATTCTACAATGGATATGTCCAAGCCCACCTGCACCTGGGCACCTGCACGCCCGCGAGGATACCGCTGCTGCTGCTGATGCCACCGCTGCCAGCCCTGGAGGTCACACGAACCCTGAAAGAAAAATGGTACCTGAGGCTCCTTTCAGGCTTCTCAGGTTCCAAGGTGGGCCAGGTGTATTTCATGGACGGCATGGACGGCGGTGGGCATTGGCGACGGCAAGGAGCGGCCCGATGAGTTTACAGCAATTGCGATCAGGTACGGCGATAATCGAATGGCAATTCACAGTGATAGTCGAATTGCAATCTACGGTGATGATAACGATGAATGACAGAATACCTGCTCAGGTGCACATTGATACTCTGTAGTAATACCTAGGTAAGTATATATATATATATATATACTGGACATGGCTGCCAGGTGTGTATACAGTATATAGACAGCTCCGTCGACTTGGCAGTATCGTCAGCATCAACACGTATACGCTCGTATGGCGTGCTATGGCTTGGTCGTTTCGGTGTGATAAGGATCGCCCGTCACCTTGCCATTGTTGTCACTGCACTGATGAAGCTGAATGTCCGCAAATGGGCATTGCTTTCTCTGCCTGCAAGCGTTGGAGATCTGGTCGTTGAAGGACAACAATGGCCGATCCGTGGTTGGACAGATATGTGAGAAACCCGCAGCGCTCACACAAACTCACCTACCCACCCACACATACACACCATGCAGTGGCCGGCTCCTGCACGTTGGCTGTTCCGTACAATCTCTTGCTCACTGCCCGACGAAATGGCCAATCTGTACTCACGTGTACCATAGTATTCCATCATACTGTACATATGTTTCTACTGTAGGTGCTGGGTGCCCAGGTGAGCAGAGGCTTCGAAGTATGGGCGGCCGCCTGTCAAATTTCGAGCCGGCGCGGCACTTTACGAACAGTTGGCCTGGCTGTGAGCCCTCCGCGCGTCAGCAAAAGTTCATCTTCACCATGTCATGATCATCAGCCTTTGTTATTGCGATCATGATGTTTGCGGTAGACACTCCGCCTCGTAGTCGAAAATCATCGTCCGCTAGTGGGCCAACTCAAAGATGCCTCCCACTTCTGGCCGAAGAATGATGACTACCTAGGTAGAGTATTCACCAGCCAAGGGCCATCGGGATTTTGCTTGTTAGCCGATGCCCGCTGCTGATCCCTCATGGGAAGTACACAGGCTTCTCACTTCTCGTCCCGATCGATACACCCTTTGGGAAAGAATTCTTCCCTCCTCCGAGCTGGCTCACAGTCATCGGTCATCGTACACGCGAACAGTATGAGCGATGGGGAGGATCCTCTACGAAACATTCTTCCTGCACGCTCAGCACGACATTTCTCGAGGGCTCGATGGATACCGATGGATGAGATGCATGACAGGTGGTGTGTCCCAGAGACCAGATTTCGCTTGTTTTCTTCTTGCTTCCTGAGCACAATTGTCCACCAAGACTGGCAGCAATGGCGGCAGGGACGTTGCCTGGTCGTTGCCGCTGACCCATAACCAGACCGACGACAGTAGTTCAACTGCATAACTCGACAAATCCTCCGCCCACTCTCATCCGATCCAGAGATGAATTTCTGCGAGTATTCATACGCATAGATGTCTGATTGTATGTCTTTGCCTCATGTGCACACTTCCACAACGGTCAAGTCTACCGTCCACCACCAACAGCAACGACATCCAGCTCGCACTGCATCTCAACCACTTCGTCACTGGTCGACAGGGCAGTGTTATGGTTCTTCGGTCCGACTTCTCCAACATATAGACAACAACCAGGGCGTGGAAGGCACGCTTTCCCATACTTCAATTTCCTGGCACCGTCATTGACCCAGAATGCGTTGCCTTGTTCACTCGTTGTTGTGATCTGTCGCCTAGCTCAAGTGCTGACTCTCTTCCTTTCCTTGTTGCCGTCGTCGCTGTCGTCACTTCTCAAGCCCTCATCGTGCGACTGAGATCATCATTTCTCGCTGATGTGATAGACGAGTCTCCTCGAGCACTCCATTCGGTCATTCGCTCACCGACGAAATCCTTCACACTACCGATATGTTTACGAATGCCAGCATCAATCCGGCCCCTTCAAATTTCGGCCAACGACCATATCGTGCAAGGTGGGTTGCCTCAATGCCCCCTCAGACATCGACCAGTGTCGACACAATGGCTTCAACATCAAAAGGATTCGATCGGAAATGTCATTGCCACTTCAATGCTGACATTCAGATGGACAGGGGACAACCACCTACGAAACGTGCCAAGGGCAATCCCATCATCACCAGATATCCACCACCTCCAGGTTACCAAGCTCCCACGCAGCCACTGCCATCGGTAGCCCCGTCTACCTGGCAGCCGATCAATCATCATGAAACGAGTTATAATGCGACTTACCCCAGCGATTATCCTTCGGCGACATATGATCAATCTCAGCCGATGCTCGATGCTAGCAGTACAACGCTGGCAACCACGCTTCATCAGCACTCACATTCTGTGCAGACCTTGCCGCCCACGTCACTACCCTGCGACGAGCCTGCGGAATGGCAGGACCCGCTGTCGGCCTCTCACATGAATTCATCCGCCGTCTGGGTGCCCCCAACGCAATTCGCTGGCCGAAAATTTCGCCGACAGAATTCAGTTCCCTATCTGGTCGTACCATCGTCAGGACCACTGCTCGACGGGAACGGGGAGCTCATGTCGCCATTGGAGGCAGAAGACGACAGTGCAGCAATCCTTGAAGATGATTACGATGGCGAGTGTTACTTCTCAAGACATCCTGACGAGATCGATCCCAATCTGAGCCTGGGTCTGATTGAGTGGAAAGCGCCACAATCGACTGTCTTAGCAATCCCAACTGCTCTCGAACTCGCAGATCTGGCGACACCAGAGACCGCCCCAATGGATTTATCGGAGGAGAGTGATTCAGTATCCCATTATTTCGCTCGTTCCAAGAAGCATGAAGTCCTCCTCGGCGTTCGACAAACCGAGGCCTGGCACGAGATGAAGGATGACTTGATATTTCGACAATTTTCTAATTTCTGCTCAAGGTTAGTTTCCTTTGCAGAATTGCAGGCAAGGTATCGTCGTCGCTACGACCAAGAGTGGGCAGACGGTGATCATCTCTCCGTATACACCCAAGACTTCGGCTACGCGCAGCCTCCAAGCCGGGAAGCTACTCCCAGCGTCAGCGATCACATGGACATTGATGAGACACATGTTCAGCCCGCACATTTCCGAAGTCAATCAATGGAGCCTCGATCAGAAAATCCTGGCCACCCAGTACATACGAGACCCCGTCCAAGCCACACACGAACTCAGTCTGTCACGCATGCAAGAACCCAGCAAACCAACCATTCCCGAGCTCAATCTATAAATCACTCTCGACCACAACACATGACTCATTCGCGATCCAACTCAACCACATCGCAACGAGTCGGACATACTACCACCAGCAAACTGACTCGACCCAAGCCACTCCCGCTGGTACACGATCAAGCTCAAGAAGACATCCTCGCCGCCCTAGGCGTGACCGGGTCTGCACAACAAGTCTATGAAACCCCCGGACCAGCATTTGGCCCTCCGCCTCCGGAGAAGGGCAGCAAACTCCACAGCCGCACCAACTCAATGAGTAGCACTCACAGCAACACCAGCCAGACCTACCGCTTCCCGGCCCAACGCGGGCCCTCCGCCCCTCCGACCTCCCAATCCAGCCACACCCACGACCGCTGGTCCTCATCCACGGGATCCTCCTTCAACGCCGCCGCCGCCCCCTTCGCCACACCGACGCACACGCGCGTGCCCGCCGCCCGGGGCCCGGATTTCTCCCCCATCACCGAAGACGACTTCACACCGCGTCCGAAATACCCTCCCACGATGATGGCGAACGCACAGAATCGCGGCGGGCCCGGCGCCGAGACCACCCGCAAGCGCAGCTACGCCGACTCCCTGCTCAGCGGCAACGGTGGTAGTGCGGCGGATTCCGCCCGCGCCCTCGATGGAGAGGGAGAGGCCTTCGGCGAGGAGGACGGCGGTTTGCGTCGTCGTCGGGACGAGGCGGAGGAGGAAGAAGAGAGTGCGACGCCGAAGCCGAGGAAGCAGTTGCGTGTTTGAAATGTCAAAGACGCCTTGGAGTTTGACATCGCATGAGACTGGCTTGGTTTTCGACTTGCTGCCGTTCGCCGGCATCTTTCCTCTTCCTTGCTCTCTCTCTCTTGCTTGCTTATCCTATCTTTGTCGCTGTAGTGCCTCCCTCTGTGATGTCCTCCTAATTGTTCTCTTTTGCCTTGGATTTTTGGTTTCTCTGTACCCTATTTTCGTATTTGTCTTTTTTGTTCATATTCTTTCCTCGCGTTGCCTTTGGCTGGCTGATAATTAATGGAATGGTTCCAATCTGATCTTCCTAATTTTTTCTTTTTTAATTCTCTCATCTTTGATTCTCGTGTCTTCGCGATATTCCAATGACGCTCGCAAAGTGTGTGATCTACTGTATCCATCATCAGAACTGCGATTTGCAGATTGACAGTCGCTCGCTTGGGTGTGTGGTTCACATGTGCCATGCAGCATAATCTGCCACATCGATCGGATTTCTCGCAAGATCTGTCGTGCGAACCCGACTTAGAGTGTATGAGGATTCAGGGCATTCTCTACTATAGTCGTGATATGGTGACCTGCTACTCGAATTGCCTATATATTGTTGTTATATACTACGAGAAAAGGGTAGTTCTGTCGTACCTGCCTGGGTAAACCAAAACAGGTTCTCGTGGTAAGAACCCTAGTACAGAAGTAGGTTGGATCGCACGAGGTACTCAGATGACTAAGCTAATACTCGGTCTCCGCGACGACTAACTCCTCTCTGGCGCGCCTTTCCATTTTAGAAAGGTACTTAGGTAGAACCGAAAAACGATTCTTTTCTTTTCAGCTGTCGGAATGCCCTGTCCGATTTGACTCGGCTCTGACGCAGGGCCGCGGGATAATGAAAAACAATCGCGATGAGGGTCTGGAGTGTCTACATTTGTGCGATGTCCTCTCCTTTCTTTGTGGAAACAGGAAGTCATCCAAACCTGTTTGAACCCCCAAACCTATCCAATCTATCTCGATTCTTCCTGTCACATTGCATTTCTCGAGATTTCCTCACCAAGATTTCCGCACGACCTGTGTTATAACAAGAGCCGAGCTATGTACTGCAATGACGCTGATTGTAATTGGGATCGACTGTCAGCGCCTATGCCCCGGACGTGGGATGGACATCTCTTGTGCTGTGACCGTGCAGGAAAAAGCTACTGTACAACGCATCGCCCGCAGCGTACAAACCGTCGTCGATCCTCATCATTCGTGCCGACGGGACGGTCGCTGGGAAGTCACCAAGCGAGCACCGTGATAGTTGATCCTGGCGCCGGAAAACGCTGTATTGGAATTACTGTGCAGGGGAAACATGTTATGGTGACATCCGGGTTTCGGTAAACCTCCCAATCGCCCGGGCCAGAACACTCCTTTGTAGCTTCGCTGTCCCGAATTTGTTCGGCTGACGCCAAGGGTTTGGTTGGACGCTCAGATATATGCGCATTTCAATTTCATCGAGGGGCCTCGACCGGGCTATTCTGCTGCAAAACATTCGTCCGTGGCTCATCGGCGATGCGATGGGCTTCCAGCTCGTGTCTGCATGTCGCTGCGAAATAATTGTAATGTGTGAGATGCGCAAGTGATATTGTCGTCTCGTCATGGCGGGAAAATACTCCGCATCGCGCACGGCCAGGGAGCCTTTGCGACAGCGAACCGACCACGATGATCGAAACCGAAGCCACAATACTCATTCAACTGTAATTACCCGGCAGGACGATCATCCGACGCCGAATGCTGTATCTGCAGGCGAGAAATGAATGATCTGGCGGGCGAGAATCAAGACGGTGGACAAGCCCATTCGCGTCGGATTGCACCGAATAGCCAGCTCTAGACTCTCGGGCTCTTAGCGACAGGAGTCCGTCGTATGGGCGGAGAGAAAGAGAGCAACTCGTCACGGTACTGTACACTACTGTGCGCCATCGGCTGGATCGCTAGTATTTATTTCCAACCTTTGTCTACGTTTCGTACGAAGGTGTTCATCTCCGACAAACACTAGCATAATGATATATTGAACAATGAAGTGATAGAGAGGAGTAATGTTGAAGTTATCACATAAGGTGTAGCGAGGTCACCTAACAAGATATAGCACAATGACAGTGTTGGACAAAATGCATACCGAAAAGCACTCGCAACGTACAGGACCTTGGCACCACCGATGACAGGGACAAATCCCTTTCCAAGCTTCATTACTATTATTACAGCACTTTCACAATTCTCCGGGCCGTGTCCTCCTCCACGCCAAAAGATGCATATCCAAGGGAGTGGGAAAATGATTTGGAACTCTTACCACTGATGAAACCGTATTCGGTATGTGCATGCCGGCGACGACCACCAATCAGCAGGCCCCGATCCTGAAACCCAAGGGTGCAATTCTTAACGATCGCGGATGACCTCTGTAATGTCTCTTAATATAATTCTGCCCGCGTTACAGCTCCACGGTTCTTATGCCAGGATTTGCGTCTTGCCCTGATTAGCGGCCCGCCAGCCACAACGCCAACAAGGCCGAGAACGTTCCCTCCATGGCAGCTTTCCTTCTCGACGTGGGAATAATTTGACGTGATATCAGCCATCGGCCCCGAAAGATGAAGGAGCGGTATTCCGATGGGACGGGAGTAGGCCTCGACGTGTCGGTCACGACATTGCGCCTCAACGTCGTCTCTGTATTGTCCCCGCACAGGCTGTCACTCTGTTGTGGTAGTTCTTGGTCGTGGTTCTGGTGTGCGGTTCCTATCGCTGTCTCGCTTCCTCGTCGGACCTTGCATCGGGTCTTGTCCGGCAAATCATTCCTTGTAACGTACAAGACAGATGTGACCCCGGATCGACATGCTTCGATCTTGATAACATCAAGATTGGCGGAACGTGGCGCTGTTGAAGACGACAACCTTCTCACGGGTGAGGAAAGTTGATCGCAGATCGACCTGGACGCGACAGCAGACTTCCCGCCGACTTCGACGACAATAGCACCATTGCTGGCTAGCAAACACATCTGATTCGACTGTGTCGAAGTTCTGCCACATCTTCCTCTCAAAGCCTGAATATCGACGGTCGAAACCTTGTTGGGTACTACTCCTCTCTCTAGTCAGGCGGATCTCTCGCCTACTCCGCCGCAACACCACCGCCACGAGATCACGGCGCACATCGTGCAACAACCAAGTTCAAGCAGTCCAGATCTCCATTACCCCAACTTCTTGAGCTGGTCTCCCAACATAGCCGTGTATCATCTGTGAAATTCAGCGTGCGCTGCCTCGATTTAGGTTGGCTTAGGAAGGAACCAGCGAGTCAACGTCACATCCTTCCTCATCGGCCGTCCGTCCCTTCGTCATTGTCAAGTCGAGCCGACTCTACACTTGGCTATCTCTGTGTCGGCCACTGCATTCGGCCGCTGCATATTGTGCTGCTGTGCACTTGCCGGTCAGGCGTTGTGATCGTTTGATGCTTTCTTCATCACCATATCGTCATCCTTGTCACCATTACCAACATCACCACTCTCACCATCGTCACCCTTCCTCTTAACTATTAGCATCATCGGCATCACCGCCACCGTCATCTTTGTCATCATCAATTATAAACCGCCGATCGGTGCTTTGCGCCTGACGCTTGACGAATATTCTAAAAAGCAAGGTTCACTTTCGACATAACGACCAAAAAACCTCACGAGCACAAAAGTACTGTACGATCAACTCACTGCATTTTCTAGCCTAAACTTGTCATTCGAGCCTCGCTGACAGCCCTCGAGAGCTTGTATATTCTTCCCGGGACCTTCACGCTGCTCTACCCGCAACATACGTCGCACTCTCCAGACTTCAGCTCGAAACGGCGGCGCGCTTACTAGCCGCGCCCCTCCATCACGCTGGCAGACGCAAATCAGCGGTATGCTGCAGCGCAGCCGGATCGGCATGGCGACTTGACCGACCAGGATGCAAATTCTTCCCGGCCCGAGACGGCCGATTCCTCGAGGCATAGCTCCGTCAGCAGTCCTAATACGAAGCGGAGAGAGGAAGTTTCCCAATCAAGTAGGAAGCCTGCCAAGAAAGCCAGGACAAGTACATCCAAGCTAAGCAGTGCGGATGGCGAGACAGATCCATCTGCTGCTGCTGCTGCGAAAGGCGCCTCGCCTCCCAAGGCCAAACGAGTCCGAACTGGTTGTCTGACGTGTAGAGAACGCCATCTCAAATGTGATGAAGGTGTTCCTGTTTGTGCCAACTGCCTGAAAAGCAATCGCGACTGCAAGCGCGGCGTCAAGCTCAATTTCATCGACATCTGGACCGAGGCGCCCGCTGTGAACGCCCTCGTCGAGGGTACGCCATTGGAGTTCCACGACGAATCCCGCGCCGTGGCCAGTGAGTACAAAGGTGGGACTGAACGCTATCGTCACTTCGCTCCGAGTACTACCGAGCCTTCACGGCAACCACAATCCTCCCACGTATCTCTTGCTGGCGACCTCGTTACGAGACCTTTTCGCCACTCGTCGGATGGCGTCTCTCTACAGCAAATGCACGGAGGCAATCCTTGGTTACCTCACCACCCCCGCAACAATTTCAATCCTCACCACGTCACCCCTCCCACATTACCTCTTGCGCATAGAACGTCTGATCCACGCTCAATCCTCTTGAGCGACTCATATCGAAAGCAGTCCTCTTCGCAGTCCTCTCAACAATCTCAACAATCCTACTATGCTGAGTCGGGTACTAGCAGCAACCTGGCAGGCCCAGAGTCAATCGGTGGCCATAGCAATGCGACTGCTTACTCTGAAGTAGAGAATCAACATCCACCTCGTGAGGCACGCCATGTGCCGAACAATAACTTGAATAGGCCATCGCCGCCTCCCGCAGGGGAGCCTCCTGTGCTCACTTCTGCCAATGAGATGCTGTACATGCAAATTTTCACAGAAGAAGTCGCTCTGTGGATGGACGCCCTGGATCCCTCCGGTAAATACTTTACTCTCTTTATACCGCGTATGGCCCTTCGGGTGCCGATGATGCGCGAAGCGATACTCGCCTGTGGCGCTGAACATTTGGGATTGGTGAATCCCGCACACTACCCCGAGTCAAATTCTCTAGAACACTACCACGTCGCGACGAGACTTCTTCTCGAGCACCTGGGTCGCGGTGCGGAAACGAATCAAACCCGAGGAAATCCAAGGGAGGAAAAGCAAAAGCAAAAGGAGGCAGCAATAACTGCTGTGCTTCTCAATGTCTACGAGCTGATGAGAGCGAACGGGGCTCGTATCGACCTAGTGAAATCGGAAACTTCGGCCGATCACGTCACTATGGCGCACAGTAAGAACCCCCAAGGGCATCCTGGACACCAACGGACTAATCACGTCGCAGGAGCTCGCGCCCTGATAAATTCGCTTGGATGGAATTACAAGACCCCGGACGTTGGTGGTGCATGCTTTTGGCTTAACATTGGATTTGAAATACTCAGCTGCCTCCATTTTGGATGGCGGATGGAATGGAAGACAGATAGTTGGGGCCTTGATGTGCCACGCCATGAGTACAGAATTGGAGGAGATGTGCAAGTCCGACTGAATCCATCTGGCGGTAGATATACAGGACAAGGTCCCTACGAGATGGATTCCTCCGCCGATGTGGAAGATGACGCTAATGTTTCCTTCTTCGACTGGTCAATGGAGACGCGCCCGCATAGGGAAACCATCTGGGCGAGGCGCATGCTCTACGTCCTTGCCAAATTGTGCGACTACCGTGCTGACTTCGCAGAATTCGCCGACGCGGTCAGCAAGGAGCGAAAACCTTTGAATCCTCGCTCGGAATGCTTTCAAATGTCTTTGCGCCTCGCTGAAGCCTGGACTAAGCTTTGGGACATGAATGAGCTGTGGTTCAAGAACCGCCCAGATTACATCCGGCAGACGGCCATCGTCCGTGTCGAGCATCTCCTGCCGGCCCCCGGCTTTCCACCTGCTACGGCCAATTCCACTCAGCCACAACGAGCGCGCTCGAAGTTTCCGGAGGTGTGGTACATCGGAAGCGTCGCAGTCGTGTCGACATTATTCCACTACACCGCGAAATTGCTATTGACGCAATCACACCCCTCCGTGATGGCCAATGAGGGCTCAACCCTAGCCGAGCACGAACAAATCACAAGGAGCTTGAAAGAGGACGAAAGGTACAGTGCAGGCATGATCTGCGCGATCACAGCTCATGTCAAGGACCGCGGCGTCGCATCCATCGCCATCCAAGCCCTGCATCATGCCGCAAGAACCCTCACGGACCTCGAAGAACAAACCGAAGTATTTGCTGTCTTCGAACGCATCGCCCGCAACACGGGATGGCGCATCGAGTGGATTTACGCTGAGCTACGGCAACGCTGGGGTTGGACCACGCCGTCCCAGCGGACCTCACCACTCGCTCTGAGGTTTGCGCCATCGGCGCCGGCTGCGGCTGCGACCGCTGCATCCGCTACTGCTGCACTTCCATCGAGGACCCTGCTTCCGCCGCCGATGGCGACTTCCTCATCGTCCCCGTCCTCATCCTTGCCGCCGTCGCTTTTCAGATCAACATGATATGCCACGATGGGACGTATCTTGGAGGAATCCTAGGAGTCAGATGCTCAGGATAGGTAATGAATCCATCATACTCATTCCTTACTCATCGTGATGTGCATCTTGATTGAATGTTTAATGACCGGATAGTCTTCCTCCCCGATGACTTCGTATGCTCTTTGCTCGCTATCCACCTGGAAGGACAGAGTCATATTGGACGTAGATCTCATGAAGTCGTCGAAGTGCCCGGTCCAGCGTGAAGTGAAGTGAAATGTATGCTGACTGGTGTGGGTTTGACAAGCTGTACACGTAGACTAACAACGCAGAGACCTAGAGGTAATTTCACGCGGCATTGGCAGTTATCAGAGCACATTTTAGGTTTAAGCATTGCTCTGATTTTACTGACTGGATGAAAGCCATACCTCCACAATATAAATGAATTTCCTCCTGTCAAAATCCGACTCTGGACCGTCGGGCCTCAGCTCCGAAGTGATCACAATGATGTGGGGCTAGCCTGCGACCGCCGCCAAAGAAAGAGCTCGGGCAGCCTACAGGGTTTCCAATCCTTGGTTAGGCCGTTTCGGCGATCCGACGTTGATTGCGCGGCCTACAATTCCAGCACAACACACTTCTCAAACCTTACGTCTGCTGCGAGACAATAACAACAACATTGAGCATCGCACTGTGCGACTGACAGTCACATATCTAATCCTTTCTGCAAGCTGTCCCAGCACAGCCCTGATCATCCCCGACCTTTCCCCGTTCACCCCCACCACCACTACCACCACCACCACCACAACAGCAAAAAGATGAACGTCCGCATCGAACGCGACCGCCTCCTCAAAGAAGCCCTCGGCGACCGCCTCGCCGGTCCCACTCGGACATGGTACCAATACCTCTCGGGCGAGATCCCCAAGCCAGCACCCCTCGCACCGCAGGATGCCGCTGCGAAACCCTTCATGAAGGAGTACTTTGCCTCCATGCTGGACAACACGGATCCTCCGGAAGTCTTCAAGCCCAGCGCCGTGGCGCAGATGCTTACGGACGCGCAACTCAAGGAGTGCGGCTATGATAAGTGGGAGGATGCGCTTCCTGCGGTGTATGAGCTGGCGTTCGAGATGAGGACGTTTGGGGACTGTGAGATCCTCAGGAAGGGCAAGGTTGTTCCTGAGGATGTTGGTGTGGAGGAGATTGATGGGCCGATTCGGATTCGGAGGAAGGCGGATGATGATGATTGGTGATCTGCTTTCTTTCTTCTTGGGTGGACTGGAGTAAGAGGACGAAAGGAGGAGAGGCCCGCAGGAGAGGTCGGAGGAGGTGCCGAGGAGGATTACTGATATGACGATACTGGGCTCATGATGGACGATATTCTCTGAATACACTTGCTGGCGTCAACTTGCAACTACAATAAGATTGCGGAGGAAAATCAACTTGGAATCACAACAAGATTGTGGAGGAAAATCAACTTGATCCTGCGGAATGGTCGATTCTGGCCACGACGGATTAAGCACACGGAACCCGACCGAACACGCACACACTTCCGACCCAACTGACTTTGAAGAAGACATCAAGAACGTATACAACTCCGCCGCAAAGACGGAAAACCACACATCACACAAACACCATCAATCAATACGCATAATATGAACACAAAAACACATGGCCGTCATAATCCTCATTCCTCCCCTTTCGGCGGGACGACCTCCAAACCCCTCAGCAGCGGCCTCTTAGGTCCATACCCACCCTCAGCTCTCTGCGGCGGGATCGCCATGCCAATCTCAATATCGGGATGATCCAGCATGGCAAAAGTCTGCTTCTCCAAACCCGGGAGGACGACGTTCTGCTGTGCCACCGAGGACTCACTAGTGTCCTCATCGTCGCTACTACGGCCACTGCGACCGCTGTCGTCTGCACTGGCGACTTGCTGCTTCGGACCATCTGCCTCCTTGAATTGCGCCGTGGCAAAGTCCTCGGGCAGACAGAATAAATCGCTCGTGGTGCCCATCAGCGCAGTAGCAGCGGCCTCCTGCTTCTTCGCCTCGATCGCATTTGCTGAAGTACATCCGCCGATTTCGCGGCGGAAAACAGGAAGGTACTGTTCTGTCAATTCATTGACGGCGATGCGCAGGTGGGATTTTCCCGTGTGGGCCAGCCATGGTAGAGAGCCGAGATCAGGGAGGAAGCCGTTGAAAGGAAGGAACTTGTGAAGAGGCGGTGTTTTTCCTGAAGTGGAGGTTTGGGCTTCTGATGTCGATTCTTGGGGTTTGGGCGTTGGATTCGTGTCTTCAGAAAGGAAGTCTTGTTTCTCTTCGCTAGCCTTTGAACCCGATTTTTTCGACGGTGTCGCCTTTGCGGATTTCGGTGGCGGTCGGAGGAATTCTTCTGGCACTTGCGCTAATTCGCCGTGAAGCGTGACGAGGCTGTCTGCGGGATGGAGGATGCTCCAGCCTCTCGCTCGTGTCAATTCAAGGAGATATTCCGACCACGCTGGTTCTCCAGCCGAAACCAATTTCTTCTGTGGTTTCGTGAGACCTCTTTGTGTGGCCTCTAGTCGTCGCTGTAGGAAATCGTGAAATGTCGCCCATTTATCGCCGAAGACCAGTGTGGCTCCGATGGACGAAGTCTGGTAAAGGAATGGCGCGTTGGCTTTTGGATCTGCGGCCTTCGCGTTAACAGTAGCCGACTCTCGCATATCGCCAACGGTCGGAGCCTGCAGTGTGGATTTTCCGTCAATGAGCGTAGAGGGCCGATCTAGGGAAATACCCATGATGTCCCCGGCCTCCCACCATTTCTCCGAATGCCGGTATTGTAGAATTGAGTAATATAAATGTTGAAAGAATAAAGGACTGAGCTCCGCCTGAGACGAGAGTACTAGTACATGATGAAATTGTGGATCGGATGGGTAGAAAGATTCGACGAATCGTAGCGCTGACTGATCACCAGTCAGGAGGCGTGAAGGAATACGGTGATTCAAGGTGAGCATGTTTGATTGCGAGGCTGGCCAAGATTCCGATGGTGGCCATGTAAGTCCATTCAACCACTGCATCGCAAATGACTCAACGACCGGTGGAAGCTCTACCACAAGTCGCGGCGCTTTGAGGCCGGAGTAATCTGCCGTCTTCAGGCTTTTCAGCAATCTGATCAGGCTGCCCGAGCTCTTTCGCGGCGATTGTACAAGAATATCGATGGTAGGCTTGAACCAATTCTCTAGACTGTCTGCATCGAGGCGCGTCATCCACAGGAAATCCTCATATCTCTTCTCCGGGATCGCGATAAGTGTTTTGGCATAATCTTCCGCCCGCTGTCGCATGGCAGTTGTGAAGAAGCTTTCTTCTTGTTTCCCGCCATCGACAACGATGGCCTGAGGATTCACAAATTCGTTAATCTGTTTGAATGCGGCAAGAGTCGAGAGCTCCGCCCGCTTGGCTGTGCTGTATTCCGCAAAGTCCGCCCGACCGTCGTGAAACATGACATGACAATCTTGCTGCTTGAAGCCATTGACGCTTAGAATCTCCGGTATTGAAAGCGCATTCCGCCCGAGGACCGCCATATGTACTTCGCTCTTGTTCACTCGACCCGCCTCGCATGCCAGTGGCATGAGGTTGGCTACACTCTTCAAGGACGATGCTGCGAAGAGAACCCTCCCACTCGCTGCACCAAACGGTGCCCGACCCAGTTTGTCCAGCGAAGAGGCCAGGCGAGGATGTCGAACCTTGCCGTTGAAATAATGATCCACATCACTGGTCTCGTCTGTGGGCGGCAGGGTTCCAGTAGTCTCCTTCTTTGGCGGTAATGTCGCCGGCCGGCTCGCAGGTGCCAATCGCGGAGCCTGTGCTGGCGCTCGTTCCAGTGAGGTGAAACTCGACATATCCGGTAACCTTGACAGATCCGGCATCTTGGGCATCCTCTCCATCGATCCGTGCTGGAACAGCCCGTATAGGAACAGCACAACCAGTGCGACCAGCGCTAACCTCCGTTTGCTCCGCCATCTCCATGGCAAGATCCATGACAGTGGTGATACAGGCTGCACCCTCGGACGGAAGTCATCGTCGCGCTTCCCGTGCTCTTCGTCACTGCTCAGCATGCGGTGGTGGTGATATGCGGTGTTGGGCGACCATTCGTGAGACGCTGTTCCGGCCCGCGGGCGGACAATGCCTCCTAGCATGGTGAGTTCCACATTGATGGACGGCGAAGTCCAATGCTTCGAGCTAATGGAGAGGTCGCGAACTCGTCCTGGTGAAAGCCGTAGGATGCTCGATCGTAAGGAAACACCTAATATGATTGACAGTTAAAAAGAGCGATTGGCCAGAGAAGTGAATGATCATGCAGGTTCAAGTGCGTTTTGCGCACGCGATAGAAATCGCTCCGCTTCCCTCGTGCTGGTAGGATCGGGGTACAGTACCTCTGAGCTGGACTACATTGAGACTGAGTCCTCGGCTTGTCCCCAGAAACGTTGCAACGGAGCGCACCGCCCCGCAACCGGGGTACGGGGTAAACGCACCGTGACGCGACAAATTGTGCTGATGGCGCAGCGTCATTCTTGACCCAAACATGACCAGTACCAATAGAGTATCTTCACGTCCATCATAAACATCGTTTGAATACATCTATATATTGTAAGGAATACTGATGGCCCAGTGCTATGCTAAACATTGCTTTCGTCTGAACCTGTCTTCCGGATTCGAGCCAAAAAAGTAGTCTTCTTGGGTTTCAATTCTGCTCTGCCAACCGATACGCCATCATAATGAGTAGCAGAATATGAGACAATCTCGACAGCGCCATGTTTACTCGCTTGGAGAGCGAACGTACCGCTGACGAAACCGACAGTTGCTTTGGAGAGGTACTCTGGCAGAGGATCCTTGCCGTCGGCGTCCCCGATGCGGACCTCTTCACTCAATTTCGCGGTGCGACTTGCGCGAAGAATGGTCGAGAAGTCGTTGGAAAATGCTGCACCATTGGTCATCATCGCGATGAAGCCGGCGACGGCTACAAGCATTGTTATTCCGAGCGCGATGCCGTAGGTGAGCCACAAGTTTGATGCGGAATAGTCATATTGATTGCGGTAAATGTTCTGGGTGATGTTCACTTTGGCTGGCGCGATAAGGGAGGAGGTATTGGGTCTGAAATCTGCTGTCAGCATTCTCCACTTCCGGAAATTTCGTTTCTAGTATCAACTCACTGAAGGTTGGGAGAGCTCAGCAAGCTTATCGTAATATTCTCAAACAGCTTTTCTAAGGTAACTTTGAGTGACAGATTGGCCCGCGGCTGAATCGAGTCATGCATGGTAGACAATTGTGGGTTGTCTGACCCGCTGGAGGCCCATCGTGCATTCTGCGTCAGAAACGCCAGCTCCGGAGTATCAAGAAGGACAGATTGCATGACACTCGTGCGCTCGAATGCGCCTTGGCCGTACCGAGTTTTCATGGGATCGACCACATAGCCTACGAAGATTTTGCCAAACGCGTCCATTACGGCCTGGAAGCTCAATTTCTCGAGTAGTGTTGGGTCAACCACACACTTTTCGAATCGCGCGTTCATGGTAGCACACGACGTGTTTGTATCCAGATAGTCAAAGGCTGACAAGGTAGTCACCGGAGTACTGGTCGTTCCGGCTTGTGGCGAGAAGCTGATTTGCTGCTCACCGTTGACGTAGGTGAAGTTTGTTGCATAGGTCGTGTTCTGTAGCTCGCACTGGACAAAAGTTGAGTTGCTCCAGTCGGTCCTGTTGAGTCGAGCAGAGCACGATGCAGGGGTATCATATGCGAGATTTGGAATCACAGCGAAGTATATCGTTGCGGCCTGCGTCGCATTGACGTAGTCTTCAGGCCCAACAGCAGAGAAATCCAAGGGACCGACCGTGCCCACATTCATTGGCCATCTGTTGCCAGCGCTTGAAGGCTTGTGAAATGGCAAAGCAGTATTGCTGGGCGCTTGATCTACCATCACGCTCATTGCTGAATCAAAGCCTGGAGTGGCGGTCCATGAAAGAAAGCTGTATGGTCCAGCACAACCCGTTCCGTCACGGAAGGCTTGTAGGATGTTATCAAGCATTTGTGCGCGAAGCGTTGAGTTGACGTCTGCGCACTTGATTGAAGGCGCGCGGAAGCTCGACGTCCAACTCACGTTCAAAGATGGCGGGTGAATGGGGAGCAACTTTCCTTGAGCAGCTACAGAGTTTGCAATCCTCTCCACGACATATGATGGACCGTTATAGACAGATGCGTTTTGCGTCCAAGCAGTGTCGTGCTGATCTCGACGAATTTTCAAGCCATAACCGGTCTGCGGAGCTGCCAGCAGCTTCAGGCTCTTGAAGTCTACACTTGGTACATATACGAGCGATGTTGGAGGAGGAGAGATTGGAACGTTAACGACTGTCAAGGTAGCTGGTGAAATTATTGCAGCGATGGGCAGACACCTGAGAGCCTCGTTAGCTTATTTACGTGGTAATGGGAACAGGCAAAATATGCCCTTACCAGCTGATGACCGCGAGAATGAGAAGCAAAGGATATTTCCACCAGATATGCACCCGCAAGAAAGACCAAACGTTTTCCAATACAGAGTGTAGCCTGTCAAGTGTCGAGAGTCGCGTTTCAGTTCCTCTTTTGCCAACTGCTCGCCAGAAGCATTGGATGTAAGAAGCCGAGACCGTGACCGCCAGGCATGCGCGAAAGAGAAAAGCCAACGCAACTCCAATCGTCATATTCTGCGTCTGCGAGGTGAATGTGATTTGACCGAAATGAATCTCATCCGACAGTGCTGGAGTTCCCGCAAGAGATTGATTGAAAACATGATGTGCCACGGCAAAGCCGATCGCACCAAGAAAAGAAGAAACAATCAGTACCGGAGCATGCCAATCAATGCTTCGCCTGGAATGCATGATGCCGAATCAATAACGCTCAACCAAAGGAAAACACAGAAAATGAGAATGAATTTATCATTAAGATGAGCAAACTGTGTGAAGTCATTTTGTCGCTCGGCCGTGAGTGTGGCCCGGGCAGATCGCATTCACTCAAGAGAAATCAATGTGCTCCAAGCTGACGATCCTTCATAGCAGCGGCAGCGGCGCAGTTCGCCAGATGACTAGACGTGAGCTTTGCTATGTCAGTGTTCATGTCTGGCAGTATCTAGGTAGCTCGGTACCTGAAGTCGCTGCATCGACAGTTTAGCGTGGAGAGGGTCCAACGCCAACAAACCGCCCAAGGGCTGATGGGCGGCTAAATTCGCCCACCCATTGGACCGCTTGGACTTTCGCGCTGCCCTTGGTACAAGCAAGATTTCGGCAACATTCTCGGCTTCCGATATTTACCCTCTGGATGCGTAGATGGGAGAGGCAGACCAATGAGCAGTCTTCCATGGGAAATGTTGCGTGAGCTATAGCTGGAACAATACGTTTTTGCTGCAACCCAGGACTTGATGAGACGCTCGGAGAAAATCCTCCAGCCTTGAAATAGCAACATTGGATGGCTAAATGCTAGGAAACCGTGCACCGCGCCGTCTTTCGGTATGGCGAGACATCACGACCAGCAGCCCCAAGATTTGAATGCTGCCCGCGCGAATGAGCGCTCAGATTTGTACGGAGTGTGCTGATAGTCTCAGATTTGCAATTACTTACAACACGACAAGCGATGTGGGTAAGGTTGACGCTGTGTCAGCGAAACATTTGTACATCCCTGTATGTCGTTGTACAACTCAACTTAAATCGAACTTCAGGTCACACCCGAAAGTACCTGGGGAGCGTAGCCACTGAATCATGGACGGCCCAAGCTGGAATGTGCTCCCTTCATCTATGTCTAATCTAGTATGAACATGAAATAAAACACGTGTACTCATGAATCCGTCCTGCGGATGCCGAAGACTGCCTGCTTCCAGCGCCTCTGCACGACACTTTCGCTGCCTTCCTTCACAAAATCTATCGTTCCATGTCGTTTTGCAAAGACGCCACTCGTGAATTTGATCGTCGCATTCCTCAAGTGCTTCGGCAAGGGCGCTCGCCCATCGCCGTCGTCTTCTGCGAGGTGTGCGCTCATATCGGCGTCTCGGGTCGTGCGTAAGATCGTAGAGAAGTCCATAGACCAGGCAGCTCCGGATGACAGAATGCAACCCATGCCTACCAAGACGGCGAATGTCGTTACAAGAATGGCGATTCCGTAGGAAAGCCATAGTGTCAATGCGGAGTAGGCATAGACGTTCTGCAATGTGTGGAATGTAACGTTCACAGATGACGGCGAGAAAAGCGATGAATTATCGGTACTGGATCGTCTGTTAGTTTCATCATGCTATTGGGATCATTTCACGGTAAGAACTTACTGTAGGATCTCGGAGCTCATCATACTGACCGTGATGTTTTGAAAGAGCTGTTCCAGGTTTCTCGCAAGAGAAATGTCCTTGATAGGTGGGTCCTTGGGCATCATCGAAGTGAAGCGATCCGTCGCAGGAAAAGAGTCAAGAGAATTGTTTCGCCAGCTTGCACCAGTGGACATGAACGCTAGCTCGCGTGATGACATGAGACTTGTTGTCAAAAGGTTGGTTGATGTGATTATGGTCTTCTTCCCGATATTGTTACCTGTGCGCACACCACCGACAAGCAAAGATCCAAAGCTGTCCATAACCGCCTGGAAAGAGAGTGTTTCGAGTGTCGTAGTGTTGATTGCACAATTCACGTAGCTTGAGCGCTGTTGTCCAACTGTTTCACAATGATCGGTCACCATTTTGCCCTCGTTGTCCTGATGCTTGCCGAAATTGAGATACGCTATCTCAAGCGCAGGTACAGGCTTGCTGTCACTGAGATTGCGAAACTCAAGGTCCACAGTTTGGTGACCCCCCGTAAAATTGAATTTGGCATGATAAGTCGTGTTCGATAATTTGCATTGGAGAAAAGTCGAATTCTTGAACATATTGAAGAGGTTGTAGTATTCGTCAACACGCTCCAGGGCAGGACATCGAGCGGTATCTGAGCCAAGCATGCGAGGCATCACCGCAAAATATATTGTAGCGGTATCATTGTTCTCAGTGACCGGTGTCCAAGATAATGGTCCGAGCGTGCCGATATTTCTCGCGAAGGGCTTTGTCTCGTCGAAAGGAAGCGGCTGGGGTAGGTTGTCCGTATTGTCGTGATTACCAGAGTACGACGTCCAGGAAAGGAAATTGTACCACTCCTGGCAAAGACTTCCGTTTGCGTAATTCAAAAGGATATTCTTCTGGACTTGTAGCTGAAAAGTATCGTTCATATTCTCACATGAAAGGTACGGGCCTGGGAAGGACATCTCGTAGCTCGCATTTGTACCCGGAGCAGGAATGGAGAGGATGGATCCCAGAGCAGCTGTCGTTTTGACGATACGTTGCGTTATGATCGATGGTCCATTGTACAGCATCATCTGCGTTCCAACATCTCCTTGTCTGCCACCGAAATGAAAGAGACCTGGATTAATGAACTTCAGGCTTTTGAAGTCTAGCTGCGGCACTTGTAACGCCGCCATTGGAAGCGGATTTGGCGCAGCGATAACAACCGATAAGGTCGCTGGAGTGATGGTCGATGCAATCGGGATGAACCTGAGCACCGGCAAGATTAGCATGACATATTCGGTTGACCGCATATCATGAGAGAGACCTACCAAACAGACAATCCCAGAGTGAGCAACAGTGGATAGTGCCACCAAATGTGCATCTTCAAGAACATCCAGATGTTCTCCAATGCCGAGTCCATGACATCGATCGTGTGAATTCTTGTCTCTGACTTTCCAATGGCCTTCCAGAAGGCCTGCGTGTATGCAATGGTCACCGACAAGACCAAGCAGACTTTGATGAGAAAAGACAAAGCCGTACCCGCGGCGATGTTCAGTTGTTGTGACGACACTCCGAACCCTGCGATGTCACGAGTGTCGTCGTGTACTGGAGTTCCGACCAGTCCGTTGTAAAGGAAGTGATGACCAAGCGCAAGTGCTATGCCGGACAGTAACGAGCCGATCATGATCGCTGGCGTCCGCCAGTATATCACGGGTTTGAACGTCATGTTTGCTGCCAGCAGCTGTTCTCAATACGGTCGATGAATTATGACAAAGGAATAACTGCAAGCGAAAACCAATGAAAACAATGCGAGAAAAAGAAGAAAGATACTTTGTGTTTCCCATTGGCGGCAGTCATGGACACAAATGCTTTTGAGAAGCGCTGGGCAGCGGGGTCCGCGCACATCGTGAACAACGGCCGTATATTCTACGCCTCAAACATGCATGGGTGGCAGCCATATTGGGACAGGGATGTGAATGATGATGCACAATGTGGTTGTGTAGGAGAAATCGTTACACATTGTGTAGGAGAAATCGTTGTCGAGGGTAAGGCAATTTGATGCTACAGCTGCGTCAGGTCTACCGATTGGGTGCAGGAGGCGCACGGCCGGGAAAGAGGTCGCGTGCTTCAAAGCGCGCGCTTCGAGAGAGCATCCCGACTGGTTAACCTAGATCTTCAAGGCTGGGAAACAATTGCAACCCCACAATCTTTTATATTTTGCACATCTCGGACCTTTCACCGATACGATCTGATCTTTGTGAGTTGATTGATTGTGGCTAAGCTGGGAATTTGTCGTCGCGCAGCTCGACGAGAGGAATCGCGGGTTCGCGTGCTCAAATGGCTTCACTCCTCCGCATTCAGGGAGCTTACGGTTCGGGATGAGAGGATACCTAGGTAGGTAAGGACTACCCTTTCTGCATTGCAGTATGAATCAATATGAACATTCTGCTCGTCCTCTGATCGCGTCGGGCCCTCTTCCGGTCTCATCAATGAGACATGACATTGAGTTCGTTTGATCCGAAATGGCGGTACCAATACGTGCCACGGCGCACGGACCAGGCAACCTACCATATGTGATCGTCACTCATTGATTCAATGCGTAGCGGAATGCTATCGTCGATGGAAGTGCTCTGGTGTGATAGACTATTTACGGCAGCGAAGTGAAGCGAAGCTACACAAGTTGGAAATCATCACGAAGGTTTAATCGGCAGGATCAAGCAGACACAGACGTGGAGCGGAACATCATCACGAACATGGAGATCAGAAATAGATGAGAATCTTGAATTGCACGTAGATGACGTGATATGATAGAAGTTGCTGAAACGCTTTGAAAATTTTGAAAAGAAGAACGAAAAATGAGAAGAAGAAGTAGTGAACTCTGCCTCTAGTGGCAGCCCTTGGCAGAAAGCGACCAGCCGGTAAGACGATTGGCTACGTCGGAAGCATAGCACGCGGTAGCGCTGACGGACACCGACAAGTCGACGATGCCGGAGTTAATGCCGGAGTTGTATAGCTTTGCGGCGGCGTAGTAGTTCTGAGCAGAGCTCATACCTCCAACCTTCTTGAGGAGGGGCAGGTAACCATTGCCGGGGTCATGCGCAGTGCCGAACACGCCATCCTTGATCATGCCGGTGATCTCCTCCATCGGGCATGGGTTCTTGACGCCGCCGTGGCCGTCGTTGCACATGTGAGTGCCGCCGGCATCCTGCATGAGACCAGGGTTGGGGTTGGCGGCGGCCGTAGGAATGACGCGGACACAGCCATTGCTTTCTTGAAGAATGATGGCAAAGATGAATCTGGCATCAACACCAGACTCGGATGCCACACTTTGAATAGCAGACTTCATGTTTGCGGTTTCCTCAGCAGTATTCTGGGGAACGTTCCATTCAGCGTTACATCTGATGGCACCCTGGTTAGCTTCCCACATGGCATCGAAGTCGCCAAACCAGTTGCTCTCTGCAGGCCATCCGGAACCGCTGGATCCGTCGCCGCGGTACATGGTATACTTGTCTCCCATACCTGCACCGCCGTTGCCGGAGGGAGGCTTGGAGCCAGATGTAGGTGAGGACGCCGGAGGAGAGGTGTTTCCGGAGTTGCCGCCACCAATGTTAAGGCCAAGGCCGACATCAACGCCAATAGAGAGACCACCGTTCGACGCAGGCTTAGTAGGGGCGGCCTGGGTCGCAGCAGCAGTGGGTGACGGAGCGGTGGGAGAGGCGGGGGCAGGGTCCTGAGCCTTGGAGCCAGCACCAGGAGCAGGAGCGGCATCAGCAGTCGAGTCGTCGTCACCAGCGCCGGCGGCAGGGGTCGTGGAGTTATCAGCAGAGGGGTCAGCGCCAGCAGGGCCCTCAACCACGCCCTTGCCATCAGCGGAGACCGTCAATCCGACACCATTACCCTTAGCAGGGTTGGCAGTAGCAGGGGAGGCCGGCGCAGCAGCAGCCTGAAGACAAGCACCGCCCTGGCAGCCAGCACCACAGTAGTCGGGACCGACACCGCAGTAGCCGTATACGGAGCAGCAAGTACCAGCATCACAGCCCAGGCCGGAGGTGCCGCCGCAGATACCGGTATAGTGGTCGGTAGCACGGTTATCCCAGTCCGATCGACCAGCGATCAGGTGAGAGTTTCGGAGCTGCACTGGAGCGGCGATGCTCAGGGCGGTAAAGAGAGTGGCGATGAGGATGGAGGTACGCATCGTGTTCGTCGAGGGGGGATTTGTCGAATTTTGTTCTGGGTTCTTTTTCGGAGAGGTAGCGATGAATGAATGACGGGTATAGATCCGGGGGAGGACTGTCGATTCTCTACGAGAGCGATGGGATATCAAATGGAGATTTTGGTTGGGAGCAATGAATGGACAGGCCCAGCTGTCGGTGAGTGCACTGCACGAGGGGTGAATGAGTGTATACGGTCGACTAGCGACTCGTTAAGGAAAGTATCCACGTAGGATGGGTGAATGAACGACAGCGACGACGCCTCGAGAACAACGATGATAGACTTGGACGAGACGAGAGGGGAAGACGAAGTGAGAGGCGGAACATCTTGAGGATATATACTCGGTATCTGATCAGAGAATTGAGGAGGCATCAGGACCACGGGAGTGGTGTGCCACCATCTGCAGCGTCAGCTCCCACATGCAGTCCAGCAATGTTGCTCACCGACGTGCATGGTGTTTCGAATTAGCACCCATCAAATCTAGTCCGGCGTGCATACAGCTTGCTGTTGGATGTAACCATCGCGGATGCAGACAGTAACCAGAAATGTTGTTCCGTGTTGAGGTGTTGGAGCCCCTGGAAAGCAACACGAGACGTGCGTGGTTTGAAGTGTGGTCTCGGGGCTCTATGCCCGATTGGGAAGTGGAAATCGCCTTAGGGGGCGACGACATCTCAGCGGCGCAGCCAATCGGAAGCTGCGTCATCGACATCTCGCCTGCAACGCCCGTGCGTGCATACTGCCCTCGGCCAATCCACCACGGGAATTCAGCTGCGTTCTCTCCTTGACGATCTGTCCGGGCTGTCCACTAATGCGCTGGACCTGAACTGGACCCGAAGTGGACCTTCGCGAAGAAGGAAGCTTACGATCCTGGGTATGTGGATGTGACCACGTATTCGCTCGTATTCCCACGGAGGCGTTCGCCTGAGCTCGCAGGAAGAGGGGCGAAATGTGTTGAATCACGAAATACCCCTCAGGCGTGACATGCCTCAGAAGGTGGCTTGTCTAGTATCGGATTGATCGCGTGCGATGGTGCGGAAGTGCAGCTGTCCCTGTTTCAAGATGCGGTCAGTCCCCACGGTCGGCACGGAGAAATTCTCGCTACTCATGCACGCATGCATGTCTACCCACAGCTCCGACAGACACATATCGATGCGGGCGTGCAGGAGAAGATGCCTTACTTACCACTCGCTTCGCGCTCCTTGGCGAGATCATACAGGAAAAAGTCCAATAGCACCGCATTGACGTTAGCCGCGGGATGCTGACGTACGATCTCGCGCCGGATCAGTTCAATCGCCCAGATGGCACAGCCTCTGCGATTATTGAATCTGGTCAGCTCGTGTCTATGTGTCGCGTGCCCAAACTTGGTCGTGTTGAGTTCGAGAACGTCGCGGAGTGCGGCGCAGCACAACCGTTGGGTCCTTGCGCGGAAGAGGCTCGATGCTTACCTAAGTTCCAGCTCCCAACTGTGGCCGACCGCGATTTGTTTACGGTCGCGAATGTGATGTTCCAGTGGTGGACTGTAGACCATTACCCCGAGCGATTGCAACATCTGCGGTACACGATAATCTACCCACATCCCGACAACAAAATTGTTAGCGCTGGATGCCCTACAAGTTGCAATGACAGGTTGTTGACATTGCCGCCGATATTGCAAATTCATGCAATGAGGAGATAGAATAGCAACACTCCTCCCGCGATGCAGCGGACCGTCACCTGCAGATGCAGCACCAGAAGTCATGCACTCACCTGCAAACATGGTCAATTGGTCGACATCGTCGAACGCGACACGTCCAGCACCTCGCAATGCAGCCCAAACATCGGCCACAAAGATTTGTGCGCGCTTCAGAAACCTCACACGACGACCTTCGAACCGAGCGTCGTCATGAAACGCTGAAAAGTGCTTTGCCAGCAAATTGACCAACTTTCCAGCGCTCCCTTGTGCAGCTTCGATCACCCGACACACTGCATAATCGGGTTCTAGCTTGATTATACCGCCAGTTTTGTCGTCAGATTGCAAGGACGGCGCTTCAATGCTGGAGTGCGGCACTTGCGATGCAGCGTCTTCAATGCGATCTGTGTTATTTTCGTGGATTATAGCAGTGTCCAGTGTCGAAGGCCGTTCTGCGTTCTGTATGGTTGTTGTCTGTGGATCACCGGAGATGGCGGCAATTTCCGGCTCATCTTTAAATTCACTACACTCTTGCGCATTGACTACACGATCTTGGGGTCGCTCAAGTTCACGCCCATCAACACAATCTTCTAATTGTGCACATCTGGATGCAAAGTCGTCCGGCGACACATTTGTGTCGATTCCGTTGAGTAGTGGGTCTGGCTGCAATTTAGTGGCGGTGTTGGCCTCGTTCTCATCATCCTGAACATCGCTGCCCACGTTGTACGATTGTGTTGGTGGTATCAGTTGCACGGCCGAACTCATTTCGTTTGAGTCATTGCGGCAGATGGTATCGTCGTCTCGATCAAGCTCGCCGTCAGTCGGAAAGTCCTGAAATTAGACCTTAGTTGAGTTTCATCAGCAGTTGTTGGCAAGACTAGACAAACTTTGGACAACTGAAGCGATGTCTGCCGAAGTATTGTGATTCGTTCATCGAGCAATGGCATTTCCTCATGAGTAGCACTTCGGAATATGTGCCTGAGCAGATCATCAGTGCATCGCCTGTCCTGCCAGAAACGCGGCGTCGTGATAGGTATCTGTGCATCCAACGCACGTCGCAGACAAGCGACTAAACTGTTGTAGCCAGTCCATCTTTGATTGCGGTAGTCGACTTGGAAGCGTTCGTCTTCGGGCAGGTCCGACCAGAAGCTGGGCAACGATCATTATGTTGGGACGCAGGGTACCTCTTGTGTGATAATGCAACTCACGAGAAATTCAACAAATCCAGAGTCCAGACGAAGTTGATAACGTCGATTTCGTCGAAGCCATCGCTTAATCTCGGATGCAATTCGAGCTTGGTCCAATCGTCGAAGGAATACGATCGCTCTCGCATTTTACTGTTCAGTACAGCAGCGGCATCCTTGGTGCCGTACATGCTAATGGAGACATCGATTGCGTTGTTGTATATGTACCGTGCATCGTCGAGAATGCCTGTCAAAGTATCGCCATAACGATCAGCACTTTTTGTCGTCAAGTATATTTCCGCATCGTTACGCATTCAATGCTGGCCATGCATGTATCGATCCGTGATCTCCAATTTGCTGATGGGTCGGGTACCCCCCACGTCGATCATACATGCATCATCATCACCGCTTGCACTTACCGGTGTCTCGCGAAATTTCGTCCGTCTTGTCTTTGATTCCCAAACTTTGTCGTAAGAGGGCCAATAGCTCCAGATCCAGCTCATCGTCGCTCATGATTGATACCTGATGTCAAGATGAACCTTCTCGGTATGGGAACAACGATATTCGAAGATGTGCGCACACGAAAATGGCATGTATCATCATCAAGAGCGATTAGCAGGCCAATTCCTTACCCTAAGGACACCGCCCGCCCGCGTACCTGCATTCTACCTCACAGTATCACATCCGGCTACAGCTCCGCGCGCTGCAAGAAGCTCAACGCGTAAATCTGCCCGCACACTCAACTGGGAACGCGACTCGGGACCCTGGTTTTAATGAAGCACATTCATCAGGCGCATCACGTCACACAAGATGAGCATGCTGTGCCTGATTTATTGTTGTTACGCGGAAGTACAACATCATTCTCGTCCACTTGTTCACCCAAGCGAGTTTCATCGTCGCCAGTCCACAATATTGATGTATTCGGTATCATTTGTTCCGCGCTGATGAACTTGCTGCACAGAAGCTGTGATCGCATGTGACGTCGGTCTTTTTCACGCGTGTTTCGGTCGGTGCGCAAGCGCCTGGGGAATCGCATTCCGGCTTCACTGTTATCGCCAATCGTCAGCCCTACTAAACTTTGCCTTCTACAGTCACAATCAACACAGCTGAAACCACCATGGCGTCCGCGACTGTCTCGCAGCGGACGTCAGTCTCGCTCCCGATGACCGGTACGAGACAATCTCTTGGAACAGCACTTACCCTTGAGGTCAAAAGAAGCCGTGTCCTTTTGGTGGGCGCTGGAGGTATCGGCTGCGAATTACTGAAGAACCTGGTGTGTTGCAGCTTTGGCACAGGCTTAGACGGTGTGATGGATGGTTCGGGACAGCCGCTATCGCAAACAATCAATGGGAAACCGGCGTCGCGAAAGAGTGAAATCGTGGTCATCGACTTGGACACCATCGATCTGAGCAACCTGAACCGACAATTCCTGTTTCGCAAGCAGCACATCAAGAAGCCAAAGGCACTGGTGGCGAAAGAGACCGCGAGCCAATTCAACCTCTCAGTACATATCGATGCGCATCATGCCTCCATTTTTGACAATCGCTACGACATCGAGTTCTTCGAAGGCTTTGACATCGTATTCAATGCTCTCGACAATGTTACAGCGCGGCGGCATGTGAATAAGATGTGTTTAGCTGCAGACGTACCGTTGATAGAGAGCGGAACCACTGGCTTCAACGGTCAGGTTCAAGCCATTCAAAAGGGTGTTACCGAATGCTACGACTGCCTCGAGAAACCGGTCCAAAAGTCCTTTCCCATATGCACCATTCGATCGACGCCCTCACAACCAATCCACTGCATCGTATGGGCAAAGTCATATCTGCTGCCAGAGCTATTCGGAGCGGTGGAGGAGGAAGAAGAGAATGGCTCAGAGATGACAACAACAGAAGGCGACAATGCTGAGGAGATCGAGAAACTGAAAGAGGAGGCACAGGCTTTGAAAAAGATTCGTAACCTCATCGGGACGAAGGAGTTGGCAGTTGAGGTCTTCAACAAAGTGTTCTTTGATGATATCGAGCGGTTGCGATCCATGTCTGAGATGTGGAAGACGCGCAAGCCACCAGAGACATTGCGATTCAGTACACTTTGCATAGACAAGAATCCGGAAGTCCATGGAGAAAAGCTGGCGAAGCAGGACCAGGTTATCTGGGGCCTGCTAGATAACCTCAAGGTATTTTGCTACAGTCTAGGAGCCTTAAGCAAAAGAGCGCAAGCCGGTGAGAAAGTCATCGAGTTTGACAAGGACGACAAAGACACCCTCGACTTTGTCGCCTCAGCTGCCAATCTCCGCGCCCTGGTCTTCGGCATTCCCACGAGTAGCGAGTGGGACATTAAACAGATGGCGGGCAACATTATCCCTGCAATCGCTACATCAAACGCGATAACCGCGAGTTTGTGCGTGCTGCAAGGGTTCAAAGTGTTACGACATCAGCTCAGCAAGATCAGTGCTGCGTCGAGACCTGATGCCACAGAAGCACCTTCAGCCCGGAAAGTAGACTCGACGCTCGGTGGATGCAAGAAAGTATATCTCGAATCAAAAAGCACAGAGCGATTGATCAACTCGGAGTCGCTCGCACCACCACGGCCAGATTGTCCCGTCTGCTCACCAGTGTACGCGAAGCTTGTGATATCCGATAAAGCTTCGCCATTGCGGCTGCAGTCACTCGTCGACCTTCTCCAGTCACGCTTCTCCTTTGACGAATTTTCCCTCACCCTCGGGTCACGCATCATCTACGATCCAGATCTCGAGGATAACCTCGACAAGCTCCTTGCCAATCTCGACATCACCAACAACTCGCCCAACCCGGCAGGACCGCAATTTCTAACAGTCACAGATGGTGCCGATGAGCCACGGGTTGATCTTGTCTTGAGTGTCGTGCAGAAGCGATTGCCTGAAGGACAGCCCGATATGCTGCTGCTACCAGAGATCATCCACCTGCCACCCAAGCCAAAACCTGCGCCAGCAAGTACAGACGCCGAAGCCAATGGGGATGGTATTGCGACAGCCGGAGACAAGCGGAAACGTGAGGCGCAAGATGAGGGACAGGAACCGACTGACGACAGTCCCAAGAAGAACGCGAAGCGCACAAAGACCAGCAAAGAAGAAGCCGTCGTTGTTGAGGAGGATGGTCCGATCAACATCGACTGATGCCCTTGAGTATGTGCGGAGTACCGTCAAGGCATTAGCTGCTAAATGCTGCCTGGGTCGACGAACGGCGATGCCAGCAAGTTGAATCATTGCTCAAAACCCAACTCTCATTCAATCTGCGTACTCACGACAGGGTGTCACTCGTTCTTGCTGCGTTTCGCAGCATCGCAATTTGGTCATTGCGTATTTGATGATGCGTCACTGGGACTGTGTGGGATGTTTTTTTGTATCATACCCTTTCACTCGGAGTACGGGGAGCATCACGGCTGAAGTGATGAGGTGTACAAGGTTGTACTTATCATACAAGTAGGAAATGAACAAGCATGGAATAGGCAATGTATTCCAGGTTTGAAAGATGAGGATCCTGGTGCGTCGTTGTGCGAGGAGACTGTGCTTTAAACTGTTATCTACAACCTTCATCGCACGAGCTCAGTGGGTATGCACTTCGAGAGACTGGGTCCAACCAATCCTAGTTGTATCAGCAATTGGGGTCCATCACGTTGAAGCAGAGTCTCGACTTACTTACGCTTGTACTGTGTCCTGTTTATCTCCTTGTTAGACACACTTCGTTTCATAGTAGGTACCTTGCTAATCACCTGGGCAGCCATGTTGTCGTTCGTGATACACCTTATCGATGCCGATATTAGGGTTGCTCAACCCTAAACGGAGTGATCCAACCTATCACACCATGCGTGCTCTTGCGCTGAAGCAATTAAAATGACAAGATCTTGACAATATGGCCTCCAACGAAGCGGCAGATACTGTGATGAGCGATGCGTCTCCATCAGCTCATCCTCATGGCATCAAAAGAAAAGCGGACGCACTCGAACCGCCACGACGGATCCGAGCTTTGGACCCAGATGTCGTCAACAAGATCGCTGCAGGCGAGATCATCGTAGCCCCTATGCACGCACTCAAAGAATTGATAGAGAACGCCGTTGATGCCGGCTCAACAAGTCTCGACATTGTGGTCAAGGAGGGCGGCTTGAAATTATTGCAAATCACGGACAATGGTTGCGGCATCAGTAAAGATGACTTGCCCATTCTATGTGAGCGATTCACGACGTCCAAATTGAAAGCGTTTGAAGATCTACAATCAATCGGAACGTACGGATTCCGAGGAGAAGCCCTCGCAAGCATCAGCCATATCGCTCATCTCGCCGTCACCACGAAGACCGCTGACTCGAGTTGCGCATGGAAGGCGCACTATGCTGGAGGGAAACTCACTCCTGCGAAACCTGGACAAAGCGCAGATCCGAAAGCCTGTGCCGGGCGACAGGGGACACAAATTACAGTCGAAGACCTGTTTTTCAACGTTCCAACCCGCCGAAGAGCGTTCCGGTCTGCCAGTGAGGAGTATGCCAAGATCGCAGAGGTCGTTGGGAAATACGCCGTCCATTGTCAAGGCGTGGCCTTCTCCTGTAAGAAGCATGGCGAGGCTGGCGCAGGCATTTCTGTCCCTGCCGGCGCAAGTATACGTGATCGTATTCGTATGACACACGGCAGCTCTGTTGCGAATGATTTGATTGAGGTCAACGTTGAGAATTCACAATACGGCTTTCGTTCGAAAGGTCTTGCCAGCAATGCCAACTACAATTCGAAACGGACATCTTTACTGTTGTTCATCAATCATCGTTCTGTGGAGTCGACGGCTGTCAAGAGAGCGGTCGAGCAGGCTTATGCGGCTTTTCTGCCTAAAGGGGGAAAGCCTTTTGTCTACTTGAGTATCGAGATTGAACCGGCTCGTGTTGATGTGAACGTCCATCCTACAAAGCGCGAAGTCAATTTCCTGAATGAGGATGAGATTATAGAGTTGATTTGCGAGGAGATCGCATCAAAGCTTGGTAGTGTTGACACAAGCAGGACCTTCATGACCCAAAGCCTGCTCAGCGGAGGCAAGACACCAAGCATCTCACGAGTCGAATCGATTCCCGAGAGTGCCGTCAGTCCAAGTTTGGATCTGCGAAGAATGGTAGCCACGCCCTCTGCTACGAAGAAAACATACGAGAACAATCTCATTCGAACAGATTCTCGCACACGAAAGATTACTAGCATGCTCCCTCCAGCTGATTTCCCCTCCGCTATCCCTCGCGAGCCTACAATCGACGGAATTGATTACGAGTACATTGACAAGGAGCCGATATTATGTCGTCTCACAACCATAAAAGAACTCCGTGCCGTCGTCCGCGAAAACATGCATCACGAACTGACCGAGACTTTCGCCCAGCATACATTCGTCGGCGTCGTCGATGATCGGAAACGTATAGCAGCCGTACAGAGTGGCGTCAAATTGTTTCTCGTCGACTACGGCCTCGTCTGCGCCGAATACTTCTACCAACTCGGGCTGACAGATTTCGGCAACTTCGGCTCCATTCGCTTCGAGCCACCCCTCGACCTTCAAAAACTCCTCTCGATCGGCGTATCTCAAGCTCGCGAGCTAGAACCCGAGCCGAATGACATTTCCTGGGAGGAAATTGCGCCGGCAGTGCTCGAACAGATTTCCTCCCGCCGTGACATGCTCTCGGAGTACTTCTCTCTCGAGGTCTCTGAGGATGGTGGACATCTCATTTCAATCCCGTTGATGGTCAAAGGCTATATGCCTTCGATGGCGAAATTGCCGAATTTCTTACTCCGTCTTGGACCGTATGTCGATTGGACGGATGAGCGCGCGTGCTTCCATGCCTTTTTAAGGGAGTTGGCGGATTTCTATGTCCCCGAGTCGTTGCTACCCCCGCCAAGTCGGAAGGATGGTGAAGAGGTGATTACTGGAATAAATGACCAAGATCTCGGCGATGGATCTCGTACAGCGCTCGAGGAGAGGAGGAAACAGGTCCATCGTGCTCTGGAGAACGTGCTTTTCCCGGCGTTCAAGACACGTTTGGTGGCGACCAAGTCGTTGTTGAAGGGCGTGATTGAGATTGCTAATTTGAGAGGACTATATCGCGTTTTCGAGAGGTGTTGAAACATCCTCCTCCGAATGGCGGACATGACCAGATGTACGTACGACAAGGACATGGTCCTTCTGATGTGTCGCCGAGCACGAATCTGATGGCTGGATGATTATTGCTCGATAGAGTATGAATATATATAATGTTGAATGGATAACCTTATGATTGTAATTACCTCTGCGAGCTCTGCGAGTCCTCTTCATATATTCCTTGACCAATACTTACATTGTTGTCGATCAGTGTAATGAGAGTGTTTGGAGGATCCCGAGAGCGGCCGAGTGAGTGCAACCCAAAAGGGTCAAACAAATTCCCAATGGCGCTTGCACGCGGGCAGCCGCGGGCCATCAACCCCCCCGAATTCTCAAAAGTGATGTAATGTGCAGCGTACACATCTTCACCAATCCATCCACGACTCCTTCACGTCCACAACCAGTTTAGATACGAGAAACAAAATTTGCACTTGCTGCAGTCATAGCGTTGTCGAGTCATACTGATAGAACCCGCAAGCGAAGCCATCGAGCTGCGTGAAGATGACTTCGCAATAACATCCTCTTATTCTCGACTTCCTTCTCTGAGACAACTTTCCCACTATGCCCATGATATACAAGCTCCTCCCAATGCAAACAATCATTTCTCAAGTGACTACTGGCGCGCACACAACTCTCCGCCTCTTCTCCCGTCAACTCAACCTGTCATCCCTCCGCTTCTCCTCCTCAAAAGCCACCCTCAAACCCAAGAGTCCACCAACGAAAATGGTCGACTACCGCCTCATGCACATCATCCGGGACATTCCCACCCTGCGCACCCATCGCCGCAATCTCCTCCGCTCGAACCTCACCGTGGGCCTCGTGCCCACCATGGGCGCCCTCCACGAAGGCCACATCAGCCTGGTGCGCGCCGCCGCCGCCGAAAACGCCCGCGTCTTCGTCTCCATCTACATCAACCCGACGCAATTCGGCGTGAGCGAAGATCTCAGCACATACCCACAGACCTGGGAATCCGATCTCGCGCAATTACGCGCGCTGGATGCGGAGCTCGCGGAGACGCCCGGGATGGGCAGGGTGGATACGGTGTTTGCGCCGAGCACGAAGGCGATGTATCCCACGCTACCGCCGGATTCGCGAGAGGACGGGGTGGGGAGTTTCGTGCAGATTACACCGGTGGGAGGGATATTGGAAGGGAAGAGTCGGCCGGTATTCTTCCGGGGGGTGGCGACGGTGTGCATGAAGCTGTTCAATCTGGTGCAGGCGGAGAGGGTGTACTTTGGGCAGAAGGATGTGCAGCAAACGGTGGTGATTCGGAGGATGGTTAAGGATTTTCATTTGGATACGCAGGTCATGATTGTGCCGACGAGTCGCGAGGAGGATGGGCTGGCGATGAGTAGTCGGAATGTTTACCTTGGTGCGAGACGCAGGGCGGTTGGAGTGGTGTTGTCACGGGCACTGAGGGCTGCCGAGGAGGCGTATGTTGCTGGGAAGAGGAGCCGTGATGAGATTTTGGCGGCGGCGTGGAATGTTGCGAATCAAGTTGCGTTGGAACAAGATGCATTGGCGCCGGAACAGAGGGCGTTGTTTGAGGTGGATTACATCTCATTGGCCGACCCGGATACTATGGAGGAGATTGAGGCGGTGGATGAGCGGAAAGGAGCGGTTCTAAGTGGCGCGGTGAAGATGCTTCCACTTGAGCAGATTCAGCCTGGAGAAGTGCTGGGTCAAGGTGGAGACGTTGCACCTGTGCGGCTCATCGACAACATTCCGCTCGAGCCCAGATGAAAGACTGGATATCTACTGGACACCACGATTTCATGACTTGGGATGGCCCATGATGATTCGTTTTTGACGACAGACCACGACGACGATTACGCAGACCCGACAACAAGGCTGTTGCGTTACAGAAGTTGGGTCCTGCGCCCAAAGCATAACATCGGTGGCCTCCAACTTCATTTGCAGGTCCTATATACGAAGTTCGAATCAGGGGATGCATCTGCCTCTCACCCGGATTTAACCAAGGCCAATGCACCCCAGCGCCAATTTTACATCGTCAACACCTCCTACTTCCTCGCAGCCACAACTTCCTCCTCCACTGGCAGGATATCCGGCACGGGACCGACAGGGGTGATTCCGAACGGGTTGATTTGTGGGTGCGACTTGGTATAGTGCTTCTTGATGTGAGTGAACTCAGTGGTCTCGCCGAAAGCAGCGGAGTTCCAATAGAGGTTGCGGAGCCACCTAGGCGAAGAAAGTCAGAACGATACTTTGACGGGGATACACAAAGGCCGACGAGAGTGTAGTAAAATGGTTTCTCTGCTGGGAGGATGGTGGCCGACAAATACAAAGAGGACTTACTTGTGGAGTGCTGGGTATCCACTGCGAATGTCGCGGATGTTGCACTTGAAGTGCTGGACGTAGACTGGGTCGAAGCGAATGATGGTCTGCGATCGAGTGAGTCAGCTTGAGCTCATAACACCACAGGCGACTTCGTTTCTCCGAGAGGTGGAGGCACTCACTGTGTAGAGTCTCACGTCGATCTCAGTGATCTTGTCGCCAAAATAGAATGGGTTTGCGTTCTTGGCCAAATGTTCTTCGGCGCGATCGAGTGACTTGAAAAGTGTGGTCACGTTCTTCTCATACGCCTCTTGGGTACTGAAGTGCAGTAATAGAAGTCAGCTTCTCTCCGATCAATCTACTTGAAAAGTATGGTGACCGCTCGTTACTCACGTTGCGAAGCCACTCTTGTACACTCCGTTGTTGATTTCGTTGTATGTCCATTCATTTGTCTCATCAATCTGCTGTTTCAGGTTCTCTGGAAGTAGATCAACCTTCTTGTATTGCTCGGGCAAAAGATGGTCGAAGGCAGTATAGAACATGCGGATGATCTCGCTGGACTCGTTACTGACGATCTTCTTCTGCTTCTTGTCATAGAGCGTGGGAACCGTGAAGCGTCCGCTATATTCCGGCTCGACAGAAAAGTAGACGTCCCGAAGATGAGTGAAGTCTGGGTGTAGAGGGTCGGCAGTGACATTCTCGCCCGGTTCGTTGTCGGAGGAGGTTGAGAAACGCCAGCCTGAGGATGGTAGATGAGTCGGTAAGTCCACGGATCTTCAAGATTCGTTTGATGCGCGCTTCATGGAGATGACATACCTTTCTCACCCATATGCCAGTGGACTGAGGTGAACGGAATGAATTCTTCCAGACCCTTGAGCTTTCGCACGATCAGAGTTCGGTGAGCTGCCGATAAGAAATTAGTTCATGCCGTTTCTGCAAAAGCCAATAGGATCTTGAAGCTGTCGATGTCTGAACTCACCCCACGGACATGCGTATGACACATCTATGCACCAGTCAGCATTTGAACTCGACAATTGAGACGAAACAAGCTTACAAAGATGATAACGATCCTTCTCTGCCGGGAACTCTGCACCGGGCTCGCTAGAGATTTGACTGCGGAATTGCGAAACTTGACGCTTGAATTCTCCGGATTTGTCCTTGGGATCGACCCAGTTGGTGATCTTGTCTTCCTTTTTATCCTGTTATGTTTCCGACACCTGTCAGTGAGAGTAATTGCGTGACGCGGGCTTGGACACTCCCCGAAACGAGTCGTCTGTGGCTCAAGCTGGCAGGCACCGAACAGCTCTCAAGACGCTGATGATGCTGGGTGAAGGTTTGTTTTACAGACGTGTACCGGCGGTATGATATTCTCAATTGAAATGGTGTGAGTCTTACCGAAGCCATGATTCTCGAAGAAGTAGTTGCGGAAAAAGTTCTTGGTTTGATAGTGCAGTTGAATCGTGATGGTATTGCGGGAGAGCTGGTGGTGATAATACTTCGAGTCTTGCTGGTAGATGCAACAAGACGAGGGAAACTTCTGAACATACGAAGGAGTTGTTGATGGTGATATTGGAACGCGAAGGATGGACGAGAGCTATAGCTATATATACACTGAGAGAGAGAATGTGAGCTTGATTCTAGGTTGTTCTCACAAACTCAATGACTACTGTACAATTAAGCGGCTATTTGTAACGTTAAGCTGGTGTTTCCAATCGTCTGGAAGCGCTGTGAGGGGACCGAACGAATGCTGACGTTGTTCATCAGTCAAGCGTCATATTGTGCTTTCAAAGCTCCGCAAGCTCCAAATCCGGCCAAAACCCGGAGTTAAATGTCGAGTAATATGCTACAATAGATAGCAAATTTACACTATATGTTCTAAAATGCACATAAATTTGCTGCTCATCAAAATGATTGTCCACCAACGCCTTTCATATCAGAAATTGGTTTTCTATTATGTACAATGTCTCTCTACCCGATATATCGCAACCCCGTCCGATGCGTCAAATGAGGCGGCAGCGACATAGGCGGGATATCCAAATCCGTCGCCAATACCGTGTTCATTGACGGGCTGCTCTGCAGCGGCCGTCTCCTGCGCTCCGAAGCCTCCTGGTATACCGCGCGCAGTGCCTTTTCATCGGCGCAGAATTCGCGGAGCCGGCGGATGATTTCTTCGGCGGATTCCGATGGGGTGTTTGAGATGCCGGCAGGAGTGTTGGTGGTAGTGTTTGCGATGCCGGATTTTCGTGTTGCTGTAAGGTTGGGGAGGACAAGGATGCTGACGGCGTTGTTGTCGCTTTCGTCGATGGATTGGTTTTCGCTGTCCTCGTGGGGGACGTAGATCTGTGCGAGGACGAGACTGGATCGGTGGATGAATTGGGTGTGGACGTAGCGGAGCGGACCCCAGGAGTAGCGCAAGGGCAATTTGGTGGAGAAGGCCGAGGCGGCTTCGAGATCGAGGACGAAATCATTCTGGCGGAGGATCGCCTTGTAGTAGGCATTGTGACTCTCGATAGTACGCGAGCCGATGCTTTGCGGTTCGAGAAGAGGTGTCGCCAGACCTCTCTCCGGCGGACGGACTGCGAGCCGGATATGTTGAGGTTGATCAAATGGATGATTAAGGTGACACTTAGAGGCTTCTTCGAGGGGCAATTGTGCGAGCTTCAACCCGTAGCCTTCCACCAGAGATGCCCAACGAGTGACTGCGACTTGCACGAATTTGGTTGATGCACCAAGCCATTCCAATTGGATATGATAGCAATTGTCCGGGTTGTGAATACGGTCGTAATGCAAGTCGATAATTTGTGCATGTTCGGATTTATGATTAGGATCAACGTTGTATTGCAAGACCTGGCTGAGCAAGAGATCCTTCCTATCTCCCGTCCCAAGCTGAGGTGTAAGTTTTGCTTGAGCTCCTGGATCTACGGAGACCGGTCGTATGAATGGAGATGTGATCGACTCTATCCCTGGTGTAGAAGGGATTGATCGCCATGCAGCTTTGCTGAACACGCTTCTCGTGTCCGGATAATCGGTCGTGCGAAATGCGCTGGTGATCTGGTAGAAATAGTGTCCATCACGAAAGTCATGCTTTTGACGCACGTGAGCAAAGATTTCGCGCTTCATGAGCTCGTTGCCTACCGCGACGGCTTCCTCGCGATCTTTGAGATCTTTGAAAACGCCGAGCAGCCAGGTTGTCATCTCATCGCCGCGGAAACATTTGACGTGGTTCACCGCGAGCCATCGACGATCGCGCATCTCTACACCGTACGGTGGCTCTTCTTGCATTTGCTTGACTAACTTGGTCACATCAAAATTGCTGCTGTGATGTCTCTCCGACTCGGCGAAAAGAGGGGTTAGAACTTCGCCTTCCTCAATATGACTGGACAAAATAGGACCATATGCATTGACCACAGCACTGGGATCACGCGTGTGATACTCAATAGCCAGTGGATTCGGATCTCTATCGCCCAAGGCTTTGTTGTCCATTCTCGCGAGCGAGACTTGATGTTGACGATCCTCATCGGAGAAGTGACGCTGCCTTTGCCAGATTTGAGTCAGTCGCTGGATCCCCTCAATACGCCGTTCGTCTTCAGACAGCTCTCGCGTTGTATTGGAAGCACCATATTCATGACGAGGGAGATCGGCAGGTATCAGTACCAAACGGATTTTTGAGGTAGCGCTCGTCAACGTAAGTTGAGAAGATCCAAGAACATGTCCGTCTAACAGCGCCCAATCGTCGGAAGGAAGGGATGACCGCGGCACGATAGTTGGCTTGCACACCAGCCCGCTCGGGAGTCGTATGACTGGTCGATACACTGCTTGTTCACGCTCGACTTCAAAGCCGAGCCCACCGACCGGCGTACGAGGCTCGTATTCGACGACCTGTATCTCGACGTCAGAGAGTCGTTGCAGTTCATGATATACTCTACCCAAGACTAGCAAGATGGGTCGGTCTTGACTCTGAAATGTGCGATCGCTCCCGCTATTCGTGATAGAGACGATTTGGAACCCATGAATCAGCCGAGCATCGATGAGTCGCTCGAGGAGATTGCGTGCGCCATCATCCGAGACGATATGTCGACGGAAAGCCTTCTCATAGTGGCTGTCCAATTCAGCTGAAGAAGGGCAATACTCCGCCGTAAGCGGCAAGGCACCTGGCAAGCACATCGAAGACCATTTAAAGGCCCCAGAGCTAATTTCTCGAGGGAAAATATGTTGCCACTTTCGATATTGACTGGCGACGCGCATGTTGTCTCTTCGTGGGTTACAAGGGTTAAGCAAGACCACCCAGGGAGAAAGCATGTCAAGAGCTTCGCTGACAGAATCTCGATCTGAACCCAGCAGTGTTGCAGCTTTGAGCGTTGTCGCTGGGGAGGAGCCATCTTCCATCGTAGCCTCAAGCGTAGTCTTCGCCATGCCTTTGCGGAACTCAGAAGCCGCGTCCAACGACTCGGTAGAACTGGTTTCTTGATTTACAACGATGTCTATAGGTCTTGAGGTAGTGCTGTGATCTGGGTCACTCAGTTTGTGCGAAGCGAGGCTCATGCTAGACGGTTTCCGAGCAAGTGTAGCTCTGATCTGTTTAGCAATCCCTGATGGTTCAATCGAGACAGGTTGAGAAATTGTACTGGCTTCCTTCTCATGTTGCACATGATCAGTGCTCAGAACGGTACTCGCAGCGCCTCTCGAGACCGCCAAACCTCTTGGGCCCACGCTGATCTTACGATTCGTTGATAAGAGGGGGCGCAGAGGCACCTTCTCCCTCATAGCTCTTATGAGCGGATCTTTGATTAGCTGTGAGGGTGAGGAGACGTTGCTCGAAGATCTACTGCGGGTAGATATGCTAGACTGTCTGATCCTTCCGGGGGTCTTCAAATGTCTTGGTATTATAGGCGCAAACTTTTCATCTTTCACAGTGTCGAGAGAGCTTGAGACGACTTGATTGGAGGCCATGTGACGTATAGGATTCTGAAGAACAATTACGGGAGCTTCTTTCTGGAATATTTGATCGTCGTGGTTTTCCATGGCGTCCGATGGCGCGTCGCGCCCCATTACTTGCTGTAACAAAGGCAAAGCAATCCGATTGGAAGGACGATAGAAATCGTCGGCCTCCCATGATGACGTTGAGAGATCATTTGGACCCTTCCAGAATGAGATGTCGACCCAATGCGGGAGAGCGTACTCGTCTACACCCTGATTACTGTACTTGAACAAGGGCACTGGGTGGGTTGGCTTAGGAGAAAGCGCAACAATGTCCACACCGACGCTGTTTCCAATTAGAAGTTCTGTCGTGTTCTTCAAGATTGCATGCTTTGTCTCGAACAGCCCTGCACCAGCGGTGACAGCGATGATGGAAGTGCCCGTACTTCCAAGGTGTGTGTCAGTTCGCTCATCGGAAAAGTCCATGGCTGCCAGATTGATGGCTTCGAGCATATTGCTCTCCGCAGCAAGAGAAAGGGATTGTGGGAAACTGTCTCTATGGAAGGCTCGGCGAAGCTTGCGTGCGATTTTCCTCCACGAATCGCTCGAAGTTTCTGAAATTAAAACATGGTAGAAATCGCTGGAAGAGTCCTCGGCGGATTCACTCCGGAGCGGATCTTTGGGGTCTTTGACTGTACGTCCAAACAAAACTATAGATATTTGATGCTTGACCTTGAAATGCTGCCAGCGACCGAAAAGCTCGTCGAGAAAGCCGTTGACGAGCCTCTCATGCATCAATTCTCCGTTGCTCCAATTTTCAAGCATTTCCTTAGAAACTTCAATGAGCAGAGTGAATCGCGCACTTCCGCTTCGAAAGATCGGCTTTGTTTGTGGATGTGAGACGTAGGCAGAATCGACTTCTTGTCCCTTGTGATAGATATGAATGACCTCAGCACTGCCCGTTCCAAGAGGATTGACAGTCTGGCCGCGATAGATGACCGTTCGTGTGAGGCATCCCATCAATTGCCACATATCTGCGCGAGTGAGATGCTGATCTCGGAAGAGCAATTCGACATGGGTAGCTGTCGCATCATCTGCATCTGTCACTAATTGTATCGTGCCACGAACGCGATTGCCGAAACCGTATCGTTCCGCAACATTCACGTGCAAAGAAACCTCATCGGAGTTCTCTGCTCGGCCGGTAGGCACAATCAAAATTGTCTTGATCCCGGCGACAGAGAGATGAGCCAACTCTCCGACTTGCATCAGTGCGGTGCCGCAAAGCACTTCACATGAGGAGACTCGATCATTGTGGAGGACGACCGAGCAAGGCCTTGAAGGTGATGATGGCTCGCGAGCCATATTCGAGGCTACACGGGGTGTGAACCGTATTTATCGTGGAAAATTCGTGCCTTCTACTCGACGAATCTCGATCAAGATCCTCTGCATCTGTGTCGATGCTGCCGGCCAGGCGTCGGCCGCTTTGATTGACGAGATTGTTGCATTATTGACGGTCAAAAGCTCATGAGCAGCGCCGATCTGCCATCGACGGCGATACGTCCAGGATAATGATTGACATTGTGTTGTTTGCGAATAACGATTTCGGCAAGTACTCCATTTCTGAACGCGCCAATAGCTTGCTATCGGTACACACTTGCGGTAGTGAACCATGCGACGCCATCGCCGCCTCCACTTGGCTGCATGACTCGCGACCTTCAAAAGCTCCATGACATTGCGATTATCGCACTCACAATTCTATTTTCCACGTCGCTGATCATCACATTATTGGAAGATCTTGCAACTATGGCAGACTCGGAGCCTAAGCAGGAAGAATACTCCTGGTCGCGAAGCAAAGAGACCACCACCACTACAACACCCAGCAACTCCAAAGCCGAACCAACCCAAAACCTCGATGACCTCACAAAAGAAGCCGCCGCCTCGGACGCCGACTTCCTCGCCATCCTAGCAAAAGAAGAAAAAGAAGCCAACAAAGACGACGAAATCGATCGAATCCGCAAAGCCTTCCGACGCAACGCCTACGACGTGCTAGATCTCCAACCGGGAGTCCCCGACGAAGACATCAAAAAGGTGTACCGCAAAAAATCCATCCTCGTGCATCCGGACAAAAACGCTTCCAACCCCTACGCGCAAGATGCCTTTGACCGGCTGGCGAAAGCCTACCAGACGCTGCTGGACGAGAAAGAGCGGGCGCTCCTCGACGAAGCGATTGCCGATGCGCGAATGCTGCTCATTCGCGAGAGGAAGTTGACGGTTGATAGCGAGGAGGTGAAAGATCCCGACGAGGATTTCATGAAGGCATGGAAGGCGAAAGTTTACGAGGTCATCCGCGATAATGAGATGAGGAGGGAACGGCAGCGCAGGGCGCAGATGCAGGAGGAGGGGCGTGCGCAGCGCAAGGAGGAGGAGGAACTTGCGGAGCGCAAGAGGAAGAGGGAGCATGAGCAGAATTGGGAGAAGACGAGAGAGCAGAGAGTTGGTTCCTGGAGGGATTTTCAGAAAAAGGCGACGGATGAGGGGAAGAAGGGGAAGAAGAAGTTGAAGGTGCTTGGGTGATGGAGAGATCTTTGATCAATAGCTCGCGCTGCTAATACAGTGAGGCTTCGGTTGAGATCTCACATTGCTCGTTGCTCAGAATACTTCTCGCAGATTGCAGACTCTGTTGCTACTGAGTGGCTTGCTCCATCACTCTGTTATTTCATCATCAGGGCGTAAGCACTACAAGCGTTATTGGTCACGCTGCGCTTCGTGGAGAGTTAGCCATCCACAGTCTGGATGTAGCATCTCACAGGACGAATGCTTTGGAAACAAGAGGCATGATGAGAACGATCAGTGAAGAAGAGATCAGAAATGTCAGTGTTGTCTACGCTCACATTAAAAAGCATCTCGGAAAGAAGCATCAAGCCATCTCTCATGATAAGGAGCAGGAGATTTCCCTCAACCATACAAAACCGCGCCACGCTCAAACGGAATCCCACAATCGCTGGAAAAAAAGTAAACCCTCAAAAGCTCCCGAAGAGAAGTACTAACACCAAGTCATGCCCACCAGCCCACCGAGGACTCTTTATTCCACCAACGTCCCATCCTCATCCCTCCACTCCAGCCGCCATTTCCCGACTCGCTGCTGGGTCTGCGCCTTCTCCCTGACCACAACAAACCCCTCGATATCCACAATGCCCACCCAAACCTTCTCACCATCCCAGGACCTCCTCACAGGAACACGAATGGCCTCGGGAGCAAGTGCGCCCTTGCCGCAGAATGAGACGAGCTTGTTAATATTGGTGCGTTGCGCGGAGAACCAACGGTGGTGGATCTCGGCTTGGGTCGAGGTGATATTGCGCGGGAAGGCTGCTGAGGGCGAAGGTGAGATGGGAGGAGGGGATGCTGATCGAGTTGTGGGTTGTGAGACGTTCCCTTCCTGCGTACTTGTCGGAGACTGCTGAGGTGAAGATCGCGGTCGCGGGGTGTCCTCGATTGTGTCATCATTTCGTGATGAATCCTCTCCATCCTGCCTCTCTACCACATCCTCCGCCACAGCAGCCGTCCTTAAAACCGGCAAACATAAGTCCACTGGCCGAAACTCCCTCAAAAGCGCAACTTTGCCCTTCTCGAGCTTCGCAAGCCAGGAATACGCCGCAGCCGGGCTCGGTGCCTCGAAAACGTTGCCGCCGTAGAAAATTGGGGTGGCTTCGGCGCGGATGGCTTGACATGTTGCGAGCAATGCGGGTTCGCGGAAGGACTGATTTTGGTAGGCGTAGGGGAGCGTTATCGGGGTGGCGCTGAGGAGGGTGAGGGTGTAGATTTGATTACGCAGTTCGGGTGGGAGGGAGAGGAAGGAGAGTTTTGATGACAGTGATGATGATTTCAGTTGGTGGGTGGTTGTTTGTGGATTGCTGAGATTCGGTTGTTGGCTGTGGTATATATCTTGAGGCAAGAGAGGGAGGAATTCTTGTGGCAAGGAGAGTTCGTGAGGTGCCAGTGGCATCGAGAGGATGGTGCAGGCCATGTTTGGAGAGAGGTGTTATCACAGGAGGATTGTCACTCGTCTTGTGTCGTTGCTTGGAAGAGCTCTTCTGCTCTTCAAATGTTTCCTCGAGAAGGCGTACCGTGACACAGCACGCAGAAAAGCCGCTATGAGTCTGGTTTGAAGTACTCCGTCTTCTCCGGAGCCACTCGGCGATCGGAAGTTCCTAGTTCAACTCGCTTAGTGTTGAGAGCTGTTCTTCTAGATACGAGACCAGTTGCTCTCCGTCTCTATCTCGAGATCGTTGCTTCAAATCTTGAAAGAAATGCAGCTGAGTTCAAGTATCCACACAGCAAGGCAGATGTTACACGACCGGAGGAGGATTGGCGGAATGTCGTTATATATGAAACACGCCTCTCCTCCAGTGGAAGGTCTTGGATAGTCTTGTAAATGTCTTGGAGGTAATCCTTGTATTCCCACGATCCTCGCGGCGTGCCGTCGATCACTGTTGTGCGTGGCTGCCAGGACGTATGTCGTATGTTTCACTATGGGGGTTGTATGTTGTGCAATGGATTCTTCTTCCATGTGATGATCAGAAGATAGAATTGTTGGCAATAGTAAACGGAGAATAACTCGGAGACCACGATACACTAAGCAATGGCATGAACAGAAGCAACTACTCATGTATACTACCTTACAATCACATAGTACATATTGGCTACTACCTACCTACTCTCTTGGTTGGGGCGAACGACGTCGACGACAGACAATGACCGCATTGGGTGCTGATAAGCGAAGCAGCTAATGAATGATGGAGAGGGACCCTGACCACGTTCTGTCCTGTCAACTCCATCGATTCTGCCCTGTCAACTCCATCAAATCTGCCCTATAGTATTCCCGCCCGCGTTTCGCTGGCCTTTGTCCTTCCGTCCGGGGCTGATGGAATGCATGTCGCTCCGCCTAGACCAAACCATCGACAGGCTGTAGCTTCACAGCCGTATGCGGGTCGTCAGCTGAGGCGCATCGCTACAGCATAGAGTCAAGATGGAGATGCACGAAGCTGTCAGTTATCTGCTCGGACGTGCAGTAGTCTTGCCGGTCGATACGCGGCTCTACTGAGTCATCTCTGCGATGCGTGTGGTGTGCGCCCAGACTCTTGACCAGCAGCCTCATCGAGGCTTTCTTCCTTGGGTCTGGGGATAGCTAATGCATCAACAAAATCATCGTCATCGACATCGACAATCCCTAGCATCATCATGCAGCAGCCCAAAAATGGAAGCCCATTCGCCCACATCTATAGACCCACGCCGATCAACCCACTGTCCTATTTCCTGCAACCCACCAGTCTTTGCGCCCAAGCCAAACCCAGATTCCGCCGCAAGGCTCCTATCGCGTAGTGCTTTCCTGTAAAGTGTAAAATGAGGCTCGTGGCCAGCCAAGCAGGGCACTGGGCACATCTACCACCCACCCCGGACGACCTGCATGAACATTATTGTTACACGGGCAGTGGGCGGGCGCGCGTGCACGCCTCTCCCCACGTTCCGCGCCAATTCCCCGCAAAACCCCTCGAAAGAAAACATGCATCGTTGCGTCCTTGTGCAGAAGGACCGATGATTGCATTGCATATTAATCACTTCACCGTCTCCAGCCCAGCCCAGACGATCAATGGTGTGATTGATGACGGTGGGTACTGGAGCAGGACTGATAAGCTTGCAGCTGTCGCCAGAAACACAGCTGGAATTGTGGGTGTAGATCTATCTACTCGAGGGATCGAATGATGCTTGGAGGACACGGACTCTACAACTGCGAGAAAGCTTGGAAGCGTAGCATCGCACAAAGCACCAACGCGGCATTCATCCCTCCGATTCCCTCATCCTTGCTTGCTTGAGCCGCGCGGTATTGTACATGCCCTGTCGTTGCGCACTACGTCGATCGTTCCTCGCGATTCTTGCCAGAGACTCCACGACCCGTTGAACAGGCCGAAACCCAAGAGCTTGGCATATCTGTTTCCAATCTCTCCCCAGACATTGGCATATGCAACGTGCGATGTGAGATGATACGGTAGTGCAGTCGTGCCAAGATCACTGATCACTTCCGCTCGCAGCGCACGCACGCACGCACACCGCTTTCACGAGATTTGACTGGTTACAGTCCGGAGAGGGAGCGGAAAGATGGGGTGAAGTGGGCGGAGGAATTGTGCGTCGTGGTGGGAATGATGGCAGTGGTGGTTGACACCCATTTCGGAATTGCGGCTGAATGCTCCTCCGGACTTTACAACAACGACAAGCTCGCACGCACAGTACATCATCACACAATGCTTGATTCTGTGCTTCGGCAGGAATCGTCTCCGCATCCTGCTCCTCTTCACTTGTACTGACGTATGCCTTACCTGACGCCGCTGGATCAAGTCGCGCGGGATGGATGAGAGAGGAGGGGGTGATGATTGGGAGACCTTAGCAAATGCTCCCAATCGACTGATTGACCTTCCTTGCGCTGGCCTCGTGACTATATACCAGCCTACGCGCACCTCTGTAATTTGAGGGCCGACCTTCAGTCAAAAGAGTGCTCCGTCGATGAGAAGTCATCAGCGCCTGTTGCAGTCCAGCTGTGTGGCGCCAACCTTGAATCAATGCCGTTATTACCCACCACCATGCAGGCGAGATCATCTCGAAGCGTGCGGATTGTTCAGTTGGCAAATGGATCGTGAAACTAGGCTCCGACATGACTAGGGGATTTACGATAGATCGAGGATATTTCTCCAATGTTCAATCGTACGTGTAGAGATCTCACGGCGAAAGAACTTCGGAAGCGAACGAATCTTATTAACTGCCCCCAACGTCAATGAACTCTCTATTGAAGCTTTACGAGAGGCTTTGATTGATAGATCCTGTGATGCCGTGATCGAACGATTTGAAATGCTTTCTATAATCATTCAAGACGCTGCAGCACATGAAACAAGTAAAGCATCAATGCACACCGACCTGGCTACTCCAGTGTCAGGCACCTTCGCTCTCGTCGGCAGCCTGTCAGCACTGACTAATCCCGCCAACAGTTTACTAACCAGGGCCGAAATTTCGCAGCGTGCAGGTGACGAAACATGTGAAGACCTGTAAAATTTATCGGAAGCTGCTGCCCTGACATAATCGGCTTTCAAGAAAAAGGTTCCAGCACATTTCACATCTGTCGCTTACAGAGATGCATACATGAGAAGTATGGCGCCAACTCCTACAAATCGAGGAGGAAAGCCAACCCGTCCACGCAAAACCTTCAATGCGCCAAAACGAAAGCGCGACGATGTCGACGCAGAAAAATTACAAGAAGCTGTCGCACAGCTCGATGCGTCCCAAAAGGTCGCCTCATTCACCGATCTCCCACTGTCTGAACCGACCAAAGCCGGCCTCAAAGCTGCTCACTTCAGCGCGCTCACCGACATTCAATCAAGGGCAATTCCCCTCGCATTGAAAGGCTCCGACATTCTTGGTGCGGCGAAGACTGGTAGTGGCAAGACATTGGCGTTCGTGATACCTGTTCTGGAGAATCTGTATCGCGCGCAATGTGTGGGTGCTGATGCTGGGCTCGGCGCGCTCATCATCACTCCAACCCGCGAGCTGGCAATTCAGATTTTCGAGGTCTTGCGTAAGGTCGGAGGCAAAGGTCATCTCTTCGCAGCAGGGCTGGTGATTGGTGGAAAGAGCTTGAAGGAGGAGCAGGATGCCTTGGCGAGGATGAACATTGTAGTATGTACACCCGGACGGATATTACAGCACCTCTCGCAGACGGCCGCATTCAATGTGGACTCTTTGCAGATGTTGGTCCTGGACGAGGCGGATCGGATCCTGGATATGGGGTTTCAAAGGGATGTTGATGCGATTGTGGATTATCTCCCGAAAGATCGACAGACAATGCTCTTCAGTGCCACGCAGACCAAGCGAGTGTCGGATCTGGCCAGATTATCACTGAACAAGCCTGAATACGTCTCTGTGCATGAAACCGCATCTTCAGCCACTCCCCAGACTTTGAAACAGAATTACATCCTCACACCTCTGCAGGATAAGCTCGATACCCTTTGGTCGTTTTTGCAGAACAAAGAGACGAAGAAGTCGAAAGTTCTGGTTTTCTTATCTTCGGGAAAGCAAGTTCGATTCGTATACGAGTCGTTCCGACACATGCAGCCCGGAATCCCTCTATTGCACCTCACAGGAAGGCAGAAGCAGACTGCTCGTCTGGAGATCACGCAGAAATTTTCCTCTGCGAAACATAGCTGTTTATTTGCTACGGACGTTGTGGCTCGCGGGCTAGATTTCCCTGCTGTCGATTGGGTGGTACAATTTGACTGCCCGGAAGATGCTGATACATACATTCATCGCGTGGGACGGACGGCGAGATACGAGCGAGAAGGACGAGCGATATTGTTTCTCGAGCCGAGCGAAGAGGAGGGTATGCTCACTCGACTGGAACAGAAGAGGGTGCCCATCGAAAAGATCAATGTCCGTCCTGGCAAACAGAAGAGTATCAAAAATCAGTTGCAGGGAATGTGCTTCAAGGACCCTCAGCTGAAGTACCTGGGACAAAAGGCGTTTGCGAGTTATGTCCGCAGCCTGCACCTACAAAAAGACAAAGAAGTCTTTCATCTCGAGAAATACCCACTTGAGGAATTTGCGGCCAGTCTGGGACTACCCGGTGCTCCCCGAATCAAATTTTTGAAGGCCGACGCAGAGGAAGCCAAGCGGAAAAAGAACGCTTCACGGCAAGCTACCATGGTAGAATCCGATGATCAGGCAAGCGAGGGAGAAGACGGCGAGGATGCAAAGACCCGCAGCAAGACCAACGGCGTCCGCACGAAATACGACCGCATGTTCGAGCGCCAAAACCAAGACATCCTCTCTGGCCACTACACCAAGATGATCCAAGACGATGACGCCGCCGACAATTTCGACGGCGAGCAGGTCGCCGACGACGACCTCTTCCACGTCAAACGCCGCATCCCCGCCGACGAAGGTGACTACGACTCCGATGCTCTGGAGGCGAGCATGAGCGGCGGTGCCAAAGCCGTTTACATCGAGGGCGCCACGGCGCCCATCATCCTGGACTCGAAGCGGCGCGAGAAACTGCTCAAATCGAAAAAGGCCGTGGCGAAACTCAAGGCCAAAGGTACAAAGTTGGTTTTCGACGACGATGGGAATGCCCATCAACTCTACGAGCTCGAAGATGAGGATGACTTCAAGGCTCTGGGAGCGGCGGAGGAGCAACGGCAGCAATTCGTCAAAGAGGAAGCCGAGCGGGTCAAACGTGCAGACTTGGATGATAAGGCGCTTGCGAAGGACAAGAAGCGGGCGAAGAAAGAAAAGAGAAGGGAGCGAGAAAGGGCAGAGGCTGAGGGCGATGATGTTGAAGATGATGGGGATGGTAGTGAGGGTGTTCAGTTTGGTGGTGGGGACGAGGATGCTTTGGCGAATTTCATTAACGATGCGAGAGGTTCCAGTGATGGTGAGAGCGATGGTGGGGTTGATCTTCATGGGGATGATGATGAGGAAGAGGAACAGCCTGCGAAAAAGCAGAAGAAGTGGTTCCAGGAGGAAGGAAGGAGGAAGAAGGATCTGTCCGGTGGTGATCGGGAGATTGAGACGTTGGATGACCTTGAGGCCGAAGCTGCACGTCTGCTTGGTTGATAAACCATGGTTTTGCGAAGATGTCTCTTCTCGTATTATCCTTTCAGTATCGGAAATAGTTCAAATCCTACCCAACATCATGTCCCGATCGAAGATACTGTAGCTTATATGCAATTGCCGTTCCACATTCGATTCTGGATACTACAGCAGTTCTATGTTCAGCAAGAGCATTTTGATCTCTACTCATGAGAACCACCGCCATACATGACAGGCCAACGTTGTGTTGAATAGTTTGAAGAGGAGTGACATGTTGACACTAGAACTTCGCACACTTACTGGGGACGATTCGAAATTCTTTCCCACCCCAAGCTTTCCAAGATTTCTCTAGTATTTTACTTAGGTAATACTTTACTTCGGAGCTCTGGGGTCAACGATATACATCTTCTGCGATGTTAATTTATAGAGGAGCGGCCAAGACACTTCTGCCAATTTCGAGCAAGAAATACTGCAGTTGAGGCGATCTCCAGTATCGTCGTAAGTGCGCTTTGAGAACAAACAATTTCAAGTCTGCGGTGGGCAACATCGTTGCAACAACTCACATTTGAGCATTTCTACATCACGTTTGGAGGTCACCGCCCTCCCGGATCTCTCCAGAATGGAATATTCCAATACAGACTTCACACCGGCCGAAGAACCCGCAACCCCACTCTACGTCGGCCAACATGAATCCCAACGCGAGACCGTCGTGACTTTGGAACTGCAAGCAAAATCCCAAGCATTAGGCTATGACCTCCTCACGGCACCCATCACAACCTCGCATTTCCAATCAAGAGTCCTCGCGACGCTAGAAGAATACGTCGCCAGCCTATCGAAACAAGACAGTTCCAAAGCCGAAGAAGAATCGACAGCATGGCCAGAAATCACCTCCTTCATGCCCGAAGACACCGACCTCGAGCCACAAGAAAGCAACAGCGCTCTAATCGGCGTCATTAGTCCCTGGATCGATCTAGGGTGTAAAGATCCTTTGATCGCCAATATCAGCAGACAAGTCTTCCATCTCGAAGTCGCCTATGCAGCCTTTTGTGGAGTGAGCAATATTCTCGTCCCGGGACCTCTCCTTGAGTCTGACACAATCGGCTATGCTCGTGTGGTGCTTGAGGGACTTGGATTGGGTCCGTATGTGCAGCTTCATGTTCTCATGCCGATGACTGGCGAGTCGGAACTCGAAGGGACGGAAGCGGCGCATTTATCGCAGTTGGCTCGTGGGAAATACGTTGAAATGCCGAATGGAGATGAGGACGATGATGAGGGTGAACCGGAAGCTTTTGGCACGTGGGTCACTTGGGATACTATTCGGAACTTGTGCCATTATAGTACCAGGTTGAGTCTGGGTATGTTGTCTTCTTTTCCTGACTATCACCATGTCTATGCATTTCAGTCGTTTCTCGCCGCACATCATGTGAGGTTTCTCAACATCCTACTGATTCGATGACAGCATTGGAGATTCCGAGACAATTACCGTCTGTCGACCTGCAATCACGCTGGTACTCCGAATCGATTCGCTTCCTAGTCTACCCACGGACGACATTCCTGCGTAATGCCAAGGGCTACCCCGTCCTCTCGAAGCCTCACCAGCAATATCTCAGTCACTTTATCCGTCTCCGATTTGTTCCCTGGATCTTGCTGGCCGACGTGGACCCAATCAGTCTAGCATCAAACATCGAAGAAAATGAGACCTCCGAGGAACCCACCCCTGCCGAAGCAGCCGCAAAGGCGCAACAGCCTCCCACCGATCCCACATCGCATCTCCGCTACATCCGGCACTTGCAACATACCCAGCCGGCACGTCCTCCGATGGAACGTTTCGGGCAAGGTTATCAGGACTACATACAATCACCACTCCAACCACTCAGCGATAATCTAGAATCAATCACATACGAAGTCTTTGAGAAAGACCCGATTAAATACGAATGGTACAAACGCGCCACCGCCGAAGCCCTCAAAGACCTCCACGCTGCACGTGTCAACGACGGAAACCCGATCGTCGTCGCCATCGTCGGCGCAGGTCGAGGGCCTCTCGTGACCCGCGCGCTGCAAGCCAGCAAAGAGACGCAAATCCCCATCCGCTGCTTCGCCGTTGAGAAGAACCCCAACGCACACGTCCTCCTCCAACGCCGCAACAACCGGGATCCGCTCTGGAATAAATCCGTCACCGTCGTCCGCTCCGACATGCGCAGCTGGCGCGGACCGCCGTCCCTCAACCAGACCGAGAATCCCACTTCCGACAGCTCCCCCGCGCAGACTTACGATAAAGTAGACATTCTGATCTCAGAGCTCCTCGGCTCCTTCGCCGACAACGAGCTCTCACCGGAATGCCTCGACGGCGTACAACACGTCCTCCACCCAGACCACGGTATCAACATCCCTCAGCGCTACAGCGCACACTGTACACCTATCGCGACGCCACGCCTGCGTGCCGATCTACTGAGTCGCTCGGGCAGCGAGCAATGGGAACTTCCCAGCGTCGTGATGCTACAGCAGATTGATTTCCTCTGCCCGACAGCGGCGCAAGCATCCTTGACGCCGCGTGAGAGCATTGACCAGATCGTGCCGGATGTCCAGGAAGCATGGTCCTTTTCGCATCCGATCTCCGCGGCCGTTCTCGCCCGCTCGGCGCCGGATGGAATGGTTGCGACGGGCGCGGCGAGGGTGGACAATTCGCATAATGTACGCAGCTGTAAATTGACATTCACGGCGACGAATCAGGGCGTGTGTCATGGCCTGGCGGGTTATTTCGAGACGGTGTTATATGCTTCGCCGACGAGGGAGGGTGTGATTGTGGAACTTTCGACAAATCCGGTTACGATGGAGGAGAAAAGCAAGGAGATGATTAGCTGGTTTCCGATTTGGTTTCCTTTGAAGGTGAGTGGGGCTAGTGGCACAAGTCTCATTGTTGGAGCTTGATTTCATTTGTGAGTAATGCTGACGTGGATTACTTGCAGACACCTCTATTCATCCCCGACGGCGGTGAAATTGAGGTGAGCATGTGGCGACAGACGGATGATCGGAAGGTCTGGTATGAGTGGGCTGTAGAGGTTTTCGTCTCTGTCGTTCAGGCGAATGGGAAGAAGAAGCGATCTAAGATCGTCGGCTCGGAGATCCATTCTAGCCGCGCGAATGGCTGTTTGATGTGATCAGCAGGAGTACTCAATGTCGATCAAAGCTTCGTGAATACGACGATGAACGACATGCTCAGATCTGGATCGCGCAATGCGCCCAATCAGACTCGCTCGTATCTTTGATTTCGCTTGGTGGGTAGTTCTTTGGCGGGTTGAAAAGGCACGTAGGACGCCTTTGGCTTGACAGCCCCTTGTTCTCCACCTTGTGAAGGGGTCGAGTTCTCCGACGATAGAACATTCTCTGTTTGGGTATGCTCGAGGAATGGTTCGGCGGTTTCTTCCTCCATCGCAGGCGCTTTGTACACCTTCTTCTCCCTCTTCGGTGCGTTGTACACAACTGGAACTTGTTCCTCCTCTTCCTCCACCTCCTCCAATCCCAGAATTCCGTTCTTCGCTTTAATATTTCTCCTCAGAATGCCCGTCCACAATTTCTCCAGGTTCAATGCCTCTCTCCGCTCTTCCGTCATCATCTGCACCACAATTTTGCTTCCGGCGACACTGGTGTTGAATCCGACGATGTTCGCTTCCCGTTCAATCTGCTCCGGCGTCTTAGGCAATTCTCCACCCTCAACCGTGCCGATATTCACGCAAACCCAGCCTGTCCGGATTCCATCATCAAGATCGGCGTCATCATCATAGGTGTTTGCGCCTACTGCCGAGAGCAATTTCTTCTTCTTCGTCAGCCGCCGCATCTTCAACTTCAGCTCATTGCGGCCGAGGAGGCCGTCGGCATATGGAGAGAGACCATGTTCAGTACGAAGCCAGCGGCAGAGGCGATCGGCTGAGACATGAAGATGCTTCTCGGATCGCGTTGTACCGATGATCATAAGTAGATTTGCGCCTAGTGCGGGAGGTGGGTCCATGGGTCGCAGATCCAGGACGGACAGATCATCGAGACCTAGATTGGTGGAGATGTGTTCGAGAAGAGGCTGTAAAAGTTGGGGCGAGTGTTCGGGTAGATCGGGAAGCTTCTGTCGGGAGGAAATTTTGGATTGGGACTGTTCTGTGACAGCGGGCTGGTTTTGGAGATACCATGGTATCGACGACGACGACGATTGCTGGAGTTGTGATATTATTGATGACGATTCAGCATCCTCTTCTGTAGGTTTCAAAAACGCCGATGAGGGAATGTCTGAAGTAATATTCGTATTGCTCGTTGCTTGAGGGCTGTCCGATCCTTCATTGGTTTCTTGTGGCGTCAGAGAGGATGTGAAAGCGCGTCGCTGGATTTGGAGCGCTGGTCCGCCAATGCTAGTGATGAATGTTCGCAATACCCATCTCCGGCAATTATTGCACGAGTTAGCTGTTCTGATACTCATTTTGAAACTGCTGGTCGTGATGCCGTTATGCAGATTCCTTCCTGCGGACTGGATGTAACAATGTCATTGTCCGCTCGGGAGTGCCAAGATTTTGCGGGAAACCCCCGAAGCTCGCAAGACCGGCAGGACCATGTTGGCAACTCCATCACTGCTATGTATCTGTGCAGTTGACCCATCCATCAATACAACATTCCTCGACACCGCCCACGATGGCGCCCGCAGCGCGAAGATGTCTGACATGCCTGTTCGAGTCAGCATTGACCGTCAGTGCTCAACCTCGAGGGTCGCGTGCCATCTCAATGCTTCCCAAGAAAGATTTCGTCAAACGAGCTCACAGGAGGCGGGCAGCGCTGTCAAAGCCTACGAGTCTGGCGGCGAAGGATATGGGACTGGCTGAGGAAAGGCAGGGCGATGTGGATGCATTGGCCTCAAATCTCAAACCATACTCACCGCTCGAGCTTAAGCTTCTAAAAATGAAATACACATCCAAACAAATCGATGCCATTCGGGCTGGAGAGGAGAGTGTCGACACGGAAGACATGGTTCGACAGGGTCGCTTCAGAACAGATCCGATGCGGATAGACTACATTGATGATTTTGCTACATTACGACCTGGCGTCGATCGCATCCCAGAACAGGACGGCGCGACACGGAAACCTAAGCGCAAGGCGGCTGGCGGCGAAACGGCACCAGAAGCGAAGTCCGAGGCGTCCGCTGTGAACGATCAACAGATGCTCCGACTATCACAACAGACCGGTCTTGATATCGAAGCCATCCGGAAACTCCGGACCAAGATGCTTGTTACACATCGTGTCGTGAACCAAACACGTATGGGAAAGATTCAGAGCTTGTACTTCCTGACTATTGCGGGTAATGGCGATGGTATGTTAGGAATTGGTGAGGGCAAGGCGGCGGAAGATGAAGATGGAAGGAGACAAGCGATGATGAACGCGATTCGGAACATGAAGCCTGTTCCACGATATGAAGGACGGACAATCTTTGGCGAGAGCGAGGCGAAAATTGGCGCGACGATCGTCCAATTGTCGACCAGACCACCTGGTAAGTGGTTCAAGATCCTGATCGACCACGAAGTAGTGACAGTTGCTGCACATTTCTATCCGCCATTCGAGACGTATGCTTACGAATTGTTTGTTTAGGCTTTGGCAATCGCTGCCAACATTTGATCTACGAACTAGCTCGAGCTGCGGGAATATCGGATCTCGCTGCCCGCACACCTCGATCACGCAACAAGATGAATGTTGTCAAGGCAGCATTCGCAGCGCTGACGAACCAACGCTTGCCAGAGGACATCGCCAAGGCGAGAGGCAGGAAGATGATAGACGTTCGCAGTGTGTATTATGGAGGTCTGGTGCATTAGAAGCAATGGGCATTTTGTCCATCTGAGCGAATCCTTGTTTTTAATCCTGCAAACAGCGGTTTCATCGTATGTACCTTTTGTATCAACAATTATTGATGGGGCAGACTTACTCAAGAGCCGGTCAAAAGTGCGTTCAGATGTCCTTATGAATACGTGTAATGTTGCTGCATTGCTGCAAGCATAAGGTCGCAGTCCTCGTGGGCTGTGACTCACGTATCTCCTAATCAGGCTCGCAGCTGTGTTGCCGGCGAATATATCCATCGAAACAATCACTTCCTTCTTATTTGTCGACTATGCATTGCGACTAAAGTTCCCTGGAGTATACAAGCAACAATGACCACAATGATAGACCCAACTCAACCTCACAAACACGTATCTCCAAGAACAGAATTGACTATCCCTCGCCTGCATCTCGCACCATCCTTTGTCATTTCGTGCGGGACCATCACTCTCGATATCGAAAATCGAAAAATCCTGCTCATCCGATGGCTCACTACAAACGAAATCCTCTTCGCAAAGGGTCGAAAAGACATCGGTGCTACGCTCGAAGCCACCGCTGTACGCGAGACGTACGAAGAGACTGGTCTTCGAGCGACATTACTACCTACATCGGCGCCTACGCGGCAGACATGGTCTCGAGAACACCGAGCACGGGTAGGAAATGCTGAAGACAAATCGTTATCAACGACAACATCAGCTGGTGATGTAGACCCCGCTCAGCTTCACACCGAAGCTATTGCCGTACATCAGAGGATCACGTCAGAAGGTGTACTCAAAATCATTTTCTGGTATATTGCTGAAGGCGACTCGACGGCTATCCCCGACGAGGATACGAAGGAAGCCGACGAGGATTTTGAAAATATCTGGGCAGATTGGGATGCTATCGATAGTACGCTGACTTTTGAAGACGATCGCGTGCTGGCCAAATATGCCCTGAATGTTGTCGCAACCAGGGTTTGATGATTGATTTTGGTCCTTTCATCATGTTGCATAGGGTCGAGATCGAACTATCGAGCATACTTGTGATCGCAAGTTGTGAAGCCATCTCACAGTCTCTGCTCTCCTGGATCAAACCATGTAGTGCTCACGTTCCTACCTACCTAGGTAGTTACTAGGTAGAGAGGCATTATTGCATCTTATTCTTCCCCCACAAATGTGCATGTTTCAACAACCCTAATCGTGTCGGCAAACGCAAGCATCGCGCGTCTCGTCACGTCTCCCGGAGAAAGTCTGTGGGGCAATTATTGAGACCGTGTCAATTTCGCGAATTGCCCAGGTGCTAATGTACAACATCGAACAACAAGTCTACAACAATATCATCACACATAGGGACAGCGAAGATTGCAGAGGGGTTTGCACAATAAGCTGTCCAGATGGCGCAGGACTACACCACTTACCTGGCCGAGCAAGTCCTCAACGAACAACAATTGGTACGGAAGTCCTCATCATCCTGACTATTACCCTGATATCCTACTGTCTGACACTCAATAGGTCAGCTATCGCATGCTGAGTCGAGTTTTGAAACTGCACGGCAATGTTGCAAAACAGTCAGTACCTAGAGAGCGAGGTTTCATGTTTCCAGCAGAAGCTTATCACAGGACCATTTAGAATGCTCTACGAATTTCATTGCAAGCAAAACGAGAAGAAGCCCGGCAGCGTTCATGCAACATACATCATAACAGGGACAAAGGTTCCTTCGCCATCCCAAGAACCCCAGAAAGAAGATCCCGATGGTGACAGTGTCATGCAAAGCAGTCCCCCTTTGCCGCCCCCGAGCAGCTCGGCCGCTGTGCCGCAGGAGACCGAACCAATAACGATTCAGACGATGATGCTTGTGAAGGAAGAACACCTGGAGCGCGCCAAGTCGCAATTCATCTCAATCTCATGCATCCATGTATATGCTCTCGCAGCGAAAGGCTTGAGCCAAATCCAAACTTTGGCCGAATGTAATCGGAAAATTACCGCCGCCCATGCAGGAGAAGATCCCTTGGTCGCATGGAAGGCCTACGGTACCATTCAGAACAGCAATGTTCGACGGCGGACGGCGAGAGTACCCCCTGCACCAGTACCGGCTGCTGCTGTAGCTTCAAAACCTGTGGCCAAGGAGGCTCCGGCTGCGAAGACAGCCACTACGAAGCCCGACTCGAAAGAATCGACTAACTCCACTACCACACAAAAGGCCCCCGCAGAAATGTCGAAATCTGACACAGCCAAGTCTTCAAAGGTCGCGCCCAGCAAGGCCTCTGCATCATCCATATTCAAGTCATTTGCAAAGACTGCTCCTGTCACAAAAAAGCCGGCGCCAACGCAATCTAAGAATGACTCCCAAGCTTCCGCCGCCTCCGTCCAAGACACCAATATGACAGGCTTTTCCGACGATGATGATGAGGCGGATGACGCTAGTCTGCCCGAGGAACTCTTCGCAAAAGACTCGCAGGCTGAGAGTAGCGGTAAATCAAAGAAGGATCGGGAGGCCGAGCTACAAGCTATGATGGAGCAAGATGATGACGAAGACGAAGAAGCAGCGAAGAGCAAAGCTGATGGGGAGGATGGAGATCAGGATGCAGAGATGGACGATGCCGATGCGCTTGAATCACAGGACTCATCAACGAAGAAAGCAGATGCACCTGAAGCCGATGTAGAAGAGGAAGAACCCAAAGTCATCGTGCAGAATGGTCGACGAAGAGGCAAGCGCCGGGTCCCGAAGAAACGGACAGTCCGTGACGAGGAAGGGTATCTAGGTAAGAACGGGCAATCTCTGCTCCTCCAACCCCTTTACAGGTCAAATCGAAACGTACTCAAGCTGACCATTGCCTCTCTAATAAAGTCACTAAAGAGGAACTTGCCTGGGAGTCCTTCTCCGAAGAGGACGTTGCTCCGGCCGCGTCAGCGGCCGCGAAGAAGGCCAAGATTTCGAACACGGCATCGAATACGAACAAGGGCCCGGCTTCGACAAAGAGGAGCGCCGGCGACAAAGGTGGCAAGGCTGGAAACATCATGTCGTTCTTTGGAAAGAAGTGATGACACAATACCCGTGATAAGCTGTTGAATTTTGTTCATAATGATCATTACAAGACTTTAAGCAAAAGTATTCCGACAAGGACACGACATGAGAATCAACCATAAACCCCTTCCCCAGGACTGAAAATTAAGAAAAGGTCCTCTGCCGGATCTCATCACGCCGCGAACCAGCCCTCCCTCTCCTCCTGCTCCTCCGCAGCGGCAAGGATATCCCTCACCAAATCCCCCACCTCGTGGCCCCCCTCACAGTCCTTCCACATCCCATCATCCCTCACACATCTCACGCGCTCATTAATCCTCACCGTACAACTAATGCCCACGCCCGCCTCAGCGCTCCGATGGAAACTCTTCTGGAGAAGATTCACGCCTCGCGCGCCGTCGTCCGCCACGGTACATTCATCCAGCGCGGCGATCGAGATGCCGTGTTCGAGCGCGCAGTCTTCGATCAGGTCCCGCGAGGGAATCTCCGTGTAGGAACGTGTCAGGCACATTGTGAAGCCTAGCGAGATCTTGGGATCCGGGTATAAGCGTGCGGCGCATAGTTCGATTATGTTGCCGAGACATTCGCCCTGGCCGTGTTTGCAGAGGACGCCGTCGTTGTGTGGCGTTGTGCTGGGAGGAATGTTAGGTCTATTGAATTAGTGGGAAATATGCGTGTTTGATGTATGTATTTCTCTTGTTCCTTTAGTCATCCTTCATGAGATGCGGGATGAAGCGATCGGGGGAGTAGTCAGAGAAGAAAGAGTCATTACGTACCTTCCGATATACGACAATTGAAACGCGACCTTGCCTTGCACCTCGGGCCTCTGCATGACAGGCAATATCATATCACGCAGACAATCCCTCGCATCGGGACATTTCGACATGATATGGGCCTCCAGTCGGACCTTGCCACCCGCAACATGACCCGTTCGCCCAGACGTATCGTCATCGGACAACGCGTCTTGCGAGATGATGGCGACGGAGAAAATCAGAAATGCGAATAGTAGCGCTGTCACGGCGCACATGATCCGTGTATGCCATCGTCCGGAGGTCGTGCGTGACCAGGCTTGCATGTAGCGGCGTTGTGCCGCGAATACTTCTTGCTGGAGTTGGGTGAGGGTTGGCTCTGATTCGGATGAGGTTGGGTCGGACGTGGCGACTTGTTGCGAGGAGAGAAGAGGTTGCTTCTCCATGTCGGAGGGGCTTGCAGTCGCCATTATATCTTTGCCAATTGAATCTGGAGTCAATAACACTTCGTGCAGCTGTCGATATTACTCCTATTGATGCGATCGAGATAATGTTGATGGAAGCCTGGAGGTGTCGTTCGTTTGATGCAGTTCAAGCACATATAGATGACTAATCATGCGCCAATAAACTGATCTAAGCCTCATCGGTGTGGTCGTGGTGAACCAGCATGAAAGATGATATCCAAGTGGATCACGATATGTTACTGTTGACCACAGTGACCGCCGTTCTTAAGTATAAATATGAGAGCTGGTGTCCAAATTTATACCTCTTCACTGTCCTTATACCCTGTATTCGCATCAGAATCGCAGTTTAAGAGGGATATGCACTGCTGGAAGGATCGCCAGCTGCAGATTACGCCATCTCGCTCCCTAAATGTAGTGCGAAGTTTATTCCAATATCAGACATTTCACCTTCTCACTCATTGTCCTTCAAATCGCTCAAGCAGCAAAAGCTCGGACATGTCACAGCTCATGAGATTATCAACATAAACAGGTCTTACGGTCTCGCTCCGGAGCTTTTGTGACGCAGCGTGCGTGTCGGCTCGGACGGCCGGAGGGAAACGGAATGGCGCATCGCCCGGATCCTCATGAGCATTTTGCTGCTTCACAATCCACTGGGTATGAACGCGCTGTAGTCTGTGTAGTATCTATACTAAATTGTCGCGAAAACTTAGGCATGGCAATACCGGACTTCATGGTCAAGAAAAGCTGCCGAATTCCGACGATGACGCCGACTCATACGATGATGACATTGATGAAGATTTCCTTGATGATGCCGATGGAGCTCTACTCATGACCGACCGAGATCGATGGTCAGACCATAACACCCTCGTCAGTACCTCCGAGCTTTACACCGCGGAGGAGGAGCAACGCGTCAAGCGCAAACTCGACACCCACGTCGTCCTATTCGTCGCACTCCTCTATCTCATTTCCTTCCTGGATCGCAGCAACATAGGAAATGCTCGACTGGCTGGTCTAATGCACGATTTGAATCTGTCCAACAAAGACTATGAATGGCTATTGACGGCCTTCTATCTTATGTATATTGCGTTCGAATGGATGACCATCTGCTATCGACTATTTCCCGCACACATCTACATCAGCTGCTGCGTCTGCGCCTGGGGCGTCATCGCTTCGCTCCAGGCGTTAGTCACAAATTTTGCCGGACTCGTTGTTCTACGTGCTCTCCTCGGCATTGGCGAAGCTGCCTTCGTTGGTGTGCCAATCTACTTGTCTTTCTTTTTTCGCCGCGACGAATTGGCGTTTCGCACAGGACTCTTCATTTCTGCGGCGCCACTGGCAACGAGTTTTGCTAGTAGTCTAGCTTACGGAATCATGAGCCTTGGTGATAGCGCAGGCGGAATTGCCAAGTGGCGACTCTTATTCCTCCTCGAAGGATTCCCAGCCTGTCTCATCGCCATTTGGGCCTGGGAATGGCTTCCGGACGGACCAAACTCAATAAAGTGGCTCACACCACGTGAGCAAGAAATCGCGTCGCTACGACTGCAATCTGAAACAGGCTCTTCGAATACCTCTTCATCATCAAATCCAGCACCTCGCCATACCAAGCCGTTTCAATGGGCCCCCATCCTCCTTACTCTTCGTGACCCCAAAGCCTGGCTTGCCGCAACAATTTTCTTCGCCTGCAACGTCGCTTTCAGCAGCATGCCCGTCTTCCTCCCAACTATCGTCTCGGCCATGGGATTTTCACCACGTCTGAGCCAAGGTCTCTCCGCGCCACCCTTCCTCTTCGCATTCGTGGTCGTACTTTGCACCGCCATTCTCTCCGATCGCATGCGCGACCGGAGTCGTCTTCTCATGGCACATGCTTGTCTTGCGGCATTAGGTTACGCGATGCTCATGCTTCCTGGTCTCGGACTAAATTTCGGAGCCATTATTCGCTACCTTGCCGTTTTTCCCATCTGCGCAGGATTCTTCTCCGCGGTGACATTGCTTATCACATGGACTGTGAATAATCAGCGCTCGGATGAGGGCAAGGGAGCAGGCGTTGCGCTCCTGAATTTCATTGGACAAATGGGCCCGCTGCTGGGAACGAGATTATATCCCGATCATGAGGGTCCGTTTTATCTGAGGGGCATGACGGTTTGTGCGGTGGCGATGGTGACTGCCGCGCTGTTGACTGGCTTGCTGAGGGTGCTCTTGAAGAGGGAGAATGAAAGGATTAAATCCCGTCAAAACGGAAGACGGGAGGAGATGTTCTTATATTTGTTATGATGCTGCCTTCGAAAATATATAATTCGGACGATGATTTGACTGAAATTCATATTCGTTATCATGATACTGTGGCTCAAGTCGCACAAATCTCGCACTGTTTGCATTGCAATGTCTACATGCAAGCATCAAGTACAATGTGCATGACAGCGCGTCACAAATCAGTGGTCACAATGACGCAACAATAAGGCAAAGGGGGAGGACTTCTTAATCCCCCTCGTAGCAACCAAAAAGGCGTCATGGGCCAGGAAGCGCTGCTCCCAAGGCAGAGTCTCCGGCCAACTTCCGTGCCTCTTCCTCCTGTGCCCTTTTCTTCGCTATGATGGCATTGGCCTCAGCGAGTTTGTCCTCCCGATATTTCTGCCGCTCCTCAGGGGTCATCTTACCAAACTTGGTCAATTCCCCATGTTTGGAGAGAATCATCGGCGGGTAGTGATATTTGTTGGTTGGTTGAAGAAGACAGTCATCTACCTCGCTGCTGTTGGCGAGTTCACTGTTATCCGAGAGCACACCTGGTTGCGGGTTCATGGCACTGGCCCCAGCGAGCATATCCTCCCGATATTTCCGCCGCTCATCGGAGGTCATTTTGCCGAATCTAGTCAACACCCCATTTTTGGAGAGAACCATCGCTGAGGGATAAACCCCCTTTAGCGGCTTGATGAGAGGTTCTTTTGCTTCGCTGCTGTCGGCGAGTTGACTATTGTCCGATAATATACGTTGTTGCGGGTTTTCGAGTGATGTGCCGGACTGAGATGGGCTGGGATCGATAGAGTTCTTGACCCTGGCTGTGCGCTTTTCTGCGAGAATACTGTTGAGATTGGGTACGCGTTCAGCAGTTTGAACTGTTGAATCAGGAAATGCTTCTGTCCTGGTCGGCGTGCTCCCATCCGGAGAGTCGTTGAGGTTATCTTGTCGCGGTGTCGTTTCGCCACCGTTAGGAGTCTGTATGCTCATCTTCTCAGATGCGAGCTTCAGGAGATGAAACTGAGGAAGCGATGAAATATGCTTGCTGAAGAATCTGTATTGTAAATGGAAGATCAGAGTTTAGGAATACACGAAAAAAGCTGGTCCTGGTTCTGGGAGCAGGCCGCATGGTTACCTTTACATATGCAATGTTGGTTACTACGTGAATGATCCTCACCGTCATTCTCTACGCATGGCCATCGGCTGCTCTTAGGCACCGCGATTTCTCATCATCTGTACGGCACCTAGGCGGTCGTGGAGAATCCTGGTAATTGCGGCGCAGAACAGGTGAGTGTCGTATGACATCACGGCATGCGATTGTACTGTGAGCAAGAGGAAGCGCATCAGTCTGTGCTATCCTCCGATCTTCATCGGGGTTCCTCATAGTATTGCCAATAGGACAACACATCGAGCTAAAGCGCGAAAATCCGCCTCGTCTTTCTTGTGAACGCAACGACCACCCAGACCGGCTGACAACACGCGACACCGCACGAGCATAGGTTTGATGCGCGTTTATCCATCCTTTTTACACAGTACGCCTTAGCTCCCAAAAATTGAAGTAATTGTCATGGTAACATATTTCTTACAAAAGCACTATGACATCTGTCGAGTTGCGACGGCGGATCACACGCAAAGTCAAGACTTGGATATACATAGCGCGCAGACGCTTGAAACTCGGGCCTCCAGCGGCAGTCCTTGAAGCACAGCCCACGTCGCCGCCGTGGCCTCCGCAAGACATACTAAAACATCGCGTAAAATACATGTCACAGATTCGAGCTCGACCACCGCGGGTGATCAAATACACCGACTCGGACACCTCGCTGCACTGCCTGTACAGGATCTATGAGCAGCTGGTCCTGGACCACACGATAGGATATCGCAACGAGATTGAATACTTTTGGCGCCGCCGCGATTGGCCCGTGGCTGATATTCCTGATCCGCATGACCCTGACCCAACGCGTTATGCATTTTTAGCTGGAATTCCTCACCTGTTGGTACACGCTTTCAACAGCAATATTCGCATAGGACTCGCGAGATACACGGCCGCTATCATCAGCCCCGAGGAGGCAGAGAACTTGCAAAACACGCCAGAGCTGGTTAAGCTTTACGAGAATGTCCCCGAATGGACACTGCGAGTCAAAGCATTGAGGAAAGCGGTGACGATACCAATAGTTTCAGGGCCTGACTTGGTCTTAACGTACCCTACCACCGAGCCGGTCACACCACCGAGCCGGTCAAAACGCGCCCACAACGCGTCTTCGAGCTTCTTCCTCTTATTATATGACAA